CCAGTTCAATCTGCTAGGGACTGACCTATGGCCACTCGAGGCGAGACTGACATCATTTACTTTACAAACATTGTCTCCGCATATCCAAAGACCCCAGTGCTTGATTCGTGACTTCCTAAATTCATTGTGTAGTGTGGCAAGATGGATTGCAAGTGGCCAAATTGGTCGAGAATCGGGAGAATCTATATACCAATGAGTGGGTCCCTCCCGTCATCTCGGGAATTTAAATGAGTGGTTTAAGCTTATATTATGAGACTGGGAACCAGGAACCGTGAGTCTGGGGCCTTCGAAGTATCTGGAATCGTGGCATTCCATGGATTCCACCAAGACACGTTTGCCTCTGTCTGACAAGGCATGACGCACCGTGACATAATGCAGTCTTTCAGGGTCAAAACCCTTGTGCAAAGTTGGGTTAAGAGGTTCAACGCTATTGAATTGCGCCAATATGATCAGACGGACAACCTTGAGTCCATTGTAGTTTGTGTTCTCTAATGCTAATGGGCAGAACTCGGCCGAGATTGTGTGCCCTGCGGGGTGACAGGATGGAAGCCTCACTAATTCCACAGAGTTCCTCATGGCGTCGACCTATTCCATCTCTGGAATTGGAGTCAGTCCATCGCCCGGCCAGCGTCGAAACAGATCTACCAGATGATCCAGTGGGGCAGCCACAAAATCAGCTACCGTCTCATAAGAGGAATCGGGCAATTCGGGATGGGCTCGTGTGGGGGCAAACGACTTGGCGCGGTCAAAAGAACGTGCTAAGCGAATGCTCTCCTCGGCTGTGATGGAAGCCTCTAGTTGAACGAGATTCCGGGTCTCCTCAATATGGACGTGGGCTGAGAGATCTTCCATAAGGATCGTCATAGTGGGGATAAAGCGAGGATCGGAGCAGCTCATGCTTTGAAAGATCTCAAGTTTTTCTTTGATCTGTATAGTGTCACTTGCTACTCATGGAAAAGAGCCGAATGGAACTCACCGTGCGGTGCTGTTGCCGATCATCACTAGTATCGGCATTGGGCAGCTGTGCTTCTAGCGCGGGGTACAGCACTAGTTCCTCGCCCACGACATGACGGGCGAGTTCCCATGTAAATTGATTTTGGAATCGAGTCTGCTCATCGCTATCTTCGGCATTGCAGATCAGATCGTAGTAAGACTGGATCTCACGATGATCCTCGCGAATGGCGTCGGTGATGCGGTGCATGATGTACCTGGACAGTGTAGGAACTATACGAGTACAAGTAAGCTTACGCCTACCTATGCAGCGGCTGAAGTGACCATGACGTTTGTGCCTTGCAGGGTCTCCAAATGAGCCATAAAACTCCGAACATCGAAAAGATTCGTGGAAAGGTATTCCGGTGTGACATGTATGAAAGTGGAGTCAGATGATTACTTCACCGTAAGTCACGAAACCACAATCGAGTCAGGGCCTGACACTTCACAGGGACAGTGTCCATCATGCGCCATTTATGACCCCGAGCTTGGAATTTCAGGTTTGGCGAGGACTAAGGGGGTCTGAGTGTTGGCTCTTCCTGCTTGCTCTTTGCTGTTTGCTCTTCATCCCCTTTTCACCTTTAGCGCTTCAGTTATTCTACGTTATGGCGAGCCCACGGTGAGTGGTCTTGACTCAGAGCTCTACGGGGCTGATGCCAAGCCCGATATCACTGCTGATCAGAACCAGCAAAATTACACCTCAAGACTCGTTCGTCAGACATCCGATAATATCGAAAAACCCCCCGGGGCCAACCAAAGCCCGGTCCAACCGATCTCGCAGGGAATCTGCGCTCGCATCTCTCAGTGGCTGTGGCCCTCATTGTGGGGCTGTGAGACCGCCCGCGCTCCGACGCCAACTTATACCGACTCTCTCGGCTGCAAGGCCTGTCGTGAATGGCATGTTGCCTGCGACCATGCAAAGCCACAATGTTCACATTGCTATCAGCAGCAGATACTTTGCTTTTATGTGAATCCAAATCCGTCTAAACGCCCAAACCGCCTCGCCTCCGCGCCTCGATTGGGCACTCCAGTGAACAGACGGCTTGCCCAGACTGCAAGTACCGGGTAGTGAACGATGATACTATTATGAATTATCATTTCTCTTGCCATAATCTCTAAGCTCGATGGCGAGATACACGGATATATCTTGCTTGTTGTGGGACTATTCCAGGGGTGATCCTCGGGGTCAGCGCATTCATCGGCAAGAAAACAAAATTCTTGAGCACGATATCTTAACTATCTTGTAATAACTCCTATGAAAAGGGACTTTCTGTCTTCTCAACTTCCTATATAGATAGACCCTGGACCTGAGATCATCCCCCGCAGGTAAAAAGAAAGGTTAGAAGGTGGCATTGAATATTCGGCGCTCTGGGCCAACAACGGCGGCGGGTTGGACATGTCACCCCCACACCGCCATGCCCACTTCTTGTTCTCGCAAATTTGGGGAATCTGGGGATCTGCCTATCATAATCACTCGGCCAATGGACTCGGATCAAGACCGATCCTCAAGGAGTGGGTGGGAGTCGGAGCACTGTGACCCGCGGATCGCTCTGCCCCGACATACATAGCGATGGACTCGCACAGTCAAGCAATCCATATTGAACATTTACGCTGGTCTATCAAGTCATTCTACACTGCTTCTATGTCGCCATGTCTCATTGACCCCGAGTTGATTCGATTCGCTGTTGAGGCTGCTGAGCAGTGACTTGACATTTAAAAATCTCTTGCTTATGCTTCTTTGAGTTGGCTGAAGGTGAGTCTCCCATCTTTTAGCCTCGTCGCTCACAGAGCTAATTAACTTCAGATGAATTCAGAGTACCAGAAGCTGGCGGATATTGTCTGGCAAAAGGCCAGCAGCCACCCCAAGCTGCGCTATCTCGTTGCCATTGCAGGAGTCCCTGGTTCCGGAAAAACTACTACTGCTGAGGCCGTGGTCCGGCAACTCAATGCAGCTCACAAGGTGCATGCGAGCCTTCTCTCAATGGATGGATTCCATCTACCACGAGCGGATCTGGATAAACTCCCTAACTCTACGGAGGCATACGTCCGACGCGGCGCACCATGGACATTCGACGTAGCACGATTCGTGGGGTTCGTCGGCCGACTTCGAATCTGGGCGGACAAGACACCATTAGCAGCTCCATACTCGGGAATATGGACTGAAAATGAAGTCATCCGAGCACCGACTTTTGACCACAAAGCCAAAGACCCCGTCGATAATGGCATGGTCATAACACCGGATATTTCAATCATCATTGTGGAGGGTAATTACCTACTTCTGGACGAGCCCGGCTGGAGAGATCTGGCCGAGCTGGTCGACTTCAAGGTCTTTGTGGATACCGATCTACAGGAAGCGCGTGAGCGAACTGCCAAGCGTCATGTACATGCAGGGATAGAAAAGAGCTTGGAAGATGGATATAGACGGGTGGATAGCAATGACTATCTCAATGGGGTCTCGATTCGTGGAAAGCTTCTCGCTCCGGATATGGTGATCAAAAACGTGACGGCAAACTGCACAGATTGAAATCAACAAATAGGTACATAATGGTATATCGATGACCTCTTATATTACATAACTAATACTTGAGGGCGTGATAGAAAACCCTATAGACTGAAATCCGACGTTAGCCAATCTGAGATCTGATCGAGTCAACTAAAAACTTTGCATCTTTCCAGGCATTCATATTGAGTCTAGCATATCAGAAAAAAGTAGCAACATTTGAAATTCGAATTACAATATACACATATTGATGATCGGCCCAGTTTTATAGTGGAAGCGGATCAAGGCCAACGAGCCGTAACGCCAAGTGACGTAATTACATTGTCTTAAATTGACTCAACGCCCATCTTTTCGCATCCTGTTTCGCAAACTTGACAGAAAGCATTGACACCGATTATTCGAAAAGAGGAACCATGCCGACATACTCAGGCTCGTGGTTTTGCCACAATATCGAATACGAGCTGCAGCTAGAGTCTCCCGACGATGCCCGGACCTCCCTTTGCCACTGTCGCAACTGTAAAGTATTAAGAAACTACTCATCGAGAATATAATAAACATTCCTGACGAACATTCCATAATAGAAAGCATTTGGAACAAACTACGGGCTTACAGCCAAAGTCCCGAAAGATGGATTCCACCTTACAAAAGGAAAGCCCAAGGAACATGCGGCAGACAATGGGTCCGGAGCCATAATATATCGTGAGTTTTGTGATAATTGCGGCAGTTTCCTCTTGGAATATGGGGTGAGTGAGCTTCAGTATAGAAACCACACTAGGGGCTAACGAGATAAACAGGAGGCTGCCAAAGATCATTTCCGTTACATCTGCGTAGGGTCCTTGGATGACCCCGAAGTACTGCCTCCAAAGGGTGAATTCTTCTGCAAATCACGAGCGAAATGGAGGCCAGAGATACCAGGTGAGTTCTTTTCATTGGGTTTAGTTGTTCGAAACTCTTTCTAACAGAGATAGACATATTTCACAAAGAAGAAGTCAAGCAGTAGCTTTATGGGCTTGACCATATATTTTGTACTTCGATGCCACAGAATGACCTCGCGATTTCTAAACTTCTCAGAGAACTATTAAATGGATCAAGCTGAGCACCGATTTCCTAACCCCTCCACAAATGTTACACTCTTTCAAGGGAGGTTAAATTGGCAAACTCAATCAAGTATTCATTCCACGCAATTTCACTAGTTATAACTGGAGCCGGCAGTCAGTTTTAGGGCCCAGTGATACATAAATTCTGCGGTTCAACCAAATAGTCCACGTCGATGAGATATTCTCGAAGGCCTAGCAGGGCTTTCCAGTAAGGGGCGTCCTGTGCATCTTCTGTCTCTGGATCAATAAAGTCTGACCAGTAGGGCTGGCAAACTGGACCGACTGATATGATATCTGTCCAGCCGTCAGGATGTATCTGTTCCCCGGCGACTTTCATCAAGGCAAGAAGCATAGGCTTCCACCAGTTCTGTCGGCCATCAACTTCATTGTAGTCCCGACAATAGAGGTGCATGGAGGCTTGAATAAGTACCGCAATTTCCAGGATTTTTGCTGGATAGCTGTCTGAATAATTACTGGAGGCGACACAAGGGTCTTTCTGCCAGACCGAACAATTATCCCAATTTGAAAGTGACAGGTGGGGATCGCGATGGGATGGCCGATCGACTGTCCAATCTTCTATCCACCAGAGCATTCGGGACTTCAGGTATAGAGCAATCGGTCCATGATTATCAGTTGGATCCCTGTCAAAATGCACATTGTGGGCGTGCAATATTGAAGTACTTGCAGTTCTTATTGCGACAAGGTTTGAATCCAAATTATTTAAAATTTCAATGGCCTTGTCCATGTAATTGTCCAGAATCACGAAATTGGTGCCTGTTCCCTGTAGGAGTCTCTCCTTTGGGAGTAGCTCTTTAAAGTGACCACCGAGAGAGTAAGAGCTAAAGAGAAGATTGGGTGCTCCGGCATTATCTAGGATGCAAGCAATGTTGTTGGGGAATGGAACATATTGAGGATTGTGCTTGTTTTCGTTATCATGGGGCTCGGATCGTTGTTCTGGAAGCGGAGCCCAAGGTGTGCTTTCAAGAGGGCCCCAAACACCATTGCCTTTGTCTTGGTACCCCGCCGAGCTTCCATCTGCGGGAATATGTCTGTCAACGGCTCTTGGCCATGTCCAGGGCACGCTGTTGCTTCTTGGCTTCACAAACCCACCGGCGAGATCATCAGGGTGGCGGTAGTTGACAAGTTGGTCATAAATTGGGATATCGAATGCGCTGGCACGTCTGTACACGGGCTCATCGGTATCTTTTTCGATCTCGAATTTAACTTTAAAGTTGGAGCTACTTGCGCTCCAAACAGAAAGCATTGACTCAATCTCGACTGTTGATTGTTTGGTAAGGATATTGACAGCCTGCGGCTTCTCCACGCTGTCAGGGAACTTGTCAAATTGACCTTGAGTTGGGCTTCCGGGGGAATGTTCGCATCTATCACTAGCACTTTTACTTTCGAGTTTGACTTCCAAAGACCCGATACGCACCCAGGTCATGTCTGAAATATTCGCCATAGAGCTCGTTGGCTGTATGCGGGGTATATTGAAGCTTAATAGGTGCTGAATCAGATGAGCCTAGTAAAATGGCAATTCCGATGATAGTATAAAGGATGGGAGAACACAAAATATTCTTTGTTCTCGATATCTTCTTGGTGTTTTTATAGTTTCGAATTCGTCGGGGCGAGCATGCCCGATATATATATATACTTGGCTTCTTCTGGCACCTAGGTAGGTTAAAAAGTATTCCCCAGACCCCTGTCTGATTGATATAAAATTTCAAGTCTATCAAGGCTAAATACTGTGAAAGAAGAAACTACACGATGGGTTGTTACAGTGTTATTATTTGAAGGTAAGCTTCATATGAATTCCTTTGACCCATGGGCATCGTCAAATCTAAAAATCCGGGCAGTTCAAAGGAGCAACCTTTTGTCAAATGGGTTGTTCCAGTCAATTTTGGTCATCAAAGAACCACTATTTCCAGTCAAATCTCGAGTTGTTCTATTATATTCAATCTGCCTATTGATTGGTTCAAAGGAGGGCTTGAGGTTTTGTCCTGCCAACAGTTGGAGGCATATCGATATCGTCTCATCACATGTTGCAACTAACAAAGACTTGACTATAGTAGGTTTTCAGTCATATCCCAATGAACCATATCTCATTCTAGAATAGGGAGTTTGCGTTATTCGAGAAGTGCTTCAAAATTAAATCCACCGAAGTAGAGACAAGTCAAGCGGGCTCTACAGTAGCTTTCGAAATCAGCTATGCCACCATACTCTTACTACTTGATTACCAGAGGAGAACTCCGCACGACACTGACCTACTTGGCTTGCCTTCTTATTATTTTGGAAGTACTATTATCGTAATGAGCCATCACTTACCCCTCTTTGTCGTCCACTAATCATTTAACAGACTGCTTCACCCTGCTTCACCCCTCCTTACCCTGCTAGATCTATCATATTCCCTTTATCAATTTACTCCTATTCCTTTAATCTAAATTATATAACTCTAAGCACTCACTGAATCACTGAATATCCAATGCGGCGGGTTATCCTAGTCTATACAACAGCTCAGTATTAGAGGACAATTTACGGAGTTTCTCGAAATGCCTTCTTTACCAGCACTGGTCTCCTTTACAGTATAGAGCAGGCTTAACATACTTTGGCAGTAGCGGATCAACAGGCTATACAGCCACCTCAGCCTACTAGAATGGGCGCCGGCGAGGTGTAGTGGCTGCAAAGAAGATGGGCGTCTTATGAGTGATGACTAAGCGAGGTCGACTCTACCCTGATAGGCAGACGGGCGGCCGGAAGCATACGTCCGCATGCTTCGACAAATCACAGCCATGACATCATGCCACAGCTGATGGTGTGTTAGCTTTATATTGACCGTCGAGTCCAACATGCTTTGCAACACTCTACATGATCATGACTTTATCCGATGAGCAGACCTTACAGGTGATAGCCCCACTCCTAACAGATGAGCCGTCAGAGGCCACTCACCCGGTTCCTCGACGGACGAAGCGATCCACGGCCTGTTCAGCATGTAAGGGGCGGAAATCAAGAGTAAGCCAATCTGCCAGTGGCTGCCTGCAATCTTTCGAAACATACTGTGTTCGATGGCTAACTTGAGCGTTTCCTTTCTAGTGCACGGGCACTCAGCCCTGTGATAAATGCATTGAGACCGGCTCCAATTGCCTGTTCACCGAAGCGCTCGATCGGCGCCGAAAGTATGCTCAAAAGCGCGCGGAGCAGCACCTTGACGCGACACAACAACTGTTGGACCGGATTGTGGAAGCGTTCGGTGAAGGAGACATCGCGCAACTGAGCTGGTTACTGTCCACTGTCAAGGAACGTGGCACCGATGAGCAATTAAAGGATGGTATTACGGGGGAGGTTAGAAGGTACGGATCATCACCAAACACCGGAAACATGAAACATGCAAGTTAACTGTCGAAGCAGGAGCCAGGCACAGCAATCCTTAGGAAGCATATTGCAAGCCCCAAAAAGAAGGACCTGAGCGAAGCACTGAGAGGGAGGGAATCAGAGTACATCTTGTGCAGAGAGTGTGTGATACTGGATGATGTCGGCTAACATCTCCCAGGAAGAGCAACGTCCAAGCCGAAAGCTTTTCCCAATATCGTGCTAGGCGAACGCACTCTGTTGACTCGTCCTCATCTTCCAAGTCCGTTGGATCTCTCAACGAGGTTGACACGTTGACCGAAGACCCCAACCGCAACGAAGAGACCAGGGCAACGGGCTATATCGGGAAAGGATCCGAGATTGCGTGGATGCAAAAACTGGACAGCGAAACCATCAATCTGAACAGAGATTGGCACCAGCAAGTATCGCCATTGGGGGACACTGTCACTCCAATGAGCTACCATCTAGACAATCTCCAAATAGCCGAGCCACTCTCTATTGCGGGGGATGCAAGAGCCTTGCCTCCCAAATCATGGGCGGCTCAACTCCTGAACATCTACTTTGAATCTGTCGGACCTACCTTTCCTTTGATTGAACAACAGTTGTTTGTTTCCCAGTTCAATTCGGCCTTCATCGATACCACACAGCAGCCCCCACAGAAGTGGCTCGCGGTTCTAAATCTAGTCCTTGCCATCGCTGCAAAGTACTACCAGCTGGCTGAGCCAGACTCTGGAAGGGACGTAGATGACCACGTCTTTTTATCCCGAGCAATAGCTTTGACTACCACGCGGTGGCTCGCGATACAGCACGCAGACTTACACCAGGTTCAGATTGACCTACTCCTTGCCATTTACTATCTGGCCTCTGGCCAAATCAACCGGTATGGCATCGTCTCAATACCCGACTCAATCACTGACTTGTTAGGTCATGGCAGATAGCCGGTCGCGCTGCTCGCTCAGCAATCGCCCTTGGGCTAAATCTCCGTGAAGTGAGTGGGCAGATAGACCCTGTCTCTAAAGAGACCCGAACTCGCTTGTGGTGGTCGATATTCCACTTAGAACATCTTCTGTCTGGCATGACTGGTCGGTCCACGTGCGTGGACTATCGTGCCCTCTCTGTGTACCCCCCGGCGCCCTACGACGAGAGAGAGTTTCAGACGCCAGAAGTAGCGGAACTGCTTGGGAATACTGCACTGCGCGAGGAGCGCCTCCAATGGACAATCTATGCTAGCGACTCGACCCTCCAGTCCAGGAACCAGTGGTTCAGCACCCTCAGCCCGAGCCAATCGCTGTACTTCTTCCATCTTGTAGATCTGTCTATCATCACGCATGCCGCCGTCACATCGATATACAGTCTCACGGCCGGGAAGGACAGCGGCCAAAGCGGCATTTCGCACTACCAGGAGAAATTACAAACCTGGCTATCAAATCTCCAACCCCCGTTTGCATTCACTGATCGGGACAATCAGTTGGACATATCAAGGCAGTCTCGCGAACAGGTCAGTCTCGCATTATCCTACTACAGTGCGCAGATCATCCTCAGCCGACCTTGCCTCACATGCCCCGATTTCATGGAAGGACGCAACATCAGAGTCCCCCGGTCCCGATTCGGCAACGCCACCGCAAAGACCTGTGTAGATACAGCCCTGGCCCTGATCTCCGTCTTTCCTGACGCTCCAGACATGGAGTGGCTGCTGAAAATGACCCCTTGGTGCTCCGTGCTGCATTTCATGATGCAAGCCCTGATAATCCTCCTCATCCAACTCTCTGTCGGTCCAGTGGAAGTCATGACCACACACAGCGCGCAGTCCGGCCAAAGAAGAACTAGGGCAACGGAAAATCCCGAGGCAATCCTTGGAGCGTGTAAAAAGATTCTTCGCTGGTTACACTGTATGGCGGAGCAAGATGCCAGCGCCAGACGCGCGTTCAAGATCTGCAATAATTTCATTCGCCGGATTGCGCCGGCGAAGGAATTCAATCTGCATGGGATTCCGTTAATCGCTTCGCTACCTGAACATACCTCCGGGTTTCGGTCAAGCCAATCTAAACTTCGGGAGAGCAAAGATGATACTGGTAGCGGCAGTGTGCCTCGGGGCTCACAGAAGAACAAGGTAAATTGGGGGCCAGATCGGACGGTCAATGAGGTGAGTTTGGATGATCACCGGCAAGACTCTTTTTCGCTGGATCCGGCTTTGTTTTCGTGGGTGGATATGATTGAGGATGAAGATTGCCCATTTCGATGAAACTACCACCTGAGCCAACTTTTCTCATGTCATACTGGACCACCTCCCGGCCCCCGACAGTGCCTTCCGAGCAGCTAATCACAACATCACCAAATCCCATATCATGAGCATTCGACGGAATCCCGCCTCCAACACCGACCATCAATCCGACGCGGAGTGACTTTGAGAAGGTGTGGAGCATTTGATTTCTGACCGTGGTGGCCGAGATCTTGTCATTTTGTCCTGCAGGGAGGCAAGCGATCTCACAGAGTGTTGTCCGATTGGGTATGTTTCTCATGAAAAAACAGGTCATATCAAAAGATTTGGTTCACTCACGGTAGAACCTTGGAGAGCGCTAGAAGGAACTAGGAGAAATTTGATGGGTTTTGAACTACATCTGGATGAGAGAAATGCTGTGGCATTGTAGCCAGAACAAAACGCCCTCTCAGCCCCAAACGTTCAGCTTCGCGCTAGACACGAAGCGCAGCAGTGGGCGGCAAGAGACAACATACTAATGGTGGCAGCAGGTTGCGAATATTTTTCATCGTACGCTCACTGGGTACAGGTTCGCCATATTGGACTAGCGCATATCAGCTCTTTGCTCGGGAATGAAAGAGAAGATAGCTAATTTCGAAAACTACAGTACAGTAGAATTCAAAAACAGATTACCGCCCAGACACTCTTTGTTTCCCGGCTCATACTCGAAATTACGCTAATCTAGATCTGGAGTAATGTTGTGTTCACAAGAGACGCATCTGAATTCTTTTGACCCACAAGCCCCAGAACAGTTCGTCACAAAAATGCCTCACAGATTTTCCAAACGGCACCTTGGCGAACGAACCTTGGCTGGCATTTCTTCCCAACCAAGGTCATAAGTTGCGAGGGAAGAGAACTCAATAGTGGGGTTTGAAACGAGCCAGATCGCTATGTCTCCCCCACTCAGTTATCGGGGACCCCATGTAGACATTCTATATCGGCTAAAGCCGACAGCCTCGTCTGGGGATCAGATTTTATATAAACCTCCGGCTCGCTGCAAATCACACGAATGCTCAAGTAAATTACATGCTGCTAGTATGGCCTCAAAGGCTCAAAACATCTACGATGACTCTGCCTTTTTTTCTGCCTACGGAACACTTCCTCGTTCGCAACACGGTTTAACAGCCGCGCCAGAATGGCCTGAGCTTCGACAGATGGTAATCGACAAATTGCCTTTGAGCGATTCGGCTCCGAGCCTAGAAGGACACCGTATTCTTGATCTAGGTTGCGGATATGGTTGGTTCGCGCGATGGGCCCGGGACAGCGGCGCTGCCTACGTCAAGGCAGTGGACATTTCCCACAAAATGATTTGTCAAGCAAAACAATTTGAAACCGATATCAATGACAGTCGCTCCCATCTCGGCTCGAGCTCTGTTGAGAATCTCACCTTTGAAATACGAGACATTGAGTCAATTACCTTGAGCGACCACCGAGAAAGGGGATCTTATAACCTTGTTTATAGTTCTCTGACATTCCATTATGTTGAGGATTTGGCAAGGCTCTATCGAGAGATTCATTCTGCTCTTGAACAAGGCGGAAGACTCGTGTTTTCGGTCGAGCATCCTATATATTCGGCGCCCATTCGCCCAGGACCAAGTTGGAAAACTCTGCAAGAAGGTGATCAGGACCGGAAGATATGGCCATTGAATTGTTACAGTGACGAAGGGTGGCGGGTGACTAGCTGGCTCGGGGTTGACGGTATCAGGAAATACCACCGAACTGTCGAAACATACGTGAATCTTCTCTTGGAGAGCGGCTTCACCTTGACTGGTTTTAAAGATTGGGCTCCCTCGACAGAGGACGTGGCTAAGCATCCCGAGTGGACGGATGAGAGACACCGCCCTTATTTCTTGCTTATTTCGGCTACAAAATACTGAAAATTGGTACATAATGTCTACGATATTCCAGATCAAGAAGCAGACCTCTCTTCAATACACAATGAAATCAAAGCTTTGAGAATAGCCAGGAATAGGTGCAATTCAGTATTCTATGAGCTCCAAGGGAACCGAAAAGTCTTGCCATCACCACGTAGACCGAGTCTTGGTCCACATGCGTACAAAATCCTGCTTTTCCTTGACTCCAAGTCCCACGCGCTTGACACGGCCCATGCGAGCAAGTGACTCGCCTACATGGTCCAGCATCGCCTTCTCCATCACTGCCTCGCCGTCCGCAGCCAACTCGTCCAGCGTATCGAGGTAGTTGGTGTTGTAGGTTGACTTGCGAGTCGAGCGCGCGGGCGGGGTATCCAGCGGGTTGCGGGCAATAGTCACTGCCTCGGCGATGCGCACGCGAATGCAGTGTGTGGGCTTGCTGAGCAGTGTCCACAGGAAGCTGATGTAGCTTCCTGGGAGAGGAGTCACGACATCCACCGGCGAGTACCGTACGCTCACGGGGAAAATCTTCGTTTTATTGGGAGCACCGATTAACGACTCGCTCAAGGGCAAGATTGCGCGGCCGTTAGTAGTGGTGCACTCAGGGAAGATCACTATCGGTCGAGTAGGGTACTTTGCGATCAGGCTGGCGACGTCCACTAGTTTAGTACCAGGCTCGGGACGGCTCAAGGGCGATGCGAAAGCTCGCAGGACAGCCTGGAGAAGAGATATCCGCTCAACCTGTCGGGTGTTTGGATAAGATGCGGTAAAGATCGGATCGAAAATCGCCGCCAGGTAGACGGCGTCGATGGGGGAGGTGAAAGAGGAGGCGATAAGAGAGCCGGGCTGCGGGAGACGAGCTTGCTGATGCTTAGAAAGAGAGCTATCATGAAAAGTTTAGCTGCTGCGAGAACCCATGAGTGATAGTTCGAGATACGGACCCTTTCCGAACACCATCCACCTGCAGGTCAATCCACCAGATACTTGGAACGCCCAGAATGCACCACAACGCGGCTTTCTTGCCCAGTGATCCAATAGGCAGCCATTGCAGAATGAGGAAATAGGCCAAGGTCACAAAAAGGAATAGGGGTAAGCGGAAGCAAAAGAGGAAGACCCGGAGGGGTGCTTGCAGCCCCAGTGGTTCTGAGGGAATGGGGAGGAAGGGCGCAATGCCCGAGCCTAGGGATTGTCAGCTATAAGTTTAGCAAGGAAGCTGTAGCTACCCACCTCGATCTCGAAACTGAGAAAATTTCTCCATTGTCAGCGATAACTGATGACGCGCTGAGGATTCACACAACTTCACCATGTGAAGATGACGGGGCGGTGGACAGGGCGGTGAACGTCGCACCGGCAGATCCAGCTGTGAAGGTGCCGCTAGGTGGGGTTCACCTATATTTTGGCGAAATACCTTCCAATGTTATCTTTGAAGAATATGGATTAGGAAAAAGTCAACTTCATGCAAGCTTTATTACCCTAGGGCGGAAAACCCGATTTTTAGACCCTATTTCTCACGTAGCCGTGGCTTTTGGGGCATTTTACAATGGATCCTTTGCCGGACCCATTTCACAGGAACTCCTTCGAAAGATATTTCACTGAGCGAAATGATAAGTTATGCTTCGAATGAATGTATTTGAATAGTGAAGAAAAACAACCTCAACTCCCCAGAAATGGCCCGTGATCTATAATATACAGGATCTATATGCTAAAGGGCAATCATGGATCTTCTTCAAAACCCCCTACCACAAATTCCGGGACGCGGGGTGTAGATGTTGGCGGTAATTTGAACCACCAAATGGCGGCACCGACCATGCAAAACAGCGTACTAGTCATCATCCAAGCCAGACCGATCCAAAAGCCACCCAGTCGGAGACCGAGTTGGAAGACACCCGTGATAGAGAGACTGGCGACAATGTTGCCCACGGACTGGAGGATTTCAATCACCGTATACAGACGAGCGGTCTCGTCGCGCTCGACTAGGGTCGTTACAATAGATCGGGCGAGGAACATGAAGCCCGATCCTGACGTTTGGATGATCATAGCGGGGACTAACGTGGCAATGGAAGGCGAGAGTCCAATGCCCAGCGTTCCAACTGTGAGAAAGAGAATACTTGCACGAGCCAGCCAAAGGTCCTTCTCCGTGGCTGTCTTTCGAGGGCTCAGCACACGGCGCTTGAGCCAAGGCAAAACCCATAGGAACACTGGGATGGAGATGGTTGGCCGGGAGGAGACGAGCATATTGGCCTGGGCTAATGTCCAATGATAGCGTGTCGAGATATATTGTGACAGGAACCACGAAGAGCCACGACTGAGCCGATATACCAAGAATGAAGTCAGGAGGAGAATGACAGGCTTACGGTTCAAGATGAAGAGATATGGCTTCATATAGTACTGGTATTTAGCTCGGCACTTCGCCCAAAAAGTGTGACGCTGCTGGGACGGATAACTCCAGGTCAAGTGATCGTGGTGCCCGGAAGCCACGTCGACGGAGCTTTCATCGTGATACTGCCCCTGGTTTGAAAACTGAGGCTTGGGTTCAGCGTCGGACAGCTCGGACATCTCCACAGGGGATGGCTCGGGCTCGAGATTCCGGGATGGAATGGCATGCATCGTCTCAGGCAGAAGAAGAATGAACATTAGACCAATGTGTACGATACCGAAACCGATAAGGAATGGTACCCATGGATTCATGGCCATCAAATACGAGCTAAAGGCCCCGGAAATGAACTCGGATGCCATAGAGACAATGCCAAACTGGAAGAACAGTTCGGCTCTCTCCAGCTCGGTAGTAACGTCAGCCATCATGGTCCAAATGATCGCGAATGCCACGACCGGGCCACCCCCAATCAACCACGCTAGGGAGGATACCCAGACCGCCCGCAGCGGAAAGATATTCGAAAACCGCAAAACAACAATAGTTATTATGGAGTTAATAGCGAAGCCAGGAATTCCCCAGGCGAGGGTCGATTTGCGCCCCTTCCGATCTGCCAGCAGACCGTACGGAATAGCCATAAGCGCGCCTGCCCACGTAGTTAGAACCGTATCATCCTCAGCCGCATTTGAACATACTCAATAACCCATCAAAGAACATATGATATCCCTTGACTGCCGCCAGCTCCGCTTGGACCTCACTAATCTTGCACAAGGATTCCGGAACCTGTCCATTTGCCCCGATCTGCGAGGGATCCGCCTCGGTATAGTATTGCCGACAAGCGATAGATTCGAGGATGCGAACCATGGGTCCATCGAGAAAAGAGAATCCTATTTCGACAGCCAGCACCATCGCGAACAGGATCACCTTCAACCGGAAGGTAATCGTGCTGGGTGCCGCATTACGCTCTGGATGAGCCGGTTTGCTCTCGGCATGGGAGGCGGACTCAGGGGTGTCAAGAAACGGAGCGTCTTCGCGGTGGTCGCGGTCCAATTCAAGAGAAACCATGGCCGGGCATGCCGTGTATGCCGCGTATGGTGACAGTGTATATAGGAAAAGGAGTTAGGAGAAGGACGGGGGATGGATTGACAAGGTGGCCGAAGTGCCGGCCAATCTGCTTCTGCGGATCCAACACGCGTGCGTCAACTGGACCCAAGTGGGGCCGGTTGGCGATCATCAAACCTTGGATTTTAAGTTACGTCTTCTACTCTTCTACTCTTCTACTCTTCTACTCCGGTCATTCACTCCAACTGGACAATGTACATGTCTATCTCGTAAACTTTGGAATTGAAAATACATGGGATGTCTCTCTCTCTCTCTATATATACCCGGCCTCCTCAAACAGACTCCCCCGGGCTTGCACCACTGCCGATAACTCCAGGAGAAACTCGTATAGGATCACCACATTCGTCAGCACGTGGCCTAGCGTGACCGGGGCATTTTCGGGATCGGCACGTTCCCCGTCTGATGCCTCGGGGGCCGGGAATGGAGTCGCTAGTCGTTGGCGCAGGGACTCTGCAGTCGCTGCTCGCGAGGCTGATGATCCCCGTGACTGAGCCGGTCGCGAGGACTCGCCTCTCAGGGAAGCCACGGCAGGGGAACTGATAGGGTTCGGAGATCGGCCGCGGGATGCAGGGGCAGAGGCATCGGGGGATCCGGGGAATGAGGGGCGGGAGCGGTCCGGGACCGGTTCGGACGGCTCTTGCGAACGGGAGGGCGTTTCTGGCCGATCCCCCAGATGAAGCAAATCGCGTCGGGCAGCAACCAGGACATTGAAATCGGGCAGATCCTGCTGCCATTGGCGAACCTGGTCTACGAGTCGTTCAAGGGCTGCGGTCAGGGTCGGTTTGGCGGTTGCGGGCCATGATGGGATCTGATATGCGCGGTGAATGGGGTCGAGCTCGTTTGATTCTTCAGCCATCTCATAGCTGGCAGGGTCGACTAATACCCAGCCGTCCAAGGAGAACAGATGCGATGAGGCCAGACTCATCAGGACTCCGGTCAATGCGAGGTTGACGATCACGCTGTTGGTGAAGAATGACTCGACGCATTTGAGAAGTCCCTGGACAATCGGATCGTCCTGCTGGAGCTGCAGCGGCAAGGGAATCGCATCTTCGGCCTCGTCTGCAGCAGACACAGGAATACACAGGCGGGATTCGAGTGTCCAGGTGGCATCCGCAACATAGTCTTGAAAGGACTCGTTCAAACTTGGGTCGTCGAAAATGGATGTGCCGAGAGTCAGAAGCTGTTCGAGCTCCGCATTGAATGCACCGACGGACCTCTGCTGTGTGGGTTGGCTAGGTACAGTGTGGATCAACGCCCGAGAGAACGGGTGATGTCGCTGCAGGACAACGTTCAGCAGTCGGAGAGTGGCCAGAACCGTCTGGCGGTTAGAGGATTGAAGACCCAATAGCACGAGGTCTCGTAGATTAAAGAGTGAAGGAGACGGTTGAGCGGCTTCGGAAGCTAATGCGGCTAGAACATTGAGGGACTTCCGCCGACTTGCCGACATATCCATCTGTTCCTCGGGTGGCGGAGAGGAAGCGAGTAGGAAATGTAGAATCCGGTGGACTAATTCGCCCTGATCGATCGAATCCAAGATCCGGCACATGTAGGTCAGCACGGCCGCTGTCGAACCACCTGCGACATCAGACGATTCCAATAAGGATGGATATCTGACTGTATTAGCGCAAGATGAAACAATGATGGATCTCTTATCTTACAAGAGTTGTTCGAGGAATAGCACCTGGAAATGGTCCAGGAGGGTATCGTTGACCTCGGCGGATTTGCAGTGGTCGATGGTGTCCTGCCAAAATAGCAGATAAGACATGAACGCATCCATGGTTTCGCCGAGTGCGGGCTGCAAAGCCGTAGCCTCTTTCGCATGGTCAGATAGCGCAATGATGCGTGGGACGTTAACGTCGGTGGACGCATATTCCAAGCTAAATTTGGTCAATTACCTCCTCTCTCTCGTCGGGCAGCGATCTTCTTACCTCCCCAATTGACTATACAGTGCACCTAGTCCGGTCGCCATCAGTGTGGCCAGATCACTCTCGATCAACCACTTTTCCAGGTTCTTGGAGCGCGACGCCGTCTCGATGAGATATAACAGGCCTGTACGCGCGAAGTCACCCGCGCGACCATCATTATGAACGTAGTCGACCAGCAGGTAGAACAACGGGAACTCATCCTTGCGAGTGGCACCAGCAAATTCCGTCGGAGCCGTCGACTCCCCGTCCAGACCGATAGGAGTCGCCCGTGGCACAAACCATGCAGGTAAGATAGCGGGTTGCAGGCGGATATTGTTGGCAATGCCAAACAGCAGCTCGACTAGTCTTCCCTCTATTTCTTCCGATGTCTTATCAGCGCGTCGGACCAGGTCCACTAACGCGCGAGCGAATAACCGGTTATCCACGACCCCGTCCACCTCGGCGTCGATGAGGGTGTTGAAGAAGACAGTGGCGGACCGTAACACCCCATCGTCGTAGTATGATAATGCAAGCTTTGTAACCGTTACAAACATCTGAGAAGAAGCAGCGTAGGCCACACAGGGGTGTGGTGCTGGTCCGCGGGACTCGTCGTTGAGGATGGAGTTGAGGCGCTCAATGTAGGAACGCGCGTGCCCGGTTGACTGCTCGGCGGAGGGGGTATTGGTAGAGCGCCATATTTGCTGGTTTCCAATTGAGTCAGTCAGGGCAGATACGATGACGTTATTCAATCTACCTGGAGAGCGTTGCAGGCGCGTTTAAACACCGTGAGTCGTTCCGTGGGCGATGTGGCCCGCGAGGTCTTGGATAGCGCGCGCGAGCCGCCGATGAGACGAGACCACTGATTCAAAGATTAGCGAGGGAAGCGTGTGAAGATTTCAGGCACATACAAAGTCCATCTCCAGACAGCATAGTCTCAAAGGGAAAGAAAGGGAGGTACGAGTAGTGGAGCCAATCTCGCCCGCTCGGAGCTGTGACCTTGGGGTACTTGGATCTACGACTAAAAGGTCTCGAAGACTAACAGACCCAACAGACCTTTAATCACCACTTGAACCCCTCCATTTTCCGGTCTAATTGTTTCTCTCGAATTGACCGGGGTTCATCGACCCGTATAATTATTCACAGGAAAATGCGCCTAAATCAAACCATTCCGCCAACGCCGTAAAGCAAATCGATCTCATGCGCCAGTTACCAACCCTGTCTACCTCGTCAGTCGTATGTTTTTTATTCCCTGGCTCTAGTCGCTCTCCTCCTTGGGTCGCCGGCCTCCACGCTTCCGACGCCCTTCGTTTTGATCGCTGCCGTCGTCTTCGTGTTTCCGACCGGCGGGTTGATCGGGCACCTTTGCGATAATGTCGGCCAAAAAGTCCAGCACTTCGTCCTTGGCCACCGCGTGTTTCAAGTGAGACGCCGTGACGCGCTTCGAGTTACGTTCCTTGGCTTCATGGGCGGCTTTGGTAACGAGCGAGATCATGAAGAGTTCCAGTGCTTTGGCTGCGGGAAGGTTAGCGACTCTGGAAGACATTTGTAGATAGCGCGTAACTTACAAACTGCGATCGGTGTGACTTGGGCGACCTTGCCGACATCTTCATCGGCCTGCATAATGCGCTTAATGCGCGCGACGGGAAACTTGGTCTTGACTTCGATCCCCGCGCCGGGACGCGCCTGGGGAATCTCATCGGGCATAGCGGGCATGGCTGGCATGGCTGGCATTGTATCCGGCATTGTATCCGGCATTGTGTCCGGCATTATGTCAGGCATTGCACCTAGAGCGAGGATGGGCGCATCATCTTGCAAGCGAGAGGAACGGCGAGCCATATCGTCTGGCGGCACGTACTGTTCGACGCGACCTGGTTGGACGGGATGAAAGAAAGGTGAAGCGTCGTAGGAGGCACGATGAGCAAGAGGGCTCAAAGGCGCGTAGGGGGGAGGGTTGGAGGGAGGAAGAGAAGAAAGGTCTGGGGATCGTGGACGATACTCGCTCATGCTGCAAGTTCACTAGTTTGTGCCAAGCGAGAGAAAATGGAGCTTCGGAGACGGACTCGATGGGGCGGGCGACTTTGCCCTTTTTAAATTCGAATTCCGTCCCTTTACTTTGTCTTTGCCTTTGCTCTCTCTCCTCCATCCCATGGATGGAGAGGCTTCTGTTTCTTCTTCTTTGTATTTAGTCGTGAATGCCTTCTTTTTTCTTTTTCTTTTTTCCCCTCCTTTTTGGTTCCCCTCGTACCTCTGTCCCCAGGCTGTAATGACCGTCGATGATGATGACACACGTCCGGAGGCTACCAGATGAAACCACGCGTTGGTATCGCTGCGCTGGCTGGTGATGGACCTAAAATAACTTGATCTAATCTGAGGCGCTGTCGATTTTCTGTCAGGGGTTTTCACTACCTAGATACTCACTTCTCAAATCCACTTCCCTTAGTTCCCTTAGAGCTCCCTGGTCCTTTTCTTCAGGGCCTGTAGATCGGCGGAACCATTTCTCCGGCCAAATTCAATATCAACGCTTGCATCTTCTCTTCCACCCCGCCATCCTCCCTTCTGCTTTTGCTTTTACTTGTGCTTTTGCTTCTGCTTCGCTGAGCAGCCAAATTACCTGTTCCAGCCATGGCTGCGGCGGATCCGCCGGCGGGTCTCATGGACATCGTCAGGTATGTTCCATGCTGGTGCTTTGCGACCCGGACTAATCAATATCGACTGCTAGCACTCTATCCCCGGATGAAATTCCCTTCAAGCTACGATGTGCCATCTGCAGCAAGCTGGCCGTGAACGCCTTTCGCCTCCCTTGCTGCGACCAGTCAATCTGCGAGACTTGTATGACGCCACTTTTCCACACCACTGACAACACACGACTGACTGGATGCCCATTAGGCCAACCATCCCTCACTGATACCTGTCCCGTCTGTGCGCATACTCCTGTGTCTCCTGATCTTTGTAAACCCAACAAAGCTCTGCGCACGACCCTCAAGGCTTTCCTTCGGACGGAGGAGAAAAAGCGCGAGAAGGAACGCCAATCCGCAACACCTCTCACTCCCACGATTCCCACTCCTGCAGAGAGTGAGCAGATTCCCGCCAAAACTCCCGTCGAAAAAACGCCCGCTGAGGCCACCCCGGCTGAGAATGCCGAGGCTCCACCAATCGAGACCAAGACGGACGAGTCTGCACCGGAAGTCCCAGCCACGGTCACATTGGTAGAGAATCAATCAAACGGGAATACTGTTGAATCGGGGGAACCTATGACAGAACTCATGGCAGAGGTACTTCAAGATCAGGTTGCTTGTTCTCGAGTTTGTCACTAACGTATGGTCCAGCCCGAACCCAACTGTGGTGTCCCGGAGGCTGCCAGCACCGAAGCCGGCGCAAAGTTGGTCAATGGAGACGCTGCTGTCGAGGATGAAATTCCTCCGTCTGCCCAGGACCCGGCTCAGCAAACCGGAACGAACATGATGAACATGGGGCCCGGGGGCTTCCCCATGGGCTGGAATGGAAACCCAATGAACTCATTCATGGGGAATGGCATGTTCAATTTTCCGAATCCGATGGGTACGTTCATTGAAAACTCCTCCAAACGATCATGGACTAACTCATTTCAGGCATGCCCATGACGATGGACCCAATGGCCGCAAATCAGGGGATGTTCGGAGACTACGGAATGAACATGACTGGTATGGGCATGAACATGGGGATGAATTTCAACGGGCAGGGCATGTATGGATCCTTAGGATGGGACGGCTCCCAGCAGAACATGTGGCAAGGCGGCCAAGATAAATTCAATCCAAATGCTTTCGCAAATGGCACGGGCCCTCCGTATGGAGGTGCATTTGGCGGGTCTAATATGTCTTACCATTCTAACCCCGACTTCCAGTCTGGTTCTGGCTATGGATCTGGTTATGGCCGTGGTGGTTACCGCGGTCGTGGACGCGGCTACTTTGGGCCTGGCAGAGGTGGTTTCGCAGGTCCAGCTAACCAGCCGTTTTCTAATCAAGCCATTTCTAATGAAGGAACCGATGGAATGCCCGCTGGTACTGACGCCTCTGAGCAAGTGAACGAAAGTGGTGCAGAACACGTATCGGAGAACACTCCAGATGGCAACACAGATACGAATGCAGATCAAATTTCAGGTGATACCAACGGACAGCAACTTCAGGGGATTCCAACTATTGACAGTCTTGATCAATCGATGTCTGCCGGTATGAATGGCTTCCAGGGTCCTATGGGCCCAGGGTATGGACGCGGCGGATACATGCGAGGCTCTGGGCGTGGGTACTGGGGTGGGCCGGCTGGTTCGTACCAGCCCCAGATGCAACAGCCCCAGATGCAACAGCCTCGCGGCCTCGGCGTCGAAGGTGCACCGGCTGCACCCCGCGCGATGCGTCAGGGTCTGCCCAATACCAGCGTCTTCCGGCAGCGCGGAGGTTTCCATCAAGCACGAGGCTCAAGAGGGAGTAGTACCCCAGGACATCAAAGGTAGGATGCCGTTCATCATGGTGAGAGATATATGCTAATGATGTACAGTGGTGTATCTGAAACCCCTAAGGACTCAACAGAACCTCGATCTCCTTCAAAAGCGCAATCTCAACCTCCGCGAACAGGATCCCGATCTCGCTCCCCTTCACAGAGTCGGGCATCTCGTCCTCGTTCACCTGTAGCCAACGGCATCGACGGGGACAGGGAAAACAGCCGAAAGCAAGACGTGAGGCGCGCCGATCACGACCGTGTAAGTCGTCTTGATGACCGCCGCTCTCGCTCCCAATCCCGTGTTTCTTCACGTCGACCCTCGCGGTCCCGACACCGCGAAGGTGATCGAGACCGACGGGATAACCACCGTTCACACAGATCCCGTCGCCACGGCCATAGCCGCAGCCGCAGCCCCAGCAGGAATGGCCCCAGCAGGAATGGCGAAGGCAACTCAGACCGAGTAACTGTGATCAAAGACGAGAACGAAGCCAATGGCCGCAAGACACCTTCTGAAGCCGGTGACCTCACTGGCCGTATCAGCAGTCGTCGATCTGGCAAGGACCGACCAATCCGCCGCGAGGACGATCGTGATAGGCCTCGGGACGCGAGACGCCGAGACCGGGACCGCGAACGAGATCGTGATCGTGATCGTCGTGACAGAGATCGCTCGCATGACCGTGATCATGGTCGAGACAGAGACCGACGCGGACGAGGTAAAGACCGAGAACGAGACCGCAAACGATCCCGTCGTGACCGATCCATGTCTCCAACCGACCAAGCCCGTCCCCAATCCCGCCGCGTAAAGCGCTCACCGGACGAATACCCAGACCTCCCAAAGCCCAAAGCCCCGGAAGCAGAAAAGGACCCCTATACATTGGAACGCGAAGCCCGTAATCGCGAGCGCATGCTGCGCGAGCAACAGAACCGAGGAACCAAACCAAGCAAATCGAGTCGTCGCGATACTCGACCGGAGCGCATGGTAGGTGGCCGTCCTGTCAACTTCAAGTACGAGGATGAGCTTTAGATTTGAAGGCTTTCCAAAAAAAAAAAAAAAAAATTCATGGCACAGGCGGCGTCAAGCATTTCAAGGTTCTTGCTGGAGGTCTCCCACTTTTTAACTTCTTGCATGTTATTATTTAATGAGGGAAGGATGGTGGTTTGTTAAGTAGATACCAAGATACTAGTAGGAGCTGATAGACCGGACGTCAAATGGATTGACCTAGGACTTGCGATACCAATCAAAACATGGTCAATTGTTTCTTGAGTACACCATTGGTGGACTACTCATTGTTTGAGCTTTCGGGAACTTCCAAAATTGTAAAGGAATTACGTATGGATGAAATGTAAAGATGTACGCTTGTTGAATGGCGCGATAAATATATTTCACACAACGAGCGGGCCCTTTCCAGGCCCATTTATTTAGGAGCCCACACTAGAAAAACTCGAAGTACTGAGGATAATTACTTTTGAAGTTCAATGTATTCACAAATGCGCTAAAAAACAAGACCGCGTATCAACATGCAGTTGTGCATCATGTACGTCGACAATCAAGGACGAAATCCAAGCCCACGACGCTGAACAACAAAACCTCGCCACAGTACTCGCTGCAAACCTTACACTCCAGTCCAGGGTTATCGGACAAAACTTAGTTCAATTTGCTCTTCAACGACTCGATCTCGGAGGTCAAGCTCTGCATCTGCTTGGACTGCGACGCAATCGTCTTGGTCTGCTCGGCGATCAGGTTCTTGATTTCCTCGATCTCGCGGTGGACGGCGCTAGTAGACAGGCTAGACTCGCTGGCGGTAGGGGACGAAGTGATGGGAGTCTGAAACTGTTAGAATGGTCGAGATCACAGGTGTCATGACGGAGGAACTGGAACTTACAATTGAACGGGGTTCAGGTTTAGGTTCAGGCTTAGGTTGAGGCTTAGGTTCGGCCTTGGGTTCAGGCTTAGGTTCAGACTTAGGTTCGGCCTTGGGCTCGGGCTTGTCCTCGGTCTCCTTTGGCCGCAGAGGGCTGCTGACTCTGGGAGAAGCAGACTCGGTGACAGTCGAGCGAGCACGCTCAACAGGCTTGGGAACTTCCTCGAAGCTGGAATCATCGTCTGAAGACTCGGCCCCCTCTTCATCGTCGGCAAACTTGTTCACCATGGCGGCCATGGCACCACCCTGCTCCTTCATGGATGGGGCAGGACGAGCAACCGGGGTGGGCTCGGGAACAGGCTCAGGGGCGGGCTTCGCAACAGCAAGCTCGGGCTTCTTGGCCACAGGCTCAGCAACAGGCTCGGGCTTATTGGCCACAGGCTCAGCAGCAGGGTTGGGCTCGGAAGCATCAATAGTGGTGGTAGGCTTTTCCTGGACACCCTCAATCTCCTTAAGGCCTTGGCCGTCGAACAAGCTGGCCATGGAGATCTTAGGCGGGATGGCCTCCTTACCGTCCAACCACTCGGACGAGCTCATGGCAGGGGTCAGTCCGAGAGTGGGCGGGTAGATGTCGTCCTGGAAGTTGTCGGAGCGACGGGGCACAATGAATGAAACAGGTTCAATGTAGCCGTCGTTAATAGTCTTGTATGCACGAGCAATTTCGTTTTCGTGCATATTCACACCGCGCTTGGGCATGAATGCGATACCACGCTGCGGGTCGGCAGACTTGTACTCGGACAGGAATTCGAACTTATCGTTCACGACCTCAAAGTATCGGATGTTTCCATCACTATGAAGAGTTAGAAATGTCGGTCAGTTCCACGCTGGGAGAATACTCACCCTCGTCCAGCCAGGTACAAGCAGCTGTTACCCTCGTCCCAGAAGGGCATGCAGACACCCGAACCGGAGTCCAGGGTCTTGAAGCCACTCATGGGCTCACGGGCAGCCCGGATATCCCATAGGGCCAGCTGACGGTCACTCATCTTAGAGAAACCAGTAGTCGCGATCCGGTCGCGTTCACCAAGCCAGATAGCACGGCTGTTCTTGGCTCCCGAGTGTCCATTCGATTCGTGGGCGGGGCGCTCCTGACGAACGTCCCAAATGCGAAGCTTCTTGTCACGCGAGGTGGTGACCAGCAAGGAGCCGTTGCCACTCCACGACTGGGATTGCACAATGTCGCCGACGTTGAGAGTCAGCTTAGGCGCACCAGCCTCAATATCCCAGATCTTCACAGTATAGTCGCCCGAGGCCGTTGCCAGCACGTTTTCGGCCGCGGGGTTGAAGAGCACGTGGCCAACTTTCCTGCAGGGAGCTATTAGTTCTGCACGTCGCGTGGGGAGGGACATTCTCACTTAGGGTGACCACTCAGCTTGCCAACAGGGGCAATGTCCTGAATATCATCGGCTTCAACATCGGGGCGCACAGTAAAGTTCTCCGGAACCCGCCAGAGGAAGACCTAAGCCTGGTCAGCAGCATTCATTCATTGTCTCAGATATCCAGTGTCTACCTTGCCGTCGTCGGAACCCGAGGCAATCAGATCATCATTGAAAGGATTCCTATGATGTGTGAGCCGTCATGCGCAACTCCAACCCCGGTAGATCTCCTTACCAGTCGGTGTCGAGTACGACTGCGGTGTGACCTCGAAACAGAGGGATGCGCTCCGGAAGCTTGCCACGCTCCTCAAGGGGAATGACAGCGAAAGCACCGCCGCCACCAGCTTCCCAATTGACTGCAAGGTGTTTCGGATTAACCTAAATCGTGAATTGTCAGACCAAGCGCCGTTGCGATGAGGTCAGGGGCGGTGGCGCAACGGACGGACCTTGATCAGGTTGGTATCCCAGGCGTTTCTGGAGACGCGAAGGTTATCATAGCATTGTTCCTAAGGACTGTGTTAAAGGAGAAGGCGTAGCAAAGGCTTCCAGCAGTGAATGATACCTTTCTCGTCGAACGCCCGAAGACGTGGCCTTCCAGGATGTCAGCGGAGAGTTTGTAGAGGAAGGGAGGAATCACTTACGGTACTTGGAGGAACGCACAAATCGCCCGGACATGTTTCCAAGCTGCAGGGAAATGAAGTTGAAACAGGAGAGCTTAGGAGGAGAGGATGAGAGATGAGATCCAGCTGCCCTCTCAAGCAATTAGGGAATGCGGGAACTGGTGTTTCGAGTGGGCCTGGTGGAGTCTGCGATTCGACGGTGACGGTTTGGAATGGGGAATCCCGGTCAATTAGACTGATACTTCCACGAGAAAAGACAATTGGGTTGAAGGATGATCGGGAGTATACACAATCAAAATAATCAACACAACAGGTAACACCGCAGCACCGCAACACAGCAACGGGGATCAACACGAACCCCGCGCAACTGCATGGAAGAGGTCACGTGCCAGGTAAAAAGCTCACAAATACGGTAATACCAATACCAATTACAGTACCATTAGTCCCAGGGTGCTGAGTCAGCGTTTGTTTATTGCTCGTCTCTGGAGAAACCGGTGCTCCTCATACTCAGATGCTCTCAGCTCACAGATGCCCATCGCATCCATCCTTTAATTGACTTGAATCGTGGCTGGACGAGAGTTCGGCCTCCTCGCCCGAGTACTCTATTCCGTGACCTGGCGACCCACGACTCCCAACATGGACGAGAATGTAAACAATCCTGACATCTTCCCCGCTGGCGCATCCCGTTACTGATAGCGCAGACTCAATCCCGTGCCTCGACTCGATCGCGCATCCCCCATCCCGGCCTGCGCGAGATGAACCCAGCGACCACCAACTCTCGGTCCGGCATCCTCCCACCGGGCTCAATCGCCAATAAAGGCAGTCTGTCTCGTACGGGACCATCACTCGAAGTTGTGACGAAAGGTATACTGACCATGCTCGCAGCTACTCGTCCCAAACCTACAAATGCCCCCGAACCCAAGAAATCAGCATCCGTCTGCCGCCAGCCCGCCGGCGCAACTAATGCGCGCACTCGTGGCAACTCATTCGCTTCGTCCACGACCCGAGTCGGCTCGACAACTTCTCGCGCGACCAATGGCGGCTTTTCCAACACCATGGGCTACGGCAGTCGCCCAGCGTCCGCCATGTCTCGCCCCAACTCGTCCCTCAGCGGTCGCAAGACCCCTGGCGCATCCATCCAGCGCCCCGCTACCTCACTAGATACCCACGCTGAAGATGGTGCCAGTGTTCTTGGAAAACGAAAGGGTATGCAATCACTTCCTTCTTCTCCCACCCGATCTTCTCTCCCCATTGGAAACCCCAATGATCTGCACCGGGCCATATCATGGAATGAAGCACGCCAGCGGGTGCCCAAAGAAGCCCCTGGTAGATATGCAGACCCACTGAATAGCGCTTTGCCGCGACACCCCCAAGGCCTGGAGGGCAACCCATCTTTCCCTCATCCTAAGAAATTGAACCCCAAAGCATCTACCCCTGCGAGACCAGTGCGGCAAAGTAGTATCCCCATTCTCAACCCAACTAGGCCTCGCAGAACCCCTTCATATTTACCCGCTTCAACGCCGGAAAAGCCCCCAGTCCCTCTTTTTCTCAGCGATAGTCCTACAAGCAAGATTTTTGACCAATTTCCAGGTACCGAGTGGAATCAAGAACGCAAAGAAAGTGACATGGAACAGATCATGAACACATTAATGGCCAAAATGAATGAGCAAGGTCAGCACAGCTCTGGTCTGAAGGAGACCGTTGAGCTCTACAAATCAAGAAGTAAGTCTCTTTACTGAGAAGCAAGTTGCCCTTACTAATTCTTGCAGTCAACGACCTGGAAAACGCTCGCGACAAACTGACCGATGCCAATGCGTCTCTCCGCTACGAGACAGATGCCTTAAAGAACCAGTTGAATATCGCAGAGGCTGCATTGAAGGATGCTAGACGTGAACAGGAAATTGCTATAGACGATCTCGACCGGCGTCAACGCATTGAGATGGAGTCTGCGAGCCAGAATAGCAGGAAAGAGTTGGAAGTGCTGAAAGCTCGCCAACAAGACGAGCTCGAACAATTGAGGCGCAAATTTGAAAGCGAGATCGAAAATGAAAAAGCCATGAGAATTCGAGAGCTCGGGCAGCTTACTTCGAAGTCTGTGCTGGACACCCAAAAGGCCGAGATCGAATTGGAAAGAAAGGATCGCGAGATTACCATGATGAACAATCAGCTTGCATCCCTGAAAGCTGACTTGGACCGTGAGCGAAAGACCACGCATGAACTACGACATAACCTTGATACCGCTGGCAGCAACGGCGTGACATTAGAATCCACCATCCGAGCCCTCAAGGCTCGTATCGAGTTCCTCGAGGGTGGAAGAGAGGAGCAATCTCAGGCCTTTGAACGCTGCAACCAGGAGATGATGAACGCCCTGGCCGAGACCGAAGCAACCAAGGAAAAGCTTCGCAGGGAGGAGACCATGCGTCGCAAGCTTCACAACCAAGTTCAGGAATTGAAAGGAAACATTCGAGTTTTCTGTCGTGTTCGCCCGTCTCTGAAGAGTGAACCGGCCTCTGAGATTGCCCCAATGCAGTACCCCGATGAGTCTGAAGAAGCCAAGGAGATCAACGTCATGGGCCCGGAGGAGAAGAATAGCCTCGGCAGCGTCAGCCGCAAGAATAACACCTTCTCTTTCGATCGAGTGTTCGGCCCCTCGGCCCAGAACACCGATGTCTTTGACGAGATCAGCCAGCTCGTTCAGAGCGCATTGGATGGCTATAACGTTTGTATCTTCTGCTATGGACAGACTGGTAGTGGTAAAACACATACCATGTCCTCCCGAGACGGCATGATTCCTCTTGCCGTTCATCAAATCTACGAGACTGCCCAGAGTCTGGAAGAGAAGGGATGGCGGTACAAGATGACGGGTAACTTCGTCGAGGTTTATAACGAGAACGTGAACGACCTTCTAGGCAACCCTGATGAAATAGACAAGAAGAAGCATGAGATTCGTCATGATATGCAGCGCGGTAAGACCATCATTACCGACATCAACACCGTTGAATTGGACTCTCCGGAGATGGTCAAATCTATTCTCAAGAACGCGGATGCGAACCGTTCGGTGGCTGCTACCAAGGCGAACGAGCGCTCATCTCGATCACACTCCGTTTTTATCCTCAAGCTGATCGGCGAGAACCACATTACCGGCGAACGCAGCGAAGGCACTCTCAACCTGGTTGATCTGGCTGGAAGTGAACGTCTGAGCCACAGTCAAGCGACTGGCGAGCGCCTCAAGGAGACTCAGAACATCAACCGTAGTCTCAGCTCCCTTGGAGATGTGATTGCCGCTCTGGGTCAGGGCAAGGAGGGAGGCCACATCCCGTACCGCAACAGCAAGGTATTTTAGATCACTCCTTTCGCCGTAACACTTGCTAATCCTTATGCAGCTCACTTACCTCCTCCAATTCTCCCTGGGTGGCAATTCCAAGACCCTGATGTTCGTCATGGTCAGCCCACTCCAGGCCCACTTGTCGGAGACCCTGACGAGTCTGAAATTCGCGACCAAAGTGTCCCTGACACATATCGGGACAGCGAAGAAACAGGCGCGCGTTCGCGACTGAATATGATGATACCTCTCTTCTGCACATAATTCTTTGGGGTTGAAAAGGTGGAGGTCTTTTAATGATCCTGTCCTCTACCTGGTCCCCCTCGGCGTTTGCGTTGGGTTTATGAAGTTTTCCATTAAGCCTTTATGATCGGTCTTCGGCGTGTGATTTATTTATGGACATTGCATAGTGCAGAATTCAATTAACCTTCGTTCCTGCTATTGGGTTGGGAGTGTCGATACTTTTGCCATGTCATGTAGATTGAAAGTTACAGAGATCCTAGGTATCTATCTGCCTTCTCCTTCACTTGATATGCCTTAGCCTTGATGTCCTTCCGAGAGACAGTACCCTCCTCACAGACGTATCGATCAATGAGATTGACAGGGACCCATTCGAAGTAGATGTTCTTGACCTCAACCACACAATTGCTCGTATCTGGAGGGGTATCCATTTGCTTTTGGAGAATCCCTAAGCCTTTGACGTCGCTTCCGAGCCAGGGAGTCATGAGTTCCACAGGATCGTTGTTCTCGGCATTATGGTCTTCTTGAGACCCCGGCTCAGCCACCTTCTCCAATTGACTGAATACCAGGACCTTTACACTCGGACTGGCGTATCTTGCGGCCAGAACAGCTGGCAAAGATCCCGTCTTGTTGCTGATCCATCCCTCGCTCGATATGCAATCTGCTCCAAGTAGCACAAAGTCCACACCGTCAGCAGCGATGGCAGCGGAAGCGTCCGTATACACTGCCAGTCTGAGATGACGGTCTAGTCGAGACGAGAACCTGGTCTGGAACTCTGAAACCAATGAAGATGCCATACTTGCACCTTCGAAGAGCGGTCGGGATTCTAGAATGCGTATATCTAAGTTTGAGATCGACAGAGATGCAAATGCATCCAGAATGCTATCCCGAATCGTTGAGCTGGCCGAAAGAGTGAGAATCGTAAGTGTAGACTGCGATTCTGCCATTTGCATGAATGTGGTGTTAAGATATGCTGTAAATGAGTCTCTTACGCGAGCCGGCATTGCACGTCTTTTCTCCAGGTGGGAATCCACCACATCCAGGGCATAATCCCATGCGGAGCCGTTGTCCAACCCGGAGCCAGCCAGCTTTTCCAGATCACTCAAGACAGCTAGAAAAGCATTCTGTGTCGCAGATGACATACTTTCACGGCCGTTTTTGCACATGTGCCATGCGGCCATGCGAGCAGTCCGCCACCAGTTTGAATCATCCCGCAGATGCACCAATACATCCCGGTACCCCGTCAATGCGATGGTGGTCAACTCATGCGATCCGCTTCGATGGTCATTCTTGAGCTGCTGGAGACCAGATCGGAGCGCTTGACTCGCCTCCCCACTCATTTCTGCCTCGAACCAGACACGATGCAAACTGTCCGCTAAGCGCGGCACACCGAATTCGTCTCCTTGTATGTCTCGAAGGTCAAACCATTCCCAGCCATCGTGTTCCCAGTCGATTTTGATAGCTTCTTCGCCTCGACCACCCTCATCCGAATGTTTGAGTCGAAATGCGAATGGGTAGATGGTCCATTGTCGCCTGATTGAGGGGTCACTGAATGTATACGATTTGCCATGTCTCCATAGTTCAATGTCTCGGGCGGTCAGGGTGGTCTCCTCTTTGAGCTCACGCCACGCTGCTGCAACCGGGGATTCATGGGGCTCTATGGTGCCCGATATAGGTGCCAGGCGATGACTATAGTAATCAGCTCAAGTTCTCGAAGGACCCCGGAATGTTTACCGATAAGTGTTTACAGAATCGCTGCGCCTAAAAAGGGCAACACGCGGGCTACCCCGTAGAGAGATAATGAAAGAAGATACGACAGATCTCTGCTGGAGCTCAGGTTGCTGCGCTGCCATGGTTCAAGGTACACATGAGTGTGTTGAAGAGGACTGCGACCGCGATGCAGTAGATACACGTGGATTTGTTCAAGTTCGTCTGGCGTCATCGGTACATCATGGCTTGAACCCTTTTTTTGACCAAGATCGCATAACTACCACTGGATATGTATCCAATTGTTACTTCATGTACAGTAGGTATTCATATTAAGGAACCATAATTTGAGTATATTCCAGCCAATGTCCGTCCTTTTGTTGACTATGTACTGTACATGTACAGTATTGGAACTGTGCGTCAATCTCCGCCTATCAACATCCTCAGCGCCGGGGTTCAGCTTCAATGTGAAATGTGGCGCATGTCGTCTCAACTGGGAAGACTTGCATAGCCCTGCGTCTTAGTCTACTGGCGCATGTGGCTACCCTACCTCGGCTGAACTACTCATTCCATTCTTCATACTATGGCACCCCCGATTCAGGCTTTCCTCCCCAACGCCTCACCTTTATCAAGGGCATTACTCATGCCTGAGGGATGACCTTCCGAGCATCCGATCCTCCGAGGCGCCGGCGTCTTCACAGGTGGGTCGGAGGCAAGCCCAGCACTGCGAACGATGTGCAGGTCCAGAAACCGCTTTATATGACCACCGAGGCGGCATTCTCCGTACATGGAATTCAAAGAGTACCCCAGAATCCTCCAGTGCCATATGGCCAACCTCAAAATGCTGCAACAGCATCCATACTCCAGTTGCCTCCACGACACACCCCGGTCGCACCACCTGCAACACACCCTTATGTCGCACGAGGATCCCCGTACCAGACCGTCCACCATTCCACCCAGAAACCATGGGCTTCGTATACGAATCTAACCCAATCCGTTTCCAGTTTCGTATCGCATACAACAGGAAAGGCCAATGCGACCATCTTGGATCTTGAGAATCTCGTTTTGAGAAGTCTGAGAGGCGGCTTGAATGTGCACGAGGCTACTGCGGAGCTCTTCAATCAAGTCATCACCCTTACTGATACTGGGTTGCTTTGCGGGAAAGAAAATGAGCTCCGTACGTTACTGCATCATGGCCCTTTTGGAAAGAGAAGCCTTCGGCGTCATTGGATTATTTCTCCAAGGTTTATCTCTACGAAAACTCAAGATTATCGCCACATTTACAAGCCCTGAAGTTGTGAGTGTTTCAAGTAAAATATTCGACATTTGTCTGACCTTGTTCCAGTTACCCTGCGACTTATCCTCTACTTCGACTTGCGGCTCAGTATTCCCGACGTGTCTATGATAAACCCAGTGGACAAGAGCGGCACTCATATGTGAGCTCTGATTGGCGACAAGGGACAAAAGCCATGGTAATCAAATCTCTGCCTATTGACGACATGAACACAATCGTCTTTGCTATTCGTGGCACTCAGAGCTTCCTCGACTGGGCCGTGAATGTCAATGCGGCGCCAGTTTCACCATCAGGCTTCCTCGATGACCCAGCAAATTGTTGTCATGCCGGATTTCTCTCGGTGGCTCGAAAATGATATCCCCCGTGGCTGCACGATTACGAGCTCTTATAGAAGAAGACCCAAGCCGCATGTCTTATACGCTTCTGATCACAGGGCACTCGGCAGGTGGCAGTGTTGCCAGTCTACTCTATTTGCATTTGCTTTCCAAATCACCTCAAGTCAAGTCAGAGCTTACGCATCTACGCGGGTGTTTTAAGCACATCCATTGTGTTACCTTCGGAGCTCCACCTGTCTCATTTCGGCCATTGGGTGCCCCTGTCCTCTCAAAACGATCAAAGTCAATATTCTTCGCATTTATCAACGAAGGTGACCCTGTCACTCGCGCTGACAAGGGATATTTCCTTTCTCTTCTGGATCTTTATGCTTCACCGGCCCCAGGATCCGCATGGTCTGTTCTCGACCCAAGAAAAAAGTCAAGGCCCGCTCATTATTGGCAAGTTCCTCCGTGCACCCTGTCTAACGCCGGCCGACTTGTTCTTCTATGTCCCCGTGGTCAAAGGAATGGTCGGTCAGATGTTCGTAAACCAATTCTTGGTGACCCCGCGCCACTCCCTCCTAGCGAGGAAATCGAAGCGTGTGGAACGACTGATACCGAGATACGTGGCGTTGTTTTTGGAGACCCGCTTATACATTTAATGGATCTATATTCTCGCCGTATTGAAGCGTTGGCCCAGGACTCTGAAAAGCGCAGGTAATCTAACTAGGCCCCAGGTCCACCAATGGCGCATTTACTATGAGAAGTTTGAATAAAAATTTGATTCAATTTTTATCCCAATCACTAGCATCACATGGTTAGATTGTATTAGATTGTATGCAAGCCAAAACATCTAGGTACTTTCATTATTCAGTTCCGCCAAAGCGACCAAATCCTCTTCCATCGCCTTCACCTGCAACTTCCAAAATGCAGCCTCCATTTCCGCTTTCAAATTCACCGAGCACTTACCGCATATTCCAACCTTCTTGATTGTCTCACTATCCCTCGTATAATTTGTCGACCCCAAGGGTCTCGGATCGACCGTGAATTCCATTGCGTCACAGTCAATTCGCTTGAGCCATGGGACGCCTCGCTGTGCTTCGGGACAATGCTGAGTCGAGGCAAGAGATAAATGCTTGCATCCAATGTAATAGTACCAGATTAGTTGGCACATTTTGAGGTGAACTAAGTGTGGGTTTATCTCGTGTTGATTACTTCACGAAATAGGCTTTCTTCGGATCAGCTATATAGGGGCTGCGTGTGCTTTATAGGGTGGGTGTCTTAAAACGACGATTCTAGCCTTTGTTTATTTTCACGGATCTCAACCTCTTGGTTCGTCTTACCTATCTATATATGTGTGTGAATAAATGCGCCACTTTGTTTTGTCCTTTGTCATATTCACAGAGCTAGTAGCTTGTCGGGTAAAACAAGATAAACTATAAGCATAGAACAAGAGGACAAGGGAACAAGGGGACAAAGTGATCAGGGAGTTGTCGTACACATAAGCTGATCTTATCTGGTTTGGTTCATTCCGATACACACATGATCTCCAAAGATCTCCTAGTCTTTTCGCGTTTCAGATCTCACGGCCCAATCGCGGAAACGTCCTCAGGTGCCTAAGATATCCTACTGAGTGATTCCGATATTGTGAAGCTGGTGGAGTTACGCGGAGTGACTCGTTTCATCTTGAGACTATAGATGACCCGGAGCTACCAAAGAGTTTCTGTTCTCGAGCAGCAAGCTATTGCCACATCATATTGATATTGGACATGACCGTTTAATTACACTAGCCTCCGACGAAGTCACACCTTGGCGGATGGCAGAGCACGAGATGTGGTACCATTCTGAAACGTTAAGGCTGTCAGACTCAAGTTACGACCTCAACAGTCTAGCCTCTCTTTCCTCGAAAGGCACAGCCCGCGACTCCTCTGCAGGACTTCTGAAATTTCGACACTTGCTAGGACAGAAAACATGGCTTTTGCAGCGAACAGATACTATCCCAAGGGATGGCCAAAGACCAACTTCGATGGGAAGAATAAGAGTACACCAGCGTATCGAAGTGCCAAGACGGATATGAATATGATGCGAGAATGGCATCGCTTGCTCCAGGAAGATGGTATCAATGGTTGTTATATCACTCTGGGCTTGCTTCCTGCTAGAAAACGGGCAATAGCCAGAATAACATATATTTAAAGAGAAGGAAGTAGGTGATCCTTCGGTGGACCCCGGGTCAGCTTGTCCAGAACGGTTTGAAGGGCACCAAGGATGGTGTCATTGGGAAGAGGATCCATGCCCTTAGGAATGGTGTACAGCATAGTGACCCCCGGCTTTGTAAATACATATCATGCACCCGTGGAAGCAGTTTCGCTAGTTATGCAGGGAACACTGCTACCGACGATTGGTAAGTTCATGTAAGGAAACATGTACTGCAAGAAAAGGCCCTTTATTGATGGATCCATGAATAATTGCCCCCTTCATCTAAGGTATCCACCTGTTTAAAAAAAAAAGGTTGTTTGTTGAAATGGACGACTTTTTCCAACAGCTTTCGAGCATGGTAGAGGCAACTCGGTCTCGATAGATTGATAGGCCTCGATCGACCCACTCCTAGCGGGTCTTGGCCATGCTTATTCGTCCCGCCACACAAACCTCGATGCACGTTTCCAGCCACCCGACGTGATTTGCGTAGTCTTGCATGCTCTATTCATAGATCCGAGGGCGTCAAGGCGATCTGTGCATCTCGTGGGCCAACTAGTATAGACAAGTGAGGGGTATACTGCGTAGAAAATATGTGATGTGTCCACCAGCCACTCTGCATCTACACTATACATTATTGGAGTCGGCCTCGGCACTCGTTCCCAGCCACTGTTCTAAAGCTTTTGCCCTGGTGCTGACAGCCTAGCCAGCCACATAGCGTCTATATGCCTACGAATATCTTCCCAAGGTCCCAACGCCCAAGTATTCAGTGGGGAATACTTCGGGGACTACCTGGACCCATGAACCAGTAGGAAATAGCTCGGATCAACAATGCTAGTCAAATTCCACTGAGTCACGACTGCCGTAGGTTGGCACAGGCGCGCTGGCCCCTGCGTCGGTCGACAGTGGAACAGAGTTCTTCACCAAAACCAAGACCGCGTCAATCCTTGTTTGCCGGCGAACCCCTCGGGAAATGTGAGCTCGTATTGCAGAAGATTGGCATCGCTCCCACTTTATAGGGATACCGGCTTCCCTCTTTCAGCCGTGACTGGTTTCTTTCGGTGATACTGTCTACAGTAGTTGAGTACCACCACATTTCAGAACCGACCGGCGATGGTTTGCCATCGATTAAGCGTCTGCAGCATTCACCATCCTAAATATAGAACCAAAATGAAACCAAATTACCAACCCCCCATCGAGTCCGAATCTAGGTCTCCCGCACCCCCGCATCCGCCCGGCCGTCAGCTGACTTGTGTTGTTTCTCTCCGATCGTCATTTCTTTTACATTTGAACTTTTCCAACCACCAACCCAACTCATTTGGCCTCACTGTGCATTCACTGTAAGGCCTTTGACCTACGGGTCTTACTACCCCCGCGCTAAGGCCGACCTAGGTCTGGAGGTTGAGACTCGACTCTTATCTGCTCTAATCGCGTAGGTTCTCGCCTCCGCTTGCGGCTCCTCGATGCAGTCCCCGTCCGAGGCCGAAAGGTCTACCGCATTCAATCGTGGCGAAGCCCTCAGACACCTGGAAATGGAGCCTGTGGACCATGCGCATTCTGTACTTAATGCGCCGTCACCGATACTGCCCTCGCTGCAGATTCGAACCGACTTGCCCAGTATTCGGCCGACCAGCTCGCATCGCGATTCCGACCCATTAGCCTCCCTCAGCGTATCCTCTGGAAGTTTTCTGCAGCGCACTCCCAGCCTACGCGCGCTGATCGCCCCGCCTCTCTCGAGTGCCGGCTCGTTATCACCGGCCTCTTTTATGTCTTCGCCCCAGCTGAATGCCATGGGCGATATCACACCTCTGCCATCACCCATCGGTGGAGCATCTCCGTGGCGGCGCGGCGAATTGCCGTCTCTGTCTCGCACATCTTCCACGGCGTCACGTAGCGCGTCGAGTTTGCGCCTGAGCGATTCTTCGCAGATGCTGGGTCCGCCAGTGTCGCGTTCCCGCGGCAAGACATACAACGGGCTGGAAGGCATGGGAGATGATTCAGTGCCGGGTCGACTTCGTCACGATTCACCCAGCAAACACGTGCGCAACCGCAGTCTCAGCGACTATGCGCCGCCCGGCCGAACAACTCTTCCTCGTCCGATTGCCGTCTCCGGCGCCGGTGCTCCTGGCATGGTCCCCTCATCGAGTACCGACTCGAAACAGGCCGGCCTCCATCGAGAACAATACCTCGCCGTACACCGAGGTATCGCCTTGCCCACTGTTCGTCCCCCAAGTCCGCCTCGCAGCAGTGGAAGTTGTTATGGGGACAGCGACGCCGAGCCAGTCATTCAATATCCCGTCCCGCTCTCGACCTCCGATGAAATATATTCGGTGAAGTCAATCCGCACCCAACAAGCCCGGATCTACCGAAAGCTGCGAGTTCTCGGCCAAGGCACATTTAGTAGAGTTTGTCTGGCCGCCCGCGTGGAGCAATCGGTGCAGACACCGTTGTCCCCCGATATCGATGGCCCTGGCTTCGCTGTCCCGCCAGCTGCCACACAGAAATTGGTCGCTGTCAAGATCATCGAACATGGCCCAGCCGGGGGTGCAGACGAAGAACGCCTGGAGGTTTCACTAAAACGCGAAGTCGACATCTTGAAAGCAGTGAATCACCCATCTTTGGTTCAACTCAAGGCATTCGGCAGCGACGAGAAGCGTGCTCTGCTTGTTTTGGACTTTTGTCCAGGTGGTGACTTGTTTGAGTATGCGACTTCCGGAACTCGACCGACTTCTCCTGGCCTTATCCAACGCATTTTCTCCGAGTTGGTTGATGCAGTGCGTTATCTTCATTCTCAATACATTGTACACCGTGATATCAAACTCGAGAGTGAGTAGTGACTTCTTACCTTTGAATCCAAGAAAAGTTGCTAAATTTACTCGCCAGACGTTCTGCTCACCTTGCCCTCTCATGCACTGGAAGAAGTGACAGATTGGCATACCTATGATCGTGCGGTGGTCGTTCTCAGCGATCTGGGTCTATCAAGGCGCATCCCAGAACCCCCGGAGAGCCCGCTGTTGAAGACCCGGTGCGGAAGCGAAGATTATGCCGCTCCGGAGATTCTCATGGGACAATCGTATGATGGTCGCGCTACTGACGCGTGGGCCCTCGGTGTCCTACTGTACGCCATCATGGAAAACCGCCTACCATTCGACGTCCTTCCCGGCACTCGTGGTGACCCAGCCAAACTTCGCGCTCGCACCCCGCATCGCATTGCCCGTTGCGAATGGAGTTGGTACCGCTACGCCAACGAAGACGAAGAGTGGGATCCCGAAAAGGGCCAAGGCCTGGACGGAGCGCGCGACTGTGTGGAAGGCCTCCTCAAGCGCAACACCAAGCGAAAGTCACTCGATGAGATTGCCGCCATGTCTTGGGTCTGTAATGCCATTGACGTCCCTGCTGGCCTCAAACGAGGCGACAAGGAAGTGCCATAGAGCGGCTGGCACCCTTGTGTGAGTCTTTTTTCTTCTCAACGTTTTTGACGTTTTTGATTTACCTTTACCCTTTTACCCCACGACCACTGTTGTTTATACATATGACCCTTCTTTCTACCTTATTTTTTAGTACTTCTTTGTGATGAGGCATTTGACACCGTGGAGGTCGTCTGGATTTTTTATCTTTATTTTCTTACTGTGACGATTCTGGCTAGACCAACATTTATACCCATTTCAAACCTACACATGACAATCAAGGTAGACTTCAGACGACTAAGCTGAAGTCTGAGTCAAGTTTATGCGCTAGGGTGTCCACTGTAGTCTAGAACGAACTTGGACGAGCCAAGCACGGCCGTTCAAATGTTTTCCCGGGGTACCAACTTGCCCAACAGTCAAAAACACACTGAGCCTTAGAAGTAAATCGTAAATCGTAAGGCGCAAGCAATTATGGGCATTAGCATAAAATGTACCTATGCCCAGCTCGCATAAATCGCTCAGCATAACAGATCGATGACAATTGCAGATCGGAGATTGGATGCGGCGGTGAGCGGGTCTCGGGGAGGTCTGCACAAGTCCGGACAACGCACCTGGGCACTCAAGCTTCTCTTTTTCTTGACCCCGGCCCCCGCGATCTTCCCTTTGCAATTCACAGTGGTTTTGGTTCTGCTCAATTGATCCATAAACATGCTTTCCCAAACACGGGCCCGTGTGCCTAAGGCTCTCCGAAGCCTGTCCCGGTCTGCGACCGCGTGCGTCATCCCATTCAATTGCACCTCGTCCCGTTCAATAGCTCCTACAGCTTGCTAACCTCTGATGCTCTCTACAGTCGGACACTCTCGTCTACCGTTCCCCGCGCCGAGAAGGATGGAGCTCTCAACAAGGTCTCGCGTCACATCACCCAGCCTAAGGCCCAGGGTGCCTCCCAGGCTATGCTTTACGCCGTCGGCCTCAAGGAAGAGGACATGAACAAGGCTCAGGTCGGCATCTCGTCCGTCTGGTTCAACGGTAACCCCTGCAACATGCACTTGCTCGACCTCAACAACAAGGTGCGCCAGGGTGTCCAGGACCAGGACTTGATCGGTTTCCAGTTCAACACCGTCGGTGTCAGTGACGCCATTAGTATGGGCACCTCCGGCATGCGCTACTCCCTGCAGAGTCGTGACCTGATTGCCGATTCCGTTGAGACTGTCATGGGTGGCCAATGGTACGATGCCAACATCAGTATTCCTGGCTGTGACAAGAACATGCCCGGTGTCCTGATTGCCATGGGTCGTATCAACCGCCCCAGTCTCATGGTTTATGGTGGTACCATCAAGCCCGGCTGCGCCGTTACCCAGGACAACGCCGATATCGATATCGTCTCCGCCTTCCAGGCCTATGGTCAGTTCTTGACCAAGGAAATCACCGAGCCGCAGCGCTTCGACGTCATCCGTCACGCCTGTCCCGGCGAGGGTGCCTGCGGTGGTATGTACACTGCCAACACCATGGCCACCGCCATTGAGACCATGGGTATGACCCTCCCTGGTTCATCCTCCAACCCCGCCAACTCTCAGGCTAAGTATGTCGAGTGTCTGGCTGCCGGAGGTGCTATCAAGAGGCTGCTCGCCGAGGACATCCGTCCCCGCGATATCCTGACCCGCCAGGCCTTTGAAGACGCCATGGTCCTCGTCAACATTACCGGTGGCTCTACCAACGCCGTCCTCCACTTAATCGCCATCGCCGACTCCGTTGGCATCAAGCTCACCATCGACGACTTCCAGGCCGTCTCTGACCGTACTCCCTTCCTCGCCGACTTGAAGCCGTCTGGGAAATTTGTCATAGCCGATTTGTTTAAGATCGGCGGTACGCCGTCTCTCCTGAAATTACTCCTTAAAGAAGGCCTGATTGATGGTTCCCGTATGACCGTTACTGGTGAAACCATGGCTCAGAATCTGGAGAAGCTTCCCGATTTCCCCGATGACCAGAAGATCATCCGTCCCTTCTCCAACCCTATCAAGAGCACCGGTCACATCCAGATCCTGCGTGGCTCTCTCGCCCCCGGTGGCAGTGTCGGTAAGATCACTGGTAAGGAGGGTACTTGCTTCACTGGCAAGGCTCGGGTATTTGATGATGAGGACTCCTTCATCGCTGCCCTCGAGCGCAACGAGATTAAGAAGGACGAAAAGACTGTTGTTGTTCTCCGCTACCTTGGCCCCAAGGGTGGTCCCGGCATGCCAGAAATGCTTAAGCCATCGGCCGCCCTGATGGGCGCAGGGCTTGGAAACAGTGTGGCATTGATCACGGACGGGCGGTAAATTTTCCCCATTCCCAAGCAATTAGAGATAAATACTGACGTATTCGTCTTACACAGATTCTCGGGTGGAAGCCATGGTTTCCTTATTGGTAGAGTGACCCATTCCGAAATCTTGCAGTGTCTAGACTAACATGAAGAATAGGCCATATCGTTCCTGAGGCTGCCACCGGTGGTCCCATTGGACTTGTCGAGGATGGTGACGTGATCACCATCGATGCTGAGAAACGCGTCCTTGACCTCGAGGTTCCCGAGACCGAGGTTGCTGAGCGTCGTAAGGCCTGGGAGAAGCGCAAGGATGCTGGCGAGCTTCCTGAGACAGGCTTAACTATGCGCGGAACGCTTGGCAAGTATGCGCGTCAAGTCCAAGACGCGTCACAAGGGTAGGGTTCCAAAAACACGCTTTCATAGCAAAACGGACACTAATAGATCGCTTAGATGCATCACGGATGGAATTTGAAGATATTGAGGCTATACGGAAGTATCCTTGCGGGTGCTGAGTAAGCGAGATCACGCGGGATTTATACGGTATCCCCCGAATTGTGGACTTTTATGACACGCGGAATCCCTCAAAAATGTTGTTTCCCGGACGTATGGATGGGTATGTTTGAATAGTATATTGTAAAGGAGCAATAAATTGTTTTGAGCAATTCAATCTTTCTTTTCAAACGTTACCACGCACCTCTACAAAAATCCACGGGCTCATTCATGGCCTCCCTCGCATGCTTCTAGAAGTTGGAACGGTTGTCTTTCAATTCACCTCTTTCTTTGAATTTTTCAGTCCATGGCTGGCCAAAATGGCCAATGATCCATGATCCGCTTCGACTTGATTGCATAATACAGCAAAAACCGCGCACCGCTGTGCCATCTCCACCGAATGGGTCAATGGCACGATATCGCGAGATTTGTTATGAACAGCCTCTCAGTTGCAGTGCTGAATTAGGCATACTAAAACTCAATAGGAATGCTCTGGTCCTGGCCAAGGGAAGCACTTCTTCCCTCCTTTGCGACGTTCCCGCCGATATTATACTCACTGTTGTACAATTCTAACATAACCTCATCAGGCTCAGCGGCACAGAAAAGAAGCAATCTCATATTTACCTGTCGTAGGGGCAGTAGTAAATATGAGACTCACTAGATATGTATGTTGGCGAGGTATCTACCTTTACTAACTAGTTACCTTTACTAACCAGTTATGATACATTAGTAAACTTCCCGAGGCGAGGGGGCTATGGTGCTAGGCCCTGAACGAAAACAGATTTCACTACATAGCGGCCTTTTTATTGGCTATGGGAATCATGTTGCACATACTGCGAATCGATACCTTCCCACCGTTTTGGCCTCAAGGCTAGGTGGGAGTGAACTCAAAAATCGACGAGGCCTCAAGACGTACTATTGTTCAAGGTAGCTCCTGGATCAGGGTGATAGCCTCCATACTGGGATTCAAACCAAGGTCCATGGTGGATTGTGTCGAAGTGTTGAGGTATGTTATTTGAAGGGTATATGTAGCAGGCTGAAAGGTTGCAGAGGTTCTGGTTGCGACATTATCGTAGACTCGAGACATTTCAGGAATAAAGTTACTCATATTTTCTTTAATTTTCTAGCAAGAAACAACAATAAAAAGATCCAATGCGTTTATCGTCGACTCTATTCAAAACCGGTTCTCTGGAAGAATCAAGCGCCCTGCGAGTTCGCCGTAAGCGGCTTCCACTTCACTGATCGTCTGACCTTGCACCCAGTAGCCCTTGCCATTAGGCTTTTTAGCAGCCGCAGCAGCAATAATACCCCATGCAACGTCCTCCGGTGAGCTCTTGAGGGTGTTAGGGTTGCTTGTGGCCTCAAGGCCCTCCACCATGGATGTCAATGTCAACCAAGGGGCGACCCAAGAGATCGATATCCCCGCATCGACCACCTCGCTGATCTGAGACGTGGCACGACACAAGCCCAGCACAGCGTGCTTGCTAGCTGTATACAAGGGCTGCGAAGCCACTGGAACGTAGGAAGCGGCAGATCCAGTGACCACAATGCGACCCCCACCGTTCTGTTTCATGTGGTAGATGCCCAATTTCAGTCCAAAGATGACCGAGTTGACATTGATATCGATGAGGTCAGTTGATGGTCGTTCAAGAGTATCTCCTTTAATGCTGCTGCGTTCATCCGCGAGGTAATTGTGTCGGACAGAAGACTTCATCTGCGCATGTTTCTCCTTGTCCAGGTCCTGCAGGAGAGCAATTTCCGGGTTGACGGCCGCATTGCAGACCATCAGGCTGATAGAGCCAAGTGTTTTGTTCACGTGTTCAAATAAAGCCACTTGTTGGTCCCAATCGTTGACGTCGCACACTTGCCATGTCGCCTGCTTCCCAATGGCCTCACATGCCTTCTTCAGATCTTCTTCATGTAGATCCACGAGGACTACACGTGCGTTGTGTTGCGCAAGTAAAGCAGCTGTTGCGAATCCGATGCCTCGGGCAGCGCCGGTGACAAGAGCAACACGGTCTTTAACAAGACTGTGGACGGATTCGGGACTAGGTCTAGGAGTCGATGCCATTTGATAAGAGTAGAATAAAAAGGGAACTGGTTTAAGAGGAAGGTTTAAGGGGGAGTTCATGTCTTTTATAGTCGAGCCTCGAAGCTCGGCACTGGTTGCCCAGATGTTCGATGACCTCATGCGCGCCAAGACCCCGCGGGGGCCTGGGGCTAACTATATACTCGAAACTAATTCCTCTAAATACATCAATATTCTGCTGAAATGGCGCAATATCTTGATCGTGTGACACCAAAACATGCCGGTGTGCTTTACAAGTCCTCTACATCCATGATCAGCGATATTCAAAGCTCATCCCCGCTCAAAAGCTCATTGCCACCTTATCTCGATTAGCCACGACCTGCTGTACCACCTTCGACAATGGTGCGAATGCCTCAAATCCATGTGGCAAGCCGGGATAGATGTGGCATTCCGTGTTGATTTTTACTGCCATGAAACGCTTGGCATATTCGATGGATTCAAGCCCAAAAATATCGAGCTGCCCCGAGTCTACATACAGCGGAGGAAGCCCTTCCACAGATTCAACACGAGCAGCTGCAGCCGTTGCTTCGAAATGGCCGGTACCTGCGTCAGGGCCCAGGTAGGCTGTCCAGCCAGTGATGTTGTCGATTTCATTCCAAAATGCCAATTTTCCGACGGGGTTGGTTGTGGTTCGATCGTCCAGCATCGGGTATATCAGAATCTGCTTCGCGATCGGTGGTGACAGCGCACAATCTCGAGCTCGGATCGTCAAGGCAGCTGCTAAACCACCGCCTGCACTTTCACCCTTGACTGCAATGCGAGAAGGGTCGATATGCAATCGCTCTGCATTCGCATAGACAAATTCAAGCGCGGCCCAGCAATCGTTTAGGGGCGTTGGGTATGGATACTCTGGAGCTAGCCGATAATCGATACTCAGAATTTGTACTCCCGTTCTCTGCACCGACCCAATATGTGGCGTGGCGCATGCTTCAGCGCTCAGTGAGATGTATCCTCCGCCGTGGATATGAATGATGGCGGGCTCACCACCTTCTCGGGGCTCTTGCTTCCGACGGAAGTGATACACCGCCACTTCATGGCCATCGGGAGTGGGCACCCGGTGAATGATATTCTCAATGTCATCGGGCATTGGAGCTAGTGGCCGTGTTAGGGCCGCCAGCATAGATCGTCTTGCTTTCACATCGTGGAGGGCAGCCGGTTCAACCTGTGCAAGCTGCTGGAGCACGGGCGCTGCCTCCTTGAGGAATTCAGGATCGTAACTGAGTGGCATAGCTCGTAGAAAGTGAGAGAATGCAAGTTCAAGAAGATTATTGTTTCAGCGGCAACCTCAACTGAGCATTATATCCTCACATTCACGGCCGTTCAAAATCCCGACCCGTCTCCGTCCCTGTCTCTTACAAAATGTGTGATTCTGGATTCAACCCGCAATTGACTTCCGGAAGCACACTCCTCCGCGCGGTTCGGTTCTCCACATGCGGGGAACATCACATTAGGTAGGTGACGGCGAGACCCTGCAAACCATTCGATCCACTTTCCTAGCATCGCGGTTTTAACGGCAGTACACTAACCATTTACGACCAGCCTCCTGTGCCTCGGCACGTTGCGGTCTTCCGACTAGGCGGGAAAAGTCAAGGTTGCGCAGAATGTCATACAGCCGTACAACTCTTGTGCACCGGAAATAATTCTCACCATGACCTTCTCGGTGCCTCAATTTGATGACTTGCCGCCCGTTGAGGGCATGCCTCAGGGCTGTGCGTGGGGAATTTTCGACAAAAATGGCACCAAAGATGTCTACGGAACACTGAACCTGCTTACTCCCGATGTGGTCAAGGCTGCGGCTGAGGAGGTCCAGAAGGGTATCTCGATTTCTCTGAAGTGAGTATGATCTAACGCATGCGGCAACCTGCTTACCAGGGAGTAGCTGGCCTATTGGGAGCATGAAGATCCCCGGATACTTTCGAAAGAGCCTTAACCATACTGTGATGAAGTTAGAAGATCCCAAGGCAAACTTGCATTACGGATTTGATGACGAGGTAAGCTCACTCTTACTTGTCCCGGTCATCTGGTGCCTTGACTAATGATAACTAGGTCGAATTCAATACCCAGGCCAGCAGCCAGTGGGATAGTCTTTGTGTGTATGATTCAAGTGCAACTTTAGAAGACCGCTAACGTTCTTACAGGTCACTTCATGCATCTTCCGAGTGGAAAGTTCTATAACGGGGCCAACCCCACTGTGAAGAACCTGCAGAACCCTGCCCAAAATTCTCAGAAGTTCCCAACCCTTGAACGTGAGTGAAGTCTTGATACCATATATCTATCAAAACACTTATTGTTGTTCAGATTGGCATGACCGTGGCTGCATCGCTGGACGTGGCGTCCTCATCGACTTCAAATCATATGCTGATGCCAAATGCTTCAAATTTGATCCATTCTCTAGTTTCCGCATTGCGATCAAAGATATTGAGAAAGTTGCAGCGTACCAGGGTGTCACTTTCCGGCAGGGCGATATTTTGATCGTGCGATTCGGATTCACCGAAGCACTGGGAAAGATGACCGCCGAGGAGCAACGCGTCAAAATGTCCACCCACAGCTACTGTGGCCTGGACGGTACCGAGGAGATGGCTCGCTGGCTGTGGAACCAACACTTTGCCGCCATTGCCAGTGACAACCTCGCTGTCGAGGCTATGCCTCCTATCGTTGATGGAGAGACACAGCCTTTCACTCAACTTGTTCTTCACCAGTGGTGCTTGAGCCTTTTCGGCATGCCACTTGGCGAGCTCTGGCATCTCAAGGATTTGGCCGAGCAGTGCAAGAAGTACAAGAAGTACACTTTCCTTCTGACTTCGTCACCTCTGAATGTTCCTGGCGCTGTCGGTAGCCCTCCGAACGCTCTAGCACTTCTTTAAGGAGCGTAGCTATCTCAGATATACCCCATTATCATTTAATGGAATTTTACCTGGCTATCATTAGCGTTTGACGTTTACCTACCATGACCCAACTATCTAATGAGATCCAGTCTATGGTCTTTGCATACGAAATCTCAAAAACCCAACTTTGTGACAGGTCGAAGCATAGTTCGTAGACACACATGTAACATTGATACAAAGTAAACACTGAATATTAACACAGTCTCCTGAGGAATTACACTAAGCCTGTTTCAAGATAAAGTTTGGAATCCCTCCCACCCCTCCAAGGCACTAGTACACTTCTGCCACCAATTCTGCATACCACCTAGATAGATAAGTGGCTCCCGTCTCTTGCCAGGAATATTGGAGCCCATATACCACGAATCGGTCTTAGGGTACAGAGTGTACTGGCTGACAGCATAAACATGATCTTTCCACTCTTGAGCAGCCTTGGTAGTAGCCTCCACAGACTCGAGTCCCTCTTCCTGCATCTTCTGGATAGCCTTGCAGATCCAGTCGACTTCCATCTCGATGAAAGGAGGCCCGTTGGCCAGAGACGTAGGGGCCTGGGGTCCGTAGACCATGAAAAGATTCGGAGCATCAGGGACCATAATCCCCAGATATGTTAGGGTTCCCTCCTTCCACTTCTCGGCCAGAGGCACTTGATTCTTGTCGCTGATGCCTAGGTCCAATATACTGCCAGTGACAGCATCGTAACCAGTAGCGAAGATGACGATGTCGAGATCATGGTGCTCTGTGGTCTCATCATTGCCTGTCAAGATGCCAGTGGAATCGAATTCGATGATAGGAGACTTCTTCAGGTTGTGCACAGTCACATTAGGGCGATCAACCATATCGTAGTAATCCTGTTCAAGACTAGGACGCTTTGTTCCAACAAGCATATGCTGTTTTAATGGAGCGACGATATCCATCTTCGTCTCGTCCGTCATGCGAGCACGCACTTGTTGAGCCCAGTAGTCGTAAAAGATGGCGTTCGCCTCCTCGTTCAACAAGAAGTCATAGTAGTTGGAAACCAGGAAACTATATCCGCCACGAGCCCAAAGCTCATCAAACAATTCTTTTCGCTCTTTGGGACTCGCCTGGAGTGCTGACTGGAGAATGGTGTTGTGCGGGAAGCCGGCGGTGGATTTGTAGCAACGATCGAAAATGCCGTCGTAGTAACCCTTCATCATCTCGGACTCTTCGGGTGGGATGATACGCTGCTTCATTGGAATGGCGAAGCAAGGTGTGCGGATGAATACCTTCAGTTCGCAGTTTTCTTTAGCGAGGTTCTGCACGATTTGAAGGCCGGAAGCGCCGTTGCCGATGACACCAACACGTTTGCCCTGCACATCCAAGGATTCAGGATAATCCGCAGAGTGCACGAGTTGCCCTGAGTACTTTTCAAATCCATTAAATTGAGGATAGTGTTTCTTGTAGGAGGATCCAGTGGCAGCGACCAGATATTTGCAGCTAGCAATAAGCCCGGTATCTGTGTGCACAATCCACCGACGCGAAGTATTATCCCACTGCACTCGGGTGACGATAGTCTTGAAAAAGGTATCCTCACTGAGGCCAAGCACATTATCAACGTGCTTGAAGTACCGGCGTAGCTCCTCGTCGCCCGGGAACCGCTCAGACCAGTTCCATCCCTTGTAGACAGCAGGAATGTTGAATTGGTACGATGGCATCTCAGTATCGACGCGAGCTCCAGGATAGCGATTCCAGTACCACACCCCCCGAAAGCACCACCAGCCTCGATCAGTTTCACCGATAAGCCCAAGTTGCGAAGCCTGTAAAGAGAATTGCATCCTCCGAAGCCACCGCCGATCACAACAGCATCAGTTTCGATATAGGGGCCCTTCCGAGTCATCTTTACACGATTTTCGATTGTGAAACAGGGAAAGAAAGGGAATGAAGCAAAGTCGCGGGGTTGAGGATCGAAGTAGCTTAGCACGGGATGGCATCGGCCTTTTTACAGGGGTCGAAACTGAGCCGTGTCCATCATCATCATATTCAATTCGGAGCCCGGAAGCAAATGGAATAGTGACCGGGTTTATAGTATCCGAGCCTGATGACATGGAAACTGCCGTGTTGTGAAGTTCTTTTACTGTCAGTTTCATAGATGTGGGTCTCCAAAGGGGAAGTCAACAGCGAGAGAGTTTGAGACCCCACTGCCATGCGATGCCACGCGGATCCGCTGCAACCGTGAATTAAGAGTTAATGAAGAGTTAACTAACAGTTAAATCCAAACACAGCAAGTCCTTGATGGATTGGTCCACTCGGAATATCCATTTCCGTATCCGAGCGTAAGCAAGGTAATGCCTCGGTCATTTGGTCTTCCGGCGGTTATTAAAGCCACGAAATGTCAAAATATGAGATGACATATGACATACTAACTACCAACGAAGCCAACAATCGAAACCTAACCTCTGTCAAAGATGGCGTGCATCGTAAAAGGAACGGCCTTCATCACAGGCGGTGGCTCAGGTAAGCTCCCATGCTATCCATGTCACATCTCAACGTGATCTAACAGGAATAGGAATCGGCAAGGCGACTGCATTAGCATTCGCGAAGAGCGGAATCAGCGCTCTGGCTCTCGCAGACCTGAACATCTCTGCCCTAGAGAGTACCCGCCACGAAATCGAGACTCTGTTTCCCGATGTTCAGGTGGAAACCCTACAAGTGAACGTCGCAGATGAGGTAGGCGTGGACTCAGCCGTACGAAAGTCCGTGGAGCGCTTTGGCAGTATCGAGATAGGCATCAACTGTGCTGGCATCAGTGGTAGCCCCACGCCCACTGATAAAATGTCTCTAGCAGAATGGCAAAAGGTTATTGATATCAACCAGACCGGCCTTTGGCTCAGTCAGAGGGCTCTTATTCGGCAAATGTTGACTCAGGAGTACGTTGTATCTAAGTACCCACAGAACCCCAGCTGATAGATTATTTACAGGTCTCGGGGGGTTCGGGAAGGACGTGGGTGTATCGTGAATGTCTCGTCTATGTTCGGTATTGCTGGACCACCCCCGCCCTCTGGAATCTCGCACTACACTGCGGCCAAGCATGGTAGGCCTACATTATCCCCTTGAACAAGATGAAAACTGACATAAATAGCTGTAATTGGCCTGACAAGAATGGTAGAGTTTGGTTCAGACTATGCGATAACCAAGCTAATCCGATCATAGGATGCGAAAGCTTACTCCCGACAGGGAATCCGCATCAATGCCATTTGCCCGGGGTAAGGTAGTCTCTACGGCATTAAAGGACCTTCAGCTCACATACTGTCTAGCTTCGTGGACACGCCTATCCTCAACGATCACTTCGATTCAATGAAGCCCCTATTCGATGCGACACCCATCGGTCGGCCTGCCCAGGTTGAAGAGATATCCGACGCGCTCCTCTTCCTCTCTTCACCCATGAGCAGCTATATGTGCGGCGCAGCATTGGTGGTAGATGGAGGCAACACCGTCTAGACGTTCAATAGGAAGGTGTTTTCATGACAAATATTCCTACATCTCCCCGGGCTCTATCATTATACAAGCATAATATCAAAGTCTGCTTCATTAGCAATCTCCTGCCACTGTACATCCCGGCCTTTGGCGTAATCACGTCGTTCCCAAAGTGCTCTAACAATCTCACAGAGCATGACCACATTCTGAATTCCATTCTGGCTCTTCCGATCGAACCAGGCGAGCATGCGACTCTGTAACTCTGGTCGCTGGCACTCGGCTGCAACGACGAAGCTAGCCCAGTTGTAGGCACAACCTCCTTGATTATTCTTAAGTGTGTCCACTGCTTCTAATTCTTGAACTGCCTTCTCGACGAGTTCTTGAACTTCGCATAATGGTACGCGGCGGAGTGTTCGGCGGAAGTAAATAATTGTCGCATAATAGAAAGTATTGAGCGCATGCTGAATGATGGTGGAGCCGGGGTCATCGGGAGAGGAGAGGCATGGGAAGTTGAGATATAACTGTAGTTCTAGTCGATCCAATTCCTCTGTGGAGAGATCTGACTCGGAATCAAGTATGGTAGTCAGTTGTGCCAGGAACTGGACAAGTTGTGTTGTGACGCCATGTGATCGCTCAAGGTAATGGCAAGGCCCATTAAGTAGTGAGATAAGTTGCGTCGACATGGGTAAACTGCAAAGCGACGAAAGGGATAGATAGCTTTGCAGAAGCCGTGAATTTGTGGGACTTCTCATCCACCCACAGGCTATCTCATTCTCAAGAAGGCCGAGACCACCGGCGACATGCGCCCTCCACCTGCTTCTCCGTCCGGACATCGCCTCTGCTGTGATACACGACAGGACAGCAGCTAGCGTGGGCTCATCAAACCGCTTAGCGCGGCCCAAATTACCACGCAAATGACGCAAGGCCAGCTGGTCATGGTGCATGGCTAGAGATTGATACCGAAAGTCACGGCGGAGATGGTAGAGGCTAAAGGCCGATGAGGCACAAATGGCGTGAAAGATGGAAAGGTGAATATTCGATTCCCCTGCTGCAGCATCCAGCCCTTTTAATGCCAATGGCATGAACACTGTCCTGCAGGGGTTATCAGGGGAGTCCAGAAGCAGCATTTTCCCACTTAGGAAGACAACCCAGTGGTGGACCAATTCTGTCTCTGGCCGTGGCAGCTGCACCGGATTGATTGTCGTTAGAAAAGAGATGTCTGCCAAAGATGACCCGGCTTCGAGAAATTTCTGATGACTTTCGGGCGTAGCCGAGCCTCTGCTACGAGCAGGAAGCTGACTGATGGAAGAGACCGCAGAACTGCGAGGACCATCAGCCTGAGCGATAGGCTCGGACGGCACCGGGGACGGCCGTTTGTCTTGATTTGAGATTGAGGGTGATGGGTTCTCCGTAACCTGTTTGCTCTCCTGTAGCAATTGCGAGTGATCGTCGACATTGACATGATTTGAGCCAACCGTGAGGTGGTTCATCATGGACTCAGCGCCAGATGCGGAGAATACCGAAAATGGCCCCCGGTGCTGGGCAGATCCGTCGGAGCAGCCATCCAATTCTGCCAAGAGAGCCGTCACGGAGGCAGAAGATAGGCCATTTGTGGATTGTGGAGTCGAAGACAGTATCTGACGCCGCTGCGAGCGACTTCCAGGAGTCTGCGACCATCCCAGCCGTAAGCCATAGCCCTGACACTGCCAGCCGCTGCGTTGGCAACGACGGCAGTGAGGGCGCTCGTCGTCGCACTTGACTCTGCGATTTCGACAGGTCCAGCAGCCAGTGAATGTCTTTGTGCGCAATTTGGGGACCTTCACGTTACCGGATTGAGAGTCCTTCGGCATCCCCACGTTTTCATTGATGGTAGTAAATGTCGGGGCGATGGACGGAGCGGCCAGATTTGAATTTGTCCCCGCACGCCGGCAGTCGCCGGGCCCATATCTACGAGGCCTGACGCTGGAGTGGACTTCCACTTTTCAGGTCTAGTCAATCGAGAAATTAATAATTTCACTCCCTCATGTTTTTTGCAAATCCCCTTCCACGATTTAGGAAGGGTTTGATTGCCTGTGTAGCTCAAGTTAACAGCAATGAAGACCGTTTCATCCACTTTCATTGTTCAATATTTGTATGTGTTGCACCATTGTCTAAAGGACTCTCCTTTATTATCCTGTCATGGCGTGTTTCGTGCTGTTTTGCAATTTTGTCGCTACGTCGGATACGAACGATTGCAACCTAATGAAAGCTATCGCCGATTTATTGTCCCACAGCAAAACGTCCAGCCGTGCAATTATCTAAATAACGACCATATTCCAGCACTTTGGATGTCCCTCTCACCAAGTTTTCGATGACGAGACCAGTGCATTGGGCAAGGCCGGCAATTTTTACCTCAATCTCAAACCCATATGACGAAGCATTATTCGAATGCCGCCCCTTTCCCATGGAATTACGGAGAGACAGAACCTATATCCAGTCCGCCTCTACTGACACAGGTCGAGGAGTACCGGGAAATGAACCCTCTTGCTATAGAAGGTCTCTTTCCGCTCTTGGGCGATTCCTATTCTCATTTCGCACATGGGAATGGGCTGTAAAGTATTTCTTCAGTTTTATAACACATATGTCTTGTATACCTAGGTTGCTTCTCCCAGGATAGTGTGCTTTCTTTGAAAATTATTGGTTCCGGTTCCTTTAGAAGATTTCGAGGTTATAGAATTGTCGGTGGGATAGGGTCTGCATGGTAGAGAGAAGAGTGAATTATATGACTTGAGAGAACTTGGATATTCAATTTCTTATACAATTTTATATGACTAAGTCAAAAGCCCGATTGAGTAGCTAAAGAACTAGAAGTTTTGAAAGTTACTATAATAACAAAACAACTCGTTATTTCCTGGTATTTGCTTCTAGGACAATTAGTAGGTAACAGTGCGATTTCTATCAGAGTATATAAATAGCAGAGTTGAGATGAAATTGAAAAGCCAACAAGTCTGAGTACTGGGGTAAGAGATTATATTGCAAAGGCTGCAACTGAGGGTCGCTTAGTGCGCCGCTTCGGGCGGCGGGGTGACTAACACACTATGCTTCGTGAGCCGATGGCTCCCCGAGGCGGTAGTATGATGGTCACCTTGATCACGGTTGCCTGCCTTCGTCTCCTGCTATAGATTACTCCGGGGGATCCACTTTGCAGAAACACCTTGTAATTTCAACGATAACACAATCTACCATTTCCTTTTGCAAGTTCTCATGGCAAGCATGATAGAACTCGTCGAGTCTAGCGAACCATTGAAACAGATGAAGCACTTGAGGGAAAGCAACTGCCCGACGGCATGAAAGCTTGGACCAAAGTGTAACAAGTAAAGTGGACGGACAGCAAGACGCTATTCATAGTCAAATGCCAAGCCTGGTCTCCACAGCCATCAGCCACTTTCATGCTTGATTTCCACAGCCTGGCGCCCAGTGGGCCGGGTAAATATTGACCGGCTTGAACCCACATTAGTATAGAAGGGGGCCTTTGGACAGGGGTCTCTTCTGAACGTCCCTGGCTGCCTGCCTGCAAGATACCTCAATATGGCCCAAGCCATCGCCCAGTGGCAGAAAATCAGCTTCCCTCGGTCAAGTTTTGACAAGAGCCTGTATTGGCAATTGCTTGGGTGTCCCTCATATTGATAGATCCTTTGTGATGAACACCAGAAAGAGATCAAGCACGGCTGTGAACCTATGACATCCCGATTCTCCAGTGCTATAGATTTACCCACGCCAGTACCATTCCGCCAATGACCCTGCTCCAATGGACCCGATCAGTGAATCTTTGAGACTCAACGCAGAACATTATGGCTCCATGAATAGTAGTTAATGACATGTCAGGATTATTTTTCCTTATGACGCGTCACTCATGTCTCCGGATATAGACACAGCGGGTAAGCTAATACTAAAGTCGCAGCACTAATATGGTGAAAGTAGCAAGCTGTATAATAGTCTTTCGGGTAAGAGTGCCCTGAGGCGTCAGCATTCAGCCACGAGATCAAAATAGCCTGAGACATGCCGAAATCCAGTGGGACCATCTAGATTCTTCCAGTAGGGGCTTCTTTAGCGGTTGATCTCTCGCCCTCAGCCCCATGAGGCTGGTAATATACCCATTCAAGTGGAATTTGTCAAGGAAGATGAGATAGCAGCCTTCCGCTTCCAAGATTTCTAGGAAGCATAAGAAGTGCCATGGATCTTACCCGGAGACCCAAGCAACCTCCTTCAGCTTCATTACATTCCACTCGTTCCATTTAGCATCCCGAATCCGACCATCAGCACCAGACATCATGTCGACCACCACTACCTCAACCACCAGCTCAGCCTCCGCCACTTCAAGCTGCCACGCGAAGCTATACGATATTCCAGTCAGCGATGCCGCCTGCGCGATGCCAATGAAGGGTAATTACTCCTCGATCATGAGTAGCTGCTGCTCTTCGGCTTCCGTGGTCCAGTATGACGACTGCGACTACTACTGCCTCGCTGAAGGCCAATCTGTCGGTACCCTGGCCGAATGCCTCATCAAAGCCTCCGAGCCCGGAGAGGTCTGGTGTAACACCAATGCCAATTCCACTGCGACTGCGACGGCCACCGCTACCGGCACCGGTGTCGTTACTTTGAGTGCTACCGCAACTGGTACTGACTCGACCGGTACCGCTACCTCCAAAGAAGCTGCCGCTACTTCGACTTCGGCTGGAATTGTTGCTCCTCGCCCACTGTCCAAGTCAGCCATCGGTATGGTTGGGCTTTTGCTGGTTGGATCTGCCGCTGGACTTTTCATCTAAGCTGGACTCATAGCGCTGGGGTGTGAATTTGCATCAGTATGTGGTTGTGTATATTGGTTGACCGGTATCCATCATGTAGGAGATCTGTAGAGATCGTCTACATCTCTGGGTGGCTGGATTGCAGTTTCGCTTTTCATTCGTTCTGTTTCTTCTCTTCTTCACGGCATAGGATCCAACCTCCTTGCCAAGCTCTTTGTTGTTCAACTCAGGATCAATGCACATGCAAGTTTTTCTGAAAAGTATCGAGCACTGAAAGTATGCGTAATGTTTTCTCTATTGGGAAGTTCTCGCAGCATTAAGGTTACATGACATGACACTAAGGGAGCATCCAAGTCAACAAGCCTCGCATATGCAAGAGACTTTTCTATGTACAAGGACAGAAGCAATAAAAAGTACAAAACCAGTTGCACACCCCGTTCCCAACCCACGCAGAAATGCGAATCATGGATGCTTGGAGCGCCAGAGTGAAGAGATCTCAGGGGAAAAGAGTTATAAAAAAAAGCCGTTGTAATACATCGCAGGTTGAAAGACAAAAGTTCGGAGGCGGGCTACCGCATGTTGTCGAGGGTAAGAGGGTATGGATGGTTCGAGTCGCCGAAAAAGAGGGATGTAGCTAGACATGCCAGCTATTTTAGAAGACGGCCTTTCGCGTCACCTGTAGTATGTTAGCAAGATGGGAATTAGAAATTCACACGCGGGAAGATTCGGACGTACGGCCCAAGCACCAGCAATCGAGGCCACAATGCCTCCAGAAATCATCATCGGCTTCAGACCGCGCGTGCTCTTGAAGAGCATTCCACTCAAAGCACCAGCAGCAACACTGTTGGCGGAGTCGTGCTTTCCGCGTGCGTAACCAATTGCCGAGTTGAACCCGTTATAAACCATCGCGACGACACCGGCGGAGTTGCCGAGGAACGGACCGCGGCGGGTAACCGAGTTAAGAACACCGTTCAAGCGAATCTTCGGTGGCGCGGTAGATGGTGTCTTGTTCAATCCTTCTGCGAGACCCCACGCGCCTCCGATGGTCAACGCAGCCAGATATGTGGTGCCGGCACCGTAGCAAAGGTCGTCGGACCAGCCGCGAGAAGGCAGGACGGAGCGGGAGCCCGGGAGTTCATCAAGGGTGGAGTCTTCGAGGGTAAGATAGTCGAGAGTGTCCTGGTTGAGACCGGCCAGGGGGTGCAGCTGGGTAGGGTCGATGGAGACTTCGGAAAGGAAAGAAGTAGCATCTTGCGCGTTGGAAGCGTCGTAGGCAGAGGGCACTTGGCCATCCTTACGGCCACCGAGAGAGTCCCAGATTGCCATGATGAAGGGAGGATGGGGAAAGATAAGGTGATTAATTTACAAGACGAAGTGAAGAAGATGGCTGATGTCCCTTGAATTACAGCTCCACCGACTGGCACCAGCAAAAACTTCGGTCCCGTGACTGACGCGGAAAAGTGGTTTACCCGACGCTAGTCCCGATCTGGAATCCCACTTCGAATTGTCGCCTCAGGCAGCGCGGGGAGCTCTGTCCGAATTTGATATCTCGTCCTATTTGACGAGTACTTTGTTTTGCGGAAGCAAGAGCATGTGGAATTGCATTGGCTATGCATAGTGAGACTTCCCACGGTGCCCAGGACGCACCTTCCGCCACTATGGAGGAAATTACGCAAACTGTACAATTCTTGTCCGAAAAGACCTTGCAAGATATCGCCAAGGGCCCCTTGGTCAAATTTACCGTGTCAAGCGATGACAGCGAGTGAGTGTATCTGAAGAAATTGACAAGAATGATTGAGTGTGCTAATACTGTACGAACAGAAAGGTGAACCGGGTATGGCAGTCACTGATTCAGACTGCATCGAGCCCATCTCTGTCTAATCAGCATACGTCCGCAGCTTACCACGCTGTTGCAGCTTTCATTGATGCTGCTGCTACTTCCAAACACGGCTGTACCAAGCAATTGGCCCTAGACTCCAGTACTTGGCTGGCTATATTCGATATTTACTTGAGTCGATACGAAGATGCCAAGCCGAAGCCCTTGAAGCAGCTACTTGGGTCGCTCACCACTATTTTGGTTAAACATTACCGAGGTGACCAGAGAACCACTGTTCAACAGACTGTTGCAGAGGCAATTCTGCCCAGTGTTGTGCTTGGTGAACCCCGTTCCCGGCTGAAGGGCTCCCTTGTCTGCTTAGAGATTTTCCTCCGCAAGGAAGCTATTTTGCCGTCCGAGTTGATCTCCTTGTTGCAGTCTTGGCTTTCAGAGAACCGTGAAAAATGGGTATCGGTATTCGAAAAAGACCATGACGCCCTATACTCCGGCTTCTCCGAGCCTTTCACAGTTACAGCTGGAGTCCCGTCCGAGGAACTAGCCACAAAGATCTTTATCCTTGGTCTATTAACCCAAACTAACAATCGCCAAATGTCTGGGACAAGTGGTGGTGTGTTGGCTGCTTTTTTGCAAAAGTTGAAGGGTAAATCGTCCAACCAGCAGGTATCCCACTTCTGGGTGAGCCCCGTTCGACACATGCTTCTGCAAAACACGGATAACTTGGAGTCACTATCGGCGCAAATTCTTCATCCTTTGTTCACAGCTGATCCGCATGGTTTCATGTCTTTCGTCGAAGCTCTTCCATTGCGCAATCTGCTTGCAGGTGATATGGCAGATGCCGCGCAGTCAGAGTATATGCTTCTATTTGCATCCTTACAGATGGGCAAGAAAGCCAATCTCGTGCACGAAGATTGTAAGTTATGTTCTATTCTCTTTATGACCCGTCTCTGACATACGCAGATGATTCCTCAAAGCAAACCGATGTTAAGCAGGGCCATCGGAAACTCGTGTTGAACAGCCAAGTTATTGGCAAGTTCTTGCTTCACCGCGAGCCCAATATCAGAATCGCTGCCTTGTCTTTGTTGGTGACAACCTTCTCCACTGTCAAGCCCTTCACAACAACTGCAACTTCCTCCATTCTGCGAGCACTCCCATCTATGCATGCTGACTCTGATTCCTATACCCGAGGCGAGATTATGAGCTTGACCCGCAAGTTCATTATCCGTCTAAAGAGTGGTGTTTTGAAAGAGGGTATCTCGGGCGTAAATGTGCCAGCAACTGGCAAGGAGCCGTCGGGCTGGTTCCGAAGTGATGATGAGACCAAGGCATTCTTGAAGACATACATTCAGTTCCTTCAGAGGGATCTTGTGGTGACTGCATCATATCCACGCCATGCAAGCGCACTGAGGGCCCTAAATCTCCTGTTGCAGTCTGGTCTCGATTCACGGACCAATATCCCTCCTCTCAAGTCTGAGGTCGAGACTCGTTGGAAGCTGCACATGGATGTCTTTGAGCCCCGTTTGCTCCGATTACTTGTGGATCTCCTGCTAGACCCCTTCGAAGAAGTTCGACAGACGTCCCTCTCTATTCTGAATCTCTTCCCTCGGCAAATCTTGCTGAGTGGGCTCATTGATACAGCTGAGCAACAGCCCACAATCGGAACACGGTTGACCGATGCCTTGGCTCGTGCAGAAAGTATCGCTAGCAAGACAAGTCGTGCGGACAATGCGGACACTGTTGCTCGTCTGTATCACATTCTGTTCTGTGCTGCCACCAACTCTTCCGATGCTGGCTTACATTGGTGGGCAACGAAGCAATCTGTGATAAACAACATTTTGACAAAGTTAGAAGAACGACTTTTGTCTTCCGGTGGTCTCTTTAACTCTACTATGCGGGAGGCTCCTCTTCATGGCTATATGTCTGGACTCAGGTATGTTTTTTACCCGACAAACTGCGAGTCTGGGCGCCATCATTGACAACTAAACCAGATACATTGTTCTTATGCCAAATTTCTATTCTTTGCTCTCATCGGATTCTGATTTCTCTGGGTGGAAATCTGTCCATGATCGGATAGTCACTATTTGCGACAAGGTCTGGCAGGAAGTCAAGCCCGTGCTTTGCATTGACTCTCCTGAGGGTCACACTGATGAACCGACTGAAGATCTCTCAGTAGGACCAAAGGACATTCTTTCCTACTCCTGGAGAGCTCTGCGCGAATCGAGGTATGCTTTGTCCTTTTGATCGAAATGAGCTTATCGCTAACCGAACCAGTATGCTGCTTCACGCTACGCAATTTAATACCACATACGGTCCAGGTGACGGAAATGGACTTCAACTTGCCGATTTTGATAAGGTCGGAAAGACTAGTTTCACACAACTGGCTGAGCTACGTCATCGAGGAGCCTTCTCCACTGTCTCGCAAACGTTCGCTACATGCTGCCAGCGATGTAGCGACTCAAAGGACGTTTCCATCCAAGAATTGCCAAGGCTTTGGTACGGGGAAGCCAAAGCAACTATTTTTGAGTCGGCCGCGAAGCTTACCCGAAGATCCGCCGGTTTGCCTGCGCTGGTCACAGGCATTCTAGTTGCCAGTCCCGGGTCGGCATTCTTCAAGCAGGCCTTGGATGAGCTTCACGAGATTTCACGATTGCCTGTGGAGTACGACAAAAATCAGCAGTATCGGGAGCTCCCTCAAGTTCACGCGATGAACTGCTTGAAGGAAATTTTCACGAACACAAAACTGGGTCCCTTCACGGAGAGCTTCATCATGCCTGCACTGAAGTTGTCTGCTGAGCGTCTGGGGTCACCTATGTAAGTCATCCCCATTGGTGGATGATGATATTCACTAACAACTGAATAGTTGGGCACTCCGAAATTCCGGATTGATGCTCTTCCGAGCTCTATTAATCCGAATGTGCCGGCTAATCCCCGGTGTCGGAGCTGGCTTTGGTGGCATCTCTGGATCAGAGCCAGGGTCTAAGATTTCTTTCCCCAAATATCCAGGTCTCCTTGAACTCTTGTCAAAACTTCTTGCATCGACAGAGGGAACAATCACAGAAGGCACCGGCATCATTACGGAGCGGATTTTCCCAGCTCTAGAGTTAATTGGAGAGAAGATTCCCACTTTCCCCGACAACTATGACACTTTGCTTTGCGACCTTGTCCGAGAGCATTTGAAGAGCCCTGTTTGGGGAATCCGCGAACACGCCGCCCGTGTCTATGCCTCTTTGTTAAATCGTACAAACATCCTTGAGGATGTGCGCAGTCTTGTTGATCAGCTTCAGGGCAACGCCACCGAGAACTTGATTCACGGGACATCGCTTTGTGTCCGATATGCTTTGCGTCGATTTGCGGCTACAACAGACGTTTTCTGGAAATGTATGTAGTCCGGTATTCTCTTTTTTGATCCCAGTATTCTAACGAACACAGCACATGCGAATGACCTTCTCGCTACTGTTCGCCATGTTCTGGCGACTGTGTTCCCGGTTGCCAAGTCTCCCTTCACCGCAACTGCCCTCGTCGAGATTTTGAATGACACTCTCGAGCGGAGCTTCGAAGCCTGTACTGAAGGTATGATATGATCTTGCTCAGGGACGGGTCTTATGCTAATTTGGGACAGACCGAATCGCTCCGTCTATTAATGAGATCTGTGCGGAACAGGACATAAACGGCATTGTGAGCTACGTGTTCAATGGCTCGAAGGTCGGATGGAATCTTGAAAGCAAGACTCGGGCATCTTCTCTCCTGAGGAGAGCACTCTCATGGTGCACAGTACTGAAGATGCTTGCTCTAAAGCAGTGGAGTAAAATTCCAGCATTCCACCAAGGTATTTCGGTCTTTGATGCTGATGCTGCGACGTGGATCCTGGAACAATTGGAGCAGAAACTCGACAAGGTCGAAAGTCTCAGGAGGCCTCTGGTCGACTTGTATTCCTTCATCATTTTGAACGATGCTCCGTCTTCGGCAAAGACAGCCGCCGTTTCCAACCTGGCTTCAATCTTGGAAGAGCTGCTGTCCTGTCCGGAAGATACCATTTCAGAGCTTGAATTGCTTTGTGATGATCTGACGGAGGGCTTCCGGCCCGAAGCAGATATTGAGTCGTGGAACAGACAGGCCACAGACAGCGCACTTCGTCTTCAGGGCTGCCTTCTTGCAATTAGAGGCTCCTCAACTGAAGGACACCCTCTTTCGTCAGTGAAAGAGGACATGTATAACTGGACTGTGAAGCTACGCTCTTCCCTCAGTGAGGAAATTGAGTTTACGACCCGCTTCGCGGCTGTACAATCTCTCCACAGCTTTTCACGATCTTTGCGTCCAGCTGGAGGCTCTCCACGGGCTGAATCCTCGTTACTGGACATTTACTTGATTTTGTATGACATGCTCAATGATGACGACGAAGAACTGAGGGATATTGCTGCATCGACTGCTTCGTGGGTACTTTCATACTCGTCAATTTCACCGAATGCCGCCGTTGCTCTTGGCCCTCTGAACGCGAGTGCCCTTTTGGCCAACTTTATCCTTGACCAATATTCGGACTCAGTGCAACTTACTCGACGAGTTATCCACTACCTGACCGGCCAAGAGCCTCGCATCAGTGGCTCCGATGACCAGACCCATCTTATCGCTGTATCAGATCTTCTTGCTGAGTACTGTCAGGACCGCACTGCTCTCTTCGTTGAAGAGAAGCAGAATTTGTTCATTGATGAAGTCCGCGAGCTAGATGTTTGGTCTCCTGCCCTTAAAAAGCTGAAGAGGAACGCGTTTCCTGAAACTCTGGTAAGCCAGATCTCCAGCTGGGTCTCGGAGGGATTGGATCATCTATCAGTACATATCGCTCAAGAATCCGGACAAGATGGACTCCTCGGTTGGATCTCAAGGCCCGAGACGTTCACACTTGGTGTCCGTCTAATAAGTATTTCCTCCGCATTCGCATCTCCGAGCTTTGAGGCTCCGGAGTTGATGGATGTTGAGCAACAACAACTGAGGAAGCAACTCCAGTCTTTACTGAGCGTTGGTAACAGCGCCGCGGTTCATGACGATTGGCTGGTCAGGATTCAATCTGGTCTCTGTTAGGGGAAAAGCTGGCATCAAAAGGAATAAGGTATAGACAAAACATCCATAGACAATTGCAATGAATATTTTTGAAGATCAGTCTCCTGAAGGTTGTGCTTCACTTGTGGACGGGACTATCACACGTTTACTCCAATCAATCAATTCTCCTTTCCGCTCTGGCTATTCGCCTTACGCTGTATTCAATTCTCCCCTTGATCGCCTTTGCTATTTCTCCCAATACACTCATCGTATCCATGGTCACAGCACGGTTGGCAGTTCAGTGTATCCCCCTCGAACACGTCACCTCATCTTGAATTCCTCATCGTGCCAGTGACCCACGACACTCAACACACCGGAACGCAGCTCCATCGATTCATTTAGCAACCTCTTTTTGTTTGACAAGTCGACCCTGCCAGGCAGCGTTCCTCCCAAGATGCACGAAAATACATTGATTGCGGTAATCATTGGAGTTCTCATGGCATTGATCCTCTTAGGATGTGCCGGTTGGTACCTCGCAAAATATCGTGTCAACCGTGCATTTAAGGAAGATCATGAGTTGGCACGAGATACTGAGAAAGGACCTAACAATACCCACATCCCTAGGTACAACAACAAGGGCTGGGTCCGGCCTCCTAGAAAGGAATTGGTCATCTCAAAACCTAACTATGTCTTGATCGTGGATGGCGACGGTCACAAGATTCGCCGTGGTGGTCGACTGGCTCGAGAACTCCAGAGTACCTCCCAAGGCAACGGTTCGCAAGGGCAGCAGCGATTGCAAAAGAATCAGGAACAGAGTCATGGCCAGAGCAAGCATAACAAAAAGAACAAGCAGCACAACAAGGATCAAAAGAAGAATGATCAGAACAGCGGGAACAAAGAAAGCGAGGGCAAGAAAAGCGAGGGCAAGAAGAATGAAGACGGAAGTGGCCACAAAGCCAATTCCCATAGCCTTCAGGCGGGTCAGAAACATGAGAAGAATTATGCCTGGGGTGTTTGGGACTCGGATAGCCCGGCCAAGCCGGACGATGAGAGAAAATCCGGCTCAAATAAAGGCAAACAGGACAACCAGGAGAACCAAGATCAGGGCAACTGGAATGAACAAAATGCCTGGAATGTCGACAACCAAGTCACCCAGGACAATCACGACCAGGGCAATTGGGATGAGCAAAACAAATGGCATGGTGACAACGAAATTGGTCAAAACGTTTCTTACCAGGATGTCGGAAGCGGAAACGACGGCAACCACAATAAATGGAACAATGAGCTGGGCCCCGAGGACTCTATCAGCAACCAAAAGAGAAACAACAATAGAGGCGATTATCACTGGAGACGAAACAGCCGATCATGCCAGGAATCTGCCATCAACACTTCAGCAAATAACCGCAATGGAGGTCATCGAAACAGTCGAACTGGATGGTCCAGCAAGAACAGACGGGGTCTACCACCGAGTGATCAGGGAAGCCCTGGACACGATAAAACCAAATCGAATCGAAGCAAGAATTACGACAATGCCATGAGCTCACAAGTTCCTATGGACGACCAGAAGAAGGATGAAGGAGGTGTAACACAGGAGAAGTGGTAAATTTCAGCTCCATGGACCTTCTTTTTCCTACGAAGACACAAAAAGCTTATATTTTACAAGGTCGAGGCAGACAAGTGCACATTTTAGATCCTCAATTCAATGCAGCAATGTTTGTAGCATGTCATATTTTGGTCGTGTGATAATGATGCCCAGACTGGTTGTCTACCTGCCCACGGCGGATATATAGATCTGGGCTTGGCGAGTCTAGAATGGTGCAGTGGACTCCAGGGCTGTCTCCACCTGAACTATTCCCACGGGAGTGTGAGCCAAGTATAACAGGCATAAATCCAAGTATCTCAACCTTGGAAGCACATTCACATCAAACCAACACTCTTTGATTCCCCAAATTCTAGTAGCTAAGACCCTAGCTCTTTACGGATGATCGCCACTTCGTCACTGGTCGCTGTGGGCCACCGAAGGCGGTGACGTTGATTCCAATCCCCCGCAGATCCCCAGGCACAGCTTTCCTTTCTCTTTGGAAGACATCCTGCTGCTGTGATCATTATGTGGAACGACGAGGATAACAATCCCTATGGGGCTTTTGAAAATCAAGAGGCTCACCTCTCCGACTCGCTGCACTCCACTGCCCTCTCTCCTCGTAAGCTCCTCCCTGGCCTATTGCGGTGATATCACTGACCCTCGGCAGCCTTGTACGAGCACGACGATACCCCCGCCCTCCAGCCGTGACTCCAATCTAGATCCGCCCGATTATCTTTCTCATCCGGAAGATCTCAGCGATCCCGAAGAAGCCGACTATGGCGCCGCCAGTCAACAATACCCGCGGAAGAGCGTCTACGATAGTCGCATCGAGCAGATCCTCTACGAGAACCCCGAGATGGCCATATTGATCACGGACGCTGGCAAGAATCACGAAGGTGGTGGTAGCTTCATCGTCTACACGATCCGGACAGGGGTATCGTAACGCGAACCAAGAATCTTGGAGCGGAGCTAATTGAAAACATTAGGACCTCGAAGTCCGTCGCCGGTATTCGGAATTTGCATCGCTGCGACAGACACTTGTTAATCTGCACCCTACGTTGATCGTTCCTCCGATTCCTGAGAAGCATAGCATGGCCGATTACGCCGCGAAGCCTACCAAAGCTAAAGAGGACACGGCCATCATTGATTTGCGGAAGCGCATGCTTGGAGTCTTCCTCAACCGTTGTCGCCGGATGAAGGAAATTCGCGAGGATGGTGTTTGGTGGCGGTTCCTGGACCCCAACGTCAGCTGGGTAGGTTGCGGAGCTTGGCCCAGACGCAGTGTTGCTGCTAATTTGACCGATTGTTATACAGAGCGAGGTTCTCCAATCTCACCCCGCATCCTCTATTCCTAAGAACAACCTGAAAGCTCCGCCTCTTGACCCCGCGAACCCGACTCCGGCTCATGGCTGGCTCCCCGTTCCATCCTCCTCCGCGAAGCTCAAGGCTGGCGGGGCCTCCGGCACGAACTCATCACCTACATCACCCGGCGAGAACACAGATAGTCCGGCGCCATCTGTTCCCGGCCCCGAGGTCCTTGGACGATTCCCGCCCGAGTCGCGCAAGCTGAGCGAGCAGGAGCTGGACCCATACTTTGTGAACTTTGAAGCTTCTACACGAGAACTGGAGCTGCTATTGCAAGGGAATATCGAGAAGGTCAACCGTAGAACACTTGCGCATCTCTCCTCGCTTTCCGCTGACCTCATGGAGCTGGGCGCGCGCTACAATGGGTTCTCACTCTCTGAACAATCTCCAACCGTTGCCGCCGCGATAGAGCGCATTGGACAGGCGGCGGATACATCCTACATCGAAACCGAAGAGCTGTCCCATGCGTTGAGTGCTAGCTTTGCTGAACCAATGCGGGAGAGCGCGCAGTTTGCCAGTGTAGTCCGTGGAGTACTACGTTATCGTGTGTTGAAGCGGGTGCAGCAGGAAATGACGCGAGATGAGTTGGCGCGGAAGAAGACCCTGCTCGACTCGCTCGAGCGCAGCGAACTAGAAGCCAAGCGGATCGAACAGTATCTCAACCGGACCACCCCTCACGCTGGCGGCACGAGGCGACAGCGGTCACTGTCCGCGTCATCAGCCGTGAGCAGTGAAGGGAATGCCACCGAGGTCTCAGGAGATTCTGAATTCCCACCTACCCACGGCGAGTCTATTGGCTCACCATCTCCCTCGGGGGGGCTGAGACACAAGAAATCTGATCCCTCGCCATCTTCCTCGCCGGCCCACCGCAAGACATCCAGCGGGACATTCGTTGTGGGCAAGATCTTCGGTCGCATTAATCACGCCATTCATGGATTTGCAGACGTGGACCCTGAACGAACTCGTCGGGACCAGATTGGGAAGACCAAAGAGAGTCTCATTCAGGTATGTTGAAGTGTGGGTCGAAGCGAGTCCAAGCTAACACGTCATGCAGCTGGAGCAAGCACTGGAGGTATCCGAGAAGGACGTCAAGGACGCTAGTGCAGGTGTCCTGCAGGATCTCCAACGTTTCCAGAAGGACAAGGAAGCCGATCTCCGGCGTTACATGGTATGTACAGTGATCCACCCGTGAGACCCTTAACTAACTTGGGCTGCGCACAGGTTGCATATGCCCGCTGTCATCTGGATTGGGCGCGGAAGAATCTCGAGACGTGGACTGAAGCTAAAGACGAGGTGGATAAGATCGTGGCGCGGTAGAGATTATCAGAGTCATTCCACTAGGGTGTTACCCTTTGGCGTTGGCGTTTTACGACCCTGGGGGGGGTTATTTTCTCGAATATCATTTGGCCGTGATTATGTCGCTCATCGCGCGAGCATCGAATCAAGGCATTTCGCATATTACTCTAGTGTCTTTGTAGAGTTGTCTAAGTTCTCCTAGCTACCTGGTTCAATATTCCATGGCCCCAGCGAAGATCTCCTAGATAGGCACAATAAAGGCATAGAAAGGACCGGTGCCCGGTACACAGGCGAGACATGGGTACACTGGACAATAGAGGACAATAGAGCGTGTCTCCCCTTCAGAGGAGTGTCACCCTAGGAACGAGGAGAATGGATGGTGTTGAAGGGAAATGCCAAGTCGACATGGAGCCGCGGTGGGTCCAAGTCAAGTCAAGGAGTTTGATCGACAGGTAACCACATTTCACATTCACATTTCACATCACCCTTCACATTCACCTCTCCTCGCCCTTGCTTCATGTCATCCATCGAGGTGGCCAGTTTACCGTGCATCTAGTTGATGCAGAACCAGTTGATGGAGGCAACGAGGATCTGACTATTATTATATAGCGGATCGTTCCATCGCTTGCGTTGAAAATTCAAGGAAGCTGTCTGGATCGTCTTCGGCATTCCAGTGCCTTGCAGGCATGCTTCCCAGTGGACCTATACTGACGGAAACGAGTGGACGTCGTTGCATCCCTCACGGCGCACCCCTCGGACAGGCAGTCTCCGCACCCTGAGGAACCCACTTGGCGGTGGCACGCCGTGCGTCAGGTCTGAAGATTATGAATGCTTGGGTCCATAGCCGTCAGGATGATCGTCAGAAGTGGCCACTTATCACGGCCGGGGAAGCCGCCTTCTGGCCATGTCGACGAAGTTTGTCAGGGGTGGTCTTTGTGGTCACTTTGGCATCATTCAATTCCTCGGCGTTGGATCAAGATGCTCGTTCTACTAGGCTTAGTATGTCTCTTTTCGGTTGCTCTTAGCGTGAACCTCAATCACAATCTCGAGGCTCGTCTTGAGCAGGAGGCTGCGGTCGGTCATTTCCCTCCTCCTCGCCAGACCAACCAACATACCCATGATCCTACTATTATGCGCGTCGGTGATACCTTCTACCTATATAATGTCGGCGAACACATCTTCATTCACACTGCTCCTACCATGGCTGGGCCATGGAAGCACGTTGGATCTGTGCTCGATGCCAACGCGGTGATCCCCAAGGGCGACCGTGCCGTGCCTTGGGCTCCTGATGTCGTCTATGTGGATGGTACCTTCTACTGCTTCTACAGTGTGAGCAAGGCTGGATGCCGTGACAGCGCCATTGGTGTAGCGACATCTGATCACCCTGGGCCTGGTGGTTGGGTTGATCATGGCGCTGTCATTCAAACAGGAACCGGCAATGGATCCGAAGTTTATCCCTATACCCAGTCCAATGCCATTGATCCCAGTGTCATGGTCACTCCGGAAGGAAAGCCCTACCTTACTTTCGGCAGCTATTGGACTGGCATTTACCAAGTTCCACTCGACAACACGCTTCTTTCTCCGATGAGTACTACGGAACCCGATGCGAAACACCTGGCTTGGGAACCGAATGCTATCAGCACTCCGGCTCGAAAGACCACTTCGGTCTGCGGTGACCCCACCGGACCCCATGCCATTGAAGGTGCATTTATTTCATACCACGATGGGTGGTACTACTTGTGGTACAGCCACGGATACTGCTGCAACCTGAACAAAGACAAGCTACCACCCGCTGGCACCGAGTGAGTATCCTCATGACCATCTAATATTCCATACACTAACAAACCTCCAGATACAGCATCCGTGTCGGACGCTCCCAAAATGTCCGTGGTCCATTCATCGACAAGTCCGGTAAAGACCTGACGGATGGCGGCGGCGAAATCGTCTACGGCTCCAATAGCGAGACCTATGCCCCGGGCGGGCAAGGCGTGATTCGAATCGGTGACACCGACGTCCTCTACTACCACTATCGTGAGCCGCTCATCATCAAACGCAACCTGATGACCACATACTAACACAGTGCAGAAAACAAGACAATCGGAGTTGCGTTCTCGGTAAGTTTCCCCTCGGTAGGCTTGTGAACATACCCGCATCCACTTGCCGATCCTCCTTCATTCCCTGCATCACGTCAATCTCTAACAAGTATCTGCAGGATGCGTTCCTAGGTTTTAACCCTTTGAAGTACATTAACGGATGGCCCATTGCGCTGGCCTAAGCAATAAAATCTACAAATCCTTCGACTCGATCTCCCAGCAAAATATCCAATATCCAAGACATAGAAAAAGTCCGACATAATCAATCTCTCGCACCTTCCACACATGCTTCACCTTCAATCGCCGGGAATGTCAATAGTGCCGCTCGTCATCTCGCTTCACCATACAATTTCGCAAGGTGCACATCTGCACCGCTCGTCTCCACCAACATTATCTTCGTCTCCGCGGAGTATTCAACTCCGCATTATTTATAATCGCGTTTCGCGGCGTCCACCTGGGCATTATTCGGGCACATAAACACATTCGACCCGTTCTCGCTAGAGAGTCGTTTAGTTAGAACATTGAAGGTTATACAGAGGTACTTCCGCATTTTACCATATATAGATGGCGGAGTTCTTGATACATAGAAACTCATCGGATCTTCACCACATCATGTGCTCAAAGATAATTTCAAATGCTCATAAATAAGGAATCTCAATCTTCTACACTGCCCATTTCCCTACAGTAGACATATCTTTCAGCCATATCTTCAATCCTCGAGCATAAATCACCTCACCATACGCACAGATACGTTCAATGTGGACCCGAAGATCACTTGGTTTACAGTGGATCCAGGCTTCACATGATCCTCGTCGGGGAATCCGATCGACAAAGGAAGGACGACCGATAAAGTGGGGATTCGGACCGAGTTTTGGATCTTACGGTTTGGGACGTCCGCCGTTGACCGTTAAAGCTTAAAGCTAGTACGTTTCGATAACAAAGATCCCAATTTTGGGAGCGGATATGTGATGTCCGATGCGATGTCAAAATTAGTTTTTTCAATGTCACATTGGTTTCTGCCGAGGATCACAATTCCAACTATCCAACGGTGGTTGGAGGCTGAGACTAGTGTGTTTCTCATCTGGGGAATTCTCATTCTCAAACTTGAGATCGCATTGCATGATTCAAGGTTACACTTGAAGCAGGGTCTAGGCATTGGTTCTGGTTATCACCGTGATATCGTCTATTCGTTGCCAAATCGGCAGAATCTATCTAATCTAAACAAAAATCATGGTCATGAATATGATAAACACAGACATGGACATCTAGGTATAATACATAGCCTCATGTGATGCTCCAGGTAATTAGTGAGCTTGTTCGAGCTTAGTGAGCACGGCACATACGGCCAGAATTCTCAACATTCCAAGCATCGGAGCCGACGGCCTTGAGAGCATAGAAGAAGGAAGTAGGATCCCAGCGACGCTTGACATCGAGCAGACGCTTGTAGTTGCTTCCGAAGAAGACCTGCTTCCAGTTAGGCTGGCGGAAGTTGGCCTCGTTTTGGTAAGCGCCAGAGTGGGGAGTGACAGCCTCGAGCTGGGGCATGTACTTGTCAGTCATCTTCCATTGGTTATCGATCATCTTGCTCCAGGGGGCGGTCTCGTTCCAAGCGGAGCCGATCTGCATGGTGACGGCGGCGTTGCGGAGAGCCGGGAAGACGGCGTTGGAGACGTTGGTTGGGTTGGAGACATCCATGCCGACGCCGACGGCGATGACGCCCTGCGAGGTGATGGTGCGGAGGGCAGCGGCCATGGCAGTGGCGTTTTGGGTCAAGGTCTCGCGAGGGATCAGACGACCACCATACTGGTACTCGGAGACACCAAGGTTGCCGTAGGGCAGGGGACCCATGTAGGTGTTGTAGTGCTCGTAGTACGAGTCGAACTGGGTGTAGGTGGCGGAGTAGGTGATGTTGAGGGCCGTCAGGGCGTTCAAGAAGGGGGTGAGGGTCTTCTGGACGTCTTCCTTGGTCTGGTTGTAGGCAGTGAAGGGGTCGATGAGGAAGATGGCGTCGGTCATCTGGTAGATGACGGTGGCACCAGAGTCAATCATGGCAGGCAGGAGCGAGTGGAACTCCGAGACAGCCTGGAAGAAGGTATCGGTGGAGATGTTGGCAGCAGTGAACTCGACCATGGCACCGGCGATGGTGGCATCGGCGTGAGCCTTGACGGTCATGGAGAGGACGACGGCATAGTTACCGGCACCACCACCGCTGAGAGCCCAGAAGAGGTCGGAGTTCTCCGTGCGCGAGGCCGTAACGACAGTGCCATTGGCAGTGACAACCTCGAATTCCAGAGTGTTATCGGCACCGAGACCAAACTCGGTGCTCAGAGCGGAGTGGCCACCACCCTGGGTGTAGCCACCGGCCAGACCGACGGTAGGGCACTCGCCGGTGACGACGACGTGGCCCTTGGCATGCGCAGCAGTGAGGATCTGGTAACCGACGACACCGGCACCGACCTTGAAGGCAGGACCCTCGTAGGTCTCGCTGGACCAGTCCTTGTACTCAATATCGGTCATGTGGTGGGTCCAGACCGAAAGAGCACCGGCACCGGTTGAACGGCCGAGGTAACTGTGATGATCAGCAAAGTTCCATGGGAATGAGACCGGGGATGAATCTTACTCATGGCCAGTGTTGCGGATGACGAAACGGATGTTGTTCTTGCGGGCGAACTTGACAGCGGCCACGACGTCAGTCGCGGAGGAGACGTTGACGGCGTAGTCGACATAGTTGCCGAGTTCACAAGGGCGGGAGGTAGCAGTCCAGGGATCACAGCTCTGGTTCGCGAAGAAGGTCTGCATGACCGACGAGGAGGACTCCAGGTGCGTCTGGGGCAGAGTCCAGTTGGTCTTGAGGGCCGCACAGGCCGCCGCATCATAGGTCGGGGCATGGCAGGGAGTACCAATGGGCACAGTAGCGACCAGACGACCGCCGATGGTGCTGTTGAGGGCAGACCACGCCGAGGTGGAGGGCCAACAGCCGTCACCGGGCAGACAGTGACACTGGTCCGCGACCGCAGTGGAGGCCAAAGCCCAGAGAGATATCAACCAAGCCTTCATGATTATGGAGGTGGAGGCGGAGACGGAGGTGGAGGTGGAGGAGAAGGATGAATGGAAAGACAAGAACAGGACAAAATGGTGCCGATCGGGAGTTTATTTAACGGGGATGGGACCAGCACTTCAACATTCCCCAGGGGCCCTCGGTCTATTGAGATGGCGAACGAGACCAACGGAGCAGTTCCCTTTCGCGTGACAGAGCCGACGGTGGATCCTGGAGACCGATGATTATTCGAAATATCGGGATAATTTACATCTTCCGGGGTTCTCCCGGCTCTGGATCACGTAGTCGATGGATTCCACCCAGGATGGAACCTGGTGCGTGCGCCATCGGTTAATCAGAGTTGATCAGAGTTGATCGAATCGGCAGCAGCATCGGCATCAGAACCGGGAGATCAGATTTACGCCATAACCGAGTGGCAACCAGACAGGATGGTAGAGTCGGTCGAGGACCTGATGCTGAACCCCAGACTCGATGTGCAGAAGCTTCACGATTCGCGATCCAAGCACCAGACGAACAAGCCCGGGAGAGCCATGGACAGCCATGTGCGGGTGGCACAAATTTCAAGGCACAGCCGAGCAATTTAGATCGGGTGTCTCAGTCCCGGTGAGGGCTGGGCCCAATGGAACTGCAGTATGTGATGAAAAGTGGAGGACGGTGGGTCCCGGTGGATCCACGGACAGATGAAAGTGGATGCAAGTGGATGCAGGTGGATGAACGTGGAAAGAGCGTCCATCTAAGTTTTGCACGCTGCCACGGTCGTCGCTTCTTTTTTGGGTCGTGGTTTCTGCATTTGGCCAATTCACGTCCCCGATTGGGTGATCATCCGGATATCGCCAGCCCCAAAGTCAAGGCTTCTCTGGAAACTCTGCACCTGGGACCTGGGACCTGGGACCTTGTACCTGGGGCTTGGTACCCTGGCTCCTCTCCAATCTCCCATCCTCGTGTTGCGGAACTTTACCCTTGGGTGCCTGATTTCGAGGATGTGATGCGACTCTGGCACTCAATTCCGCACAGTTGAAAAAAAAGCCCATCCCCCCCCCCCCCCCCTCAATTCCCCAGATCTTCACGCCACTATTTTCGACTCGTGCCTACCATGTCTGATAAAGGTCCCGAGTTGGAACGGGGCCTCTGGGCGGCGGTGATCATCGCCACGCTGATCGTGATCTTACGTGTCTTTGCTAAGATTAAGATCAACCGTTTCTTCGTTGACGATGTTCTCATGATCATCGCCGTTGTATGTGTGGTTCTACCATTGGTCTGCTAGCGCTGTCATACTAATTCTACTTCCTCCAGATCTTGGCAATTGCCTCGACAGTGTTCCTCACTCTTTCCGTTCAACATGGCTTTGGAAAGCCCCTCGGCAAGCCCTTCACCCATGATACCTCGCTCGTTCTGAAGTATATCGCCATTCAAATTCCACTCGTTACCTTAAGCACCACCATCGCCCGAACCGCTTTCATTGTCTACTTGGTGGCCGTGCTGGGCACCAACAAAGGCTATCAGGTCGCCTTATGGACCGTGCTTGTCATCCAGCTGATTGGGAACATCGCATCCGCGGTGTTGCCCCTCAGCATCTGCAAAGATGTGAGGATTCTATGGGATCCCACCATCGAGACCACCTGCGGTGATCTCACGGCCGTCATCAATTTCGCCTACTACTCCAACACCTTCAATTCTGCCACCGATCTTTTCCTAGCCCTCTTCCCCACCATTGTTTTCTGGAACCTCAATCTCAAATTGCGCATCAAAGCCGGTTTGATCGTCCTCCTCAGCCTGGGCGTTGTGTAAGTCACCCACATTTAGACTATGTTGGAAACTGAAACTAACAAATCAGCGCAATGGTCGCCTCAATTGTCAAGACTACCAAACTCACGACCCTCCCCAGCATCACAAATCTCGGCACAGCCGGCGGCCTCGAACTGATCCGCTGGGGTTACATCGAAAACGCCATTATCATAATTACCTCTTCAATGCCCTGCATTCGACCACTCATCATTTCCTCCGTCCGCAAAATCTCCAGCGCAACCCGCTCCTACGAACTAAGCGGGCCCTTTAGCAACAACCGCCGCACAGACCAATACGGAAATACCAACGCATCCCGGCGCGCCCGACGCTCCCACAAGTCCCGCGACATGGAACTAGGCAGTGTGGACCGGATTCTAGACCATGAACATAGCGCACATACTAGTAGAACTGCAGTGGGACGGGACTCGAATTCGCCGACGAATGATCTGGGGATTACGAAGCAGGTTGACATTTCGGTGATTACGGATGATAATGCGAGTCGGTCAACTAATGATGGGCTTGAGTTTAGAGGGTTATAGATGATGAAGAGCTTGGGGAGTTCATATGATATATGATCTGGGTTGTTCAAATGTTACGCGTGTATGCATATGTCTCTTTAAATTTCAATGTTCTAGCCTTCAATATACCATACCTTTTGACGCGGTACGCTCCCAAAGAAAAAGCACCCGTAGCTTGTCTCTCGTGGAGTCTTAGTGCTCTTCAACACCGGACTATTCCCGAGCCACCACTTTTCTGTGGAATGGACCACGGATGTAGCCCGAGCAGTCGCTATAATCATCGGAAGATCCGAGTAAGAAGGTAAAGAAGAAGGTTCGAACTACTCATCGCCGGAGACAGGCCGAAAGATCGTGGTAGAAGGTTTAGACTATTGACCCCCAGAGACCCGACAAGGCATAGCGTTCCAGGAATGTGGTTCAAGACATTCCAAGATTCTTGTCATGAATTTGAGTAGATCGGCTCCACCGCGTGGGACGGAAGTACGTGCGTGAACCGTGGATAACATTTGACATAAGGCATTGGGAATGACTGGAGAAGGTATCGTGTTTCCATACAAGAGGTGACGTTGGAGTGTTCAAGGTCTACCTTGTAGTATTTGGATTTGTTGCGATCAATCGTAGACCCACTGCCTGCAAAACAAAAGTACCTGCATGAACGATGGGGGACACTATTAACGTAGGCTTCCGGTGAAAAATAGACGAGTAATAGCGTGCTAAGAAGGTATTGAAAATAAAGTAAAGTCTTCAAGGCTCTCTATACTTAGCACCACGTGGTAATCTTCACCTGCGCCAAGCATGGTGAAAAATTTGAGATCAATCTTTGGCAATGACCCGAAAAGGAAAAGCGTTCTACGCAAGCAGAGCACAGCTTTGTCAAGAATTCTGCATACAGAATAGTGCTCGCCGCCTTGCTCTGTGTGATCCAAATAAATGTTCTAGGAAGCATAGTTTTCACGCCAGGTCGTACTCATAACAATACTAGTCGATTCTAGACACCTAGATGGAAGCACTTGGCGCACGCACCAGCTCCTTCTCGAACTTCCTCAGACCACTTGCTGTGGATGAGGGATTTTCTGAAAGGGAAGTAGCTAGAGTGGGACCCACTATGGAAGGTTCGAAGCGGAAGAACGCGCACGTTCCAATCTACCAGTCATCCGGAGGATGGCCGGATCCGAGGTGGGATAGCGTCTCACAAGGCATTGAAGGCCTCTTGCAAAATCTCTTCATGATGATTAGTTAAAGGTTACCCGCCTGAAAGTATAATGGCATGCACATATAGAAGAGGCGCACGTACTAACGTGAAGAATGTCCAAAAAGCTTATCGGAGTCGACCAGACATGGTATGGTCCTCACAAGGATTGGACAGGGATGTTTTTCTACGCCGTAAATAGTGCCTCCGGAGTCCGAGCCAGTCGACCCACCGGGGGAAAGCGTGGAAACAAGTGCGGAAGTAAGCGCACAAACCACAGTGGATACAGTGTTCAAGCCTTACCGGCGACGGCCCGACATGGCATAGCGTTCGACAAAGGGATTGAAAGCGGCCTCTTCTAGATTGTCATAGTAAACACCACCATCTCCAGGATCATTGTCATTCTAAACAATGACACTAGTTAGTCAGAGAGACCCACAAGAAGAAGGCAAGTGCACGCACCATGGCGTCGATGACCAATTGAATGGCCTCACGGATCTCATCGACTGAAATGTCCCGGTCACTCCGGGACTTGCGCTTTTCTCTTGCCATTTCTAGGCAGAAAATTTTCAACTCCAGAAATTCCTTTCGCTCGTGTTCAATTCCCGCGGGATCGTGGCGCCTTGGCTGAATGAGTACCTCCCTATCGGACTCATCTGGATCCTTTTCTCCCGGACGAGTGTGTCCAGACCTGTTAGCACTATTTTCTATCTCCGTGCTATCCCTTTTGGGTCTATGAGTCTCTACTGCCGGAAGGGGAAGGTCGTCGAGGTCATTGAAGTCAAGGAATGCCTCGCTGTCATTCTCAAAATGTAGATCTAGGACGCAAGCCAGGTCGGGTGCTGGCCTTGGCTCTTTTGAGTCGGATTCCGAGGGCACTATATCGAGGTCTTTAGGTTTGCCGAATGACACTCCGGGGAAGCCGGCTTCTACCTGGGTACGAGTGAATTTCGGTACGTCCAGTTCATCCGAAGATTGCACTTGATCCAGAGAGTCGAGAGATCCCGAGCTATTCGAGGAGCGAGGCAACTTGGGTTCCAGCCAAGAAGGACGTCCAGCCGTCCGATGTTTCCTGTTGAAAGACGACTTGAATGCTTTCTTCAAATTGTTCATCATGCCGAGAATGCCGGATTTACTGGTTTCAGCAGCGCGTTTGGAAGGCTCTGCCACATCTGACAGGCTCCTAAGAAATGGATCAAAGTAGCCGGGACGGTCGTCGTCAGCTCTGATATCCTCCTTTGTAACTGCAAAGTCGATCACGGCATTTTGACGGGCGTAGTAATGGTCGGTATGGTTGAACAGGAATTCAACGATTTCCTCTTGGCCCGATTGTATTGCCAGCTGAATGAAGGGATCAAGATGTGCAGACTCAACATAAGAGCCAACGGGCCAACGGGGTATATGTTTTGTTCCGTGGAGATATTGATATTGATGTCTCTGCCTCCTTGTAAGAGACTGTATTTGATCGAGTTGACCTGCCTCAATACAAGCGACAAGCGCGCCGTTATAAATGGCATAGTCTTGTAGTAAGGTTTCACCGTGGAGTTGGGTTATTATCATCATGTTTCGCATTGCCACAACGAAGCCATTTGCACAAGCGTAGCGAACGGCCTGTCCCAGAACGGGTGATTCTACACTGCCACCACGGCCACGGTCAAAGGTCGGGGTACAAGCAGGGTAGAACAATATGTTTTTGCCTACAATTCGTCTTGCATTTTTGGCATCGATGTAGAGAGAGGTTTCTGGGTCACGGGGAAGGTATATGAGCTTGTCGATAGAGGCGTATATTCCGAGAGTGGTCACCTGTGCCGTCTCGGTTTGACATAACATGTTCTTGGCCAAACTAAGGAAATTTCTTTTCTCTAGATAGTCGACATAGTCACGGATATTGGTTTTCCAGGAGCTTCTGGGTTTCGCTGGTATTGGAGGCCCGTACAATGTCTCCTCATCGGGGAAGGTTATCTGAATATATCTTTTGGCAATAGCGGTGGTCTCATCGCGGGCATCTTGATCTGAGAAGTGCAGGTATCCTTTCCGTGCTGGGCTATTGAAGAAGTCCTTTACCGTACGATGAATGAACTGAAGAATGTCGTCGGGACCAATGTCGGTGTCATCTCCCTGATCCAAAATGTGCCGAGGAGTTCGACGCAAGGGTACGACTTCGATCAGCGGGCCACATTTGCGGCGAAGTAGTCGACGGAACCCGACCCAGGACTTTATTGGTATCAGGTTTTCAACAATTGGGTCCATAGTCGACTTTAAAGCAGCTTTCACATCGATTGGGACCGCTAGAGCTTCCCACATCTCCCGAAGCGAAATCGGCAAGATGGTCACGGATCCGGCGATCAATATCAAGATCATCCGAGTTTTGGCCAGCTCCTCGGGACTTTGCTGCTTCTGAATTTTGTCTATGATATATTCATAAAACATGTCGAGTTTCCGCGGTAGCCCTCTCATCAGGTTGTCCAGTTCCGCAAAGGTCGACAGCCCACCAGAGGCGTGATCACTTAATTCTTGCAGAATGAGAGTAACCCAAAGAATAACACCATCGGCATTATCTTTAAGATATGATCGAATGCTTTTCAAGGAAGTCTCTTCTTTGCTGGCCACTTGCATGGACTTGACAATTCCAAGGCCTTTGTATTTGCGCGGCTTCGCATTTTTCAGTTTCGGTTCCTCCTCCGACTCGTAAGCATGTAGGGATTCTCGTAGAGACTCAAGGCCTCTGTCGATAACCATATTGATGTCATTCTTATTTTCAAGCTCCAAAACAATCCTGTAGGCATCAAGACAGCAAGATTGGAATCCAACAAAGTCCATTTCGATGACAGGATCTGGGCGGCTGAGGACAATGAACTTCATTTTGGACTGTTGAATGTCATAAATAAGAGTTGTCAATAGATACATGATGCTCCGTGGCCGACAAGTCTTGCAGATCTTGGGATCGTTGACAAGTGCATGGGTTTCGTCCATTGCATCGACGATGCACACCATTGGGAGACCCGTGGCGCTGATCTCATTTAGCAGACCCCTCAGGGTCTGGGCGTCCCATTCATTCTCAGGATGAGGTGACCTTTGACGATAATATGGGGCTGCCACTTTAAAAAGATCCTCATTCTGATAGAGTAGTTGATAAAGGATGGATTGCAAGAATGCTGCATGTGCAATGCCAATCTCTCCACCCCTCGAGTTGAAGAACCAGTCAGCGACCATGTGCCCTGAACTATTTGAGCGGACCATTGGTGATGCTGTTTCTCGCTTAATCCCATCGGTTGAAGTTATGAGCCCTGTGGAATTTCGTTCCAATGAGGTTGGGCTGAGTCTTCTCTGTAGTGTTTTTGCAAGAACAGACTTGCCGCTCCCTGGTTTCCCTTCAACCCATAAGACCCCAGATTCTGATTCCTTCCATCTTTGGTAGCCTTTGTTGCTCCAGATCCAGTTATTTGTCTTGGTTTCGGCATCTATCACCTGGTCACGCCTAGCGTTCCATTCTGGAAAATATAGCGACTGGAGGCACTCTGCAAGAACGAGTTAGATTTTGGATAGACAACGTAAACAAAATCCAGTTCACAAACCTTCCCTTTCTGTGTTGTCTTGGACTGTTAACAGCTTTGAAAAGGGTGAGCTATTCGCCAAGTAAGAACGGGGCGTCCCTGTGATGAATGCAGGAAATCTCAGCTCCGCCTTGGGAGTCTCATTCTGAATCATCCCGAGAAAAGTCTGCATATAGCTAGTGCCATCAATCAGATGAGCATTATCAATAGCCAAGACATCGAGACTCTGAGTGGCTTGGAGCAGACCAACAAGGAGTTCTAATATCAAAACTGTGATCTTATTCTCGCGCCCCTGAACTCTCTGCAGAAGAAAGGCTCTTTCACGGCTACCTATTTGCATGAGACGGCGCTGAAAAGACATTGAGTCTTTACAATCCATTAACAAGAGCTGATAGATCAACGACCACATCACCTCGTTGCATGGTATTTGACTATCTTCTGAAGTGTCGAGATTGTCTGATCGCTCGGATTTGTCGCATTGGACGTAAAGTGCTCTGGAAAGCTCTCGCCCGGCACCAAGTTGTGGCCCTGCGAAGCAGCTATACTTTCTTGACTGGAGATGGGCAAGAGCCGCACCCACGCTTTTGCGAGATGGCAGAACACGGTGGCGATTCCCCTGGTACCAGAGAAGACCAAAGCCTCTCTCCTTCCATGTCTCATAGTCCCGAGTGTGCTTGAGCCATTGAAGATCATCTTTGGTGGAGTGGCTATCCTCGTCATTCAAGTCTGAAATGTCAGATTCAACGGCTTTCAGAATGTGTGTCTCTATCAGTGACAGCCCTGACCAGGAAATCAGCAAATGCATTAATACTACGACTAATTTAAGCAAATGACATACATTCACGCTCCTGCAAGTTGGATGCACATTTCTTGATATCGACCAGAACCTCTTCCATCTGCACATAGTTCCTGGTTGCTGCCTTGATAGCACCCAACTGAGATGCTTCTTCGAGCCCGATGTTTTCCAAACCACGGACAACGTTGAATCGGAACGCCTTGTCTGACTGGAACAGCTGGGTATGGTGTTTGCGGAATATACCCGCGGTTGCCTCTGTCTCGAGCGCAATGCTTTTGAGTGCCCTGGCAACATCCTTCAACCCGGGACCAAAAGCCTCGAGAGACGGAATACCGGTTCCAATAGACACTAGACATTTGATGTTGTTTTCCAGCTGATTGTCCTGCAATCCCCACACATCCGCAGCCTCGGACCACATGTGCTGAATAGGATTGTTTGCCCCCGTGGCGCCGTCGACAAAGGTCTCATCGCTGATTGTAATCGGCTCGAAGAATGTCGTCGCGGCGGATGTGGCTCTGGCGGCTTCCCAGATCTTCGTAGAGTTTAATAGATCGGAGCCTCTCCGCTCGTTATAATAGCTTGACAGAACGACGGTTTGAGCGGTTGCCCGGCTAGTAGCACACACGAAGCTACGCGAGAATATCAGCACCACATGACTACTTCACAGATCAAGGTTCTTACGTCTTGCAGTCCTCCACAACTGAAGCCTTCAGCAGAGACTCGGAATCGATCGCGTTCTGAGAAAGAAGTTCCTTGATCCCGGATTCCATCGCGTCATGGTCAAATCGGCCTTGCGTTTCACCGTTAGAAAGCTTGATCCGATGTCTGATGTGGGTGAAGATTGACGGTGCCAGAGCAGAGTACGCCTTGATGCATTCGTCCACAGTCATTTTCATACGCCCCAGCATCAAGGCGATCAGTCCTCCAGTGGAGGTGCCACCGATCATATCGAAATAATCACATGGTCGAGGCGGGTTCAAAGGATCGATTCCCTCCATCAAGCGCTTGAGAATCAAAAGCATGGACAGACCGCGAACACCTCCCCCGTCCAAGACCAACAGGCATAGATCTTTCTTTGGGGCTGAGCCGCCTGTGCTTGTCGCCATTTTTTGTTGCTGCATATATTGCCTGAGTCCCCACCCCAGCATGCTAAGGGTTTAAATCTGGCTACGAAACCGAGAAGAAAGGTATTTTGGAATGGAGGGGAGGGCGGAGTGCATTATAGCAAGTCCGAAATACGAGGGGCGCCCTCAGCCTCACAGGGTGTCAGCACCTGCAGCGCGTGAGGCTAGTATCAGCGAACGAATCAATGCGCTCGACTAGCCGCTAAATTATACCTGGGTAAATCAACTAGCGTGACATCAGCCTCGATTTCAAGCTATGGGTTTACAGACAGCTTCACACGTTTCATCGCATGTTCAAGGCACCGCGCTATCCTTTCAAGTGAATGGCTTGGGGATTTCTAGGTTACTCGGGGATTTTTACCGAAAGGCGGTTAGATAGAATGATAGAGTTAACCATTTCATGATGTCTTTGGAAACTGGGGTATCTTTAAGATGCAGGGGCAGAATAGCAGTGAGCATGACCGCCGAGGTGTGCCACATCATGCAGTGAACATGATGAATATTTCGGGAAGCTTGCATTGAGTCATGCCGGGTATATGTAAGTCAATAAGGATGGAAATTCCCGCAATTTAATGATGATCGTCAGCCGCTTGCCGAACCGCGTAGTTCAGGCCCACGCAGTCAAAAGCTCTCCATCCATCTGGTCTTCATCCATTTGATCCTCAATCGGATGATCATCGGCCATCTTGTCTCCGCCAGGCTGAGCCTCATCCAGCCGAGCCTCCTGCTCATCGAGCTCTTTCCCGTCATCCTCCAACCGTTTGTAAACCTCCTGAGACCAGTTGTAGTCATCCGTAGCCGCAGTGTAGATATCGGGATATGGATCGTTGACATTCCGGGGCGGAATAGCCTGAGGGGGCCGTGGCTGGGAAAGAGACGTATCACTAGTCTGAGGATCCAGATTGATCGCATGATGAAGATGTCTGTCTTTGAATTCGAGGTCCACATCGAATCCGCTGCCGTAACCGAGCCCAGGGTGATCACTTTCCCGTATGACCCTCTTCTTCCATACACGACGACTCTGTCCAAGGAGATGACGCACGACATTCCGGCGACGTTCTTGATGAAAGGTTTCAAGATTTTTTGATATGCCGCTACTGAATGTGACTGCCTCGAACTCTAAGGCCTTAACGTCATAGTGTCGGAATTTGTGTGGTTGTGTTGGCTGTGGATGACGGATATCAGAGGGAAGCGAATTCATTGCATCTCCTTGACGGGCACGTTTTGGAAATGGTTCAGGGCTAGTCGATGAACTACCTAAAGTGAGTGTCTCTGAGTCAAGATCAGAAATGCGGAGTTTAACATTCTCTGGAGCACTCATAGCTTCTAAGTAGCTTGAGCGAGCGGCCACGGGAATCGATCGCATAAACCCCGTTCGTGCAGCCTGGGGAGCCTGAATGGCTCTTGGAAGACCAGCAGCTTTCAAATGAGACTGTGTGAGGCCTGGCCCAATGTCCAGGGCACTGATTTCGCTTTCACAGGGGATGTCGATGCGACTTCGTTTCAGATCTGAATGATTCGAACACCGTGGAGCGAGAGCAGGAGTGGGAGTGGAACAATGGTCAAGATAGGAAGAGTAATCAGGCCTTGGATCGTTTGGTGCTTTTGGAGCTAAGAGTATATTCTCATCGTAGATTTCTGCTTTGATCTCAGGTGGGCTTAGGCTTAGCTTCACTCGGATGGGCTTTCTGACCCCCCAAGAGCCTGGCAGTGAGGGACGGGGGGAAGCAAAATAACCACTGACCTTGCCAGCAAGTGCAGGAGATTCAGGTGTTGACATGACTGAAGTTGGTGGAATCGAAGGGGGAGGAAACATGAGACGAAGATGGGTATCTCCGCAAAAGGAAGGATCAAGGCAGCTCGATTCTCACAAATGCTCTGATTAGTCTTGTCTTCACCGACTTACTTTCGTCGTAATTCACAATCTACAAAATGTTACAACAAGTGCTCATACCATGGTTATCCAAGTATGTAAAAGCAGTCTCAATATCTCATATGTGCAGGAATGTCGATGAGAGATCTGTATGCCCGTGCTACGATTGATTAGATCTGGTAAAGTAGAACATAACATCTATGTATCTGGATCATAAGAGTTCTATTCGATCAAAGTACATTTGGATCCAGAAGCTGGTAGAAATATAGGTCTCCATGAAATCTATACGCATTCCGGGCGTGCCCAGGGGGAAAAAAGCTCTGAACTGAAACTTGAAAAATATGGCAACACCCACAATTGCTAGACATGCCTGATGACACAGTCCTTCTAAGGCGTCAGATTCATCATATCGTCTGCGAGATACGGATTTTTGCGTAAATAATGAGTGTTGGTCCCTGTAGGAAGGTCCAAGTTAAGTATATGTGTCTTAACATCTGACACTTAACTCGTTTTCGTGCCTCGGGGCCTTGATGTAGTCCTTGGAATGGTTGGTCTGTGATAAGTTATGATCACATCTGTGTTCGCAGTGTTAAAATTTTTGAGATCGGTTACTAAGTCTAACGACCCGCTGGTCTACAGATTGAGTTGATGAATGCTCCAATCCAAGGCAACCTGAAGCCTCTTTTCTGTCCGCAAGCGGGCTTTTGCCTTTTCCAATGAAACATCCTCGTGTTGGCTGATCCTGAGCGTAGGTCAGGCGTCAGATGATTGCACAGCGTTGAATTATTGCCTCAATATCATGAAGAATCCCGTGCGGTGCTTGTTCATTGTAAGCTCAATATCTACCCTACGCACCGCGCCCACTATGAAAGGATGGTCAGACCGCCCTCGTCGAGCCTCCAAGCTGCTGATTGCCCAATTCTTTGCCTTGTTAATAAATGTTTTAGACTGATTCAGTATGATATATCTCCCAAAGTATTATATGGCTGTCAATTGGCTTCCATTACAAGATTGAAAGGAATGGAAAATAACGATAGGACAAAGATGAATACATTCGGAAAAGGGTTTAGGACCAAGGCAGTTCCATTTTATCGAAGGCTTTAGCCAGTCTATGCAATTCCCTATGCAATGCGCATTCTCCAGATGTCTACTGAAGACAAAAGATAAAGAAAAGTCATCACACGTGTCTGGCAGGACCGCCAGAGAAAAATGACATGAAATCAGAATGCATTAAATTGACATTCCCATGTCAAGTCATAAGTTGGACGAAAAGACACCTTTTTTATTTCCATGAAAAAACGCCAGTTCGCCCAAGAAATTGTGCATCACCAGATGCAAGAAATCACCACATACACCCTTACCAACGACCATTTCAAGCATCGGTGCTCATTTTAACGTCTTCACCAACGCGCAATTCAACAACGGGTAGTTCATCATCGGAGTCGTCCCCAAGAAGGGGAGGAGGGACGTCCTCGAAAGAACCCTCCTGGATGGAGGCTGGGCGGGAGCTGAGATCGCCGAGACGGGTATCAGCCTCCGAGTTTCCATCTCCAACAGCAACGGTGCTGTCGTTATCTCCAAACAGATCGGCGTCCGCGTCGTTGACGGTGGCCTCTCCATAGGAGGGCGAATTGTTGGTACGATCAAAAGACCACGATGGCTGCGCGAGCATCGTGTCCAAGGACTGCGAACTTTCATCATCGGCGGATGGGCGAGTTGCTTCGGCTCCGGCTGAGCCGCTCGACGATCCATTGGGCGAGCCGCCGAGGCGCTGGCGGTCCCCCGACGGAGAGGGTTCGCGCGAAATTTCCATGTCAGGCTCGTCCAGCCTCTTCCGGTACTTAGAAACAATTTTCTGCAGTTCAGGTCCGCCAAGAGGCTCGGAACTCTGGCGGCGGTAGAACAGAAGATATGCCTGCGGAGTAATCACATCCTCGGGATCGTCGATGACGCGGGCGAAGCTGTCTGCATAGGATTAGAACACATGATAAAAACAGAAAATAAGGGTGGGGAGGAGCCTACCGTTGAAATTGCACCATTCACCTGTGATGAAGTTTTTGGCGTGAGCATAGTAATGTCCACCGCCCATGCCACCAGTGTGACAATCGACACCGATGAGGTCGTACTTCAGTGATCGCCCATCTTCAGGGCCGGTGACTCGGTCAGTCAAGTCGAGATCAGTGACTGGGAAGCGAACCTTGGTAGTCAGCTTTCGGCGCAGGCTACCAAAGCGCTTCAAGTGCACCACAAGGATATCGGGGGCCGACCACAGCTCGAACTGCTTGCTGGCCTGAACAAAGCCCTTGCAGCTGGGGCAGTACCAAGCGTCATTCTCCCCAAGGATTTCAACCTTGCTGAACTCATCTAGGCACTGGTCGAGTGTAGTACCCTTAGCCTTGTCCGAGTCGACCTGGGCACGGCGAGCGATAATCTCAGGATCCCTGGGAATCTCGATGTTGGCATCAGTATAAGTAGCAGCGCCTCGAAGATCATCCTTCTTTTTGTTACCACCGAACAGAGCGTCTCTGGCATTGTCGTTCCAGTCAAGAACAATCGCCTCGCCTTGCTTGACCAAGCCCCAAGCAGAGGCACCGTGGGATTCACTGCCAGAACCATCGGTATCGCTATACTCATCACTGTTGTCGTCGGCAGAGCCGTTGGACTTGTTCACGTCCCTGGCCCGAGTCGTCAGGGATTGGTATTGCTTGGCTGTGTCAAGCGAGTGTCCATCGGGGATTGTGCCACTCTGGCGTGGGCGTTGGGGCACAACCCGGACATCGAAGAGATTCAAGAGACCAGGTGCAAAGACGTTGGCCAGAGGGTGAGCCGGAGGTGCATCGGCGACATCGGTGTCATCGGTGGTAGCACTGGGAGTCTGGGCCGCGTCTTGCATAGAAACATCCACAATGCTGTCTTCTCCTTCGACGGATGATGTCTTGATTCTGGAGTCAACAGACTGGGCATCGTCCTCAGTCATCACCACAGTGTCGAGATCTTCAGGAGTCTGTTGACCCTGGGCAGATTCAGGTTGGGTCTCGTTGAGGATGTCGCGGGTGGTCATAGTGGCAACATGCCGCAGAATCTTCCGGTAGATGGCGGCCAAATCCTGAGATTCCTGGCGAGTGATAGAAATGATAGTCGGTGTAGCAAAAGGCGTTCTCTTGGCCCGCTTAGTGTATTGGTTGACATCATTCTTTCGGTGGAAAATGGGAATGAGAATGGATTCCTCCTTGGGAGAATCCAGCTCCATAAAGGTGATCTTATCATCCTGTCGGATACCAAGTTGGTCGTACGAGACATGGGGCTCTTCATGAACGTGGAAGAAAGTCGAACCCATTACATCTCCGGAGATCAGTCTGCTGGCATCGATATCGCGGGCGCTCCGCGTGGCAACCGACTTATGCCAATCCAGAACGGGGCGGCTCTTATTAGCCTCAACTGTGAAAGCCACGGGAGGCTTGTCGAGTGCCATGTAGACAATCTGCTTGAACACAATTTGAGGCTCCGGGATGGGGAGGGTCAAATTGCTGAAAGGATCGAAGATGATGCTGACTTTATGACAATCGGGGCAAACCAGTGTTGATTTGTACATGCCGGCGAAAAGGTCGCAGACTACAGAGTCATTGCGGGCCTTGTAAATATCCCATTGTTTCGCAGCAAACTCTTCGAGCGCTTTCCTGTTGCGAACCATTTCATCGGTAGAGTCAGGCTTCTCAATATATGGCTTCTTCAGAATACGATTAAGATCTTCCGACAGACCGTCCAGAAGGAACATCAGGAACTCCTGACTGTCATGCTGCTCGAAACCAGACATAACCGGATTGCACCGTCCAATCGTGTTCCGGAATCGGTTGGGGGTGACCGATGACGGTGTCGGCTCGACATAAATAGATTGGATGAGATCAGCGTAAGACTTGGCGAGTACACCCTTGTGTCCGAGGGGGTTGTTGTGGTTCAGCTCCTTTTTGTGCGCGTTGCCTGCAGAATGGAATAAGTATCAGTCAATTTCGGCGTATCTCAACCATGACATACTCATGAAGTAGTAGCTCAATTCCTCGACAGCTCGAAGACACTGAGTAGCGGCGTTCTGATAACAGGTATTGCCAAGGTTTGAGAGACCAGTAAGGCCCATCGGGCGACCACCCTTCTTCCGGCCGCGGGGGATCTCAGAAACTGGGCTCGATCGGCCACTGGTCGCCGGGCTGTTGGCGGTAGAGGTGGTAGCAGCAGTAGCGGAGGCGAGCTGTTTCTTGGATTTTTCAGGCTTTTCAGCTTTCTCCACAGAAAGACCGACACGCTGCAGTGCTTGGTGTGAGGCCTCAGACACCCACTTACCGCCCTTGGACCCGGCAACCTGCTCTTCCAGAACAACCACATCGGTACCGATCAAGCCAGCCATGCTCATAGACATCTTGCCGTTGTAATTGGCATTGTTGGTCTGGTCTTGAATATCGATTCTCTCGCGACTGGATTCGTTCAAGGCAGAGAACGTGCTAAGATCAAGAACCAGGCTTTTGTGCTGGTTTGAAATTAGGGCCGAGGTAGGTGCAGGAGAAGCGGTGCGAGAGACAGCCGGGGTAGTCGCGGTGGAGGGCTCGGCACTGGGGATGCCCCCCATGATTTTCCATACGCGAACCTTGCTCGCCATCTCAATACCAGCAAGCTGCTTAGCTTCCTTCAACCATTTCATGTAGCGGGTGTCGCGGGCTGCCAATACCTTGGCTGGCGGGAGGTTCTTCTCGCGGAGGACTTGGGGGGTAGTTCCCGCCGCGGGATTGGAAAGCTTGAAAATAGTGTAAATGGGAGGGTTGAGTTCGTAGAGGATGTTCTCAACGCCTTCTGGGTTGGTGTTGTGTGCATAGCGCACGATGACGGGCGACTGGTCAGCAAGGCCGTACCACTTCATGATGAGATCCCAGGCCTCCTGCGGAACAACCTCGTAATCCTCGCTGAGTTGCAGACCAGGGCGTAGAGGCACGAAATGGTCACCTTTCTCATCCTTGAAGTCGCGCTTCAGCGGGCCGAGGTCGAGGATGATGTCCGAGTTGTCAACTGGGCCTAGCTCGCTCTGCAACGATTCCTTGTCGGCTTTGTCGGCGTGAGTGCTGCTCCGCGCAAGGATCTTCTTCAGCCAAGATGAAGAGATCAAATAACCTTTCTGGCCATCCCGCGGGGGCTGCTGCATCAGCATAGAGATCTGAGCGACCTGGTCGTCGATGTTCGGGGTAGAGCTATCCTCCGTGGTGTCCATGCTCACGCCGCCCTCCGGATCAGTATCAATCTCGGACGCAGGGCGCTTCTCGCCCGGGGAAGGTGAGCGCCCCTCGCCATGAGGGGTGTCATCGCGTGCGTCGGGCATATCGGAATGTTCGCTCGAGAGGGACAGTCCGGCGGTCGCGGTCGCGGGTGTAGGCGAGCGAGCACCGGGCTTGGACTTGCCGGAAACGTGGGGCTGGAGGTGGGCGGGCACGTAACGAGGAGGAGACAAAGAGGCGCTGCTCCGAGGATTCGAGGCAGACGAGGAGCGCCTTGGTGGCAAAGGATGGACTGGCGGAGGCTCAGATTGGCCGTGACGTCGTGGCTCTCCTGGGCACTCTGGAGAAACCTTACGACGCTTTTGAGGAGACGTCGTGACGGTGAGCTGCGCACGTCGCGTGGCAGCTCGAGGAGATGAAATAAGAAATGGGGATGATGTCGCTACAGGGCTCTCCACACCTGCTCAAAGGTCGAAGCGGAGAAAAAAATTCCCTTACCGATTTTTTGTCGGGCAGAAATTAGTGTTCCGGGTCGGGGAAAAGCCCTATTTTCCTTGGTGGCGAGCTTACCACGGGAACTGACAAGAAATAGATGCGAAAAGAGTGCAAGGTGAAAAGAGAAGCGAATTAGATGGATAAGGAGAAGGGTTTCCAGTAAGAAAGGTTATGGTACTACCGCACCGCTGGAAAGAGTGTGCGGAACTGTTCTAGGTGTGGAGAACCCTAAAATGGCGTTGAACCAGTGTAGGTAGAGCTATTGAATATTGAACATATTGAAGCTGGTCAACGAACAACACTAACTATGGAGTGAACTACTTATAGCTTGTGATGGATTTGGAAGCTCAATCTAGGCCCCTTGCGGACGCAATGCTATGAATGATACAAGCTGCTTCCAGAGGAGGTGCGACACGCGTCAAGATGATAGTACTATCTGGATGGTATAGACAGATGCAAGCCATGTAAGTATAGTCGATAAGAGAACCAGGTATCTCGAAAGAAGTGGCTCACCACAATTAAATACAATAGCAGAAGACCCAGAATGCAGATATATTATGACAGTTCCGTTACTGAACACCAGCCAGGTGCTTGAACTCATTCCCAGGAGAACGCTTCAGAATGAATGCAACGTCAGCACGGAGCTCGATCTTGTTGTTGGGGTCTTCTTCTCCACGCTTGTTCACCGCGTCAAGGTCACCACGGTATAGCTTGGCATAGTGGGCACAATAGTCACAAAGCCGTAGACAACAGCCTCGAACGGCAGGGATATATCCTTCGAAGGACAATTTGTTGTTGTTCATGGCTTGGGGACCTGTGCATTGGTATGAGGCAGGCTCTCGACAGATGCTGCACCATGGGTATCCGGGAGAGGGAAATGGCTTTCCGGCGTGCATTGATCCTTCCTTAAGGCCCAGCGAAGCTTCAGCGAGTTCTTCAAACGCCGCACAAACCTCAAGCTTGTTCAGCGGAAGACCAGGCAAAGGTTCGATTTTGCTGTGGGCACAATCCAGAATGGCGACTCGATCTATGGTGCAGTTGATGCACATGCGACTTGGCTCCCTCCTATCTGTATATGTATATCGTTGGCCAGTACATGGGTCGTGGTAGACACCGGTGAGCTCGGGGCGCAATGGCTCATATCCCGCAATGCCATAAGCAAAATTGTAGCACCAGTCGCAAGGCTCGGATCCATCGGTGGGAATCTCATGCCAGACCGTCAGTGAATGTGGCAGGCTGTTCGGAGGCTGAAAAGCCCGGCTATCAGGGCTGGGGGTAGCCTCAGAGGTCCAAGATGGATTTGTGGTTGGGGTCGAGGTGTATCTTGTAATAATGGAGATCTTGCTCGGAAGAGTAATGTCAGACTCCGCATCGCTTTCAGGTGGCATCTTGATATGTTCCTCTAAGCCCTTAGGACGAGCATCCTCGCTGGGTCCATGAGCAAGATCGGTGACATCTAAATGTTTCGAGCTGGCCTCGCAGAGATTCTCGGTGGGCTGCTCCATATTTTGCTGAGAAAGTTGCATGACCGTCGGTGGATGAGAGTGTTGAGATTGACCCGCAGCACAGGGTGGCTGTCTCTTGGCTGGGCCCACGATGCAGTCGAATCCATGTCGAAAGCACCAGCGACACGGCTGACTATGATCATAGTCCCCGGAGCTGTAAGAGCATGGCTCTCTATGCTTTTTGCAGCCCTCACATGTGCGTTTCCAGAGAGCAGGAGGGTCAAGCTTGCATTCGAGCTTGTCCTGTCTACAATTCTGGCAGGGATAGTAGAAAGGATCTTTGGTGAGGGAGCACTCGATCTCAAGCTCCTGGCACGCAAGACAGGCGCCGTGGGAATGGGATGTATCAGACAGATCCGGCCCACCGGCATCAGTCTCGTAGTTCATCTTGACAGTCTTCACGTAGGTCTTTTTTGGCTTCTTGCGACTACGAAGGTTGTAGTCGAAGGGCGATGAGAGGAGAAATTCTTTCTCGAGATCGTAACTCTCTTTGGCCTCTCTATTCTGTTGCTCTTCTTCTTCAATTCTGCTCTCAGGGGATTCTGGAGAGAATTTTTGGTGTCGTTTCCGTGATCTAGATGAATTGTCACATCTTCGCCCAGATCCTCGCTTGCGCTTGGAATGAGGTGAATCTTCAATGGGATCGTATGTTTCGGTAATGTCGTTGTCAGTCCACGCCTGACCCATGGTGGAAAACTTAGCTTTGTCTCGGTGTCGCATGTAGTAGTAAGAATTGGATTCGATGAGAGATGCTGGTTCATGAGGTTGGGTTTGCGACCCTTGAGGTTGAGAGAAGGCCTTGACTGCTCGCTGAAACCTTTCAATGGTGTATTCCATAGTCGCGGGGTCTGGCCACACTAGTCGCTTGTTGGTGAGGCTTGGGGGTGGCTTTAGGGAAAAAAGATCAGCGAAGGTCACCTGCGTGAATAGCCAAATCTCATACTGCAAATCAAGTGTTGCCCGTGGGACCGATTCCCACATGAACCTTTCTCAGTATCGTGATACCTGTAGTCAAAAATGATAGAATCGGGGCCGATGAGCTCGTTGGTGTTCTAAGGCTGTAGTAGTATGGGGTGACTTGGGGGTCATCGGCGTGACAACGCCTGACTTGGGGAGCGCTCTTGAGGAGGTGAAATCACTCACTTTGACTCGCCACACTGCGAATGTTGCCCAGATATGTATGCAATAAACCGAATGATCATTCGTGGAAGGATGCAAAGTTAAGATGAGAAAGGCCAGCGGGAAGAGTTGGTATGATATGTGCAGAAGACAACACTTTTCTGGTCCGTAAACCACACGAGCCACTACATAAAAATGTTGGAAAAAAGCATGAGCGAGTGGCGCTTCGTGTTCAGGAGCTCGTCCTAAGAACCAGGACTATCGACACTCAATATCTTACGAAATACACAGAATTAATGAAACTGTCCCTACTCAGAAAATCTCCACCTCAACCACAAATGTGAAATTGAATATCAAAGAAGCCACTGTGATAGTAAAGTGAGAGCAACAACACCACCACCAGACAACAATGAAATAAGAAATAGCAGCCAACTTGGAAGCTTGTAGTAATCAAGATTCAACGTCCGTAGAACTCCCAAACGTAGAAGTAAAGTGAATGAAACATTAAAAAATGACGTTTTTGAGTAAGTCGAAACGTCCACATGGCATTAACGTGAGACAGAGTATTCCTTCTTCAGTCAGCAGCTCTCAACCTATTCAAATCCATAGAAAAGGGAGATGATTTCGGCATAACAGGAGAACGACGTGCCTCTTGGTGTGTTCTTATCACAACCACTTTTAATACTTGGGAATTCGAGTTGTCGAACCTCCGTCAGTCTCTGAGCGAACCCGAGTAATGAAACCGCCATGCACCTCCCCGTCAGCAGTAGCTGACCTAGAAACTGACACCACAGTAGTCGGAATTACGGTGGTAGCCGGCACAACCGTGGACGAATCCTCCCAGAATCGAGCGAGATTGGGAGCGACCTGAAGCACAACCAACGCTGTACAGTTGGGCATTGTTATGTTGCTCAGTGTTGCGTTGAGACGCAACGCTTCATGTTGCAGTAACCGGGATTTGGCTTGCAACTCCTTTTTTTTGGCCATTTGGCTAGGATATGTCAGGATGCAGTAGACGACAATGCCAACAAATGTGCCCAGTATCGCGGCCCAGAGGATCTTGCTCTTCAGCGGCGTTGACAAGATAACTGCCCAGCAGTCTTTCCTCGGACGAACCCTCCCCGGGATTATGCTTTTCACGACTGCTTTACGATCTTCAGTCAGTCTGGTCGCGACATGTCCCTCGTCAATTGCTGTGTATAATCAACTTTGCGTAAGATCTAGTTGTGCTTGTGGAGGGTACTCACGGCCTGGTTTCCAGTCCTCGCCATAATAAGCAGCGCCTAGATAGGCAGGGGAAGGGCTTTCAAGAACGCATTCTTCTTTTCCGAACATGCTCGATGCGAGCTTGTAATGTGCTTGAAAGGAGTATATAGTGGCGTAATGTGAAGCAATAGATGATGTTGAAGCAAGGATATGAAGGATGAAGGAAAGTGAGACTCGAGAAAAGACAGTAAAAGATTTATGGCAACAGATCAGAACCTCCGATGCTCGATATGATCGACCCTTTCCAAGCAGAGAATGTTGGGTCATTATTCGGGGCTAGTATATGAACATTTAGGAATAGTTGTTCCTTGGTGACCGATTCGGCCTGGTGGTTTCAGGTTGACCGTGGACTAACATCCGCACCTTCTTGCAGCGCCATTCTTACATACTGGCTGTTGGATGGAATCTCATTATTGATGTTATGCACAAAAACTATTTGTTGGATACTTTATCCGACCGGCTTCGGTGTTGGTTACACAAATGTCGCGGCTCTGGGACTAGCAAGGAGAAGCGTGTAAAAGAAGTTATGAGAAAAATTCACAATGTTGTATTAACAGCTGAGCCAGAAACTCGAGATAAGAGCCAACAGAAGATTGTGAGTAGTAAATCACATTTGGGCGCCTGTTATGCAAGGATCGAAGGAATTCCACGGTGACCGAGTATTTCCTAGTTTACATGAAGATCCAATATTTGGGAAAGCGCCTTTAAAAAGCGCCAGGGTATCCGAGCATCAAAAAAAGCGCCTCGAAAAATTATAATATGCAAGAAAATGGTAGGCCCAGGATGGCGGAAGGGCTGAGAGAGGAGTGTGAACACCAGGGAAGGCGTAGAGAGAATTCAAGCCCGGAAGTCGTACATGCGGACGTGGTAGTCGTCGCCACCAGTGATGAAGCGGCTGTCACTAAGACCGATGCAGTTGACCGCCGCAGAGTGGCCTTCGTATGTGTCTTGGCAGGTCGGGACGCGTGGGTCCCAGATCTTGACCATGCGGTCCATGCCGCCAGAGGCGATGCGCAGAGTGTCACCAGAGAGAGCCCAAATGCCCTCCAGATGGCCGAAGAAGGTGCGGAGGCATCGGCCGGTGTTGGTTTCCCACAGGCGAATGGTAGCATCAACACCGCTAGTGATGATGTACCGTGGGGGTTCCTGGCGGTCCTGGTCCTGGTCAAATGATGAGCCAAATGAGGATGGCTGCACAGACAAAGACTTCGATTCCAGAAGAGGAGAAAGAGCGTTGATAACGGTATCGCCATCTTTGAGGGACGTGTGATCATTCTCGCAGTCATCCAGATGGCTCTCAAGCTCGATCTCGCGAGGCAGGGGAATGACCTGCTGCACTGCACCGATGTGGTTGTGGAAAACTCTGAGACACTGCTTGGTATCGAGGTCCCAAAGGCGAGCTGCACCATCATCGCAGGCAGTCAAGACAGTGCGAGAGGCGGTATCGATTTTGACTGCGTTGACACCTTCGGGATGGGGAAGAATGAACGTAGACTTGTCCTTGAAATTCCAGATCTTGACAGTCCGATCTACGGAGGCAGATGCAAGAAGGGTCGCATCGAAGTGCAGCGCAATAACTGCCTCGGAATGGCCATTGTACTTGGAGAGACACTCTCCGGTACGCCAGTTCCATACTCTGATGCTGCGGTCCAGACTGCCCGTGATCAATTTGGTGTCATCGAACTGAAGGCAACGGACACCAGTAGTGTGACCGCGGAGAGTTCGCAACTCTTCACCGCTTTCCATGTCCCATATCTTGACCGTAGAGTCATACGAGCCAGTCATTAAGATGTTATCTTCGAATTGCAGACACATCACACTGTCGGTGTGACCACGGAAAACCTTGACCGAACAACGACGGTGCTTCCAGTTCATGCCAACCACAAATCTATCTCGATAGACGTCCTTCCAGGGGCGGTATCGGGTCTTGAAGTAGTCGTCATTCGGGTCAGGTTTGTAAGCTGGTGACTTGCAGTGACGCTTGATCATAGCACAGCTCTGGTCGTCTGTATCGATCTTGCGCTTGCCATTCACCGTGATTTCAACATCTGAGCAAGTTCCATTCGGCGCTCCGTCACCAAGAGGTTTCGAGGACTCATTTCCCCAATTGGTAGCTCGAAGTTCGATTTCGCGCTTCGATTCGCGCAAACGCTTGCGATCCAGTAGAGGAAGACCCCATCCGCACTTTGCGCACTTGCGACGGATATGTTGCTCGCACATACGATGCCATACAACATCATCATCAGCAAGGGCTCTCCAGCGATGAGAGACCTGCGCGGCGCGGCAAAGAGAGGCAGTGTCGAGATATCGGAGGATTTTGAAGGAAAGTTCGGGAGGAAGGGCGGTAAGGAAATCGATTCGAATCAGTTCGCGAACGCTGGCGGAGATGAAGGATAGCTGGGGGAAGCAGCATTGGGCCAAAATGCCCTGAAGCATTAGCTTGCGCTGCTTGGCCGGCGCGGCAGAGAAAAGTGACCAAACATGGGCAATGCCTTGCTGGTCACTTTGCGGAAGGGTATCAAGTTCGGTTTGCAGCTGGCGCATGGACTGCTCATCGGCCTGTCGTCTGCACTTGGAATCCGGCTGGTGGCGGTAGCAGTAGCCTGCGTTCACCGTCCGAGGGATCTCAGGCGTGCCATCCTGCGAGCGAAACGGGGCGTATTGGCGAGGGTGATACTTGGTCAGGAAAGGCTCAACGTTCTGTCTTGCCAGTTGCAAAAGGGTATCGGATGCATCATCAGGGCGTTGTGTATCCTTCATTTCGTTGGTCTCGTCGGATTGAGCGCGCTTGACATCGGCATTCGATTCGCCGCGTCCCGCACTCAGCAAAGTATCGACAAAATCCTGCGATCCGGACGACGCCTGGGTGTTCTGCTCCATGAAAGGCAAGAGACGCCTGGCTGACAGAAAAAATGTGGCTATCACCAGACGACAGTCTCGTCCGGTGTTGGAGGGCGATAAGCGTGGGTCGTTGGGTATTCGTGGAAATGTGGTCTCGAGGTGTGAATTGGGTGGGATGCAAGATCTTTCAGCGTTGGATTAGACCCGAGGAGTAGATCTTCAATCTGTTCCCGGAATCCACCAAGGTTGCAGTGTTGGGCCTAGCGCCACTGGGGTAGTGGGTGAGTACCCTGGCAGATCTCGTAGCGATAAGGGATGGGTGGCGAGAGGTTGGAGAGTGAAAGTTGGGAACCAAGGGCACAGGTCGAGTTCATATACTGAGAGTCCGTGGCCTGAAAGACGATTGCACAATCGGATCAATCAACTCTGGCGTGTGAGCAAAGGCAGTTCAGTTCGCCTCCGTTGCGTGCTTTCTCGAACCATTGGCTAATGCCAAGCAAATGTGTCAAGCCTTCCCCTTCACCGCCTTCGAGCACATCACTGACATTGCGCCATCTCCGCTTTCAAGCACATCAATGATGTGATCGGGGATCTTACGGGGCTCCTTTTCCTTCCGGTCTAGACCGACATTTCCCTACTGTATGCACTGTAGGACCTTGAGGTCTCCACTTATTCGCACATCATCCCGGCTATGTGGGAAACCGGGGATTGCACCATCGCGTTTGTGCTGTGCACTTGTCCCTGACTATAGGTGAGTTGGTTCCAAAGTGACTTATCTTGCAGCTGGTGCTTGTTCCCCAGTCCTGGCCTACCACCTAGCTATGGCTTATCGGGCCTCTATACCCGAGCTCCTGACAATGTGCCTTGGGCGTGTCTTGGACTCGATAATCTACTCCGTGTCAACCTAGCCGGTACTAAATGTTTCGTTTTTTTAGGATCTTCCGCTTCATTCACTAGGTCCTTCTGTGTGCCGTAGTCCGTTTCAGATACGACAAACCGCAACCGCATCAAGCATTTTCCCGTATCGGTACCTAGTTCTTCCCGGCGACCACCAGAGATTCTTCCGATATGGCGTCTTCTCAATCATCGTCATCATCCATCTCGGAGCGTGGTGACGAACCTACCGAGCAAAAGTCCATGCCTCAACTGGAAACTCTCATCTCCCACTTACTAGCCGCAAAACGTTCCCTCTCCTCCATCAACCATGTCTGGCGCGCCAACGAGATCGTCACTGCCTCCCGCTCTGCTCTCGAAGAAAGCGTCGTCTCCTCCTCCCGAACCAACTTCCTGCGTCGTGGACTGAATACCCAGCTCAGACTGTTGTACAATGTTCGGGCCGAGGTGGAAGAGATCTCATCCCGTGGTCGGCACGAGTTTGAGGAAGCTTTGGGGAGCTTGGATGCCGCCGATGCGAGGTTGCGAAACACTCTTGACCTTCTCCGTGAGACGATCGTCGATGCATCATTTCGCCCCAAGGATGAAGAATCAAGAAGTCTGCACGACTTCGTGGACGAACGTGGGGTTGAGGAGCTACACGGGGCGATGAAAAACTCCATAGACCGCACTAATACTGCGCGCGGAGATCTGGACACCTCTAACCGGGCATTTGACGATGAGCTTGCCTCCATCAAACAAGCTCTCCGACACTACCGCTCTGCTACCAAAATGGCTTCTTCTCGCGCGTCGGCATCTTCGACCTCATCGGCTTCGGTGTCAGACTCTGATCTGCTCGCATTGTCAGAGATGCCGGGTATGTTGCAGTCACTTGAAACACATGCACAGGAAATGGCCAGCCTCCTAGAATCCCTAGTCTGCCATTTTGACCTGTGCGTTACGGCAGTGAAGCACACGGAGGGTGGAGGCGCAGCCGCTCGTTCCATTACGGGCGACATGCCTGCCGAAGTCCAAGCCAGCGGTGACGGAATACCCAATATCGGCGAAGAGATCAACGCGAACCTAAACGCGCCCCTTGATCCAATGTCAGATCAGGAATACCAGGAGATGGTGAGTGTATTGATGAAAGATGCCCTTGAAGCCGAGGACGTGGTTATGGAAATTCAAGATCGCATCAGCGAAATGGAATCCATACATGAACAAGTTAATGTGCAGCGTGATGCACTACTCTCAGTCTCAAATGCCACACTCGATGTCCACCGCCATCTCTCCACTCTCGCGTCAAAACGACTACCGCGGTATATCTCCCAGGCACACAACTTCACGCAGGTCTGGAACGAGGAGAACGAGCGCATCAACTCCGGTCTCGGCGAATTGTCCGACCTTCACTCCCTGTACGAAGGCTTTTTAAATGCCTACGACAGTCTAATCCTCGAAGTGGCCCGGCGAGCTCATGTTCGCGCCCGCGTCGAGAAAGTCCTCCACGATACCAAACGCAAGTTAAATCAGCTCCACGACGAGGATGTCGCAGCCCGCGAAGCTTTCCGCGTCGAGCAAGGCGACTTTCTCCCATCCGATATATGGCCTGGTATCGGCCGAGCACCCATGCAGGTCGAATTCCTTCGTGTTTCGGGTGGTCAGCTTCCAGCACTTGCAGAGGAACAGGATCCCGAGCAGACTGGAGCTGAGACTTGCCCTGAGCCCAAGGCGGGCGCAGTGGATGACAACGCCAATGGCGAGATTATTCCCGATTTACCGAAAGATATGGTTGAGCAGGCTTATGAACGATTGAAAGCGCGCGGTGGTAATTTCTTCTAATTGCGGCGCCGTTATCCACGTTCCGCTCGATGTGAATCTCAAACGCTGGCGTTGACGTTCCATGAATGGTATTTCTTTGCTACAGAGCGAACTCTTTTCAGATTTATGCTGCATACCAATTGGTGCAGTTTAATTTACTATATCTAGCACCCAAGTGATGAAAGCTAATTGGTACGACCTTCCATCTGTCGGATGCATACTCTCCATTTTGTGGACGATGTAAGCACCGTCTGCGACTCTGTCGTGCTGTGGATAGGCATGACTTCCAAAGAGAGCGCTGATGGGTAACATTTCGGATCTGTAGAAATCCTTCAAGCTATCTACTTTCTACAATCCCCTACTGTAAAGTTGAAGTTGTGTATAACTGAATTTTTTTGGTCTAACCCAGGTATCATATATCCAATGCTCCATCCCTATATGCATTTTATCATCAAATCATGGCAGAAACGTTCGAGAAGATATCGTAGAGCCCATAACCATGCGAAGAATGTCGAAAGCAATCGCGCAGTCTATTTCTTCTTCTTTGACGAAGAAGAGATAAGCTTTCTCTTAAGATGCTTGGGCATCTTGTTTGCGCGCTGCTCTCGCTTTTCTTCTTTGACCTTGGCCTTGTGCTCGTGCTTGGAATCCTTGTCTTGGAAGCGCTTGCCACGAGGGGGCTTAGGCGCGAAGGGATCGATTTCCTCTTCATCACTGTCACCGGTGTCAGAACCTGATACTGACACTCCGCCGCTGGCATCGGATTCGTCCTCGGCGACATCAGCACCAGCAGGTGTGGACTTGGCCTTGCCGGTTGCAAGCAAGTCTCCGTAGATCAGATCGGCGCCAGAACCGTCACGGATCTTTTCAGCATCACGCTCAACATCGTATACCTGTTCCAGGGTCTGGGGAATGTATTGCTGACGGAAGACAGCGGTGTCAAGCTCCTCGGTCTCCTCAGTGGCACCGGACTCCTCGCGAGCAGTATAGAGCTTCTCGATTGCTTCGAACATCTCCGCGTTTCCAGCGGTGATATCAGTGGGACCTTGAGGAGACACAATGAACTGGTACACAGTGCGCTCAGACAAGATATCAACACCTTGGCGACGGAAGAAGTCGCTAACGTTCTTGATATCCATACGCAGGAACTCCAAGCTGCGAGGGTGATCGTGCTCAACACTTTGACTGACATCGATGACGTAAAGACGCTTCTTGTGGTACAGAATGTTATACTCACTCAGATCGGCGTGAACCAAGCGGCAGACCTGGTAGAGCACACGCATATAACCCATCAACTCAAAGTAGAGCTCACGCCAGCGGGCCTCGAGATCATCGGCGATGATCGTAGCGTCCTTCAGACGGGGAGCAGGAATACCCTTCGAGCTGCCTAGGAAGCCCATGACGAGAACGTGCAGACGGAGCTGAATGGGCTCGGGAGAGGGGATACCGGCGGCGTGGATTCGTCGCAGATTTCGCATTTCCTTTTCGGCCCAGACCTTGACCATTGCGCGGTTGTTGCTCTTATTGTATCCCTGGCGGAAACGGAACTCGCCAGTGACGTACTTGTCACGATCCTTGAAGACCAAGATGCTAGTCTTGTAGACCTTGATGGCGCGGTGAATTGAGCTGGCGTCGTCCTCGTCGGGGATAGACATAGCGTGGTAAACGTTTGCCTCCTTTCCGGTGGACAGACAGCCGTGAATCTCAGAGACAACGCCACGGTTGATCATCTGCAGCAGAATCATACGGGTGCGGGGATCCAACACCTGCTCTGATGTCGCACGATCCGCACGATCTCCTCCACGGTTTCCACCACTGCCCGAGAACCCAGACTGCTGGTCATCCAGCTTGATCTTTGTGGCATGGCGAGTCAGAGACTTGACTTGATCATCGACAGAAGCGTATGTGTTGACTGTAGGCTTCTGGGTATTGGTCTTAGGGTATTGCCATCTGGGGACGTTCGTATCGGCGGCGGCGTCGTTTAATTTGCGCTGGCGGTTGTAGGCCTTGGTAAGATCGGAGGGATCAGAAGACTGGAAGTCCTCGGTATCGAGATCCTCCTCGAAGATATCGTCGTAGTACTCGTCTTCCTCATCCTCATCGTACTGCTCGGTGGATTCTTGCCCCGCCTCAGCGGAGTCTGTGCCCTCAGGGTTGACGTATCCCTCGTTTGGCACGTAGGTATGGGACGGAGCGAGACCATCAGCCAGGCCTGAGGCCTGAACAGGGGTTTCAGACGTACTCATACTTGTCGTTATCGTTGATGTAAAAAAATCAAAATCGAGGACCGCGGGCACTTTTTTTTACTGTGGACCCGCCTGGCTACGGTTGTGCTTAGTCAGGACCCCGCGCCCTCAGGAACGAGACGCGCTGATTTCGCGTAGTCTCCTCGTCGCGACAAATTGGCATCCCATTCACAGCTGGTTTTCCACTGAGAGTATTCAACGACTCTCACAGTCAGGGAATTCCTGATTACACTCTTTGCCTCTTCGTGCTGGCCGCCGAATGCGTTGTTCCTTGTGATCCTCGTGTCGCGCGTGTCTTTTCACGATGTATGTCAAGCAGATTATCATCCAAGGCTTCAAGAGGTACGACATATACCTTCATCAGCTATACAGCTCCAATGAATGACCTGCTGACTTCTAACCTACAGCTACAAGGATCAGACAGTCATTGAGCCCTTTTCTCCCAAACACAATGTCATCGTCGGGCGCAATGGTTCGGGTAAGAGTAACTTCTTCGCGGCCATTCGCTTCGTTCTCAGCGATGCCTACACCCACTTGGGCCGAGAGGAGCGCCAGGCTTTACTTCACGTATGTTAATTCGCAACATGGGTGTATTTCTTTGACTAACGTCGAGTAGGAAGGATCAGGCTCAGCCGTGATGTCGGCCTATGTTGAGATCATCTTCGATAACTCGGACGACCGATTCCCCACTGGCAAGCCCGAGCTTGTCCTCCGCCGTACCATCGGTATTAAGAAAGACGAATACACCCTCGACCGCAAGAACGCCACGAAGAACGATGTCATGAACCTCCTCGAGTCTGCCGGCTTCTCCCGATCGAACCCTTACTACATCGTTCCTCAGGGTCGAGTCACGGCGTTGACCAATATGAAAGATTCCGAGCGTTTGACACTACTGAAGGAGGTCGCCGGTACACAAGTATACGAAGCACGCCGCGCGGAGTCCCTCAAGATCATGCATGAGACAAACAGCAAGCGTGCGAAGATTGATGAACTTTTAGACTACATTAATGAGCGCCTAGCCGAGCTTGAGGAGGAAAAGGATGAACTCCGGAGCTATCAGGACAAGGACAAGGAACGCCGATGTCTCGAGTACACCATCTACTCCCGCGAACAGCAAGAGATTTCCAACGTGCTCGATAACCTGGAGGAAGCACGACAGAACGGCGTTGAGGACGCGGACAATAACCGTGACCAGTTCATCGAAGGCGAAAAGGCCATGGCTGAGATCGATGCACAAATCGCGGAGTGCCGTCAACAGATCGAATTCCTCAAGGTTGACAAGTCTCAAATGGAGGATGAGCGCCGCGAAGCCTCAAAGGCCCTTGCTCAGATCGAACTCCAGGCCAAATCCCTCTCCGACAACCAGGTTGCTGCTCAAGCGCTCAAGTCTCGCCACGATACCGACTTGAACTCCGTGAAACAAGCCATTGATGAGCGTGAATCAGAGCTTGAAAGTATCTTGCCAACGTTTAATCAACACAAAAATGAAGAAGATGCTCTCAAAAGCAGCCTCACTGAGGCGGAGACATCGCGTCAACGGTTGTACGCCAAACAAGGCCGCAACTCGCGATTCAAAAACAAGTCCGAGCGTGACAAGTGGCTGCAGATGGAAATTCGCGAAAGCAACAGATCCATTGGTAACGTCCAAAATGTCGTTACTCAGACACAGGAAGACATCAAGGATCTTGAAACCGAGATCGGTCAGCTTGAGCCGGAGACAGTTCGTTTGCGCCAACAAATTGACGGCCGCGGTGATAATATGCAGGACATGGACCAGCAGGTTCAGAGCGCCAAGGATGAGAGAGACCGTTTGATGGATCAGAGAAAGGAACTCTGGAGAGAGGAAGCAAAACTCGATTCAGTCCTAAACAGCGCATCCTCGGAGATGGAACGTGCGGAACGCAGTCTCTCTCATATGATGGACCACAACACCAGCCGCGGAATCGCTGCCGTGCGAAGGATCAAGCGCCAACACAATCTCGATGGTGTGTACGGTACCTTGGCCGAGCTTTTCGATGTCAATGATAGGTACCGGACCGCCGTGGAAGTCACCGCTGGTCAAAGTCTTTTCCACTACGTTGTCGACACAGATGAGACTGCTACTACTGTCTTGGAGATCTTGCAAAAGGAGAAGGCCGGCCGCGTTACTTTCATGCCATTGAACCGTCTTCGATCCAAGCCGTTCAACATGCCCCGAGCTAGTGATACTATCCCCATGATTGAGAAGCTGCAGTATGACCAGGCCTATGACAAGGCGTTCCAGCACGTCTTCGGGAAGACTATCATCTGCCCCAACCTGCAGGTTGCCTCACAGTATGCCCGCAGCCACGGCGTCAATGCCATCACCCCCGAGGGTGACCGATCCGACAAGCGCGGTGCCTTGACCGGTGGTTTCCACGACTCTCGTGCTTCGCGCCTCGATGCCGTCAAGAACGTTGCGAGGTGGAGAGACGAGTTTGAGACTAAGAAAAGCCGTGGCACGGAGATTCGCAAAGAGCTGGAAAAGCTTGATCAGGTCATCACCCGGGCGCTCGGTGAGTTGCAGAAACTCGAGCAACAACGACAGCAGATGCAGAATAGCAGCGGTCCTCAGAGGCAAGAATTGAGAAGCAAGCGCGATCTTTTGCAGAACAAGAATGACACCTTGGAATCCAAGCGACGGGCTCTACGCAACGTCGAATCCAACCTCGCCGCCCTTAATGATCAGGTCAATGCCTTCCAGGCTGAAATGCTGTCACCATTCCAGAAGGCTCTTACGAGCGAGGAAGAGGCCACGCTGGAATCGCTCAGCGGCACAGTCCGGGAGCTCCGTGGCCAATACCAGGAGGTCTCGACCAAGCGTAGCGAGCTCGAGGCTCGCAAGTCGGTGCTGGAGGTTGAACTTCGCGAGAACTTGAACCCTCGCCTTGACCAGCTTGTGAACAGGGATCTGGATATGGCTGAAGAGGAGGTTCAGGGTAACCTGAAGGAGACTCAGCGTGAGCAGAAGCGTCTCAGCAAGGCGCTTGAGAAGCTCAATGGCCGTCTTAAAGAGCTTGACGATTCGATTGAGAAGGCTAGCATTCGGGTCAATGACCTGCAACAGCGTAACGCCGAGACTCGCGCCGAGATGGAGGACCTGGCCCGATCCATTGAGAAGCACCAACGCCGTATGGAGAAGAGCATGCAGAAGAAGGCTGCACTCACCAAGCAGGCTGCCGAATGTGCTTCCAACATCCGTGACCTGGGTGTGCTTCCCGATGAGGCATTCACCAAATACAAGAGCACGGACTCTAATGCAGTCGTGAAAAAGCTGCATAAGACCAACGAGGCTCTGAAGAAGTACTCGCACGTAAACAAGAAGGCGTTCGAACAGTACAACAGCTTCACCAAGCAACGTGAGACCCTTACCACGCGTCGCGAAGAGCTAGACGCATCTCAGAAATCCATCGACGATCTGATCTCCGTTCTGGATCACCGCAAGGACGAAGCGATCGAGCGAACCTTCAAGCAAGTCTCCCGCGAGTTCGCCAACGTTTTCGAGAAACTCGTCCCGGCCGGTCGCGGTCGGCTGATCATTCAACGAAAGACGGACCGTACCGCCCGGCCGGAAGATGACGTTGACTCGGACGACGAGGAGGCTCGGCAGAGTGTGGAAAACTACGTCGGCGTCGGTATCAGCGTGAGCTTCAACAGTAAGCACGATGAGCAACAGCGCATCCAGCAGCTGAGTGGTGGACAGAAGAGTAAGCCCCCAATTTCATTACTTGCGATCTACAAACTAATTCCCAACAGGTCTTTGCGCTCTGGCCCTCGTCTTCGCCATCCAGGCCTGTGACCCGGCACCTTTCTACCTATTCGACGAGATCGACGCCAACCTGGACGCACAGTACCGTACCGCGGTAGCGCAGATGCTGCAGTCCATCTCGGACTCGACCAACGGGCAGTTTATCTGTACCACCTTCCGACCAGAGATGTTGCACGTGGCGGAGAAGTGCTACGGTGTTAGTTTCCGGCAGAAGGCTAGTACGATCGACGTGGTGTCACGCGAGGAGGCATTGAAGTTTGTGGAGGAGCAGAAGACTTGATTGGACAGAGTTCTTGTATATTTGTGATGACTGCGGTGGACTGGCGTTCGTGATACCTGAATGTTGATTCTTTACTTTCATGGTCTACCAACTTTTTTACTTTTTTTTTTTACTTCCTTTTAATTTCCCACTATAGGAAGGGAGTGACATTGCCACTGTATCTCTAATGCAATTCTAGTCTAAGATCTTAGCTACCTGCTCTCACCGGACCACTCATAAAGAATGTCGTCAGGGACATCTTTCACGAGCACATGGAGATGCTCCAGGGCTTGCACGCTCTGCAAAATGCGGGGGTTTTTAAACCAAAGCACATGGGACTCGGGAGTGGGAAACCGCGCATCCTCGGCCAGGCGAGCGACAAACTTCTCCTTCACAAACCCTTCAATAAGCGCGCTCGATTCCGCCGTCAAGTGGCCCTCCTCCGACTTAACCGGTATCGGAGTCCGAAGCCAAACAACAAAATGCTCAATGCCGGGACTCAGCCCGTAAGGCCAGTCATTGCGGAGAATCCTGTAGTCCTCGGGATCGGCAAATGGACGCGGGTTATTAGGGACGGGTCCACTCATGGGCCACTGCAGACGACGCTGGCAGATGTAGTTCATAATCGAGCCGTACTGGGCCTTGGTATCCGCGGACCAGGCGAGGTATCGGCGTAGATCGGAGGGCTTCCGCTTGAGGGCGGCTAGATCATTCCGGGCTGCGGGTGTGAGGGGAAGATTAGATGGGGAGATGAGGAGAAGTGCTTCTCACCGATGATGTCCCGCAGATTCTCCCAGTCGTGGGCCTCGAATTCTTCATCGGTCATTGCCAGCAGCTGGCGGTCCAGCGCGGTGAGGGCGAAGGGGGTTTGTGAATCTACCGTGCCCATTGTGTCTAAAGCGTATCAAGTATAGAAACAAATCAAGTAGCGTCGATCTTGGGAAGTCAAGTAAAAAAGATGGCGTTTGAGTAAACAAGGTGGGGAAAACCTAAACGGGTGCGAAATTCCGTTGAGCGGAAGTCGATTTACTTGGATCCCCCCGGCTTCACTTCTTCCTCTCCAGGGCTCTCTTCTCTCGTCAGCCAACATGAGGTAACTCGACTCTCCTTGGGACGCTATACAGCTACATAGCTACACACAGCTGTACCTGTATAGCTGCACGTTCACCCAACAATCGCTAATGCCTTTCAGTTCTCTCTCCACCCTCGTCCCGGCCCTCGTGCCCTCGGCCCTGCTCGTCGCAGCCGTCTATGCCGTGAAGCCTGAGTTCCTTGCTTATGCTATCGCCGTCGCCAGTGTCATCACTGGCTTTGCCTTCTTCAGCAACAGCAGTATGTCGTCCTTTACGTGTACCCCTGATCGCATGATTCGCCTAACCCCCATCTTCAGAGCCGCGCAAGGTCCTGAACCCTACCGATTTCCAGGACTTTATCCTCAAGGAGAAGAACGAGATTTCTCACAATGTCTGCATCTACCGTTTTGCGCTGCCCCGCCCCACCGACATCTTGGGTCTCCCCATCGGCCAGCATATCTCCCTCGCTGCCACCATCGCCGGCCAGCCCAAGGAGGTTGTCCGTTCCTACACCCCTATCTCCTCCGACAATGAGGCCGGCTACTTCGACCTCCTGATCAAGGCTTATCCCCAGGGTAACATCTCCAAGTACCTGACCGAGCTCAAGGTTGGCCAGACCATGAAGGTGCGCGGACCCAAGGGCGCCATGGTCTACACCCCCAACATGTGCCGCCACATTGGTATGATCGCCGGTGGTACCGGAATCACCCCCATGCTCCAGGTCATCGAGGCCATCATCCGCAATCGTCCCCGCAACGGCGGCAACGACACCACCAAGGTCGATCTGATCTTCGCCAACGTCAACCCCGAGGACATCCTCCTCCAGGAGAAGCTGGAGAAGCTGGCCAAGGAAGACAGTGACTTCCGCGTGTACTACGTCCTGAACAACCCACCCGCGGGCTGGATTGGCGGCGTTGGCTTCGTCACTCCCGACATGATCAAGGTACGTCATAGAAATTGAGTTTCTCGACACGTGTTTGTGCTAACTGTACAACAGGAGCGTCTCCCTGCCCCGGCGTCCGACGTTAAGGTTCTCCTCTGCGGTCCCCCTCCCATGGTCAGCGCCATGAAGAAGGCCACCGAGTCTCTTGGCTACACCAAGGCCCGCCCCGTCAGCAAGCTGGAGGACCAGGTCTTCTGCTTCTAAGCAATATAAAAGCTAAAGTCGAGTGCGCTATGCGATTCGAGAAAGCCATGTGCTTCTGGTGATGCGCAGGAGTACATGTGGAAAATTACGGACTAGACTTAGACCCTGGTCACAGGCGTCAAAGCGCCCGGGGCGGTTTGGAATGTGTGAATGATTGTTTATTTTCTATTCTTGATAAATATCCTCACTAGACGTGTCCATTTGTTTTCTTCATTTAAATCGTTCTTTGGGTGTCCTGTGGGGTTCCATGTTCCCCATCTTTTTTACGTCCATGGATGGAAGTTGAGTGAGACCGCAGGAATATATACACCTAATCAGCCCTGTAGGCTGATTAACAGAGCCCGTGCTCCATATACCCACGATTCTATCAGGGAGTGTTGATTAATGAGTACAATCCTACGAATTAAAATGTCCAGACAAAGCCTTTCCATTCCTGGTGACAGCTAACCACAGGCAGGAGCAGGATTTGAAAGCAAAACATGAATGCTGTCCAAAAGTACTGTCTAGGTAAATCTGGACATCACATGCGTAGTCGATCAAAGAGAAGCGACGAATCGATGTGACCGTCCTCGTCGGCACATCTACATTATTCTCGAGGTGAGCTCATAAGTATTTCCTCGTCATTCTTATGACAACATTCAAAACAAGCCTCCATGCTTGATATGCAGAAAATTGCTCAATCCCTCATGCCAAGCTGGCGATGAAATTGTAACTAGGCACAGAAAATTCAGAATATGAGTCGATAGAACTCCCATAATGAGCATTCTTTGTCCATAAATTCACTTTCTGAAACCACAACCTCGGAGCATGTAAGTACTCCTAAATCCTATGACGATGCCTTCCTCGCAAATGTGCCGTTAGGTTATCATTGCGGCTGAAGGCCATTCCGCATCCGTTTTCAGGGCATTTGAACGAGCGCGGCGCAACATGCTGCGTATCAATATGTCGCGTGAGAGGCCATTTATTAGCGAACGGAAGGTTGTGTCCGCAATGGACCCATCTGCATCGCCAGGAATCGGCAGAGTCACTCAGGTAGTAAAGAACACCATAGTCAACAAAGCGGTTCGGATATATGAGCAAAGCTAGTGGACAAGCCTACTCACTCAACGATTCTGGGATGATCGAAATACCGCTTTCTGACTCTAGAAGGACCAATGCTCTTTTCTGTTAGGAAATTTGTTCGCAATCGGTGGCTTGGTTCATCATCAGCAGAACCATGATCAGGTGAAAAGTTTCTTCGGCCGTTTGTCTTGTTCTCGGGATGCGCGATTGTATATCCAGTGTGCAATAGATAGCTATCAAGCTGGCCTTGATATGTAGCTTGTGCTGTGTTGTTCATAGGATTTTCATTGGCTGGACGGCAAAGGGGATCTGTGGAGGATGGTACTGGCTCAAAAATACCATGAATATCCATAGGTCCCCATTCGACACAATCCTCTTCCCCCAGCATATTCCAGATTACTGGATGTGTGGCCTTCAGCGGCCCTGGCGTCATGTAAATGCGACGGTAAGGCCGATTGGATTTATCTCAAGATAAGCCAGTAGTTTAAAGAAAGTAGCAGTGATGAATATTATCTTGCGGTCATCAGCCGTCTACGACAAGGGAAGCTTATATATGAGAGCGGCCGGTGTCGACAGTGGATACCTTGATCCTTCACCAGTGCCGACAGTGCCGACAGTGCCCCACGACTTTCACCCGTGGACCGTGCACTCTGTAGATCAGGCATTTAGATGAGACCTGGACCCAATCACTACTACAGTAGGGCGGGGCTTTGGAAATGGTCGCGGGAAACGAGTGAATCATCGTCATCAGGAGCATTGGCTGGGCATTTTAGAGCCAATGGGAGATCTTCCGGGAAAGGATTTTGGGAGAGTAGCCGATTGTCTAGCGCTATGATACGATTCCATTCCTCGATCAATCAGATCAGATCATTTCGGGATTTCGGGGGAGGCATGACGCTCCGAAGTTGTGTGATCTTACCGTCATTTCCTCTGAATCACGACACAGTGGTAAGCATGGCCAACCTGGCTTTCACTTAGAACTTCACGGACCTGAGCAACCTTCAAGTAACGGCATCTCCGAAGTGCTGACTCGCTTATCTCTATGTCTATATAAGCGCAGCATGCTATGCTACTGGCGGTATCGCCCCTTACATTCTTCGAATCTTCGATCACGCTAATCAAAAGACTTCTCATATTTGCCTTATCATACTACACAGCCTGCCGGCCATAGCTGTCTCAATTCACTTTTTGTGATGCACTTCACTGGAAGCTACAGTAAATTAGACCATGCTACTTGGCTCCTTAGCTAGAGTCTTTACGAGGGCACACATATCTTACTAAGAGAGTAGGTTTGTCCATTCAGTGACTCCTAGATACCCTGGCTGTATGGAACAAGTGCTTAAAAAAAGCTGGACATGCTCACAATTTAGCTTTGACCCATGCTAGTCCAGCACTTCCTACAGTCATCGCAGCACCCCCCAGCTGGGTGACCCCGTTGACGATGACTAGACCACTGCCTCCTGCACCAGCGCTCTGTGTTATGGCCATCGCGCTGCCACATACAATATTTCCGATTTGACTATGAGCGGCCGCGGCTGCAGAGCCTTTATGTTATAATACCGAAATTTTCAATCAGAATGCAAAGTGGCAAGAACGGTCACGGATTATCGATTGTGCCACATACCTGCTTGAATGCCGTTTGCTGTAAATCCTATGCTCGACAATAGTGGGATTGATACAAGGCCAGGGGCAACGAAAACAAGAGCACCGGTCGCGCCGACAGCTGCGCAGGCGAATGAAGCGGGATTTTGAGCGCCCCAGTTAGCTGCCTGCCAAAAGTGAGAGATAGAACTTCGAGTCAGCTTTCTTACAAAGAGTGGAAACCGACCTGAGCTGTCAGGTTTGCAGCCCTTTCAAGGGCTGGCTTGCCATGAGCTACCGCGCTTTTCCCGCCCTCTAACCCTGCTCTCACAAGTCGAGTTCCTCCAGAAATGACATCCTCGGGAGAAAGACTTCGGAAAGGCATAGATCAGTTGATTATTGATTGTTAATAGGATTCGACAGGCCACAGCCGTGATGAATACTAGGCAGTCAGTAGGGAGAAAGAGAATTGAAGAGCGGAGGTGCAGTGCCCAAGTTGCAAGGCGCTTAAATCCACGGGCTTACAGAAACCCCGAAAGAAGCAAACAATTTTCGCAGAAGGGTGTAAAGTTTTGTACATCAAACGATATTCTATATGACCTAGTGGCTTTAAAATTACATGGCAGCCTGGTCATCTACGACGTAGATAGTCCCCACTGTGGATTTGGTGCGGCCACTGATCTTTGATCACTAAGGCCCCATCCGTCAAGGCTTATTTTGAAGGGGAGGCCACCAAGGTATCGTCTATGATGGATTTGCAAGTAAATACAGGGAGAGGAAGATTTGGCAGTCCCATGACCATCAACATCTCTTCTTTCTTTTCTTCCGCAGACTCTCGCTCAATATTATACATTACTGCCAAGCCAGCTGGTGCTGTAATTTCAGAGATAAAGGACGAAAACATGTAGGCATGTCGATGTAAAAAAATTTCATTTATTGCTACGCTTAATCGATATGGTATGTCCTTGACAGTGAGACTTTATTTTACTGAGCCGCGGTATTTCCTTGAAGATTGTTAGACGAACTCTTCTTGTACTAATCGCTACGACAATCTCAATCTTCTTTCCCATTCGCTGCCAGTACTGATATACTGGCTGACCAAATAGCGTAACTAGCTTCAGGGCCAAAGCAAATGCTTCTGCCACTTGCCCTCGTCCTCAATGTAAACATACTGGAGCCGTTTGTGAAGGCGGCTAGCTTCTCCTTGCCAAAACTCGACCGTATGGGCCGCTACAGCGTACACTCGCCACTTCTTCACGCCTGACAGGGGATCCTTCGACAAACTCAACTCGGTTTCAACAAGCTTTCGGGTGAGCGTCTTGCGGTCAAAGAGCACTTCACTTTGGTCCGAGGCGACCGCGGATATTCTTGACTCAAGAGGCCGAGCTTGAAAGTCAAGAGCACTCTCAGCTTCAGGAAGCTCAATGGCTCTACCTTTCAGACGAATCTGTCGGGCAAGCTGCGGCCAGTAAAAGGTCAAAGCGGCATGTCCATTCTCGGCCAATTGTTTTCCTTTGGGGCTGTCGGCTTTCACTGCGAAATGCCATCCACGCGAATCGACATTCTTCAAGATAAGAACTCGGGCGTCTGGGCATCCTTCAGTATCAACCGTGGAAAGAGTCATAGCGTGGGGCTCTCTGACCCCAGCTGTGACCGCATCGTGGAACCACATCTTGAAAGCCTCGTGGGGCGTTTCGGGGAATGTATCGAAGTTAGGGTCCGTAAATGGCCCCTCGAGTACTTTGGTATTGCGCAGCTCAGTTCTGAAAGCATCGTCATTGGCAGCCATTTTGATCACTTCGAATGAAGTTCTGGGTAACCAATGAGTACCTGGTGATCAGTGTGTACAATACAAACCGAGCACGGAGGAAATACCTTAAGTCCCTGTTAATTGTGGTTGCGGGCAGTATAAATTGTGGATCTCGCAGGCTTTTTGTTCTACGCTAGACCGATCGATGAGGTGCCGTGACCGCTTTATATATTCACGCACTCCGTGACTCAAGCAAGCAGTATGACTCATCTGGAGCAATCCCCCCATGTCCAACGCGGAATGTATACAATTTCCATGAAGATCACCTAGTTAATTCAGAATCCAGGACTTATAGCATAACATCTCGTATACCGTTGCGTTATGTTCCCTGCGAGAAAAAAATTTAAGTACGTCTGACCCTACGAGGTCGTAGGTCGACGGGAACAGATATGACAGACACCTATAATGCAAAGCTCGGTCACATGAGCGTCCTTGTAAGATTTGAAGCATAACAGGTGCAGCTTTGAAGAGAGAACGCCTGAATATAGTTAGATCATCATATTGGCGGATTCAATGTGCCTCGGCAAAGAAGGCGGCTTCGATTGATACGATACGCAACCAATCCTTATCACGCTACCAAGTGGCAGAGGCAGAAAATGCAACGAATGCACCATTTGAAAGTCAGCAGGAACTTGCGAAAACGGCATTGGTCCGAGGCGAATCATACTAGTGCCTGGAGCGTCCATAATTCAGCTGACCAAAAACCTCGAGAATGCGAATGACGTTTGTTTCCAGGACCCATCCCGGAATGGCAGCTCAATAGAACACGAGAGTCTGTGAGAATAGTCTCTCGAAGTTTGTCGCGTGTACTCTTTTTTCGCGGTAAATAGATTTAAATGCGACGGGCTGGTTGTACTCAGCAGATCTAAATTCAATTGATGAGCCTCCTGAATGGCTTTTGTAAAAACCGGTCTAAAATATGATATATGGCGTGGATTACGATATTCTTTGGGTCTTACAAACTTCTCGTTCACGTTGGCAAATGTGAAAGAATGTTCCTTAATTGATGCCGGCACCCACCGGCCTTCCACCGTCCTCCCACCGGCCTCCCACCAGGCCCATGGACTAGTGAAGATCTTAGTAAACATCATGGCATACGGCTGCTAGTTCCCAACGATACTGATTACTTGCTTTCATACATTTTAGTAATAATCATTGGAAGCCCACTGTGATTGTTAATCGCTAATGGGGTAACGCACTATCAATTCAGGGCTGCATTTCAATTACTAAAGGAGTCCACGGGCCCATAGGTATAAGTTGACCGGAAGTCCCTCGATAATTGAAAAGTTATAACACATCTGACACTACACTTCCAATATTCTTTTGGTCAATATATTCCTATACATCACTATCATGGCTCCTTCCATCCTCATTGTTGGTGCAACGGGAAATACTGGTCGCAGTGTTGCTAAAACGCTGCCAAAGTTGCTGAATTCAAGCAACACCTTGTCCGGGTATCGTCTTATTGCCCTTACTCGTTCTTTGGAGAGTCCAGCGGCACGGCAGCTTGCCGAATTGCCCGGCGTTGAGGTGGTAGAGAAGAATTGGGTCGAAATCACCTCCGACTGGCTTCGTGAACACGAAGTAGCCAGGGCATTCATTGCGGCCCACAACGAACCGAATCAATTCGCCGAAGAATCCACATTTCACGTCGCTGCTCTCAATGCTGGTATCAAATATGTTGTGCGGATCTCGACCACTGCCGCGAACGTCCGCCCGGATTGCCAGGCATATTATCCGCGACAGCATTGGGCTATAGAGCAACTACTGGATTCGCCAGAATTCAGCGGCTTGCAGTGGACTTCGCTTCAGCCGAACGTCTTTTCGCCATTCTACCTCTCCACTGCCGCGGAGTTGATCAAAAAGTATCGTGAAACTGGGAAGCAGGATACCCTCAGGTTGATGGCGTCGAGAGACGCGCCAGTCGGCATCATCGACCCTGATGAGGTGGGAGTTTTTGCTGCTCATCTATTGTCCCAAGATGACCCTACTGTGCACAATCATGCCAAATATGTTCTCAATGGTCCAGAGGATATCACTGGGCAACAGACTGTGGATTTGGTAGAGCAGCACATTGGTACACAAATCAAGGAGGTTATTTATAAGGATGTGTCGTTTGTCGACATGCTTTATGAGTTCAAATTCGCGCCCACCGGTCAATCAAAGAACGTTGTCTTGTCTATCAAGAATGCCCCCGAGACTGCGTGGGAGGGAAAATGCTCAGCCTCTACCACCAGCCGGGAAGTACTAGACCTTGCGGCGCCAAAGCGTACACCTGCTGATGTTTTGAAGACCCTACTGGACGTGTAAGGAAGTGGCATGATAATTGATAGCTAAATTGGAAACTCAGCCAAGGGACTATGTTTTTGACACTAGCACGAATTGATAACCTGCAATGATACATCTTAATTTTCTCACACAAAGATTACCATGGCACTAGGTAATGGTTCAGATGGCTGCGATAATGCCGCGCGAGCAAGGCGATGTTGTTGATTTCCATCTCAGGATATATGGTCTCGTGGCACTTGAGGTAGATAGACCTACGCGAGGATTTTCCGAACTGATAGTAAGGAAAAGCCTGCGGCGGATATATCAAACACTTGATATCTCCAGGAGGTTCTAAATCTGAAGGGAGTCTTGGTCAAACAAGATTCAGTGAGGTCCTAGCACAGTAATTCAAGTTTTGCGAGTGTTAATTCATCAACCTCAATTCTCCTGATGAAGTGCATTCAGCCTTGTGACCTCCGTACCCGTCCACACATCCAGTCAACTTCAGACAGCATTAGCAACATACTCCTCATACAATCAGGGTGCAGTTTTGCAAACAATTGTTTTGGCCTTGCCAGATGATACTCAGGCTGCATATAATCGCCGCCATCGTGTGAGCCGGATCCATAAGGACGGCCACGTGGAGGTGAGTAGGAATACCTGAGTTGCAGGAATCTCATACTCACATGCCAGAGATATTCATATTTTCCAGCCATCGTTATTAGCAAAGTTCCAAAATGTTTGTCTTAAAAAGGGAAAGGGGCAATGTGCAGTTATAGAATACATAGGAGGCGTTTTCTTGGTGGCACCGACATCCTCGCCGATAGGCCTGAGAAAAATATCACCTATCAATCTACAGCACATTCCTAGATTTTATCTCATTGGTCAGTCTTTGGTGTCTGCTCCAGGACCCAATATTGATCGTCCCTCCATCTGTAGCGACAGCGATCGTCCGGTCACAATCGTCTTTCTAGACGCAATTCCAAGTATGTGACACGTTCTAGTGGTAATAAGGCGTCGCAACAGGGCTACCCCAGCTCCTGCACAAACATGGAATAATTCGTCATAGCAGCAGGGACCATCCATGCTAGTGATCAAAGTTCCGATCAAGCTACGTCAAATGTCGGTCTGAGAGCCCACCAAGCCCCTGGAAATAAGCGTCCCACCTCAGTCCCACACTATCTAGATTCAGTCTTTCATTGAAGTGAAACGAAAGAAGTGTACTTGAGAACAAGTCCTGCATGCTAATGGCACAAATTTAAGAGTTATGAATTGATATAATCTTTCGTTTCCGAGACAGAAACGGCAGGTAATAAAATAAAAAATAAATAAAAGAGAAAGGAAGTAAAAAATTGAAGTCAACGTGTGCAAGAATGGTATTGAGGCATCAGTCGTAAAATTGGAAGCGAGACGTGGTAGACACATCGAAGGATTATAAACTTGTTTCAGAGACTATCATGGCGATCGGCTTCCTCTCATTTCGTCCATTTCCACCCAGGGTTGTGCGTTCGTATCGTGGATCATGTTACGAGGCGTGCGCTCATCCGATATACGAGATCCGGCTTCTGAGGCAGCAATAGTCGTCGCGTCTTTTGCAGAGGATATGGAGATGGTCGTAGTGACGAGAGGAGGGGGGAAGTTCGCAGGTGGGAAGCCTGGTGACTGGTCGCCCACGGCGGTGGTGCTGTACGGTCCTTTGGAGTTGTAATTGTTGCCGTATTGGTAGTTGTAGCGCTGCTGGCTTCGAGTGTGGTTTGATTTGATGAATTTGGATGTGAATGGGCGGAAGAGAGGCCACACGGGTGGAATGGACATTGTGATGAGCACGATCCATTCTTCAACTTCTCCCCAGAGGAATAGGCTGCCGACTCCGTCTATAGATAATTAGTGTTGGGACATTAGGTTTTGATGTGGTGGGGAAGTCCTACAGGAAGAATCCTCAGTGAGAATAAACTTAGCGGCCCAGGTGCGGACAATAGCGGCCACACCGGCGAATACACCACAGCCCATCAAGAAACCGAGACCCCACTTGAGCTTGCGATCAATGCGCAAAGGCAAAAGCATTTGAATTGGGACAATGGCGAGATAAAAGTCAGAGATAGCAGCAACACCGCCGACAAAGTATGTATAATAAACGCTCTTCCGGTGATCACAATGGGATTGACGTAGGGGATCCCAGAGAGCGTCGACGGGGCTGCATTGGAACCAAACAAGGAGGATCTGAGGAATGTTGAGGACGATGTTCAGGACGGCGACGGCGACGAGACTTTTCCGAATTTTAGGGTCTGGTGAGCTTGTTAGTATGGATTGATGGGAGAAAGTCTGCGAGGTGTGACTTACTGCCTTGTCCGTTCATTTCAATCAAGAAAGCTGCCACTGCGACTTTACCGGTAGGAATGACGAGATTGAAGAAAAAGACAGTGATCCAGGTGAAGAGAAGGAAGTTGTGTAATTGGCCAACTTTCATAATGATCGTGATATGATTTCCCAGGCCATGGAGAACGGCGAGCAGACCGAAGACTTGTGTGAGCATTGTGAAAAACTATAGAGAGTCAGTATAGACCATTGGAATCTAAACAAAGACCTACCCAAGCAAGGAGTGACAATAATAAGGCGGTCGTTCCGAATTTGTTAACGCGTAGCCGCACATAGATACGGAGGACCATGAAGGTGGTCGCAATGACGCCCAAAGCGATCCCAAGACGGAAATCCGAGGGGCCCTGGCCGCCATAGGCGGGGAACTTCTCTTCAAGCGACATTAAGAAACGAGTGCGAGGGACTAGAAACAGTACCCATTGTCGAAAAAAAGCTTAGAAAATTCGGTGGCGTGGCCGCGAGGACCTTTATACATACTCAAAAGCGGAGGTGGCCGTCACAGTGATACAGTCGGTCGTATTGCAAAGCTTGGTTGGTTGTAGATCAAGTGGAGTAACGAGTGAATTCCACGAACTTCCCAAATTTCATGACTCTTCCGGTGGAGTTGACATCCGTTATTGGATTGGTTCGGTGGAGTGACTTGACTTTTCCGAAAGCCACGCTACGCTGTCAACCGGGCAGTATCCCAATGATTGACAGATGTCAGCGACCCTCATACCCTCATGCCCTCGGTACCCTAGTTTCTATCCAGGCCACGTCGAAATTCCCAGGGTCGACCCTGGGTTACTGGTTCCGGCTTAACAATACCATCACGATCGAAGCTACACACCCCTGTAACAGAACTCCCTCGTATACAAATCCGACCCTCTGGCTGGCCAACTCTGTCCCACGGATCTATGCGGTCAATGCATCGATGTGCCCCTGAAACATGCATCATTCAACACGGGGATTGGCGGATGATTGTGAAATACGTGTGCCCCTGCAGCGGGCCTGTCTGATTGGAGTCTTTGGCAACGTAATTTTCCCAAGGGAAATTTCCATACGTCCGCCACCCATGAGAGTCAAATCATCAGGAAAATTTTAACGCAGCTACTATCGATCAGTCACCCCGAGACTATCTGATCTTAGCTGGTTTGCAAGCCGCGATCGGCAAACAGGCCTCCACTTTCAAGGCTTGGGTTAGGCAAGGATCGCCCGCTAGTCCACCGTCGCTATCCACCGAGTCAGGTTCTCGGTGCTGAACAGCTTCCTCATCCGGTCGGTGATTAGGGCTTTCGGGGGTGCCTGCCTCATTGAACACAGCGATCTACAGCGCTGGGCACATCACGGCCATGTGGGTGTGGGTACGAGCTGTTGTTGTGTTCGGCGCTGTCCACCGCGGAGTGGGCAACTGCCAATATTACGGGCATGGAAAAGTCTGAAGGATTGATTAAAGACGTCAACCTTGGTTGAAACTTAAATAGTGCCCTGACTATCCATACGGTACAACTGAGCGGGGATGGGCTCGAGACTGGCCCGTCATAAGAGTATCTGTTAGTTCGCCGATCACTGGGTGATCACTTTTTTTCATTTCCCTGATTTTGTTTGGTAACGAACTGTCATCATCGTTTGTGAATCCCGGTGAATCACCGGTTGATTCAGCCATCTCTACTGCCGAGTATTGATAACTAACATTCCTGAAGACGAAATAAGCACGGCCCAGCCGCTAATTGATCTCCATTGTGGTTTCTAACTGCACATGGGACCCCACCGCAAAAAAACATGTTCAGGGTACTTGCCAGATTAGGAAAGGCCGAACTTCCACCTTTGTTCTGAAGGGAGGTGAACATGCTGGCAAGGGTATATAGTCAGGGGCTACGTATGTGAAGGCCCTAGCCCGCATAAACAATAGTCCCGAGTGCATGTATGGTTGTGCGCAGCTCAACGCGCCTGGGCCTCTACAATCCGCCCGTGGTTCCTGGCACGTGAGTGTGTCATATAACACTTGAAGCGACCAAAGTACGAATCCCCGGGTTGTGTAGGGCATTTAAGCTCCGAAAGTAAATCAAATCTTCATGCATGGCGTTCCAAATCATCGGAGCTCCACGGGAAATAGACGGAGTGGTGACGCTGCGAACCCCTATAGCCCACCCCACGTCAATCCAACTGGACGGTCTTTTTACTTATATACTATTATCAATTCAATAGAATAATATGACAAGATAATGGTGGGAAATGAGCCCGACACACTAGAAACACATCGATCAAGCTGCGAGAACCCGGGAGATTTGGCCCCCACGGGGGCTTGAGGCTGAACTGGGGCCGTCGCGCTAAAGGATTACGGTCCTCGATCTGATCAGGTCTAAAAGGTCAAAGCGGAAACTCTGAAAACCAATAATTGAAATAGAGAGCACGTCTGCTTCTTTTGGAACTACAATCACTTTGAGTTCCACAATATGGTTCTAGATCGTGGGTGACTGTATGGCTTAATTCTGTCTTGTCCATTGTTCTTTCATTTTAAGCCCCCAGCTCAATCGTACACCAGGTACTACTCTTTGTTGTTGTCTGTATACTCTTGAGTCCCACAAATAGAGTCTTTCTTCGCCAACAATACAAACAGTCCGCATTCTAGGATCCACATAGGTCATTTGCTGCTATTGCGTCGACAATCAAGATTGCAAATCGCCCATCCAATCGAAAACATGTAGGACTAAAAACGTCGATGCTTACTGAGTGCGTCCTCGCCGAGACACTAGCCCCAAAGTCCCAACCGCGTCTTACCCGCATTCTACCTGTCATTTATCCCAAATTTGAGTATTTCCAATGCCATTCTCCATTGAAAAGACCATTTTGACTCCAACAAGCTGATGTAAAAAATTACAGGTCTCAAATAGGGTGAACTAAAGGGGCTAGATCGAGCATTATTTTTAAACTTTGGATCTTCGCACGATCTAATAGTCTTTAAGGACTTGAGTTTTATTGGCCTAATTTTGCTTTGACGGATTTGCAATATTGGTACATGGAGGAAATGTGACTGAGGCTGGGCGATAATTTGCTGAAGAGGGCCAGTGGCGTAAAATGGGGTATTCGATTAGGGGAAGTCGTGAGAACCTGCTTTTTAAACCTGCGAAATTGAAAGAGCAATATCCAGTTTCAATTTCCCTAAGTACTCATTTATAGCACCCAGAGACTGTAATCAGTTATTTACAGGTTGTCAGAGAGAGATGACTGAATACGGAGATATGTGTAAGAGTAATGAATTAGTGCTATGGAAGAAGTAGGCCATCTAAGCTACAAACACAGGTAAAAAAGCTTTCTAGTACCATTAGGCCTCGGGCCTTGCCGGGATAACCCATACGAAAGTACTGCCAGCTCGCGCGTATATCGTGGCATAGCAGGCCGCAGTACATCTGGTCAGGCATTGGGCTTAACGCATTGCAAGTCTTGAACACTTGAAGCATAGGCCCCACTAGCATTCAATTTTCTTAAAAAGTTCAAGTTTCTCACATTTGTCTTCATGTTGGAAACAATTATTACCTGAGTTAGACGCAACTATGTAGAGATCTCATCACTGATGCACATATAAGCATCCGAATTCGGTCAGCCCTCTCAAAGACAACTCCATCAACTATTGTGCGATTTTATACTCCAAACCATTGATTTCGGCTTTTTTCTGATACAGACACTGAGGTTATGCTTACACCAGAACTTTGTGATACTGTGTTTGGGTTTGAGCCTTGGTATCGAATTCCGGTCATCGATCTCACGCAGGTCTCCCAAGTGGGGTCTTATGACCCTCATTCTACAGCACAGCCCTAGCTTCTCTTTGAGTCTTCGGCCTCCTACAATAATCTTCATGACGATGTTGAACCTATCTCTCTGGAGTATTGCGATTGTGTTGATTTCGAGCCTTCTTATGAAGTTTCGGTCGTCGATCTCGCGCAAGGCGATCTCTCGGACGAGAGTCTGGGTTCTATAATAGACAGAACCGGCTCTAAGAATTGCCTGCTACTTGCAATCAAACGGATGTCGACTTGCCGAGGGCCGTTGGAGCTGATGAATGCATGTCACAATAACAAGGTCCGTTTCTCATAATACTATATTTTTTATTAGAAGGATCTTACTAAGCTGCGTGAAAAATCTCTCATGATTAGGTATTGAAGTTTGCCTAACAAATAAGACATTCAAGATGTCTAGTGACGGTCTCTAGAACAACTTGAAAACCAATGCCGTCGCGCCTGAGCCAACAGTCCCTTGTGAAAACCCCCGGGCGTGTAATCATCAGATGATGCTTTTATCACGATCTTGACAAAGCGGAAAAGGGAACAGAAAACGCCGGCCTCATTTGAACGGAGACAAACTTTGCGATGCTTGAGAATGACCCACAATTGATTGCAAAAATGATACATTACTGTTGGTTTTTCACTATGTTATCCAATTTTAGCTATATCTTTTTCAGACTACGCCACTTCTTCAAATTATTTCATCCCCGCTTAGGAGTCAGCCGAAACATAGGTACCCGATCTAGTGTTTTGTTTGTTTCGCATGTTCAGGTCTTGGAGCTCAAGCGATGTCCATGATCCCGGTGGAGAATCGCCTGGGTAACAAGAAAGACACGCCAAGTTTCTATAAAGTTGCAATGACGATCAGAGCATTGAAGTGTTGTAACTTGAAACTGCATTAATAGATCTTGATCTTGGTCATGCATTAGGCAGCCTGTGAGGTTGGTTACGCGAGCTAAATCCCCTCACACGAGGACAACAAGCTCCTAAGTTAAGAAAGCCCAAAGGAAAGAACCAAAAGTCAAAACTTCCGTACTAGAGAAGTGCTAATGCAAGTAGCACAAAGTAATTCACCAAGCCAGGATCACCCTCCCATATTCTACCAATCACATAAGCACTCGACACACTCGGCGCACCCGGCGCACCCCTAAGTAGACTTCCACGATTTCTACCTCTAGAATGTCCGGTTCATGAACCTGAACATATCGTGAGCAGAGGCTATTCCTGGAGCAATAGGAAATTTATATTAGGCAGTTTGGCAGGGTATTTATAAGCCAATCAGTAACCCGCACGATAATCGCGCGACGTGCGTTGATTCTCAACTCTGTTCTCATCCTCTCTAATAGAGAATCTCGGTGAGAAACCTTCGGGCCGGCGCGCCCGCTGCACTGACCCTGCCAGCTGAGTCAGAGTAGAACATCGTTGGACCCCAAGTCTCCAGTTGGAAATTTAGACTCTTGACATCTTGAGGAAAAGGAAGAAAAGGAAGAAAACGAGAAGAAAGCGATAGATTGAAGCTATGAAGAAGGGAGAAGAGAAGAAGCTACAATCTATCTAAAAATCAAGCCAGAAGGCAAAAGCCGGTGAGACTAAACACATCTACACACAGCCCTTCAGGGTAATGGCTTCCACTGGGTTTACAGAATAATTTTCAAATGTCTCTTCTGAAAAACATAAGGCCTCCTCCCCTGCAGAACAAAGAGCATACTACAGGATTTTCGAACATATAACAGCACCGCGAAAGTAGAGTGGCTTAGAGCCAGGCAAAAAAAGAATTCCTCGTATCAGTCAAAATAGCCCGCAACCTACGGGACCCGTAGCTTACCATTCGTTACTAACGAGCGGTCTGTGAGATGATGCGTCCAACCTAGGGGTGTCTTCATTCAGCACGCGACATATGGATAGTACTTCTGGGTCATGATGCCCATTGTAGGCTTTGTAGTGGCCATATTGTCGCTGTTATTGAAGGTGACTTCCCAATCCCGTGTTGCCCATGCCGAACCAAAAAAATCACCTCTCGCATCGTCGCTGCTGGTGGATAGTGCATGAGCCATCATCGCCGGATTTAATGGAGCTCTATCGCCATAACTACGGATTTGAGGAACCAATTGACGTTCTTCATATTCTACGAGATAAGTGAAGTTTCATGCAGTCGACTACCACGCCGCTAATCACTCGTATTTCCGAGCCTCCATTCAATGCCAAACGGTGTTAAAATAATTGGCCAAGAAATACGCAATAACAGTATTTCAGGAGCTCTATGGTTTATGCAAAGAGTAGTTGACGTGATCAGTCGATGCTAAGTCGATGTTACCTAAATATTCCCCTTTTTCCTTTTGGAAATCTCTTGGTTGTTGAGGGACGTCTGAGACCCCTAGGGATCAAACCCCTGGGGGTTATAACGTACTTTGTATAATTTTGGCCCCATTTTTTGATCATTTAGCTTACCACTATCATTGCGTGCGAATCCGAGAATCTGGACTCATTTTGAAATATCTCTATTCCCTTGATGATAAAGTGATAAAGTGCTGATCCAATAAGGGCCGAAGAACGAACAAATAGCGATTTCGTTCGTGATAATTGGAAGCATCGTCCCTCAAAATCTTGCTGTGAAAGCGCCAGGATCGCTTCAAGAAAATTCCTATGCCTAGCTCAGCGCTACCGGCCGATTCATGCAATTCGGCCCATCAAAATTAGGAGCTAAGCGCTTTTGAAACCGAGGCTGTCCCACATCGCAAGTGCTTCTCTTCTTGCGAACCTCTCAATCTTTTTTATCTTCAACAACCATCATGACAGTTACCACTCCCTTGGCCCTTTTCTCAGCTCCCAAGGTCAAATACTTGATTGAATCATATCACCCTGTACACTCCCTAGGAGTCGGTTTTGGAGTGACACCTCATGCAGTGGCTTGTGGCCTGGTTGTGAACCTGGCAGAATTCCATTCAGAAATTTGGGTGCTAACTTTTGAATACTTTTGAAATTATTTCCCCCCAAAACAAAGGCTGTCAAGAACGCTTGTGATGAGATGAGAAGGACGACTCTGGAGCCAGGAGGTTTACGCTGCACAGTCCTTTCGATTGCGCTAAATTGATATGGATCACTTATTAGCGGCTGATACGAGTCAGCCTCGTGCATCTGTGGAAATAACGATAGCCGGGCTGAATAGTGCCCACGTTAGTGAAATGGAGCATCGTACTTTGGCAATCGATGTCGGCTCGAGAATCCAAGACTACAAATGTTTGGTGCCGGGCCTCACAATGTGAGTGGAAACACAATTCCCCACTATGTGGAGTTGACCGAGAGTGGGCTCCCACGCCATCATCAGGAAGGTTGAAGTATTCGGTTCCGTCTCATTGGGAAAGTATTGCTACGTTGATACTAAATGCATGAGAATACGTTGTGGAGAACAAACAGAAAAAGTGTCATAAAAGCCAAGAGAAATCTTTGCCGTCCCGCATGCGTGGGTCCCGGTTGCAGCTTAAAACGCTTACTCACAGTGAGACCAGACGCAATGGGTATGAGCACGAGGCTTTCTTTTCCACCCGACAGAGGCTTAGTTATTGATCTGACCAATGGCTTTCACATTCTCTCCAGGGGCTGAGCTGACTAACTTTGGCCCCATCTCGCAACGCTGCTGTGCTGCTGTGACGCTGATCGAGCGCCCCATGGCTGGCCTGCCGATCCTGAGGCCCACCGAGCCCAGGCTGGCGATTGAGTTCGCGCCCGTGATTCTTTCTTCTCTCTTCCCCAGCCGGCTCCCTGCTCTTTCGTGCGCAAGCCTCTATATAGGCGCTCCGCAGTTTCGCGGTCGTCTGCGCGAAAGATTATGCTGCCCACCGCCCGTCGAATTCGACTGTGGCTTATGACACTGTTCCAGTCATTACAAGCCGGCATTATGTCTACCTTCGAGACTCTTCGAGCAGGGCCCTGGGGCCAACAAAACTACCAGCTTCTTGAGGGAGCTCGAGAGAAATCCTACTACTACTATTCCCGCACGACAAAAAGGACTTGGGCCATGGCTTTTTCGGTAGCAGCAGTGATCTTTATGTTTTGGTGTTTCCCATTACTCCCGGCAAACATCAACCGCATTGCCAATGAGCGTTTGTGCGATCATCCCATCTCCATACTTGCGTCCGATGCCTCGCAAGCATTCAATGAAACCTTGACGCGCCAATCTAAGTCATTAGACGAGGCAGTCACGGAATACCGTCGACGGTACAGCATGCCGCCGCCTCCCCGCTTCGACAAATGGTATGAGTTTGCGAAGCAGCGGAATACGATTTTGATCGATGAATACGACACGATATACCATTCTATGCTACCTTTATGGGGGCTTTCACCGAGTACAATCCGTTCGCGTGTCAGAGAGGACCTGGGCTTCGATAACGTGGTGATGGGTATATCGATTCGCAATGGCGAGCCCATTCACCTGGGCAATGGCCAGGGAAATTTCCAACGAGACGCCGTTATGAAGCAATTAAATAAATTTGCTCAATGGCTGCCTGATATGGATCTAGAGTTTAACGTCCACGATGAGCCGCGGGTCGTTGTTCCTCATGAGGACTTACACAGACTGGTAATGAAAGGCTATGCAGCTCAGGCTAGCTTGAACGGCAACTCATCATTGTTGAATAATTTTTCCGACAATAACAGCACTGCGCAACCTATTCCAGAAGTCTTCACAACTAGGTTTGTTAATCTCGAACGGCAAGAAACCTGGCTTTATTCCCGACTATCGTGCCCACCCGACAGTCCGACTATGGACCTCGATGGTAACGCGCCGGACAATACCAGTGCTTTCGCCATTGGGCCTTTGGGATTCGTGTTCAATCAATCCGCCTCTAGCGATATTTGCAACAGTCCCTCGCTACAACATCGCCTTGGGATTTTTGAGCGGCCCAATGCCTTCAAGCTCACGAATGAGCTAGTCCCCATGTTCTCAATGTCACATCCATCTTCGTTCCAGGATATTCCTGTTCCTTCACCATGGTACTACGAGGAGGTCGGAGGCTACGAACCAGAACTCGATATCCCATGGAAGTCAAGGCAAGGAAAGATTTACTGGCGAGGAAGTAGTACCGGAGGACACAGTCATGGTGGATCCTGGCAAAATCTGCAGCGACAGCGAGTGATCGCATCCCTAGAAGGCAAATCGGGACATCACATCTTGGAGCGCAAGGAAGAGTCTATCTGCGGCATTGGGCGTGAGGAAGGATGGGAAGTTCGCAAGGCAAATCAATCCGAGCTTAGTGAATATTTCAACGCCCATTTTGTTGATATTGTCGATTGTGAGGAGGATTGTTATAATGAGCGGATGTTTTTTGATGTCATGGAACGAGAAGATCACAATGAGGCCTGGAAATACCGCTACTTATTGGATATGGATGGCCACGCTTACAGCGGGCGATTCTATGCCTTCATGCGGAGCAAGAGTGTTCCCCTCAAGCTGACCTTTTTCCGGGAATGGCACGAGAACATACTCATCCCATGGGTCCACTACGTGCCCCTCAATAAGGATGCCAACGAAATTCCTGAGATTGTGCGCTTTTTCGAGCAAGATCCTGTTGGTCAGGGGATCGCTCGAACCATTGGCGAGGAAGGGCAGTTGTGGGCTGCGAAGACACTCCGTAACGATGACATGGATGTCTATATGTTCCGGATTATGTTAGAGTATGTCCTTTTCCTCCAAATAGATCGGTAATATGTCTTTTATGATGCTGACAACGCTATTGCAGATACGCCCGCGTGCAAGATGACCGGCGAGAGAATTTGGGTTACATTTCCCCACTTCACTAGTTGAGAGGTTTTTCCAAGACTCTTACTGACCTCACGTATCACTGTATAAAATTGCATTTCTTTTGTTCACTATATCACGCGGGCCTAACTCTGGACCCCGGTTGCAACCCCTTTATCAACTAGTTGCGTTTTGTAAGACTACTCGCATACGATGAATGCGATCCCACAAAGCAAGTACCACGAAACAGACGGTTATAGAAAGATGTAACGATTCATTATGGCACGATCGCTTCAGGGAACCAAGTCATTAAACACGGTATTACCTGAGATAGTAGTGAGGCTTCTTATCAGCAGAGGGGCAAACGTCAAAGATATCCACGATAAATTATCAGCACTACTCATAAACGCCTTGGTAGATGGCCACGAGGTGGTTGCAAGAGTGCTTATCGATAACGGAACAGAGGTCAATGCCTCGATCGCCCCCCACAAAAGTGAAACCCGACATACGAGCTATCTCCCCGCTGGCTGTCCACGGTGGAAACACCGCGGTTTTTACAGGGGAATGCCACAGTTTCGTGACACAACGCCACAACCATATAATATTTTCACAATCACCCTCGAGTTATCATGTATCGTTAACACCGATAAGGTTTTGGGATCGAGCCCCAGTCTGGTCAAATTTTTTGTTGTTGATTGCAGTGGATGTAGGTGGGTTTTTTTCTGTGGCAGGTGGCTCGTGCGCAGTTAGCGCCGCAGAGGGAAAGGATCGTAAAATAACTATTTACTGAATTTACCTCTACCTTTCAGGATCATGTGTCTTTTGACTTGGAACGCAATTTAGCATAGAATGGGCAATGCACTCGTGAAGATAGGCGGAGGCGAAGCGTGGTCTTGTCTTTCATCAACATGGTTCTAGATTGGGCTTCTGTATATGAGAACGGGATTCCCATAAGAACGGAAATACTACTTTTAATATATCGCGGTCTGCCGTATTTTAAAAGTCGTCTTTCTCACTGGACTGAGCGTCATGAATACATCCCCACATTCGCTAAAATCCTGCAGCTGGCCAGCAAATGGCTGTATATGATCAATCGTCAAATTAATTAGAAACCGCTGTTGGAACACTACTTCTCAACAGATATTGTAATCCTTGCCGTGACGATTGCAGCATGAGTTCTCATATACAGCAGTGCATTTTCTGAAAAAAGGTCGCATAAGTATAAGTGAGCTGCAAACAATGGCAAGATTCAGTTCGAGCAGAGTCCATAGAGCTTCCTTCGATCCACTCGCTATACCTTGAGTCAGATTATTTGATGAAGAAAGATTCCCAAACTTACAGTTTGAATTGTGTTTCAAATAGTTATTGAATTCAATCAGGCGCAAAAGACTAAATATGCAGACTCTATAAGAACAGCTTAGTTTTAAACCCGAATATGCACCAGAATAATTTGGGGGAACGTACAAACTGCCAATAGAAAAAAGACCTGTGAGTTGAATCTTATCCGAGACTGCGAGTTTTAAGCGCCATATAACGGTGACGGGAAAGAGTAGAATTAAAATGTCTTCCACGAGAGACAGGCTGCCGATTGATACGTAGAAAGCTGTCTGTGAGGCAATACAAGTTCCCTCAATACTGCCTTGCAGCCAGAAGTACTGGGGGGGCCAACATTGAAAGATATTCACCAGCAAGGAGGCTGTACCCCAAGCTGCAGTGAATATAAGGAGGATCGTAGTAATGACGTGCAACTTCTGCGCAGAACCAAGTAGGTTACGTAGAAGGATAATCGTCGAGAGCTTGATAAAGACTTGAGATAAAGGCCAAAATGTCTGAGTTATCCAAAAAAGCTGTTGGTCCGTAGACATTAGCGTATTTATTCCCACCTGAAGATCAGTACTATAACACCGTCTTACCAATGCGGCCTTCTGAAGGTGTTCAATTCCCAGTCCCCAAATGTCAGTTTTTCCTTCCCTGGCAGCAGCTGGGACGTAATGTCAGTTCATAAAGTATTCGACTTCGCACAATAACTCACCAAGAATTGTGCTTATAGTAGCTCCATAGGAGAAGAACAATCCAAAGAACATGAGGAGGTCACCTATGTCGAGTTTCATCTTTGTGAGTAGCCTGCTATAGAGACGTAGAAGAAAAAAGAGCGTGGCGAGAGCAGCTCCAACAATAGGGACGGCTATTAGCACCGTTTGCCAATAAGTATCATCCGCCATTCAAGTTCGCTTTTGGAGGTTTCGCAAGGAAGATTCGAGTATACATATCACAAGTTTGAACAAGATTTTAGTATGACGGTCCGAGAATTGATTCCTTGGGGTCCGGACTGAGAAAAACCTCGCTGTAAATTAATTCAAAAATCAAACATTAACTAGAACGGGCAGGAGAAGAAATAGGCTGCTACTATCCGAAGTCACCTGGGCAGTATGGATTTGGCAAATGCTTGAAAGTGCTGACGTCATTCTCTTGACGGGTTGACCAAACATCTTATTGGAAGAGTATATTCTGTATGTACCTAGCTACGGTTCCGTCTGTCCCGCACGTGGACTTGCTTCTCGATTTGGATACTGCGACTCGCGTTATTGATTGGCTGCATCATGTATTAGTTTTATTGGCACCATGAAAATAACCCAAGTACTGGATTGACTATAGAAACGATGACCGCTTAGACACCCCTTCGGAGGATACAGCGCTAATCGAATGACGTATGGACTTCAAGCTCACAACGAAAACACTAAATTCTACTTGAGAAAATTAAACGTCCCAGGCCAAGTCAGTCCTAGATAAGCAGGCGGTACATATTCTTTTATTTACTCGGGTCTGTCGGAGGGGAGGGAAATGTATACCGCCTTGTTCACCGTCTTCCCCATCGCCCTTTTCCCATGACTGTACGATTCTAATTGGCAGGGGAAGAGGTCGCGGCCGGCTTTTGTGAACGCGGTGCGCACTGGCCACCAGGCGCTGCAGGCCCTCGTACGTGTAGCCGTACATACAGCTCAGGAGAAGCGGAGGACCCGGAGTACTCAGAGGACTCGATGTGAGGTCTGGGCAATGACAATTATGCTTGGAACTTCGCTAGTGTATTTCGTGAAATGGTTGCTAGGAACAGCCAGCGGATTTCTCCCTCATGGCTGAGACATATCTAAATATTGATGGTTGAAAAGAGTGTGACTGGGTTACTAGCTTACTGGAGGCTCTCGAAAAGGTTTTCGTTCCGTTGCTGTTTGTGTTTTTGTGTTTTTGTGTTTTTAATAAACAGGTCGTCATCAAGGTGTGGGCTTTGGAGTATGCTTTGCGAGTATGCTCCAACCCTACTAATTGGCATACCGAACCTATCCCCTTCGTGTATATCTTCCACTCCTTTAGCTACGGGGTTCTTATTTTGTTTTCTTTAGAGACCTGCGAGGTTTTTCTTCATCAAGAGGTTCGGTAGTGCCCGGTGCTTGGAGGGAGATCTATCTGCGTAGATAAAATTGGTTCAATTATGTAGGATAGTAGGGCCAGAGAAGATAATTGCTTCCAGATAGTGGCTCAGGCAACCACCTTGAATTTGGTGATGAGTTGAGAAACAAATCAGAAACCCAAAAGCTAAAGGAGAGAGTTTCTTTGAGGACTTGGCAGGTTTTCGGTTTTCATGTCACCACCAGGAACGAAAGGAAATTGAACTCAATGGGAATGTTTTGCCAGAAGAGGAATATCGTAGTCAAAGCCGATATTTTTAGAAGTCTTAGACGAATTGTGATCTTTCCAACGGCCAGAGTGTCAGTCCTTGCCTGATAAGTCGTTGCGTGCAGAGGCCAGACGGTCACAGATGACGGGCAAACATAGATGGTGGATGGTGGAGGAATAGTAGCCTCTGCCGCAATATCACCTTTGTCGCCCAATTCGCTTCCAATAGTTTCGAGCCGCCACATGGGCATAATCCGATTGTCATTATTTTCAGAATTCACTCTCCCGTCGCATTGTCTTTGAAATTGCAGAGATTGATAAATAATTATAGGGAACAGAACTGGATAATCAACATGTTGCTTACTGAGGGGGCTCACGCCGAGACACTAGCTGCATGCCCAGCTGGAAATTTCCGTTCGTGTCTTAGTTTCCCGTTCTACCTGTCCATTTTCTTAGGGTTCAGTCTTTTCAATAAGTGGATTCAGAATTTTCTTGTAACAACATCCTCTTGCTTCAAAATCATAATATAGAAAGAAAATCGTATATTTGGAGGGAATACTGGGTGCGATATCAATAGTTCGCTCTAATTTCGGATCTATGATCAGTCCATCAGTCCATCTGGGATCGGTCTGTCTCACACCTGCGGCCCGCAGGCCGATGAAAGCCGGCTTATTGTTTGAACCAACCATAGAACCTCAACAGAGCATGGTGAATGTATGTCTTAGATCGTTCCTTGATTGTGCCATGTTAATTGGTCTTGTTTTGTAGCATTTGCCCGCTACTAAAATTTAGCGTGGTTTCCTGCAGAAAGCGTACTACACAGCACGGATGCAACTGTGGAATTTTACCGAGAGTTTTGCGTTGGCTATAGTGGTGCACATAAAAGACCATTGTTTTCCATTTATATTTTATCCGAGTCATCTTAACTCTGCCCAACACGACCATGCTCAGTCTCGCAAATATTGTGACAGGCCTTTTAGCCTTGTCAACACCCATTGCCTCGCGTGCCTTGCACCGTCGCTCCATCACTCCTCCGGCTGGATGCCCAATTCCAACCTGGACAGTCAACAACTTCCAATGGTACAATGGCTCGCATTCTCTAGACTGTATCCATAACGAAGCCGACATCAATGCCAAAGGATGTCTCTGCGGGAGCGGCTGGTGTGACCCTAACCCAGCGACCTGCAATGGGTCAATGGTGCCAGTCTGCTACACTGGCATGCCTAACTATCAGCCATGGGGATATGGCCCACCGGAAACTCTGGACATTGATTTCGCCGATGGCCTGGAATGCCACGACCAGTACATCGGATATCGCGTTCACGATATTGGTAACGGAGCTAGCAATTGCGGATATGCCGATCGAGGACTCGGACGTATTGTCGCCTTCTACGGTACTTCAGACCTTGACAGCTCGAAAGGGCATATGGATTATACCCTTGGAAGTGGTCATGCTCTGAACTGTGCTAATGGAAGCTCCATTACTTACTCTGGAAGTGTGGATTTCCCGCTTACTTGTACTCATGATGCGTACTTTAATGCTACGTGCACAGCGCCCGTCTTTACCATTCCGGTTCTGAGCTATCAATGGGTTTGATTATGAAATCTGCTGGATTTTGCAGCCAAGGATTATGAAATTAGATCAACAGTCCGATAGGATCCATAGAAATCTATTGAGGCGATGATGATGTACATGAGAGACGATGACACTCTCTTAAACCTGGTATGGTAGATATAGACTTGTAGAAAATGCTAATAAAGTTACCATGCGTAGTGCTATTGCAAAGAAAGTTGTATATAGGTGTATGAAGTGTATTAGTGATGAACCTGAATCATCTCCTTGACCATAGACAAGAAATTCTGACGATATTCATTCGCCGTTGTTGTAATAGACATGGGTCCTTGACGTCCCACAATATTGAAAGTCTGCACCACCCCCGTCATTGCCTGCGCATGTAGCTTATGCTTTGCCCAGAAAAAGTCGAGTATCACAGCCCGATACTTCCATTCTCCATCTGCAGATGGAATACCCACCCTCCATGGACTCTCCCTCCCGAGAACTTCCGGACTGGAAGATGATGGAATTCGGACCAAGAATAGGGAGTAGTCGACGGCATTAGCCTCTTGCAGGAACTTGGTATCTGCTTGAATGGCTTCCCAGAAAGTATTGTAGTCTTCCTGCCAAAGATGAAGCTTATCGTTGAAAGTGTCCGCAAGCTTGCTTAATGTATCTTCACTGACCAGAGGTTCAGGAATGATATCTCGCTCTGGATAGAAGTAGTTGATTGGTTTTAGGTCGTAAGTCTCCCAGCGATTACCGGCTGGGTCATCGGCTTGACCACAGAGGATGTTCTCCATGATTATATGGTGTGCTGGAGTACAGCCACAAAGTGTGCCGAGGGTCACGTATGGAGATAGGAGATAATCGGTAATCCAGACCAAGACAGAATCCGGATGCTCTCGCATATGCTCATAATATGGCTCCAAGAGATCAGACTCGAAGAACGTATACTCAAAGTGACGCGGGAGACTTTTGATCACCAAATGGCCATCAAATGTGCCAAAGAAGGTCTAGAAATGCATTAGAGTGGCTCTTGAGTGCAAGGCAGGGAGGAAATTACCGATCCTGAGTACCCCAAGTCGCCAATCATTTTCAGTGGTGGCTGGCCGTCTGTCTTGTGGAATGAGGCTAGATAGTTGTCCTCATCAAATCCCCACACCTCCTGACGCAATACCGCGAAGAGATTTCGTTCATGTCGAATCAACTTTATTCTGCGAAATGTGAAGAACGCGATGAACTTTCCCCACGCAGACTTCTTGAATCGGTCCGGGTCACGAAATAAACCAGACTGTATAGACTTGGTCAGAGCTGATTGACGCCGATTCTTACCCATCTTGTAGTAGTGGTGAGAGCATATCCTTCGTAAAGAAAGAGATAAAGTATCCAGGGGCCCCCGGGATGCATAAAGCTTGCTTTTGTAAGAACTTAATACAGCATGACTAGTGACGTCACTGCCACATAGTGGTATCTTCTTCTATTTGTTCAAAACAAGGTTGACACGAGATCAACACGGGTTAATCAATCTGATTTAACATATCAGATCTTGTTTTACCGCGGATAATCTTGAACGCTGCCTAAGCATAAAAGTTGGGTGATTCATAGTGGGTGGTTGTATAGTTATCTGGCTATGTCTGTAGTATTATGTTGATTCCAACCGCCAACTACATATTCTTAATGCATCAAATGTAAGACAGCAAATGAATTAGTAAGCTGAGGCTCACTCCTATACAATCCACAATATACATAATAAAAACCGATATGAAAGTGACAGGTCAGGCGATGGGTCAGGTCTATACAACACACGTGACCACTGACCGCCTGACGACCTGAGTCATAGCAGAAAAGTCGCCCACCATAGAGTCTTCCCCTCTATGGGTCATTACATGCTAAGCGGGGCCCGGCGTTTCTCTGGCTACTTTTTTTCTCGATCGCCCCTCACAACCGTTCGATCATACCCTTCCTCTTCATTTCGCGCTTTTATCGCTTGCCCGGCGCGTCCTCGTTCGTTAACCACAATGGCCGCCGAAACTTTGCCCGCCTCGGTCGAGGCCCTCACCCTCCAGTCGACCACACAGAAGTCCGAGTTCCCCGGCTGCTTCCCGTCCCTGAACCCCATGGACATTTACCGCGAACATATTGCGACAGAGCTGAGCAAGGCCACCGACATTGATGCGCAAAAGATCTACTCTCGCCTCGCATGGACAAAGACCCTGGACCAGGGCGACTTGTCGCTGCCGGTATGTAATTGATATGCTGTCAACTGAGCGCGACTAGTCATACAGTCATTGCGGCTGGAACTTTTAGTAAAACAATGCGACTTACCTTTTCTTTCACATCATTAGGTCCCCTCGCTCGGAATTAAGAAGAACCCCCAGGAGCTGTGCCAGGAATTGGCCTCCAAATTCCCCGAATCCGACCTCATTTACCCTCCCACTCCCCTCGGCCCTCACCTGCAGTTCTTCTTCAAGCCCAAGGCCCTCACTGAGACCGTCCTTGGTCGTATTATGAAGGAGAAGGCTGCCTTTGGTACTAATGGCAACCAGGGTCTTAAGGACCCTTCGGACCCCTCTAAGGGCCAGAAGAAGATCATCATCGAGTTTTCCAGCCCCAACATTGCTAAGGCATTCCACATGGGTCACTTGCGCAGTACGATTATCGGTGGTTTCCTCGCCAATCTGTACACTGTCATGGGATGGAACGTTGTCCGCATGAACTACCTTGGTGACTGGGGCAAGCAGTACGGTCTTTTGGCCAACGGCTACAAGGCTTTCGGTAACGAGGAGGCCCTCGCTAAGGACCCCATCAACCACCTGTTCGATGTCTACGTCAAGGTCAACCACATTGTGAGCGACCAGGATGCGCCCATCAAGGAGTTGAAGGAGCAGATCAAGCAGAAGAATGAGAAGAGCGAGGATGTCACTGCTCTGGAGGCTGAGCTTGCCAAGCTGGTTGATGCTAGTGAGGACGAGAAGGCCCGCCGCTACTTCAAGAGCATGGAGGATGGCGACCCCGAGGCTCTTGCCCTCTGGCGCAAGTTCCGTGATCTCAGTATCCTCAAGTACAAGCAGGCGTACGCCCGTCTCAACATTGACTTCGATGTCTACTCCGGTGAGTCTCAGGTCAAGAAGGAGAGTATGGCCAATGCCTACAAGGCTATGCAAGATGCCGGCATTGCGGAGGACTCTGAGGGTGCCGTTATTGCAGACTTCACCAAGCACGGCGCCAAGAAGCTGGGCAAGGCCATCATTATCCGCAAGGACGGTACTCCTCTGTACCTGACCCGTGACATCGGTGCCATCCTGGAGCGTGACGAAGAATACAAGTTCGACAAGATGATCTACGTTGTGGCTTCGCAGCAGGATCTTCACTTGGCGCAGCTCTTCAAGGTTACCGAGCTTTCCGGCCGTAAGGACCTGTCCGACCGTTGCTCACACATTAACTTCGGTATGGTCAAGGGCATGAGTACCCGTAAGGGTACTGTTAAGTTCTTGGACGATATCCTGAACGATGTCGGTGACAAGATGCACGAGGTGATGAAGAAGAACCAGACCAAGTACGAGCAGGTTGAGAACCCTGTCGCTACTGCCGATACCCTGGGTATCACTGCTGTTATGGTTCAGGATTACACTGGCAAGCGGTACGTTTTGTGAATCCCTCCTTTTATCGAAATTACCATATTAACCCATCTTAGTATCAACGGCTACGATTTCAACCTTGAGGCTATGACTTCCTTCGAGGGTGACACCGGCCCTTACCTTCAGTACGCCCACGCTCGTCTCTGCTCAATGTTCCGCAAGTCCGGCTTGACCGAGGAGGAGTTGAACACCGCCAACTTCGATCTCCTGTCCGAGAAGCACGCCGTTGATCTAATCCGTCTTCTGGCTTCCTACCCCGATACTATCCTCAACACCGCCAAGACTCTGGAGCCCGTTACTATCTTGGCCTATCTGTTCAAGATGACCCACGCTCTGTCCTCTAGTTATGATGTCCTCAAGGTCGTTGGAAGTGAGCCCGAGCTTAAGAAGGCTCGCATGGCCCTCTACTTCTCTGCCCGCCAGGTCCTCCACAACGGCATGCGCATCCTCGGCCTTAACCCCGTTCAGCGGTTTGTCTCCCTATTCCATCTTTCCCTGGTCACCAGCTAATCGTGTCTATAGCATGTAAAATCGGATTTATCTCTCCCTCCGCCATCTTTCAATAGCTTCTACACTACGCAACATCGATATCACTTTTTTCAAGATGCATTTGGCGCTTAGAGCTGGTCAACAAAATATCAAACCTTTTTCTGCTTTCCACTATTTATTTATAGAAGTCAAGACTGCTTGGGGTGGGGTTAAATGACTTTTGATGACCACCCATGCGAATTCTAGCAAACTCGAAATCGATTATTCCTGCTGTGCACACCAGATTCCTTGGCATTGACCGCGATTGCTACGACTACATTATCATGGTACAGGTAGATCGACCCGAGCCTCATCACTCTATTCTCTTTGACTCTAAGCCTAAACCCGTGCAAACTCTTTGGACATAAGCCCTGATTGCACCCGACTCAGAATCTCCGACCTCCCGTGGGATCAAACACCACGAACATTGCTTTACTCAAAGCATTTAATATTGCTCTGTATGTAGGTAGTGTTATTCAAGTATCACAGATCACAAACTCTCGTCAGCGTGGGCAGTGGCAAACTTCTATCTGTCTCGAGCAAGAGCCGTTTAGTATGCCGCATTTGCTTGGCCCGAATAGGATGCCTTATCAGCGGCCAATTATTCTGAGCTGCTCCTACTGCCGACTTTGCAGCAGTACAACTGCTACTTTGCAAGTTGCGGGGGTTGGGTTCAATCCCCGTGTCCTATCAAACCCTCCGGTCGGTATTGGTGCTCACTAGCGTTATGTGCACTTTTAAATTCTTATTTCCTCCTCTACATAGAAGGATATGTTTGGTTTGACTGAGAAGCGCCTCAGGTCATTCAAGCCTGTGACAGCGAACTTTTCAAGTTGGCCGATAAATTAGTATTGGATACCCCCGACAATTCGGTCGCAATCAGTTGAATAGCTCACATACCATTGAACAGAGCATACTATCAAAAGTTGGATTGAGCTACGGAACAATAACTTCAGCAGCTTGATACCCTAGGTCTTCTATCAACTCCCTTATCCGCCAGATACTAGATGCAACTTGCTAGAAAATTGTCCCTTGGTATTCTGCCTTGCCGTATCCTATGTATGGCTGAACGAAACTGTTTTTCCTGCTAGTATTGGGACAAGTCGTCCAGACCGTTCTGGGTGTATTGGAATGAGGCCTGATCGGTTTAGCTTGTTTGCCAGAAACAATGTTCTGGACGCCCTACAGACCATACAAGTCTACCGCAGAAGCTATTTGGTTATGTTTATCTATAGCTGTACACGGATACTGCCGAGGATAGGGTCAGCGTCAGAGTAAACGCAATGGATACAGTCTTCTTCGAAAGAAGTTTCAAGAACGAATCGATGAGATTATAGTAATGGAAACTGATTTGAATCCATCCTGTATCCACTATGTAAAAGGATGTGCTAAGGCCCGTCGATTAAGTAAGATTACAAAGGAACCCGTGAACAAAGAGAATGTAGTAGCCAAATGTGGCGCACGGGGTCGCCGGGATCCACAAACTATAGGCTATGAAACGCATTGTGAATCCTGTAGGTGCCCGAAGCACAAACCCCGTCAGCACAGAGTGCTGGACTATCACAAGCAAAAGCCTCCCATTCCCCGATAGATAACGATTATAATATAGAATCTAACTCTCAATAAGCCGGGGTCCATTTACACCACCCTTGAGAATGTCGACTCGGGGACCAACCTGGGTCCCACTCCCCGGGTGGGTCTTACTAAGCCCAACCCGTCGGGGAGCCTCAAACTACGCCTAGAACAGACGCCTCCATAGATCGGGGACCTCGAGGCCGCCCCAGAAAAAAGAATAAGAAAATGATCACCTTGGTCCCCTAGACCCCAGAAGGGGACCCGGGCACCACAGGCTGCCTGCATACTTCGCCGATGAGATTCAACCCTATTTAACAAGGCCCGGCCCGGGACGTTGGAGTGCAGCAAAAAAATCAGTAACCCCTGTCAAGGAGTGGAAACATTGCGTTCTCAACTGACATGGATGAGCCAAATTTGAATTCGTTCACCATGGATACTATAACCAGGGCCAGCACGGACCTAGAACGGAACGATGACCGGTTCCTGATGAACCATTCTGTCAAGAATTTCTCTTGGCGCGGACTCACGGTGACCGTAAAGGACCGCCAAACTCGGAAAGCACGAGATCTCATTTGTGATATTGGTGGCGATGTGCAGCAAGGTACGTGTGAAGTGGTGATTGACTGGATCTTTGGATGGTACTGATGTGACGTGACGACAGGGGAGCTCGTGGCGCTGATGGGGCCGTCGGGATGCGGGAAAACAACCCTGCTCAATGTGCTGGCGCGTCGGTCATCCGGTGCCGCCAAAGTGCTAGGCGATAGCTTCGTGAACGGGGTCAAGGTTGATGCGGCTTCCTTTGGGCGCATGACATCGTATGTCGAGCAGGAGGATGCACTTATTGGGTCATTGACTGTGCGGGAGACTTTGAAGTTCGCAGCGGATCTCTCGTTGCCTAAGTATGTACCCTGGTTGTTTATGTGCTTTGTTGGCGGTGTGCTCACGTGGGTTGATTAGTTTGGTGACGAAGCGCCAGCGCATAGAGAGGATGCGGACTCTGCTTGAGGCTTTTGGGATTCAGAACCAGGCTAACACCATTATTGGGACGCCGATTCGGAAGGGGATTAGTGGTGGTCAGAAGAGGAGGGTCAGTGTTGCTAGTCAGCTCATCACTTGTCCCAAGATACTGTTTTTAGACGAGCCGACTAGTGGTCTGGATTCAACGGCTAGCTTTGAGGTCATCTCGTATGCTAAGGAGCTGGCGAGATTGAATAATGTGAGTATAGTCCCGACTTTGAGGGTCTACTAAGCAGGAAAAAGCTAATGATAGCTAGGTTATCATCATTGCTAGTATCCATCAACCCTCAACGACCACGTTCCAGCTGTTTGACAAACTACTACTTCTGTCAGGCGGACGAACATGCTACTTTGGCCCTACCGAGGATGTCAAAACCTACTTCCACGATATCGACCATCCAATTCCCAGCAACACCAACCCTGCAGAGTTTCTCCTTGATATCGTCAGCTCTGATTTCAGCAGTGGCAAGGAGTCATCCCAGGAACGTGTTCGGGCAATCCAGCGTGCATGGTCGACATCTACGGAAGCAAATGCCCTCACACGATGTGTCTCTGAAAGAGCAGAAGTGGCAGAGAAAGATGTCAATAAGGTTGTGATGGAGGACATGGCTTGGCCTGGTCCAGTGAAGGTCATAGGCGCCCTCCTTCATCGCTCCTTCATCAAGAGCTACCGCGACGTCGTTGCCTATGGCATCCGCATTGTGATGTATCTAGGTAGGTGCCCTCTAAACATAACCCCATTCTACTCATAGACTCCTTACACACTGCAGGACTTGCAATCATGATGGGTACAGTATGGCTGCGCCTTCACCCATCGCAGGAGTATATCCAGCCATTCGTCAACGCAATTGTAAGGCCCCTCCCCACCACCACCGACAATCGCTAACTTATATAACCCAGTTCTTTGGCTCGGCCTTCATGTCCTTCATGGCAGTAGCATACGTCCCAGCCTTCCTAGAGGACCGCGCAAACTTTGCCAAAGAACGAGCCAACGGCCTTTACGGCCCAACCCCCTTCATGATCTCAAACTTCCTCATTGGTCTCCCATTCCTCTGTATGTAGCACATACACACCCTCCAGCCTCGCATAACTGATCGAACCTGCAGTCATAATCTCAATCTTGTTCTCGATTGTCTCATACTGGCTTTCGAACTTCCGCCCAACCGGTGAAGCCTTCTTCACCTGGGTCATGTGGATTTTCCTAGACCTGGTGGCGGCCGAGTCCCTGGTTGTCCTTGTAACGGCGATATTCCCAAATTTCGTGATCTCTCTAGCACTCGTGGCATTCGCAAATGGGCTGTGGATGAGCGTGGGTGGGTTCTTGGTGACTCCGACGATTTTGAATCCGTTTTGGAAATACGTGTTTCACTATATCGATTACCAGGTGAGTTTGTTATAGGACCGATCAAATCTCTCGATCGGACATGACTCTAACATCCACCAGGCGTATGTGTTCCAGGGGATGATGGTGAATGAGTTCTCGCAACGAAACTATTCATGCGGTGATGGGTGTCGGTGCATGTATACCTCGGACTTGGCAGATCAGTGCCAGATCCGCGGAACGGCTGTGCTAGAGACATATGGCTATGCGACAGGTCGGACTGGGAAATGGGTGGGCATTCTTATCGGCATCATTGCGGTATACAGACTGCTCGGATGGATTGCGCTTCGCCTGCGCAAGGACTGAGATAAAGATAGTGATGCATAGTAGGGGATTCGATGTAAAGTACGGTTTCCAGTCAGCTGGTTGTTATATAGTGCTTACACTTGTATAAAGTACTCTTCTGCAAGGTCCAGACAACCGTGGAATATCCCATGGGCAATTCAATGGCCATCCCAGCATCCGCTCACTCATTCTATCAGCCGAGGTCATGCTTTTGTACCACGAATCGCTAATCATCATGACACATAACCCTGGGAACAGCGCGCTGGCATGACTAATGCGCCCCAGAGCTCGATCGACGCACCGATGATTCTCCTAGAGCTCTCTATCTCCCGAGTCGAGTTGGCGAATCGCGTTCGAGCGATGGCCTCATGATCATCCTAGATGGGATCAATTCGCCCGCTCCATGCAAGTGATAGTAAACGACAGGCTTTTTCTTTTTTTAAACATCGGACGAATCCTGAAATGGACGCGTGGGAGTAGGCAGGTCGCCCCCCCCCTCGTCTCATGAGATGGCCCATATTAAAGAACTAGCGGTGAAGGTGTCGGAGACGCTGATGCCTGCAGAGGAAGCAAGGGGGCGACCAGAAACAACGATCCTTCCGGGGAAAACCTTCCAACTCCCCAACCTTCCAATCTCTCGGTAGAGGTTGGGTAATCGCGCACGAAGAAAAGTGACATGCGTATGGATAAGCTGCGGCGATGGGAATTGCAATCTGTCCGGTCCACACGAGATTCCTAGGCCCGATCTTCAGATCGTGTCGCAGAGCCGCATGGGTATCCTGGATAGGCTGGGCACCGAGCTAGTCTCGTCAGTCGCGTCAGTCAACCCGGGTTGGTTTTCCATCCTCACCCGGGCCGCAAAGCATTGGCCTCATGGATTTTGCCCCTCCAAACCCGACTTGCGTTCTTATCAATGTCCACACGTGCGGGGGTCTCTGGGGCCCATGGAAACGAGGAAACGAGGAAACGAGGAAACGAGGAATGAAACCCCAAGGCCGCGGACGCAAGGAGGCGACCGAGTCGACCGAGGAGGTAATGATAGACCGTCCGTGCTGCATGTCATACCGATCTGGCCAGGTCTGGGTTTGTCTCGAGGGGAACGGAAGTACAGAATACATGGCACGCATGAGTCACGGGCGCAATCTGCGGAGAAGAGAACCAGCCTCTGCGAAGCGGCCACAAAAGCCCTGCCACATGGGTTCCCGTCGTCTCCATGCAATGATTCTCCATTCTAGCGTCGTTTCTCGGTCCACTCGCGACATCAGTGGCGATTTGAAGTCTGTGTTGGAACTGCATGTCATCCCCACCGACTTTTTCCCGGTGTACTATGTACATCGCCATTGTACTCTCCCCCGAGCCCCATTGACTTCGGTACTAGGGAAGAGCCATCCCCAGGATGGTGTACAAGATATGATTCCAATTCCTTCTCTTTCTATGGGGACTGGGAAAGTGCTTCCAGTGGAGGCGATCATTGGGCCGCAACTAGGATTGGGCGTTAGGCGGGAACAACAAGACAAAAAAATCACAATACAAAAAAAACCAGAGACTGTACAGTAAATAGCATCACCTTGCAGAGGAGAAAAGAAAAACGCAAATAGTTCAGACAGAAGACAAGGTACAGAATGTACGTAGTCGAGAACGCAGAAAGTTCAAGATCCTAGAAGACCCGAGTGAACCAGGGATCCCCAAGCGGGTCTCCGAGCTTAAAAGCGTAGCACAAATCAATGTTTAGGGTGTTTAGGGTGCCGTGTAGTGTATGGGATGTGTTTACTTAGGAACACTGACTCCCCCCACTTCGTCTGCTTTTTTTTTTTTTTTTTTGTTGCTTTTGGGTACCCGATCCTCGTGGAACATTCTCTATTTTCGATTTCGATTTTATTTGTCTTTGCGGCCCTTATCGTTTCGTTGGCTTTTGATCTTCTCTGTCCGGCTTTCTTCTCTCCCTTTCAACCCCCCCCCTCGCTGCTTGTCTGCCCATCGCCTGCCCGTCTGCCCTATCTACTCCACAAAACCCCACTGGGTACCGTCAGGCACAACTTCAGATTCATCATCAACACCCAACCTGCAACCTGCAGTCTTCCCACCACTCACGCTCTGCCAGAGTTTTCGTTTCTTAGTCCGCCCCACGATCTCCCGACGCTTTCTGCGCCGCCCGACCGTTTCTATTCTTGCCCGCCCGAATTCCCATTTCAGATGGAGACTGCGCGATCTGGATACTACCACCTCGCACACTCTGCTCGCTGACGAATCTCGATCTCTCCGGCCTCTCACCTGCCATCGCCCCTGCGATCGGCAGGTCCTTGTTTGCGTCCCTGGGTTGGGCGAAACAGTGACACGGGGGCAAAAGTCCCGATACTGGAGACGAGGAGGGTACCAACCAGGTACCAGGGGTGACGAACGGAGGCCCGATATTACCACGAAACGAACAAGATACACTGGATACGGAAGAGAATTCTCGCTCTGAGTCATTTCATCTCCCTCTTGGGTGGCTTGCTGTAAGTCCCAACCAAGCATATCCCTTCCTGCAGGTGTGGGTAAGCCCACACCGTTCATGACCAAACGGGACCAACCTGTTTCCCTTCTTAGGTACCGCCCTTAGTTCCCCCGATTTCTGTGCAGCCATGGCGGGCAAATCCAAAGCCCCTCAACCGGCTTGTGTCGAGGACTTTGACGAAGTCTCCCATGACGCCGTCCCGCATAGTCGGCAGGTAGCTAATTCAGCTGCCAAAATACATTCGAGGTTGGATCCGAGATTCCCAGCGGAGCCGCTGATCGACGGCGCCAGTGACTCAGGGTATTCTAGTCGCACCGCAGCCACTGTCAACAGCACCCAATCTGGCCCGTCGGGCGAGAGAAGCCCCCCGGTCCTTCATAAGCTGGACATGCCCAAGCGTGACCAAGTCGACCTCGCAAGACGACCCTCCAGCCGTAAAGAACGCCGCGACAAGGAACGTGCCCGACCAACGCGCGACGAGAAGATGCACACGGCTGCCTACCCGGCCGCCGTCCACCATCAAACTCACGTGCAGAGGTCGCCGTCCAAGTCGCGCAGACGAGACTCCGTTCGTTATAACGAAGACTACCGCTACCACTACGAGGCCAGCCCCTACTACCACTCCTCCACCCCCGTCGAGACCCGAGCAATGGACTTCCCTCCCTACTTTGCCCGTCCGCCCATGCCCGACTACCCACCGTCGTCCCCTCAGAGCTCTCGCTTCCCACCCCCGATCGCCCACGCGGAATACCACGCGAGTCGTCCTACTCGGTCCAGTCGCTCGAACTCGAACCGTGCCATGTACCACCAGGACCGGCCCGTGAGCTACCACGGCGGGATGGCCCATATGGGTCCGCCCCACATGTACCAACCGCCGCCGCCGCCGCAGGCCATGTACTACGAGCATGGTCCTCCCCCGTCACAGTCGGCATATGCCCCACAGTATTCTTCCTCGCCATACGGAGGCTCTTACTATGCTGGGTCTGAATATGCTGCCCCCACGGAGTACGTGCGGGAACAATCCCCGTCTCGCACTCGGGAGCCTTCACGGGCCCGCCGGTCGTCAGTATATGGGTACCCACCGCAAGCGCTGGATGACATGTTTGATTGGGATGATGGTGAATTCTTGGATCAATATCCTTCTCGAGAGCCCCAGCCACGAGAGTCTCTCCCGCGAGAGCCTCGAGAGTCTCGCGATTCTCGGGACCGACGCATGAGCAAGCCTCCTGTGATCACCCAAGCACGAGACGAGGATTACTACAAGATGCCTCCACCTCCACCGCCACCTCCCCTTCGGGCACCGAAAGTAAAGGCTGCACCGCAAATTCATCAGAAGCGACCGCCGCCGCAAAAAGCCCAGACGACGCAGGCCATTCCGAGGGAATCGCAACGCCGAACGTCTCGAGCCATGGACATGAGGGATCTGGAAGACGCCCTACCAGAGGTCGTCAGTCGTCGCCTGTCTAGGGAAGCCAGACTGCCTGAGCGCAGTCACAGCCTTCGTGACAGCAAGCGATCGACCTCCTACCATGACCATGCTCGAGGTGCTCAGATCGCCGTGGCAAACTCAAGGTCCAACCGCCCGCGAACACAGCAGTATTACTACGAGGATGCGGGAAGCATTGACCTCGAAGATCGCGAGCGACGAGTTGAGCGAGAAGTTGAGGAATACCAAGCACAAAAATCTGGTCGTCCTCCTGCTGCTGCAATGCCCTTATCGACGGATGCCCTCATTCCCAAGTTGGGCAATGGGACAGGAAGTGAACACGGCAGTCAGAAGAGCCGATCCAGCGGAAGCCGCCACAGTGGGTCGAAGGGTGAAGGCGAAAGCAAGAACATCAACCTCGAGGTCAATGGAATGACGATTGGATTCACTGAACAAGGCATTGCTGGCAAGTCTATCAACATTCGGACTGGCGACTCCGGCGGCGTTCACTTGAACATTGCCGGAGGCCGCAAGGCTCAGCAATACCTCACCGGTGGATCCTCTTACTCCGGTTATACGGGAGGCAGTGACCCACGGGATCTCGAAAGTGTGCGACGCCCACGCGAGCGCGATGAGCTGCGGTCAGAGCGTTCTAGCCGTCGGACTAGCCAGTCCACATACGGTCGGAGCCGCCGGTACCAGGCAGTGTAAGCGTGGCGTAGGTGTTGCCCCTTCTTTTTCCTGTTCATTGTTTCAATTTCCATTTTCGTTGGCTGGTGGTCTTCTCTTTTCTTTTCGTTACCCTCACCATTAGAGCGAGCGGCGGGTCTTTGCCACAAAAAAGTTCGGAATTTTCTTCAATTATGTTCAGCAGGGCGGGAATCTGCGATTGGAACAAAACAAAAATACGGTGTTCGAGCAAAACGTCCGGGAATTGGTTTCAGCCATCCCTCCTCAATCGGACTGGGAGGATTCTCTGGTTTTATGTTTGCAATTGCTATTGCGTTTGGGAGAGCGACTGGGCAAAGGGAGTCTTGACATCTATCTCCCCAGGTAGTTCAAGACACACCTTACGCCTAGTTGCAGGCTCCCGTTACGGTGATATGATTGTACGATTCTGATGACCTGCGATGACAAGTTCGACGTGCCTTTGCCTTTTCTTGATGCACCCTTATGACAGCGTTTGTGTATAGCCTTTTTTGGTCTTGATCATTGATCCATGTGTCTACGTTTACCTTCGACTGTCCTATTGGGCCACTTGTCTTTCTCCTGTTACTGGTTCTGCGTCGTGCTACTCCGAGTTGGAGGAGAGAGATTATACCCACTGTTTCTACTTGTCTTGTCTCAACACTTGGTCATCTATTTACTCAAATGTTTGAAAGTACTATCTACGATATATTGTATTCTTTACCAATCTGCTTCCTTGTAAGGTAATATCATACAGTCACATAGGTTTCAGGTAGCGCTGAATCTCCCCATAGTGAGCGCTTACTAGAAGATAATTAAAAAAAAAATAAGGCCCGCACCATTAAAAATAGAATATGAGGACCTATGAAATTGACGCTGAAAATGACTATTTCTGAGGCGAGGAACACCCGTTTTTCTACCCGTATTGACAGTGGCTACACACTGCTTCACGGCCCACAGCCTGCCGTTGCACCACTATTCTGTACCCGCTAAGTATAGTAAACCAACAGTCGACTTCCGTCGAGCTTCTATCTGTTTCGATTTGCGACCAGAATGATGCCGAGAATGGCTCCCCTAGGCGTCAGTTCTAGCTCTGCCCCAGTCCAGTCGCCCGTAAACCAGCCACCTCCCCCTTTAATTTCTCTAGGTACCTCGTATCTGCTGTCCTGCAGTAGGCTATACTCGGCGGAGATTGCTATAAAATAAAAGGAACGAGTAAACAACAAAGGCGGTTAGTTCAGGGCAGTAGCATCAACGAAAATATACCACATGCTCATCTCGCACCCGTGAGCAAACAAATGAGCAATGGAAAAATATCAAGCGAACAGAAGCATAACTAAAAGTACAAAGAGGATCCAACATCAAGCCTCCTCTTCCCGGTCGAAGATACTAAAACATTGTCATTGGCATTGCTAATAGTTGGGGAAATTTCTTACAATATCGTAGCCGATTGCAATAAAAATGTATATTAGTTAAATCGACAATAGCATTAGACAGGTATTTTGATTTGATTCCTTTCATATTCTAGAAGCCCCGGATATTCTTGAAATACACGAGGAGGGTCTCGGCTGACGTAAAGATCAGCGTATCTCTCAACGTCGTTTAGAGTGCTACTAGTCTGATTAAAGTTACCAGACGCACCAAAGCTAATTAATGGTCGATAGCCAATCGATCTCCGAATGGCCCTTCGCGGCTAAATAAAAAACTATAACCGACACCCTCTAGTAATGAGGCGCCCTAAAGCTGTGGCCTACTTACCTTATATAGGTGAAGTAGGTGAAAGCTTTGTTGCTCTCCTCTAGAGATACTGGTCGAGTGAACCCATTTTTGTAACTTCGTTTTTGGATATCAGACAAGGACAAAAAATCAGTGAAGTGTTAAACGGAACATTTTCCGTGGCTTGAAAGTAGTTCAACCCCGCTTCCCTAGCTGAACATATCAGTGCTTTCTAGATGTGATTGGTTGACAAATACTCTGTCTGCACTGTTGAGCTAAAATCTGGTAAGTAGGAGAAAATACCGCAGCATTTTGTTACTTACGCGCGTTACCCACAGCAGTTGGATCCATTGGCCTTTAAATTGGAGGTAATTGCGATGTCTCATACTCCGATTAACAGAGATGCCTACTTATTACCAATCTCAAACGAAATCAATACTTCTGACTGCTATCTGGTCGAGATGCCTTCCAGACAAAGTACCTCCTAGGGTTTTACATTCCATTTTGTTTGGTTTTTGCAGTTACGAATTCGTATTCTGCCGCCATGAAACCCAATAAGGAACATGGAGAAATGAAGTTAGGTTGAATGAGAAAGCTCGGATCAGACGAAGTTATTAGACGACTATGTCCACTAGATGCATCTGACGTGTCTGTTATCCCCTTGTATGTTGCGTTGTACAGCGCATGCGAGACAGCTCATACTTGCATGTTCCCCTTCCCCGCAGCCAGAAAAAGCACAAGGAGTTTTCGCGGCCGAAAATCCTACATTTAATGAGACTACCACCGTTAAAGAGCCCTCCGATGACGAGACTGTCCCCGTTGATGAGCCTGTCCTCGTTGATGAGCCTGCTCGCGTTGACGAGTCTGCTGCTGATGGGTGTACTGCGTGGACTGCTGCTATTGTTGCTGAACCTGTAGCTGTCGAGAAGTCGGTTCCTCAAACCCGCCCAACTAAGGTGTCACTTGACGATGTAGCTCTTTACCGAAATTGGCGAACTATCTCCTCCGAATCGAGGGCTAAACGAAGACGAAATCTCATGGCAAGGGGCCTTCCAATTCCGGACAAAGATGGTCAAGTCTCTATCTTGGTAGTTGAAGCCCTCTTTCTTGAATGGTTATATAGTGGGGAAAAGGAAGCTTCTTCTTATTTGCGGAGATGGGATTGGATATCATAATGTATATCTGAGGTGTTTCATGAATTCGTGGTCCGTATTCTGAGACTGCACTTATGTGCTCCAGCTATGGACCTGGAAAGGCGGGATTTCAATTTTCTTGGTAAGAGTCACGTAAAGGCAATTTGACTGTCGTAGGGTATGCAAATAAATATAAAGCCCTGTGGTATTGTCGCCATTAGCCGATCTCCTTACGGCGTGATTGCAATAAATCGGGGTAACAGAGGAGATTTCGTGACGGCGTACTGGGGCGCTAAACCTGAAGAGGCAAAACTAGCCGGAAAAAGAAATCACAGGAGCACAGCATGACGATACAAAATATCACGTGAACAAGCGTAATCGGCCTAAGGCCCCACAGTCGTCGGGCCAACGAGAGAGTAAACAGGATCCCAGCCTCCTCCAACCTCCTCCTTTCCAGATCTATCGAGGTTGTCGCCACGATATTTCTGGCTTTGTATTTTCCCTCTGTCATCAATTCTCGAGCCAACTAACCTGCCAGGTGGATCGGAGATTCGTTCGCACAACATTCTTCATCTACATTCCTCGGATCGAACCGTTCGTTATCTTGATCTAGTGCTGATCGTTAATTCAAGGTAAGTCCTCATTCTTATCAAGGAATGTGCCACCCATCTTAACATTTGCAGAGTTCCGTCTTGAGCTGTGTGCTCTTGACCGCTCGATTTATCTACCATGGCTCCCGTACAGGGCTTTGGAGACATCCCTGTGATGTCAGTTAAGAGAGCCGACGCCCAAGGCTCCACCCACGATACTCTCAAGAACGAGTCGCCATCTGGTACCCTGAACTATCTCGTCGCTCGAACAACTTCTACTTCGACCTCTGGCAAAGTTGCCTATGGCCAGGGCACGATCGATCCCAGTCACATCAAAAACCAGGGCCTCCTGGCCTTGTTCGCGCTCATAGGTGCTGCATTCGTCGTTGCTGGCATTTGGTTCTTTTTCTGGGCCAAGAATGGTGGTTTCATCTGGCGCAAAGGTGACTGGGATGACTATAAGTCAACTGTGCTTCGCAGAAAGGGACCGGACGGACGAACACTAAGTAACGCGACCAAGAGTACCAAGCTCGGTGGTGGCAGTGTTGTTGGAAAGGGCTACAGCGATGACGGATACACCTACACAGACTGTGACGGCTACACCGAGGCCGGCACAGCTATCACAGAGGAGAAACCCAAGAAGAAACGCAATTTCAAAGAGAAGTTCCTCCGCCGCCACAAGGACGAGCGCTACGAAGGCGAAGGCGATGCCGACGTACGCGCCTACCGCGAGGAAAAGCCCGCACGCATTGGAGGTATGAACCGCCAAGCAGATGGAACCTACCACGGCAGCGACTACGACTCCTCGGCCGTACCATCAAACTACCAGCAAAGCGAAATGAGCGAAGTCCGCGACTACGCCTACGAGCAGCCCCGCGAGCCTCGCCGCTCAAAGCGCCGCGATCCCTCCGGTTTCTCCTTCACTGCCGGCAGCGAAGATGTCATCAGCCAAACAACCGAAGAGTCCCGCCTCACCGACCCGACCCAACGCCGCCAGAATCGTCGTCGTGAACGTGCCGAGCGTGAAGAGCGTTCGCGTCGCAGAAGCGCCGCACCCCCGACCGAGCGCGCTCCCCCCTCTGCACCCTCCTCTCGAACCAGCAGCCCGCGCAAGAAGGACCGCCGCTCCGCACCAGGAAAGTACACCGAGCCTCTCGACTTCTCCTCGGCTGGCACTCGATCCGAATACCAGTACTCGAACGTCGACACCGAAGACTCCGGCCACAAGGCCTACCACCACCCGATCCCCGGCCTGACGCAGGGTTATCGTCGTGGCCGTGGCGAGGGCGGACGTCGTCGTCGTGATAGTCTCAGTGATAGCGAGGGTGACGAGACTTGATACTCGTGAGCGAGCTCTGGGTGCCGAATGTATATGATCTTTTTACGCAAGAACCACGGTTATGGATATGGAACTAGTTTGAATTTTTCTTTATGAGCGAAGATTATGGTATGGTATGGGTATGGGAATTTGGGAATGTATATAACGAACAGAACTATGGTGGACCTGGAATTAAGCGGTCCTTTCGACTTGGATTACTTCACTCAGAATTCGTAGTGAATCCTCACCCCAATCCGTGGTCAGCCTATTTAATTCTCTAATCGTCGATGGCTGTGAGGCTCACATACGTATTCACCAGTAGGGTATGGAAGAGGATTGATTCTTAATTCCCTCAATAGATATGGCATTCTGAAGTGCTAAAACAAGAACGACCAAAAATCAGAAACAAAATGAACACGAAAACGTCAGACCATAATTCAATCGCGCACCAGTGACATCCTAGTAGAATCTCAAGTTCATGACCCGAAATTCGCTGTAAACCCCTTTCATGGTCTACCCCTCCTCCAGTGATTCACACTCAGGCTCACGATCTCTCTAAAAAAGAGGACCCTCCGTTCTGGTGAGGTGTGCTTTGGGCAATAGACTTCCGTCTCTGTCCATTTGATGACATTCGACCAAGCTTGGGACTGGTAGCCTCTCTCGGCATCTCTTGCTCCGCCGCACCGCACAGCTTCTGCGATTTCATAAGCTGCGTGACAAACGTCTGCGGATAGCGCTTGTTATCCTCCACCAAGGAGATGCGAGGGAAAACCGTCAAAAGATTATCATTTCGGACATTTGGATCGAGCTCAAGCTTGCCAACGTCACCAGGAAAGCGAAACGGACACCATTCATCATCACCCCATTTGAGGGGCTCAAAGTCTGGCTCGTATCGTTTCCGAGAGGACTGGATAGGACGCCAGATTTTCACGGCCCTCTGCGCGATGTTTTCAATGCATTGTCGAATCTCGCTGTACTGGGGTTCCGAGAGCGCATCGTATAGATATGATGATACATTGCGGACTACCGCTTGGATTCTGAGTTGAAGAGACCCCTGTTGGGCATCGTTGTCGATGGACAGCAGTAAAGAGCGGCAGAATGATTCTTTTTCGTGATCTTTTTCGGCGAGGGTGCATAGGATCTCTCTAAGGTTGGATTCTTCGAGAAGATAAGTGGGTTGGAAAATGCACTTGTCGAGTTCTCTGGCTAAGATGCCCAGGATCACGACAAGGCGCATTGCTTTGGCGGCGGGAGAGTTGGAAGATGGCAGCAGAACTCGATGTTGGACTGCGAGCTCGCTGTCTTTTCGGAATTTGTCCCAAATTAGTTTGTCCTTCAGGTGATATTAGTTCAAATGTTGTATTGTAGTATGGATCATTATTGGAGGTAAGATGGCACCTACACTGAGAACTTTTGTCTCAAGATTTTGGTTCAAGATCACGAATAGTTCATTGGTGGCATACTCCCAAAGACCGCTGAATTCGTCTAACCTGACGGGGCAAAGTGAGCTAGGGAATCCGATTTGTCAAGCATGTGTTGCAGGGACTTACATCTCATCCTCATTAACTTCCGTATAGCCGAATGTGAAGCTCTCCAGATTGTCAAGCTGGCTCTGAGCCTTCTGTCCTTTCTCATGAAGCAAAGTTATTTCTTTCTTCAGATCCTCATTCTTCTTCCGCTGGTCATTTAGCGTGGTCCTGAGAGTCGACCCTTCGCCATGCAAATTTTCGATTTTGGTATCCCTCTCTTTCACCGTCTTTTGGAGATCAGTTATTTCTTCACAGGATCTCGTAACTTTCGCTACCTCTTGCGAATGATCTGACTGTAGCTTCGCTACGGTAGCTTGAAGACTCTCGACCTCCTGGGCGCGCTCCTCGAGATCTTTAACCTTTTCGGCATGAAGATTCTGGAGACTGTCCCTCTCTGTTTCGATGCATTTCTGATCTCTCTTGACCTTCTCGTAAATTTCCAAGTTCGCCTGCATCGCGGCTTCCATCTTGCGTTTATCAACTTCAAGATGATTTTGAACCTTGGCCAATTCTTCTTTTTTGATCTCATTTTGCCGTTTCCGATGATTGATTTCGTCAAGGAGAGTAACTGTATTCTGCAGATCGGGCTTAGAAGCAAGCATGGTGATATTCTTGATGACGCTCTCAAAAGCATCACAAGGCGAAGGCATGCCTTGGAGCGGCACAAGCAAAGGTTTTGTTTCCGAAGACATGATGAATATGGCGTCAATTGTAACTTAGAAGAATGATGGCTGTTGAGAATTTCATTTTACGAAGGGGATCTGTTGCTTTATAACTTCCTCTGGTCAAGATATTTCCGAGACTTGATCTCTTCAATTGACCGTTGATACGTACTTATTGACTCAAGCCCTGATATCGTATTAGTGGCAGAACTATCTGATGGAGCCTCGCAAAATGGGGGCAAATGAGTTGACTCGTGCATTCATGCAAGACACAAGGGTCCTTTGCGACGTGTTCTGGATTGTGCGGATAGCCGAACAGCCAGCAGCAGGATACTGTAGGGATGCGAGTCATGATATGCACATTAGACCCAGGCAAAACAAGTGTTTCTTTGAGTAACCTAAGGCGAAGTCGCCTCGACAAGGCGTCGCCGTTCTCGCAATGAATCTCAAGCAGCCTGCCTAAGATGGCCGAGGCCACCACGTCGGCAGCAGCCATATCGCAACAAGGGCTTGCTCGGTTTCTAGGAATCTTTTTGAGTCGCTTGACGCGGATGGGGCAGCGAATCAAGAGGCTGATGGAGTTTCTCTCCATATCTTAATCTGACCGAACCGCAGAAAAGAGCATCGCTACTATCGTGCTGGTGAAGCCCCCTAGCGACTTGCAATCCAGGCTTAATGATCTAGACTTTTTTGCTATATCGCTCATGAGCCTTATCTGGAGCTGCAAGGCGATCCTCATGAATCGCCATAATAGCAGGCGATGATAGCATTATCTTGCCGCGGGGCCCCGGTTCGACCAGCGTGGACAATCATCGATCGCCAAGGCAGTGATGTGCAGTAGTACCAGGAGGTAGTGGACCATAATAATTCTAATGAGAGTAAACATTAATTGACATGTAAGTCTTGCAGAGCCTCAAGGTAGGACCAAAAGAGGGGTAATGCCATTCTAAGGCCTTGTATGCATGCAGGACCAGGGGTACTGTGCGACGTGGTTTGGACTAATTGGATACTTTCTAAATGTGCCGCGATGGTTCGCATCATAGAGCTATGTGTATTCGATTCTTGCCTTGTTGGGGCGTCTTTGATATATTAAAAGTCACAAGATTTGCTTTATCGCAAAGACAAGCAGACGAATATCGGCAAGTGGCTTACAAGCTCCCGCTAATCCCCTAATTGATGAGTAAAGGCTCGACATACGCTCGCCGACGCAATAAAAATGAGTGTCCGATCACAAACAACTCTTATCAGCCTTGCCGGTCAGAATAATTTCACCGAACTCCGGCATCTTCCAAGGTCTGTATACTCTCAAGAGTCGATAAAGCGTACGGAGTGTGGAAGAGAAAAATTACTTCGACGGCACCTGAAGCGAGGCTAGGAGAACTTATGAAAAGAAAGCTGAGAGGAGAATCTCATGAGCTCATCATATCTACTACCGAGCTCCTCAGCAAGCCTGATGGAGTGAAAGATTGCCTCCACTTGCTGGCTCATCAACCCAATGCGGTTAGCGGCCCGCGAATTGCCGATATAGTCTAAGAGAAAAGAGAAATCTGCAGTATTTTTTTTGATAATGGGGTCCGGAATAATCAAAATGGGCGCACTTTGGTCCTCCAAAGCTTCAAGCGCTCAAGCTTCCTTAACACATGATGTTACATGCTCGTGTTGCGTTGGACTGAGGAAAGTAAGCTTAGATGTGATTCTTGGACTTAGATAGGAGGTCGTTCGAATTGGGAGGACGTGTTACTAAGATCAGTGTTGAGCAGCATCTCCCCTTCCATCACCAGAAGAAAGTGACCTGTGGCAGGGAGCCGGTGTGTGACTTCAAGATGAATTCATTGCAAATTTGCCAAAGATAACAAATTTCTGGGCCGACATCCAAGGGACGTAGCAAAGTTTTGTCCACTCCGTCCAGCAAGCGAGCAATTCTTCGTCATCAACTTTGACATGGCGTTTTTTGATCGTAAGAGGACTTTGGCTTGTCTGGCCAGTCCAGCTGGCACCCTCTTCAAACTCGATGGCATGGACAAGCGGTTCGACGCGCCGGGTTGAAGAGAAGACCCTAACCCCAAATTTAAGAACACAAAGGAATAGAAAACATAGGAAGTTAATATGTGCCGGTGACTGGTTCCGAATTTGTGCCATCTGTAAGAGCTTGAACCCTTGTTAGAACTCCCAACGAGTCTACAAATTCACATCCGAGATCAAGATATGTTAACCGCGAGACTTCCTTCCACCTCCACAAACTCAAAATCATTATTGAAATGGGGGCGGCTCGATGGCTGTCTGACAATGCAGACTGGGCAATACCATCCAAGAGAACACACACAACCACTCCCAGCCTGTGGTAGAGATCGTGCTCGGTGAGGCCGTGCGTGTACCCTGAATGAGGCCATATGGAATGTACTGAATGCTGCATCATAAATCAAAGAACGTAATGACAACCGGAATGAATTGGGTAGATGTCTGATTTATCTCTATCCTCATTTAGAAGCTATTGCTTACGCCCAAGGTATTCGTGACACCTCAGGCCGCAACTGCATTCATAATGTTATGCGTTTCACCATTACATTACTTAATTCTCGTCAAAAATATACAACGAATATAATGATAGTGACATAGATGACCAAAATGGTGCTCCTCAAGAGAAGAGGTTTCAAAAATGCCGCAGCTTTGAATCTTTGAGTTGGTATTAGTAGGGCTCTAGCGTAATTCCCACCCCGGGCACTAATAGTCGGCCTCTCAGAGTTTTCTTTCACAGAAAGGTTGTACTTCCACCAAGCGGTCTTCGTTCAACCAACCTAGCTACAAAGGAGTGCCGGGACGACAGTTTCCTTCTTGGGGGGCAAATAGGAGAAACAAGCCTTTTGTTTACTAGGGATCTGTACTTTCGGGGATGTGCTTCTTTCCCTTCAACCCGGTCAAACATGAATTTGAAGCTCGATGTACATTCTCCCGTCGGAAGATGTAATGAGCATCATTGTCGTCCGTGGGGCATGGATTAACCGACTGGTCGTGGTACAGATTCGGAGTATATGGAGTAACCAAGAGAACAAAGTCAACCACGTGGATCCACACTACGCCGTATCCACAACGATCTCGGCAGTTAAATTGACCTTAGACCGGCAAAGGCCAAACCAAGGAAACTATCTTCCTCGAGAAGTCGTCTTCAGGGGTCAAAATAGCCCTTGGGTCATGCCAAGCCGCATAGAAGCCTCGAAACACTCAGCACTGCCTTGTACTGCGTAAGCCTTGCACGGTGGCAGTCTTCGGCTCGCGAGCCAAGGCGCCGGCTCAGAATGAGGTGGGCAATAGCGGAGACTCGAATATGGTATCGAAGGCCAGAGCATGACGGACGCTGTCCCCGGTCTATGTTGTCTGCCATACTCTTTTGGGACTAAATTCGGAGGAGGGGGGTTTCAGAACTTGCGCTTACGGCCCCGACTTACCTGCAGTTGCCGTTGCATGATCGCCGGGGGCGACGCGTGGACTGGTGAAGGATGTGATATAATGACCAGACGATGTGATGAGTTTACGGATGCCACATGATATCGTCGCAATAGTAGTTCAACAAGAGCCTTCTTATCGGTCATCGGTGGTCCGGCCACCTTGCTTTCGCTATAGTTACCTGAGTTCAACAATTGGTTTGCATCGTATTAGACTTATGTAATGCGATAATTCGTAACCTTGGCAGTAGATTCTCGTCAGGAACATGCATTTAAGCCAGCTCTTCCGTGATGACCTCAGGTCTCGTGGACTAGATTTTGGTTCGCAGTTCAAGGGCATGATGTGAGAACTTCCCCCATTTTCTGCCAATACACAGTCTGGACCGAAGACGGCCGGTGAAACGACTCCACCGTTTCGAGAAAAAGCTTGTCAGGCTGAAAAGTATGTTCGCCAGGACTTGAATCTGACTCGTCGCGATCAAAGCGGTCCTCAAAAAGAGTGGAGGCTCCAGAAAGGCAAAGACGCCATCGCTTTTGGTGGAAGCAGCCGAGATGCAAGGCTGCACATGTGCAGCGCCATCGACCCGGTAGCCCTAGGAGATAACCCTAGACTCCTTAGTTAAGCTGGTACTACCCAAGCCAATATTGCACGTAGTTGTGACCATGATCCGGACTATAGACGACTATGCGAATTCCAATTCAGTCCAGTCCGAGGGCTCGCCGAGCGGGGCCGAAATCGACCAATCAACACATTTCCGAACGTGGAAAATCCCCAAAATCCAATTTCTTTGCTATTAAATCCCACTCCTTTTCATGGTAACGAAGATCTTGGCTTGAAGTGAACAATGGTTAGAACAACAGGAACAGGCATAGCCCAGCTCCACTCGCTGGCACATCCCGAGTAATTTCCAATCTACACAGTGTTCATCGGCACATAGGGGAGTGGCACGGGGGAGATTACGCGCCCATTTTCAACGACCGCGTAATAGTGCGATCTAGATTTAGGTTCCCGGCAAGATTTGACAAACGGGTGGGCCTTTGGTCAGGCACAGCGCCAATAAGCAGCCGTTCTTATTGTAGCCAATATCCGCTAGCTCCAGAGCACACGTCAACCCAAGCGTTAGCCCTGACTCCGATGTCCTCCCACTCCCACGCCCACTCGGGCGCCTGCCCGAACACCTATAACGCCGGCGCAATATTGTAATGTTAGTCTCTTTAATTAAAATCCTGGGCTAGCCCCCCTTATTGCACTTTGCATTTTATTTCTTGCATCCTTCCCGGAAGTATCACTTCTGCCATTCATTTATCTAGTCACTCATTTCAAGACCTTTTCTATCAGGCTCTACGAGCCTAACGGTGCTTTCCGACCTTCACCGAGTCATACTTTTCTTGCAAAATGCGCTTCACCGAGTCTGTCTTGCTGCTGGCAGCACTGACCAGCGGTGCTCTTGCCGGTCGTCATGGTCACTATCACGGCCGCCACGAGGGCCATGCCCGTCGCCAGGCTGTGGCTGAGGTTGAGGTAGAGGTCGACAACACTGTCACCGTTACCGCCATGTCCACGATCATTGCCTGCTCCTGCACCGAAAGCTCCAGTGTCCTGGCGACTCCTACGCCCGTGGTGGCTGTTGAAGTCTCGAGTAGCTTTACTCCAGTCTGGTCTTCTTCTTCGTCCGTTGCATGGACCACCTCAATTTCCAGCTCCATCATTGTGCCGACCACTACTATCACTATCGAGGAGTCTTCTTCCACCTTTGTGTCGAGCACTTCGACTGTTGAGTCTACCACTTCCACCATTGAGTCGTCAACCTCTACCGTCACACCTACCACGACCACATCCGCTGTTACTTCCCCTTCGGACTCCTCCAACGCCGCCTGGACTGCTACTCCCTCCAGTGGCGAGTACTCCACCGCCGGCTTCGGCACCGTCACCAACTCCTCCGGCTCCGGCGACACCTACACCGGCAACGTCGGCAGCCCGTACGGCTCCAACATCCAGAAGGTCGACAGCTCCGTAGCTAGCGAGTACAAGTATGTCGTCGAGTTTACCGGTTCCAACAGCGAGGACTGGCTCGTCGTTATCTGGAACAAGATCGGCCCCGACGGAGCCATGGACGGCTGGTACGGTAACGCCTGCCACAACTTTACCATTGCCGCCGGTGAGACTGTCTACTACGCCTTCGACGTCGACTCCCAGGGAGGTTGGACCGCGCACAAAGACTCCATCCCCACCAATGAATACGGCAGCTACGCCTCTACCTGGGGCGAGTTCGATTTCGGCTCGACTACCAACGACGGCTGGTCTGGATTCGATGTCTCTGCCATCACTGCCCAGGAAGCCGATATGTCTGTTCAGGGTATGAAGATCTGTAGTAAGATTACTTCGACCACCTGCTCATCCATCACTGCCGGTGCGGGCACTATCAGCAATGCTTACACCGCTGCCAAGGCGGATGTCGGTGGTATTGGTGGTAACCTGTCTTCGGGACCTGTGCGTCTTGCTGTTACTCTGGATTACTCTGATTAAACGAGTTTGGATGCTTTGCGTTGAGGGGGGTTTTACCTTTTTATCTTTCTTTCTTGCATCCACGCCTCGTGGGCGTTCTATGAAGGGGTGGTTTGGTGTTCAGATATATCTTAGCGGTATACCATGTCCGGGCATTTACTTTCATTATGTTTATATTTCAATTCATCTGACCTACCTCGAGGCTTGAAAAGTGCTTTATGATTGTTATAACATGGATTTTCTGCTAATCGATTCTTATGTTGTAAATGAATATATTGTAAAAGCAGTAACCAATACTCAAGACTGGAATTGATCTCAAGAGATCGAAATTCAAACAGAGATCGTAGATCAACATAATGCAATTAGCCAAGCTTTCCAACATGCCGATCACCGGGAAGCCCCCAGCATTGATGTCACTTGCTTGGGCACGACGATCCTTCGGCCCCGCGATTTCCAAGGGTACCATTGATGGAATACATGTATAATTTCCTTTCAATAATAATCAATAACAACCAATCTAACAATTTAAAATGCCCTGAGTCCCATAGGACTGTGAGCCAACAACTCGGGTGGGTCAACTGCTGGCTGAACTTCCAAATCGGGTAAATCGGAGCGCATCCGACCCCAATGCCGTCATCTGAATAATTATTTTCAATGTTCCTCTCATTGAATCCTCTTTTCTGGTTTATCTTTTCTTCTATATCAAATTTACCATCTAATATCGACAGAACACGCATCTGGCAATGGCGCACTCAAATGAATGGCAAAAAATGCTCCGCGGTGAGCTATACTGGGCATGGGACGAAGATCTGCAAAACAATCGGAAAAGATGCAAAGCAGCATGCGACAAATTCAATGCCGCAGGCTCAGCATCTCGGCGTCACAAGGTCGAGCTCTGGAGAAAGTAAGCATAGCTCACGATCTTGTCTTGCTTCATACAATAGATCACTAATTCCCCCAGTATTATCTGCGACGACCGACCAATGCCCCCCATTCACCCCGACCCAAAAGAAGACGAAGCGCTCTTCGAAGAAACCGATCCTTTTATCGATGGACCCATCTCCGTTGATCATGGCTTGAACTTCAAGGTTGGAAAGGGGACCTTTCTCAATTTCAACCTACTAGTTCTCGATACATGCCATATTACTATCGGGGAGAACGTGTTGTTTGGGCCTAATGTTTGCATCTACGGCGCGACGCATCCTCTGGATCCTGCGATTCGACGGGGATTAAAGGGCCCTGAGGGAGGTGGGGAGGTGCATATTGAGGATGATGTGTGGATTGGGGGAAGCGTCATTATCCTGGCTGGGGTGAGGATTGGGCGAGGATCTACGGTTGGGGCCGGTGCTGTAGTTACAAAGGTGAGTATTCATTGAAGATACTAGTAATTGCAGTGCTGACAAGTGTATATCTAGGATGTCCCTCCATTCCACTTTGTTGCTGGTAACCCGGCTAAAATCATTCGGAAGATTGAGTCGAGCATGGAGTCAGAGGGGCACTGAGGCCTAGGTCTATCCTCAATTGGTAGCCAGTCATCATAGAGCGCCTATATAAGCTATGCAATAACAATGTTAGAGGCACTACCTTCTACTCACTTCTGTGGTTTTATATGATCGAGTATCAGTATCTTCCTAAGTGACTGAACTAACCGAGGTCGTACCGTTTGGTCTAGAACGTAGTTTCAGGTTCTCCGACCGGAGACTGTGAGAAGTGTTGCGCACCTCCATGGCTCTCAGAACTAGAGAACAAAAGGCTAATACATCTGCTTAGATCCTCACCGATCAATTCTTCGGAATGTCGAAGTACGAAATGACTATGAACCTGGCATAAACACAGTTCTAGCAAATAACTACCTTATCTACTGCGAAGGGCAAATAATGATTTGGTGCATAACGAGGATATGTACATTGACATGATGCTGCCAGGGGGGCGAAGATGCAGATTTACCGGGATCTGATCGATGTGTTCTGCATGCTCGTTATCTTCTATGATTTCAACTCTGTCTAATAGCACAGTTATCATCATTTCCGCCATTTGGACACAATATTTGCAATACTGTCAGCTGTAACGCAAGGAGCGCAAACACAACATTTCACCTCGATGACGTGCTGAGACAACACTCCAAAACGCGTTGATTTCCAAGCAGCGCTTTCAGACACATCCCGTTCTTAAGGATTCTTAAAGAGCTTCACTTATCTTTTTAACCATCACATCCTTAAATATTATCGAAATAAATCAGTTTAGACGGTAAATGCCCCGCCGAATCTACCCGATCCGACGCGACCAGTTGAGCCAAGGACTATGGCGCATAGTGAAACACAACCTTTGTTAGAGTCAAACAGTTACCAAACTCAACCCGAGCATGATTCCCAGGCGGATTTACCCGTGAGATACCTCGAAAGTCTCCCGGGATCAACCCAGGGAAAGAGCATCAGCTGGGCCAGCGCATATATACTAGTGGTTTCTCGAGTCATCGGAAGCGGTATTTTCGCCACGCCGGGATCCATCGTCAAATCTGCTGGTAGTATCGGGCTGACCTTGCTGGTATGGCTGGTTGGCACGATTCTAGCGGCGTGTGGTATGGCGATTTCGATGGAGTATGGGTGCATGCTACCTCGGTCGGGAGGTGATAAGGTATATTCTATCCGACCGGATCAAAAGTACAATATGCTAAGTTCCTTCGAGGTCTACTTGGAGTATACTTATCCGCGACCGCGATTTCTTGCGTCGACGTTGATTGTTTTCCAAGCAGTAGTGCTGGGCTTCTCAGCGTCTAACTGCATCATCTTTGCAAAGTATGTGCTATTTGCATTCAAAATCGAGCCGACGGATCTCCAACAGAAGGCTTTGGCTGTTGGTCTTTTGACTGCAGTCACGATAATTCATGGTTGCTTCTTGAAGACTGGAATCGCGATTCAGAATGCTCTTGGCTGGGTCAAGCTCCTCTTGATCGGGGCAATGTCATTGACCGGGGTTTGGGTCCTTCTTCTTCACTTCTTCGGAGGGGCTATTAACGTGTCGCCAGGGGGAGAAACATCTACTTCCATTTCTTGGGACTACCTGTGGGAGGGTTCGAATTGGAGCTGGAGTCTGTTGTCAACATCGGTTTTTAAGGTGATCTACTCCTATGCCGGGCTGAGCAACGTCAACAATGTATTGGATGAAGTGAAGGACCCAGTCCGGACGTTGAAATCTGTTTGTCCCAGTGCTTTGGTGACAGCTGGTGGTCTATACTTCTTAGCCAATCTTTCCTATCTACTGGTGGTGCCGCTGGAGGAAATCAAAAACAGTGGAGAGCTGGTGGCTGCCTTACTGTTCCAGCGATTATTTGGTGAGCACGTCGGGAGAACACTCTTCCCACTTGCCATTGCTATTTCCGCCGCAGGCAATGTAATGGTGGTTACATTTGCCTTGGCGCGCGTCAACCAAGAGATTGCTCGACAAGGATTCCTACCCTGGCAAAAGCTGCTTTCATCTTCACGACCATTTGGAAGTCCGCTGGGGGGTCTAATTGTTCATTATATACCTTCGCTCCTGGTGATAACGTTACCTCCACAAGGAGATGTCTATAACTTCATCCTAGACGTTGAAGGATACCCCGGTACAATATTTGGTTTGGCCGTGACCATTGGACTGTTGATACTGCGATACAAAGAGCCACACCGCTTCCGCCCTTATAAAGTGTGGCTTCCAGCCGTCTTTCTGCGTATTGTGGTATGCTTCGCCTTGCTTGCAGCTCCTTTCATCCCACCGCCTAATTGGCAAGGTGATGTGGACTTCTTCTATGCGACGTATGCTATAGTAGGGATTAGCGTGTGCGTATTCTTTTTCAGAATGTGTTGGAAGATGCTAATTGATGAAATACAGTATTCTCTTAGCAATTGTCTATTGGTATGTGTGGACCGTGCTTCTGCCTCGGTGGGGAGGATATAAGTTGGTGGAGACGGTCGACACGCTTGATGATGGCACAAGCATTACCAAATTGGATCGTTCATATGATGTTTCTTAGACTTCTAAATAGATCCATTTTGCCTTCTCGTTCAACAGAGTTGAAGTAGGCCGACACCTGTGGACAAGGCACGAATCATGATCCACGCCAAATAGCGAATAGCTGGGAGGATGTGGGGTAGGGAAAGAGTTGGTCAAGCGCCCGCTAGCTGAATACATTGTGAATACTTCTCCACATCCTCGTGGCGATGAGGATTATTGCTCGGATATTCCAACACAAAACTAGACTGGTCAATCGCCTTATAGCCAGCCATTGAGGCGGCACTCGGGCTAGCATGTTCACCAGAAAACCCACCCTACCCAAGTTCTCCTAGGAAGTCTTGGCAAGCTCAACCCACGATTTCATATGGATGGGTGAAAGACGATGACTTCAGCTACAGGTCGATTCTCTTATTGACTTTTATCCCAGTCCTGACCCACTGACCACCAGGCCTCACATTCTAGGCACTACGTATCATTGAATAGAACGAGTACTTCTGAATTTGATAGGCTCAGCCTCGTTGGATGCCTGGACTCATGAGGGAGTGGCCGCTGTCTGCTGCCAAGTACAACCAAGTACCGCGACGATCCAACGCCGTGGTCCGCCAGTGCTAATATAATCGGTTTTGGACACCGCTTTCCCGTCCGCCCTAATCTTGGCACAGTTGCCTTATTCATGCCTTATTCTAGCCAGCGTGTAGGTCAGGTCGTACAAATCTTTTTTTGCAATAACGTTTTTTTCTTTTGTAACTCTCAAAAGTAGACCTGAAGTGACTAGGATGCTAAGCGACTAATCGAGGGTAGATACTTCCAAGATTACAACTTGATTACTAAAGTTCTGCCGGTCGAAATTCAGCTTATGTCAGCATTGGTGGAGCACGGCGTTAATCACCACGGTACTTGGTATCTCCGTACTGTTCATTCTTCCTGCATGCGTGCTCTGTCATCATGGATGTCGAATTCGTGCCCAGGGCGAGCACCTCAGAGGCTGCATGGGAGCTACAGTCATGGAGAGGTTCTGACGCAGAGGCGGCACCCACTTTGACCTCTTCTGAGGCTACGCCGGCCCCCCAAGATATTGCCCCGGCTGCTACATCAGAATCTTTGCCGCCATCAAATGTGCCAATCCTGAGAGCCGATTTATCTGTGATCGATGGAAGTGCTGAAGGTATCAACCATGTCGATACAGGCGCACATATTGGAAGTTCGAACGTGTCCTTTCATGGCTCTGATGCTCATATGAGTACATCGCAATGCAACGAGTCTACAAATATAAACTCATCTGATTTGATGGACACTATGCCAGACTCTTCTACACCGTCAGCTCATATTCCCAATACATTATCCGTCTCGGTCACAGCGCAGCCCAACAAACAGCTCGAGGACCTCAGACCGCTACTTGCTATAGGAACACTCCGGCAGACAGATTCCCAATTACCAGAGTTTCAGCTACTGGAAGCGAATCGCTGGATCCGCTGCCAGGATCACCATAGAAGTTCCAGCGTTAGAATTTATGTCGACCCAAAACTTGTCCATCAAAACAACACACAGCGCTCTATCAAAGACTTGAGAAACGCTTTCAAAGTAGTGATGTCCAAGACCGACCCTTCACCTGAGGCTTGGCAGGGGCAGAGGGATGCCAATAACCCAGATGCACTATCAAATGATGAAGATGATGAATCGTTGTGGTACATATTCAACACTTTGCAAGATCCAAACCCACAAGTGGGTATTGTCCAAGATGCTCCCTCGCGCAAAGCCATGTCATATCTGTTGTCTGATGAAGATTTCTCAGAGTATGGCCTTAAAACTCCTCTCTATCCATACCAGCGTCGTTCGGCTGCTATGATGGTGCAGCGGGAGGTGCAGCCGGCGCGAATGCTTGATCCGCGTTTGCAGGCGTATTCCAGTCCAACAGGCCTTGAGTATTATTTTGACAAGGAAGATGGATGGATCACTCTTCAAAAGGAGATGTATGATGAGGCTGTTGGAGGTAAGCTTTTGCCCTGGTTTCCATGAAAGATCACTATTAACATGTCAACTAGGTATCCTTGCGGAGACTATGGGCTGCGGGAAAACATTGATTTGTCTTGCCGTCATCTGGGCCACTCGAGGCCATTTCCCAAAGATACCTATTGAGTACTTACCAGCAATACCAGTCCGCGAAAAGACTGGATCTCTCATGGAGATGGCAGCCGCTGCAGCTGGACGAAAATCCCTGCCTTGGAAAGCGCATTTCATTGAGACAGAACAAGATGGCAAATTTTATACCCGCTGTGTCAAGGCCTGTGAATCTAACTGTGGATTCTACGAAATCGCGCCACCTGCGACGAGACACCAAGTCCGGCTGACCACGACTTTCACCCGTCCTCCGCCAAAGCGCATTCGCCTCTGCTCTGGAACACTCATTATCGCCCCCAATAACTTGGTAGATCATTGGATACGCGAGATCAGTGTCCATACTGAAGGCCTCAAGATCCGAGTATTGCGACAAGGGACTGATAAGACACCATCAGCAGACGACCTTCTAGAATTTGACATTGTGCTTTTCTCAAAAACACGCTTTGAACGAGAAGTGGGCGAGCCTGTCAATAACCGGCGCAATACATTTGTCCAGGTTGACTCACCACTGACAGAGCTTCACTGGCTCCGTGTCATTGTTGATGAAGGGCACAATGTTGCAGGCCATGGCTCGAAGACGAACATGATTCACATGCTCGGTCAGCTACATTTCGAGCGTCGTTGGGTTATTTCTGGAACACCCTCTGACAATCTCATCGGACTGGAAGTTAGTCTTGCATCTCAGGAGGCTTATACCAGCGACACTGAGTCTCCTGAAGAAATCGCTGCAGCTGTTCTGCAAGGTCGCAAGAAGACTGGAAATGCTGGCGAGAGGGAGTTGAAAGATCTGGATAGACTCCGGCGCATGGTTATCGAGTTCTTAGATTTGAAACCCTGGTCGAACTGTCCTGCTGATTGGACAAAATACATCAAACCGAAGGGTAAAGACGGTACCCGACGAAAGTCTCCAGCGATTCGCGCTACACTTCAAGGTCTTGTGGTGAGACACCAGGATGACACTGTCAACCGGGAGATCACACTTCCGAAGTTGTACAATAAAACAGTCCATCTGGAACCGACTTTTCATGACCGGTTGTCGATTAATTTGTTCCTCTTCGGACTTGCTGTGAACTCCATTACCTCCGAGCGTCAAGGCCCAGATTACATCTTCGACCCTAGTAACCGGAGGCACCTCAATCAAACTATCACCAACTTGCGCCAGGCTGGATTCTGGTGGGCGGGATCGGAAACGGACCCTCAGGAAACCATCAATCATACGCTCAAGTACATAGACGCCAATCGAGAGAAGATGACACCCGCGGATGTTGAGCAGTTGAGCCGTGGAATGGATATCGCCCGTCTAGCATTGGAATGCAGCAGCTGGCGCGAGTTCAAGCAGCTGCATGAGCTTGGAGTCTTTATGAAGAATTTTCCGGCAGACCACAAGACCCATTGGGCACTTGATCGCGCGAATCCAGACAGGGAACCGCTACTTATGGGCATCACGCAAGCTCGTCATGCCCAGCAATTCGTCACGGAACATCTTCGAGCACATGATCCTTCCGATGGACTATCCTCAAGGGGTCTCAGAGTCAGATTTGAACTCCAGAAGCGTGATAAAGGGGCTACTGCCACAAAGGGTGCACCAGAGTCCGCCAATACATCTGCCGCCCCTGGGCAACTGAGCCATGGCGCGAAGCCCAAGAGCAACAGATCTCCGAAGAAGACTTACTCTCGCAAGATCATCAAGAGACTTCCCGAAGATTCACCCCTTATGAAGACTCAATTCATCGCCACTGCCTCAGCAAAGCTCACATACCTGCTAGACCGAGTCTGGGAGCTTCAAATGCAAGAAAAGATCATCATATTTTACGATAACCCCAACACCGCCTTTTGGATCGCCGAAGGCCTCGAACTCCTCGGTGTCGAGTTTCGTATTTACGCAAGTACACTGAAGACTGATCTTCGCGAAGAATATCTGAACCTGTTCCGTGAAACAAGCGAAGTTCGCGTCCTCCTTATGGATCTACGGCAAGCCTCCCACGGTCTCCACCTCGTACAAGCCTCTCGAGTATTCATCGTGAACCCCATCTGGCAACCCACCGTCGAAAGCCAAGCTATTAAACGTGCCCATCGTCTCGGACAGACTAAACCAGTCTACGTCGAGACGCTCGTTCTCCGAGATACACTAGAAGACCGAATGCTTCGCCGGCGAAAGGAAATGTCAGAGGCCGAGATGCAGAATGCAGAGAAGAGTCTGCTTGATGACCACGCTATGAGCGATATCATTCAGCGAGAGCCCTTTCTAGCCATGCCTGTTGAAGAAAATGCAGAACTGGCGCCTTTGCTGTATGCCACTGGGTTCTTCGATAAACATTCCCTGCCGATCCCCGATGAGGAAGTTGTGGGCAAGCGAGATCAATTGAAGCGGGCTCAGCAGATTGAAGAGTCTGATGCTGATTCCGATGCATTCCCTCCGGAAAGTCCTACACCTAAGAGATCGCGCATTGGGTTTGCATCATCTGTGCAAGTTATCGAAGATGTAGTTGGCTCTTCATCGGAGAGATCTCCAAGGCAGTCCCCAGAGAGGCGGGTGTCGTTGTTCAATCCTGGAGTTTGATTTTTAAGCACGGCGCTGGTGGACCATTGTAGAATACCTAATAAAACATATATCGGTTTTGTTCCGAGTTTCGCTCTCGTTCCTCACTTCCTCGCTCATTCAATAAACGTAACCTCGGAACCCGTATAGATCAGATTTGCGATGGAGATGAGATAAGATAACCGATAAACCCAACCCCTCCTCACCTCATTTCCCATCTCCAATTTCTTACACAAACCACACCCCAACCTCCAATCACAGAAACAGGCACTATGACAGATCCCGACCCCAACCCCCCTCAAGCCCTCATAGTCGGCATATCAGGCCCCTCCTCAAGCGGCAAGACAACCCTCGCCCGCCTCCTCCAACGCATCTTCTGCGGGGTATCTCTGGACTCAACTAAAGCCCTGAACACATTCATAATTCACGAAGACGACTTCTACTACCCAGATGACCAGTACATTCCCCTTAATCTCTCCTAGAACCCTTGTAAGAAGAGAGAGAAAAGAAAACTAACACACCCAGAATCCCATACACAACAACCCCCTCCGGAACCCGCATCCAAGACTGGGACACCGTCTCAGCGATAGACACAGCATTCCTCTCGCAAGCGCTTTCCTACGTCCGCGAAACCGGCCACCTTCCACCCCGACTCCAAAGCAAAGAAGACCAAAACGAGAAAGGCGAGTCTGGCGTTCCGGATTCTCTAGTTTCCGAACTACGGGATTTAGTCGGGAAGAGACTCTCTTCTGCGTCGAAGTCGAATGTAGGCACGATTGCATTCATGGAGGGATTCTTACTCTATGCGCCTCCTCAAGATGAAGGACATGTTTTGAGGAAAGTTCACGGGGCTATTGATCTGCCTTTGTTTCTGCCCGCTAGTTATGCGAACGTGAAGAGGAGGAGGGAAGGAAGGAGTGGGTATGTTACTATTGGAGCGGCGCCGGAGCCAGAGGAGGGGCAGGGGCTTGGGGAGAAAGGGGGCGAGGTTGATCTTGAGGGTGAGGATGATCGGCCGCCGCAGAATTTCTGGGTTGATCCGCCTGGGTATGTGGATGACGTTGTGTGGCCTAGGTACGTGGAGGATCATGCTTGGTTGATTGTTGCGAAGGAGGGGGAGGGAAGTTTGGTGGAGAGAGTTGGGGATGGGTTGGATGTTAGGAGGCATGTTGGGGTTAGGGTTGTTCCTGGGGGTGAGGTCGGGATGGAGACTCTTTTGAGATGGGCTGTTGAGGAGGTTTTGGGGGCTTATTGTTTATAGTTTGGGAGGTTGGGTTGGATGAATTGTTGAAAAGGTGGTGGAATTGAGATGACTGAGCGTTGGCATAGACTCTGATCTCGTTGATCATGTTTGCTAGAAATACATTTTGAGAAAAGAAAGAAGCCCCTTAGTCTTGGGTCGATGAAATAGGTCCTTTCCAACCCAGAAGATAGTCGATGCGATCTCGTAGAGGCATGGAAGTAGGAACAATAGCCCCCAGCAACGTCGCGGATTCTGGCCCTGGCACTGGCCCTGGCACTGGCTCCTGCTCTGGTGTCCCATCGAGATGCTCGGGCTCAGGTTCAGCGATGGCAATTTTCTGTGTAGCACGGTAGACAAAGTTTATCTCATAAAAATGAGCAGCAAGACGGATAAGTAGGAACAAGACGACCAGGGCATAGCAGGTCGATCGGAAGCTCTTCCAGAAAGTGCCCTTGCGCCGTGTATCTCGAATTTCATTATCGATAGGATTGGCGCGTACCATATCAGGCGTCTTCGGAGACTCGGCTTCCTCAAATTCGGCTTGCAGTCCTTCCTCGATATCCGCCTTATCGAGACTCGCTCGGATGCGTGGCATCCACAGTGTAGTTCTTCCACGCGGAACTTTGACTGTCCACGCTAGGACAAACATACCCAGATGAGAGGGATTGCAGATGACTTGAAGCTCAGAAACTCCGATGGTGTCGGTTGTCTTAGAACTCAACTTGATTGTCTCAAACCGCCGTCTAACATCGGGTAGGATTGTGACCCATTCACCTTCAGGTCCGCCGTGGATCCAAATGTAGAAACCACATTTCTTGGCCCAGAAGTCGCGCTGGAGCAGGTCGATCGAACATATGGCGCGGTATTTAACGATGTGAAAAATCGAGTCATTGTCTTCGCATACCACCACTTCGGCACGGATAGCTTGTGTGATTTTGAAGTCCTTGAGGAAGCCGTAGAAACGAGACTCGCAGGGACGGAGGGTGATGACGAGTTTTGACGGGATCAAAAATTGGGCCATCAAACAGCTTTCTACGAGATTATATCGCTTGAAATGAGTGGTGCGAAACTCCATCCCCTGACCTGGAGGCGTACGGAAGTAGACATAGCCATGTTCATTCCGTGCCAACCGTGGCAATCCTGGGACGATGAATTCCCACCAGCCTCTGGGTCTTCCACTCTGCAGAGGCAAGAGGAAAGTGATTGACACTTCATATGCTGCAGGATAGAGATCATGCATGCTTCGGATATGGAAGATTCCATTAGTCAGGACCAACTCAGGGCCGGTGATGGGTGAATAACTGGACGCTGAAAAGTCAAGCTGTGCGGGTACGTCAAATTGGAGATTTTCTTCTTCAGGGCAATCAGTATTGATTTGTGGAGATAAATCTCCAGATGACTGGGTCGTATGCAGCGGTAGAAGATCTCTGGGCGAGTCAGAGATGTGAAGTGAATGAGATTCTCCATGCGAATCGGTCCTGCCCGAAGGTGTGTCCATACGCGAGCTCCCAGCTTCCAGTGAAGGAACACTTCCAGGACTAGATGAAAGCATCGACATATTACAAGGACTCCCCTGCATCGCATCCGTAGAAAGGTTCCTGTACTCGCGCACCCTCTTGCTCTCGAAATCATCCATGCCCTTCATCTTGGCAGTACTCACTAACATGTCAGGAGACGGCGCATTCGACCGGTCCATCCCAAGGAGCGTTCTCTCGGGAATGGGATCATTCTCCTTGCTTACAGGTGACGGAAAACTAGCCTCCAGCTGCCGATAGCCCTCCGCCAGAATAGTCTTATAGTCCAGCGGTGGAACCCTGGCATTTAGATTACTCTCCCACACGGACTGATCAGGAGAAGTAACGGGTCTCGGAATGAGGCTCTGTCTCCTAGAGTGTTTGGACGTCGACGAATCAGGCTGCTTGGCTGCTAGAGTCTTGTACTTGGAGCCACAACCACCGTATGATCTTTCCGAATCGGTGACTGAGTCAGGAAGTGAAGCTGCCTTTGCATTTCTCTTCCGCGGGTTCGGGCTCGGCATGGGCGTTTCGTCGTCTGCGGGTAAGAGGCTGGTTACGCTGATGTAGAAGGGGTCTGATTGAACTGAGACTCCATCTTGACCTGGTTGGACGATGGTGCTGTCTTGGTCTGAGTAGATGGATGGTGCGTCTTCGTCAGGTGACTCGTCATCATTCTCAGTGTCGGATTGGTCGGCCGGTATTGAGGGTTCTCTTACTTCGCGGATCTTGATGGGTGAGTCTCGTATGCGTAGACCTCCGCGTACGGACTCGGCTTTTTCGAAATTGGGGGTTTTCAGGCTAATGCCGTATTCCACGATGTGTAGATTGTGAGATGAGCGGGTGTTTAGAACAGGCAAGTAGATGTCGGGGGTGCACCAGACCTGGAAATTACCGATCATGTTAGTTAGATATCAGGGCTGGGTGGTATCACGTACCTCGACGGAGACGACGACTTCGACAGGGTCAGTCGGCTCTCCTGTCCAGTCACACCATAAGTCCAGGTTGCTAAAAGGGTTCTCGGATTGATCCATGATGTAGAGATAAGAAGGGGTGTCCGTGGGAAGAGAAGTGAAGTATTGAGAAAGGGAAGGAACACGGCAGGAGCATAAGCCATCGATTGCAACAATTAAAACACACACTGTAACTGTTAAAGGCCCTATATACACGAAGGGATAAAAACGACCACACTTTTCGATAAAAAAGACAATAACCTTCCCCCTTCCCTTCCTTCTACCAGCGCCTGATAACAGTAATAATCAAATCCGAAGCCACCCAATGTAAAACCAAAAGTGATATCTAAAACCCACCCCAGTCTATCCAGACAGACAATAAAGAAAATATAGAATAAACCAGTGTAAAGTGTAACAGCCAGAGATGACCTTCGAGGTCAAAGCAACCCGGCAAGAACGAGCGTATGAAAAGTAAAAGAGATCCATCAAGGCGTAGTTCCGTGCGTCGACCCGGGGGGATCAAAGGCCGCTGGGCCGGCAGAGCCATATCGATCGCCATCGGGGGCCATTTGAGAAGGGAGCATCGGAGTGGCTGAGGGAGAGGGCTGGTCATAATAGCCTCGCGCGGTCCCGTTGCCGCTCCGAAGGGGAGGAAGCGTGGTAGAGCTCGTTTGGTATCCGGATCGCGGATATCCTTGAGCCATCATCGCGCCTGTCGAATCCGGGGTCTATCGCGAGCCAAAAGAAAAGAAATCTTTAGCAGGGGACTTCTCACTCCAACACTCACTGGTTGGCGGAGGGGTGCCGTACAGGTGTACCGGGCTGGTTCATCGCCATGAGCTGTCCCACCGCAGCTTGTTGACTGGGGCGGATCTGACCCGATGGATCAGACATTTGAGACATGGGTGCTGAAGGCGGCAGACCGTAGGACATCTAGGGGGATGCAAATTAGTCAAAGCGGTTTATATTGTTGGACTCAATCCCTGAAATGGATGAAACGAACCCCATAATCTGGCACCACTTGTCCAGTCGAGTACTGCATCGGAGCTTGGTATGCGCCTGGCTGGGAGTACATGGTTGCCGGTTGACCGTACGAGTCCATCGGACGAGCCATTCTTCCCTCTGCGTCGTAGATGCTCTGGCGGCCGTAGTCAATCGACGTACGATGCCGCTTGACTGGAGGAGCCCCATAATACGTATAGTCTCGAGCCTGAGTCGGGTAGCCTGTGAAGCCCGTTGCAGGAGGGATCTGAACCGACTGGCGGTCTGGTGACCTCGGAGGCATCGCTTGTGGAAACTCATCCGGTCGAGGAGCGGAGCGTTTCCTGAGCTACAGTCAGTACAATCCTAGTCCAGTACCTTGCTGTTACCTACATCATGGTCCGAGGTTCCTTGCGAATGCGCAACTTGACTCCTTGATCCGCAAACGACCGAGAGAGGAAGGTAGACTCCATCATGCCCGGGAAGTTCTTGGGAGGGGACACTGGGTGACTGTCAGTTGCAAGTCCAATCTCAGGGTAACTTTTCGGGAAATCTCATTACCTCTAAATCGGTCCGAGACAATGGTCTTCAAGTAGGTCACCACTTCCCTGAATCCGAGTCAGCGTCTGCTCCCCCGAGGCTGCGACCGCACAGAGGCACACTCACTTCCGCATTTCGAACAGGGTGAACTTAAGCCGGAATTCGCCCTCGATCTTGACGGAGAGATCCCCGAAGACAAAGAAACCTCCATCTGCTCACAGTCAGTTTGCGTGGAAGCTAGCTCTGCGGCTTGAGCCCACTTACCGCTGTTGTCCACGTCCTTCAGCCGGTGAAGAGACGACACCAGAGTGCCTGCCAAGGCCGTCGACGGAGCTACAGGCACTGGACGATCTTCTGACGCATCGTACAAGCTGCAGCACATGAAATAATACGGGCTTTGCAGGTAGTGTCTGGGAGCGGGGTTAGTAACAAAGTCCCACGAACAGCCCTCGTGACCTCTCCGGAAGCTGGGCCACTTACTGTGCCAGATAGGAACCCTCTTCGCGCACCCTCAGCTGGACGATCGGGGGCGGATCGATGGGTTTGCGTTCTGCAGGAATGGTCGTTAGTAGCTGTACTCTTCACCTTGAACGGGCAGTCCACGCGGGCTTCACCCCCACCACAGCCCGCCACCGAGCTTCAGATCGGCGGGAAGAGGCGAGGACCAGCTAGAGACAACGAGAGGGAAGCGTTAGGAAGGATGCCAGAGCACGTACCTTTCTCTTTGCCCCCGGCCACGCGCGCCCGGTCGGGCTGCTGGCGAATGGTCAGGTCAAAGTCAGAACTGGTGTTGGTTAACATAGTCAGTGGGAGTCCCTGGACCACCGAGTAAGAGTTGCGACTTCTGGAAAAGCAGCTGATTCAAACGAACCTCTGGGCTTCGCGCGAGAGAGAGGCGTCGGAGTACGTGGCTACGCTCATCAAGACGGATGAGTGGAACCCAACGGTATAGCAAGCAGGAACCACCAGAGAGAGACTGGTGGTTTGATCCAGTAATCCAAGAAATTAAGAACCCAGGAATCCCGTAATCCCAGAAACCAGCAGATAAGTGTAGAAAGAAAGAATGGGTCAAATCCGATACCAAAGAAAAGAAAGAGCTGTAGTGGGGAAGAGAAGAGTGGAAGGTGCGGGATTCACGGTAGGCGCGCAACCATGGAAGCGAATTTGGTAATTTGGTGCACGAAAACGGATGGTGACGTTTTCCACCAGAGTCACGGTAGTAGATGGAAGTAGTAATCTGAGTCCTGAGTCCTGAATTCTGAGTTCTGAGTTCTGAGTTCTGAGTTCTGAGTCCCGAGTCCCGAGTCCACTTGGATGGAGTATTCAGAGATGCACTGATTCAGTTCACTGATCCAGAAATTCAGTGATTCACCGAGTCAGGATTGGGCCGTGATTTTTCCCCCGCGGACAAATCAACGTCCCGCCCTGCAAAACTGTTTCTAAGCCGGTGATCGCTGTGATCGCACAGATGGCGAAAATCAAAAAGCTAGCCAATCGCGGTACACGATTGAATCCAGCTAAAAATTTCTGGCGCTATATAGCTGAAAGGTGGAGCAGAGGAGGGGGGGGGGAAAAGGACCCAGGCTTGAGACCGTTAGGACCCGAGCCGTACGCGGTTAGGGGGAAAGTGGATGGGGGTTCAGCTGTGCTCGACCACGGTTTGCTGACTTGGACTGACAGCCGCGATGATGCGCACATTCGGCGCTTCTTTTTTGGGGTCTTGGGTCTTTTGCTCTCTGCTCTTTTGCTCTTTGGGGACTTTTTGCCTTTTGGGTCTTTTGAGTTGGCACTAAGGCCCTTTCCAGCTTGCTTGGTTTTTCCCGGATATGCGAGATCACAGCCGCATCTGGGACCTTGAATCTCTTAGGAGGGGGAACGCCCCTTCTCCCCCACTAAGATCTATCTAGTTTAGGTGATTAGCGTTAGCCTTCGCATTAGGTTTTTTTTTTTTCTCCCTTTCTTTTTTTTTTTTTGTCAGGGTTTGTGGACTGGAACCTTAGGAACGCTCTGACTCCCTCTTATGTCATCCAAGGGGGGGAGTCTGTAAGCGTACCTGACGGTATGGGTAGACCATCCCTTTCATGGGGTTTTCATGGGCTCTTTCGATCCGAAAATCATCGTATTTTCATACCTTCAGTCTTTCTTTGGGATTCGCACTGTGCGTGACCTGTGCGTGACGGTCCTCGCCGCACTCTGTGTGACTGTCCCCCTGGTCGCGCCGGTTCCGGAAATCGAGATCGAACCCGTGTACTTCCCCCGCAAGTCGGAGACCAACACCACAGCGATGGCAGCGCGATGACAGCAGCCCCTGCCCGAGAAATCAGATCGATATCAGATCGATACCGAGATCAGGACCAGGCTCAGATTCAGAGATCACACGCGAATCCAGTTTCGAGGGGACCGAATGGTGTTAGTCCAGTCCAGTCAAGACATCCCGGGTCATGATCATGGTATGGTGGGTTGAGGTTGAGGTTGAGCAGGGGAAAGAAAGTAAGAGGGCACGAATCCTGGTAATTCAACCCAGTGCGATGCGTCACATCGGTGTGTCGTGCAGATGCAGCGATCCTCTCAGAGGGCGCGGGGGCCGATCAAGTTCGTGACAGCCTTGGGGCGCCTGGAACCTTTGAAGACTTGGGCTTGGGGCGGAAACTGTGTGATCGGCTCAGACGCTCGTCCTGTTGTGGGTGCAGGTTGCAGATCGGTGTGTTCTTCACTGCAGCTCTACTTTGGCGCCACACCGGCGCTTCAGCCGCAGACTGAGACTGTTGCATGGTACTTTTGTTTGCTTCCTGGGCGCTTTCCCAATAATTCGAGGACTGCATCCCACGACGCAGGGCTGTAACTTGCCGCATCTTACTCGATCCAAATCTGAGTGGAAGAAGCTTGCAATTTGGAGGGCGCCTGGTGAGGGGGTTTTGCATCACTGGCGTGATGGCTGCAGCTGCAGCTGGAATATGACAAGCGGCCCACCCACAACGAGCCAGGTGCATTGTCGAATAGCCGATAGTGCCGCGGCGATTATGCAAGGGTTGTCGCCGACTCTGTCCACGGCCTCGTCTCCGGTCAATCCCGTAACGGCCAATGCACTGAATGTGTTCACGGGTAGGGCCGTAGAGCCCTGGGCCGATCAATGGCACGCGACATAGCGGAGACTCGAGGCATTAGAGAACAAGATGGCTAAAAAGGGGTGGCCCAAAAGTAGAGCGATTCGGCGACCTTCCTCTGCACCTTTCCGGCTTGTTCCCCGAGGCCAGAGGGTCCGAGATTAAGGTGGGACATCTTCACTTGTGCTGAGCTGACCGGGAGGGGGGGCCAAGGCAGAGGGAAAGAAGACCGAGGCATTGAAGAATAGAAATTCTCCGGGAAGAGATTTCTAAATCCACCTTCATTTTACGACCCTGAAAATTTGGGAGGGGGGGGGGGGGGGGGGAGCAGAAACTAAGAGACTAACCGGCTGGCGTGGAGACGAACAACACATTGCTGCATGAAGTGGCACCTTTTAGCGCACGGCCGGTCTACGTGAACTGTACGCTGAAAACATAGAGTAGATCTATAGACTACGTGGACTAGATAGCTAGTGACCGCTACGAACCACGGAACTCCTAGTTTAAGCATAAACTACGAGTGCCGTGGCCGTTCAGGGCCCGTTCCATGGTTGTTGTGCCCCTGACAGCTCTGCCCCGCTGATCCCGCCGATCGACTGGCTTGGTTCTATTCTCTATTTATTAGCTACTCTCTAGACATCCCCTCTATTCCCAACTAGGCATTAGGTACATTAGGTAGATACTCAATCCTTTCTGATATCATACACTACTCTGATTCCCGACTACCTGGTTCAGCTTCACTAGTTTTCAGCCCCTGGAACACATCACATCCACGTCCCGGTTTGGGCCCTCACACGCACGCGCCTCGTCCTGCACGGACAAGGGGGAGGGGGAAGGGTGGGTTAAGGTTTTTATCTATCCTTATTGTGGACTTCCGGGGACATTCAAAGGTGTCTCAGGGGAGGTGACAGGTCGAATGCCTCAAATTTCGGCCAGACGTCAAATGTTGGCTAGACGCGTCGCGTCTGACTCAGGATCTATGCGCGAACATGACACATGAGAGGAGTAGCACTTCAGAGTAGAATCGAATGGATGGATTAAAAAAAAAAATAACCACGGGAACTCCAGGCTCCGCTCCGCTCCCTTGGACAAGATTCCCAAAAGCACCCGACGGCGCCCGATGCGTCCGCGTCGTCGCTCATTTCAAGCGAGACCGTTAGGTAGGCACAAATTGCAAAGAATAAAAAAAAATACATGTAAGTCTTAGATATCAAACGCCCTTTCTGTATGCGTGGCGAGCGGGTATTCCAGCCCGCCATTCGTTACTTCCAGTGGTCATGTTCATGTCTCCATTACCACGTCGCCGTCTACTTCATAGTCGGCATCTTCCTCTCCCTCGGCGTCGGCGTCAGGGTCGAACTCGTTTGCTTCCGCCGTGGCTTTGACTTTCTTCTCTCGCGTGGCAGATCCGGGCTCGGCGGGGATCACTACTTGGATCTTCTCCACCAGTGCTTTGCGCGTAGAGGACTGAGGGGTCTTGGGGTGTTGCTCGGATTGTTTCCCCCTAGATCGATGGGATACTGCTGTCCCTGGAGAACGTGAAGCAGATTTGGACTTCTTTGAGGGTGTCTTGGGGGCCTCGAGGACTTCCTCGGGGGTAGATTCCTCGTGCTCAACACCATTCGTCTCAACGGTGTCTTGCACCTCATCGTCACCGTTGATCTTCGAAGCTTTGTCACCGTCGGAGGTTTCGTGCGCCATGAGGCCAAGATCTTCAGGGCTCGGGTCGAGATTGGCCTCTTCGTCGAGACCGCCCGGCTCGTCGTCATCGATACCGTTGGTCTTGGCTGGCGAGTCGCCAAGCTTGGTGCTGCGGCCACGACGAACGCTACCCGAAGGCGTGAAGTAAGGGAGCCCAGAGGCTCTGCGAGGTGTGTTGCGGCCACTTGTCCGAATGGTCGTCGGTGTCATGGAGGGCCGGGACCCGTTTGCTTTATGGGGACGGCCAATTTTTTTCTTGCTCGGAGCAGGTACATGAACAGGGGGCCACAATTCGAACCGAGAGGGAGGAATTCCAGCTGCTGGGTTGGGAATTGGAGGTTCCGAGCTTTTGGTGCTTTCGGCGGCGTGAACGCCATTGGTAAGTGCCATAGTCGAAGGAGGTCCAGCAGTTTCATCTGCACCACCGCCATTCAAACCAGTGCGCTCTTCCTCTTCCTCTTCTTCCTCATCCTCGTCAAGGCCGTCCCGAGGTGCGACAGCATGGAGAGGAGCACGATCAAAGTGCGACTGGTTGTTCCGACCCATAATGTACGGGGTCCAGAGCAGCGCATCGGGGTTGAGCGTGACGTAACCCTTGCTCTCCCACTTGCTGATCACTTCTTCAAAATAATTTGTGTCAAGACGGAATGCGTAGGTCTTAGTAAGAGGATCCCGCACCAAGGCGCGTAGCCCTTCCAGCGCGGAGACAATGTCATCTGCCGTCATCCCCGTCCGGTCGGACAGATCTGCTATGCTGACTGGTGTCTTCAAATCACGGAGTTGATACGACAGAATCAGTCGCCAGTAGTTGCGGTATGAAACCAGTCCCATGTCGGAAAGTGGCTTCTCGGGTGAACCGTTCTTGCCTTCGATGCGGGTAAGGAGGTATGAAAAGTCGATGAGAAGGTTACCGTAACCTTTGCGTTGATGAATGGGGAGGGTGAGAATGCAGGAGACGTTGTTTGCTGAGCTGGGTCGTTTTTCTTTGCTGAAATAACCGACGAAATGACATCCCAAATCATCGTACTCACTCATGACATAGAATAGGAATGGCTCAACATCATAGTAAAGAGTCTTGGAGCCCAAGAAGAGTTTAGCAAGAAGACATAGGTTTTGACAATAGACGGGGTTTTTCCGCCCATCGACCTCGAAGATCGAGATTGAGCCATCACGATAAATTTCGTCACCGGGGGGATGCTTCGCGGGACATTTGAGCTTATGCCTGTAAGCGACATAATCTGAATTCATGTACTTGAGACAGAACTCGCAGATGTAAAGCACACGATTGCGACTGTACTCCTCTGGGTAAGGAGCAGCATACCAGGTCTCAATCTCGTAGCCACCAAAGTTGATATACTTGATCTTTGAGGGGGGGGCCTGACACTTTTTGCGATACATTCGTAGTCGACTCGCCGTTGAGTTCCGCATCTCGAACCTTCTGTTGCCATTCTTCTTCGGCTTTCTGGCGAGCCTGCTCAAACTTTTCGCGGTCGACTTGTAAAGGGAGTGTTCTGGATGTTTCCGCATCGGCCTCAGAGAGAATGCCACCATAAGGTTTGGACTTCGAGTCATCGATGTCTCGGTCATGGAAAGGTTGGAAAGAATTGTAGGGTGCTGGGGGAATAGGAGCAAAGTGAGCTTGAGGTGTTTGTGGCACAGGGGGCGGCTTTGGCCCTTTTTTCTTCTTTTTCCTGTCGCGCTGCGATCGACTTGGAATGCTGAGGATTTTGCTCACTTGGCCTTGATCCAGGCGAAAGCCTACCACGAGTTTGCCGGCATGCCTGGAGACTACCCGTATAGGCTCGCGTTCCGTGGCACGGCTTCGCCGAGGGCGCATGGGCCGTGCCGGAGAGTGACCATCGACCACCCCGTTTACCTCCTCAAAGGGAGTATCGTTCACATCAGACGCATCTGTCTGGCGTCGTCGTTTGCGAAGAACAGGCACATGTTCCTCCGCTTCGACCGAAGAAGCTTTCCGCTTTCGCAGCGACCGGGAGCTATTAACGTCTTCGATGGTAGTGTCGAATATGGAATGGAACCCCGACCCTTCTTTCCCCATGTGTGCAGGTAAAAGCTCTTTAGGAAGATGAGAGGACCCGGATTTTTGTTGCGATGCGGGACTCGCCACGGGGTCAGGTTCTAGCTTGTTTTGAACGCAGGTGGGACATTTCCACGGATCTACACGATCGGGAGTTAGCGAGTGGGCCCTTCCGAAGATGAGCTTTATCTCCGACATACCTTCAGTATCATTAAATGCTTCTTGTTCACGGGCGCATTGTCGATGAGCTATCAGAATGCCGAGTCAGTCAAAGAGGCAGAATTTGGGAAAGGGTTAAGCATCCGTTTGGACCCGCAAACACGTACAGTGGTCTCCGCAAACAACACAAGTAAGCCACTCTTCAAAGTCTTCGCTCGGATCATGTTCTTCGTCTTGGGTGCAGAATCTATCGCGGATTAGCATGGGCCATGCTCAGGCCAGCCTGCAGTCTAAGCTCCTGTCACTTACATGCAATTTGCGCGGCTGCGGATATCTGCGTCCGCGTCTTCGCCTCCATTGCTTTCTGCTTCCCAGTCCTCTTCAGCTTCGGATTCACCTTCACTTGACTCCGCATTGGATGCGTCTCGGTCGATTTCGTCCTCAAACGCCGGGTCAGCGTCCGCATCCTCGTCGTCAGATGATGCCTCGTCGTCCGGGACTTTCACAGCGCCAACCGGCTCGGTCTCATCGTTGTCGCCACTTGACTGATCACTATTGGCGTCATCGCGCATTGCTTCGCTGTCCGCGCCGTCAGCGTTGTCCTCGGCTTCTTCTCCGCTATATGCACGGTGCACCGCATCCTGAAGCTGCTGGTCCATTTGGTACAAATCCGTCTCCTCTTCACCCTCCGCGTCGATGTCGCTGTCAACTTGGTCCGTAGGCGGGTCGAGCTTGCCCGGGTTGTCTTTTGCCGGCGGCACCGTCGCCGCCATTTTAAGAGCCACCGCAGTCGCCAGTTCGTACGAACTCTTGTGTTAATTAGCGCGCGCAGGTACGTGTATCGAAAGATCCAGTTGTAGAAGGGTCCAACAGACACAACCTACAGAGCCACCCCGCACGCGTTGGTGGCGAACCGGGGGAGCATCTGGAGCTCCGAAAGGAGTATGAAAGGCAGGGAGGACCAGCGCGAGCACTCAAATCATGAAGCTTAAGTTTCGTTTGGAAGATGTGTTCGCCGGGCGCAAACAAGCTGAATAAAAGCAGAGGTGTCAGTTGGCTGTCACAGTTCGTAAGCGCGTGTCGCGGGGAAAAGGCGACTCACCCCAGGCAGTAGACAGCAGAGTATGCAGAAAAGAAAGATACAAGACGCGTCGACGAACGAATCAAGCTCTGGGGCCGAAGTTATCTGGAAATCGAATGCGATCCGCTGCCCCTTGACCCTGCGAGTGTCGTTGCAGGCGGCTGACTCAACTGACGCTAAACCCTTTCGAGCCGCGCAGACCTCGTTGCCGGCGACGCTTCTTCCTCCCCTCCTTCGTGCTCTCCGCAATTCGCCCTTTATCTACGACACGAGCCAGGTTTTGGTTCGCTCAGACTTCAATTCACTCTAACCGATTCACCTCAACCGACTCTCGCGACCGCACAACATGGGCGTTCCCTTTGAAGCTTTGCTCCCTTACGGGATTATCTTGGGCGTGCGTCTCATTCGTCAATTCCCTCTGGAGCTATAACTGACGCCCACCATAGATGTTCGGCCTGTCCGGATATGGCATCTCCTTTGTGAAGGGCTTTGCCAACGACGGCAAGAAGGCCCGCTGGAACCGGGACCTCTGGGATCGTGTAAGTGAAGTCTTAAAGTCTTGGAAGTCGGCTGCGGTCGGAACTCACAGAACACACCGGCTAACTATCTCACAGCAAAGTAAGTAACGATCAAATCGACGGAATCATCGCCCGCAATCAGATCGACAGGACTAACCATACACAGTGATGGAGCGTGACTTGCGACTTACCGGCTCGGAGCGCGGGCAATCCAGCAACCATGTGGCTCCCAAGGGCTTCGACGTCAGCAACCCGTGGAAGGTATGGACAAGACATCATTGTGAATCTCGCAGCTACCGAATAATGCTGACCCAGTGTGCAGGTCGAGAAGCGGATCTTCTAGGCTCAAAATCGCAATGTTTTCTTATTATGTCCTCGTCTGTTTCGCGATTACCTTACATACCTTCCGCAATTTTCCTTAGAAACGCCGCTGTATCATACCATCGAACCCGTTTCTGTTCTATCTTTTTTTCTATTTGAGTCTATATGAGCTCGGAGGTTAAACCTCGGATTCCTTCGATCTCGTTCTTGCGAAGGTGCACGTCAAAGTACTTGACCAGTGCCTCGATCCGATCCTCTTCAGTATGGAGCACTTGCAGAATCTCTGTCTGTCCACGCATTCGTCGCTTGACTTCTTGACCAGCCATGATGCACTGGCCGATAATCTTTCGAGCATCTTCATCCATGATCATTTTCTGGCACACGAAGGTCTTTGTGAACCAGCTAGTCCGGGTTTGACTGACGGCAAAGTTCATTACCTCAAAGTCCTGCGGTAGAAACTCCACATCGTTGAAGCAGATCATGGGTAGCCACTTGCTCTCCGCGTTGTATCTGAGCTGGTAGATCCAGATTTTCTGGGTCTTATCGGTAAACTCGTCAATAGTTTCCCTTACTAAACGCATCTCGCTGGGGTCGATGCATGTAGCTGCCACGCCCTCTTGGAGACGTAATGGTGCCGTAGATCCGTTGTTGCCGAACCCGGTGTCAACCTATCGTGCTATCAGACTTGCAGATATAGATGAACATTGGAGGTACTTACCATGTATTTAATCCCCTCAATGATGACGATAAGAAGCATGTGTCCGCTTTTGAAGGTGTCAGCAGAATATACCATGGCTGATCAATTAGAGGAACCATACAAGGAAAAGAACTGTCCGTTGTCAATGCCCTTCGACGCAGCATGGCTGACACGACCACCCGTAGCGTAAACCAAGAACGACAGAGAACGTAGAACAATCAAGAATAGCCCCGTGTTCTCCATACAATATCCATCCAACCCTCTCTCAACCATCTTCTCATACAGGCTGTCTGGGTTCAACGAGATGGTGTGGTGCTGCGAATAGTGCAGCCCCGAGTTACCCCAGGGAATAGCTGCCAGGTGATGGCGCTGGAGATCTGCCAGGGTACCCAAGGCATCAGTCTGAATTCGCTGTCGTACGTCCTGTACAAGCGAAACATCTTGTGTGTTGGCACCGTTGTATCTGATTCGCTTCAGGTACGCTTCCAGCTGTGCCTCGGTATATATCGGTTTGGATCCCATGGCGGCGAGGTACTTTCTGCGCGGCCAACACCAGAAGAGCGGTTGTTGAGTATTGTGATAGGCGTCCAGTGGGATGAGTTTCAAGATTGATGACCGACTCTTTCCCCACCCCACATTCTCCCCGCCATTCGGTAACTGGTGTTTGCGCTTCTTCCGTTACACATGACAGTATTGCAAGTTTTATAATCCAAATGGCGGCAATGGCGATAACTGTGCTGTCAAGACAGAGAGTTGAAATCGTAAAAGATAAAGGACATACTGAATACATTAATCTGATCCCCAGAATTCTATATCTTCACTCTTGGCGGCATCATGTTTATATACATATCCTTTTTCGGCACCAAATCAAGATTTGCCTTTTCAACTATCGTGCATGGTTTCTCCATAGAGTCGAAACACCCGAGACCCTCATAATCTGTGGTATGACTCCAATATGATATAGCGCAAGGTAAGACTACCTACCTCCATACGAGAGTATTCGCAATGCAACAATGCCTCCGACACCATTCTCTCAATCAGCAAGCCAGAAGAGCTGGTGGGTCTTTTTAATCTTCCGTGATAATTCAGGCTTCAGCGATTCCGACGTGGTTCTCCTCGGCCATCCGCCACACATACCACTGCTTTTCTCCATTCACCATTGTGGCCTTTCCCTCAGTGAGTTCTACATTACGAGAAAAGCCTGTCACATTGACTTACCCACACTGCGATGACTGGGATCCTGCAAATGGGGTTCTAGCTCTTCTGCAGCTCGTGAATCATGTCCATGCCGGACTAGCTCGATCTGCATTGGCCCACTTCTACTTTTGCTCCTACTTTTACTTCTACTTGTACTTGTACTTGCCAATCGCGCGCGTAAAAATTGTATTCATTAAAGATCTAGATGGTCGTGGTATCTTGTCTATGTGAAAAAAAAAAAAAGAACTCTAAGACTCTAAGCTCCTCGAGGCTTGAAGGTGCTTCCGCCTCCGCCACCGCCGCGACGGGCTCCACGGCCACCACCTCGGCCACCGCGGCCTCCACCGCGACCTCCACCGCGCTTCTTCTCAACACCACCATGATGGTCACGGCCAGCTCCGGGGCTCAGGGCATCACGGGGTTTTCCAGAGTGTTGTCCATTGGAACGGCTGCGCGGGCGAGCACCGCCTCCATTGAAGTCATTCCCGCTTCCGTAGTTGAAGCCAGGAACACCCTTCAAACCCATCTTGCCAATAACCTTCCTATCCATGGGCGGGGCCTCGGGGCAAGCCATACCCTCAATAGCCATCGTATTAGCCATCTGGACGAGACCAGCTTTGTCCAGACGGAGAGGCTTCAGGAGACCTGAGCCGGCGAAGAATCCAATAAAGGACGAGTAGGCACGTTGCTTGGTCTCTTCATCAATGGCGTACATGGCTGTGGTGACGGCGTCGGCGGATAAGGGTGCGGCCGCATTGATGGCGTCGGTCTGAGGGTGGGGCTTGATAGGGAGGTGGCGGTTGACCTTCATGAAGAAAGACTCGCCCTCGGTGAGGAGGATGATAGCACGGCCATCGTTGCCGGCACGGGCTGTACGACCGACACGGTGAACGTACTGCTCACCATTGGACGGCAGACCAACCTGAATGACCAGGTCGACATTGGGGAAATCCATTCCACGGCCGATAACATCGGAGGCGAACATGATTCCGGCAGAAGCCTCCTTGAACATCTCAGTAGTCTTTGTACGACGGCTCTGATTCAGTCTGGAGTGGATCTCAAACACCTTCAAGGGAGTCAAGCCCTCGGAGAAGACATTCGCCAAGAGAGCAACCATGTTTGCTGTAACCCCAAAGACAATGATTTTGCGGCAGGTTTTGCTCTCCAGGTTAAGAAGAGCTGCAAGTGTGGTAAAGGTGTCTGCCACGGACGGGATCAGGACATGGTACTGGGGTACCCTCTCGTGAGTGGGGGCTTCGTTCTTATCGATAGTCGAAATATTGCTGTAACCAGACTTCAAGACGACACTGACGACATCCTTGACCTTGGGAGGAACAGTGGCGGAGAAACACATTCCCTGCCAGCCAGTGCTCTTGGCCGGGATGAGTTGCAGGATGCGCTTGACATCAGCAATGAAACCGGACTCCAGCATGGTATCCGCCTCATCCAAAACCAGGGTCTGAATGTTTGACATCTTCTCGGCAGTGTATTCCTCAGACAGGTAATCCTTGAGTCGTCCGGGAGTAGCCACCAGAATGGAAGGAGCGCCCTTCATGAAACGGTTGTGAGCCGAGGCGCGCGCAGTTCCTCCCACGGCGATGTGGCATTCAAGGGGGGGTCGTAAGCTGCGAAGTGAGCTGATCGCATGACTTGGCGATCTGTTGAGCGAGCTCTCGGGTGGGGGTAATGATCAAGATGGCGACCTTGCCTCTGGGAGGGGCCTGGCCTTGGAGCAGACAGTGCAAAGCCGGAAGCAAGAATGCGAGTGTTTTACCAGTACCAGTCTTGGCCTGGACGAGGCAGTCACTGCGCCAGCTGGGAAGTTCAGTCAAAACACGCTGCTGAACGGGGGTCATGGACGTGAAACCCATCACATCAAGGGCTTTGAGAAGTCTGGGGTCCAGCTTCCCAGCCATACTGGAGTACGGCTGGGCGCTAGCGTCGATTCCGGGACCTTGCATGAGGTCGATGGTCAAAAATTAATTCAAAAAATGAACAGTTTTTTGATTGAAAAAATTTCAAACCAACCTTGGAAGCCTAGGGGTCAGTATCTGTTTTTTTTCGACGGTGAGGCGTGGCAGTATCTGTTATCGTTTGATAACTCATTGGCGCTAACCTTATCGGGTGACCCACATGTCTGGAGAAGATTAGTCCAGGACAAAGAACGCGCGTGTATTCACTGCAAATCACCGGAATATGCTATTGCTCGAATTTCCCGTGGTCGGTGTAGATGCTTGCTTAGAAGCGTCATTCTCTCTTCTAAATTGGATATTCTCATTCCGGTGAGGTCCGATGAATCCAGGGTCGGTTTCTGTGGATCATTGAACAGGCGGGTTTGCACTTATAATAACTTGGAAGACGTCGACTTGCACCTTGGATCGCAAGAGAGATGATGCTAACATGGTACCGCGTGAATAAAAAGCAGGTAGTCATATTGTGCAACCAGCTTTAAGCGGGACCGTAATTATATCTGATCGACATGACTACCACGAATGTGCATGAGCGTGAAGAACCAGTGTTATGACTAGCGTCTCGGATCCGAGATCGACCGATCAGCCCAATTACGATCGCGATCTACAATATGAGAAGTGCGACGAATCGAAATAGACACCGTCCTGAGATACGTCATACTGCGTGATCGGTAGATTTGATCGTGGTTGCGGTTTCCAATTAGACAGAGCCTAGTGGATAATCTCTTCTCACTAGTGGGAGGGGCAGGAATCAACATCACGACAGTTTTGGTAGGCTTGAGTTTTTCAGTATTACTCTTCTTTGGAATTCAAATCTGAGATCATGAGCTCATGAGATCATTGAGCAAGAGGATGAGACTGTACGTGCGGGCTGTTTTGGAGTTGACTCGTATAACACCACACCTGGCGTGTCGAAAATTGATATTTCAACCGCAAAAAGGAACCTTAGCCCCATAGAAATAGATCAAACCAGTGAACAGAATCTACAAACTCGCACTCCAGGGCTCTGGCTACTACCTACGTCACCCAAAAACAGAATCACGGATTCATACCATACCAATCCATTAAACATACCAACCGCGAGGCCACCTAATTTTCACACGAATATTTCTATTAAATGCAATTGTACCCTCCATCCATACGCCTAGTCGAAAATCGATTCATAGCCACCAGGACAGATGAGCAACAGATGAGCAAAAAGCCAGTCCAATAATCAACCCGTCAAGAAATCCTCAATCTCAAACCCAACTCTCTTCAGGGCCTTCTCCTCCAACTCCCTCGACGTGCCAGCAACCTTCCTCAAAATAACAGTCCTGGCATCCTGCAATCTGACCTCAACTGGACTCCCGCCCGCACGATCGAGTTCATCTTTCGTGCATTCGCGAATGTAGACGGTAATATCAGGCCCGGTGCAGCCTCGCCATAGAGAAGCCATCCACTGCCAATGGTCTAGTGGTGTATATGAGTCTTGGATAGGGATGGAGCATGCAAAGGCATCTGCGGTCGTGAGTTGGTACCGTGGGACTAGTGCGACTGGAATAGGGGATTGAGGTACAGGTTGAGGTTGTTGAGAGGGACTTGCTTCTGAGGCTTCTGAAGAGTCTGGCGGGGAGTTTACCTGGAGAGTCGCAGTTTTTGGAAAGACTGTTTTTGGCGAGAGGCTTGAAGCTGAAGCGGAATCCGCGTCTGGGGAGGAGCGGGTAGAGTCGGATTTGATGAATGTGTTGACTTCGTCTGAGATGCGGTGCCAGGCGGAGATTTTGTCGATGTAGTCGTTCATTCCGGCGTCGCCTATTTGAGAGGGATCTGGAGCTTCGGGGCCCGGGAATATGCGGACGGAGTATTTTGATTCTTTTTGTAGGAGGCGATCGAGGAAGTCGACTGCTATTTGGACGAGCTGGGGGTCTTGGCTGTCGATTGAGATGACGGGGCCTCTGTAGATGGTGGTTGAGATTGAGTCGCGGAAGGAAGGGAGGAGGGGGGTGAGATTTTGGCGAGGACCTTGATCTTGTTGAGGAAGGGGATTGTCATGACTGTTGCTTCGACGGAGCCATCTTGAGAGAATGGTGTCAGGGGGGTCATGGGTGTCGTGGTTTTCAGCGGGGGAAGCTTCAGGCTGAGGTCCGGGTGTGGAGAGCTGGGGATGCTGCCGAATCTCTGGGTGTGGATCATGGGGAGTGGACTTGGGTGTTGGAGCTCTGATCGGGTGTATGGAGACATCGGGTATGTGATCTCAGGGCTTCTGTCCCGATGAGCATACTGGGGTTGGTGGGAGACACGGCGACGCTTGACATCTGGAGCATGATCTTCCTCGGGGAAGCGGCGGGCTCGAGACTCCAGCTGGTCAACTCTCACTGGTTTAGGCTGCGGTTTCGTATCTGCTCGACAGGACGATCTTCTTGACATAACCGTGATCGGGCATGAGCCTGCTGAGAGACTTGATCGGCTGATTGGCGTGTCGGTAGGAGTGAATGGTGTCATTGGGGAAGAAGGAGCATTCATAATACGTCCACCACATCGGTTACATGTCGACTGTCCCGAAGGGTTGTGACTGATGCCGGAAACTGAGCCACGGGCGCTGCCATCTCGACCAGACCGCTTAGGTTGATAGCGGTAGTCGGGATATTGCTGTTGATGGCGGTCTTTCTCCTCCTATAGATCGTGATCAGTGATTGGAACTCTAAAAATCTGATGTAGATCTTACCCTTGCAAGAGAATTCCACTTTTCCCGTTCCTCATCCGACAGAGCTTTCCACTGTCTTCCAATGATCTTGGAGATATCTGGATTTGACAGACCTGGGTTCTGATGCACCACGGCTGCCTGATAATGTTGACGGTAGAGAATAAAAGCTATCCACAAATTAGCACCGCTATCACAGATATAGGTCCAGGGGGGCGAAAAGGTCCCAAAACAAGCGCAACGATTCAAAACAGAGATCACTTGCCATGCTCTAAGGACCAGGGTACAGACGGTATCGACTCACAGTTACGCGGCCGGGGAATTTTCGGATCCGGCTTGCAGAGACACCAACTGATCTCCTTGGACATTCTTGGACTGGAACCTCGAGAAGAAGACGATGAGCTGTCTCGAAGAGCGAGATCATTCGTGGTGAGCAAAGGCCCCGTAGGTCTTCCCATCTGCGGATTGAGTTCGGGTTTGGCACGGTCCAAGGTGGTCATATCTTGATTCGTGGGGCCAGTGGATGGGTGTCGAGCCTCGGGATATCTGCAGGCGGCACCCAGGGGATCTGGACGGAGCGGCAAGGCTCCATGGGACATGGGCAAGTCGTTCATGATCTTGTGCTCAATGAGATTGCTGGATCTGGGCAGCGAGACTTGAGAAGAGACATGGTGCAAAGCAACCGGGTTGGGGAGCACTCGGTTGTAAGACATTTATCTAGTGTGAATGGAGGCGAGAACAGCCGGAAAAGAGAAGAGGAAGGAAAGAAAGAAATGGAAAAAAGGAAAAGAAGTGAAAGAAGAAAGATAGGCGGGGAGACCGAAGGAAGGAAGCAAAGTATAAACGGGGATGAAAGGAAGAAGACAACACGGGGGAAAGTAGAGAATGGTCGAGGTGGGCGACAGCACAGTCCGAGACAAAGAGCAACAGAGACGATCCACCGGGGCCGACAGGTCCAAAAGAGCAGGAAACAGTGCGAAACAAAGCGAGATGGGACGAGCTATTCGAGGCCTTTTTTTTGCGATTTCTTTGTCTTGGACAGATCCCTGCGGTGTGGCTTGGGCATATCTGAAATAGGGTATACGTGGAAAAGGTTAGGGAATCGGGAATCGGGAATCAGGGATTTAGAACTTCGGAAAATTAGGGAGTATCCTTTGTTATGTGTCCTAGTATCAGAATCGAGGGCAAAATCAGGAACGACCCAATTAAAAATTCTCTCGGAGAACCAGGGACGTGAGGTAACCAAAGTAACCACAGGACGTGGAGTGACCCAGTGTAGAGTGACTAACAGAGTCTCCCACATCGAGCAAACGAACTCATTGTTTTCTTTGTCCCCGGATGCGGCGAGTCGCATTTACCCTGGCGTTGGCCGGCTTCACCGCCCCCCTCCGACTCTCAAAGAACAGGACTCGCAAACATGCTCTCGCCCATCGAACGCTGGACACGCAGTCTCAAAGTAGAAGCAACGGCAATGGGGGCACATACTGTCAAGATCATTCTTCCTACAAGTACACTTCAGCTTTAGTGTTGTACATAAGTGGATCCCTTGATGATCTCATCGAGCGCCGATCTGTCCAACGGTGGTAACTGCGGTAGGACGATAGAATCGAATAATACGACCTTCTTTCAGTGCCTGGCAGGTCGCTAGGTTACTAAAGATCACGTTTTTAGGGTCTGATCTGGTCTGACTTCGGTTACTACCGTGTCCCTTTCTGTCCTGTCCCAACGGAACATGGCCATCCACGCCGCATCGGGCCGTTTGATCTGGTCGGCTACCGACTGTGACCCGCTTGACCATTGCGGACCTTTTGGGATTCATGAATGCATGGGTTCATCAGTCATGCTTCTTGGTTCTTGCTTGTTGGATCTTGGTTCATCGGTCATGGTAAAAAGTGATGATGACAATGTCTAAGCTGCAAAGTTCCGGGTGTGGCGCTCGAATTCACCCTCTGATCCCGGTTCTGATTCTGATTTGGTTTCTGGTTCTGATTCTGATTCCGGTTTGGCTATGCGATTCACCAATTCACCGTCGATACCGCGGTAGATCTCCGTCGCCATCAGCCGCTGCGCTGCTGGACCCAGCTGCATCTCGTTCCTGGATCCCGGTCAGCACAAAAGGGGTATTTCGCAATGCAGATCGTCGAGTCGACCGATCCAACATTACAGGATGTCGGGATTACTCACCAGAACAGATATTTTTCGGGATTCGAGCAGATCTTGCCCGAGGAACTTGACATCATGACCTTGATGCCCTTTCCGCTCTCGACGCACGGGTCGACCATGTTCACCCACCCTTCCTGGTTCTTACCCAGTCCGTTCTCTTCTTCGATGCCCGCCGCGTAGAGCTGCCAGTCCCGGATGCGATCCAGCACGAAGGAATTCGTGTCGAACAGGTAGATACGGCCGCGCTCCCACTGACGGGCTGCATCGCGCAGAGCCCGGTTCCACTCGCCGATCAGTTTGACGGCATTTTTGTACTGGTCGCCCTGGTCCTTGAAGCCCGGGAGGAAGGTCACGTCAACGACCTGCGTCAAGATGACATTAAGATCAGTCGAGCCCCAGTGCTCACTGAGCTGTTCCATTTGCTCCAGGAGCGTCTTGATGCGTCGCTCGATGGAGCCAGCCGCATTATTGTAGTCCTCGTCCTTAGTCACCAGGTCCCAAATGTCCCAGATGCCAAACGAAATGACGAAAATAGTGTGCTCCTGACGGAACTGGATCTGTTCTTCCGATAGTCCCTTTAACGTGGGAGACTCGGCATCCAGCCACTGCTTCAGCTGGGTCTTGAAATCGGGCAGATGTGTCTTAGACAGTCGGTCGACCAAGTCTAGTTCTTGATTATCCACCACAGCGCCCGTGTACTCCCCGTTAAGCACAGACTTGGATGTCTGGGCGAGGTTCTCTTGATGGCAGTTGAACTAGGATTTGTCAGTCGGCTGGTCGCATACTCCCCGAGACATTCCCGTCTCTGCCTCCAAGGTATATATATCCTTACCATTCCACAAAGCCAATCAGTCCACGCCTTTCCCTGCAGTTCCTCGGTCTCATTGTCACTCCATGAATCTCCAAAAACCACCAATCGTTGATCGAACTCGGTGACTGTCTGGAAGTTCCCGGACTTAATCGGTGTGATATCGCCGTATGCGCGAGAAGTAAGGGCCCAAGCGGAAAAGAGAATAGTGCACGCAGCGACAGCGCACAGGGCGTAGAAGCGGTTAAATAGGCGGATCATTATACCGACCACCGTATTTATAAATTTGTCGGGGATCTCGATCAGAAAGGCGACGGGGTTTGACCCGGGGGCGGTTCAAGACTCAGCGCATTCGTTGGGACGAGGGCTAGACCGGTTCGCCACTGTGCAATAGAGCGCTTGCGCTCAATGATTCCGGAGTAACCGATGAGATAAATGTGGTGTATTGGGGAAAGAAAAGGAGAAGTCGAGAAAGCCCCTAAAGCCTGGACGAAATCTCGGGAGAACCGGAATAATGGCCAGCGGGTCCCAAACGTTCAAATGCGAATGGGGAACGGCGGAGTTAGGGGGTACTTTTAGGAGAAAGAAGGGCTCGAGGATAAGTTAGGTTTCGGTATTTCACTTTTCTTCATAGCATCATGGATCCCTCGATGGAAATTAAATGGCCGCGTGGCCCAACGTGGAAAAGAATCGCGTGCGCCCGGGCGTCACACCGCATGGAGCCTGAATTGCTTAGCCCCGGGTTCGGTCCTCCTCGTTCCGTATACGAGTGGAATGATCTATTATATCTATATCCCAATGGAGTCACTACGTATGTCATCGCTAAAGTGGTATTGGAATTGGATTGGATTGAATGGAAAGATTTGGACATGAATAACTTACGCGCCATCTGACACCCTTGGTCCACCTCTTAGGCCAAGCATAACGGATCACTAGGATGACGACTCCCGAGCGCCACTAGAGCCAGCAGGACATAGCTCGTATGCCGGGTTTCACTTTTGTGGGGGGCGATCGAGGCACCCCCTGAAGCGGCAAGCTGTACGAATCAGATGCCAAGACATGCATGCTTCAACATCACTTTGATGAGGAAATGTCCATCGTGGTTTATGACCATCATTGCCCAAGGTGAATAGTTCGAGGCTTACAAGTCAATGTCTTGTAGTCTCGAAATACACATTCCCAAGCAGTGATGTAGTACAACGTATTATAAAAAGACTGTCGCATAGTTGAAGGCAATTTCCATTCAGGCTAGTTGAGGGCGACGGCTCGGAAAATAGGTTCTCTAAGCCGCAGGAACTCAACCATTGCAAGTACAAAAGTACAAAATTCCATGAAAGCACAATTCATAAGGCCAACGAGATCGACACCTGGGGCATCCACGCCGTGAACGAAAACAAGGTCATGTGATATATAGTCACATGACAGGGTTAGCGACTGACAAGGCCGGATCCCAATCGGGCTAGCGCCCACTTAGTCACCCACACACACTCGCTACACCAAACCTTTGGAACTCGAAAAATCCACACGACCGTACCCTTCAACCTCACCTTGTCGACAACTCCGCGCTACCGTCTTGACCGCGCAACCTCGTCAAGATGAAGCTCAACATTTCCTACCCGGCCAATGGGTCGCAGAAGATCATCGAGATCGACGATGAGCGCAAGCTCCGTCCCTTCATGGAGAAGCGCATGGGCGCCGAAGTCAGCATCCCCGATCCCAAAATATACACACCACCTCCGACGAATTTCTACACCCATCTACACACAACACATACGACGAGAGCAATGGCTGATTGGTATTTTACGATTAGGTCTCCGCTGAGTCCCTCGGCGATGAGTTCAAGGGCTACATCTTCAAGATCACCGGTGGTAACGACAAGCAGGGTACGACTACCTCCCCCTTCGGAATGTTTCATCCATGGCGAACACGGATAAAGCATGCGATGCAATGCAAGAAACAATGGCTGACTAGATTGATTTCCAGGTTTCCCCATGAAGCAGGGTGGTACGTTTTGATCGATCAATTGGACACACATTCCAAGATCAACGGAAGAAAAAAAATTCGAATACTTATCGGTGACCTACAGTTCTCCTCCCCACCCGTACCCGTCTGCTCCTCGCCGACGGCCACAGCTGCTACCGCCCCCGCCGCTCTGGTGAGCGCAAGCGCAAGTCCATCCGTGGTGGTATGTTCGCTCCGTCCCCAGCGCCTTCGGGCCAAGATCGAACCAGTATTAAACTCTGACACCCTTTCCAGCCATCACCGGTCTCGACCTGTCCGTTCTTGCTCTGTCCATCGTCAAGCAGGGTGAGGACGAGCTCCCCGGCCTGACCGACACCGTTGTCCCCAAGCGTCTCGGCCCCAAGCGTGCCACCAAGATCCGCCGCTTCTTCGGCCTCGACAAGAAGGACGACGTCCGCAAGTTCGTCATCCGCCGCACTGTCACCAAGGAGGGCAAGCAGGAGTACACCAAGGCCCCCAAGATCCAGCGTCTGGTTACTCCCCAGCGTCTGCAGCACAAGCGCCAGCGCGTTGCCATCAAGCGCCGCCGCGCTGAGGCTGCCCGCGAGGCTGCGTACGTCCCCTTTTCCCGTTTCCCTTCGCTTTTCATCTCACTAACATCCAACCAGCAACGACTACGCCAAGCTCCTTGCCAACCGTGTCCACGAGGAGAAGGCCAAGCGTGACGAGCTCCGCAAGCGGAGGGCCTCGTCCATGCGCAAGTAAATCATCACACCAGCGGTGTAACGATTTATTTGGGGGATGACGGTAATGTCGCACGATTCTGGGATGATTTCGGGAATAGCAAAAAAGATCACCCAGGGCCGCGAGTGAACACAAAAAAAAAGGGCGAAAAAAGAAAGCGGGGGACCAGGTTTTGACTTACAGGCAGCGCGAATGCCGCGTTGAATCAGGCCCAGATTGAAGCATCTGTGCCGAACCTACCTTTTGACAACCCTTTTTTTGAATGGAGTGCATGCAAATTTCCTTCTTCTGACTTGCACAGCTGTAGCTGTAGTTCCCTCTTCCCATAGCACGGATGTCAAATTGCAATCCGGCCCTTTCATGGCCGCGGTTGTGCCGAAGAAGTGCTTATATCGAAACGAGACTTGTTTCTCCTTTGCCAGTGAGTACTAGATTTGTGTCCAACGATTAGGTTCGAGGTGGCACACGTCCATTGAAGATCTGGGACATCCTTGTAAACTAGATGTTCAATATTACATTACCTACTTTTCATACTCTGACTTTTGCAGCTGTAGTTACTTAGATATCCATAGCACGGATGTCAAATTGCAATCCGGCCCTTTCATGGCCGCGGTTGTGCCGAAGAAGTGCTTATATCGAAACGAGACTTGTTTCTCCTTTGCCAGTGAGTACTAGATTTATGTCCGACGATTAGGTTCGAGGTGGCATACGTCCATTGAAGATCTGGAACATCTGTAAATTTACTTAGTGTTCAATGAGATATGATTTCGACTACGATTCTTCCAGGGCTATGGTGTTCTTTCTTTAGGCTGCCTTTAGTGGTAGACAACTTCGGTCCATTCTAATTGGCCAATTAGGTCTCGAGATAGCACGCTGTCAATCGTGGACTAGCATCATCCTCTAGAATCACACTGATCATACATTTTTCACCTCCTATTTGCTAGGCTTTCTGTTCGTCTTAGAAGACTTGAAATCCCTTGTCTCGGCGTATAGGGTTTGGAATATTTGACATGCATTCGAACCGATTGCCCACTCCGGTAAATCCCGCAATATATATACCAACTTCTAACCCCTTGAAGTTAACGCAACGTTTTACGCATGGGCATACATCAATTTCGCACCGGAAAACAAAACAGACAGTCTCGACCATGACAGACATGCAAATTTGGTCTAATTGATCAATTAAGTGAGGTACGCGCCGGATCTGACACCGTTTGACCCTACAGGGCGCTCAACGTGAAACAAGCAAAAGCCGAGACATACTGACACAAATCACTTGTTCGAATCACAATTGGAAAACGAGTGATTGAAAGAGAAAATCACATAGAGACATCCATTCAAAACCAACAATCCCACAGCGTGCCCATTCCTCCAAGACAGTAGAAAAACATCACCCAAAGAACACTAAAGGTATACCCATTCCAACCCTAGCACCGACAACCGAACATTCCAACCTAAAGACGAAGAACCGTACAAGCGTTTAACAGAAGAATGGTAAGATAATGCCATCGAGGCTTTGATGATCTATAGAGACAAAATAGAACCAGCAACACAGCAAACCGATCCAGTAATGCACGATGCAATAAATCTTCTAGCAAATATAGCCAGACTAGAAATTCACTAGGCATAAAACACAAGCCCAAACTCGCACCGTCGAGCGGGACAAAAAGAAAAGGGTCATAAAAATCGTACTTTTTCAAATCCGGCGCACGCAACGAACCCGTAAGAATAACACGTACACGCATGAAGACCCCAACTCAATGGGGGTATTGGTATTTGGAATTTGAATTTGATAAAACTCTCGAGCTTAGCTTACGCGACAGCATGAGAGAAGAGGAAAGAAACAGACTCGCCGTTGTGAGTACGACGACAAGCCTCGGCAAGGGTAGGGCTGACATCGATAGTCTCGATACGGTCGCAGGCCTCCTTCTTCTCAGCATGGGGAACGGTGTTGGTAACGACGAGACGGTTGAGACGGCTGGAGTTCAGGTTCTCGATGGCCTTGCCAGAGAGGATGCCGTGGACGACGATGGCGTTGACTTCCTTGGCACCGTGCTGCATGACGGTGTCGGCGGCTTTAACGAGCGTGCCGCAGGTATCAGCCATGTCGTCGACGATGATGGCGATCTTGTCCTTCACGTTGCCGACTAGGACCATGCGAGAGACCTCGTTGGGGCGGGCACGTTCCTTGTGGATGAGGGCGAATTGGAGATCGAGGCGATCGGCAATGGCGGTGGCACTGGGGGTTCATGAGATTGGGATAGAGCTTAGAGTAGGATTTAGGCTTACCGCTTGGCACCACCGGCGTCGGGGGAGACGATGATACAGTTGGTAACGTCCAGGTTCTCACGGATCCACTTCAAGATGCTGGGCTCGGCGTAGAGGTTGTCGACGGGGACATTGAAGAAGCCTTGGATCTGGGAGGCGTGGAGATCCATGGTGATAACGTGGTTGCAGCCAGCAGTCTGGAGCATGTTGGCCATGAGCTTGGCAGTGATGGGAGCACGGCTCTTGTCCTTCTTGTCCTGGCGAGCGTAGGGGAAGTTGGGGATAACGGCAGTGATGCGGCGAGCGGAAGCAGTCTTGCAAGCATTGATCATGATCAAAAGCTCCATGAGACCGTCATTGATATCGTTAGGTCGCGTTGACTGAATAATGAAGACTGCGGGGTGAGGTAATCAGTAATGGGCTCGGCTCAGGTCTGATAGAAAGTTCGCATACCATCTTCATCACGCACACTCTCTCCGATTGTTATACTGGTCTCCTGGTTGGAATACTGGAGGACCATGATCTTGGTCAACTCGATCCCGAGGCTGGTTCTGCATTAGCCAAAGAACGGAAGCGGCCACCGGAGATCGATGATCGAAGGACATACCGATCAGCCACGAGCTGAGCCAGTTCCGGGTGACTGTTACCAGTCAACAGCTTGATAGAGTTGGACGACATATTGGATGTGAAGGGAGGTCTCCCAGAGCAAACTGCAAGTCGAAACCCGAAGCTTTTTTAGAAAAATCGGATCCCGCAACTGCCACTTTGGCCCCGCATCTCTTTTTTTGCATCCCGTGACTCACCGCCTACCTTCCGAATTCAGCCGAACTGCGTAACATTCTCAACTTTTCTTCTATAGATCACTCAAGTAAGAGCAACCAGTGTGTGGTCTACGCAGGAGATACTTAAACTCAAAGAAAATATGGATATTCCCATAATAAAAGCAATCTAAGTACAAGAAAAGCACGCTTCCAGTTGACCTGCACTTCAACCAGAACGGCTCTCTCCATGACTTTTCCTCCTCACTTCCCTATTCCGGAGAACGCCATTGGATGCATGGGCATTGAAACAATTGGGCATATTGAGACTGTCTATGCGAAACCGAAGTAATCGCTACCGGCCGTCATCGCAGTATACAGGCGCTGACGGAGATCTTCATAGCTTTCATATTCAGGAAGATCAAGCTCTGTAGACAGTAGTCAGTATTTGCATGAATATCAGGGGACCGAGGTAAAACTTACGGTTGAAGCATGTATGCGAGCTAGGAAGGCGATCCTTGTTGCCGGGGTCGCGGTGGATGTTGAACTTGCTCACGCCGTTCATGCCCTCAAGCTCCTTGAAGCCGTTGAGAGGGACCTTGCTGGTTCCGGTAACGAACTGTAGCAACTTGGCCCGTTCTTCCTTGTCGAACGAGCGAACGGCACGCCAGAACCACTGGATTTGAGATGAAGAGGCAGAGTAGTTGTGGTATTCGGTTTGGTTCTTCCATTCCTCCACGTCGATCTCAGGCAGACCGGAAATCAGAAGCTCGAGCTCCTGCTCATTGAAGATCGAAATGAGATCCGGTGGAATGATCTCATGGAAGCCCTTCAGGAAGTTGTCAAGCTGTTCACGGACAGACTCCACGAGGCGGTACTCAATAACTCGCTGGACGTACTCCTCCTTGTTCTCCTGGGTGACTGGGATGTTCCTACCATCAGCAATGAGGTCGATCACCTGAGTCTCACCAAAGGCATCGGTCTCGATGGCGAAGGTTTCAGTAATGATGTCCGTGATATCGTTCTCCAGCATCCAAAGGAGAGACTTGTAGTACTCAAGGTCGAGCGTTTCCATGTCCTTGATCGACACGGAGCGTCCAAGAATATTTTTGTAGACAGCGCGAGAGAAGTGGCAGTCTAGAACCCGCCCCTCGTACAAAGCCTTGCCGATGATCCTTCCAATGAACTTGAAGAACATCAAATGCTCAGAGTTGACACCACTGAGACGGTTCGGGTGGAACGTTGTTCGGTCGGCAGCGACAGGAATGAAGAGAGCGTAGTTAGGGTTGAACATGCCACGGGCGAGAACCTGGAACCATTCACGAGTAACACCACCGGCATCGACACCTTCTTCACCGTGGAAGCGAACATTCAATTTGCCATACTTCAGCTCGTCGGCGCTCTTGAAGTAGAGAGACTTGAAGGAGTCAAGGAAAACCTGGTCTCTGCGGACGGAGAGCTGGAGAGGTGCGTTGGGGTGACGAGGCTCGGCGCCGCGAGAGTGGACACGGCGAGTGAAGTAGTTGCGCTTGTTATCAAACTCTAGGACCTTGGGGTTCTTGACCAGCAAAGAGAAAGTGCCACTCATCAAGCGAGGGTTCGATCGGACAAGCTCGTTCAGGATCTTGCGGTGTTCCTCAGTGAATTTGAAGAAGAGGTTTTCCATGCTGAGACCAGCATCGGCCGCAGAACTATTCACAGACAACTCGCGGCTGCCTCGTGAGATAGGCTGATCCTTAAGAGTGGTGTTCTTGCAGACAACCATCAAAGCCTCAACCAGCGGCAGGAGAATAGTAGCTACGTTAAGCATGTTCTCCTTCTGGCGAATAACAGCCAAGCAGTCGCTCAACTTGGTCCACAAGGGGCTGAAAGTGGCGCTCTCATACAGCCTCTTGAGCACATCCTCCTTGGGTGCGGACTCAGGCTCGGTGCCCTTAGTCTTGTCAACGCGAGTGGGATCGAAGAGGTAGTCAAGTGCCGTTAAGATACGGAGCAGCTTAGCTTGATCCGAGCTGGCGGGAGAGAACTTGGCCAGAGCCAAGCCTTGCATGTCATTGCCGGTCTTGGCCTGGTGAATATGAGGGAGAAGTTCCTCCAGGTCACCCAAGATGGTATCGCTCAGGGCCTGTGCTTGAGTGACAAGCTCATTACCGATTACATCGCGAGCTCCCGGGATGGCAGACAGGTTGTTGATGGTAGACAGAGTGTCACGGAAGGTCTTGCCATTGCATTCGCGAGCGGCAAGGATGTGAACGACCATGCAGAAATTGTGATCGGGAACAACAGGGGGCTCGATTGTCCTTCGCTTGCGCTTCTCTTCCTCGCTGGACTTGGCATCGTTACCCTCCGGTTTCTTAGTCTCCGCAGATTCGGTAGGCTCAGTACCATGGTCCTCGGCCGTCTCAACGGTGGGCAGAGGAGCGTCAGTCATAGGGACGTCGCCAACGGGTTGGGTTGATTCTGTAGGTTGTTCAGCGGCCTCCTCAGGCTGGCTACCCTCGGGCTGCTTGCCCTTTTCTTCCTCCTGCTTCTCCTTCTCACGACGTAGAAGAACAGTCAGAGGCTGTGTAATGCTACTGAGCAGACTAGACAGCTGCTCCATGCAGGTAGGGCTTTCCATAATCAACTTCCGGTCCAGAAGAGTAAGGAGAGCGTTCAAAGCGAACTTGTTAGCGCGGTTCTCCTTGCCCTTGCCCTTGCGCAAAGCTTTGAGCTTGAGGGATGATGATGAATCATGTTCCGTCAGGAAGAACCAAGCAATGTGAGGGTTGAACTGGGAAAGGAAGGACAGCAGGCTCAGGCACTGCTGCACCACCATGATGGGCGTCACTTCGGTGCTGAGGCTCCAAGACGCCTGGAGAGAGGTATTGCGCTTAGCAGACTGCGGAGTCTTCGGAGCGCCAGGGGCCTTGGCACGAAGCGATAGATGGGAAAAGCTGCGCTCAATAGCAGAGGAATCAACGCTACCATCCTGCAAGACAGATAGAAGCAGGCTGATAACTTCACTCCGGTTCTGACGATTCTCACAAACGTTGTGCAGAATGTCATTGAGCTGGTGCCGCGTGTTGCCCTGGAGAGGCATAAACATTAGACGAAGTAGTGTTGCGACACCGGCCTTATCGAGCATCTGAACGATTTGGCGCCTCTGGGGTTTCTTAGGCTCCTGGTCATCCGCATTGTCGTTTCTTTGGCGATGCTCTACAGCACTCATGTCTCCGAATTGGGCCATACGGCGGCCACCAAGGGCTCGGGCCTCCGAAATGTACTCTGGGCCTAGGCTTGCGAGGACATCTTCAGGTTGATCGGCAAGGACTGCCTGGCGCAGCGAGGGATCGAGGGTAGCAAGGAAGCTGGCAGCATCCATTTCCTCTGCGCGGGGTGGGGCGCTGGTGGTTGCAGTCTGTCGGCGTGCAGTCTCACGCTCCCGGCGGCGTCTATCAGCAGCCTCCTGCTGGAGTAGCTCTTCACGGATCTCGGCAGGAAGGGCCTCGAGGAACTCTTGGTTGATCTCGGTAGGTTCTTCACCAGCGGCAGCGGCCTGCGATCGCTGTTCCGCAAGCTGTTGCATAATCACCTCTTCCCGGAGTTCCTCCGGGAGAGCCTCCAGGTACTCAGGGTCGATCTCCAGCCCAGTAATATCCAGCTGGCGGCCCCGGATGGTAGTGTGAACACGCTGGGCGGGTTCAGCAGGCTCGGGCTCAGCTGCTTCTTCTGGCGCAGTTTCTGTGTCTTGGACATCTTCCATGGGCTCATCAATCCCGGCAGCTTGGCGTTCGGCCTCTTCTTGCTCTCTCTGAGCCTGTTGGCGGGCATTCTCTTCTTCTTCCTTGCGCTTGCGCTCGCGCTCTTCTTCTTCGCGGGCAATACGGTCTTGGCGTTCCTTTTCGGCCGCATCTTCTTGAAGACGCTTGCGCTCTTCTTGAGCCTGCTTCTGGCGCAGCTTCTCTTCCTCCATGGCAGGAGGGACAAGAACCTTCAGCAGAGAATTGACAATACATTGTGTCTTCTCGACATAGGTGCTGCTGAAAAGAAGGCGAGCCTCCTCTTGCCAGCGGTTGCGGGTTGTAGATAGAGAAAACTTGACCGCGTTGTGGGGGTCATCACGGCCGCGAGTGGGACTAGACTGAGCTCGACCAAGGCCAAACGCGTTTGTGAGGCGGTTGGCAGGCAGGACTGCGTGGCGGTCAACGTGGACATGGATGCCATCGGGACGAGTGACAACTCCAAAGCCGGGCTGAGCATTGCCACTGATGGCATGCATGATAGCATTCATAAAGCTGACGGGGCTTTCCATTGGGAGCATTCGGTTACCACCAGTGGGAGGCTCCAAAGCATGAGTCCAGTCAGTAAAGGCTTCAGCGCCCGGTCCACGAGGAGCTGCAGAGTCAGCACCGCGATCATTCCGGACAAGGAGAGGGTTAGTGCCATCGTCGTTTCCGCGAGGCCCGGGAAGCTGAGTTCTGTGCACACGATGGTAGGGTTGAATGGGAACAAGTCCACCACGGCCTGGCATGATTTCAGTAACTGTAGCCCAAGCCGGAGGCGCGCCACCACGGAAGCGGTGGTGGTGGTGTCGAGGAGCGGGAAGTTCGTCGCCTTCCCATCCCCAAGGCTCGAGAAGATCATCCTCTGTGAAGAAAGAGATATTGTTAGCAACACGTTCAACAAACATTTCATGATCATTAATCGAACCTTCCATGTCACCATCGGAGCCCTGGTCCATGTCGTAATCGTCGTAATCGTCGACTTCCTCTTCTAGTTCATCTATCTCATCGTCGTCCTCTGGGTAATGAGCAGTTAGAATCCCTTGAATGAACAACAAAACAGTGGCAGGCATGGGTATGGGTGTGGGGCTCAAGGACGGACCTCCTTCCTCGTTCAATTCGTCAAGGATTTCATCATGAATATCGCCTCCGAGGGGATCGGCGCCGAAATCTTCAGCACCGCCAGCAGCTTGGTTAAGAGCACGGAACAAGTCGTCAATACGGGCATGACCATCGGGTTGCCGCTGGGCTTGATGGCGGATGTCGGCCATTTCGTCTTCGAACTGGTTCATCATCTCGGCTTCTTCCTCGTCTTCAGTCATTTCTTCGCTTTCCCACTCGTCCTGGTCGCCTTCTTCAAGGCTCTCATTGTCACGGTCACCGGTGATCTCATCAGCGTACATGTCATCCTCGTCCATGTCGGAGTGGTCGTCGTCTTCATCATCATCATCCTCATCATCCTCGTCATCGTCAACGATGATTTCAACCGGATCACCAGAGAGACCTTCCATGTGGCCGACGCCTTCATCGTCATCATCACTAACGACTTCGCCGTCATCCTCGGGAACATCGTCCTCGTACTCCATCTCCTCATCGTACTCATCTTCATACATGTCCTCTTCCTCTTCCTCTGACCCCTCGGTGCTATCTTCATCATCGTCATGACGAGGCTCCAGCATACCGAGGGTAGAATGGCGGAAAAGATCAGGAGTCTCTTCACGCTCATCCTCCATGTCCGAAACAGAGGTCGCTGATGAGATTTCATCATCCTCGACGGTCTCGGCCAGAGTAGTGATATCGTTGGTTTCGCTGAGAAGGACAGCAGTTTGTGTAAGTTTGTTGAGAGGTCGCAAGATATATTTAATGACTCGCTTAGAGGATGGGAAGTTCAAGTCGATTTCGGCAACAGAGGCAGTCAAAGCAGGAATGAAATGTTTTTCAAACATGGTCTTAGCAAGCTGCCTTGTTGAAGAGGGGAAGCCAGCATCCTGTGTGTAAGAGTACCCACTGAGCATCTTGTCAAACAGATCGGCGAGGGACATGAGTTTCGAATACTTAGAGTCGAGAGGCTCGTTTGACGCATTGGCCTCCTTGTAGGAACGGAGGGCATGCTCCAGCACAAATCTGCGCACGAAAGCAAGCTCCCACTCGTCCTCTTCATTGCGCTTCTGCTCACCACGGCGCCTGCCGAGGCCACCGAATTCACCAGTCTTAGTGCAAAGGGCGACCAGCACTTGCATAGTCCATGAGGAGGTAATGCTGCGCTTCTTGAATGCCAGGGACTCATCGTGCTCCATGGTGCCGAGGGGAACAAGCACGTTCAAGAGGTAGTTGAGAATACCCGAGCGAGGCTTGGAAGGAGTGGTGGCAAGGGGATCAGCCTTGCGCGAGAAGTTGATGAACTCGACCTTGGTGCGGTTATAAGATGACAGGAGCTCGGTCAAGCATTGAAGGAGGAAGCAGCGATAGATGTAGATGGGGTTATCTTCGGCCTTGAACGGAGGCTTCTCGCCCTTCTTGGCGGGTGTACCGCGAGCGGGCTGGGCATCGGCGCTGCTAGTCACGGAGGGGGTAGGCTCATCAATGGACATCTCGACATCCGTCTGGCCCTCAGACTGATCGCCAGCGGGCTGATCCGAGGATTCTGTAGGAGCCTCTTTATCGTCCACATCCTTGTAGGAGAGGAGTTCAGAAAGAAGATAGTGGATAACGCCATCAGGATTCTCCACAACAGGTGGCTTCAGCTCAGTGCCCTTTTGACTCTTGTCCTTCTCCTTGTCGTCAGAGGCCGAAGTAGAAGCCTCTCCGGAACCGCTGTCCTTGCTATCACTAGCACCATCGGCACCTTGACGAAGACGGGCGGCGACACGATCCTTGTCGGCCTTCAACCCGAGGATCTGAGGTCGCTGGTGGGTGTCGTATCGGAGTAGACGTACCTTCTCATTTGTCACTTCCACGAAGATCTCAGGCGCTCTCAGAACCAGATGATACAACTGACGAACATAGCCAGTAGTATCGACCTGGCGGGAAGACTTGGAGTCGAAGAAAGAAGTAATTTCGCTCCGCATGATCTGTCGGATCGTAGCTTCATCTTCGACGATGTGTCGTAGGATCAACATAAAGGCGCTTTGGAGTTTCTCATTGGTAGCGCTAGCCAATTGCTTGACCATGACAAAGAGACGCTGCAGGTTTCGCTTCTCGCCGAAACGGGCAGCAATGCTGCGCTGGCGAGTCAGGACCACCAGCACACGGCAAACAGAGAGTGCGAGCGTATCATCCTTGCCGATGCGAGGAAGAATCTCAACCAATGCTTCAAAGAGCTGAGTCTTCTCATCAAGGGAGACAAGCGGCTCCTGAAGATGCGCGGGCTCTTCGCCACCCGTGCTTGTATCATCAAGACTGGCAGGGGGAGTCCAGCTGATCTGAGGCGGCTGGCAGTCATCAGAAAGCAACTTCTCCAGAATGAGCAACACATGCCCAATCCAGGGGAAAGACTCATCGGGGGTCTTCTCGGGTGTAGGGAGCTTGATAAAGCCAAGGAAAGTGGAGAAGCAATCCTTGAGCTCTTCGACAGTCGCGCTATACATGTCTCGATCCTGAAGAACTAAAGCAAGGATGTGTGCATAAGCAGCAACCTTCTTGCCGGCGGTCTGGAAGTTCTCCATCTGGAGAGAAACAAGCGACTGAACAAGGGTTTCACCAATGTCGCGTCTGAAGCTCTCAGGCTCAGGGTGCTTCTTGATAGCAGATGATATCAGATCAGCCAACTCGAAAGAGACATCATGGTGCTCGTTAAGGACGTCCAGGCAACGCTCGATGAGGTTAGACCGGACCTTCTCTCTTTCATTGTCCAGGTCTTCAACAGTAATCATCGGACGGCGTGCCACCTGCGCGGTAGGCTCTGCCTGAGGCTGATCGACAGGCTCAGAAGGTTCCTGGGCACCATAGCTCGGAGGGCGATCTGCACTTGACGGCTCGCCAGAGCCAGGAACAACCATGCCTTCATCATCATTCAAAATGTTTCCAATTGCTCTAGCCAAGTTGTCGCGCATGGGATCCATGCTGCCTTCAGGACTAGGCTCTTGGTTCGTAAGATCCTCACCAGGTCGAGTCGAAGCGAGAAGCATGGCAAGGCCGGAGCGTTCCAGGTAGCCACTGTTGAATGGAGTGACATCTCCAGCGACAGGGTCATCGAGGCTCTCTCCACCTGAGGCGTTCTCCGAAGATCCAGTTTGGATATCGTTGGGGCGAGGCGGGAGTCTTGGAGGTGCACGAATGTAGTTTTGGGCTTTGCAATATTCTTCTGCAGCATTCAGGCTGTTGTTGCAGCGGTACAAAGCCTCCTTGTTAAGATCCGCATCTTCGCACCCCTTCTCAACCAGACCCGCAGCGTGCGTCTTGTTCACCACAAATGCACCACGAGGTGGTTCCTTTAGAGCGGGAGGAGTATCCGATTTGCGAAGAGCTCCAGTCTCATACTCTCCATCCAGGGAGGATCGGAGGATATCAACCAGGCACTTAACAATAGGGCTCGAAGACTGGGTAGCAAAGTCGGAGTTCCACATGTCCTGAGCCATGGGAAGAATTTCCATGCGGAGATCCACGATGAATTGGCCGGGCTGGAAGTAATCGTGACGCTCACGGTCCCGGTCGTGGTGGCTAGTTAAGGCCTGTGTTTGGCTCGACTCCACGATGTTCTTGCCTGAAGCAAGCTCAGCGAACAGAGCGAGGATGATCTTGATACCGCCGTAGGCGGAAGTTAAGCGAGCAGCAACATCCTTTTCGGACTCAGGAACAGATTCAGCAGGTGTGAGAGCCTGGACCTCGCGCATGAACACGTCGCAAATGTCCTTCAGAACTTTCAATCCATGAGCCTTCTTGAATGACCAGAAGACCAAGGTCAAATAGTTCGACTGGGGACGGTCATTGGAGATCTCGTAGAGCAGATGCGAGAATGATGACAGAATCACAATCAAGTAGGCGAAACGGTGCTTAGAACTATCGCACGAGTTGGGAGCGCTGAATTGAAGCTCGCGAAGAACAGTCTCCGCGATGGCATCGGCCACCATGCTGGCATTCTGGCGCATCTTTAAGTGAGGGTCCGATCTTCTCTTGCTGACGAGACCCAGGCCCAAGTTGTGGAGGAAACCAGTGATGGACGAAGGCAAGGAGCTCAGAAGATAGCGAAGAGTCTGGACGTTCTTGAAAGCGGCACTTCGTTCTGTCTTCGCCTTGTCTTCTTCGCTTTCCGGCTCTTCGGGTGCTGGGGTTTTATCACCCTCGGGAGCAGCCGAACCAGCCTGGGAACCAGTAGCAGGCTCTGTCAACAGTCCCTGGGCAGCTCCAGTAACAGCATTGGGACGGTCAGAGCGAGGCTTGCTAGCGGGTGCTTTTGTAGCTTGCACCCACTTCTCAGGAATGCTCTTTTCCATGATAATTTCCTCCCACACGCATGCAGCATGGAGATTGCCGAGAGAAGACACCAGATCTGCATACAGGTCTGCAAGGTTCACCTGGGCAAAAGGAGATGTTGCTTGCACAGGCCGTGTCTGATACAGCGGCATTGCATAGACCTCGCGAAGCAAGTCTGTCATGACAAGTACGGCATTCATGTGTTTCACGAAGAAGGTTCCATTAGAGGCAGCCAGCGTCGGCTCTGGTGCGGTTTCTTTCGAGTTGGCGGGTCTGGTCAGTGCCGTAAAGAATCCCGACTCTTTGGGTGTAGTCCAAAAGGCCGAGAGATTGTTCACAGCTGACTGGGCACGATTTATCAACGATGGAATGACCAACTGTGGCTTGGTTTCAGCCATCATGTGCACAAGGACAGTGAGCTCTTGGTTGGCATCGGTGTTGTGGAAGTCAAATGACAGACTCTGGAGGGTTGCGAAATCGAGAACGAACTCCGCACCGCCAGCCTGGATGAAGGAAGTGCAGTTTGGCTGGTTCTCGAAGAAGGCACCCAGGAAGCGGATCGCAGGGAAAAGGTAGTCCGTCACGTTCAAACCGTGCTCGTCCTTGTCCTTGGGCTCAAAGCTGGCGTCCTGCGAGGGGAGCACCTGGCTCAGATCACCAAGAACAATCTTTCCACCGTTGGGGAGGGTGTGGTTCTTGAACTGGGGCACACCGATGGATGCAGGGTCTTGCATAGATGCATCAATGGGGGCACCGATATCCCGGAACAGGGAAGCCATGTCACCCGAGAGGCCGATATTTCCCTGGGCATCTTCGGTCCACAGCTTGGATCCCATTCCAGATTCCCAAGCCTTGACTTTGCCAAGAAGGCTCACACGGGCAGCCATGACAATGACTGCAGACATGATAGAGGTCTTCAGAGCAGGATGGTGCCGAACGAGCTCATCGAAGGTGGTACCTAGGTTCCGAACCAGGTTTGGGTCATCCTTCAGGCATTTGATGTGCTCGGGGTTTTCGAAGATCTCAAAGAAGCTCTCTAGTGCATCCGAAGACTGGAAAAGATCCAGTCCCGAAGAGTTCAGGCAAATTGCTCCAAAGGCAGAAGGAACACAGCCAAGAGCATCTGTGGCAGCAATAATGCCCGGGGCCAGACGAGTTCCCCGTGGTCGGACAAGAGTGTATTCGCGACCTTCCTCCTTTGCCTCAGGGACACCGGCGGCGGCGGCATCAGATGTTTCAGCGACGGCGGCATCAGGGTCAGCATCCTCGGGCTCCACAGCCGGGGGCTTCTCCTGTACCTGGAGCTCACGACCCATCACTGCGGTGAGGAGACTACGGCTGAGACCAGCTTCAGCGATGACAGCGTAACTTGTAGGCTCATTGTGAATGAAGCTGCTGAGAATGTTGACAGCGTTGCTCCAAACGTGCGAGCCAAAGACTCGTGCGTTTTCGAACACCAGGCGCAGGGAGGTGAGTAGCTGAGGAGAGTCAATCAGGTTTCTCAGAACACGGTCAAATCCTCCACCGTTGTGCTGCATAATGTGGTTGACGAAGCGGAACATCCATCGCATTGTCTGCTGCTGGAAGTAGGGAATCTGATAATCGATGGAGGGGTTCTTGTATTTGGCAGGGAAGCCAGTTCCACGAGAGACGTGCTCGAACGCAGTCTTAGTCTCATTATCAATCAGATCAGAAATGGCATCGAAACCCTTGGCCGAGGTCAATGTAGCCAAAGCATCGCGAACTGCGTGAACGAAAGTGTCGAGGAACTCCATGACCCGGGAGTAGACTCGGCGGGACTTTTCAGTGCGCAGCTTAAGTATGTCGACAAGCATGGGGATTAGACCCGCTGCAACAAGCGTCTCTGGGGTACGAGTGCTGGAGGAAGGCAGGGTCCGCAAGAGTGAAAGTAGGGCGTCCCGCCATTCATCTTGATGGAGATCATTCACATCGTCGTCGGTGCCCAATTCGTTGACAACCTTGCGGGTCAGGAACATCAACACACCGTGATTGACATTGACGCTGAGAGCCGAGCAGACATCATTGGAACGAGACTTGTGTTTTGCCAAACCATCAAGCGCCTGAATCGCTAATGTCTGCAGGTGCCGTGAGACATCGAGGTCGCCACTAGCGCCTAGATGGACAAGCTCAGCCAGCTGGTAAACGAGCTGGAGACGCTTGGGTACTTCCATGTCAGAGAGAAGAACCTTCTGCTGGAAAGCAGACTCAGATTGAACGTAAGCCAGGTTTGTCGCGGCCAGGATTCGAATTGCGAGGATCTGTTCACGAGTAACACGCGACCCGGCCAACGCCTGGGCAACGCGGACCTTGTGGAGGAACTCGTATTTCGATTCAAGGGGCAGATGAGGCAGGTTCGTTGCCAGAAGGTCCTCAGTCTTGCTGGAAGACACCTTTGAATACGGGAGATCCAAAATCTTGCCGCTGCCGCTGCGTGATGCCTCGTCAGGCTTACCACCCGTGTTGGGCGCCACAGTCGGGACTTCATCCACGTTGGAGCCACGACTCAGTCGAGGGATGGGGTGAGTTGCACTTCGTCGGAGAGGAGTGGGTGTAGTCGGGGTGTGGGAGCCTTGCTCGCTCTGGCCAAATTCAGACGTTGTTTGCGTCTGTTCAGAGGACCCAGAGGGATAGTAAAGAACACGGACGCTGCCCCATTCTTCCCAACCATCTTCGTCGCGCACGAGAGAGCCCAATTCATTTGCATTAAGCTTGGTCTGAACTGCCTTCTCTTTACCTTTTTCAGAAATTGCGGGAGAGGCAGCGAACGAAGTTTTGCTGGCAATGAATGGGCGAGGGAATGGCGCTGCAATTTTTTGCAGCTTTTCCAGGTCGATGTTGTAATGAGTAGCCAATAGAGACTGCGATTGAGTACCCCGCTGGCGAGAGTGATATCGTTGAGCCAAGCAGAGAGATAGGCGGAGAGTTGATTGCAGCAATGATAGAGAGGTAGTGTTCAAGAGATCGCCTAGTCGCTCACTGCTGCTGTAGAGACTGCGGTTGCCACACTTCTCGAGCAGCAAACGGGAGAAATCCAGGATCGCTTCCACAAGTTCCCGGTCTCCCTCAGGTCCATACCCCAAGACATTGAGTTTCGTATCGACGCCTTCGGCGGGTGTCTTGCTCGAATCCGCGGTGTATGAAGCCTCTAACACGCCTCGGCCAAAATTTTGTGACTGGGGGCCAATGTTCAGGAAGTATTTCTCGATGACTGAGGCCAGGATCTCATCGAAGCGGTCTAGAACGTTAATCCAGTGGTAGAGGTCGCCTCGAGGGAAGGGCCATAGCTTCGGGAAGGTAGAAAAATGTGAAGGAAGCTCTGGTACAGGAAGGCTTGTCGCATTCGCTATAAAGTCTGCCAGGAAAGGTGACTGTAGTGAAAAAGAAAATTTTTAGCCACGATTGTAGAAGAGAAACGGGTATCGGGGGAAGAAACGTACGATTGTAGCCTCATGCTTCTGACTGGCCACTTTCTTAATTCTCCCCATGTTGACGATCAGGCAGACAGCCAACCATGAGGAAATTTATTAGTTTCAGGAGAGCAGACTCCTAGATGGAGTGGGGAGGTCGAAACGACCGGGTCGCGAAGTAGGCGCGAAGATGCCTTATGACGTTTTTGGTCCTCCACTCCTGCCTCACGAAAACTGGGTCGGCTCAACGAGAGAAAAATCGCACGTTGGGGTATCAGCGAGAAATCCTCAACGGGAAACCCGAAATATATCAGTGACGAGAGAGAGAGAAGCTTCGGTATTGCAGATAGCTCCAAGTACCGAAGAGGGAAGATGGGTAAGATCGCCCGGTAGTGATGAAAGAGTCACACGGGCAGGGCAGACGGTGCAGGTCGTTGAGCCCTGGGTAATGACGGTACCGGGGGAAGTTGGATGGATGAAGGAGGGGGTGGGTGGAAGAAAGTGGTAGAAAGGGAAAAGAGGTCAGGAAAGAATCGTGGACTGCCCAAGTGAGCTGTCGCGGGCAATATGGCGGAGCAGGGCCTGATTGCCGGGCGGTCAGGGCACGTTTCGATGTACATCCGGACATCCACTCCATCTTTGCCATTCTGTCATTCTTTCGAATTGTACTAGTTAATCCTAAAGACTATTCAAATGGATACTTGAAATAAGTTTAAACACTTCGTTTCCTTATTTCCTCCAGACTTTTTTATAGGCATCTTCGAACAACTTTTTCGTCATCACTCGATTTCTTTTCAACGGCTTTTACCTTGTCTTGGCTCCGGGGTACCGAATTAAATTTCACCTTATTTACCATTGAGACTGTGGAATCCAGTAACAAATGAAGTAAGAAAGACATTGAGGACCTTCTGCATCACAGTAACAACAAAAAACAAATGCTATAGAGAATACAGGACAATGAAATATACAGTAAGAAATACATAGAAAGTCGTAGAGCCGATTTTCCTCCACCTATCTCATAATGTAGCCCCATCACTTGAGGTCCGCTTCGGGAGTCGCCTTGGGGATATCTCCGTCCCACTGTATCTTCATTGTGGCAGGATACGGCGAAAAGCTGCTATGCTCGGCATTCATATACATGGTGATGCCACCAATGACCTTGAGCTTCTTAAGTTGACCTTGGGGACCAGGGGCGCGGCGGAGGTTCTCTAATTTACCAACTGTTCGGAGCATAGTTGGCAGTGCGGCCTTGAAGATATCAAGGCCGAGGCACTGGTGAGGACCATGGCCAAAGAATATGTACTGGCTTAGGTCACGGTCCAGGCAGACCTGTTCGGGGTCGGGGAAGGCCACGGGGTCGTGGCTGGCGGCAACCTGAATATTGGTCAGAGAAGGTCGTATTAGAAAGCAAAGTATACACTTACCAGATTGCAGAGGATCTGCTGGCCGGTCTTCAATGTCAACTTCTCTCCGTTGTCATCGATGACTGTAGGCTTTGCGACCTCTCGAGGCACTGCAACGGACGAGCGAATCCTAGCACCCTCCATGAAGCTGTGGATGAAAGGTTAATAGGAATCGATTTATCAGCGATTAGGGGGAAATAAAAAACTCACTATCGCAAAAGCAGCTCGTCAGACTCTGGCGAAGTTTCTTTCGAAAGACGCTGGATCTCCGCCAGATGAGCCGCGTTCTCCTTTTCAAGATAAAAGTCAAGACACTGAACAAAAAGCTGCGCTTGATTGGCGACCATCGAGCTTGCTGACGGAAGAATATGTGTCCACACAATCTCCTTGGGAGGTAGTCCACTATCCAGTAGGCGCTTGATCATGTGCTCACCGTAGTCACTCAGGGCATCATGACGGTGTAGAAGACTGACTATGTTGGCGACGATGCCAGCCTTCTCAACAATCTCGACATTGGCCATCACCAGCTCGCCGAGCTGCTGGGAGACTTGGCGGGATGCTTGCTCAAGCTGGAAAGACTTGGAGACATCAACATCATAGAATATGCAGGTGAAGATCAAAGACATGATCTGGTAGAGCTCAACCTCGGTGAAAATGCCTCTGGGGTTAGACTCTGTCTTGAGCGGAAGTGAGAAGATGCTGGCACAGAAATGAACATGAGCCAGGTTTGACACATCCCGAGCGATGTCAATCTGGTTGACACCTGCAATCTTGTATGATTTTGATTTCAAAAGTTGCAAGGTGATATCTTCATAGAATGCCTGTACGTCCTCTCTCCACTTATCCCGGTAAAGAGCCTTGCCCATCATCTTTCGAGATGCTGCATTTGCCGGGAGATCACCAGACAGCATGAAGTCTCGTCCATAGGGATGACCATCACGCTGCACAAGGAATTCGATCTTCTTTCCCCATGTCACCTTGAAAGCATCCTGGTCCGCCAGAATAGCCTTGTTGGCAGCATGGGAGCTGATTAGCTGGGGGGAGGGATTGTAAGCGGCTTTATCAAAGCTGTACGTGCCAGCCATTCCAAGATTGGCAAAGATCTTACGGTTCTCCTCGGGGATGGTCATGGGGAAGTGCGCGTAGATTGAGTCTCCACGGAAGTGGTTGGGAAACGCGCGTAGGACCAGCTTGTAAAACACATGGCCCTGATCAATAGAGTCGTCGTAGTCGACCTCATTATATGCCCAGTTTGTAAGGTTCTTGGGAGTATAATCCACAGTGTAGAAGCGATCTCCGCGGACAAGAGCAACCGCATCCGAAAGGACTGCTCTCGAGACGGTAAAGTTGGTGCAGAGGCCACTTCCCGGGGCCATTGCCTTCTTCGCCTCCTCCACAATGATACCTGGGTAGAGTTCCACTTGATCGGGGTGGTCATAAAAGTGTTTGAGCTGATCAACAATGTACGGATCCGAGTTGATTTCCTCGAAAGTCTTGTATGGATCCAAGCTGAAGAACGATCGGAACTCGTTCAAGGTAGCCAGGTTCCAGTTACGCGCCTGCTTGATACCAAGAACCTCAACGCTGCGTAAGATCTCCGGCACATTGGAAGCCCCATATGCACCAGCAACGTCTTCTACGCTGTCTTCAAAGATCTTGACAAGGTCATCATCAGGGAAGGTGCCATCTGCATTGCGGTTCAAGTTTGCAAATGGACGCTCGAGAGGGTCCTCGGAGAGTTTTGCCTCCCACCGTCCCAAGCCACAGCCAAACTGCTGCATGTCGATCGTGTGCGGATCTTGGCCCGCAAACACCTCTTTATAGAGATCTTCAGACCACTTCTGATCACGCTGCGAAATGCAGGAGTGCCATCGGTAGACAAGGTTGAACTCCGCCGAGGCCTGGTTACCAGTGGCCTCGGTGGCCGATTTGATCTCAGCTCGAGGATCCAGACTCCATTTACTATCGGTCCGGTTCAAGTTGAGGATGGTCCGGACGTAATCCTTCAAAACAATGTTGATGTAGAGACCACAGGTAACCAGACGGGCGGTCTGGAACAGGTCATTATCCCAAGTGGCATAGGCTGTGGTGTTAGACTCATCTGGTTTGGTGAATCTGCCGCCTTCGTTGATCTCCGCCAACTGTGTGACGACGAAATTGTGGAAGCGATTGAACATGATCAGCATGACACCAACACCGGGAGGGAAGCCAAGAATACGCTTTGCAGAGAAGCAGTCGGGCTTAAGCTTTCCATCTTTGAACGTCCGGATTGCATTCTGCTCATCCTGGTTGTTCCCGTAGAGAGGCTGCAGATCCAAGTATGAGGATGTCAAAGATGAGCTTGAATCACGAGGATTGGTTTGGAAGAGGTCTGGCCTACGTTAGCGCGATTTTCTGGAGCTTTGAAAATTTGGTGCTAATGACATACCATGAATAATAATAGATGCCAGGTAGAAAAGAATGCTAGAGATTTTGGTCGGGTGCTCCTTGAATTCTTTTCGCGCGAGTAGACTATCGAAAAGCTGCTCCGGATCCGGGAGGGAAGCAGACTGCATCTTCTTTGGCTGGACTGATCGGGCATATGGAGTGCCAGCAGCGCCAATTTGAGGCCACAGAAGATTCTTGGGCAGACGTTAGCAGGGATCTCCTTCTCAGCCAAGCAGCACATACATTTCCTGATCCATCCGCCTTCCGATACAAGGAATCACGCCCAAGAGAGCTGTAATGTCAAATCAGTATAATTCCGGAGTATCATCTCGTGTTCGAAGATATCCAACTTACGTAATGGGAGGGTGCTGCAAATCAGTCCATAGAGTTTTGAGAAAAGCGCTCGTGAGTTCTTTTCCGATGTGAGAAGTTGAAGGCAAGTCTGCCGCAACCTATTAAAGTGTGAGAAATTGCAAGTGTTCGCTACCAGTCTAGACATACCTGGATCACTTGTTCCATGATATATTCCCTATCATTGACAGCATCGCCAGTGATTGCGCTTTTGGCCATCACCGCTAAGCCCTCGAGATCCTTGATAGGGAGATGAGGGATGTCTTTGATAATGCCAGTAGTCTTGTCTTCCTTGATGTAGGTTCCATCGCCAGTTTCAGTAGGCAAGGGCCTCAAAGACGCCTCAACCATCTGCTCAGCCTGGGCCAGGGGGCTTTTGCTGCCATTGACGGGTTTCTTGCGACGGTCAAACATGTCGGGGGTGGAGAGGCGTTTATATAATGTAGAGATTCCCATTATGACGGTTGTCTAAACGTGGACCAGGATGTCAGTTATGGAGAAGCAAGCGCGAGCTAGGCGCAATACTTGAGCAAAGATCCAAGAAGAGATGGAGGCACCTGCAGACCCAGACCAATTCAGTTCAAATATTTACGTTTCCCAAGGGTACGAAGGGAGACGGAAGACTGGAGTGGCAGGAATACCCAAACTTATGCGAAAGGGCAGGGACCAAAAGCGATAGACAAAATAACGTTTGAGAGGGTCAAGCAAAACCAATCATCAGATCACGGAGGGTAGGAAGATATAAAGCAAGCCCGGCCAGCTTACGGCTGAACTAGCCCCTCAACCCAGGCACACGAGTAGCGTGTGCATACTTCACTCTCCAAGACTAGCGCCACAACCCTAAGCCGGGTCAGGGATGCACATATGGGAAAAGACATGCGACGCCCCACTTCCATGCGAACGTTGACGCATCTCTCATTCGTGCGTCTTATACTGGAATGCCATGTGAACCGTCCATTTGCCTTCCCGCCCCGCCCTCTTGGGTTCGCCATCTCCCGAATCCGAGTCAACCTTGACAATGATTTCAGGCAATCAACACGAGGCGTCCCTCGCTAGGCCACCCCCGGCCAGCTGAGTCTCGCCATCAAATTGCCCGGGTGTCATTGGCACACTGACAGCTCGGATTACTCGGTGGGGACTGCATTGGCCAATGCCGGATCCTCCATTTTTCCCTTTTTCTTTGACGCGCATTTCACCATGCACTGCAAATCAAACCAAATCAAATCAAATCAAATCAAATCAAATCAAATCAACCAAACAAGCTCGGGTGTGCTCGCGCCACAATCTGCGATCTGGCCTGAGACAGCCCCCGGGAACCCCGGTTCACAATGCTGGACGAGGAGTTCATTGGCGACGCTCGGGCAGACTAACCACTGCGGAGCAGTTCGTTTGCCCGACCTGAAAAGGTACCGGGGCCTTAGCCAGGCAACGAACATTATCGGATCTTCGTTTCCCTTTCTCGTGCCCGGTTATGGAGCCTCTGTACTCCGCCTCTCGAGTGGGGGCCTTTTTCAGCTCAGCTCGTTTTCGTGCAGCCGAGACTTCCTAGCGCCAGGTTGCAAATCATGCTGATACGGCTGTCTCTCGTGGTGGCTTCAAGTCAGCCCGTTTTGGCTTACACTCTCCGTCCGCCCGTGCATTATACGCCCATTTACGCATAAGTATCCAACGTCATATGCATCCTTATCTAACTCACTGTTTCAGGTATTGTATTGGTGTCTTTTCCTCGGGGCCGTTTACACTGGACCGAGATGTAGATGAGCCCGGACTCTTGCTTCTCTCTGGCCTTCTGGACCTTCCTAGGCCATTCTCCACATGTCTTTGTATACAGCCTTATAGATTCAATGTGATGTGTCTTATTTCAAACCCGCGTACTGCTTACACCCAATGACGAGTACAGGCCCAACCTCAGGTGTCAACATCACGTGGGGTCAACCGAGGTCCTCAACATTTCTCGATACTCCTGGGTAACGTGGATCTGTTCACAGCCTCGTCATTAAACAGCTTGAGTTTGCCATAGTTCACAATGGCGTCCCAGATCACGCTCGCCGTTGAGCCGCGAGGTATGAATCTTTAGCTCCGTGCTTGAACCAGAGCTCTTGGAGAAATTACCAAATCTACAGACAGCTAACAACAAACAAGGTAAACCCATCAGGAAGCTCCCCAAGACCATCACAGTCAACCTCGACACCAATGGCGAGGAGCTGCACAACTCTATCGCCAAGGTTTCCGGTGCCTCCGTCCACCGTCTGCGCATCACCAAGGGAAGCGACCGCAGCGTGGTTCCCAATGACAAGGGCACCACCATCGACGACACCGGTCTTCGGGAGTCAAGCGTGATCCACGTCAAGGACCTGGGTATGTTGAAACATCCACCAGGCATCGTCTGGAAAGGGACCCCACGTCACCGAGCAAAGCTAACGTGAATTTCCAACTAGGCCCCCAGATCCCATGGCGCACCGTCTTCATCATCGAATATCTGGGCCCCCTCTTGATTCCAGCCCTCTTCCTCTATCCCCTTCGTTCCCTGCTATACTTCAACTTTGAGACCATTCCCGCACCCTCCGACACCCAGATCCTAGTCTGTGCCCTCCTGACCCTGCACTTCCTGAAGCGTGAGTATGAGACCATCTTCGTGCACCGCTTCAGCAACGCCACCATGCCCGCCCGCAACATCTTCAAGAACAGCGCACACTACTGGGCACTCTCTGGATTCAACATCGCCTACTGGGTCTTCCGCCCCGATGCCGGCGCGGCCACCAAAAACCCCAACACCGCCCTCGTGTACGCCGGTCTCGCGCTGTTCGTGTTCAGCGAGGTGGCTAACTTGAATGCGCACATGATTCTGCGTGATCTGCGTCGCCCCGGTACCACTGAACGCGGTATTCCCTCTGGATTCGGGTTCAGCTGGGTTACTTGCCCTAACTACTGCTTCGAGATCTTGGCTTGGATCGGTGTTTTCCTTGTCAGCCAGTTGAGCTGGAGTGTCCTTCTTTTCGCCCTTGTTAGTGGTCTGCAGATGTGGAGCTGGGGGTGGAAGAAGGAGAAGCGTTACCGTAAGGAATTTGGTGACAAGTACAAGAAGAAGAAGACTGTCATTCTCCCCTTCCTCTGCTAAAGGCTGGATAACCAGTCTTTTTGGGAGCAAGAATTTTCCTTCGCCTGTGGGCGAAATGACGGGAAATATCAAAACAGGGAATTAATGGAAAGACAAGACATGTCAATTCACTCCCCACTCCTCACGAGTCTCAGACTCAAACTCAATGTTTACGCAGGATGTTTATAGGATATTAGAACCACATTTCACGAACCGTGTAACCGATAGCCGAAGATAGCCGAAGATAGAACCCAAAAATAATGGCCATTTTTCCGTGAACCTATGCACGTCAATTGAAAGAAGAAAAACAAGAGCACCGCGCTATATGAGACCAGTCTAACTCAAAACTCCAAATCAAAAATGGTACAGAAAGAGCCATCGGCACCCAAGAACTTGAGTCTCAGGAGTCCCGCTCGCTTTTATACTTCTTCTGCCATATCTTGTAGTAAGCTTCGAGCTCTGGGCAGTCGCGTGTCGTGGATTGTCCACACGCAGGAAAGCGAATGATCAAGTCGCCATCCTTGTATGCACCATCTGCCGAGGCACCCGTCGAGTCACTGAATGCATTCATATAGCGTTGAGGGACGACGGCAGTCCGGGAGAGGACAGTCGGGTGCCATTGCATGATGTGATCCTTCAAAAAAACAGTCAGCCGGATCCCTAAACCCCTAACACATCCCGAATAAACATACCAGCCCATGAGTCTCCGCCTTAGCGAAGTTGTAACTGCGAAACAGCGGATCAAACCACAAATCCAAGAAATAGCGCGCAAAGTCACCATTCTTAAGAATGAAGCTTCCGGGGTTCAGATCCTCACTGTCCTGCGTCACGATCAGATCGACGTCCTTCTCCTTCAAATGCGAATATGTCCTGATAATGCTATCCGGTGGTACAACGGGCATATCCTTTAACATGACCGACTCGAGCTTGCTGCGCTCTAAAAGGTGTGATTTGAGCGACTGCGCAGGGTTCATGATGAGGGCATGCGCGTTCAGATGGAAGAAGTATTTCGAAGTCGGGTTGCGCGCCATCGCGTGGCGTACAGCTGGAACCATAGCCCAGCTTCGAGGGGAGTCGCCAAAGGCTTCATTGTAGTCTGAGACGCTGGCGAAGAAATTGGTATACCCTAGTGCAGCGCACGTCAGTCCCATTCTCATTCCCCTTGACTAATATACCCAGCAAGACGAGTGATTGAATGAGCTTACCATGGCGTTTCGCATAGTCTTCTCGGTTCGCTACAATTTTGCTGATATAGCTCTCGCTGAACTGCTCGTAATCCAGCAGCGTCACAATAACCACACCAGCCGTAGCAGCCGGCGCCACAGATGTCGATGTCGATGTCGAGCTCGAGGACGAGAAGTGTGAGAGCAGGTAGAGGATGGAAATAACTGCGAAAGCGAAAATCGCGATCGTTTTGAGCTGTTTCCGCCGGTAGTGCGGTAATCTTGAGGAGCGAGCGCCTGGGACACTCTTCCGCGGAGGCAGGGCGAACTGCATGACGAGGGACCCCGGCGCTGAAGTGCCGGACAGTAATGTAGGATAGTCAAGGGCTCGGATGCAGCATCTGAATCAGGCGCAATTGCAAAGTTGGTGAAATGAGGCGCAGGGTGTCAAAGGAGCGAGTTTCATTTCCGAGTTCTGGCCGGTTGACGAATCCGGGGTGCGGGTCGCATGCCAGCGTCGACGCCGTTTTGAGCGACGCAGATAAGGATTCTTGGCGATGAAACACGGAGAATCAATTTTCAATTGGAAAATTGTTTCTATACTTAGAGGGAATTTGACTCCAGTGTAGAGTACTTGAGCGATACCAGGTGTAGCTCGGCCATTGTATGATGAGCTTGACAGAAAGTTACAGCTTCTTATCTACAGAACTCAAGGTCCAAACGAATTGGGTAGGACGGAGAATAGAGCCGACATGTTGTAAGCCAGGATGCTTGCACATGGCAGTCAGTGACATACAAGATACACACATGACCATGAAACATAAGACTGGGGTCTAAGCTGGTTTACTAGAGGCAATTGAAGTTCAAAACATGGATGTGGAGTATAAATACACAGAAGTTCTAATATGCAAGCCCAACAGAATCGCGCGAAACAGTTGCCATCATATTGCTCAACAGATGAGGCGCAGGGATTCGAAAAGAGGTGAACAGCAGTGGCGAAATAGCGTCAAGCAATTCGTCGCGGTAATGATACAATGGAAGTAGCGCCAGTCCGTTTTATCTCGTCAATGAGGGATCGAGAGCATCTTTTTTCCCAGACAAGTAAGAGATATCGCCCGTTTAGAGTTCGAGTTGGGCACGTTGTTGGTTCTGGATGTCGGCCTTGCCCTTCGGACGGGGCTTCGTGATGGATTGGATGTTGAGTCTCTCCTCGACCTTCGCTTGAATCTCGGCCTCCTTGGTCTTAATCCACTCATCAAACGGCAAAGGGTCTGCCAGTCCAAGCTTCTTCCGCTCTGCCTGCAACTTTTCTTGGATGGCCGGGGTCTGCATGACCTTGTATCGAAGCTCCCATCCGAACATGCCGAGATCCTTAATGCGGCCGTTCTTGTCGCTCATGAGGTAGTTGTCGAGGCCACCCTCCTTATAGATCGAACGCATCGCCTCGCGCGTGACTTTGATGCGAAGGTGCTCGCCGAGCGCCTCGCTCCACACTTTCTGTCGGCGGACGTTGGGCTTCCAGCTTCGCCTTGTCTTGCCCTTGTTGCGTCCATCAGAGATCTTGTTACCGAAACGGATCATGGCACCACCGTAGAGACCAGTGTCGGCCTGCTTGTACCACTGTCGGGGGCCATGGGGATAGGCCGGGATGTGCTCGGGGAGTTTCTTGTCGGACTGGCGTGCCAGTGATGTCGAGAAGGATCGCTTTGGTGCGGACAAAGCAAGGCCGCGGAAGGCCGCAGTGAGAGAAAACGGAGTGGCCATGTTGACAGAGACCAATGGCAAGTTCAATGTGAGTTCGTGCCGATGAACGAAGAATTTGGGAGCGGCGCGAAAGTTGGTTAGTCAGCGCCTCGTCCCTTCCAAAGTAAGGTTGCTCGCGAATTTCGAGGCGCATCTGCGACAGGACCCATTTCTTTGAGCTCTTCCAGCTTTGTTTTTTTTAAAATTCACTTTTCCATTCCCTCTATCATGGTTCAGATCAACGAAGTTAAGTCCAACTCGCGAGAGAACAGGACTGCGGCGCACACGCACATCAAGGGCTTGGGACTGCGCTCTGACGGCACCTCAGAAGTCTCCGGTGATGGATTTGTCGGACAAGCCAGTGCCCGTGAGGTACGTGATAGCTCCTAGTCGATGAGGATGGATTATTTTCATGGAGAACCTCGACTAATTGGCTGAAATCGATCACAGGCATGCGGTGTTGTAGTCGACCTCATCAAGGCGAGGAAGATGGCTGGCCGAGCTGTCCTGCTCGCTGGTGGCCCTGGTACCGGAAAGACTGCGCTCGCTCTCGCCGTTTCACAGGAATTGGGAACCAAGGTTCCTTTCTGCCCGATCGTTGGCAGTGAGATCTACTCTGCAGAGGTCAAGAAGACAGAGGCTTTGATGGAGAACTTCCGACGCGCAATTGGTAGGCGATGAACAATGACACCGGTACAAGGCTATGGCTAACACGAGACTAGGTCTGCGAGTTCGCGAAACCAAGGAGGTGTACGAGGGTGAAGTTACAGAGCTTACCCCGGAGGAGACCGAGAACCCTCTGGGCGGATACGGACGCACGATTAGCCATTTGATTATCGGATTGAAGTCGGCTAAGGGAACCAAGAAACTTCGCCTGGACCCCAGCATCTACGAGGCCATCCAGAAGGAGCGGGTCACCGTGGGAGATGTCGTCTACATTGAGGCCAACACTGGCGCTTGCAAACGTGTTGGACGGTCAGACGCCTACGCAACCGAGTTCGATCTTGAGGCGGAGGAGTACGTCCCTGTGCCGAAGGGCGAGGTTCACAAGAAGAAGGAGATTGTCCAGGACGTGACTCTCCACGACTTGGATATGGCCAATGCTCGGCCGCAGGGTGGCCAGGATGTTATGAGCATGATGGGTCAACTCATGAAGCCCAAGAAGACCGAGATTACCGACAAGCTGCGTCAAGAGATCAACAAGGTTGTCAACCGGTATATCGACCAGGGTGTCGCCGAGCTGGTTCCCGGTGTGCTCTTCATTGATGAGGTCCACATGCTCGACATTGAGTGCTTCACATACCTGAACCGTGCTCTTGAGTCTTCTATCTCCCCCATCGTTATCCTTGCCTCCAACCGCGGCAACACCGTTATCCGTGGCACCGACGACATCAGCGCTGCCCACGGTGTTCCCTCCGACCTGCTCGCCCGTCTCCTCATTATCCCGACCACCCCTTATAGCCCTGAAGAGATAAAGACCATCATTCGTCTCCGCGCTAAGACGGAGGGTCTTAACATCACTGAGCCCGCTCTTGACAAGGTTGCTGAGCATGGCAGCAAGGTCAGCCTGCGGTACGCGTTGCAGCTGCTGACTCCGGCGAGCATTTTGGCTCGCATTAACGGACGTCCTGGTGGTATCGAGGCTGCGGACGTTGCGGAGTGCGAGGATCTTTTCATTGATGCGAAGCGCAGTGCATTGATTGTCGCTCAGGACAGCAGCAATTTCCTTCTTTAGAGCTGGATAATGCTATGACTGGAGAACAGTGATTGAGGAGTTCCATGATATGTATTCCATAGGGGTATTTTTTTGTTTATTTGAAAAAGGCGAAATGTGCTTGTCTAGGCCTGATTTAATGTTACTGGATTTTATATTACTCCGAGCTCGTTATCATATGTAGAGTAAGACCTCAGTAAGGGACAGAGTGTTAAGCACTGTGTCTGCTGATCATTGTGGGACCTGCAGGATGCATTTAGCAATGCTCTCCGTTCGGGTTCGGAGTTTGAACTATTCTAAACTGTCTTAAAAGGTTTCACATCTTCCCCAGGTTATCTCATGATCGCTACTTATCACCGGTGATCCGTTGTAACGCCGGCCTCGAATCACGTGCGGGGGCCTCAACCCAGCCTCCGAGGAATCGCCTCACTATTCCTCATATTTGGATTTTGTGACAACAATCTAACGCCCTCGGGACTCATTCTCTACTTTTCCACGAGGAACCGGACTAAGTACAACTCTTTCAACCGAAGCTCCGCCAGGCAGCTCTGAACAGCGTCACCCGTCCCTAGATAACGGTGGAGCCTCCGGTCCCAACTGCCACTCGGTCCTCGCGCAACATACAACACCTTCTTTCTGAAACCACCCATATTACTCGCCTATCAAGATGTCGAACCCTCTCGACACAGATGCCGGCTCGGAGATGTTCGCCAGCTACGAGAACGAGCTAAAGCTTGTCCAGGCCGACCTGAACCAGAAGCTCGACCAGATCGCCGAAGCCAGCGGCGAGCAGCGCAAGGCCGCAATCCGATCCGCCGAGCAAGTTCTCGACGAAGCCACAGAATTGGTAAGTCACCCGCAAACCAACATCGACTACTCGGTTACTCGACTGCTCGACCCCTCAAATCCCCGCCCAGTGTCCAGATCATCTAACTAACAACCCGTAACAGCTGGGCCAAATGCGCTTGGAGAAGCAGAACATCCCATCATCAGCACGCTCTAAGATCAATATGCGCTTCCGCAACTACTCAACAGACGTCGACGAGATCAAACGCAAGCTGAAGTCCCTATCGGACGACCGCAAAGCGCTATTCGGCGACCGGTACACCGACGACCCAGTCGACGAGCAGCTCGAGCAGCGCCAACAGCTGCTCTCCGGGACAGAACGACTCGAGCGCAGCTCCGCAAGACTCCAGTCAAGTCAGCGACAGGCGCTAGAGACCGAAGACGTGGGCCGCAATGTGCTGGCAGATTTGTACGGCCAGCGCCAGACGATCCAGCACACACGGGACAACCTACAACAGAGTGAGGGATACGTGGATACTAGCATTAAGACTTTGAGGGGCATGGCCCGTAGGTAATGATCCCTTCCACCTTGACCCGGATATACTGGAGTGGTTGACTGACGTTGTATAGGATGGCTACGAATCGGATGATCACTATTGCCATTATCACCGTGCTTGTTCTTTTGATTGTCGCCGTTATTTACGGCAAGTTCCATTAGCGTTTGGGATTATGGCGTTGAATTGAAGGGATTCAGCTTCTGTTTGAGTTGTTGTATGCTAGCATTTTCGTGAGTTGACGAGATCAAGAGCTTCGTCTGTAAACTCGTATTGTAATCGAATACTTGATATGCAAGATTATTTTGACGTACTTCTCCAGAGCAAGTAATGCCGAATCGACTGTTATTTTATACTTCCCAAGGTCAAAATCAAAACCCCAGATTAACAACTCTAGAGATGTATATATCAACGATATACTACCAAGCACTGCCAACAGAAGAAACGAATATTCATTAATGGGTATCTCATGCAAACAAAAACGCTACACCAAAATCATCCATCCCAACCATCTGATTCCCCCTAATTCATAATCCTCATAGCCCCAAAAGCAGCATTGACAACCACCCCCACAAAAACAGCAACACCCTTTCTCCAACTCCAAACCCCCTCCTCCCTTCTCAACCACATAGCACACCCAATCGGCCAAAAGAATCCCATAATGGCCCCCCAAAGCATGTCATCCATCGCGCTCCTCGAACCACCCCCAAAGCCCCCATCATCATCCCCAACCCCACCCTCTCCACCAGCCTGTGCCAACGCAGCCGTCGACCCTTCGTCCATCCACCGATCCTCCAGATCACGCAGTGCTTCGCCTGTAGGCATGGTGTCCGGTGTTCTGGAGACGGATTGAACGGCTAGGAACTGCGAGCGCAGGGCTGTGACTTCGGACGCTGTAAAGCCTGCGCTGAGGAGGCGGTCGAAGCCGCGGGGTGCGGGGGTTGTGGTTGGTGGAGGAGGGGAGGTACGGGTTGAGATAGCTGAGAGGGGAGTTTCTTTTTGTTTCTGGAGGAGGGTAGAGGACATATCTGACTCGGCGGAGAGGTCTGATTCGGAGAGTGCGATGTCGCCTATGGAGCAGTGGATGTAGATTCGCGGTCTGCTGTCGCGAACGGCCTGTTTGCCTTTTCCATTTCCATCTTGAGAGTCTTCGTGCTCTGAGTCTGCGTGGGGTGACCGTGCTGGTGATGAGGGGAGTTTGAGAGAGGCTGTTAAGGCGGTTGAGTCTTCTAGACCGCGGCCGGCGTAGATGAGACGGAGGCGGTGGGATGAGAGGTTTGAGGGGAGATTGGCGCGGATTAGTTGTTTGAGGCCGGCGCCTGTTGTTGTGTCCGGGGTTGGGACGTCGAGAGGGAGGTCTGGGATAGAGGCGGAGAAGCGGACAATTATTAGGAGGGCGTTGGTGACCGGGTCGCTGGTGACGGTGCTGTGGGGGGTGAGCAAGGGTTGCGACGCCATTTTGGGTTCTCTCCGGATCAAGTGCTCGTTCATGGGATCCCCCGAGTTATTGAAGGTCGGAGCTATGTTCGAGGTGGATGCGGAGTCGCCGAGGCTCCCATCATGTGACATCAGCGATGCAGGAACTATTCATACACTTAATTGTGGCATGATTAGTAACTATAAATAGAGTAATTGACAGAATATTGATCCTACGCGATCATGTATATGCGTTATGTTTTGAGTCATTTCATTCATAGTCGATTGGACTGTTCTATACAAGTAGTATCACAAATCTGCAAGTTCCAAACGACATGGGGAGAATATGAAAACAAAAGAGGGCCCAGTTAAGCCTCTATGGCCACTGTGGCTATGAGCAGCCTAAGCCAACCGGCTGGAATCTTTCCGAGGGAAACGAAGGAGCGGCAAAACAGCCGGTAAAAAGACGGGTGGAGACAAAGTATCGACCGGATATAGAGCGTATGTACTGGGCCGGTAAAACGGCCCCGAATCCCAAACACCCGTAGAGAATAAAACGCCATCCAATGCACCATAAAAAAAAGACGCCGAGAAACGGAATACTCAACATATTGAGAAGGGGCAGCTAGACCATGAAGGACTCTCCGCACCCGCATGATTCCTCTATTGTCATGAGTCAGCCGACTGAAACTGTAACGTAATTGTACGTAATTGCCGGGGGAAACTTACTGATGTTGGGGTTGGTGAAGACGAAGCGCTGGCTCAGCTTATCCTGGTGCCAGTCCATTTCACTGCCAATAATGCTGAACAAGGCCTTGCTGTCGATCAAGACCTTCACTCCGTCTTGTTCCACCACTTCGTCGAATTTGCCCGGCTTCTCCACGTATTCGAGGTGGTATGCCAGGCCTGAGCAGCCGCGGTTTTTGACACCCACCCGAATGTATTTCGGTTCGGGGTTATCCATGAGCTTGCGCAGTTGCTGGATTGCAAGTGGGGTCACTTTCATGGCAGCCTTTCTTGCCCGCAATGGCCGACGGGATTTCGCGGAAGGCTTGGATGCTGTGGATGAGGCGGGTTTGGGCTTCTGGGCTTCTCCTTCACGCACGCTGATCTGAGATGACTGTGCTTGTGACGAGGGCTTGGAAGTGTCGGACGGGATTGAGAAATCGGCCGAGATCGAAGTGTCCTGACCAGCGGAGCTGCGAGGCATCGGGAAAGATGAAGGAAGTGTGTGAGGACGGTAGGCAGTAGCGGTCTGCATGTCCCGCTTAGAGGACTGATGTGCGTTTCCGTAGGAGGAGAAGCAGCGTAGAGCGTTGCGGGGGGGCCGCCGCGGGCAAAGCCCAGCGGAGGAGTGTGGCGGATGATGTCACTGGACGGTGCATGGTGCTGCAGAAACTCATGATGAGGAGCAATCGGTGAGGCGAGGAGCTCTGTGAAGATGGCTACAGACACATATGAAGTACAGTCGGAATGAGAGTAGGATGGGTAAGTGGTAAGTGGTGTGGGAGAAAGTCAGTGTTTGTTCTTCCGACCTCCTCGGGGCGGCTTAGTCAACCTGATTGCATGACGTGGATACAGCCAATCAGGGTGCATGTATTTGATCGTCTCGCAGTGGCGCCACTTTGACCCTTCTTTACCTCTTTTTTAATTGACTAGTGACTCATTTATGGTTTGATTCTGTCTTATATTCCTATGTTCTAACCAGCTGGATCTCAGAACTAGACTATAGTGGGCAATAAAACATGCTGAAAGGATCTCCCTCAAGGGTCAACCTCCGATTCACGCAAGCTGACTCAAATCACATGACCGAGAACCCAGCGATTTCCGGAAGCCGCGAGGTACGCAGAAGCCACTGCGCAGAGCCACTGCACAGAAGGGAAGCGAGTCTGGAACGAAGTCATCATCTAGATTCTTTTTATCACAATGAACACACACACTACCGAAATTTCAAAGACGTAAATTTGGATACATGTCCCATTAGTTAACCCAATATCAGCCGCGTAGTCTGTACCTTCAAAGGCCATGTGGCTGGATCCGCAAGTGGCTGGTGTCAGTGCCGCGCTACTCCAACTCCGGACGTGAATATTGAAATCATCTAAGAAACATTTCTACATCTCTCTGCATAGGTAACGTGTAGATCACTCCTCTCAAAAGTGCTGTGAACCATGGAGGCTTCGCCCCTCACCCAGCAAACGAGACCCGAGACCTTTCAGCCCAAGATCGTGCAGCTTTACGAGACCCTCTTCAAAGTATGTTACACCCCACCATGTGCCAGGCACCAGTCACTGATGTTGCTAGACCGACGATGCAGAGCTTTCAGAGGGCTTCTGGAGGGAGTTCTTCCTGCTGTCTCCTAATAGCAGCCAGCTGCATGCACTGCTGGACGGTCTGAGTCCCGACGAGACATTGAGTCTGCAGGTTAGCTCTTTGCCCGTATTTTGCAATCTACATCGTTCTAATCCGTTTTAGACGCAAACGAGGCATCTTTTCTCCCGCGCAACTCGCGAGGCAGCTGCTGGTGTTGCACCGGCTGATTCTTATGCATTGGATGTGAGTGCCCAATCCGGTTGACAGAATTGCCTTAACTGATGCCCGTTTCAGACATTGTCGGTGTTCTTGACTAGTGTTTTGAGTAAGAAATACACAAACCCTAGCTCAGACGTCATCACCGTTCTAGCTGGGCTGGATGAAGTCGACAATGTCATCGCCGATTTTGTCTCTGTCCTGGATGCGATTATCCGCAATGGCAGTAGCCGTGAGTTTCTAAGTCTGTAGTCTCGAAATTTTCACCTTGAAACTAATGATCTTTAGTTGAGGTGCGCCGCAAGGCCATCAGGGTGGCCGTCGCCATGACCAGCGGGGCATACAAGACCAGCCTCGTCTCGTATTTCACCCATCGCGATCTCTTCCCATCGCTGATGAAGGCATGTCTTATCGATACTTTATGAAAGGGCTGTGACTAACTATTACAGTATGTCAATGACTCTGATACTCCTATGCAAGTCTTCGACCCTTTTCTTCTGCTGGGGCTCTTGGCAAACTACAACAAGTTTGAATTCCAAAATCCCTACCAATTGCGACTCGACGATTTCGTCAACGAGTCGAGCATTCAGAAGGTTGTGAAGGGCGTCGGTCTCACCTGTGGCGGACTGCGCAATGGATATATCGCCGTGCAGGATGATATTCCCGAGGGCTGGAACTTGACAAGTACTCTCGTCTTCTTCGGCCTGCGGGCCCTTACCCCCGGTGCGCGAGACAAAGCAAACCCTCCTACAGCCGAAGAAGCAAAGGCAATGTTTGCTGCTCTGTAAGACATCAATCCACATGGTGCATGAATTACTCCGCTAACCAAACTTAGACCCGCTCAAGAAGCCGCCATCCTGATGGCGACCTACGACTTCACCAACTCGAACAAGCTCTTCGGCTACCACATGGTCCACATGATGCCCGAGAACAAGACAGATGAATCGCCCTTCTCAAGTCTCCTCTCCTTAACCTCCTACCTCCAGCAGCACGCCTACCGCTCCATCAGAAGCGCCCACTACGCGGAACTAAGCCTTTTCACTCTCCGCATCCTAGTCGAAGACCCAACCCTGTGCAAACACGTGTGCAGTGACAGCGGAAAACGCACAGTGCGTCTCTGCCGCCAACGCCAGCCCTACCTGCCCCTCGTCGCCGGCGACCGGGTCCCAGCAACAGTAATCCTCGACATAATGATCGACACACTCACCCACAATCTCCGCCGCCGCCTAGATGTGAACATCTACAGCCACGCAATCGCAATCACCCTTCGCATCCTAACATACCTATCAATGAACAAAATCCGCCTCACATATCACTGGTCGGAACTCTGGCGCACCCTCCTCTCAACAACCCGCTTCCTAACAACCTACGCCACGGACCTAGCATCCAATCCCAAAATCCGCACCCTAACCACCTCCCTCGCTGACCTTATGGCCTTCACCGTCTCCGCAGGCGATACATTCCTTCCGGACCCAGCATCCTACGATGACCTATTCTACAAGCTCGTCGAAACAGGACCCGTCATCTCCAAGTTCCGCGACGTTTACTTCCCCAAGGGAAAGGAAACAGAAAAAGAAAAAGATACACACTCCGCAGCCGTTGAAACCCTCCTAAGCGTCTCAACGCATTTCTACACTCTACTCTTCCAATCCGACGGTGAGAATACGGCGGTAGCGCCTAGTCCGAATCCGGACGGCGAGCCGACGCCTGTTGCATTGCCGGCGATTAAGAAGAGGAATTTGAGTCCGAGGGAGGTGCACCGTATTATCAAGCAGGGGTATGATACGCTTAGTATTCAGCCGCCGGAAGGGTTGACAACTTGGTCGAAGTGGAGGGAGACGGAATGGAAGGGCGAGTTGAAGAGGGCGGCTAGGTGTGCCGTTGATGATGCGAGGCAGATTGTTGCTTAGCTGCGGTTTGATTTGAAAGATTGATTCTCTCCCTGGATGGAGATGGGAGGGTTGTTTTTGTCTGATAGCTAGACACAGCATTGGCATGAAAATGAGAATGAGAATGAGAATGAATTGCCTTCAAAGATCTTGCTTGTTGTGCTTTAGTTGGATTGGTAGAGTATGGGATCCTACATTTATGATTAAGTGTTGAAGTTATGGTGATATTTTGTAGTCCAGTTTGCCTAGCTCCAATCAAGGAGAAGAACTAAGATCTCCTAGTGATATTGATAACCCGTTGAAAACAAAACCCGCAAAATCCCACGTGCCTCTTCAGCGGAAGCAATCCTCATGCTCATGCTCATGCTCATGACCGGCCAGAAACGTGATGATAAGTACCGGGTAGATGTGCGCCATGTGAAAAAAGAAACCAGTGTGGATACATCCAGTAAAGCAGAAAAAAGGGCCGGTGGTCGGAGAAACATTTTGTGGAATCGCCCAGCATAAAATGAGAACGCCAGACATTTCGAAACCAAAGTACAAAGAAAAAGGTGGGCAAGAGTAGTTGAGTTGGATTGGACTAGTCCGAGTCATAACGGTTCTCCTAGGATGATGAATCGTCGGCCTCGTCGTAGGACTGCTCAGCGGGAATGTACTCGGTACGGAAGTACTTCTCCGACTTGCGGCTAAGCCAGAGAGAGAGCTTGGAGAGTTCTTCGCGCATGCGCTGAGTATTCGAAACGTCCATGTTGGTCTGGGCGAGGAGTTCGGGAAGAAGGCCTGCGGAGTGGAAAATCAGTGAAGAAGGGGAAATAGAATATCAAGTGCCGACTTACTGAAGAGACGGATGAGGTGCTCGCCCCCGTAGACATCGACGGGGCCGAAGTTCTTGGTGTCCTGGAACTTGCTCCGGAAGACACGGTACTGAGCGCGTTCGTAGCGGTAGAGAAGGACCTTGTCGAGCATGACATCGAAGTATTCGAGCATGCCGGAGATGACCTCGTCAAGGACGTCAACATCGATACGGTTCTCGCGACGCTTAGGCTCCTCCTCATCGCGCCAGTCCTGGAAGATCTGGCGGACGGGCTTGGGGGCAGGAAGGGCCACGACGCTGCCGTTCTTGGTGACACGCTCCCAGTCGTCCACGATGAGGGACTTCAGATTGTCGGGCATCACAATCCGGATGCTGGGGCGGGTGCTGAAATTCTCCTCCTGTAATGTCATTAGCGGGCGGCTCTTCGAGGGTGCCCAAGTCGTCCTTGGGGTAGAAATCAAATGAAAGGTCGCTAGGGGGATGGGATAGGTATGAAAGATACGAGGAGTCATAGGGTTCCCCGATATCATAGGTTTCCTCAATATCATGGGCGTCCTCGAGATCAGGGAGGAGGCCATTCAGACCATCACCTTCCGCGAGGCTAAAGGGTTCCTCGGTGTCATATGGGTCCACCGGGTCATAGGATACCTCAGGGTCAGAAGTTTCCTCGACATAATAAGATGTCTCGTGACCCTCACAGTCCTTAGGATAAGGCTCGTGCTTCTTGATGCAAGCCATATCGAGGGTGCAATCTGAGGGTTGAACGAAAGACAAGGAAGTGGATATAGGGTGGTAGAAGAGTAGAGGAGACAGAGGGAGCGAAGATATGAAGGATGCAAGGATGACACGAATGAGACGGATGAGAGAATCAAATGATCATTTTTTTCAGGCAGGCATCGATGAAACAAACAAGGCAGCAGATGAAAATTGATAACTTACTTTCTCAATGTCATTTTCACCCCGGGCACGCTTGCCACCACGGCCAGGCACAGATGCGCCGCGCTCCTCGCTGTCTCGAACCGAGCTGCGGTCAGACATGGCGCGCTTCTTGGCTGTGGGCTTCGCTTGCTTGCGGGCAGATTGCTCGACATCGCGGCGCAGGTTGGATGCCAGCTCACGATTCTCATCGGACGCCTTTCTGAGGCGATCCTCGAGTACCCAGTCATCCCATCTACTCGAAAGTGGTCAGCCCGTGCCGCTAAATGGTTGGCGGATCTCGCCGCCAGAAAGATGCGAGTGAGACTATCTCTGTGATGTAGGGCATGGACAGGCCAGTGAGGTTGGGAGGAGACTCAACAGATGACGCCGGTTGGGCTTATCGGCCCAACGGAGTTGAAAACGATTCGCCATGAGAGTGGTGCTGAGAAGGTGCAGATATATGTGAAGACTGGGGGAGGGGGAAGAGGGTGCGAAGGATCAAAGTGAGGTGGGAAAGAAGCACAACAGCACCAAGACACCGAGCCAGAGACCTGACAGGGTGGAGGGGTGCGTCGAGGTTCGAGAAACTGAAAAAGAGTACATACGTGTTCTTCCAGCCCTTGTAGTGGACCAGATATTCATGAGGGCTCTTCTTGTCGGAGGGGTCTTTCAAGCGCACCTCGAGGATTTTGGCATCGTATAGTAACTCTTGGTGGAAGCATAGGACCTTCTCGTCCTTGCTGTACATTGATGGAGGCATTATTTCTCGAACAAAAAGAAAGAAGACAGAGGGCGTGAAGGGGGAAGGGAGTCGTATAAGTCAAGTTAAAATCTGGGAGAAGGCCCGAATTGATGGGAATCTCGTCGGCGATGCGATGAGCCGTTGACGACTTCAGGCTAGGATGTAATTGCTCTGGCGAGTAGCCTCAAAGAAATCTCCGACGCGGGAGCTGTACTGTCGATTCTCGACCGCAGAGGCGATGCCTGGGGCGATACCCAGTATGCCAGATGTCCTTGATAATGGCTCTGGATCAATCTGCCCAGACTTAGAGGATAGTTGCACTCCTTTAGAAACTAGGCCTTTGAACAATTCCGAATTTGATGTGTAGTTGGTAAGGACAAGTAATTTGTACCTCTGGTTGTTCCGAATGCGCAAGTTGCTACGCGTAGGGCGATGGAAAGAGGTTGATGCGAAAGGCGGAACGGCCACGACCCCTGGATCCGTGCGGGACCAACTTCGTCAACAACTACCGCGATATTGCACCACTTGTCTCGTGCTTTCTGACTGGTGTTCACTGGAGAGCCCTGATTCTACAGCTCACGGGATCTGGAGGGTTCCTTGCGAATACTCTCGCGACAGTTCGCGTTTTGCCAGATTCGGGAGACGTGACGCGATTTCGCGATTTCGCGATTTCGATAAGGAACCCAAGTTGGCATCGAGATTACGCATACTTCACCATATTCTTCGCCATATTCTTCGCCATATTCTTCACCTGAACCAGGCTAACTAGTTATTGATCATGGCACCCTCAGAGGAATCTATTCTGAGTAATTTCCTACTCTCACCCGCACCACTGCCAACTGTGCTGTCCCTGCAAAAATTCACAGAGCTCTTCCCCAAGCGCTTGCGCAATCATCCGCACATTCGCACCCTATACCGTGAGTTACAGCAAGTCCGTGAACATGACATGGATCGGGTCAATGAAAATATCGACGAAGAGCTCAAACAGGGTGAACGACAAAAAGTTGAGCTCCGCAAGGCCACTCTTGCTACGGGAGTGGAAGCTGCCACTGAAGATGAGCAGCGCGAAATGGATGTGGATCTCCATATGTTTGGCCAGAATCATACCACCCCTGAAGACTATCACTCAGTAGCCAGTCTTCTGGCTGAAATGGATGCAGCGTGTGTCACTATCGAGCGTGAGATCTCCAATGTGGATCGTGAAGCTGAAGTCCTTCTGAAAGAGCTCAGCACAACTGTTGGGGACATGAGTGACCTCCGCTATGGCAAGCTGCAGGGGCCAGCTGGCACGGCCAACAATGTGGCCGAAGAGGCCATCAAGGGTCTGCAGAATCTTGAGGATGCTTGCTACAAGAGCAATTCGTGATAAGAAATGAACTAAATGAATGGCCTCGATGTGGCCAATTGAATTCGAAATGTTCAAAATCTTCATCTGCAGTGGGCTCATATTCAAAGGTCGGAGTAAGTGACTATGTCCAAGCAAATGGACCAGAGGCTGACTTTGCCAGTGATTAAATTTTGTGTTGAAATACATTGCAAAGCAAAGGCCGTATGCTTTGTCCTCCGGCACTAAAACCTCTGCTCAATAAGACATCGCTTAGGTCCAAGCCGAGGCTGATATCTTCCCACCATCTGCCTAAACACTGCATGACAAGAGCAATGCACACAGGGGTTCGTCCGAGGTGAAGGGATTCAGGATAACAAGGATATCAAGAAGAGAATACTAAGGCAGCGGCCACCTAAGCCGCGGACGCCAGTATCCGCACATGGGCCATTAGCGGCCATTCGTCCCAGTCGAAAAAAGAAAGAGACACTAAACATCATCAACTGTATCTTTTAGCAGTCATAGTCCTTGAATTTGCTTTCAGTCATGTAGTTCTGCACCCCTCCCGAAATGGCAAAATAGCAGTCTACACCAGTGTGGGGTTGATCACCCGCGCGCGACCCGCGTCGCGTCAGTTTTGGACCTCCATCTTTACAACTCGCCGAACCTCACACACTACACAGCAACCATGCCTTCGATTCAATTACACGCGCGCTCTGCCGCGCCCGCTGTGACAGCGACAGAGACATCATCCTTTCCCCTCACTAACCCTCTGCCGCAACTCCTCCAAACACCCTCCGGTCTCGCCCTCCTCGAGCTCCAGGGCACGATCAACCTCCCAGAATACGAACCAGAAACAAGTCCAGATGGATCACCCAACCCGAACGCCTTGTCCTTCGAAACGCCGATCGGGAAGATCATGTTTCCAGACTACTCGTTGCTCAACCCGGATGACACCAAGTGGATGAAGCGAGTCTATCTGTATGTTGGTCGGTACCAACGCATGACCGGCGAGGTCAAGAAGCTACCACGACCGATAGCTGTGCTGCAGAGGCGCGCTGGGTCGAAAACGGAGGAGTTGGAGGTTGTTGAGGTTGTGCGACACAAGATATTCTTCAAGAACCGACCGGAGCCTGTCAATGATATTTGAGGAACTTGGGATACCCTCTCGGTTTATGAAGCAGAAGAATAGGCCAAGCAAAACAATTCCAATCGAACTGTCTCGTCGAGCCTATTGGTGGGGACTTACTCTGCGCTGAAGCTACCATGAAGCTCAGCCGGATACGGCACCCTGGATACAGGTTTCACCACGTGTACTTTCCTCACTCCGTCATCTTGAACCCCCTGGAGCCTTGCTCTCTTGATCTGTGACGTTTCAAACGAGGGAACACGAAATATGGCAGCAGCAGCACGCAGCAGGCTCGGATATCAACATCTAGGGATGGACATACAAACCATGGGCCTCGGCTTTTCAACCCGGGAAAGCAAAGACATCACGAGATAGTGATTCTAGGAATGGAATGCCAACCTTGAATTACCTGGGATTATGACTTCAGCATTGTCTCATTCGTTGAACGCAGATAGACATTAATTCGAAAGCGGCTATAGGCGGCAGGAATGTGAAACCTAAAACATCATCGAACCCAATACGTCCCTTCCTTTCTACTTATCTCCAACTTGCACATCTCTCCTACTTGACATGTTCTATGCGGCTGTGGTTGGAAAACGCCCTCGTTGCTCATAGACGGGCACCATGACCATCGCCAATAGCCCGAAGGAAGCCATCTTCCCGACTGACCTGGGTCCTGAATACGTTGGCTTCGATCATATCCATTGGTACGTTGGGAATCCCAAGCAGGCGGCGTCATACTATATCACACGCATGGGATTTGCGCCGATTGCATACCGTGGTCCTGAAACGGGGTCCCAGTTCTTGGCTAGCTATGTGGTCGCCAATGGCGCGGCAGTCTTTGTTCTTACTGGGCCGGTCTGTGAGCCCCCGGTGGATGAAAAGAATTATGTGTCACAGCATTCTACAGAAGAACAACGAGCGACGCTTGCCGCGGTACACGAACACTTGACCCGGCACGGTGACGGCGTCAAAGACGTCGCGTTCCGGGTTACAGGCAAGATCGAGAACGTATGGAAGCGAGCCATTGAGAACGGCGCATCTGCCATTGCCGAGCCAGGGACAAGTTTGATGGATGGAAATGGTCAGATTACGACGGCCACGATAGGGACCTACGGCGATACGGTACATTCGCTGGTCAATCGGGAACAGTATGAATCAAATGCGCCCTTCTTACCCGGATACCGTACCATCGATGCCAACGAGGACCCTATCAATCAAATCCTACCTGCGATCGAATTCATTGAGATAGATCATTGTGTTGGGAACCAGTCATGGGGAGGCTTAGACCGAATCGTCAAATAGTAAGTCGAAGCGCGATATCCTTGAAGAGTACAATCTAACATCATGCCAGCTACGAAGACTGCCTCGACTTCCACCGCTACTGGACAGTCGACGACAAAGCAATGTGCAGCGAATACTCAGCCATGCGCTCAATAGTAGTAGCCTCTCCAAACGAAACAATCAAAATGCCTATGAACGAGCCGGCAACAGGCAAGAAGAAATCACAGATAGAAGAGTACATCTCCCCTCCCTTCACACCCCAGAAAGAAATTAACAGCCCCAGATTCGTCGATTACTATCATGGCGCAGGTGTACAACACATCGCCTTCCGCACACACGATATCGTCAACGCAGTAACGAACCTCAAAGCACGCGGTGTGCAATTCCTCCAGGTCCCATCGGCATACTATGAAGATCTAAGGCAGCGATTATCACAAGTCTCATTGACACTAGATGCAGATCTGGACGTGTTGGAAAGGTTGAATATACTTGTTGACTTTGATGAGCGTGGGTATCTACTGCAGATCTTTGCGAAGCATATTGGGGATCGGCCGACGGTTTTTGTGGAGGTGATTCAGCGTAATGACTTTGATGGGTTCGGGGCGGGGAATTTCAAGAGTCTTTTTGAGGCGTTTGAGAGGGCGCAGGCTCTTAGAGGGAATTTGTGATAATATGAGGTTCAAGGTTGCTATGCATTCGTGCTTGTACCCTCTGCAGTGCACATGTGAAGACAATGGTAGACGCATCAAGTTGTCTTCGTATAGGTATACTACAACCTACATGTCTCTGCGCAGCTTTAGAAATGTAGTCTATGCATCTACCAAACAAGACACAGCTAAAGACATCGTTCAGATAAGGTAAGACTTAATCCAGCCCAGACGCTTATTCCGCCCGCCCAGCCAAAACAAATACCCGGGGCGGAATTAAACACGCACTCCAACAACACATTCCGCACTCTCATCAGCAACCATATCGTTCCCGAAGATCATAAGCATCAATTCCTACAGACTCAATTACCTAGCAGGAAATAAAAATAGAAAACAAATACACCTAAAGTACCAATCAATCAGCACCGATCTCGATCATTCGTCGGAAAGACATTAAACGACATTCAATGATAATTACCCGCCGAGCTTCCGAACTCCGAGCCTCAGCAACCCCGCGTCTAGCCAACAACCTAGTAATTTAAGAAAGCCCAATGTCCCGCACACCTCTCACCCTCCTCAAACGCACAATTTCCACATCGCCATCCACAATGGCTCCTATCGAACGTATTACCCTCTTCAAGGTCCCCAATGAGGCGGATCGCCTCCGTCTACTGGAGCAGTACAAGCTTCTTGCCAAGACAGCGACCAAGGTATGCACTTCTCACCTTTCTGATCGGGTTATCATTGAAGCCCCGCGTATGAGCTCAGGGTATACTGACTCAAATGCTCGTGCAGGATGGAAAGCCTTACATCGTTGCTGCTGCTGTCGGACAATCATTCGACGATCCCCGAAACAAGGGCTTCAATATCTCGGTGAAGACGACTTTTGCTTCGATGGAGGATATGAAATATTATGATACTGAGTGTGAGGCTCATAAGGCGTTGAAGGCTGTTGCTGGGCCTGTGAAAGAGGATGTCTTGACGACTTTTTATGAGAATATTCTTTAGGGATAATGTGTCCAGTTACGAGCAAAAACAAGAAATTGAAAGGTCATTTCATTTGGGATGTACAGAGCATACATCTGATCTAGTATGCATAATAGCAGTGGCCCCGAGCACCCACAACATTGGAAAGAACTCAGGTAGAGGGATACACGGTAAAGAAAAAGAGAAACACCGAGGGGGCATGCTGGGCTGGGCGGGGCGGGGCTGGGAATTGACGCAAAACACCGTAGTCGTTAGGCGGCCGAGGGGGTTAACCAAGGTCAATGGCTAAACGAGAATAAAAGCAGACTTCCGGCCCATAGGCGTAGGTGGCAGGGGAGGTGATCGCAGATCACATTCCGGTGCGGGAAATATACAGGGTAGGATGGATGGATGGATGGATGGATGGATGGATGGATGGATGGATGGATGGATGGATGGATGGATGGATGGATGGGGGTGGCTTAGTCGAGGGCGCGGCGGAGGTCACTCCATTTTTGGCGGAGGGTTTCGTGGTTTTCGGACATCTGATGTTGTTAGCATTTGCAAGGCTGTATGGGCTTGGGGGAAGCATACCTCGGCCCACTTCATCTTCGTGGCGACTAGCTCTTTCTCCATATCGGCCATGTTGTCCTCAATTGCACGGTTCTCATTCTGTACCTCGATGTTGCGCTTCATGATGCGGTCCATCTCTGTGCGAAGCTTCTCCTCCACCTCGCCAGGCTGCTTGTCCACAATGACCTTCAGCTCGGAGACCTGCAGCTTGAGGGCATCGTTCAGATCGCGCAGTTCCTCGTTCTCCACTTTGACGTGAACCAATTCCGACGCCAACTGCACGTGTTCCTTGTCGGATGCTTCGGCGCGCTCCTCGAGCAGACGCACGCGGGAAGATTGCGTGGCGACAGTGTGCCGAAGGTGCTCCAGCTCAGCCTCTTGCTCCTTCTCTGTGCGAGTCTTCTCCTCCCATTCCGTCGTGTATGTCTTTATCATATCCCGGGTGAGGGGTACGGCACAAGCATCTTGCACAAGGATATCGGCTCGGTAAATCTCCTTGTCAGCAGCGCCGGAACTTCCAAAGAAGCCAGACTCCAAGATTGACGAGGCCGAAGGCTGCTTATCGATGTAGGCGTCAAATAGACGCTCCTTCAGGAAGGTCGTAAGCGAGGACATATCCTTCATTTCTAGCAGCGCATCGACATTGCGTCTCATAATGGCGATGCCAAATTTGAGAATAGTGCTTTCCAAGCCCTCCTCGAAGATCAGATCATAGATGCGCAGGACAAGTTGCAGGGGGAAGCGGTAGGCGAAGAGGGTCAAGAACCACTGAGTAGCGTATAATTGGGGAGGTACACCGCGACGACGCAGGTGGCAGTACAGGGCGGGCTCGAGATCTTCCAGGAGACGCTCGAACTGGTAAAGAGCTCGGTGAAGACCGGGCATGTCCTGGATGAACAGCTCCCGGAGGCCGTATTTGTTCATCAGCTTGACGAGAAGCTCAAAGGCTTCAACCTCATCCATCTTTATATAGGGTTAGTGGTTTGGTTCTGTTAAGTCTATCAGCAGGTCACTTACGTTGAATAACAAGGGCATGATGATAAAGTTCATGCCCTGTGCATAACCAACAGCCTCGTCGTACAAGGCGTATGCCTTACACAGTCCGTACAAACTCTCCTGGCTCCCCTGGGAGATGAAGTATTTCGAATAGCTTGTGCGGGCACCTAGATCTCGGCGGATAGTCTTCTCAAGCTTCTGCAGAGCAACCGCCTCATCCTTGGCCTTCTTCAAGCGAGCGTTCTCACTAGCAGCCTGTTCTTTGGCCAGCCTCTCGGGGTCTATCTCCTGGGAAGGACTGACAGCAACACTCGTCGATTGTGTCCCAGAGCCCGAGTGATCGGAATGAACGGACGAACGGGACGAAGAGACTGACCCCTTCTCGGGTGTACCATTGCTCTGGAGATTTGGCGATCGACGGTCTTTGTCAGTCCCACGGGCGACAAGATCCCGATAGATATCCTCCAATTCACCAGTCTGGCCTTCAGCCAGAATTTGCCAAATGACTCCGCGGATTGTCTGCGGAATACCCCTCTTGATAGCGGCATTCAAGACCTCCGAGTTCACCAACGCCTGAGGTCCCTCGTTCACGAGTTGTTGCCACATATCCCAATCCACGGGGGTAGAGTCATCAGATGCTGATCTGGAGAACCCGGACACAGTGCCAGGAGCGAGGGTAGGGTTGATCGTTGATGGTGCAGTGGCGGTTGCAGGGGAGGTTGCTCCAGAGACGGGCGCGGGGGCAGTTAGAATACCATCCTCGCTCTCTTCATGAATGATGGGGGGGCTGGAGCCACCCTGGCTGATGCTAGCACGGCCAGATCGGACACTCAATTGATCATTCTCACCACCAATGTGTTCCTCCCGCATACGCAACAGCTTAAATTGGTCCTTCAGGCTGTTACGTCTCGGTCTCCTTGAATGGAAGCTGGCAGCATCTCCATCTTCGGATCGAGGGGCCAGATCCAAGTGGCTACCAATGGTGGACACGGAGGTGCCGGTGTTTCGGCGGTTGTTTCCAGGCTGTTGCGGGGGCGGGGACTTCAACTCTTTGGGTCCTGTCGAGCTGCGGGAGAACCATGCAAAGGGGCCACTGGGCTTTCGGGTTGGGGGTGGCGGTGCTGCAGGAGGAGGATTCTTATTTTGCGGGGGAGCTCCCCAAGGCAAGGATGGCAAGGTTCCGGATAAGCCCTTCAGGGCCGAGGGAGACGATGCAAGCTCGTCCTTGGGGGGCAATGGAGGCGGTTCCAACTTTTCTTCTTCCCTGCTGTTGGTCAGGTTGACTTCATCGAGCGAGGATGCAGTCGAGAGGCGATGGGACGTAAGTAGGGGTGATTTGTTCGGCTGGGGGCTTCCAATAATTGTGTCGTCTCCTTCGTCTTCTTCTGCAGTTTGCTCCGTAGGCTTCTCGGTGAGCTGCTCCGGCTTCTCTTCTTCTTTTACCTCTTCGGCGGGTTCGGCGGGCTCGGTCTCAAGGTTCACGTCCGTAGGTTGCCCGCTCGGCGCTTCCTCGGCTCCCCCTTGGCCGTCCGTGTCTGTTTCTGTTCCTCCTTCTCCTTCATCCTGCGTGGCCTTCTTCTTGTTCTTTTTTTGTTTTTCTTCTTTCCTGTGGTCTCTCCAGACTCCGAACCCTCGTGTTTCTGCTCGTCCTGCGATTCAGAAGGGAAAGGAGGTTTCTCTGCAGTGTCGGGAGTAGTCACCGTGCCAACAGGGGGGCTGTTGGTCAATGATCGGGTAGATGTGGACAGGGGAATAGAGACATTCAGGTGCTCTGGTACTTCGGGGGCATCGTCGAAAGACTCCTGGCAGGAAGATAAGCATGTGGTTGACGCGGTGAAACCGACACGAGACTCACCCCTAAGTAGTCGCTGCTATTCCGGTTCGAGGACATTTTGGGCAGGGCAGCAGATCAGAGAGTGCAAGACTCCATAAGACGAACCGAATGCTCATAGACCAAGAGACCAAGAGACCAAGAACCACAAAAAAGGGGAGGTGGAAGGAACTTGGGGGGATGTCAATTCACTGATCGAATCGAGGGCCAGTGAACACGCGACTCTGATTGGCTATGTGGGGCGACCTGGGGGCGACCTGTCGATCGGAACGTTTGGAATGTCGTTTTCTATTTGATTTGATTTCTTTGCATAAAAATGCACGCTATCTCAGCTGCATAGCTGAATCAGCTGCAGAATGCAGGATTCCACATCCTATCCTAGCTATGCATCCTCCCTGTGCCGTGGGTTGTCGTTGTCCTAGACCAAAAAACTGTGACACAAATCGTGATGGGTCCATTGTTTCACATTGGGTATTGTCCTCCGTGGAATGACTAAGTACCTTTGTCTACCAATTGGGGATGGACCTAGTGTTCACTACAAGCTTCTTTCAAAATCCAGCCACCTGTGTTGCCGTAAGGGATCTATCTTCTTCAGCTCTGAGAGCCAGCTCAGAATCTGATCCCGGTCATCCAGTTGCAGGCTGCCCCCCACTTTGGATACGAGCAGGGTACATTCAATGAGGGCCTGGTAGATATACTTGCAGTCCTCGGCTCCATCAAGCATCTCCTGGATGGCTTCAATTTCATCCCGTAGGTATTGAAGTCGTTCTGACGCGCTCAGGTTCGGAGCCATGGTCCGGTCCGCCATTGATGGGTCAAATACACACATCAAGTTTTGGTGATAGAACCATAGTGATTGGTCATAAGGATCAATCAGAGCTTGTCGGATGAGGTCCAGCTCTGCCTAGATTAGTAAATCCTCACAAATTGAACATTCAGCACCACTCACCTTCGTCCAGTATCTTCTTCCGCTCCTCGTCGGTGGCACCATGTTCCTCCAGTATCCGGAGAATCAGTTTGGTGCGGTAGTGCCAAGCAGAAAAGTTCGACAGATTGGCTCCAAGCATCTTCTTCGCATAGGCAAATTCCTTCTGGGTCATGCCTTTCGCCTCGTCGGGAGTTCCCAGTTGCCTGATGGTCTCCACCAAGCAGCGTCGATAGCCCCAGCCGTGGAAATTGCGACTGTCCAGAGTCAACATCTTACCCACCAATGCAAGTTCCTGTTCCCAGAATGGACGAGCTACGGCTAACGGAAGAAGCCGGCGGGTCTCGTCGAGTAGCCACAAACGATAGTTCCAGATCCAGTAGCACTTGGGGAAACTGCGCAGCAAAGGGATCAAGAAGTACAGGTCATTTTTGATCAGGTCTGAGATGACTGTGGACGCATCTTCCTCGCTTGAGGTTTCTGCCTCGGAGAACTGATGCCGAAGGGCTTGTCGTCGATAGTTCCAAACAGTGTAGTACTCCGGGTTGCGGCCTAGCAAGTCGGAGATCTTTTGCAACGTGTCGGGTGTAAAGATTTGTTGAGCAACCTGCCTAGGAGTTAGTTTATACCATTTCAGCACAATCAGACATGAACCTCCACCTTTTCCGATACGAAACTCTCGAGAGATTTGTATTCATCTATCTTCCGCAGCTCTTGTTGCCGCTCCTCCGGGGTCTTTTCCACCGGCTTAAAGCGCCGGACACCATGCTACCAGGACGGTCAGTCTTTATGCTGTCAAATAGACCCAGTACGCGGCGCTATAACTCACACTTGCCATTGTTGAGTGAGTGAAACGTGCAAGTAACCACAGAGCGAGGAGCTCCTGCCGCCCGCGACAGTATTAGTAAGCACAGTGGCTCCGTCCAAAACGGTAACATCTACTTCGACAGCTAATGCGACTCTTCATTTTTCTATCGACAAGAACCCGGCAAGGTGGCCCCTGCCCAGGGCCTTTATAATACACTCCTTCGCTGCATGTTACCTCTGACCCCTGTCTGCGATCCCCCATAATGGGGACTTCACGATGTCACTCCTTCGAGGATGCCTCTTCCATGAGCAATCAACATGCGTCGCTCAAATCATTTTCCCGGTCCGAATCCTCACAGGAGGGTGTATCTATCAAACTATACGAATTTGCAACTATCAACTTACCTTTCCATGAGTCTCCAGCCACTTCTCAGATATCACTCAGCATCAGACCCAGCTCCCCCAATACCCCCAGTACACCACGCTTGACAGAAAAGAAAACAGAAGATGCGCCATCTCCTGAGCGAGGCCGTAGTAGATTGAGAGGATTTCCAGTTGAGGAAACTACTCGAATGAATTTCTCCCCCTCAGTATCGCCTGATCGTTTCATTCCGAAGCGCCAATTTTCCGAGATCTCATCAACATCATTTCGTATAAACAAGCACCCTCACCAACTGTCTCCTGAAGAAAGAATTCTTCGTCGGCGCTTGCCTGGAGACGATCCGTTTCTTCCCAGCCGAGCCCAAGCTCCAGCATTTACAGGACAGAGACCAACGCCCATTCGACTCCGCCAAAGACCCCTCCAACGACCTCGCTTGGTCGTTGACCCTGCTGAGGTGGGAGGCACCCACCAACTTGACTTCTTGAGGCGAGTCAGCACTGGTGCAGTCTGGGGTGTTGGTGGAACAACTGCGATGCTCGGAGACCCTTCCATGGCATATTCAAACGGGGCGCCGAGTCTTTCTGGCAGAGGCTCAGCTGCTCCAGCCTATGTCGCAAAATTCTTGCCACGAAGTAACAGGGCTGAGGACCGGAACAAGCATGAATCAAGACTTGCCTTTGCATTGAATATTGACCCAACTGCTAGACTCCTTGGCACCTGTGTGCCATGCGCAGAGAACTCACCCAGCCCCTCCTCGCCACATTATGAGCGACTCTCGCCTTTTGTGTGGAAAGATTGCGCCTGGAAAAGAGTGGAAAGGGATCAGTGTAAGCAATCTTGCCTTTCCACTATATAATCGGGGCCTCTTTGTTTCTCCCATTCATTACTAATAAGTTCAATATTTATACGACATTTAATACCTATCTATGGGTGAGATGATCGCACTGCGGTCTCTCGGGTATCACAACTGACTTTTATCTTGAATCAGGGCCAGCTGTTCTTCCCAAGCGAGAAGCTGTTCCTCCAAAGCCTTTTCGGATCCTGGATGCCCCATTCCTTCGAGATGACTTTTATTGCACCACACTGGCCTACTCATTCACATCTGGCGTGCTAGCTGTTGGACTTGCCAATCATGTTTACTTGTGGTCTGAAAGTTCTACAGTAGACCATCCGCCATTTAAAGATGTGCACCCGTCAAACTTTGTGACATCTCTCTCATTCTCGTCAGATAATGGCGGACGGAGCATTCTCGCAGTTGGACGGCAATCTGGTCAGTTGTCTCTTTGGGGCTTCTGTGAATCCGATATTCGCTTCGAACTCAGTCATCCCAACAGTATCTCTTGTGTGGCATTCAAGCCGAGAGTCACCCAAAGACTTTCAGAGAAATTTGGACATTTGGAAATTGACGCGGAGGAGATTGCAGTTGGCGACGACGTGGGCAACATCTGGTACTACTCGGTCGAGTGGCCTGAAAACCAGAACAAGCGAGGCTGGAATGGTTCTATCACTCTTCTCGCTAAGATCTCTGCCCATACTCAGCAAGTATGTGGCTTAGCCTGGTCTCCTGATGAGCGGTTTCTCGCTACAGGTGGCAACGACAATGCCTGTTTACTTTTCGAACTGATTGATATTCTTCCACCGCTGCCATTGCCCGATTATACCCCTCTGCCTGTCATGCCGACTGGCTCTGAGACCTTGAATATCCGCGCGTTTCCACTACTTGGTCTTACCAATACCCCCCGGCAGTTCTTTAACAGGCGACACTTTGTCAGTCACTTGCTGCCATCATGGGTTCATCCGGCTCCTTTGAGACCCACAGCTGCAGTGCCTCTTCTCAGTCTCACAGGCACCCTCATTTCAGGAGGTGGACGAACTGTTCTGATTCCATATGATCGTCAAAAGCACAGACTTCCACATGCCGCCGCAGTCAAAGCAATCGCATTTGCTCCATGGCAACCCTCCCTCCTGGCGACAGGAGGAGGCTCTAATGATCGCGCAATCCATTTCTTCCACGCCCGCACCGGTGTCTGTCTCGCGACTATCAGTGTGTTTGCGCAAGTGACCAGTCTGATCTGGAGCCAGACTCGGCGCGAGATTGTAGCGACATTCGGTTATGCCCAACCAGAGCATCCCTTCCGCATAGCCGTTTTCGCATGGCCCAGCTGTGCTCAGGTTGCCGTCATTCCTTGGGGCCCTTCCGGGTCCAGTTGGGATGGCCCTGATCACGATCTCAACTTTGACTGCGGACGAGCATTATGGGCAGTCAGCTACCCTGGGCGACCACCTCGTCCCCCAATTCCCACACAAGATGAATCAGACCTTTTCTGTGCATCGCCCCGACTAACTCCAGTGCCAGGAACCCGCTCGCAATCACCAGGGCGTGCAAATAAATCAGGTGGTCCGCGGCCCAATGTTCGAATTGTCCGGCCCAAAGAGAAAGAAGGCGGGATGTGGTGCCCACGAACCATGGAAGAAGGATGCATTATTGTTGCATCAAGCGATCAGACTGTCAAGTTCCACGAAGTATGGACAGGTCGTCGCAGGAGTACCGGCTCCGCCAGTGGACTGTTAGGAGGCAGCGATATCCTGGAAGGGATGGAAGGTATTGAGAAGTCAAGCAGTGAAGTCATTCGTTAAGAAGCCACGCGCCCTCTGATTCATACTTTTGTTTTATTGTTCCCGTATTCTTACTATCTTACAGGTACCCAGTATGTACATTATTCAAGAATGGGTCTTTATCCTTTAGAGCAAATACATTGCTGATCGCCCCCACCCCTCTGCAGCTCAGCTGCTTTGCAATAATTATTACGATCTGATCCCGATCTCGATCTCTTCCTCTCTTCAATTCCTCTAGAACATTTACAATGCGTCTCACTCTACTCCCCCTCCTCCTATTCTCAAGCCTGGCCCTCGGAAACACCCTCAATGTAACCGTCCTAGGCGCGCAAAACAACATCTCCACCCTGGAATGTTGGGCCCTCCTCTCGGGTTTCAAACACTCCTCAGAAGCCGGAACTGCCGGCTCTGAATCCCTAAACCTTGGTAAACTAGGAGGTGATTCCACCTATACCATTCTACCCGCCGGTTTCAATGGCGGACGACACAACGCGCCAGCACTACAGTACGTCCCATCCTTTAATCCCCACATTCCAAATCAAGACACCTTCGACATAAGACTTTGGCATGTAGCTTTCCACGCTAACGCAGTATCAGATGGGTGATCTTCCTTTCCGGCTTGGCGCATATCACACTGCCTAACTCGACTGCCGAGGCGTGGGTCGCCGGCGGGAAGAACGGGGCTATTTTGGCGCTGGATACGGCCGATGTCAGTGCTTTCGGTCATTATACGACGTATCCATCGAAGGAGCAGACTATTACGTTGGAGATTCCGTTGGGCAACGAGGGTATTCCTGCACATACGGTTTTGCATGGGGGTCCTTGTAAGGGGGAGGAGTTGAGTGCTTAGATTCTCGTATACCCCCAGCACTCGAATGTTTACAGAGAATTTCCCAGATGAGAGGTATAACAGTAAATAGAATCGATTGGATCAGAGGCTATGGACACACAAGATCCAGCAGCGAGCACTTGAGACATAAATGCAGATGCAATCCCAGTATATAAATTTTTAGAAAAACAAAATCCACCTTAAAAATTGGTACAAAGAAAAAATCATCTATTTCCGACCACCCTTCTTCTTCACCGTCTTGCTCTTCTTTGTCGGCGGCGGCTGCTCAATAGCATCGTCGGACTCATCTTCGGTATCAGCGATGAAATCAACCAGCGAGCCCTCGCTAACTCCCTCGTCGTCTTCGTCATCCTCGTTTTCTTCAAGAGACTCCTCAGCGTCAGAAGAGCCAGCGGACTCCTCAGCTTCAATGTCCAGCATGCCCTCCTCCTCCTCGTCTTCCTCTTCGCTGCCGTCTTCTTCGTCTTCGGACTCGTCGATGCCGTTCATCATGGACTCGTCTTCGTCGAAGGTCTGCTCGCGTATCGACTTGCGGGGCTTGGTCTCGGTCTCGCTGTCTGAGTCGTCTTCCTGGCCCTCGACGTAGATAACATTGTCCTCGTCTTCACTATCCATGTCTTCGCCGTCGCCGCGCATGGATGAGCGCAGACCGAGCTGTGCGTCCAACATATCCAGCTTTCCCTTGAGGAGGAGCAGGGAAGGAAGGCTCGACGAGCGCTGGTCCATGACCTTGTACAGGGTGGCCATGCGCTTGAGAAGCTCGGGCTGTCCGGCGAGCGCACCACCGTGAGCGACACAGGTCCACTGGACCCAGACGAGAAGGTGGCCGTAGCGACCGGGACGGGAGGAAAGGCGCTCAGCAAGCTTCTGGAGCAGGGTGGCTGCCAGGGAAGACTCGAGGCGCTGGATGGTGGTGCGGATGATGGAGATGTCGTTGGTGTGGAAGCAGGACTCGAGCATATCGTTGTCGTTGGTCTTGAGGGACTGCGTGAGCACGGTGGCCAGTGACACGCCGGTGGGGATCTGTTGCACGGCTGCGGTGGGCTTTCCGGGGACAAGGGCGCCGAGGTTCACGTCCTCGTCCATCTCGGCCTCGACATCGACTTCGTGGCCAATGTTAGCACGGAGCAGCTCGCCGAAAGAGGGCTCGGCACCGTCCTCCTCCTCATCTTCGTCTTCGTCTTCGTCATTTTGCATCTCGACGTCCTCGTCGGCGGTCAGCTTGGTAGGCTTGGTTCTCTTTTCGGTGGCGGGCTTGGGAGCCTCGTCATCGGAGTCCTCGTTACCGGAGACGGAAGCGGCATCGTCGTTCATGTCGACATCATCATCGACAAAGTTACCCTGCTCAACAACGGCGTGGGTCTCGTTAACCTGGCTTTCACCGACGTTCTTGGAGCCGTTTGTTGTCGCGAATGCAACAGCGGAGCTGGATTTGCTCTTCACAACTGCCTTGACACCGGTAAAGGCAAGCTCATCAGTAGTCTCATCAAGAAGCTTCACACGCTCGAATACGGGGATGACACCGCCCTCGGCATAGGCAACGATGATCTCAGGACCTTGGAAAGTGGCTGATACAACGGGCACGCATGCATTTGAAGATTCGGAGCGGATGATCTTGAGAGAGGCATTGGCCTTTTGGGTCATTTGCTTGCGGGCGGCCTTCGCGCTAGTGGACTGCGCAGCCTGGGGCTGGGCAAAGGGTTTTGTGAAGAGCTCGATAGTTCCATTTTCGGTCACAGCGGCGAGAATCTGCTTCTCGGGCGCAGAGTTGCCGGCGTCGAAAAGGGAGACAGAGGAGACGTCCTGGTCAGCAACCAGGTTGCGCACGAGCTTTTGGTTGGAGGCGTCGAAAACGTTGATGAATCGCTCGCCGTCGGCCGCAAGGAAAGTACCGGCGCCAGCGGACTCCGAAGAGGATGAGATGACGGTGTGAATCTGGTTGCGCATGGCGGGGAACTTGAGCGGCTCCTCGGTGGCTTCAATATCTATTAAGAAAGGCGTCTGAGATGCGCAGATGACGGGCGTGGTGGAGGGGACGGGACGAGAGATGGCAGTAAAGACCGAGGATGCGGGCAGGTGAATCGTCCTATACAAAACATGTTAGGGGTACTACATATCAAACCTCAGGAAGATTGCGCACCTTGAGCTCTGGCCAGTGAGGAGATCCCACTGCACGAGCTTGTTATCGCCTCCAATACTCCAAGCCTCTTGGCCGGGCCGGCCAGCGGTAAACTTGAAATCCTTGATACCCTTGTCGTGAACACCGGTCAAGGTGCCGACGACCTTATCTTCCGAAGGCGAGTACAAGCGAATATCCGAGGTGCTGGTACCGAACGCGACGACGATATCTCCCTGATCCAAACCGTTGACATCAGACCCACGCTTGCGCTTCTTCTTGGATGGGTCGCTCTTCTTTCCCTGGGCGTTGTAGTAGCCCCAATCAAGCGAGGTAATAGTCTCCTTCGGCGCCAGGGCATGCTCGCACTGTAGTTTGCCGGTGTTGGTATCGTGGATGCGGAGATGCTGCGCATCCAGACCCTGGATGACGGACGCGAACAGGGCCAATTGGTACTCCGACGGAGAGAAAGCGGCTCGCAGGATGGAAGATTTGCTGCCGGACTGCGAAAGACCGTCGGCCGGCGATGCGGCCGAGCCGACCTTGGTGGATTGGCGAGATGTCTTCTTGCCCATTTTTTCTTCTTGCCGAAGCTTTTTTTTTCCTTGCTTCGAGGATACTTCGGTTTGAGGTTGGGAGTATAGGGAGAGTAGCGATACCGAAAATCTAGGAAGTCGGGGTAAATCACCGGTCACACTTTTCTCACAGCCCGAGGGAGAACGATGGGGCTTTGGGACTCTGGTGATCTTGCAGTTGCGGAAAGGAAAAAAAGTTCTGTAGTCGGTCTTGGCGCTAATCCTGATGTGGTTTAGCGTGGTGAGGTCGGGCCTTATCTAATCAGCTCGATTTCAGAAGTATACAGCCTCGAGTGATGGACTAACTGGACGGCCGAATTTGATCATTTGGGTCGGGGAAGAGCTACGGAGAACGACTCGAGGGTCCAACGTGCCACGATTTTGGTTTTTTTTCGGTAGATATTTCCCAGGTTAGGACTGACGCCTAGCTCTAGACAGCTTGTGGTGGCCGTGATATATTTCTGTCCGTAGCACCCAGTGCTGCGAGGAAGTTCAATATTCAATCCCTGGCGTGCCATAGCAAGATGAATATGAGAGGGCCTGAATATCGTCTGGTCATAATCTTATCGGATGTCCCTCTAAGAATATTCCCAAAGGTCCTGCTCGATAACTTTGGTTCTATTTTTCAGGTGTACTTTTCAACGCATCTTTTAGATTTGCCCAGACAAATGAACATGACCTCTTGGTCAGACCCACCTCAATACCAGCCTTGTCTGGCAAGCTAATGTTGGAAGTGAATATCTGGTGGGTTGATCCAAACTAGCATCCAGCATACTGATTGTCACCAGACTACTTTGGTATGCACCGAGGTATGACTCAAACATGAATGGTTGAAAATTCGAGGCTCAACCAAGAATGACCAATCACAGTACGTAGATATGGTACTTTCTCCTAACTCTTTGCTTTGTTTATCAGAGTTGCCCAGGTGCTCCCTCGCGCCAAGGGTAATTATACCGTGCATCTTCCTGGAGAATCAACATCAAAAGTAACCTGATTTGACGAGGTGGAGATCACCGTTTACTGTCACTTTAGACACACGACGGAGAGTACCGTATGTTCTGGCCCAGTCCATGTGAGATGATGCCTAATCGGCAAGGGCCAGTTGAAAGCCAGTTGATTGGCCTGGAGTATCTGCAGAGCCGACTCCTAGCAAGTCTCTATTATTTTGCCATAACCCCCTCCTTGCGATCTAGATAGGTCTCCTATAGGTCTGACAACACCCCGTCGACTCATCCTGTGAACATTTGATACAGATCGAAAAGAACACCTTGCTCATACCGGAATAGCAATGCGTCACGTGAATGACGTCGGGATTCGACGCATCACACGCTAGCCGTATTCGGCGAACCCTAGGGTTCAGGGGTTTCGTTGATCTTGGCCTTAATCCACCCGGGTAAGAAAGAGAGTTACCACTATAAGAAGGAAAATATTCCGATCTAGATCACTATCAGATGACAGAATGTGCCATTCTCTCGCCACCACTCTACACTCCCTTAAAAGGGAGAATGAAAATTTTCGTGGACGACGATACGGTACGGTACACCCCTGGAGGCCAATCAGGGCCAGGGATGAACCCCTTTCGCCAATGGAAAAGTAGTGGAGTAGGGAGAATCCGGCTTAGTTCCCTCGGTGGAACTCGCGGCGGTGCTGCGCAAGGCGCCCGTTTGTACTTAAGGATTCTGGCATCCCCTCCGAGGAATTTTCTGCTTCCGTCTCTGGAGCTTCCTTTTATTTGACCGCCCCCCCTTCCTGCCTTTTCTACCCGTATCCTTGGTTACCCCCCTAAGCTCCATGACAACGCGTCTCGCGTCGCGTTTCCCCCTTTACCCTTATTAACCCGCCCCGGCCATTTATGATTTATTTTTCATAATTTCTCTCTATTTATCCATACCATTCCCACCTCAGGCATCAATTTTTTTTGGATCCCCTTTTTTACGCTTTACCCTTCATCCTCCATCTACTCCAGATCCCGTGACTTCCGATTTCGGACTTGTCGCCTGAGTGCCTAATCACCCCCTCACCGCCCACGTGACTGAAGCTACTGCTTTCTTGGCGGTATAAATTCTTTCGCCTCCGATCGCATTCTCCACTCTTCCTATCTCCCGGCTATCCTCCCCCCCCTGCCCTTATCGCATTTCCTTTACGTCGCGTCTGGTCTCCGCGATCGCAATACCTGCCTGTGATAGCGCGCGGAGAGCGGCTTTGTGTATCCAGTTGAATTTGCGCCAAAGGCAATCGTCGATAGCTTCGCCCTCACCCTGTTCCGTGCTCTAGAAAGCTTGTACGTTGGTCTCTGGGACGATATCCTCCATGGCGACTCCGCCTCCTGAGGCTGCTCTTGCGATGAAGGAGGAGAAGCCTCAGCTTCCCCCCTCGCCGACGGGAATTCCTGCGCCCGATGCTGCGCCAACCAGGTAAGCTATCGCGTTGTCGCTGAATGCACTTTTCGCTTGCATGACCCTTACGCTGACCTCACTTTGAAGCGTTCAAGCAGAGGCAAAATCGGATGTCCCTGTCGGTTCGACCGAAAGCAATGGAAGCGCGATCAATGGCCATACCCCTAATAAGTCTTCCATTACCAACGGTACCGGCACTGCCGCATCCCCCCCGAAGTCGCCTGCACCCGCACCCACCACAGACTCTCTCGCGCCCGCCACCTCAGTCCAGAGTGCGACACCAGTGACTGCTGAAGCAACATCCAACGAAGAAGTGAAGGAAGAAACCAAGGCTCCCGAGGGGACAGCCTCTCCAGCGCAACCGCAGGTCTCAGAATCGAACACTCTGACTGCTGCGACTGAGTCTGCAGTCAATACGACATCCACCTCTCAACCCGCCCCTGCCACCGGCACGTCTTTAGAATCGCTTGACGGCGCTGCCGGCATCTCGGACAAGATGGCTATCGACAGCCCCCAGTATGCTGCACCCATGAGCGCTGATCTTCCTCACCATTCCACCGAATTCTCCAACTCCAGTCTGCCTTCTCTCCAAACTGATTGTGAAATGACGGACGCCCCCAGTGCTCCTCTCTCCAGTGCCCCTCTCTCTCCCTCCAAGGTCTCTCGTGAACGCGAGGTAGACCCTATGGAGGAGGAGCCTGCGGCCAAACGTACCAAGGTCGAAGCCGAGGATCGGGCACCCGTGACTGTGCCAGTGGACGTCAAGCCTCCTACGCTGCCAAACCCCGCGGCCGAGACCCGCGGCCCGATGCCCGCGGGTGGCCAAAACGGACTCACCAAGATGCAGCACAAGTTCATCTCGAAGAGTTTGTCGAGCCTGAAGCGCATGCATGACTCACGCTTTTACCGCGAACCCGTGGACCCCATCAGACTAAACATTCCCAATTACACCAGTCTTATCACCCGGCCTATGGACCTGGGCACTATGGAGAGGAAGCTCAAGAACAATGAATACTCGTCTCCGAGGGCGGTTGCTGATGATTTTGCTTTGATGGTTCAGAACTCTCTGACCTTCAATGGCCCTGACCATCTGGTTGCCCAAGAGGGCCAGAAGCTGGAGGCCACGTTCAAGAAGCAGATGCTGAACATCCCCAAGCCTGATGAGGTGGAGGAGAAGAAGCCGAAGAAGACGACGGAGAAGACCTCGGCCGCTCGCCGGGAACCTCGCACGTCTCTTGGTAGCCAGCCTGTTGCCAAGGCCGCTTCCCCCAGAGCACCACGTTCGCCCTGGGTCCGGAGGGTCTGCCTGTTATTCGTCGTGACTCTACGAACCCCGATGGCCGCCCCAAGCGTTCGATCCATCCTCCTAAGCGTGATCTCCCCTATTCCACCAAGCCCAAGAAGAAGAAGTATCAGTGGGAGCTGCGCTTCTGCCAGGAAGTTCTCGACGAGCTCCACAAGCCCAAATACCAGCTGATTGCGTGGGCCTTCTACCAGCCCGTGGATCCTGTTGCCCTCAACATTCCAACTTATCATAGCGTGATTAAGAAGCCCATGGACCTGTCCACCATCCAGTCCAAGTTGAAGACTGGCCAGTACGAGAATGCCAAGGAGTTTGAGTCTGACATCAGACTCATGTTCAAGAACTGCTACCGGTTCAACATCGAGGGAGACCCGACTTATGCGGCTGGACAGTCTCTCGAACAGGTTTTCGATGAGAAGTGGGCGCAGATGGCTGAATATTTGGAGAAGCACGAGCCGCACCATGATCAACAGACTGATGACTCTGATGAGGATAGTGACGAGGAGAGCGAGGAGGAGGATGAAGACACCGAGAAGCTCACCCTCTTGCAGCGCCAGATTGCAGAGATGTCTCGACAAGTCGAGATGATCACTCAGAAGAAGAAAAAGACCCCTCCTTCGTCCAAGAAGGCTGGCACCAAGGCCAAATCGATCAAGAAGGACGGTAAGAAGCTCGGTAGCAAGAAGGAAAAGAGACCCAAGACCAGCAGCTTCAAGCCGGAGAAGGCACGCTTCGTCACATACCATGAGAAGCAGGTTATCTCCAACGGCATCAGTAGTCTTCCCGATAAGAAGATGCAGGAAGCGCTTAAGATCATTCAGAACAACGTTCCTGCTCTAAAGGTAAGATCGCAATTACATCTATCCATCATACTGAACTAAACATTAACTCACAAATCCAGGGTACTCAAGAGGCCGAGATTGAACTGGACATCGATGAACTGCCCAACGATGTCCTGTTGATGCTTCTTAAGTTCGTCAAGAAGAACGTGCCCCACCTTATGGACGACGAGGACTCCGCTCCTGCCGCCAACGTTGCGCCCTCCAAGCCAAAGAAGAACAAGCCGATGAGCAAGAACGAGCAGGAGGCCCAGATTTCCATGCTGGAGAGTAACCTGTCTCGTTTCGCGGGCGGTGGCTCCCCTGTCCCAGTTCCCTCCGTCGAAGCCAACGAGTCCAGCGAGGACGAGTCTGACGACGACGATTCGGAGGAGAGCGAGGAGGAGTAGAAGCCAACCTGGTTTCTTCCCGTCTCTGGCAAAACGGCTTGCTTTGATTTGCGTTCCAAGCGTCGATATTTCCCTTCCGCCTGTTCTTCTGGTCTGATTCTTTCCCCTTCGTTCTTGATCTAATTTACTGTCTGGATTAGGGCCAGCACCTCTTATTTTTTCCTGTGCAACCCTATTTCCGTTCAGACGTTCAAGAATCCTGTACATATTTTTTTCTTTTTTTTTTTTTCCCTTTCGAACATCCTGGACCCGACATATCAAGGCCCTGATCCCGGTGGGCTTCAAATCTGGAAGCTGTCAGAGTTCACGGATGATTTGCTTGAATTGTTTACCCGTCTTTTCAAGCCGAGTACGTTCACTCGTATCTCGACGGGAAGATCTACTCCATGAATTTACGGGTAGAAAAACGGGGATTGATCTGAAGCGATTGCTTCACATGTATGATTACGAAATAAATGCGGAAACGTCCTTAATTACTGTACATGTAGACTGGTTTCACTTGTAGCTATTTTATGTCGTAGCTCGGGCAATTGCCGACCTCCGCGGCAGAACTTCCTTTCTCTTCCCCCACACCATGATACCCCCTTGCGACCCCTCCATTCTTGAGAACAATCCCCAATTTAAACGACTCTACGAAAATCTCACAACAAACTTATTGAATCCCGATGGATCAACTCGTGCGCACAGTGCAGACCCGACCCGAGAAGCTGTCGCGGAGGTATGTCGTGGCACGCGTCACGAACAACTCGTATCACAACAACGATCAAACCGAGATTCCGGTAACTAACCAATTCGTTTCGATAGGACCTGAAACAATGTCAGATCCGGAGTACGAAGAAGCGGATAAAGGAGCGGACGCTCAAGCAGCTGGCGTCTGCAGCAGACAGCAGTCTCCCGAACGAGGTGCGCCGCAATTGCGATGAACCAAATGTTCACGCTGCCCAAGGAGAGGCTCTAATTCCATATGCCCCAGTGCCACGATAACTTAGCTATCATAACCCTCTACCTCGAGACACCACGCAGCGCAATCGACCCAGAGAGCCCCCAAAACACCGAGGAACCAACCAAAGACAATGCGGCCTCTCTCCTGGCCCCAGATATTGAAATATTCTACTCGCACATCCCATCCCTGATCCTCCCCTTCTCAAACATCCTCTCTACCGCAATCCACGAGCTCCGAAGCCTATCAACAACAAACGCAGAGGAAAGCCCAGACACAGAACCCTTGCAGGAGAAGCCACAAAACATCTCCGCCCATTACCGCTCAACGTCGAACCACTATGCTCGCGCACGCGCCCGAGACCGACGGGTCCGTACCTCAATGGCGCCTGTCCCGCCCCCTCGCGTCGCAGCTATCAGATCGGGTCCAGACTCTCCGCCGTGTCCAAATTGCAGATCTGCCAGCTGCACGCCGGAAGATGGCTGCAACCGCGGCTGAACTGCTGGCAGTACAAACACAGGTACTAGAGCGGGTAGTTGTGCTTCTTGAACGGGTAAAATATGGAGTTTTCGCGCGAGCGACGAAGGCAAAGGCGGAGCATCTGGCTACTGTTGCGCAGGGGGTTGAAGGGAAGTTAGAGTAAGTTGCACACCTCTCTATGTGGAATTCCACGACTGTTCTCGACACGATCGCTAACAGCTCCTGCAGAGTAACCAAACTCGAGATTGCAGCAACTCTCTATACACCCGAGACATTGGCTGCGCTCAGCCGGTACCAGCAACATATCCGAGAATCCAAGAACCGCCTAGAAGAGCGACGAGAACTAGCCATGGAGGAACTGTCGCGTTACGGAGATGTCCAAGCCTCCGAAACCACGGGCCTAGATCGAAGCGGACCAGGAGGCACGATGAGCGAGATCGCCCGCCGGTATGGCTCCCTAGCAAAGGAAGTCGAGACCGTGAGAATGGAAATCGCCCGCCTTGGCGAGTAATAGATACAGCCCAAGGTAATTCGGGACACATTAGAATAATACTCAATACATTTGGATATACTCCGCAATCACATGACCACCCCGCCAAAAATTTATCCGCCACCGAATTCAAACTCGCGTTCCTGACTTTTCCTTTTCCCCCCTACACGCAAAACCACTTCAAAACCACTCGGGAAAAGACACAAAATGGCAGACGAAGGCCTCAACATTTACGATGAGATCGAGATCGAAGATATGACCTTCGACTCGGCGACTCAGCTTTACACTTTCCCGTGTCCATGCGGCGATCGGTTCGAGATTTGCATTGATGATTTGCGCGATGGCGAGGAGATTGCCGTGTGTCCTTCTTGCAGCTTGATGATTCGGGTTATATTTGACTTGGTACGTGCCTATGTTTTCCACAGGTCTGAAGCTTTCAAGTTGCTAATATTTTCTTTCTGTAGACCGATCTTCCCAAGGCGGATGAGCAGAACACGGAGGCTGTTGCTGTGCAGGCGTGAATGAATGCGACATGAGATGATATTTCTGGTCGCTTTTGCGCTGGAATCACAAATCGAATCTCGACGGAGATATCCACCGACGGCCCTGGCACTTGCTTGAAAAGCCCACAGATACAAATCGCCACCTGCTGAGCGCTGCCTCGCTGCACCCACTCTCGAGCAAACTGCATTTCGACATTATCGAACTGCCCTCGATCACAAAGTGGTCTCTATTACTCGTGAGCTGTGCAGTTTATCGCAATATCAAATAAGCACGAGTCACGGGGCTTAACTGTTTCTCAGTCTTTGAGTATGCGCCTCAGCCGAGAGTATGTGCATGGCTGTTTTACAGCTGATTCACAGTGAGACTAATTGCGGCTCGCATGCTCGGTGAGACAGAGAGTAAACTGGTTCATGAGCTTGCCTTGAAAGGTTAACACCTTACACTAGCTGTATGTAGTTCTTAAGAATACACCTTCATACCAGAGCCGCATTTAATACACCTGGTCAGATTGTTCAATGCCACATGGACACAAGCCTCCAGACTACAGCTACCCCCTTATAAAACCACCCTCTGGCTACTCGTCTCTGTATAATCTAAAAATCCAAGAAAGGAAAGAAATGCCTCGTAAAATCGATGTAATAAAATACACACACTCATCTCACCCTAGATAATCTAATACCGAGACCATAGACTTCAAACCCCAACCTCTAGTCCAAAATCTCCGAGTAGATATCTTTCGGCAAGTTAAGCGTCAACTCGGAGTTCAACAAATCCGTAAGATTCGATCCATCCCGCAAATAAACCCACTGCCCATTCGCAAACTCACGCGTATCCTGCTTCTCATGCATACGATCCCCCTCAACGATCCAATCGAACCGCTTAGGACCAGTGAGAGGCGAGCTAAGCCAAATCTGCTTGTTGGGAGGTTGTTTGTTAAGCACGAAAGTGCCGATGGCGGGAACGGAGATATTGAGGACGCCAGCCTGCTTTTGTTAGTCAAATAAATGAGCATGTAGGAACGAGAAAGACGTACGCTGTACTCAGCCTCAACGTCCGAACCCTCCTCTTGAGCCTTCTCCAGCTGCTGAACGAGGTAGTTGAAGTAATGCTCCGAGTACTCGTAGTACTCCTCTGGAGTCAAGGGTGTAGGTTCCACGACATGCTCTGCGGCGCCAGCGACGGGTGACTGCGGGTTCGGGGGCTTGGGGTCTGATGAGTCGGGCTGGATGCCCTTTGCGGATGCCGGGGAAGAGAAGAAAGAGCGGGCCGAGGTGACGGCGGGAATGGCACGGAGGGGGCCGGATTGGCGGGTGACTGGTGTGCGTAGAGAGGGACGAGCGGCGTACCGCATGAATTTGGGTGCTGTGCGGGAAAACATGGTGAATTGTGGTTGTCGTTGGTGTTATGCAAATTGAAGGAGCGAGAAGCTTGGAGCTGCGGGCTGCGGAGAAGGCATACATCATAGGTGTTGTTTTCACCGCCTTCTGTTTTGGGAGGTGGTTGCGGAAGTTGTGTGATTGGTTGGTGTATACTCGGGCCAAATATTACAATCTTAGGTATCTGTAACATTGAATAGAAGCTAGTATTGGAGGAAATTTCCAATTGCAGAGGATAATATAGATCTTGATGGTGCCATTGGTTGTCCACTTATATATCGAGCATATTTCGGAATCTCTTGTCGACGAGGCAAACATCCTCAATGTGGCCACAGACCAGACTCACTTGACAAGCTTGCATGCTCTTGAAAGAACTTGTACTCTCTAAGGGAACCAAATTGAGGTCCATTATATTCCTAAAACCAAGTTGACAGCCGACATACCAAGCCATGTCAGCCTGGAATGCCTCGAGTCGGGAATACTACATATTGCACGCGCCTTCAGGGCGGAAGTTTGGGTAACTGCGGGCGGATTCCTAACGGGAGGACAGAGCCTGTTATAGCAATAAATACCTGTCCCGAGGTATATCGCAGAAGCCCTGACATTTAATCCACGCCCAGGAGCACATCTACGAATGAGGGCTTGTCAAGACATAGATATGGTGGTACACCTCGGGGTAAACAAATTGTTGTTCGCTATTCCCCAGTTTGACATAGCAGTCGCTCTGAAATCCTGCCATGTCCTAATTAAAATACCTCTTACTTCTGGATTTGAGACAACGTTAATCCTCTGCCCCCTTAGGTATTAGTCTTGATTTGCACAAGACTTGAATAAATACTAGATGTTACTTCATTCAAGCATACGAGCGCAGAGCCATTTGAACAGTTGAGTACGATAATACTTTATTTCTGCCATCGACGGCAATGTGTTCGACGCTGTCTCCAATCCAATAATCGTCAGAGTCACCGAGTGGCCTTGCAACTTGTCGAAAGGGATGGCCAGTCGTAGTGAATTGCACATCTTATAGCATGGGGGCCTACTATGGAATGGGTAGTCTTTTATAATCTGGCTTGAATGATTGACTCTAGTTGGAAATAGCCATATAAACTGAAATTGGCCATGCTTAGACCAATACGATGAGGCTGAGTTTCCGAGGAAGTTCTTCCATGATAAATTGGAGCATATCAAATCCAGCTCCTAGCCAACACCTAGGAGCAACGGCCCGCGTTGACATCGGCTCTAAAAGGTATTAGCGCAATATACTAGAGTCATCATCGCAAAGGCAGAAACCCACCGGAAGTACCATCCATTCCTTTCCCCAGAACCACCTCTCTCACAGTTGTTGATCTGCTCCTGCATATACGCATTGCACTGAGATGAGGTAAGACTGCCTCCAGTAGTGGCCTTGCGCTGAATCCAGAATTCGGCCTTGTTATTGCCAAATTGCAGATTATAGCAACCGTACTTGGTCTGGCCGGCGCGGTAGCCTTCGCTGCCTCCGTTTCCACTGCACCATCTTCCTGCGTGGTCGATCGCTACGTTGCGGTTATCGCCCCATTTCTTGCCGCCTGAGCAGCTTCGCTCCTCGATTTGAGCTTCTTCGGTGGGCGTGGCTGAGACGAGGCCCATTGCCAGCAGGGCAGTGAAGAGGTGCGAAATTTGCATGTTGATGTTCTCGGTATAAGGTTGACTGATTGTCTTGTGTAAAAGTTGAGTGTGCTTGCTCGAGTTGAATGCTAAGTTAATTCGGGGGAATTGGCTGCCTATTTATAATGATTAAGATCATCTTCCGTTCCAATGTTTTGACACATTCTATAATTGTCGATGAGGGGACATTATTTGCAAATATCCAATCGCCAATTAGCTCCCATTGAAGATGCCGCCAAGATGAAGTTGCTAGAAATTGGATATAATATTTGATATTACAATACAATTACAATATATTACGCTGCATTTGGACAGATTCTTCTCGGATCCGGCCTATGGGCCGGCCTAAATGTCAATGTCTACTAGTAGGCCAGCTTGAATGTGATAAATATACCCTGGCCCCCAAAGCTCGTACATATGTACCGTTCCGGTCGTGCATGACGGTCCGCGGTGCCGATCCAGGACCCTGCATATTGCATATGCGGCAATTGAAGGAGCTGATAGGCACAAAGATGTAGCCAAGACCTCTTGAGTTACATCAGCCAAACCGGAGAATTTGTTGTCAGACAGCGCCAAGGCTGAGGAGTGGACAGGAGCGCTACATGATACCGAGTGTAGCTATTGAGACAAGGCTGGGTAGCCCGCCTGAAGGTGCGTTTGAAATAATTATTCCGAAATTCAAACTGAAATCTTCTTATTTTTGAATGCATCGTAATCGTATTTGCCTATTCTCTGACGGTAAAATTAGTTCGAGCGGCACATAGGGCCTAATTAGGGAACCTCAGCTTCAGGCGTCCAATCTTGATCCATTGTATGTGAAATCAAGGCTTTACAGTACGCCCCTAAGGCGCATGAAAATAGATGAATTGTCTCTACGCGCCCACTCCTAATAATTTTCTCGGAAGATTCATGATCAGAGTTACGTTTGAATTCAAGGGCAATTGAATTTGGACCCCCAATTTGAGCCGAATATGGAAATTGTCATGGTTCAAATCAAATAATTCGTACAGTACATGTGCATCGCCAACCTTTCACCATTTCCGGTTAACATCTGTCGTTTAATGACCGTTCTTTGTTAACTGATCTTCAACCATTTTCTGTTGATCCCATTCTGTTTTTACTGGTTGTTTCCAGCTAACTGGAGGAACAAGGCGCTTACACCCTCGCGTTCCAAAAGACGCACTTTTCGAGCGACTCGTAGACCCATCTTGTTTTCACTTCAGGTAATGAGTCTCACTTATCGGGCAAAATCGCAAAGTTTTGCTGGATACAAGCTGATTTTCTTCATGACATTATTCACCTTCTGAGGGCTTTCCTCAGAATCAAGCCAGACTGCACCAAGGATTGCCTCCACTGTGGTAGCAAGTGCCTCATCTGGCACACTTCTCTCTTGATCTAGTCTTTGATGGATGAACTTCTGTAAATCCAAAGATCTAGCCCTAGAGGTTAAGTTCCTATTGCAGGCATAAACCTGAAGTAGATTCGTTCCTTGCTCTGTAAAATGTCAGTACGATATCCACGATAGCAAGAGCAGACCTACCAGTGGTGTTGCCTTCGCCGTACCATCGGCGAAGTAGCATAAGTGACAAGATCGTGTCACCTAACAAGGCCAATCTCTCGTTTCCTGCGGCTTCTGGTCCGGCTTCTTCTAGAGCCTCCTCCATCAAACTTCGATCTTTAAATTGATAGCCAATCAGGCACTCAAGTTCTGGCGCCATACTGTATAGATTGTATGCTTTAAGGTGACAGTCAAAACAGTCATATGTGTTATGATCCAAAATTACGTTAGCTTAGGGCCGTGAAGGTGAGCTATATATTGGTGCTATTCGTCATGACATAGGTCTGGAGGATCTTACGTCGGTATGACCCTTAGACTGAAAGTAAACATCGATATGGTTCGTGGACCAATTCAATATTTAAATCTTCCAATCTTTATCCAATTAATTTCTAGTCACATGCGAGAGTGAACATCATGATTTTGGCATGGACTTGTGATAGCTTTCGTATCGCCACCGGAAGAGCCAAGGCATATGACATACATACACCTATACCCACTCGAGCGCAAGCCCCCAGGCAATTCAAATCTGACAACAAGCGTAGGAAGCATGATTGATTTGATCCAAAATTATCAGATCTTCTCACCTCTTCTAGACAATGGGAGAGAACACGGTAATCTACATTGACTCAATTGATAGACTAAAGCTTACACGTTCGATACTTTAAGCTAAATAATACGACTTAGAGTGTTCCGGGAGCAACAAGAGTCCAAAATCAGATTCTCTAGACACAAAGGCATTGTTTTCTCGGCTCATACCCGAAATCACGCTAGTCCATACATAGACAATCCTGGTAGGAACTGGCGACTGAGCCCTTTCACTCAACGTGTAACCGCAGATCTGACCTTGAGCTTGATGGTGTGAGACCCTGAGGGAGATGATAGAGAGAACCTTGGAATATCTAGACCCGATGCTATTTTCCAGTGCTTGTAGTGACGATCGCTACCACTTATATTAAATTGTTAAGGCTGCTCCTTCCTTATACCAGTTGACTTTGCGCGACATGGCGTTCTTGGGTTATTCGTTTGAACAGTAAAGAGATATCGTCGAGACCCTTAGATGAACGAAAGAGCAAAGGGGAGAGCTTGAAGCGTACGGGGCAGTATGGAAATGATTGTTATACAAAGGCTATGAACAGCACCACAGGGGTTCTTATTATATCGATCGACAAAGGAGACCGCTTCCATCAGTTTAGTACGCCACAAATCAATAGTCTCGAGGGATGCCCATCAAAGGTAATAATACTGTCAAAAAAGCCTTCACTCCACTCAACCTCACCATGAGCTCTTTGAGCCAGCTCCATTCGGCTAAAGGAGCCCCCTTCAGCTCAAGGGTCTTTTACAGTTGCAAGGTGGCTAATGCTGGGCTCAAAAAGGGCAACTTTAGGCACAAACATCCTCTCATTGACCACTTTCGGGGTGCAATGGTGCTTTTGTCCAAGCTTCAGGAATCAATATCCCCATCGCTAGAACCATGACCACGCCATTTTGGACGTAGCTAGCATTTTTTACGTCTGTGATGACTCTCCGTCCCGTCTAGACTCGGTCACTGAGGCTTATGAGGTGACGTGGGCCCCATTCGTAATGAGGCTGGCCACTAAGGAGTGGCGAAGAGTTCAAACTGGGGCAAGACTCGTGTCCCTATTCATAGGATGAATTTATTTCTCGAGAGGATTTCCAAAGGGGTAAGCAGAACAGATGGGGGATCGAAGAAATCAGAAGCGGTTTTGTAGTCTATGCTGATGCAGTAGAAAGTAAGCGCACGGCTTCACTTCACCTCCTGTACAATCTTCAAGCACCTTCTCCCCGGTTCCGTCACCCCCCGAACGTTACCAAATATTGCCAAACATTGCCAATATGACAGTATAGTTACTTCATACCAGAAATGCAGCGCGAACACCAGACCCCCGTGGGTATGACCAAGCAGGCGAGACGCTGCGCCGTGTTTCCCGACGACGGTTGGGTATTCGCAAGACCCAGTAGGAAGGCCGGGAAGTCAACCCGTATGCCCAATCATCATTGTCCCATCGAGGAACCGAAGACAAACACTACAAACGCCTTTCGGTAACTGCACACTGCACGCCGCACGCTGCACGCCGCACGACGGATCCCCCCGGGCGCGAGTTGCCGGCACCAGTCAGGTCCGGCAAGGCTTAGCCAGCGCGCTTTTTGGGCTAATACCTAAGTGCCTACGGAGACAGTGACGACAGCAAGACGATCCAAAGGGGCCGGTGTTTCATCCACGACGGATCTTGCCCTGTCAGGGGCTGTAAGGGCCAGACCAAAGGAGTCAAGGTTTAGCGGGAGACGCTAGCGATCGGGATCAACTCCGGATCGCCTATGACTGGCCCATGCCGTCATCTATTCTTTGCGCCAAAACGGTCTCTGCGAACAGTGTTCTTGTCAATGAGCCATCTCGAAACGTCTCGTTGTTTATTATATGGTCATTGTTCTTGCGTCACATCTAATTTGACAAGTGGCCTCCTGGAAATTAGGAAATATAGGTCTCTACAATGTGATAGGTCGTCGTCGGCCGCTGCCCTGAGTGCGTCCACGGAACTCTTTGTTTTTTTCACAGCTTTCTCCACTCACATCTTCGTCCACGCAAGCATTGCCCACGGTTCGCTAGCCGGTACCCACCCTAACCCTCCGGTCTCCTCTTCGTACGCACATTCACGGGCATCTGTATCTGTCAGGGGTGGTCCAATTATCAGCTCCTGGTGTCAGCCACCCCGCGATGAGCGGTTTCTAATGTACGGTGGTCAGGCACCGTGTTTCCCGATCCATTTGGCCTATCTCTTAATCGTCCTACAGGGTGTTACAGGGCTCTACAGAGCTCTGGCGCTCTCACCCAAAACACTCGCTAGCTCCCCGTTACACGGGGTCCAGACTTCAGTGGAGCTGCGATGGATCTCTTCGCCGAGCACTGTGGAGTGCCTCGAACGGGCCACCTCTTTGATAGAAGGAATAATTTCCTTCTTTACGGCCCCGCTTTGTCGCTTTTAGTGCCTTAATTGCATCGAAAGCGCCTGGCCAGACAGGAGAGAGCCAATCACCCCGGCCTTCGGGCTGCCAACCCCATGATCCACATGATGCGTCCCCCTGGTTCTCCTTGTATCACGTCGGTAATTCTATGGATGAGCCATCAGAAATGGAACTACCACCATTGCAGGTATCCAATGGCTGTTGACTAGTCTGGTCCACTCTATCAGAACGGCGAAGAAAGTGGCTCCAGCCAGCTGGATGCTGGCCCAGCGCACACTCATCCTCCGGGAATAAAAGCCTCCTTCCCCCTCACGTTTCTAGCCTTCTTCTTTTTTTTCTTCAGCCTGCTGCGTCAGTTCTCTATTCATTCCTTGATCTCTTGATCCTTCTAGTTCCTGTGCCGTGCACGGTCTAGACTTCCTTCCTTTTCAACTACATTCATTACCACCTGAGAACAGGCTTCTCTACTTTCCACTCATTCCCTGTGTGAATCTGTCGCAGCCGAAAAACCAAAAGCCCAAAATGGTCTCCTTCACTGCTCTTTTTACTTCCGGCCTTCTGGCTACTTCTGCCTTCGCGGCTCCCTTCACCCATGTGAAGCGCGACAACACCACTAGCTCTAGCAAGCGTGGTGCCGCTTACAACGACATCAACACTGTCTCGCCTCTCACCACCGATGGCACTATTTCCTGGGCCTACAACTGGGGTATGTGGTCGTTCGGCGACCTGCCTTCCAATGTTGAGTATGTCCCTATGCTCTGGGGCAGCCAGTACTTCACTGGCTGGGTTGCTGCCATTGAGACTGCCTTGTCCGGCGGCAGTGACTACATCCTTGGCTTCAACGAGCCCGATATGCCTTCGCAGGCCGATATGACCCCTGCCGATGCTGCCTCCTACTACACCCAGTACATCACCCCGTACTCCGGCCAGGCCAAGCTGATCTCTCCCTCCGTCACCTCTTCCACCGAAAGTGGCGCTGGTCTGTCCTGGATGACCGAGTTCTTGGGCGACTGCAGCTCTTGCGGCCTCACCGGTCTTGCCGTCCACTGGTACGGTACCACCGCCGAGGAGTTCGAGTCCTTCATTACCCAAGCTATCACCACCGCCCAGGAGTACAGCCTGACTGAGGTCTGGATCACCGAGTTCGCCCTGAACGCTGACGTCAACGGCGTCGCCGACGCTTCCACCACCGCCGCTTTCCTCGACACTGTCCAGCCCTGGTTGGACTCTCAGTCCATGGTCACTCGCTACTCCTACTTCATGTGTGCTGAGAACTACCTGCTCACCGATAACGCTCTCAATGCCGTTGGTGACGCTTACGTTTCCTCTTCCAACTAAGTGGAAATTGTGGGTATGATATGTGTGATGTTCGCATGGTCAAACATAACCTGATGGGATCTTCTTTCTGTATACGGGTGTCTGAATCAGAACTGCGGTTTCTGGCTCACGGCGCTAGGTGACGGGACTCATCTGTCTATTCTGAATTCTCATGTTCATATTTTGGAACTGCAAATACTACAAAAGCTTCATTGCCAATTCTACCTCTTCACGTGTTCACTCATAGTTATTGCTCCTGAGATAAATGTTTCAATAAGCACTTTACAATCTCCCAGTATACTTACAAAGCTCCCAATCCAACACGGACGCAGCACTGTGGAAAACTCTTGCCTCACTCCTCGCCTCGTCTAAGGCCCAAGAAGTATATCGCCCCATTGACCCAATGCCCCATTGACCCATCGCCCCATCGCCCCGTCGCCTCAGCGCCACTTCATTTCCAGCACCAAGCACCCACCAACCCACCCCCACTCGCCAGCTTAAACAATGGGTCAACGTCCGCCAAGCCGGCGAATTCTCTGCGCCAAGAGGGCTGGCCTTCTAGATGCATCTACGAGGGTCGATGGGGATCTACGAGTCTTTTACTGGCTTGGCGGGCGCGTGAGGGAGTGGTTTGGGTCTTGGGAGTGTCTTGGAAGGGCCTGGGAGGGCCTGGGTAGTAGCTCCGGTGAGTTGGATGAACTTAATAGGATCTAGGTGAATGATAGGGTTCCAAGGTTAGCCATTTGATCGAATGAGATGGATCCTCGGGGATTTGGGCTATGTGGAAGGCGGGACTTGGTGGACCCACACATAAACACTGCTCAGGAACAAACCCTAAATCCTTGGCGTGGCTGTTTCGATAGCTGATTTGAGGCTATTTTATTTGCCCTATCTCAGGACGATAATGATGTATGATTGATCTGATAAGGCGTCATAGTATCCGGTGTAGGACCTGGGACGTTGAGAAGATGTCAAGAAAGCCATTGAAAATCTTGAAAAGCCTGCTTCGTGTATTGTTAGGTATTTCCACTACAATCGTGCAATCGTTTTAATAACATTTTTACCGTTCTTCATAATTCGACTGCTAGAACTTGTGACATGCACATTGAATAGAAAACAAATGACAACGAAATAACAACAGAATAGCAACAGAATAACAGCAAAGAGCGATAGGATAAGACCAAGGACACCGAGAGGCTACATCACGGCAGCAATTCTGGTGTCAACTCCATGCAAGTCCCGAGGGAAGTCACAGTCATTGCCCACACAACCTTCCCGTGGACAACAATGCCCTCTAATACATTTCTCATCATCACACCTCGAGCCCCTTTGGCAAACACCGAGTCGAGCGATACACATCAACTCGTTTACCTCCTGCTCAGAGAGCCTTGGCTCATGCTTGTGGGTACAAGGTTCACCATAATAGCATGATCCCAAGATATAAAACTGGAAACAAAACCTCCCCCTTCTTAAGGCGCCGATTCTGCGACTAGAGGAGACGCCCAGTGGCTTGTCGACTCGCTGGCCATTTGCATTTCTACAGACAGCCAAGTTCGAACGGTCTTGTCTAGGGCTTCCAGGAATGCCATTTGATGCCGAGGGTCCATTGTTTGTCTCGGATTGTGATTGAGGTACCGACCTGACCATGGATGCATAATTCGGAGGCGGTGTTCTCGGCACCATCGATGTGCTACTAAATGACACTCTTCTGGACAACGACGGCAGCTTTGTAGACCGGAAAACATTGCCGAATGATATGATCCTGAAGCCATCTTTCAAAGCTTTCAATTCTTGTTCGAACGGGGGGCCCTCGACGAGTGAGATGCGATCCGATCCGCGATAGGGCCTTAACATGTGCGCATAGCCATTGTCCCCAGAACCACCAAAGACAATACATAGACAATGAACATCAATAAGATCATATTCGAAGAGAGCTAGAGTTAAGTATTTAGTAGGCTTCCATATTCTCCACTTTGTACTTTGCATTGTCAAAGCTTCAGTACTGAACTTACCTCGAATTTTCGCATCAGAGCCCTCTTTAGCCTTACCCACATCCACAAAGTCACACAACATGTTCTCCATATTAAAACCTTGAATGAATGATTCCAAGACATCCTCAGAATCAATAATGCTGGCCCTGTGGTACACTTTGGCCAGTCCTCTCACGTTTGCGTAGACACGGATCTTGTATTGGACGTTGGAGCTAGGCTTCGGCTCGGCCTCTTGGGCATGGTTCTGAACAGCTTCTTTCAGAAGCTTGGCAGCCTCTTGACCTCCAGTTTTCCCATCTTGAACAAGCGTATCTAAGAACTTGGAGAGATCAGGACCACATTCCATCAGAGACACAAGAGATTCTCCGGCTTACATTCATACCGTCGCCATCAATGAGCACTGAAACATAGCTCAACCTCGCCTACATGTCTTCTGTCAATATCTACTAAGCTTGAGGGTAATAGGAAGGAACACGAGAACCCACTTGATCTTCATGCATCTTTCGGAGCTCATCCTGATTCTTCTTAGAATCCTCTTTGTAATCACGCACCAGTCTCTTTTGATCTTCAAGCTCGTCTTTCTCTTGTTTGAGACTGTTCCGAAGCTGCTCGACCTTAAAAAAGAGCTCCTTATCAATCAGAAACAAGTCTTGTTAGCGTTGAATCAATGGTCATTACGGGTATATATGACGGGCATAGCAACCTCGATAACAGTATCCTTGCTATTATCAATAGCCCTCACGGCTTCGTATCGCTGCTTTAACTCCCCCACATCAATCATTGTGCCGAGTTTTCGAAATTCCGGTGTCAAAACAGAGGCAGCTAGTATAGGAATGGGATGAGCAGCGTGACCCGTCAATAGGGAAGAGATGGATTAGCATAGGGAGCCTGTGTTCTTATATTACTCAATTCTTGACATACAAGGCAGACTGCCACGTCAGGTGGCTGGTTTCGAAGACATTGGCTCTTGAATCCATTGCGCTAGATCATGCTATGTAATTGGTCTGGTCTGCGCGGCTACTCAGCCGCATTGAGTGATTGGCGATTGCCGGGATCGTGAACATCACCTGGATACTGAGAAACCAACATGCGTCAACGCGAGCCTGCGCTATCTTTCGACCCAGCCTTTGGACGTTATTTATAATTTGAGCAATATTTCTGCCTTGAATTGATAGGTGGATGTTCCATCTACATAACACATGGATCCATTGTCCTTTGGTGGTTGGAAACCAACCAACACGCGCGTAGCTATTAACAGCGGCTAGTAGGGAAAAAGGCGAGATGTACATGTTGGTTGGGGACTTCTCATATTACCCCCGGAGAATTCGCGTTACCGCTGAAGAGGTACGCCGCCAGATTGTGCCGTATCAACTACAAAAAAAAATCACCCGGAAAGACAGTCACGCGCCATGCAAATAACAACCTTATAAACTCTCCGAGAAACTACCAGATCAATGCTTCATGCTGATATCCTTGATCCCATCTAACGCCTCCAGACACCGGGTATTTCCATCCTAGAAAAAAGCAAGCAGAACCAGCCGCCAATGCAAGAGAATCACAAAAAGAAGAATCATGTCGTCATAACGTCCTCTGCAGGCGTAGTTGCAGTAGACGGGTCGGGAGGAGCATCGGCCATTGCATCATCTCCGTCTCCATCGTTGTCAGAGATACCATTCTGCATGGGTTCGGCGAAAGATCCCGATCCAGTGGGTGAATCATCCTGGCCCTGATTTTCGAAAACCTCCTCCCACACTCGGACCGTCTTGTCCAAGCCGCAGCTAACAAGCAGGCGCTGACTATTCAACTTGCCCGAGTGAACGCCAAGGACGGCATCGGTATGCCCCTCGATACGCTGAAGAATATTCTTGCTAACAAGATCCCAGCAGAGAATAGCCCCGTCTTCACTACCACTGACAGCAAAGGACAGAGGAGGCGAGTATTCTACACCAGGTTGGCCGTAAAACCCAAAGCATCCAGACAGACTGTATTTCACGTTGACGTGACCCTGGAAAGTCTTGACGACGCGACCCTCCACGTAGTTCCACATCCGCACGCAGCCGTCAAGTGTCCACGCCAAAATGTACTTACCATTTGGCGAGAACTTGACACAGGTGGCTGGTGGGCTATCTTCGTAAACCAGTGTCCGCAGACACTGACCACTATGTGTATCCCAGACTCGAACTAGACCGTCCAATCCACATGACACGATCAGGGTACCGTCGTGCACAACATCGATACCGGCGACGGGGTCGGAGTGGGCGGGGAGGGAGCGCATAACGCGGGCGCGACGCACATCCCACATGAAGACGGCTTCGTCGTAGGATCCGCTGACCAGGATGTTACCCTTGGGCGCGAATGCCATTTGATAGACGTAATTGTGGTGGCCGATGAAGTTTTTAGTGTGAGCTCGACCCTGCGATGATATGTTAGTAGGCCGTCCCGCGAGACGCAGATGAGTCGCTCTTACGGTAGTCACGTTCCAGAAGCGGATTGTTTTGTCATCAGATCCAGACGCAATCCATTGACCATCAGGACTCCAGGCGATTGTGGATATACCTGCCAGATGGCCCTCGAATGTATAGATGAGTCGGCCGGTCGCTGTGTCCCAGACCTTGACAGCGGCATCCGCACCTGCACACAAAACCAATTAGTGATGTTATCTTGACACACCAAGCAAGATGACATACCAGCACTGGCAATCATCGAGCAATCCGGCGAGAACTGCACCGCAGATACGCCGCGCAAGTGCCCCCGGAGGACAAACTTCTCTCTGTAGTTCAAGTGCTCAGGCTTCGGAGGCGGGCCCGCAACAGAAGGCACTGGGTTGCTATCGCGGTCCGACATGCTGCCATCGAGAATTGCAGCATGTCCCGCTCCCTCATTGCTCGTCCGATCACCACCCAGGCTATCCGACTCATCCTGAGACCTTCCCTCCCGGCTACTCAGGTCCTCCGGGCGATGGATAGGTGAAGGGCTGCGACGGTTGCGGGAGCTGCGCCAGTATTCGTCGGCATTGATAGCGAGTTCATCAGGACTCTCGGTCTCTCTGTATCGGCGTTCTTTGGTATTTGGGCGTTGCGGGGTGAAATTCTTCTGAGCGTTCCAGCTTGCTCTCCGGCGCTCGGCTTCGTCGTGTTCAGAACCCGCGGCTAGTTCGTCGGCCGAGGATTCAACCGGCGACTGGGAGCGAGGGTCTCGCCTGCGGGTTTTGGGGCGCGCATTGTCCATGAGGAGATTGAGCGAAGGACAATTGGGAACGCGCCGTTTCTTTTTTTCGCGCGAAACAGTCGGCGCGTCCAAAGGCGGTGAGGATTCAACCTTCAGGAGCGGTGATGTAAATGTGATCGACGTTTGTCAACTTGCACGTACATTCTCAGCCCAATGGCCTCCATTCCCATTGAAGCTCCGAATGACATTCGGATCTTGACTTTAAACTGCTGGGGACTGAAATACCTCGCCAAATATCGCCATGAGCGTCTCTCCGAGATTGGAAGGCAGCTGGCACTTACTAGTCCGCCCCCGGAGATAGTGGGCCTTCAGGAGTGCTGGACACAACAAGACTACGAGAGCATTCGTGCTCAGACACAACATATTTTGCCGTATGGGAAGTTCTACTTTGGAGGCATATTCGGCGCCGGCCTGGCGATCTTGTCCAAATGGCCCATCGAGGAAAGCAGCATGTATTGCTACCCGTTGAACGGCCGTCCAACAGCTTTCTTCCGTGGAGATTGGTTCGTGGGCAAAGGCGTGGCATGCGCAAGAGTGCGATTTGGTCCCGGGGTCGCCGACGTGGCTGAAGTATTCTGCACACACTTGCACGCTCCCTATGAGCGTGAGCCAAACGATTCATACCTTTGCCACCGCACTGCTCAAGCTTGGGAGATCTCCAAGCTGATGCGCGGCGCCGCCGAGCGTGGACATCTTGTTATTGGATTGGGCGACTTCAACATGCTGCCATCGTCATTCGCTCATCGACTCATCTCAGCCCAAAGTCCTGTTCGCGACGCCTGGCGCGAGCTGCACCCCGACTCATCCGTTGGCGCCGCCATCGATGCCGTCGAGAAAGCCAGGAATCGTCCTATTCCAACCGCTGAATTCAACCTAGTCGAGAACGGCGCCACTTGTGACGGCGCCTACAACACCTGGCGCTGGTCCAAACCCCTTCAAAAACGCCTCGACAAGGGCGAAGAAATCACAATCGACAAAGACGGCGCGGACCCCCGCGCCAAACGTCTCGACTATATCTTCGTCGGAGACGGTGGTTATGCACCCGAATTCCCTCCGCCGCGCTGGTCAGTCCAGACCGTCCAAGTCAGCATGACCCAACGCCATCCAACGCTCCGCTGCTCTCTGAGCGACCATTTCGCCGTCGAAGCCCTCATTACTCGGGCATCTAATCCAGTTTCCATACATTCTGAAGACTCTGTCCCTGCATCACCAAGCTCCGCGTTCCACAAAACAACATCAACCCATATATCCCCTAATACCGCCCTTTCCCCAGAAACGTACGACCTCATTATCGAGATGATCCACAAATATGCCCGTCGAGAACGGTCCCAACGCCGCTGGCGTCTCGCACACTTCGTCATTTCGGTGGTTATCTCCATTGGATGCATGGTCGGCGTGTGGTGGGTTGGTAGCCGGACTTACATCGGGTTCATCTTGATCTTGGTCAGTACACTGAACCTCGGAGCCGGAATTCTGGATGGTCTCATCGGTGGATTGTTTGTCTCGAGTGAGTTGCGTGCATTGAAGGAGTTTGAGTGGGAGGTCAGGAATGCTAGGGGTCTGGTACTTGCTCTGGAGCGTGGTGCTGCTGGTTCTGATGCTGGTTCTAAGGGCGACGCGGAGTAAAAGTGTAATGAGTAACTATATATGCTGTCTATTAGGTTTGACCAAAGTAATACATAATCTTTATCAAGCAGATTGGATGTACAGAATTCTACTAGGCTAAAGGTAGGCAATGTCCGTTCATATGTTGATCCTGAGATAAGTAGTACACCGACAAAATTTCAATCACTCAACCCATAGAATACACGATACACTACAAGTCTACAGCAAAGAAATATTCATATCAGTCGCACTGTGTGCGAAACGAGTGTGGAGTGCATTATCAAAAGACAATAAACTATCAACCTCGAACCTCAAACCCACTCATATAAATCTGGGTCCAAACAACAGTGTGAACCGAATTTACTCAGCACACTCCTGCTTACGCTGATCAAAGACAGCAAGAGCTTCCTCAGCAGCCTTGACACCGGACATAACCATCGCACCAAAAGTAGGACCCATACGGTTAAAGCCATCGATCTCCGAAAGCTCCATACCACCGATGATAAGGCCCTTGGCAACCTCACGGGTGTTCTTGACAATCGCATCCTCAGCGGCATTCATGTCAAGACCACGCATACCACCGAGTTTCTCGATGGTGTTCATAGACACGAGGCGCTTAGCGCAGAACGCGCCGAACGGACCGTCGTGGCCGGTGGTTGAGACGATGATGGGTGCGTTGATGGTGTTGGGGTCCATGCAGGAGTGGTCGTCGTGGTGGAGAGTGACGAGTGTCCAGTTAACGACGACACCGGCCAGACGGACGGTGTCTCCGTCACGACGAGTGATAAGATCTTCGACGCAGGTTGCGTTGAAGAGTTTCACGTTGGGGAAGGAGAGGACCTTTGAGAGGAGGGTTGAGGTGAAGAGAGCGGCGTGCTTGACGACGACGAAGTTGGGGTTGGTGGGCTCTTCTTCGAAGGGGACGCCGAGTTCAGCCAGGAAGGCATCTGCAGGACGACGCAGGATCATGGCGGAGAAGAGTTGGCCTCCAAGCCAGGCGCCACCTCCTGTGTGAATATTAGTATAGTTCGAAGATGCTAAAATGGATGGGCAGACGGACCCGGGGAAACAGAGGCCTCAAGAATGGCAATCTTCAGGTCTGGACGGGCCTTGGCTAGGACGTAGGCGGTGCTCAGACCGCAGGAACCGGCGCCGACGATGACAACGTCGCTCTCGGCGTAGTTGTCCAGGTCCTGGAAGTAGCGGCGAGTCATGGCACGAGAGACCTGGCTCTCGCGGATAGGGGCGAACTTGAACTCATCCCACTTGCCACCGAACTGATCGAGGAGCTTGCTCTGACCCTGGCCGGTCAAGGTGGTGGAAGCAGTCTCGGGGACATTCACCTTACCCTTGATGCCGGTGGGGACAGCAGTGGCAGACTCAAAGATAGCAGCGGGAGGAGACATTGTGGGTTAAGGGATCAAGTCGAGTTGACTTTATATGTGGTCAGTTTGCTTTGCCAAAAGAGATTAGGGGAAGGCATGATCCTTTCGCTGGTATTATCCAGATATCAAGTTATGACCGTATAATCTCAGAACGAACCCACAGCCGCGGACACCTCGAGGAGAAGTGCCTGCGGCGTGGGAACGAACACCGGTCCACGCCCAGAGGTTACCTGAGATACCTTGATCCCTGAGGGATAGATTGTCCAGCCAAAGAGTTTCCATCATGACTTTCCCGCGGATGGGCGGACTGTACTTAAACCGAAGGTTTCTGCAGGGGAAGGTCAGCTTTGGGGAGCACAATCTAGGGCTAAGATAGTTACTGTAGTAGCTGATTGATGAAATCCGTCAAATTGTAAAGTTGAAGATGATGAAGAAAGAAAAGAAAGAAGATGAGAAGTGAGGGGCAGGTCAACCTTATATGCGTTGGACCCCGCCATGTCACCAGCATGTCACACGCACACTCCGACTCTCCCCGGCCGGTGAACGGAGAGGGGAATGTTGATCAAGATCGCATAATGACGTTTCCTATTTGTTTTGGGTTTCCAGGGCTCCCTTCACCAATTGGATTCTAGGTGTGGGGGGGATGACCTGTTCCAGAGGTGCAATACTATGGTCCAGAGTAGCAATACGCGGTAACAATACGCGGTAATATGGACCTCATTAGCTCCAATCGAGCTCGAGCTGTAATTAGCTGTGTCTATTGCTACAGTCATTACTAAAACCAAATCCACTTAAAGGTTAAATTGGGGGTCGGGGAAGCTCCCATGGGCTCCGGATGCACGGCCGGGGCCCAGTCCTCCGAACGGTCTCGTAATGGAAGCTTGGCCTTTTCTTCTCGATGAATTCCATGTGTTCAAGAAGGCATACATTAACGGGTATATTGATGGTTCGTAACTGTTCATATGTTTTCCAAAGCTGCACACCCCATTCTCCGCACATGAGGAGTCTGACATCATAGCAAATAATAAGTGCAGGGAGCGGAGGGGAGTGAAGACAAGAAACGTGCCCACAGATCTTAACGCTGTATCACAGCACATATCGGAAACTGGCACCGTAATTGTCCTCCGCTACCGGGGTATCACCCTTGACCGTCTCCGTCTCAATCTTCGGTCCATACTTCTTGTCGAGATTGCGATTCTCCCACACCAACAAGAAGCGCAAACACAAAGCAAGTATCGTCGTGAAGAACATGAATGCCGCACAGATCGACATGCCCTTAATGAAACGCGGGGCTTCTTTGTCAGGGAACACATTCGTGCCCAGGAAAGGACCGCACTGGCCAATGATATTGAGTAGAATGATGCCCCCACCACGACGGGTATCGGAGCCCTGGTTGTCTGAGAATGTTAGCAGGTCGTATGCCCGATTACAACAGAGATGACTCACTCAGAACCCATGGGAGGATATTGGCGATCGATGGGAAGACTCCACAGGCGGCGAGGAATACTCCGAAATAACGAGGGCCAACTGCAGTGCAGGTCGCACACAGAATATAACCCACACCGCCGATCGCTGATAATCCAGCAATCATCAGCCCGCGTTGCTGAATTCGATCCGCCACCCAGGTTGTCGCGATCGTCGCCAGGAATGAGGCGAAGAAGGGAGGCGCGGTGAGGCCCTGGGCATTGATGGCCGTGAAGCCCATCTCTTTGAGGATGGTGGGCAGAAAGACAGGCAATGAGGAGAAGCTGACATTGCAGCTAAAGTACATCAACTGAACGAGGATTAACAATTATCAAAGCAGTGGTTGCGGGATACTCACAGCTGTGAACCATGCTTTGACATCCAGCAACGTCGCTGCCAACTCTTTCCACTGGATTTTATTCTCGCGCTCAGCATCTCCAGCCTGCTGAAGTCCACGGGCACGAGCAACTTCCTTCTCCTCCTCAGTGAGAAATTTAGCCGTCGTCGGTGAATCCGGCACGAAGAACCAAGCCAAAACCGAAGCCACGATGACCGGCAACCCCTCAACAAGGAACAAAAGCCGCCAATTGGCAATGGACGCATGCCCCGAAGTAATACCATAAGCCAGCGCACCAGCAAAGGTATTCGCCAGCGGGGCTGCCGACAAGAAAAGACCGCATCGGAGACCGAGCTCGTGACGACGATAGAAAAATGACAGCAAATAGGGTACACCGGGACCAAAGCCAGCCTCGAAAGCACCCATCAAAAAGCGAAGAGCCATCATACCCTGCCAATTCTTAGTGGCTGCTTGGCAGGTCGATACCAAACCCCTACCATCTTGTCAGTACTTCCGTTTCCGGGTGATCGTCCTTCCCACGTGGGATGCACATACCAGGAGAATACGACAAAAGCAGCCCATTGGTGCGGTTTGACAATCTTCCACATGAGAGCCTGGAACTCAAAGACCGTGTATGAGATGTAGAAGATCGTTAGAAGCCACGAGTAGCTATTGTCGTCGAGAGAGAGGTCTTCTTCCATGCCGGCAATTTTGGCATTGCTGAGGTTTGGTTAGTTTCATTTCCGGCGATTTAGTCGGGGAGGACGAACCCGATGTTACTTCGATCGAGAAAGGCAAGTAAATCTGCCGCGCATTTTCTGTTAGGATTTTTGATAACTTCGATTGGGGCGTTCTAAGGGAGATATATGCGCACAGAAAAATCCCATCAGGGTCGGGAGTCGTAGATCGAGCTTTTTGAGAACGCGGCGCTCCAACTCCGGGTCGATTGCGGCTGCTGTGAGGATCGAGGGTTGGCTAGGGCCCTCTTGGTGGGAGGGAATCTTTTTCTCGACATCTGGACTAGGGGGTGCCCGTGAGATCTCGTCGTCAGACGGCTCACTCTTGCCAAAGAAGCCCATGGCTGCTGTATAGCCCGATGTATAGGGGGAGGTAAAGAGCAAGCAAACTCGGAGTTACGCCGGGGAAGCCCACTCTTTATAGTCAGAAACAAGGCGGGCACAGTTGTGATCGAAAGCCCGGCTACCTTTGCCGGCTGAGTTTCGGATGTGTCCCATGTGTGATTGGGAGTGACAGGGATAACCCCCACACGAAGCCCAAAGACGGAGGCGCTGAACTGCCGCCTCCCAGCGGGGAAAACCAATGGAGTGGATTCATGTGGAGGATCTGGGAAAAGCTTGAGTGGAGCCACCCCCAAGCTTGCCCGCATTCAGGAGTCTTGTACGTTTCCCCGCGAGATGCCCTCTGATCTTCTCTCTTTTGGGTTGCATCTTGTCTGTTCCATTGACGGGATCGCAACGTGCACTTTGCCGATCGCCCACCCCACATCAAATGGCCCTGGGGCTGACCACGGTTTCGTCTTCTTCGAGGAACTGTATGAAACATATCCGAGCCAAGAGTCCACTAGGTCCGACTTCCAAAATCTAGGAGATGAGTGTCCTCGGGGAATATATACACAGGGGCTAGATTTGGAGATTTCACAACTGCCGAGCATTCGCGATGTGGCTGGGACGGTGCACGATGTCCAGGTGGATGCGATCTTCACCTGGCAGGCCTGGTAATTTGAGATTTCTCTTTCCCTCGTTTCTGCTCTAAGGTAGAGCTGTATCTCGACGGGTCGGATAGAAGTGTCTGAGTTTGCAATGTCTACTTCGGGTTGTGGAGTCGATATGCAGTGTGTGGGCAACGACCTCAACGCTCTCTCGAGATGGACAAAACTAGTCATGACAGAAAGAGAACGTCAGTCCTTCTATGATTTTGGATATATTTCCAAGGTTGACTTGGCTTGGATCAAAAGTAGCAAGTATAAACAGAGAACTCGAGTGTACAAGCCGCTTAAGAATGGGGAAAGTGACCTCTCAAGGTCGCCTTCTTTCTTCTCTTCCCTGGACCTTATTTGTGACGATAGAAACCTATCTGACAAAGCATATATTGTTAGAAGAGACATTCCTCGGATTCAAAACGAAGAATTTGACACTAAATCGTCTCTGCGTGTGTGAGTTTGAAAGTGCTTTGTATAGCAGATTAGACCCCATATACAAGAACATTTGGGGTCATGATGAATTTCAGTTTTCGGATCCTCCTGACGTCTCTCTAGTTATTTTCTCATATCTATAGCCTTGTCTTTAAGAAATGACTAGTTAGCAACCGCTCCGTAAAAATGTTGTTGCCTTGTGTTTAAGGTGTCTTGCATGGTTGGCGGCTACTGTCCGCCGCATCAAAAATCTCCCGCGTCGCGTTGCCAGGAGCTCCATCGCCCTCACCAACCAGATTCGCGCCCGCCGTCTTCCCATCGGATATATCTACATTGACCTTTGCAAATATTTGAAAGATCTCCCGCGACTCAATTGCCTTGATTTGATCCCATCAAAAGGGCGTGGTCAAGATGGATGACCCGGCAAGCCGTATCCCGGGGCAGCTGGTAAGACTACCCCAATGCCGTTCGGCACGATTGCGCCCTTTTCGGGGCGATGCGCTTGGAAGCTGAAAGCTGATCTTGTCGCAATGATTACAGCTCCCGCACATGCACCTTATCTCGCGAAATGGCTACCCCAACATGCACATGATGCCCTCTGAGACCGCCGTAGAGTATCTGATCAGCGCGCCCCGAGTCTGCCGTCAACAACCGATGCACTGGACCTTCTTGGATGGCCCTGCTGATGGCACTGTGATGCTCACATGGCAGCCGCAGGCGCAATTGGGTCAGAACTTTGCCAGTGATGGTCTCATCTGGGCCGATGTTGAGCAGGCATTCACTTTTGAATCTAGAGGATATGTTTGTCACCCTTGGGCACTGCCGTGTGGAACCTTCCATGAAGATTATAAATGGCTGACATCTTTCGGTATAGACTATTGAAATGCATCTCCATCGCAGCGGCTACCTCCCCGGAAAGGAAACACTCGCTACTCACTGCCGCAAGCGTTATCGCATTGTCTCCTCCAAAGTCCCCAACGCCCTCCCGGCTGATCCCTCGCTTTGGATCGTTCACTATTCAAAGGCCCCTCCGAACGACCACGTCCCGGCGGCCCGCATCCCCGTTTCCCCACAAGTACAGGCCTCGATCTCCCAGCGCCGCTTCTTGCAAACCCAGGGCCAGCTTGCTCGCAAGGAATTCATGCTTCACGACCGGGCCAACTGGCCAACAATCAACTTCCCACCTCAGATGGGTGCCCAGGGCTTCGTCCAGCCCCAAGCAGCTTATCAAAATGCCGCTGCTGCGGGACGGCCAGGCTTCTACCCCCCGCAAGGTCAACCTGGTGCTCACCCTGGTGCGGTTCCTCCCGGTGCTGCTCAAGCCAAAATGGCACGCCCGCACCGCGCTTCTTCAACAGCATTAGCTACTGCCGCTGCGGACTTTGCTCTGGAGGATGAGGATGTCTCGACCGGAGACCAAATTGATTTGTTGACCCCGCGCGAAGTCAGCAAGATGCGTTACGTGCAGCACCATGACTGGATGGAGGAGATTTTCGCATCGCCGTATGCTATTTCACAAATCACACCAGTCTCCCTAGGCCTCGGCCGGAAGGGTGAGCTGGAGTCATTGACAGCAGGCTTCTTTGATGCTCCTTCCGGAAACTCTGTGGCCGCCGAGGGCCAGGAAGCAGGCGATGCCCCCGAGGCTACCAAGATGGAGACGGCCAAGGCTGAGGAGTTTGCTGATCGAGTCGCCAAGAAGGTCGCCGATATGACCGCCGAAATCGAGAAGTTGAAGAAGCAGCATGCCCGTCGAATGGAGCGCTTCAACCGCAGCTCACTCTTCAAGGATTCAGAACTGCGTCTCCGGGATGCTGCCGCTGACCCAACTGAGACTGGCGCCGAGGTGTGGAGATTGGAAGGCCGCATTATCATTCCCACGGAAGAGAGCGAGACCCCGCAGCAGTACGTGGAAGAGAAGGCCAAATACAAGGTTGAGGATGTGGTTCGGGACGTGGAGGCTGCTTGGAAGAAACAAATTATGCCTGAACCCAAGGTCTCATGCGTTGAGAAGGGTGGTCTTTTGGAGAAGATCGAGCCAGAGCACAAGGACGAACCCGAATCATTCACCAATGACATGGTCATGGACCAAGCCGACTCTCACCTGCTGAACCAATTCGGCAGCCCGGGTATTGATGCCTCTGGCGTTGCGCATGGTCAGGGCATGCCCAGCAACGAGATCTCTGGCGACGTGGACATGGATCTGGGTGACCAACTTGCCGGCGGCGGCACCAACGAGAACGGCGACTGGGTGATGATCAATAACGAGAGCAAGGGAGGAGCTGGACACGTGAGCCTCGAGGGCTCCAACTTCGACTTTGACAACATCGACAGTGCTGGTGATGCATTGGCCGCTTACACCGAGCAGAACGACGGACTCGATCTGCCCGATCTGGAGAACTCGGCATTCGGCGATGCCTTCCACGCCTCGGATAACGAGCACTCGCACAACCCAGACGCGGACGAGATGTCCTAAGTTGGGTTTGTTTCTTACGAAGGCGCTATCTGGTTCATTCTGCGTTTTAGCACACTGCGGGCCGTGCAGTTTGCTCTGGGTGTTTGTGTGGTTCTGGAGGGTTTGGAACTGACGTCTTGTTTTTACGTCCAATTTCTTGTGCTGTACAATAAAATCGAGAATTTGAGATCCCGTGGTTGGATGATTCAGCCCATGATATATGCACTATGCACTTTGGCTATTTGATTGTGTTCTATGTAGACTGGAAGTTTGTCACCTGGGTGTCCAAAGGTATGGTGGGGGATTTCCCAATTAGGAAATACCTGGGACCAAGACATTCCCTTTTGGGAAGACTTCTATGACTTTAGCGAGGTAGAAGATAGAATGACTTCGAAGCCCCTCTAGACTCGATCGAGAATATAAATCAAGAATCGGACGAACTATCGGCGATCTAGACTCCACATCTGATATGGGCGGCGCGCGGTGGAGAAATGACGATCCGGTCCATGGTATAGCCGATAGCGACAGCTCAATGAGCTGGTCACATCATCCACTCGCACACCGCAGCTTGAACAAGTCACGCACTCGACTGCAATCGGAACAGCGCCAACTATCAGCTTCCGCCCCTCCCGTCATGACGTCACACAGCCAACGGGACTGCACTTCCTCGGAGCAACGACGAGTTTAGGGTTGTGTGCATCGTCATCTATGGGAAGGCGCTGTCCTCTTATACCGTAGTTCCCTATCTCCCAGCTCCTAGCTCCTAGCTCCTAATTTCCTCGTACACACGGAGTAACGGGTTTATACCATCTTATCCTGCCTTCTATTGATTCCCCAGAACTACATCATGTACGCATCTCAAAGCCAGAGATGTCATCATTCACTTACAAGTCCACAGGAATCGCACACTCTCTATTCGCTCTCGTAAAGAGCCGCGTCACCGCTTCAGTGTCAATACCTTCCGCGGAATGACCGGTCCCGAGCTGAGCCGCAAGTTGAGCCGACTGATAAAGAGCGAGAACAGCGCCATCGGCGCATATGAGGCCGCCGGTCGTGAGCGCAGCTCGATCGCATCTCAACTGTCCGAGTGGGGCGAATCCACCGAAGACGATGCCGTCTCCGACATCTCCGACAAGTTGGGTGTAATGATGGCCGAGATGGGCGAGCAAGAGGACATCTTTGCGCAGAACCTCGAAGACTACCGGGGCACGCTGAAGCACGTCCGTAACATGGAGAGCTCGGTCCAGCCTAGCCGCGACCAGCGCCAGAAGGTTACCGATGAGATTGCCAAGCTCAAGTACAAGGATCCTCAGAGCACGCGTCTGGTTACTTTGGAGCATGAGCTTGTGCGCGCCGAGGCGCAGAATCTCGTTGCTGAGGCCCAGTTGTCCAACACTGTGGGTTTCTGAATTGTTTTGTGGATATGAAATCTTGCTAATCCTTTTGAAAAAGACCCGCACAAAGCTCAAGGAGGCCTTTGACATCCACCTGGCTGCGGTGGTTGAGCGCGCCGAGAAGCAGATTATTCTCGCTAACCATGCCCGCCGCCTGCTCAACTACGTCGACGACACCCCCGTGGTGCCTGGCGATGCCCGCAAGGCTTATGAGCACGAAATGGATGCCCGCGCGGTTCTCGAAGATGCCGAGAATGACCTCCGCAACTGGCGTCCCAGCGTCGAGCCCATCACCTCCTATGCGGAACAAGAGGTCCCCGTCCATGGCAATGGCAGTACCGAACATGAACCCGTTATCAACGAAGAGGTTGAGACCGACTCCTTCGTTAACGAGGAGGCATCGACCCTCAGCAGCAAGAAGCAGCTTAACGAACCCCAGGCGTCCATGTCGGAGGCGCAGGCAGTCCCTCTCGCCAGTTAATATACTGTAGCCATGTTGATATTCCTGTAAAATTCGTTGTTGTTTTTCGATGGCACATTACCAGGAGAGGCGTTATCAGTGCAAGCAGGGTAATACTGTGGAAATATGGAATATTGGAAGTGTACCTAGGAAAACGCAATCAAATCGCGAAACGCAATCAAATCGTAGATGGATTGGATTTCTCAGAGTATCACGTGACCGTAGGCGTCCAAGTGACGCGGAATCCAAAGCTCCAGCGGAGCTCATCCATCAGCTACTTGTCTCCGACCTAACCAATTCCACCCTTACCCTTCATTCATTTCCTTGTTATACCCACACATCATGGACAAGCTCGTCGCTCAGTACTCGCGCCCGCAGCATCAAAATGACTTCTACAGCGAAGCAGAGCAGCAGGAGCTCACTGAGGGCATGCCTCCGCTCTCCCTTAAGTTCGCCCTTCCCCCTGTCGACAACGTGAGTTCTTCCGATGTCATCAATCATTGATATCGATCTGGATAAGATGGGCGTAGGACCAGGGGTGTCCTCTTTGGCCGACTGTCCGTCCGCGCCCGTCATCACAGCTCTGCGGCAACACAGCTCCAGAAACACAACCGCTTCGCCGAAATGAGGATCAATTGCTAACAACCAGTTTTTTGCTTCATCTAGCGCGCTGCTTTCCTCCGTGCTATGACCGATGACCACGCCAACCCCAGCTGCCCCATCAAGATCGCTCACGGCACAACAACCTTGGCCTTCCGCTTCCAGGGCGGCATCGTACGCTTTCACCATCGAATACTGTCTAGATATGAAATGCTAATGGATGACTCGGGGTAGATCGTGTGCACCGACTCTCGAGCTACGGCCGGAAACTGGATCGCCAGTCAAACAGTGAAGAAGGTTATCCCGGTGTCGCGGTTGAGCCGTGGCGAGGACAAGCCCTCTAATGAACCCACGCCCGGTCTTCTGGGTACTATGGCCGGTGGTGCAGCTGTGAGTTCACCAGATGGAATGGGATGAAAGGGAGCGTTGGCTAATACGGACTAGGATTGCCAATATTGGTTGCGGTATTTGAGCCAGCAGTGCACTCTGCACGGTAAGTCATTCCGCTTGAAGACGGGATACGAAATGCTAACAACCATCCAGAAATCCGACACAAGCGCCGCATCACCGTCGCAGCCGCGTCCAAGATCCTCGCCAACCTCACTTACTCCTACAAGGGCTACGGCCTGAGCATGGGAACCATGCTCGCAGGTGTAACTCCCCAAGAAGGCCCTGCGCTGTACTACATCGATTCCGATGGCACACGACTTCCCGGAAACATGTTCTGTGTCGGATCCGGTCAGACCTTTGCGTACGGAGTGCTGGATGCAAACTACAAGTACGATCTGACTGAGCAGGAGGCGTTGGATCTGGGCCGACGCGCGATTCTGGCGGCTATGCACCGTGACGCTTACTCTGGTGGTTTCATTAACTGTTACCATGTCAAGGAGGAAGGATGGGTGCACCATGGATTTGATGATATGAACCCGATCTTCTGGAAGACGAAGCTGGATCGTGGCGAGTTCTCGAATGTTACGTCTGAGTTGTAAGGGGACTGTGTATTATTGATTGATGCTAGGAAACTTGAGTTTTAATTTATGATTCTGCTTGTAGTTTCGTCGTAGGCGATGATCTACAACCGAAGGTCGAAGTCAAAGAAGGTTCATAAACATCGACCCGTAAAGGCCTGGTTACCTAAGAGATCTAAGTGTGTAAACAATCCTCCAAAGTCCTCTCATTACATCCCAATCAGTGTTTCAACCCTGGAAACCCCGCCGCATGATCTTGAAAAGCTCTGATCATCAACCGTTGGAGTCCTTGTGCCATACCCATCCTCTATAACAACCTTGGTCTCTTCGAGTGAAGAGCAATGTGGCAATAACGCCTCCACAAACTCAGGCACTTCTGCACTATTCGATTCCGCATTTTCCATCTTATGGTGCCAGAAATGCTCTGCGTAACCAATACTCAAATACCAGCACGCGGAGCAAGTAGAATCTTCTTCAAAACCTGGAAGTACACAAAGCTGCGCTCGATGCGCAGGGATTGAAGCTCCGTCTATCGCCGGAGTTGTTCTTCGACCTCACCATCTGCTTCCTCGAGCATGAATCCACGTATTGTGAGTTCGTGCAGTCGAGGAATGACGAAGAGGCACAAGGAGTAAAGGAGTAGAGGAATGTTGCTTGGCCGTTGATTTTCGGTCCGGTCAAAGGTCACTTTGGTATGATAGTTTTATCGCTTCAGTATACGTTGATGGAAGTGACTTACACGGTCGAAGATTTCCAGCCACTCTCGATTCAGCCGGCTGTTTCAAGCTCACTCTTCCAGGAAAATCCCTTCAAGGGTATCCGATTTCTCGCTATTTTCGTCCTTATTATCCTATATCCGGTTAACACCGACTAGAGTGAGGCTTTCATGGTTGTTTAGTCTTTCCAGACATTGTATGATTCGACATGGGGAAATTCAGAGTTGATTGTCTAATATCACGACGATGTGGTGGACTATATCGGCGTGTTTCATGTCGATTGTTCGGATGTATTCGTTGCTTTTATCGCGCTGGGTGCTGGTTGACTTGTATAGATGCGGTGTTGTCTGGGGATATTAAGGGCATGGCATGTCCGTGCTGGTGCTGCGCGGCTAGGAGTGTCTAAATACACTCTATTAGAGCATATAGACCGGATAATATCGGCAATTCTTAGCTTTCCCTTTTCGGTTTAGTGCTCCTGTCGCCGCTTCTTGCTCAGTGAGTAAAACTGAGCACACCCCTGAGTGGCCTGACTTACTCAGGGAGTGTTATGCACAGGCATAGGTCTAACTTCAATACACCGGTAGGATGACCAGAAATACTATTGAAAGAAGTGCTCTGGCATTAGCCAAGAGCTCCACCCTCCTTCCAAATGAATGGTAGCCTCCACCAGCCCTCTCGATGACAAACAAATAATTGCTTCAAGTGAAGCTAATGGTGCTATAGTATTTGGAGGATCCCAAAAAAGAGTAATTTCATCGTGCGTGTGTTCACTTGGTTGCAATTCTTTGTCCTCTATTCTTTTTTTTGCATATCAGTATCTTGGCATAATTTTCCGCTCCATTCCACATGAATATTCTAGTCTCAATACAGTATAGTTTTCGGTACGGAAGGCTTTAGTATTGTTCCGGATACTGGCTTTTCGGGCAGGTGGAAAGTCTGTACCTGCCAGTAGCGTCTCAGAAAGCGTTCGGCCTGGAAACTTAAACTTCACTAAACTGAGCGTAGAGGGACCCACGTGTTGGAGTCGTCACCAATTCTGCGTAAATAAAGCCGATCCTGACCAAAGAGGCTCTCCGAGACGGTGGATTGGGGACGGTAGATTGGAGAACGATCTCCATTTCGGGAGGAGGGGAAACTTGAAACACTGCCATGCACTACTGTAACTGTGTCGGGATTTGCGTCCATTTCCAGATACATTTCCATAAGAAGATCTAGCGGCTACCTCGGCTTAGTCCCGGAAGCGGTGCGACATAGTGACTTCCTTCCTCCGTAACACGAAATAATGTCACACATCAATCATCCCAACGAAGAGTATTGACTGTCACGCAATGGCTGCCACTCAAACTATCAGAGTCCCCCACCTGGGCGGTGTTAAGGCAGGCTACGCCTTCGCCAAGGGCCACTATGATCAGTCCAAGCCGACCTGCGTGCTCATCAATTCGATGTGCATGACTGTGTCTCTATATCATGACCAATTCAACAACGAAGCTCTGACTGATGCTATGAATCTCCTCGCCGTTGAGCCACTAGGCCATGGCTCGACCAGTTCCCCCTCTGAACACTTTACATACTGGGATTCCGCCCACATGGCCTTGCAGGTCATGGATCACTTCGGGATTCAGAAAGCCTTCGCGCTCGGTACAAGCCAGGGCGGGTGGATCGTGACCCGAATGGCCCTGCTAGCCCCCGATAGGGTAAGTTCAAGTTCATGCACTGCCGAATTCAAGCTCAAATAGGATTAATCTCGCATGCTTCTAGATCCTCGGTCTCATGCCCCTCGGAACATCCATGGATTACGAATCCTTGGATTCTCGATCCAAGGGCTGTTGGGATCCTGCTGCCAATCTCATGCCATTTTATGAGAAATGGTCCACCTCTTCGCCTACGCCTGAATTTGTGGTGGATGATGTTTGGTGTGGGCTGGTCGGCGGAATTGGCTTTGGGGCTACTGGTACGGCCGAGAAATCTGCCTTCTGGACTCAGACCTTGAAGGAAGTATACAAGGGTGATGAGGGCCGGAAGAAGGTCCGAATGGCGCTCAACTGCTTGTTGGAGAGGGACGGGCTCCTGCTCCGAATCGGGGATATCAAATGTCCTGTTCATTGGCTACAGGTGAGTCCTACCGTAATGTTTGTAATGGATCTGCGCGTTGACCAATCCATCAGGGAACCGAAGATGTTCCTTTTGGGACGATTGTTGCGGCAGAGCATATTCAACGTTTCACTTCGTCTGCAGATGCTAAGCTTGTGATGATTCAAGGGGGTGCGCATTACTTGAATGCTACCAACCCCAAAGAGGTGAATGAGGCCCTGCTGGCGATGGTGACGACGTACAACCGTGACGCTACCGTGTAGATTTTTTACGAAGATAGGACGATCGTTCTCTTTACTGAGAGGCTACTATACATCATTTTTACATGAACCATGGTTCTACCCCGTCTTTAAAGTATTTAAGGTAATCAAAGTATTCGCTACCACGTTTGGAAGGCTATTTTGGAGGATAAGTGAAATGAAACTGACCTATCATGGCGGTCGATGTGATGCTGTAGATCCATTTTCCATTTTCCAGATTCTTGCTTTTCTTGTCTTTTAGGTGGGGGCTTTGCCTTTTTTTTTTTTTTTTTCCCTTTTTTTTCCCGTTGCAAAACCCAACGTATGGACACCACGCCATGTGAATAGCCCACATGGTAATCAATAACTGGCCTCCCCTTCCCGGGGTGGGTTGACAGCTGCGAACTAAGTTCAGACCTGAGACGCCCAGCCTGTCAAGTGTCAAAAGTACGATTTATGGAGCCTGTTACTGACGAGTCTATGCCGAGTTAATGCCGCGATCCTTCACATACAGCCCCTCAGAGAGAATCGAACCTATCTCGACCGAGTGATCAAGTTGCAAGGGGGCCTTTTAGCGCACCCCACTCGATTTGGAGATCGGGGGCCGAGTAGCCCCCATGGAAGTTTGACGCCATTAACTCCGCCTATGTTATAATTTATTGTCTCCCACCGTTCACCGGACCCGTTTCATGTTTGCTGCACGTTATGGAAAGCGATCCGAGCAATCTGCAGCCATGGACCATAGCTACCGTGGCCACGGTCACGGCGCTGGCCTTTGTGACCGTTTGTCTTCGGCTACTTGCACGCTTTGAACGTGTGCAAAAGCTATGGTGGGATGACTATATGATTATCTTTTCTATGGTTGGTACAACAATCTCATTCCGGTCTCAATCGTATGGTTTCTGACCGTCTGCCATAAGCTATGGAACTTCATTGTCGTCGGGTTCATCTACGCGATGGTCCAAAAGGGAATGGGACTCCATGCAGATACTCTACCCCCGGGTAACGTGGTGATGATTGCAAAGTTTCTTGTTGTGGCCGAGGTTCTTTACGTCTTCAACCTCGTTTGGACCAAACTAGGCATTCTGCTCATGTACTATCGGATCTTCCGCTTTCCTTACTTCAAGACTTGGGCATACGTCATCGGAACCTTTGTTATTCTCTGGGTTATCTGTATCACTTTTCTCTTCATCTTCATTTGCGTCCCCGTTCAGAAGATATGGAATCCCCAGATCCCAGGACGGTGCATCAACCAGGTTAGCACGTGGATCGCAAACGCCGTCTCAACGATCACAACCGATGTTGCCATTCTCCTTCTTCCACTTCCACAAGTATGGAAACTGCAACTTCGAACCTCGGAAAAGCTAGCTGTGTCAATTGCCTTCAGCTTGGGGTTCTTGTACGTATCTACCTGCTTTTTCTTTTCCCTTTTTCCAATAAATTCTGACCTCAGCAGCGTTGTCTTCACCTCCGCCTACCGTTTCTCCGTCCTCTTCAGCTACAGCTCACTTGATTCCTCCTACACTCTCGCCCCAACAGTCGGCTGGACCGCCATCGAAATGTCTGCCGGGATCATCTCGGCCAACCTCCCAGCCCTCCGCCCTGCACTCCGTTTCATAGCACGCAAGCTGGGTATCAGCGGCGGCGTTATCGCTCTCTTCAGAAGCACGAGCGCAACAACAGACAAAAACACGAACGGTGTTACTCAGCCTTCAGGAACAGCGGAGAGTGCTACCGCGATCACTCAGCGCTCGAAGCAGAGTCGAAATTCTTTTTATCACTTACCAGATGATTCGGGATCTCTGTCGGAACAGACACGCATGGAAGCATCCTTTAGGCCGGATTATGATCATGCGAAGACATACACCAACGTGAAGAGTGCACTGGTTGGTCATCGTTCTGATGATGAGATTCCTCTGTCTGAGATTAGGGTGGATAAGGAATTTACGCAAACTGCCACGACCTGAGGAGATCTATTCTTGGTGTCACATTGTATTATATCGTCGTTCAAAGTCATGAAAAGTTCCGTTTCATAGTACGCATAGATTGTTAAGGTAGAGGAAAATACTAGGTTCCCCTCCTGACCTACTATGCGTTCTTTGTCCCCTACTAGATATCCCTTATGACCTTTTGTCTAATGGTAAGTAGATTTTGGATCAGTAACTTGTCTAACGTAATTCCACCAAGCCCGTCATCAATAGCCTTTCGCGCGCGCTCGTGATCGCCATGGAACTTTTCACGTAATCGCCCTGCCTCGACTGCAGATATAGGAAACCAGTTAGCCGGTTCCATAACGGAACTCGCCAGTTCCAGAGGCAAGCGGCTATTCAGATTAGCTGCCTGCCGCGCTGCAGCAGCCCACCACTCATGTTGCTGTGGAGGTACATTCCGCGTCAAGCATATACGATAATATAGGTCGACCAGACGAAGCTTGATAAAGGTTATGTTTCCGGGCTGGCTAGAAATCTTTCAAGCGAAATGACTCTTGCTTCGACCGACAGGTATCAGGCCAGGACAGAAGCCGACGCTCCGTAACGTATACCGAAAGCATAAAAATGGATAAAAGGAGGGTTGGGGAGATAGTAGAAGCGTAAATAGCGGCTACTACACCTGGTCTCACAGAATTCGCTTCGCATATGTAAGAGGATATTTTCAACACATTTAAAAAATTATGCATAGAACGAGATCCGCAATATATTTTGAAATGTTATATAGAAAGTTCCACAGCGGCCAGTCACCAGCTCATTGATCCACAGAACCAAAGCCTAGTAAGTGTCATTGGAAGTGTAATCTTCATGCGGCGCAAACTTCAACTCCACAGCGCCGACATCAAACACAGTCACCACGTTCTTCTGGAAGGTATCACCCAGAATATACAGATCCTCAGAAGAATCATCCCCACCGTCATCAATACCTGTAATACAGACGTCGTTGCCATCATCGTCGGTACCGGAGTACAAGATCATATCCAAAGGATTAATGGTGAAAGTGGTGCCGCCAATGGTAATGCCGTGGGCCGGGGGAGTAGCATCACAGTCGACGACGTAGGCACCCTCGTCATCGCTGTAGGTGGCAGGAGGGTCGAAGGCGGCATTGACTGCGTCGGCGACGGAGGTGGGGTAGTAGTTGAGGGTTGTGCCGGAGTCGACCTGTAGATGTTAGTATAGTTCTTGTCGCGGTGAGAGATAAAAGGGCGAGACTTACAATGTACTGGATGCTACCTCCAGAGCCAGAAACAGATGCGCCGTTTAGCGTGACTTCGTCAATCTCGATGGTGTAGAAGTCATAGCTGTCAGCGTATCCCTCGATAGAGGTGATCAGGATATCGGTAGTAGTCCAGGTCTCTGTGAAGTTGATGGGAGGCAGACCACCAAGTGTCAGGTAGCCAGCATCACCGGAGACGTCACGAAGGATGGCCAGACTGAAGTATGAGTCAATAAGGCCGTCCTTGACCATGGTGGTGAAGATGGGGTTGTATTCCTCCTGTTCGTCGCTCTTGGTGGAATATGCGCTTGTCCTGTTTGCTTTGTTAGTCGGTATTCGGGGAGATATATCAGAAGACTTACAAGGCAGGGTAAGCCAAACCGGTCAGACCAGAGGTGGTGCCATCTCCCTCCCAAGCAGCTTCAGTGACAACAGCGACCTCGGCACTGACAGTGATATCTGCGAGAGTAACGGTCTCGGTACCCATGTATCCGTACAGATACTCACCATCACCATACTCAATCTCAAATTCTTCACCAGAGATCTTCTTGAAGCCGCTGTCGACAGTGTATGTCGGGCCAAAGTCACAGTCGGACTCGGTTGTCTCTTTGCCAGTGTCCAGATCAATACACTCGAAGCCCTCTTTGACGACCCATGTATCACTGGATCCGGTATCGACAATCACGTCAAAGGTCTGGGTACCGAAGACAATGGAAGTGGCATATTCCTCGCCTTCAAACAGTGAGATCAGCTCGCCGCTTCCAGAGCTGGTCTTCTTGCCCTTCTTTCTCCCAGTCAAGCCCTTGAGATAAGCTGCGCTACGGGGGTTGGCGCGGTTCGTCGTGAGCTTTGACAAGCTCATCACCTGATCAGACTTCGCAGGTGTCCGTGACTCAGTGAAAGCAGTGGGCTTATATGTGTGGATTTTTAGATCAACGCCGCGATTCTGAAGAGTGCGCTTGGACATATGGCTGACCGAGCCCGCCTGGAGAGGAACGGCGCTAGCCGTCAAGGCCAGGAGAGAGATAGCCGCAAGGCTAGAAGTATAAACCATGACGACAACTTCAGACAACAAGCAAAGATGAAAAGGATGAGCGATAGAGGTCGGATCTATAGCGGACAAAGGAAGGTTTTTATACTTCACTCCTTTGAACCATGCTGCTCTATTGTCTCGGCGATTCGATCATTCTACTCTAGTGCGAGATAGCTATCTGCAATAATATCACACCAAGCTAGCTCCTATACTGACGAAGATACTGGCATCATCTGAGACTATCGAGGCGTTCTTCTATAGGTCGTATTGGTCCACGGCAGTCCAAGCCATTCGGCAAAAAGGCTTAGCAGCAGCTCTAAAAAGTCGCTAAGGCATATTGACGGATTCCGAGCGGAGGTCCGACACGGCCTCGTCCTCTCTTGCAGGTCACCGGCTAATCTTATTGGTAAAGGTGATTCTTCACTTGCAAGATGCGGGGGTGCTTATCTTGCGTGGTAGATACGCGAATAGCAAACCTGCTCCCATCTCATGACGGATGCTACGTTCAGCCAGTCAAACCGTGCTGTCGTCTCGTTTTTGCGCCATCTAGACTAGTGCCGTCTAAGAGGAAGATTTCCATCCAGGAACGACAGGCGAAGGTTGGCTCGGATGACGACCGATGTTACATCTGGTTTATTGACTGTCGTGTTAAATTAAATGAGTAGAAGGCTCCCGGATATATTCACTCGTGAATCTACTAGCTAGTCCTCGGTCTACGTACCTTACGACGTGGGAGAGGTTTGTTTGGGGGGTGGACGGACACTGTTATTCCGGTCAAAAGGAGGCTTTAGCGCCCGCTCGGGCTCCGGCGCAAGACGCTCTTAATTTAAGATTCTAGCTAATATTAAGAGAAGGTGAGTCCACTAACGGCATAGGGGACCTCAAGATACCAGTTGCGTCAACTGGTAGGGATCTTGGACTATTGAAGATGAGTTGATACGGGTTTCATACCGACGGCTGGACATCCGCGCTTCGGCTATCCCCCTACGTGTCTACAGGAAGCCAGACATAGGAAGGAACATTGAAATGTTGATTGCACATCGATTTAAACCAGACGCTGCATCTATGACATAAAGAAACCAAAAGTACACGAAAGATTTTATAGACCATCAAAAACCAAAAACCCCAACAGCAAGTATATACTAATTGTCAACCCAGAACTTCATGCGAATGCCCATAGCAGCGAGCTCAACATCCAAGTATCTCAGAACACCCGGCACAGCAACGATAGTAACATCATCACCGCCAACATAGCGGAGCCCATTACCATCCTCCCACGCCTCAGCGCGCGAGTCATTGATACCCGCCGGCTTAGCACAGCGACGACAGCGCACAATACCAGTAACGCCACCAAGGGCACCACCAGCGCCAGCGCCAGAACCATGCTGCTGGTTAGGCGCAGCCTTCGCAGCAGCAGCCGCAGCAGCAGCCGCAGCACCAGGGTTAACAGCGGCGCGACGCGAAGCCCCAGAGCCCGAAACAGCAACCTGAGTCGAAAGGAAAGAACCACATCCACGACAAATCCAAGCATGCTGAGCATCAGAGCAGTTCATCAAACGATCCTGGAGCAGGAACGCAGCACCGTGCGCAATCAGCGAATCACGCTCCATCTCTCCCACACGGATACCACCACCCTTCGCACGACCCTTAACAGGCTGTCCGGTCAGCGCGTTCACGGGACCCGTTGTACGCACTTGGAACTTGTCGTTGACCATGTGACGCAGACGCTGGTAGTAAACCAGGCCCATGTAGATGTCGGCGGCGAATTCCTTTCCGGTGATACCAGAGTAAAGAGGCTCGTTTCCGTAGTAGTTGTAGCCTGCTTTGCGGAGCTGGTGGCCGAAGTAGTCGGTGGCGGTGTTTTCTTCAGAGAATTGGAAGGGGGTTGAGTCTTGCGGGTGGCCGTGGAGAGCACCGGCTTTACCGGCCATGGATTCGATCATTTGGGCGATGGTCATACCTGTTTGCAATTAGCGAGAGAAATTTCAACGGTTAACGAGGCGAGAACTTACGGGATGGGAAAGCGTGAGGGTTGATGATCAGATCGGGCTGCATGCCGCTCTCGGAGAAAGGCATGTCGACGGCAGGCCAGAGCTGCGAGCAAACACCCTTCTGACCGTGACGAGAGGAGAACTTGTCACCGATGATCGGTTTACGGGGAATGCGGTACTTGACGCTGAGAGACTGGATAGGCTCGTTACCGGCCTCGGCACCCATGAGACGGATGCTCTCAATGTAACCGGCTTCCGCGTCCTTGTATTTGAGGAAGTGGGTGACACCATCGACATTGACGTAGGAGTCGGAGGCGGCGTCGTAGCGGACATCGTGGTAGGCAGCGATTTTGTCGCCTTCCTTCACGCGGACACCAACGTGCGGCAGACCATCCTCGTCAATGAACTGGCGGAGCTCTTGACGAACCATGTCGCCGGGGGCGAAACCGAACAGCTTGGTGATTTCGCGCTTGGACTTGCTGCGTCGGGAGTCACGCTCGGCGAGGGAGTGAACCTTGGTCTTGTAGATTGTACCGTGACCGAAGCCGCGCTCGTGAGCGGATTTGTTGATAATCATGGCATCGTCCATGTCGTAACCGGTGTATGAGATGATGGCCACGACGGCGTTCATGCCGTTAGGGAAGTTATCCAGGCCGTAGGCGTTGTAGAGCGGGGGGCGGACAATAGGAGTCTGACCGGTCTGCAGGCGGTACAGCTTGTTATCTGTACGGTAGCCGATGGAAGTACCGGGGGTACCCATGGTCTGCTTGCTCATCTGGCACTGGTACATGTTACGGGGAGACTGGTTGTAGTCGGAGAAAGGAGTCATGTTGGCCACGATGGAGAGGATGTTGGTAGGCGTGTACTCGATGTGAGTGGACAGACCGGCGATCAGGTCAGACTCCACACAAGCGATCTCCATGAAAGGCTGCTCAAACGGACCAACGTAGTCCGTCTTGTCCAGAGCGAGGTACTTGACCGGGCGGTACATTCTTGCGGCTTGCGAGAACATGTAGATACCGGGATACTGTCCACCGTTGGAGTTGGGAACGTAACCAATCTCCAGACCACGGGGAACTCCATTGGTTCCCTCGACCTTCCAGTAGCGGAGGGTGTCGTGAATCTTGTGAGCTTGGGCGGGCGAGCAGAAACCGACGATACGGCCATCCAGCTGGACAACGACGCTGTCGTCAAGAGCGACTGAGGACTCGGCGCGGACACCAAGCTGAACGAGAGTTTTAGGCAAGCTAGAAACGTCCAGGTTATCGGTGGCAATCAGACACTTGTGCGCCAAATGGTTCAAGAGACCACAGGGAGAACCATCAGGGGTGTGAACAGGGCAGAGGAAGCCCCAGCTCTCTGGCAACAGCTTACGAACAGTAGTAGTCTTCAATTGGGCGAAGAAACTACCACGGTGAATCATGCGGAAATGACTGATAAATCGGTAGAAGTTGATCTTCTCGGCAATGACGGTGTAACCGGAAGTCTGCTGCAGATCGAGACCAGTGGGAGAGACGAGGTTACCGGTAGACAAGAAGTACTCAAGCGCGTTACCAATGTTCTCATTGGAGCGCTTGACAATCTTGGACAAGAAGTCTCGCTCAAAAGAGGGGTCTGTGAATTTGGCACCGTTATTCCGCATGCTCCAGTCACGGGCGATAGGGCCAAATGAGCGGAGCCACTCCTCGATACGCTCCTTCAGAATCATTCCGTACAGGAAACCACCAAGAAGAACCTCTTGGTTGGAGACTGCGTCGGGGTTATCGGGAGCACAGTCACCTGCAACCAAGGCGTACAATTTCCGGATCATGAAAATGACCATCTTGAACTTGTCGTAGTCCTGGGTCTCGGTGACGTTATAGTTACCCAGGTGAGGGAGGACAACCTTGCGCAAAAACTCAGTACCGACTTCCTCATCGGACAAGTCGGCGGAAACACCCAGCACAGGGCGGAAGGATTTACCCAGATGAGCACGGCAGTCGTAGCGGCTGTGCTTGTTGTAGGCCTGGTATGTTCGGAGCAGGAGCTCAACGCGGTCCGTAACGAAAGTGTTCTTCATGCCCTTGGAAGTAGCGCTACCAACAAGGCTCTCGAAGATTTCGCGGTCGTTGGTCTCCACAAGAGCCTTGAGGATCATCATCACGGGGACGAGGTACTCGTTCTTGCGCCACGAGAAACGGAATGTGACATTACCGTCCGTGAGATAGTGCAGAACGTTAGTCTGAGACGTTTGATCCGGACGGACTGATCGTATTTGCACACCAAAGCTGGTGTAGGTGTGACCACGCTTGACGAACGAGTTACGAACGATAGACATGGGGTAGTTGCGCTTGCCGACGATAAGCATTCGGATCAGCTTCTCGTTACCGTTCACGATATAGTAACCACCGAGTTCCTCTGACTCCTCCTTGCGAGTGACAAGCTGCTCCGGGGTCGCGTGTTCCAGGTGGCATCGGTTGGTGCGCAGCATGATGGGAACCTGACCCAGCTCACGCACAGACTCCATCCAGTCGCCATTGTTGACTTGGTACTCGAGACGGGCGCGGAGCTTGCCACGGTAAGTCGCGTGTCGTTCACGGCACTCGGAGGGGTAGATGTTGCGGTTCTTGGTGCTGTACTTGTTGGTGGGCGGCAGAGTGGGCTTGTCCAGGAAAAGTTCCTTCACACGGACGTTCAAGCGGTTGCGCTTCGGGGCACGGAGGCCCTCTGCCTTTCGTGCCGCCTTCTGATCGGGCGTTTCGTTCTCGCCATCGAGGAAGGTCTTGATTCCGATATCCTTCAAACCGGCCTCTAGAATCTTGCTGTCGTCGAAGAGAGCATTGAATGAATCGACGTGCGGCTTGATGGACTCGGCCAGCGACGGGTAGGCGGTTTTATCCGAAGGTGGGTTCTTAAAAAGGTTCTCACGTCGCTGAGTGTCGAATTGAACCGACCAATCCGTGTTGGTGGGAGCGGGTGCCATGGTGAAGCTCACAGGTCTCGACTTAGTCGAGAGAAAACCTGTTGATTAGAGCTTGCGGGGGGTATAGGTGCCCGAGTGGTCGGTAAGAGGGCGACAGAGATAATGGCCCCTTCTGCCTAGGCTCCCAGAGGGGTATAGAGAGCAGGGAAAGAATTGAGCCAGCAATGGCAGCTTGAATGGGAGCGAAGACGGCGATCGGGGAAATTTTTCGATGTGGAGCCGGTTATCAGCACGTGCTGATAAGTATACTTCTGGCGCCTGAGGCCAACATTTGATGAACACTGAGTGAACTATGACCGTGAATTCCCTTTTCCTGTGTATCTCCTATAGTACGTTCCATACTACAGTAGTATCGACTACTCCCATATAGTCATCCAGCTCGGGCCTCGAATGCTGCCTAGGACAAGCCCGGGCGAAACCGCCCCAGCGCCACCGGAGCCTTCATTCTGCAGTGACTGCGCTACGTCAGGCCGCGAATGGAGCCTAAGCGCCCCCCTCTTAACTGCGGTCATGTGTGCTCGTAGATCTTACAGTTTTAATCCTCATTTTCCAGTTTCCAGTTTTGGAAGTGACTTGAGAGGGGGCGGCTCGGATAGTGCTAGTTCACATTTTCTGTTCTTTTCTTTTACAGTCTCCCCCTGTTTGTCGCCTTGAATAGCCGCGGTGGTTATCGTCCACCGCGTGCTCCCAAGTTCTTGACCTTGACCCTCTTAACCCCACTCCGGCACTTCTCTGCTAGTTTCAAGGATTCCACTGCCCTGCTTCTTTTTCGTGTGGTGTTTTTTATTACATCCGACACTTTCTCATTCCCCAACTCTCCAAGACCGAGACATCCCCCTCCCCCCACCCCCGCCATGGCCGGGATCTTTCGCACCATCTATGACTGGCTTTTGAGGATGTTCTGGTAAGTGGGCCAGGCGTCGCGGGAGAACATCCCCGGCCCGTACCCGCAGATGAAGCCTGCTAAACCTTTTCCCCTGCAGGGCGACGGAGATGGATGTCACTATGATCGGCCTGCAAAATGCCGGCAAGTCCTCCCTGCTGCGCGTGCTAGCGGTAAGCCTTTCCTGCTCTGATATATTGTATCGAAACTGATCGTTTTATAGGGTGGCGAGTTCACGGTTGAGTAAGTGATCAAGTTGTCAAGTCGTCGGTGATGGCGATGGCGATGGTGATGGCGTAGTATCCCGGCTAACCAAACAGCTCCATCCCGACCATCGGGTTCAACACCAAGCGAGTTCAAAAGGGCCATGTCACCCTGAAATGGTAAGCTGCAGTCTACTTGATCAAGTATCAGTTCCGTTAACATGTTTCAGCTGGGACTTGGGAGGTCAGCCTCGGTTCCGCCCGATGTGGGAACGATACTGTCGGGGCGTCAACGCGATCGTGTAAGAAGATCTGCAAACTTTTCCCATTATCAGATCATGCTGACATGACCAGATACATCGTTGATGCAGCCGACCGAACGGCCTTGCCGGCGGCCACCGAGGAGCTGCACGAGCTGATGACAAAGCCTACATTGGACGGCATCCCGCTCCTAGTCCTCGGTAACAAGTCCGATCTCCCGGTCAAGCTGTCAGTAGACGAGTTGATCGAGGCGATGGACCTCAAGTCGATCACGCACCGCGAAGTCAGCTGTTACGGGATCAGCGCCAAAGAAGAGACCAACCTCGACGCGGTCCTGCACTGGCTGATTGCCCGTGCCAGTCGGTAGCGGTAACGTGGTAGATCGGTAACTCGGTGTTGCCGTGCTTTTTCATCTTTGCGTTTCATTGAGAGCGTTCCCTCCTGTTTCTGTTTATATTCTGTAGACTCTAGCGTGTTGGCTCGCAGCCTCGGATGTAACGACGTCAACGATATCATGTGTTATTTATAGTACTTTTTTGGGAGCATGCAAATCGGGATGGCAAAGCCAGGAGCAATCTCACGGTCTCATATGTAATGATTCACGTGTTTGTCATTTCGGCTCTAGGGTTAAGAAGATGGAGTGGATGTGGACACGGGTCAATTGAAGGCAGAATGAAATCCTACTCCAAAATCCAGACGACGGGGGTCGGCCAGCATAAATAAGTGAAACGCACACGGACCAACTGATGCGTTGGCCTTGCAGACGAAGGGCCCGAATGTAGTAAGTGGCCAAAGACCCCGCCAAAGGTCAAAGGCCCAAAGCTAAGGGGGGTGAGGTCAGTGGGCAGCTGAGCATTAGGGTAGAGTTTGCTTATATGTAGCGTATATCGTACAACTCGCATCGGAGGTATAATATCCACTGACCAAAAATCAGATACAGAGTTGCCTGTTCTGGGTGGGGACCAAAAACGTTCTAACAAGAAATATCCTTGTGACGGTAGTGGGCCAAAGTACGGCTAACTAGTGGACATGTGAACACCAAGACTATAGTTCAATAATGCAGGACCCTGGCCCCGGCTGAACCCCGGCTGGAATAGCTCAAATGGGTGTTGGCGCCCATAGCCGACCGAATCATCCCGTTCCGGTCTGTAACTGGAAATGCTTTCGTAGCTAGTAGCCAGAAGGTAGTAGCTTCGTGGTTAAACCTACCCGATACTGGAGATGAGTTCCGAAGACCCCGGGGCAGCCCTGCGCCTCTCTCCACCTCGGCTTGATTGGCCGTCGAATGAGTATACCCGGACTGCGCCGCATCGGAAGGCGAACATACGTATACACCTACGTAAACGCCGCGGAGCACTTGTTGAGAGACGTGATTGAGAGTATCGTAATAAGCAAGCGATAGTGCGCATGCGTGTGGAATCGAGGCGCGATTCAGATTGACTGTAACTATTCAGGAAAACGTCCGTGATGAATCATCGCAAACTTGCAGCCTAGTGCCAAGACCCACATGCCCAGCCCCATTGATTGACGTCCAGTCTCAGCCACCTTCAACTTCTATTTCTTCTCCCCTGCTTTTCATCTCTTTACTCTTCCCCAAAAAAAAAATAGAAATCATGGCTGTCCTTCCGCGATACTATTGGTACGCTCTCCTTGTCCCTGTCAAAGATTATCCACTAACCCATGCTAGCAACACTTTCGATGATAACTGTTACTCCTCATCCTGGGACAGTTGGGGTCGCTGGGTAGCCTTCGCCGTCATCGTCGGCTGCGCCTTTCTAGTCTTCTTCTTCTTCGCGTGAGTCCTCTTCAACCTCTCGATCGGTCCCTCGCTAACTCAACAACCAGCTGCTTCAACGCACGCCGCCGTCGTTCTCACGGTCGTCGCCCGATGGCAGGAACAGCCTGGATGGCACCACCCCCAGGCCCTCCCCCGCCCAACCAACCCATCTACCAACAGCCTTACCACGGCAACGATCCCAACTATCCAGCGCAGCCACCCCCGCAATACTCCGCGAACCCTCAAAACTACGGCTATTTCGGCGCCCAAGGAGGCCCCCCTCAGCAACCCGGAATCGAGATGCAACCACCACCCCATGCGTACGCTGGCGGTGGCCGTGAATACGAACCGCCCACTGGACCACCTCCAGCCAAGGCATGAATCATGAGCCATCATCCTTGGGCGCGATAAGCTGCGAACGAAAACGAAAACGAAAACGAAAACGAATCCGAGACTCAAAGAGCGGGCGCGGCTTTCTTCATTTTCGGTGCAATGGACGATCTTTTTTCGGTTGGCGTTTTTTTCTGGTTTGGAATTCCCCCTTTACGAAAGAGTTGCATGCGATGTGCTTTTCAATATCGATAATTTGGCCTTCGTATTGCATTCGTGTTTGAATGATGCATTTATCGGGTCTGATGCGCGGCCATGAGGTCTTCATTCTCGTACACTACTTAAACTTCTCTCTCTAATGACATATACCGCACCTGCATTTTCAAAGTCCATATCTCAGGGTCCACACCTGGCACAAACTGTAGATTCTGTTGTAGATCGAGATCTAGACTGCAAAGTGCAGAATCAGGGAATCAAAGCCGCCAACCTCAGATCAATAAAGGCGACATCAACAAATGCTAGACTACCTAATAACAGCTCAATTCCAATTACCGTCCAGGCTCGCAGATCAAGATGGAGATCTAGATCCTTGATGCCCCAGGCAACCGGACCCGCACCGCCCGCGATCTCCATCTCACGCCAAACCCCGATCTGCACCGCGTCTAAGACCAAGTCCACAACCTCCAAAAACAATGGACATCGACGACATCCTCGCCTCCGTCGACCGCGGCGCCGGTGCAAGCGCCGAGTCCACAGCCCTAGACCACCAACAACTAACCCGGTTCTGGGTCGCCGAGCGCGCCGTCTCCGAAGTCCTCCCATGGCCCGCGCCACTAATGGAGCGCGTAATGGATCGCGTCCGGCTACAGGTACAAGCCTCGACCACATCCTCGGCAAAAAAAATGGAATCAACTGACGCGTCTGGATCTATAGATCGAAACAATCGAAGACCTAGCCGCTTCATCGGGCGAAGCGACGCCCACAGCAACGCACAATCCAAATCTAAACTTGCGCCTTTCAATCCTCCAAACCGACCTCGCGCGCACACAATACATAATCCGTTCTCTTCTCCGGCAACGGTTATCAAAACTTACAAAACACAGTATGCACTACCTAGTGCAACTTGCCTCGCGGTCCAAAAATCCCCTTTCGCAATCACAATCACAATCGCAATCGCAATCTCAAAACCCAAATATGACACCTGAAGACTCGATTCCGGACATTTCAACAATTGATAACATCTCGCCTTTGTCGGAGCCAGAGGCTACATTCGTGCACGCGCACCAGACGCTATTGGCTGGACACTATGGAGGCTCATTCATGGGTGCGTTTCCGAGGGCATTGAGGAGGCTAGATGATAATGCGGGTGGCACTAGTATGGTGCAGGGGCCGGAAATTAAGGAGGTTGTTTTTGCCAGGTGTCTTGGTGTTGAGGTTCCTGTTATTGTCGGGGCCGAGGATGGGGAGGAGGTCGGGGTTACGATGCGGATGGGCGATGTTTGGGTTGTTAGATGGGAGGGGATTAGGGGGGCTTGGGAGAGGAGAGAGGTTGAGTTATTATGATTTATGAGGGTCATGTTGGTTGTGATTTTGAGTTTTCTTGGGTTATGGGTCGGGATATCTGGCATTGGAGGCGTCTGAGTATACATTTACATCTACATCTACATTTGCATTTGCATTTGCATTTGCATTTACAAGTTACTGCGTTGGATTGATGCTTCATGATTCATGGGAAGTATGTGTTGAGCTAGGGAAACTGCCCTTGCTGTGTTCTTAATGGAATCATAAGACCTTAGCCAAGGTCGTTTCTATGGCTTGCGATCAAACCCCCGTTTGTAAACGCCAGTCGCTAATTCACAGAATGTAATGCTCGAGGAGTTGCAATGCCCTAGGTCGCGCTGCAGCGCGACTCTAAAGAATGAGAACAGGGAAGAATGAACAAAAGAGGGAGAAGGGGGCGGTGATGCTGAACACGGACGCGGGAATATCCAAGAGCCAACTTAAGCAACGTAGCCATAGGTGGGCGGCTCCTCGGACAGACGTTCCATATATTCGCGATCGATAAGACTTTCGATACGCTTCTTGACCATGGCCACGTCGGGAACGAACCGGGTGGAGAGCTGGGCGAGGGTCTCAGTCATTAACTGAGAGTGGGTGAGCTTCTTTCGTTGTCTGAGAGATATAATTAGTAAAGCTTCTAATTTGTAAAGGCATTCTAATTTGTAAAGGCAAGCACGTACTTCATGATTCGTACGATGGCAGCCTCAATACTACCACCACGCTCCTCAGCCTGCTTCTTTTCGGTGTCCTTTCGTTGTTCTTGGTCTTCGACCTTTGCGCCGGCAACAACGCCGATGCGAACTTTGACGAAGGAACTTTGGAACTCGTGGTTGAAAGAGAAGCGGTCCGTGGGTTTGACCTCTTTGCTCATCGGAGCCTTTTTCAAGATCCTGGTCTTGGAAACAAGAGACAATGACTGCAGATTCCGAATAAGATCGTGTTTGGGAATGCGAGTTCGCTCTTCGATTTCCTCAAAGGAGAGAGATTCGTCATCTGGAAAGTCGTTGAAGAGGAGGAGAATGACCATCATGTATGTGGAAACATTCAGCTCGTGCCTTTGAACTTTGCCATTGCTTCGCTTAAAGGTCATTCTGATGTCTGCGGTTCCCATGCCGGCTTGCCAGGACAACTTCCGTCCGCTGTGCTTATCAAGATAGAATTTCTCAAAGCTCTGCTTCAGACCTTCAATTTCCCGCGGGAAAATACAAGGCAGCTGCACAACACCTTCTTTGGTGTTCGCCATAATTTCCATCGGCCACATGGTACTGGTAAGAACGTTAATCTCCAAGTCCACGGGTTTCCGGTCTGGGTCGGCACTGCGAGCAATATGGCTTTTGTACCCAGCAGTCAGGTCTTCGGAGACAGTCATATCCTTGAACATGGCCTCAATGCGGGTCGTGAATTGGTTTCCAACCTCCATTTTCATCTTGGAGATCATCTGGCGCTCTGCATCAGTGCTTGCGGATCGTTTCATCAACAGACGGCGTGACAGATGCTTCTTGTAATAAGTTTCGAAGAGATCTTTGTCCTTGATGTACCGGAGCAATGTGATGCCGTTGTCGAGTAGGGCGTCAACTTCGCTTTCAGTCTTGCCCTTGATGCCCTTTTTCAAATTCTCGTCGAAGAATAATGAAAGATACTCGGAGCTTCGGGGATTTAGGTTGATGAAGTCAGAGAAACTTCCCATAATCGAGCTTTGAAGTCCCTGATCAGACAAAAAGGATTGTTCCCACACAATATCAAATTGGCGCTTCAGGGCCAGAATATCATCAACCCATTGAATAGCCAATACAGTCTGCTGGTTGACGGGCTTCTCCTTGCCTTTCTCCTTTTTCTCCGTGCTAGCTTCCTTTGCTTCCCTGGTTGCGGTGGCTGTGACTGTGGCTGTTTGTGGGATAACGACGGAGGAGGCGTTGATTTCTTTTCCGAGCTCCACAATCTGCTTGTTGACAGCCCGCGCGAGAGATTCTTTCTTCGGGTCAACTCGGGCGTTAAGCTGGTAGATATTCCGCAAGCCCTCAAGCAGGTTGTGATCCAGCATGTGCTTCACACCAGTTCCTTCAAGCTTGACGACCTCGTCGATATTCTTCCGGATCAGCTCGTTATCGAGGACTTCAAGGATTTTCGGCTCGGTCATCAAAGCAAGTGTAGACAAACAACGTTCCTGCTCCTCGACGATGCGTTGGGAGGAAATCCGGCAGAAAGTTGTCGAATCTCCAATTTCCAGTAGTCGCCGTCCCTCTGCCTGGTAGAACTCTTTACTCGTCTTGAGGAAAGCCGGTTCGAATGTGGAGATGTACAACTTCTCGCCTTCCTCCGCCTCCGACTCGTATAGTCCCTCCAGCATGGAGATGCAGTGCCTGGCTAAAGGCCTTTCAATTATGTGACCCGCTCGCTCTAGAGAGATCATAAAAAGAACCGTCGATTCAAGAATATCGGCGACGCTTGTCGGGGAATCGGCGCGGATCGGGGCTCGAAGGACATAATCGCGGAACAGGGCCATTGCGACAACGTAGATCGAGGGCTTGGATTTGTCCTGGGAAATGATGCGGTCCTGCAGGGTACGTTAGAACGACCTACTAGCATGTCATTAGAATCGCCAGAATGATCCAAGCTTACCATGTACATGAGAACGTCGGTTATCATGCTCATGCAAAGCTGGTGGTCTTCCCAGGCTTCCTTGAAAGCCGACAAGAACTTCTCCCCCGCAGCTCGCCTCTCCTCCGACTGGTCCTGAATCTCTGTTGCAGCTTGAGCACGAACCAGAGTCGATGATATCGAGTCTGTAATGCGCTTCTGAACAGTGCCCCGCAGCCAGTTTTCCTCCTGCCGCTTCACATTTTCGTAGAGTTCCGGACCCCGCGTCATCAACACTATCCTATATGCGTTGCGATACAATTCTTCGAAAGAAAGGGTCGAGGCATTCTTTGTATGGATTTCGGTCAGAGAGGAAGAGAGAATGCCCCAAAGAGAGTCGTAGTTATCATTCTGAGCTGCATTCAGGCCCTGTAATACTGGTCAGTACAGAGCTTGGAAGCCCCACGAAGTCACGTACCCGACGGGGGGCCCGAATCTTTTGCCGTGCCCGCATAGCAGCCATTTCGGGCACGGAGAGATGGCCTCAAGGTTAACCAGGAAGTGAAAACTTGAAAGAAGCGGCGTATGCAAGAGTACCGAAATTTCGCGAAGTGCAGTACTTGTCGAACGCTCCGCGGAGGCGAGCAGTACCTCGGGCAAACTTTTTTCCAAGCCGGGTCCGCTTCCGAGGCTTCAGTTCGAACTCGCGCGTCATCTTCCTTCCTCACTTTGCTGAATCACTTGATTATCTTGCGAAACAAAGAGCCCACTTGCGATCAGAAACGAAGAACCTGTCAGGCGAAAGCTCAATCTCGAGAGTTTACAAGGCAACGTTGCCAACCAGTGCAAAACGACCGAAGAATGCGTCCCTTCACACAGGGCCTTCGCCCAGCGCGCTCCTTCCTTTCATATACATCCCTTACATCGACGCGAACACAATCATCCCGTCTCTCCTCACAGATCAGTCCATTCCACCGTGCGGCATCGAAGTCCTCTGTGACCCGACCTGCTCGCATCTTTCCTTCAAGCTTCATCCGCCACAACTCCACCGCGCGCCCTCTCACCGAAGACTCACCCACGCGGACAGAGACTGATGAAGAGCGCGCAGCTAGGAACGAGGAGCGTCGCAAGAACGAAGAAGCCTATCGCATCACATTCACTTGCAAGCCGTGCGGTGAGCGCTCGTCGCATCGCATGTCAAAGCAGGGATATCATCGCGGCACGGTCCTCATTCAATGCCCCTCCTGCCAGAACCGTCACGTTATGAGTGATCATCTTGGCGTATTTTATGATAAGGGAACTACTCTGGAGGATCTTTTGAAAGAGAAGGGACAGGTTTTGACACATGGTCGCACCGACGGTAACCTCGAGTTCTGGGAGGATGGCACAGTCAATAGCTTTGACTTGGAAGGCCAACAGCTCTTGGGCTCTTCTGAGAAAGAGCCTTCGGGCAAAGAGTCTTCCTGAGCTTGCAATGCGAGTTTGGGGCTCAAATGCCCATGTTTTAAACGTGTATAATACGGCTACTCTCCACTCTCGACATGGCGGGTTCCAGGCATTGAGGAGGAGTAAATGATACATTGGGACGGCATATAGAGGAGGATGTCTACCTGTCATGACCATGTCACAATATTGCATCTTGTATAATAGAAACCAGACCTAATCCAGGTCAATGATACCAACAAAAGCTACGTACCGGTTCGAAAATCAATACCATCAGTCTATTCTCTTTGATTAACTCCCGGACTTTGACTAAAGTACCCTGCCTTCCTGTGATGGCACATACAAGCTTGTTTCTCGGCCCGTCCCCGTGCCTGTTTAACTGTATTGTGAAGGATGGAGGTCAGATATGGACAGGCAGTGAGGAAGGCGTGTATAGGAGTTTCGTGAATTACGACATCCTACTGATAGCGGCCGTTCTGGAATTAAAAAGGGTCTGTTCTTAGAAAATGATTCTTTCCGCTGTATCTTCATACGGATTAGGGCCCCCAATCCACGTTGACGCTATCAGGTTACCTCCTTGGCGGAGAAAGCAAAAGAAGCCGAAGGTCAAAAGAACCTCAATCTCCGCATCAGAGAAGTCAACCCCTCACAATGTCATTTCTTGAACTGCCCCTTGAAATTCAGCAACGGATCCTCTCAAACCTCCTTTCCAACAGCGATGTGGCTGCACTCTCGATCCAATGTCGCGCCCTCCATTCCATAAGCGACATGGCAACGCGCAAAAAGTATCACCACATTAGTGTTTGCCGAAGCGAGGATGGTATCGATGCGCCATTCGGCTTGCTCATGGGTACCTTGAAATGACCCAATCTGGGCCATTATGTGCGCCATATCGAATGCTGCACACCAACATCCAGGTATACGGCCTACAAAGAAACAAAGTCCCAGCGTGGCTTGAGCGACGAGGACACGAAGCTTGTGCAGGCAGCAGTTAGAAAAGCCGGGTTTACCGGCCCGGATGAGCATCAAGTGGTCAATATGCTGATGCAACGCCTGGATGGAACAAGCGGAGGGTTTGACGACTGCGGGAGAGAACCTCAAATTTCATTTCTAAGCAGATGGTCTAGCTTGGACAGTGGGGCCAAGCCCCAGGTTACATTCATCGCCCAGGCTCTAACTGCTATTCTCATCGCGGTATCTCCAAACCTTGTGTCAATGGTCATGGCAGAACCTTTTTGTGGAGGTTATAAACATCCAACGGAAGAATATCCACTCGCCAAATTTCTACGCCAGGCCAACTCTGAACCAGAGCGCAAGCCCTACCTTCAAAATCTTCGCGATGTATATTTTATTAATATCAACAACAGTAACGAGACTGACGAATTTTGTTATCAAGAAATGGATTTCTACGGCTGCTGCGATCTAGTTGACAATCTTCCGTCCATCGAATCAGTCAGCGCCGATCTGGTCGAAGATGATCAGCAGACTGGGAAGTCAGATTTCGTTGAGAAATGCTCCAACATCAGCAGAATTTCTCTTCATCACTCTTCTGTCACTTCCGTTTACCTTGCGAGGTTGATATGGTCATGCAAGTCCCTCAGGGAATTTCAATACTCCATCGGAGGAAGATCGTCCATTGATGGGGGATATCCTATGGTTAATCCCAAGACACTTCTCAAGGTGCTATGTGGGCATAAGGACACTCTGGAGATTTTCGATTTTGACTGCAGGGACGTGATTCATTTGCTCGACAATGGATCTCGAGTTCAACCATACGAGACCCCATTTGATTCCGGTATCGACGAGAAAGAGCGCATATTTCTCAAAGCAATATTGGGGCATGGTGAGTCGCTGAAGGAATTTGTGGGCTTGAAACGGCTGAGTGTAGGGATCGAGTTTTTGTTGTATCTCGCCAAAGGAGTCAGTGGAGAATCGGACGAGCAAAGAGAAATGGTGACTCTGGCGGAATACCTTCCAGATAGCCTAGAGTATCTGTGTGTTCGGGGATACCAGAGGGGTGTGGACAATGAACATGATGAGCAGATGAAGGCATTGATGGCTTTTTTCAAAACAGAGTCATCTAATTTGAAGGAGGTTGTGGGAATTGAAGAATCGATTCCTCATTCTACCCATGTGGATGACATAGATGACGAGGAGTCGATTTGGTCGTTACAGGAAAGGGGTTATGAGGAATTTTACATGTAGGTTGAAGACCTTGTACTCGAGTTGGAGGCAAAATATCTTCGGATGTACAAAGAAATCGAATTGTTCTAGGTATATACAACACCAAAAGTAACCAAACGCCAGCTTTTATATGCCACCAAACCAATCATAATATATGCAGCAATAGAAAATATCTTTACCAACCACGTCTCTTGCCACGGTGCTCAAGACCCTTCTCGTGACGCTTGACTCTCTTCCGGTCATTCCTTCTCTTCTTGTCACGCTCGTGTCGCTCGGGATCAGCAACAGCCTCAATGCGACGCTTGACACGGCGTCCTTCACGACGCTCCTTGATAGCTTCTTGTACCTTGCTCATCTGCGCGATGTACTCAGTGGTACCGAGCTTCTTCTGGAGGGAGTCCAGGACCTCGTGGCAGTTAGAGACAAAGGATTTGTAGGTGTTCTGGAACGTCTCGTCGGGAGAGCGAGGCGCCGGGATGGATGAGTCGGTCAGATGTTGCAACGGGAGCAAGATGCTTGACAGGGAGGCCTGGATTTGCTCTGCGCTGAGGTGGTGGATGAGCGCGGCGAGGAGTGCGATGGAGGCTGTCTTCGGGATGAGGACTCCGGGGCGGGTTGAGATGATCTCACGGCGCAGAAGAGAGGAGATTTGTCGGAAGATGTAGTGGATGGCAGACTTGTTGGGGACGATAATGGACTTTGCGGTCTCTTCGCCATCAACCTCGCTGCCATCATCATCTTCATCATCTTCAGCATCGGACTCAACATCCTCTTCATTGGCCTTGTGGAACTCAAGGCCGTTCTGTGCACAGCAACGGCCAAGGAAGACAAGGTTGCGGACGCTCTGCATAGCAAGCTCTTCGGAGATACCAGGGGTACGCAGAGAACGGGTACTAGCGCGGAGCAGCTTGATCATAGCCTCCTTATCCAGGACCAGTCCTGAGCTACTAGCCAAGGGCATCTTGCTGTAGCCAGAGACAGAGTGAGTCTTGGCCACATCGGCCAACCATATGCCGATGAGGTTGGAAGCACAGGTTTTGACCCAAGTGTGGGGGAAGAACAAGGCTTCTTGCACCGCAGTCCAAATAGAAGCACAGTCGGGACTCAACGCAAGCGTGGAGACCGTCTTGCCAAGCTTTGAGAACAGCTGCAAGGCGAAGTAAAGAGTTTCCCAGTTTCCATTCTCGTGGTCGTCGAGGATAGGCTGCATCAACCCAGGAAGGATGCCAACGACGAAGCGAGCCTCCTTATCTTTCTGTGTCTCTTCGGTCTCAAAGTAAATTCGCATAGCCTGGAGACCGATGCTACCAAGAGCCATGTTGTCGGTTTGCTCTAGCCACGAGTGTAGAGGGGTCAAAATGGTCTTCATTTGCTCTCTGTCTGCGCGAGCATAGAACTGGCCTAGAAGCGCACCGGCCATCTCTCGACATTCAGGCGAATCGTCGTTAGCCATGGCCAGAACAACAGGCAAGAAGAACGTGCTGATAATATCCTGGGCCAGCTCCGGCCCCGTCTTGGAAAGAAGCATATGGATCGCCTCCAAGACAGACTGCCGTCCTTCCCGATGCTTGTAGTCCAGGTTCTTTGCGAGGAAACCAAGCTGTTTGGACCAGCGGTTCTTGGCCTGAGGGTACTCAATCAAGAAGTGGATGTAAGTACCGCGAGCAAGATCACGGGCAGAACGCGTCTGGTTCGTAACCATCATGGTCGCAATGCTGTCAACGAGCTCGTACATCTCTGGCACGACGAACTTCCGGGACATCACTGCGCGGATGAAGTTAAAAGTGATACCCTGTCGGTCCGGCTCTTCGATATCAGCAGTCAGACGGTGGAGCAGGTACGCAAGGTGACCATCGCGGAGCTTGGTGTTCTTGCGCTCGCGGATCACAGCGGAGATCAGCTTCAGCGAAGCTTGTGCCGCTTCACTGTTAGTGCTTGGGGATTCCTTGATCATCTTCACAGCCTCCGTGAGATAGACGTGAGAGTTCTCATCGATCTCAGGCAAGTTCAGCTTGATTATTGTGGACAGAAGTCGGAAAGCAGAGATCTTGACTTCCTCATGAGCCTGCACCATGGCATCACCAACAGTGGGCAAGAATCCAGCCAAGTTCGCGGGTGTCAATAATGAGCCGAACTTATTGAGAATAGCGCGAAGAATGTCAAGTGCGAAGCGAGTCAGCTTGTAGGCGTGGGAAGAAGTAGTACCCCGTTTCTCGCCTCGCTTGGCGCCTTGCAGTCTAACTAAGAACCGCTCCTCGGAGTAAGACTTCTTTACATCCGGCTTGTCAGAGGCTGCGCTGTCCTGGTAGGACTCCTTAATGACTTCGTAACAGAATATCAGCAAATCACGACTCTCAGCACTAGGGTTTCTCAAAAGACCAATCCCGATTCTACGCATGAGCTCGTCGATCTTCTTGACAATGTTGGAGTTGAGCTTCTCGCGCAGGAGCGACTGGAGAGGACGAACGAGACCCGAGAGGTGGCCAATAGTTGAGTTCTTGGAGAGCAACTCCATTGAATCGTAACTCTTGCTACTCTTCACTTCCTTCATCTTGCTGACGTATTCTGCAGCGTCTTTCTCCTGACCAACAGTACCGAAGATATCATCCATGACGACTGCAACTAGATCTGCCAAGCAGTAGTCCAGATCACCTTGGTTAAAGTGATCGGTGGTAAACACCAACATGGAGTGAACTGTGTAAGACAGGACGTGAAGCTGGTAACCACGCAAAAGAGTGTTACGCAGCTCCTTCAGGATATAGCCGAAATAGACAGGTCCCAAGAGAAGAGCGATCTCATTAAGGGTCTTCCGTGCCGTGTCTCTGGAGTCTTGTGCCTTACTCTTCAAGACCTTGCAGACATCGAGCAAGACAGGAGGCAGACGAATAGCCATATCATCCTCGGGAAGAATCTTAAGAAGCTTGATCGTAGTGATGGCAGCGGGAAGACGCAAACTCATCTCCGTCTCTTGCTTGTGGTGGATGAAATCGGTCAGGAAGGGGATGAAATTGGTAGTCAACTCTGTGGACACCTTCGCAATGGAGGGAAGGCTCCGCGCGAGCATACACTTAATTTGCTCGGGCGATTCGGGCGGCTCAGAGACGTCCATCTTGTCTGCATTCGCTTCCGCATCAGCATCGCCATTCGCTTGGTCCTTTGGTCCGTTCTTTTGATCCATTGCGCTGGACAAAGCATCAGACATGCGGCCAAGGAGCCTGAGAATGTTCTTCTCCATCTCAGGCTTGCTCTTCATGTAACTGCGGTATCTGCGGAAATTTGCGCGGAACTGAGCCCAATCCAACCATTCAGCAAGTGAGCCAATGGTAGCAACAGCCTCAGCGATCAAGTTGTGACCGCTTTCATCCTCGGCCTCATCGAACGAGAAGTGCTCGATAAGAGGCATGAAGATTGTGCCCAGGTTTGTGGGTGTGAGGTTTCCTTTGCCAGCCTCAGCAGCGAGACGGCGCAAAGCACGCAGACGACGGTGCTGTTGAATGTGAAGGATGTTGGTGAAGAAAGATGCTTCCTCATCATCGCCGACAAGAAGCACATTCATATCCTTGACAGACTCTCTCTCCGGGTTCAGCTTCACGAAGTAGCCAAGCACAGTCACAATCTCGGAACGGATCAATTCGGACTTGTTCCTGATACCATACTTCAGCGCTGGCTGCAGAACGTCGTTGACAAGAGCTTCGAAGTCTTCTTTGCCCGCTTCGGTAGCGGCTCTTTCAATGAAGCGTTTCAGGCCGAAGGAAGCGCTGGAGCGAGTAGCAAGCTCTTCGTCATCCTTGACATGGAACAACATATTGTAGAGAAGAGGTCTCCATTGCTTGGCGCTGAGGGTCACGGAAAGCTCCTCGTTGATCTTCGTGAACGCCTTCAGACGGCGCTCGAAGTCGGGCTCGAGTCGCTTCATGGAGCGAGAATTAAGATCCGCACAAAGGTCCGCGACCTCTTTCAGCTCCTCGTCATGTGTGGCGAGGGCAGCGAAAACTCGTGCCAGAACCTCTCTGTTCGTGTCATCCTTGAAGTAATCGAACATGGCAGACACAGCCTCAAACACCTGCTGGGAAAGCTCGGCATCTTCCTTAGGGTCGTACAGGGGCAGGAAGTGCTCGAGAATCTTCAGAAGACCCGACTTAGTTCTGGGATTGACACGATCCGGGGGCTGTCGGAGAAGGTAGGTGGAAATGCTGATCAAAGTAGAAGTTTCAAGAGAAGACTCGACACAAGGTGCCATCTGGGATAGAGCATTGACTCCTGCGAACAAGACAGGCTTTGAGGGACCTCTCTTCAAGAGACGAGCCATGTGGGAAAGAGCATGCTCCAGGTAGGGAGACAGGACTTCAGATCGAATCTGCTCGGCCGGGATGTCGGGCATTTCTTCATCTTCTGTAAGCTTCTTTCCACTGGCCAGCTGGACCAGAGGCACTAGGACCTCTTCCAGGACAAAGACCTTGACTTCATCGCGCGCTGATTCGACACCAAGACAGTCGATAACCTTGTTCAGAACATCTTTGTTGTGCTGCACCAGGTAGAATGTGGATCTCGGGGCAGACGCCCAAGTGTGGAAGAGTCGGAGTAGACCGGAGATACCTTGGGCGGTCTCGATGGGGAATTGCGCCAGTCTGCCGTTGATCATTTCATCGAAGATGACCCGGACATAAGGTGTCCACTCTTGGTCAGAGGCGACGGAGAAGACCAGGTTTAGACAGCGAATACATGCCTGACGGACATTCTGGTAAATGACAAGAGTCTTCTCGTCATCACGGTCCACATAGATCGAGCTGCTCTCATCATAGATAGCCCGACACGCGCGCACCAAGCAGTAAATTATGACATTCATAGTTTGCTTCGAATAGGGGATCATGCGGGCTTGAAGAGTGTCAAAGACTGTGTCAATCATCTTGAGCAGACCGACTTGTCTTCTTGGGCTAAGCAACTCCTCCGAGAACGCATCCAAGTTCGTCTTGTCATCCTTGACAACGTTGACCTCCGCAAGAGGGCCGAACGAAAGATGCATGAAGAGCCCAAAGTCGGCCTCGGATAGGTGGGAGAGGGTCCGCAGGATAGTCTTACGTCTGCCGGTCTGCCCGGCACTGCTAGAGCTTGCACCAGCCTTGGAGATCATACGGCCGTACAGCAATCGAAGAAGCACAGGAAGCAGAACAGGGCGGTGTTCCTGCTCAATCAAACTGTCTTCGCTACCAACATGGACAAAGACCGCGAGCTCATCCTTGAATCTTGACTCATCCAGGATGTTGAGAAGGTTCTCCTTGTACGGCACGACGTGCGGGTTCTTCCAGGTAAAGAGAGCCTTGAGAGCAGCCTTCTGAATATCCGAGTTACCGTGACACAAAAGCCCAAGCACTGCATCGTGAACTTCGCGTTCCCTGAAAAGGACCTTTGGGTTCAGGAACTGACCGAACAAGCCAAGCATGGCCAAACGGTCACGGAAGCCCCATCGGATGGGCATGTTCTCGGGATCAGCATCATCGGCCTTGGCATCGGGAGCGTCGTCCTGGTCATCACGAAGTGCCCAAGACAAAAACAAGGGGATAATTTGACGCGATCGTTTCTCGGCAATTTGAGGAATGGCGTTCAGCACAAGCAATGCATGGGTTCGGGGAGTGGCAGGAATAAGGTCTGATGTGCTGTGATCCTTATCAAATTGCTGCGACAAGACAGCAGAGGGATCCTCAGTGTTCTGGAAGTTGGTAATAGAAACGCTCTCTACTTTGAGGGCGTTGAAGCACTGGAAGTCACTAGAGACGAAGTTCTCCTTTGAATCGTCATCTGCCGCATCCATGGCACCAGAGTCCCGCTCCTGCAGCCACTGAATAGACAAATCCGAGACAATTTTCTCTCCCTCAGGATGCTCGCTAATGGTCTTCAAGGCCGCAGCAGAGTCCTCCCAAAGTGCAGCTAGCTTCTTAGAGAAGAGACCGAAGCAGAAATATGGGATTAGAGTAGCCATCCACTTTTGGGAAACGATCTGAGGATAAAGAAGGGCCAGTTTGCGGATGTGCATAGAAAGAACTCTCGCACTTTGGAGGGTCAATTCGCTCTCTTCAACCTCGATCGCCAAGTCGATGGGCGAGGGATCATTCTTGGAAACCCGAGAAACGAGCTCTCGCAAAATGCGGAGAGACACCACCCTCAGTCTGTGCGAGGGACTAGCGAGATTGACAACCAAGTCGCGAGCGAAGTTATCCACAGAAGAGTTTTCCAGGTCTGAGGATTCCGGGAGGGATGTGATAAAAGCAAGAACACCCTCCAAGAAAAGAGGCACGCGAGAGAGCCTAGAGGAAGCTGCCAAGATCGGCTGCCAGAGGCTCGAATCGAGGTCAGTAGCCTGGTTGGCCAGCTCGACGTATGTCTTGAAACCCTGCCCCTGATAGAACATTGACCCGTCCTTGGTCTTCTCTGAAGCAGCATCGTTCAGTGCAGACAAAATGTTCTTGTGTAGCTTTTTCACAATCTTAGCCATCATGCTAGAGTCCGCAGAAAGAGAGACTGCGTTTGGAAGCTTAATCAATGCGTTAAGGAGAGACTCGTCAGTCGTAGGGTATTTCAACGAGTCATGGATGCGGGTTTTTAAGGCATCTGGGCAAGAGACATGGCCAGATCTCGTAGGTTCGGGCTGAATACAACCGGTCTGGTTAAGTCGCAGCAAAGTCAAGCAAGTCTCCCATTCACGCTCCTTCCAGGATGAGTTGATGAACTTCTGGAAGTAAGGAAGCATGAGGCTGTGGAAACGCTCCGCTCCCCACTCGGAGAAAGTTGCGCAGAAGAACAAAAAGTACTTTGACAAAGGTCCTGTTGATACCAGGTCCATGAGGGTACGCATGAATGGCAGCATTTCGTCCATTGGCGACAATTGGAGAGCGTAAGCGACAGCTGCAAGAAGCTGGGGAATGGTTTGCGTGTATTTTTCAGGGCTCGCTGACACTTGCTTCAAGAGAGTTACCAGGACCTGATGAACAGGCTTCCAATTCTTGATTCTCAATCCCTTGCGAGTTGCGACGCAGGCAAAGATCAAACGGGAACATTCGGGAATATTAGGATTCTGGGACCCCTCAGACCGAGTGTCGACGTACTCTTTAATGGTGTCGAGAACAGGGGGGAAGCTCTCGGGAGTAGTGGAATGGATAAGGTTGGTCACCACTCCGTGTGCGATCTCTGCAGGTTCATTATGTTCTTCGCTGGTAGGGGGAAGCTTGTCCAAAATGCAACGGAGGACATCAATTCCGTTGGAATGAAGGCCGTAGTTGATGCCCTTGATGGATTCCGAAAACATAACCATCAATCCTTCCTTGTAGTTCTCAACATTGATCCCTTCGTCGGCCGCTTTGAAAATATCGTCGAAGAGAAATGTGACGGCGTTTTCGAGCGGTGTCTTGTTCTTGTAGTATACAAGGCCAGCCTTGCGAATCAGGAATGACATGGACTCTGCAGCGAATCGAGCAATGAAAGGCTTCTGGCGTTCCTTACCGAGGTACGGAGTCATTATACCCAGCAGCTGGCGTAGATCGGGCACCAGCAGACGAGACAGGAACTTGAAAACCCATGCAAGACATGTGAAGCTCCACTCAACGACCTCGATATCGGGGTGCGTGGCGGTCACGGACGCCACGAGGGTCACGGATGCGGCGAAATGCTTCTCGAACCGAACACCCAGGTCTCGCGCAAACTGTGCCAGTAGACTCAGTAGCGGCTCCATGGAGAGCTGATCCCTCTTCTCAATGAATTCCACCAACAAGCCCATAATCTTTTCTTCGTGGTACACGATCTGGGCGAGGCTCTCGGAGAGCTTGTCGACTCGGCGAACGAACTGGGAAAAGTTGTCCGTAAGGTTCATTTCGGCCCAGTGGTCGAGGGCAGACCGGAAATATGAGGTGGTCTCGCCATCTTCTTCACCAAAGCTGGCGCGGCGCACGCGATGGATAGGGTCGATTTTGAGCCTCGCGATGCGCGAAGAAAAGCCCTCGAATCGGTGGTTCTTTGTGGTTTCGGTGCCTCCTTTCAGACGCCTGGTCGGCTTGGCTCGGGAGCCTTGTGCCACCATTTTGAAAGAATCGACAGGCAAAGCTGACGAGAAAGGTATATGGGGAACTTTTTTACTCTGCCCGCATCGAATACAAAAAAAGTTGACCGGTGCGGGAGCAACTTTGTTCCGGCCGCGGAGGCTAATACTTCTTACGCTAGCTATATACGGCTAGCGTTGTCACGGGGTGGCCCAAGCTCCTTCGAGAAATGCGCTGCGATCCTCGCGGCGTGTTCTACATTGCATTCGACGCCCTTGACAACCACTTTTAAAGTTGACACTTTATCCCGTCAATCTTGGCTGTTGTTTAAAGAGCGTGAATTTTCGTCATTTCCTACCTGGTCAGCAGCCAGGCTAAGCCTTTATCATTTTCAAGATGTCTTCCAAGATGTGAGTGCGTCCGACCATGACCTGAAATGATACTAATAGAATCACAGCATCGTGCTTGGAAGTGTGAATTGCCAGCTGCAAGCGGTATTCACCAAACTTGCCAAATTGCAGGCGAAACAGAACTTTGCATTTGCAATCATTGTTGGCAATCTCTTTGGCGACAGCTCAACAGAGACTGAGCTGAATGAGATCTCTGGCTTGCTCAACGGCAGCATCAATGTTCCTTTACCGACCTACTTCACTGTCGGTGACAAGCCACTGCCAACCCGCATCGTGGAGAAAATTGAGGCCGACGACGAGGTCTGCCCTAACTTGTACTTCCTTGGAAAGCGAGGCACTCTGAAGACTTCAGAAGGCATTCGCATTGCTGCCCTCGGCGGTACCTTGGGCAGCAGCACAGACGCCCAGTCCAAGCCGGAGTCAAATGCCAGTGGCAAGTTCCAGACCACATACAGCGAGTCTGATGCTCGCGCGCTCTACGGAACCCACAGCGCAGATATTCTTATCACCAACCAATGGCCCAAGGGAATCCGCTTCGGCTCTAAGGTGGACTTGCCCGAAGACAAGAGCCTCCTACCAGCTGAAGCTCAATGCGTGTCCGACATTGTCGCAACCCTCAAGCCCCGTTACCACTTCTCCGTCTCAGACGGCTTCTTCTACGAGCGCGAGCCATTCTTCCACATGCCAACCGAAGACAACCCCGACGCCAAACCGCTAACCCGCTTCATCTCCCTGGCATCCTTCGGCGGCAAGCAAAAAGCAATGTACGCCTTCTCAATCGACCCCAAAGCAGCACCCCCAATCACAGTCCCAGCCGGTGTAACCGCCTCACCACTCTCTGCGCCCCAGACCAAGCGCAAGGGTCTCCCACCCCAACGCGAATCATTCCACCGTTTCGCCGCCCCAGAGGAAGACAGACCACGCAAGCGCCAACGTGCCCCACCCCCAGGCCCAGGCGAATGCTTCTTCTGTCTGGCAAACCCAAACCTCGCAACGCATCTTATCACCTCAATCGGCAGCGAAGCCTACCTAACAACCGCCAAAGGCCCCCTCCCACCAAACAATTACTTCCCAGACCTGGGTTTCCCAGGCCACATGCTCATAATCCCATTCAGCCACTCACCCACCATCACTTCAATTCCGGATCCGGAGACCCGTACCAGCACATATAACGAAATGCAGCGCTACCGCTCTTCCCTTCACCAAATGATCACAGATCGCTCAGGCGGGAAACTCGGCGCCGTCACTTGGGAAGTCAGTCGCGGAAGTGGAATCCACATCCACTGGCAATTCCTCCCCATGCCATCCGATCTCATTCGCGGCGGGTTAGTTGAGGCAGCTTTCAAAGTCGAAGCTGAGAATCTCTCATATCCCCGATTCACAGCTACATCCGCCTCATCGGACGGATCTACCGAGCCGGGTGATTTCTTCCGCGTGTGGATCTGGAGTGGCCCTCAAGCTCAAAGCGAAGGCGAGAAGCCAGACGGGGAGGCAGAGAAGAGTGAGGCGGTAGAGAAAACGCTCTTACTTGAGCTCACGCCTGATTTTAGATTTGACTTGCAATTTGGAAGAAGGGTCATGGCGAAGCTGCTTGAGTTGGATAAGAGGATGAATTGGAAGGATGCGACCCAGGCGTATGAAGAGGAGGAGGGTGACGCAAAGGCATTTAAGGAGGCGTTTAAGAAGTATGACTTCTCTTTGGAAGAGTAGTTCTTTAAAGGCTTCTTTGTTTGGTTTTTGGGTTATTAAGATGAAATATCCAACTCAAATCCAACTCTAATTGAACTTCTAACCATGATTCGATTCAGATTCAGATTGAAGAGAAAGGTCAAAGTTTGAAGCTAGGATCTCGGATCCATGTCATTCCATAGTACATAGGCGCAATCACCCGCCTCCCCCTAGAATAATACAAAAAGAAAAGGCATGAGGAAGTCCTGCGAAGATCATGCAAGGACAATGATCATATATAGAGCCACAGCTCGAACAAAGACATGACTCCCAGAGGAGCTTTCATAGCGAAGGAAAGAAGAAACCGTGGTATCAAAATCAGAAATCCGGCCTCAAGCCAGACACAAGAACAAGAAAGTGCAAACGCAAATGCCAATAATACAAAGTTCATCGGCCCCTATACATCGCGATAGGTATTCGGCGCCGGCTTGCGCCCGCTCATGAGCAGACTAGGTGGTCTATCGCGATTCGTGTCCGAAGCTTCAACGCCGTACTGATGACCCTGGTCTTGCGCATGGGATCCATAGGCTGTATACTCTGACGGAGCCTGGGATTGGAAGGGCGGAGGTGGGGAGCCAGAGATAGAGGGGTGTGCGCCTCTGTAGGAGGGTTGGGAAGTATAAGTTGGTGGGTATTGGCTTGAGCCAAATGATGGTTGGCGGGTGAAGCCCGGGGCTTGGGGATGAGGTTCCGAGCCATGTATGGGGCTGTAATTTGTTTGAGGCTGGTAGGCTGCTACTGGGGAAGGGGAGGATACAGGGTGGTAGCTGTTGCTGTAGTCGTCGTAGGGCTGGTTGTAGGGTTGGTGCTCGTAGGGGCTTGAGACTGGGGCTCCAACGGGAGATTTTAGGCGGCCGTATGGGTCGATGGGGGATGCGTTGTTTAGGGATCCGGGTGAATGGTGGCCGTAAGGGCTCATGACGGCGTTTGGACCGGGGGAACGGCGGCCGTATGGGTCTTGGGCTGCGTAGGCGGCCGCTGGGGCTGGAGAGCGGCGGCCGTAGGGGTCCATTGCGGCGTTTGGACCGGGTGAGCGTCGGTTGTAGGGGTCGACGGCTGCCGCGACTGCCGGGGATGCAACACCAGGAGAGCGGCGGCCGTATGGATCAACTTGTGTGTTCAAAGCCAGAGGAGCACCAGGTGAACGGCGGCCGTATGGGTCCTGGGTAGCAGCCAAGGCAGCTGCGGGACCAGGGGACCGGCGAGCGTAAGGATCGGTATGATTGAAGCCTCTGTAACCAGCCAGAGGAGTAGTTCCACGATCAGGGGCATAATCCGCATAAGCAGCACCAGTGTGTCCAGGCGTACCGGCGCCCTGCCTGTGGTCCGGCGGGCTCAACGGCTCCATCTCCACGTCTTCGTGGAAGTGATCTTCGACGTGCTTGTCGACAGCAGCGGCCCAGGTAGGCATCTCCGGCAGCGCATCCTCATTGATCGTAGACGTTGCACCGGACTTAGAGGTGCTATCAAATGTAGCCGTAGTGTTCGCGCCGCGATAGACTGGCGGGGCTGGCGGAGGTTGATAAATTGGGTTCGGAGCAGGTGGGGGTTGAGTATAAATTGGATCATCGTAGTGTTTCGCTTGCTTGGGCGCCTTGTTTCTGCGTCGGCCGGAGGGGCAACAGCAACTGCAGCAGCATTTACAGCATTGGTAGCCACAGCAAATGCAGTTAATTATACAGCCGAGAATGGCGATTACAATCACGGCGGCAATGATGATACCGACGATGACAGGCCACCTAGTACTCAGTTAGTCCTGTGCATTCTACAGATTCCCATGGCCTGCACTCACTTGCAGTATGACTTGGCCATACACTTATCCCAGCTAGAAAACGTAGAAGGGACCGATTCGAGATCGCTCGCTGTAGAGCGAGCCCAGACGGAGCGAGCCCATGAGGGGATATTGGTCGGACCCATTTCGAATATTGAACGACAGAAAGCTATAACCGAGAAAACATCCGTTCATCAATTCTCGTCTAGAGACCTATCCTCACGTCCAGCAAGTCGCGAAATCAACCGTGTTCGCGATAGGGAGAAACGAGGGGGGCGCATGCGATAAGCCAAGCCAGGACGTGGACCCTGACTCTCCAGAAATAGTCGCAGCGGGGCGCGCAGGACTCGAAATTGATCGCGAAGTGGATGTTGCGTGGCTTATACACGGGGCAATCAACGAATTGGAAGGACAAGGGTCCAAAGAATGACGAGTCCTCGAGAGGTTTGGCTGAGACAGGTAGGCAACAGTTTTCGAAGGACCCAGAGTCGGTCCTCAGAGCTCACCGGGCTGTGCCGGCACAAGTAGGTTAGTTTGAAGGAATGAAAGGGCAGTGCACCGCAGAAGAAAGAAAAGAAAAGAAAAGAAGGTGAACAGAGTTGAAACACGGAGGAGAGCGACTTGACGGCGAACCCCATAATTTCAAGCGACTCTACGAATCAAGACTCCGCATTCTTAGTGAAGGCCAATCGTCATTTATCACCTCCACCGTTTGCCGATCATGCGGTTTTTAGGGGAGTGGTTTTTTTGGTTCCTGGCCGCTATGAGGAATGTGAAGGTGAAGGGTACATGATGTGTGAAAGTCCCAGCGCAGGCTGGTAGTTCTTCGATCTGGTGATTCCAGCTTCGTGTGTATGCGGCTTTGTAAACATTGGATCTTTGGGTTTGTGTCCCGACGGAAAAGGCATAGCCGCCAATTGTGACACCTCTTCAAGATCTCCTTAGTCCTGCAGGAGAAGGTTCGATGCATCTACATAGCATTTTGACTGCACGTTGAATTCACGGTGAATTGAGAATTTTTTGGTTTTCATTTCATTCTGCTCACACAAAGGGAATCGGTATCTGCAGGCTCTAGCCTTCAGTCACACCTATTAAAATCCCACAGAGTAAGAACTTCTGTTGCCAGGCATTAGTCACTTTTATGTACAGCTGCGGCCACTTCATATCACACGCCCATATCACCCAACAGGTCCTGAGACACACGTCCCAGAACAACATTATCAGTGGGGAATGATGCAATCAAAAACGCTCAGCGATGTCGGTAAACAGTCGAAGATGCAGGGCATGGGGCAATGGCATTCCTCAGTAGGGGGGAAAACAATCGAAGATCTGTACATCGAGAAGACAAAGGCGGATTAAACGGCAGTAAATGGGGAAAGAGAATTAGGGTTGTTGAAGGAAATAGAAGCGCCAGGTTGGCAGATTAGGAAGCGTCGCTGGATGAAAAAGAAAATGGCGCCATGGCCAGGACGTCTTCGTGGGCAGGTTGGAGTTCGGAATCGAGTCATGGGAAAACATAGGAAAAATGCTCGGTTTTGCTTTTGAGCGGTCATAGGAGAGTGGAGGGCCCAAGGTTGTAGAGCTCGTGTGGCGATGCTGGAAATGAAGCATGCAAAGGAAAATCAGGAGCCGGATATCGTTTCGAGTTGGAATCAAGGGAATCGCTGAATCGTACGGAACTCTGGGAAATGAAAAAAGAGAGCCCGTGAGGTGGCAAGGAAGGACGATATCGACAGCAGGATATCGGGTCGGTAGAAGAAAGGTTGAAAGAAAGATCAGTGGTGAACCGCGCTCCGCGCAGGTAATCCAGGGTCATCTCGCAGAGTCGACCATTGCGCTATCAAGCACTGATGAGGAAAGCTGAAATGGTGGGAAAGGCAAAAAAAAACCACCCAAGAAATCAGAAAATGCCACAGTAAAACTCCTCGCTCCAGAAAAAGACGCAGAATTTAGTATCCATCAGGCGCCTGGAAAAAATCGAAAATCTCAATAAGAAAGCATTCGGCGACCAGGCGTCCGTTGAGGAACAGGGCTTTCGGCAAAGGGAGATGAAGGGAGACGGCTGCCGAGTCTGCAGCGGCCAGTCGGGCTATCCTCCATCTGAGGAGAGTGCTGGCCAAAGGCGAAGGTTTGAGCGCGGTTCAACTTGGAACGCTGCTTAACCTTGCCTAATCCGCGCTCGCAGGCGAACTCGTGCTCCTTGGCATTCATCTCAACATAGTTTTGAGGGTAGCAGAGAGATCGGTGCTCGGCGAAGAAGGAACTGTAACCCCCGTCCAGAATGTACATATCGGGGTATGTAAGGTTGGGATAAGAATCGATATTAACAGCTCTGTCATGGTGGCGGATAAATTTTGCCATAATAGGTGCGCGGTGCGCGGAGTATTCACAGTGCAGAACGAGGGCAGTGCGAGGCTTGACGGAGCCAAACAAATCACCGGCCAATTGGTTTTTATCATTATAGTTCACGGCGCCATTGATGTGGCCGCCCTCATACTCGTATTCGAAACGGCAGTCGACGACCATGATATGGTCGAATCGGTCGTTGAACTTTCCATCCAAAAGCTCAACGAATGTGCTCTTGTTAATGCGAGGCAGGTTGTCCGCCTTCTCCTCTGGGACAAAGTGAGGAAGCCGGAGGCTTGGCGGACTGTTCATGTCGCTGATCGACTGAAGGGGTGCATTTGTAGATACCTTGGCCTCTTTTTCGGCAATGACATCGGCTGGATGCTCAAACATACTCAATGAGCGCCGACACTGTTTGCGGGGGCGCATCGAGGGATGAGAGGGCTTGCGAATGGAGCTAGGGGCAGGTGAGTTGCTGCTACGAGCATGGTGGAAGGGCGGCCGCAGACGCGGCGGTGCGAGATTGTTCGAGGAACCGTTGCGAGAGAGGGATCTCTCTTGGGGAGGAGAATCCCCAAACATGTCCTCGAGAGAAGTAGACGTGCTCAAGGAGGTCTTTACTCCAGCAGAGCTGAACCGGAAGGGAGGAGGAGCCTTGCTCTCCTGGGTGGGTCGGTTCATTCCAAGCTGGAACGACGCAGCCTTGCTTCTCGCAAGGCTAGGTCGAAGGAATCCAGGGCGACGTCTCCTACAGACTGTTAGATCATTCAAATACACGGGTGTTCCTAGTTCTTCTTACTCAGGAGCGGCGAGAGGAGACTCCATGGGCGACGCTTGCAGTGGACTAGGAGCACCCGACGGCAAGGGAGATTCCAGAGGGGGAGACCATAGGACTGCCGTATGGTGACGGCGAGTGAACTTCGATCTCGGTTGTCATAACGAAGGCGGGCTTGTGAGGCAGCGGAGACAATTCCATCACGTCCATGGCCGGGGACGAAGGCAGCGGGGGGGTTGTCATCACATCGTCTACTCCAGACTTAGTACATCACGTTTCCAAAGTACTTCTAGGTGGAAGTCCTACCATATCCATTGGCATGAGCAAGCATGCTCGACGTGAACAAAGACCGACGGGGAGTTGCAAGCTGTGGGCTAAGAATAGAGTCAGTCTGCGTTCAATGATTCTTTGTCCCACACGACCAAACACGAACCTTTGATCAATATGGAAGTTCTGTGACAAGTCCGCAGCCAAACTGGCCGTCGGCGACGACGCCCGCAGAGGGTTCATGTTGAAATAGTCAGGACCAGACTTCTTCATGGACAGATCCTTGAAATTGAAGCTATTGGGGCCGAAGCCCGACAAGGACGGATACGAAGTAGGCTCTGCCCGAAAGCAGTGACCGAACATCACGGACGGCGGCTGCATGGCCGCCAACGGAGATGAGTGTTCCATATTTGACGTCGAATTGCACACTGGGCCAGATCCTGACGTAGTACGGTTGCAAGAGTCACAGCTGAATACAATCCCGAAGCGGTCGTTCCCAGTAGTACCACTTGGTCGCTGCAATCCGATCCACTCCGATCTGTAAAAACTCCACGGCGTCGAATATTCCCAGCTAGACCAGACGGCGAATTCCCAGAATCCCAAACCCTCGAACCTGAGAGTCTTGTGTTGCAATGGCGGGGGAGTTTAGAGAGCCATACCGAGGGAAGAGGGGTCCTATGGGTCGAATATGTCGGTATCTGCAATTGGGAGGGGCGGCAGCTCGTGGGCAATGGTGGCTGAGGGGGTGGAAGTACAGGGTCACGAAAGTTGATGTGAGACCTGTAGTACGAAGGTTGGGATAGGAAGGAGGAGGTTGTCGAGGGATAGCCGAGGAGTCGAGAATGTCGAAATGTTGAAAGTCGAGTGTCAAGAAAGAAGAGAAAAGGTGGAACAGGACTGACTGAAGAAAGAAACCTCGTGAAGCTGAAGGGATGGGTCTGTTGCAATGGCAACGCAAGTGGGGAGGATCTCCAGATAGGGTACGGTACCGTTTCTGAGGCAGTGAGGTACCGCACGGGTAATGTGCCAATACGTAATTACAGGTTTCTCAGGCACGCGCTAGACTAACACTCTTTGGTCTATACTACAGTGGACCCCATGTGCGGAGGACGTCAGGTACGATCTCCTGCTTGGAGTATGCATGTTCTCTCAATCTTTTGCTCCGGCCTGTCCATTCGTGGTATAGATGTGCGCTTCACTAAAGGGGGTTGCGGAAAAGGGTATTTGGCCCCAGTCTGGTTGCCCGGACTCCCTTGCCGCCCATCGTCCAGACTACCGGCTGCTCAGCAACTGCTCGCCTATCAGCTTTCACTCTATTTCTTCCGCTCTCATTCTTTTCCGGACTGGATCCCAATTTCTTGGCGACCATGTGTCTCGAGGTTCACATCCCTGGCCTTGGAGCCCTAGGGACATGCTAGGTGTGAAGGAAGATCAAAAGCGAGGAGATCCCTAGTACTGTCGGTTCCATGGATGAACCTCCATTTAACATTTTCGTGAATGAGAATTTTCCTTCTGAATACCCCGTTTCCCGTAGTACGAATGATTCAGGGCATATACGCTTCCCAGGTACCAAAACGGACTGTTCCGTGCATCTTCCATGGGTCTTCCGTATCCACCTAGCAAAAAAAAAAAATTTATTGCGCTCACGAGCCGTGTGTGCCGTAAGACAGCTCAGCTGAAAAAACGGAGCGAGATCGAGTCTAACGAGCTCGGTCTCCACTCCGTTCCACTTGCTCGGAAAATTCGAGCTCAGAAAAGCCAAAACGGTGCAAACGAGGTTCACAAAGTTTAAGATGCAAGTGATGCATTATGCAAGGATGAAGCATGACTCTGACCCCGGAATTCAATTCTTCTGCAAGAGTTCCGATATCCAACGTCGCTCCTACCTTGAACCTGAATGCTTCCTGTCCCTTTGTACATCGCGAGGCCCGTTACCCGTTCGGGAGATGCAAACCCCGGCCTGAATGGCGAGTTGCAACGCTCGGCCGATCATTCCCGTGATGAGCAAGCCCGAGATGAAGCATCCGATAAGAAGAAGGAACCGATCGAGACCTGTGATCAGGTCCAATTCTCCGGGAATAGGTATCCGAGGCAGTCATTGGGGGATCGTGATGGTAATCTCGAGATCGCAATCCGCGGCATTTGTAGCGGCGAGATCATTGCCCGGTTAGGATGCGATTAAGCAGTGCTGCACCCCACCATCCCAAGAGATGTAGCATCCGGTAAGGAATGGTGATGGAATCTCATACTTCAGGATGAATGCCCTTGCAGGTGCACGCATTCCCAGCCGCCAGGGCGTAGATCAAGGGTCCGGCGAGGGGAACGTTCAATGTCGCGCATCCCTTGGCCCCCTTGGTACCTAGGGTTCATGTTTTAGCTATTAAGGCTCTGCCCAGGGACTTCTATTGAAACCTTCCGATGGTCCCTTCCGACCGTCGCGCGGTCAACCCAATCCTCTGCAATGGGGCATCCTAGGATGCCAGGTTCCTGACATCCCAGGTCCCAATTGAGAAATTGAGCGGTCGTTAGGGCCGAGCTTCTACTTTCTGCAGGTACAACGTCACTGCCATAAACACCCGGCTCAAACAGTCCAAGAACTGGGTGTGTCGCGTCCATGAACATGCGGGTCCAAACAGGTCCGAACCTCCAGAGCCCACCCGAGGCAAACACTGATCCGCGCTCATGACCGGGATCAAATGATCGTCCATTCTAATGAGAGTCCTGGTCTCGATCAAGTCTTGAAGACGCGCTAGACTCGCAGAAATAGAGCGAATTTGCCTCGAATTTGCCACCGTGATATCAACGCGGCTCTGTGATGGACCTGAAACTCCTAGTGGATGGAGTCGGCGACAAACCATCCAGTTACAGTGGACGCCAGATCGCCTCCAACTACTGCACCCCAGGACTTTCTATTCTAGGCACTGTGAGTTTCCAATGAAACGCCGGTCGATTTCTACCCTGTCGGTCCAGACAGCTGGTGGACCCCGCATCACGCATCAGCCTGCAGGTGTCGTAGTCCAACATGCCCTGTTACAGAGCCCGTGTCAATTGAATAGCGGTGAATTGTCCTACGCCCGAGTCAAAGATAGTGCGCGGCGTTGACCCCATGCTGGTCCGTGTTGCTACGTCACTTAGTGGGCATTTTTCATCCGGTCTTGATCAATTGATCTCCTATTAATATATCCTAGCCGGATATAGTGAAACTATGACTGTTCATGACGTTGAAGCTAGAGCCTAGAGTCTAGGCTCTGTTGTTTACAATGAACACGGACGCGTCGTGGATCGAGCGTCTTTGTTTATCACGCTCGGGCTCAGATAGCCTCGTCTACAGCTGCCGCGCAGGAAAGATGCCAATCACACGGGTAGGCGGCTGCATCCTTATGGGATGACCCTAGTTTGTTCCCCAATCTCGACCGGGGTGACTGGTCGGTCTTGTCCGATCTCAGCTCCTCCACAGCGCCACTAACTGCTCTAGTGGGGTCAGGGAGGAATCAGGATGATGTGATCCGTCAGCTGCGTCACAATACCATGTGCAACGGACCAGTCGTAAGCCTTCGCCAGCCGATAATGTCCTGTCGCGCCTGCGGGGTCCATCACATCCCGGTGTCTGGACCACCCATGTGTTCCAACTCGTGGTGATGTCAGCTGTTACGGGCGCGTTCCGATAAACAAACCCAAACTCTCGGAGACGCGAACACAATACGGAATCCCGTGACTCTGTCCCGCAATCAGTGATGTCAACTCATAATAGATGGTCGCCAGATCTTGATTTGCGCCGATTATTCTGGGACTGTATCTGAATACATCGACAATACTGGAAATACCCATACTCGCATTACTCGCAGGCAGCCTCGTCTTAAAATTTGTCAAAAACGACACGACTAGCCCAGCATCCCCGATCTGCGACACTATTGACCAGCCCGGCTGCCATAGACCCCCCCTCCCCCCTCCCCCCAAGCCCACGCCCCCTCAATTTCGTGCCTGTCAGCAGTTGAGACTAGCCACTTAAGCCCCCTGAAAAATTGATGCTATCACTCATCTAGTGGGAAGCCCACACCATATGCAGCATAAGGCAACTTGTTACTCCACAACGCACAGCCCCGATCGTGGCCCTCAATCCTACCCATTAGTCTTTAAGTAGCACCTCCGCGATAGATCACAGTGCGCGATCAATCAACCGCCTTCAGTAGACATGTAGCACTTGGTCCAACTAGCTCGCACAAGAAAATCAAACGAACACTGATCTCCACGCCCACCTTCCACATCCATTGTCCATTATGCAGCCGCCGCTGTAGCTGTCATTCCATAAACGCATGGTAAATGCATGGCGCAAGTCCACGTACACCTCTCCTCCGTGGCAAAGTACGTGTCAACTACCATAACGCTGCAGGATAGAGTTATAAACGACGCATGAACAATGGGCCTGACAGTCTCGACCCCCTAAAAAAGTTGATATATTGTCCGTTCCCGCCCTGTTGCCCGGGTTGCCATGCCGGACGGAGTTTATTCTCAACATATATCGACCGACCTCTATGCGCCCGGACACATGCATCGCCATACATCATACATTCGCCACAACTAATCCTGTGCTCCGCAATTCTACCTTCCTGCAAATCCGAATCATAATCTTCCTGCAATGTGTCAGATTATAGGAGTATTTTCCAATGTTGCCCGGCTGGAGATGGGGTCGTGGGCACGCCCAATTCGATAGCTCGGCGGGTGTCCGGACAACCCATGGGGAATAGGGAAGAAGCATCATCGCCTAGGTGGATAAGGCAGCTGGCGTGACGGTTCTAGTGATGTCGGTTTCCGGATCTTCATTTTTGGGTGACGAAATTTCGGTGGGCTGTTGGATTCCAGGCTTCCCCTGAATGAGGCATTCAGGAGGACTGGTCAGATTTCGGGCTGGAATGCGGACTACTCATCACCTTGGATGTTTGCTTTGGCTAAAATACGGGATTTCGAAAGTGTCGATAGTTGAAACTTTTGTTCTTTCGGTCTGGTACTTGTATAACTGGGTTATGAGTTTCGTGGTTTTGAAGCTGGGTGAGTTGACCGGACAACTTGGTTGTCCGCAGCAATTGACTGATACGAGGACATGATGAATTAATTTGTGAAGCGCTGTTTGCGTTGTCATATGTGAGATTTAGGGGCTACAGGAAGGTGATGCTGGACGTGTGACTTTAGATGTTACCTATAGTTCTCGAGGTCTGATGTTGGACTTGAGAAAAGGAGACATTGTAAGTGGGTCTCGATGGCGGTCGTGGTTATCTGTTCGACTTGCTCGCGATGTTTAACAGTAGCTTCTTGAGAAATGAATCAGAAGATGTCAGAAAGATTCTGATAAGAATATTTCAAGAATCAAGGCTTGAAGAAGTTTTGGAACGTCCAAGTGAACATTAAAACGTTATGAGGTCTGTTCTATATCCCTTGCAAGTCCACCTGGGCATGGGTAGGATATATTTCTAATCCATTAGACTACATTCACCTCCAATTGCGCCACAACGAGCATTTCGAGAAAAAATCTTTATCAATTAGTATCTTATGCCCATCTTAAACACAAACCAACCAATAATTTTCCAAAGCCCCTACAACTTCCCCCGCAATGGAGGTCGACAGATCAGCCCCGTCATCAAAATCCTTATCGGCGTATCGGAGTACGCTAAACCTAAAAGAGCAACCGCCTCCCGAATTTTCTGCGCCCTCGTGAGCAATGTCCAACGGCCAGGAGCATCCCCTCGATCAGCTTCAATTCCGAAGCCACCCCCTTTGATCGCCGAATTGCAAGCCAATTGGTTATCAGACCCACCTACAAAATGGGCTTCAAACGGCGCCGCGAGCACTACAACGTCGACACGAAGCTTGTCGAGATCTATGAGGACCTCGCCAGCGAAAAGGATGAGATCCGCCTGAAGGCTGCTCAGGGCCTGGTGTCGCAATTCACACCCGATAAGGAGCCTTCAGATGACCAGATCAAGAAGGTCTTGCTTCGACTCGTCCGAGGTCTTTGCAGTCCCCGCAAGGCTGCGCGCATTGGGTTCTCGATCGCCTTGACGGAGGTCCTCACGCAAATCTTCTCAGTCAAGCGCGAGGACTCGGACATTACTATTGAGAATGTTCTCAGTCTATGGGAGAGACAGACCAACGCCGCTGGTGGTGAGACGGGCCAGGTATGTCGCGATAAAATTAGGAGCTGTGAAGTCTTGCTAATCCAGTACGCAAAAAGGAACAACGCGACCACCATTTCGGCCGTCTCTTCGGTGCCGAAGCGATGATCAAGTCGAACATCCTCTTCAACCCTTCCATGCCGTTCACACACTGGACCAAGGTCATTGAAATGATCTTCGAACTCGCCCAGAAGAAGCCCTGGCTCCGCGAGGAGTGCGGTTGGATTATCTACCGCTGTATATACGACCTGTCTGCACGCGACATGGATGTCAAATTTGTGGAGGCTGCGTTGAGCCGCCTGTGCGAGTACAATTTGGCCGCGACCCCGGAGGGTGTTGCGATCTGGCTGGCTGCCAGGGACATGTTCCCCAAGGCCAATTTCCCCAGCAAGACTTGGAAGCACGACGATCCTCTGGATCACAAGGAGCGCGGCAGTCTGTCCAAGATTATGAAGGAGTCTTCCACGGAGCAGGAGGATGGTAACAAGGCCAAGTCCTCTGGAGTGTGGAACTCCAAGCTCCACTTTGCCTGGGAAGCTGTTCTGTCGCGTACCAGCGATGAAAACCCGAAGTCTAAGAACAAGCATGCTCGCTTGAGCTTTGCCGATTTCTGGCTTGAGGTTGTGGACAATGGACTCTTCGCTTCTGCCTCGTCCGATGAGCGCAAGTACTGGGGTTTCCTTCTCTTCAACAAAGTTCTCAACGAAGGCTCCCCAGAACACGCTTCTCACGTTTTCACCAAGAATCTGGTCCGCTGCCTGATGAATCAGCTCGCTGTTGAAGACCGCTACCTTCACCGCATGGCCGTTAAGGCCTCCAAGGCCATTCCTGCCCGCGTGTCTAGGGAGCCCAGCTTCGCTGCATCCGCCGTCCGTGGCCTGATCCAGACCAGCGGCACGCTCAATTTCGACCAGGCTACCAAGACAAAAACTGTCGAGAAGATAGTGTCCGAGGCCAACCGCGAAGCCCTTCAAGAGATCGTGCCCATGCTCGAGCAGTTCCTCAGCCGCCCCGGCACAACCGACGAGAAGTTCGCTTCATCTAACCGCAACTTCGTCGCTCACCTTCTCCTTTCGATTGTGCGCTCGAAGGCTACCTCCGGCGACAAGGACTCCGAGGAAGACTGCCAATCCGTCCTCGAGCAGATCCTGTCCACCTTCGTGCGCTTCGCCTACTTCAAGGGTGATGGTGCCCGCGAGCTGGTCCCCGAGCCAGCCTTCACCCAAGCGACACAAGAACTTCTCAGGAACCGAATCAACTCGTCCTTGAACAGTCTCCTCGCATCTCAGAAGTATGCCTCAACTATCCCCTACGCCGTCGTGCGCCAGATCCGCGACGGAGCCAAGTCCGAAGAGTACGGCAAGTTCATTATCAGCATCGATGATAAATTGCAGGCCTCTGTGAAGAACGCGTTCAAGGCTCTGAAAAAACTTTCCAGCAAGGAGAAGAAGGGCGAGGCTTCCAGTCTTTCTGCTTTCAAGCTTCTTTACTCTATGACCGTGTTGCAAGTGTACAGTGGTGATGCCGACGCCGTGTCTATGCTGGATGAGCTGGAGTTCTGTTATACCAAGTTTTTGGGTGACGAGAGCTCGAAGAAGGAGGATACTTCTGATGCCTCTGATGCTTTGGTTGAAATCTTGCTGTCCTTTGCTTCGAAGCAGTCGGCTTTGTTCCGCCGTATGAGCGAGCAGGTGTTTGGTGCCTTTGCCGACCAGGTCACCGAGAATGGATTAGAGTCATTGATCTCGGTACGTATTTGTGATTCCGATGATGGCATTTTCTTTCTAACTGAGTTATAGATCTTGGAAGCTAAAGAGAGCTTGGCTGGCCAGCAAGAGATGTTCGACCAGGATGACGGTGAAGATGTCGAGGAGGACGATGAGGAGCATGACCATGATAATGACAAAGATGAGGACATGGTCGACGTTGACGAAATGGACAGCGATGTCGAGGTCGTCGAGGCAGGCGAAGGCTCCGAGTCCGAGTCTGAGTCCGATGAAGATGAAGAAGAGGACAACGAAGAAGATGCCGCCGAAGTCGCCGCCTTCGAAGCCAAATTGGCCGCCGCCCTGGGCACTCACCGCGCAGACGACGACGCCGCCGACTCCGAATCGGACGCCGACATGAACGACGACGAGATGGACCAGGTGGACGAGTCCCTAGCCAACGTTTTCCGAGCCCGCAAGCAAGCTGCCGACCAAATCAAAGACAAGAAGGACGCTCGCGAGAACATGATCAACTTCAAGAACCGTGTGCTCGACCTGATCGAAATTTACGTGAAGAAATGCCACTCCAGCCTTCTCGCCCTGGATCTACTCCTACCCCTTCTCCGCCTCGCTCGCCGCTCCTCCGTCAAGCAGATCGCCGGAAAGGCTAACAGCGTGCTCCGCGAGTACACCAAGCTGTGCAAGGGCAATGCCGTGCCCAATATCAACGGCGACGCCGAGCCAGTCTGGGAGCTTCTCCGCGCTATCCACAAGGAGGCTTGCCACAGCGGACCTCCCGCGCACGCTGCTGCCTCCAGCCAGGCATCTCTGCTCATTGTCAAGGTTCTAGTTGCCGACGACAAGGCCTCCATCTCAGACGTGGTGGACGTATACGCCTCAACTAGAAAAGAGCAGCTGCGCAGCACCAAGTGCCATGTGCAGCCATCCTTCTTCACAGAATGGAACAACTGGTGTGTATCAGCTAGCAAGCAGTTGAAGAACTAGAGGAGCCGAGAATGTACATAGACTTGAACAATAGCCTATACTAAAAAGCCAAGTCATTTCAAGTACCACGGAAACATCCAGACCCACCTTACGGACTTATTCCACTATGACATTACCTTAGAATAAAGTCATATCCTTAATATTATATAGTTTTCGAGTAAGAAAATAAGTAGCTTCGCGCCGCAAACGCTACGCGAAGGCAGATGCGTGCTTGTAAGACTAAATTAATAGCCTAGAATAACGGTCTATCCGTACGAGAAGCACTAGAGCTACAGCGGGGACTAACGCGATGATGCGCAAATGTTGATATAATCATTTTATTCCCAGCTCACAGTACTAATGCCAATAATGGCGTATTCCCGATCAGGATGTTTGTAGGCGTCTTGTGTACATCGTATGACCGAGACTGAGTAGGAGAGAGCTGACTATGACTGCTAGGAGAATCTGGCTCCGCCCTTCGGTACATGGAACTCCTTTATACAGCTGTACGAGATCTGAAGTCATCTCTTGCTTACTTGCATGATTTTGTCGAAAAGAAAAGAGATTGAATATAGCATGTAGGACCCCCGTAGCAAACTTCCAATGCCCTCGTAGGAGTATCTCATGCATAGCGAGACTTTCAAACGTAGGTGACATCTATATCGACGGCGGAAGAAGTTGTTGGATGCGTCTGATGTGAAATAGTTTATCGGAGTACGAATGACTGAAATATAAGTATACGGCCGAAGACCCTCGAGAGACTTTCCTTGGTCAGACTCAATGCTTCGAAGCCGTCCCTGACTAATGAAGGCGTATCGTTTATCTACTGGAGTTGACTCATATTGATTCGTGAATCTGGGAAGCTGAATGCTGTCTCATGCCGCTGGAAACGCTACGACATTCCATGAATTCCATTGAATAATGATATTTGGATAGGAGCGGGGAAGCTCACGAACCAGTTCGATTACAAGAGGTCCACATCTGTACCATCGTTAGACGTCCATGGGCATCTCGAACACGCCAATAGTCATAGATATTTGGAATCACTGACATGGAAATAGTGAGATAAAGGACACGATCAATTGTGAAGCTAGTGGTCATCCAACAAGTGAGTACTCTGTCATCTGTTAACTTCAATAATTGGGAGGAAGTCTATGGTTCCAATTCCCCAATAGATTCTTGTAGCCTAGCGCCAAAATAATCGTCAGCTTTGTCGTCGAACGCATCGGGAAATTTCTAATTAGAGGTTCAGGTGGCACGCAATTCAATAACACAAGGTGAAGGTGATGTTATAGTGGGTCTCGACCCGATCCGAAAGGGTAACACAATGCGAGCAAAATGATCTTGGTTGAGACATGGAATTCCCTTCAAATAGCGGGAACGACTGGCGTGTGAGCCGAGGATGAATTGTATTTATCTATGGGATGATCTCCTGCGGTCCGCCTTACCTGTCGCGTCTCGATCATTCTGCTATGTCTTGGACGCGACCGACATGCCGCGTGCACGGGATTGCCAGAAATGGGACGCCGAAATCTTGTTCTCACTTCGGAAAAACGATGATTGACTTTTATTCTACGTCCTCATATCAATCATAGGGTCCGGTTTGTTGTGGTTGTATCTACGGTACCCCAAATGTTGTGGACGCTATGGAGGTCAGCGCTATGACGTCGGACAAGACTATAGACAAGGTGGAATCCACATTATTCGTTGAAAGCCAAGTGAAACCTCAGAGCTAGGAATGGGGACTTGACAGCTCGCAAAATTGTAACACAGTGCAATTAACGAGCTCCAAATTTGACATTAAGCCAAACGTTGCATCAGGATTGAGCCACCGTTCGCTTGAGTGTGACTTCTAGTGCTTCGGCACCTGGAGGCAAATCGGCCCCGTTGTCGTGTCGGTCGAAGTAAAGTCTCCAAAGACCTGGGCCATCTTCCAAACCTAACTCTTCAGCTTTCTTCTCGTCATGCGGAAGTCGCACGGCTAACCAGCCTTCCCAACCCTGTAGTGTTATTCGCTCTTCATCCTGTGTCCAGTCGAAAGGGCCACAGATATTTCCCTCAGTATCTTGTTTCCCTCCCCATCGCATCTCATGGGTCTGCGAATCCAGATAAATCCAGCGGACAGTTGGAGGTGTTTCGCCTGTGATGGAGACGAAGCCTGCTGTGTTGCCAGGAGAGAAATCTGGATATTGATAGAAGCCACCATGTAATGGAGAAAGTTGCGGGCTGGGAGATTTGGTAATGTATATCTGGATTTCGGTTAGTACATCACAAGCAATCTTGACCTAAATGGCCGATACACAAAAGTAGATACAAGTCAGTTAGTCGTCAAGAAAGTGACGTGCCTTTTTATCTGCTCCCAAGAATACTTTGGCATTATGAGTTGCCAATCCCTGTTGCGGTGATCCATCCAAAGGCATGCACTGCACCGAAAGGTGACAGCGCTGTTGCCGCGCACTCTCACGCCTGCGCTCTTCATGGTTCCGGGTGCCCTTGGAGGCCTCATTCACTCCAATGATCGTTGGGACCATTGCCGTCATCATAAAAACACCTAATACTATCTTTGTGTAGAGTATCATGCGGTGTGCTCATTGAACAGAGAAATTGGTCACGCCCGTAATCCATAGCTTGATCTCGAAATCCTTCTAATAAGTTTTCGGAAAGGCGATCTCGTCGGCTTGACCTCAGGCCCAGTGATGGAACTGGGTACGTCCACGTATCTGTCGTAACAAAGGTCTCCCGGTCAATTTGACGCAAGAGATCACAGGGTTTTAATATCAGGTTTGGTAGTGGTAATAATCCACACTTCCTAAGATTACGACCCAGTGGTTGGCTACCAAGGTGCATCATCTATGATAACACGAGATGGAAGTTCCAATATCCGCACACGGCGAGTGTTTTTCGGCCCCGGCAGCTGGAATAACCATGCGTCTTTGGTCGCTCCACAGAAACAAACTTTAGCATTGACTTTGGGATTCCGGGAGTTACCTCTAGATCCATATTGATTTGTGTCACTCGCTGCGTTCACCATTCTCATATTTGAGGGCTCCGGGGAGATGCGGACATACCCCATTGCAAGGGATCAAATATATCTTGCCCGTTCTTTCAGCTCAAACGTCAAGCAAAATAACCTTTCATCATACCCATCAATCAAATCTTTATTACAGCCTATTCAGTGAGTTTCATGTCCATTTACTTGCTGTATGATCAACCGAAAAACCTAATACAGATGTCCCATTCTTGCAGCTTTTACCCCAAAGCCACAGATTACGAGCACAAACATGGGCGACCCTATCCCAGCATTGAGGTACATTAGATCTCAGCTCTTTCTATACACTCTCATTTTACTGTTCTATATGCAACAAGACCCCTCTTTCCAAGTACCAAAGGCTAATCGGAGAGTCGACCGGTGCAGTGGCGTCACCACCGGCCTTGGCAAAGGAAACCGGAGGGGCCGCCAGGGCTCAGAAAGCTCGTCTTCGAGCAACGACCCCATCGACAATCTAGTGGACCTTGACACTATGGCTAATGGAGGTCAGCTGATTGGACCCGCCGCCGCTCGTGAACTGGACAAGCGAAATGATAAAGACAAGGAGGTGAAGAAGAATGATAACGGCAGCCTAAATATCAAGATCCACTTGGATCTGCATGCCAAGGTGAAGCTAGATTTGGAGGCTGACTTGTATGGAGATATCGTGATTGGGCTATTGTGATTGAGATGAGGATCTGTTGCTACCTTGAGCTGAGTTGTAAACACGTTGCAATTATGCCAATTGCAAGCGTAAACCATGGTTGACGTCAAGCCCAGTGTCTGACCGCCGTATTTTACGGCATAGCGAACATTAATTTCTCTCAACAGCTACAAATCCCTCGTGATAGAGGAAGTCTAAGTCCGCCATAACTGGGTTGAGAAACATGCCATGCAGGCAGATGCAAAGAATAGAGAGGATTGTCTTCCAGTTGCTATTGGCCTTAGTAGGTCCAAGGGGTACGGAGGCAGAATGTACGTCTTTTACAAAGGACACATTAAGTGCCACAAAACTTCAGAAGACCCGAAGACTGTCGATATTAGATGTGAAATGAGGGAAACGCATGCTACTTTGCACTTAGTTCTCGACTATGAGGCTATGAGGTACCTGATCCAGCACGGATGTCATCCGAAGGTATGGGAGATTTTAGCAACATGATTTATTTCTGAGCGATTAGTTGCTTTTTGTTTCGGACAAGTGAAGTTATTGCTTTACTAGATATTCTGCGTATATAAGGCAACCGATAGAACAAGCCTAGCTACATGAAGGCATATTTGATAGAAATGCGGGGAAAGCAGTCGAGCGTCGGACAGCCCGAGCGCAGAAATAGACATGTGTAGCGAGTCTGTTACTGGCGATGCTAGGAGCCAGTAACGGGCCAATATCATACTACGGTTAATTGCACCATACTTGCTACAGCTGAAGTTCTTGCTTCGGGTTAGAATACCCGGAGAGAGTTAGACGAATGACTGCTTCGCTCTTGAGACCATCACAAGAGCCATAGCGGCAAGACCGAGCTTTGGCTCATCGTACGCACAGAGAATGCCCAAGTGTCATCCAATGCCGGATATAGGGGCACAGAGAGCTGTGTGGCGCCACAGAAGTAGAACATTGTCGGCATGGCCGAGATAGGGTTTCAGCAGACACCGAGGGGTCAGACCTGGTTCCAAAGAACTTAAACCAATAACGAGGGAACATACGCGGCTTACGAGATCACCTGGACAAGTGATTCGGAAATCTAAGGCGAGGGAGTTTGGAGCCGACGCTAGCGCGTTCTTCAGCTGCCCTCATCTGCAGGAACGGAGTTGACGAAGTTGGGGCAGTTCACGGAGCCGACATGTGGGGCGGCCCGTCCCGAACCACTCACATGTCCTACTATGTGATGGACAGAGTAGATTGTAGGCAAAATAGCCTACGGGGTGAACTAGGAAGTCGTGCGATTTGAGCACTTGTTACCGGGGCTGGAGACACCGGCATCGAGGAGGTCCACAATTATATATAGAGGGCTAGTTCCCGTCAATTCTTTCAGACAGCAACGACCATCACGAAAGCCCTGGAGCCCTTGAAACTTCATCCATTAGACAGAAACATCACAATGGCACCTTCCAAAGTTACTACAATGTCAGCATCCTCTCCTCTGCCTAGGAAGCGAAAGGATCGTGCTGACTCTCCTAGCAGCTCCAATGACACTGCCAGTGTTCCGGCAGCACCAACCAAGACCATCCAAACTACCAACGGCACCAACGGCACCAACGGGAACGGCGTCTCGGCTTTGAAGGCAAGCAACGACGCAAAGGAACTTATCACCCACAAGCCCGCCTTGAATGCCAAGTACGATGTGTCCAAGAAGACAGAGTCTGTAGGCCAAACCGTGGCTCGCAACTTCGATTGCGTGAAGCATGCTCGACCAGCTGGATTTCCCGAGTATCTCGGTGCCCTGCCATTCCCTCGTGAACTTAAAGGGTTGGTTGCCTGGACTGATGCCTTTGTCGAGCGACTCGGCTGGGTGGCCATGCAGGAACAAGAGGTTAGAATCGCCCGAGTCTCCAGTGATCTATCCTCCATGCTAACAACGGCCCCTCACAGGAAACTGCTCGCCGAGAGCGCTCCCTTGGCCGTGCCAACAGAGACATCGAGCTTCTAAGTGACCGTAATACGGAGCTCAAGACCAAGCTGCACCTTTCCACTGACGAGATCCACAAACTGAAGGGCAACAACGCTAGGCTTGATAGCCGCAACAAGTTCCTTGAGGGACAATGCAAGCGTGACAATGATCATATCAAGGCCCTCACGAAGAACATCTCAGAGCAGGGGTCTAAGATCTGTACTTTGACCCAGGAGAATGAGAAGTTGAGAACTAGCGTGAAGAGTCTTGAGGTCAAGATCCAGGAGCTCATTGATCAGCACACGGGAGATGAGGCCTCTCGCAAAGCCTTGACTGAAGGGTTCGCGGAGTGGAAGAGGCTTGACAAGGTCCATGATGACAAGGTCAATGCGCAAGTCGCTGACTTGCAGAAGGAGCTTCACGCCGAGAGAGTTGCCAAAGCCAAGGCCCATGAGGATCTTAAGGAGGCAGTGGCAAAATACGCAAAGCTCGAGGGCGAAAATGCTCACCTGGAAACATTGCGCGCAGAACTTGATGTCGTCGTTAAGACCATCCGTGAGCAGCTAAAACAGCTTGAGGCAGGCTTGGCAGCTTCGGAAGGGGAGAAGGCGACACTCAATGCGCTGCTGCACGAGCTGAAGAAGAAAGAGGAGAGTGCTCAAGTCGAGATCGAAAGCCTCCACGGCCAGCTGCACGATGCTAAGCTCAGCGTTGAGGCTGCCATGGAGCAAGTTCATGCCGCTAATGAGCATGCAAAGTCTCACTGGGGAACTCTCCAGACCATCCGTATGGATGGCGGTTGGCTGCGGACTGACGAGAAGGATGCTTGTGATTTGTTCTTGAACGATCCTATTATGTGCAGCCTCCCTGTCTCTAAGCCTGTTGTCGCGCCCATGAAGACTGTGATCGAACGCTTGCCTGAGTCTCAGCCCGCTGCAGATATCGAGAACCCCTTCAACTGAATGAGACTATTGATTGGGGGATTGTATCCTGGCTGGAGACGTTTAAAGCGGTTATGCTAAGCTATGAGATGATCTGTATCTTGTTCCCTTATATTGTCATTTCTTTTAATTCTCTTTATTAATTTCTATCTTGACTTGTCTCAATGAGCCCGTTATAATTTCTTCAAGCATCTTGCCGTCATATAAGTGACACTATATGTAGAAGGGAGCCTTTACGCTACACCAAAGAGCCCCTTTGAAAACTGAAGATCACAGCCTATATAGGGTAATCACTCCTCACGTGCAAATTCCCATATATGAACAAGATGTGTCATGAAAGAAAAAACCTTGGAAGTAAATAACTCAAGTCACTCAGCATACCTTGGCGAGTACCTAGCTGAAAAAATGCAGATAGCTGTGTTTCAAGATTCAAAACACAGCGTGTGAATGCTACGCGTTGCTAATTAGCTATAGTAGATCGAGGTTTCCAGGCCTACAAAGTCTCTTGACAGACAGAAGCAAGCAATCTTCTGGAGTTACTATCCAGCCCAGGCAGTGAAAATAGAGAAAGGGGAAATGTTAGCTAGTCGACCTTGGTCTTCATTAATACCATGGAAATCGGCTTGGAGATTAATGCCTCAGCCGATCTTTCTACTGGTAAGGGGCTGGATACGAGGACCGGGCTGATTCACCAATAGTTGAGGTTACGCGTAGATGCTGACTTGTCGGAAAACATGAATGAATGTCAAGGGCTCTGCAGGCCTCATGTGCATGTGTCGGCCCTCCCCTACCCATAAAAGGCTTATTCGGGCACCTCTTTCTCCGAGTGGTTGACACGACCCTGTGAACACCTGGCGCAAGACTCATGGCAGATGCGAGAGACAGCCGGTAGCCTGAAGCTTGCGTATGTCATTATTCGAAGTCCGCATATAAGTGCACACCCTCGCCGAGGACAAGGAGGTAAAAGGTCTTCTTAACACGAACGCTAAGAAACAAGTACGGGAGTAAAAAAGCATTAAGAAGACCAAAAAAGGTCCACTGAAGCGCTGATAGGGCTTACCAGAGAGCGGAAAGTCACGGATCCACAAGCAACCCTGATGGCTTGCCCGAGTTAAGTGAGCTCATACGGGAGTTTTATAGTATGTTTCCTAGTGTATTTGGTGAAGTCAAGACGGCAAGCAAGTGCGGCTGTCCGATACTCGATACTTCGCAATGACTGTCTTATCACACAGGTCGTCCAAACTCTGTCACTATCTAAAATCTGATGTCATCCAAACAAGCGATCCAGATTGAGACAATAGAAGACATGTCTCCATTAGTCCGATCTCTAGAGATTCCTGGCAAAGGGAAGAGGAAATATCAATTGTGATACGGGAGTCCGTGGCTAGACGACCAACAGGCGGTAGATTCAATTGTTGGCATGATTCGCAGCACACACCCATCTTTGCCAGTAAGAAATCTCATGATCTAGTTAAGATTCTTGGCTAAGTATTGATGGCAAAGTGTGTAAAAACAAACTTGCACTCTCCGCATCACTCGGCCGAAGACTCGGCCGCGAAAATCCATTGCCCCGCTGTTTCTCCTCCCTCTTCTCCCGTCGTTTCCGGCGAACCTCAGTAAAAAGCTTATTGATAGCCGGAATACACGTGCATATTAAACCCAATCCACCTTCCGCACTACTACAATCAATCGATCAATCAGCACAATCCACAGACCAGAAAACCGAGAATCGAAACCCGGGAAGAGACTTACTCGCAGAGCAATACCCTCATGAAGCCATCCACCTGATTATTAGCACCCAACTCCATAATAGCCAGTGACAGGCGGTATATACTAAATACAATCGCGGTACTACCCGCTCCAAGGATAGCAATGACATGCAACTTCTTAGAAACAGACATATGCATAGTCCAAGTCAGAGCGATAGGAAATATTAGAATAGCCAGATCGGTAATGACGCTGACGACGGAGTCAGTGACAATAATGGCGGACCGGTTTAAACATGTACCGTCGAGGCGGCCGACTTCCCAGTACAGGCGGATCGGGTTGCAGGTGAAGATCTTGATGAAGAGAATTATGGTGTAGTATAGTATGATAAAGATCAAGAAGGCGTAGAGTGAAATGACTTTTCCGCGGTATGGGCTCCAGAGCCGAATGAAGATGTAGATTAGGGAGGTTTTGACGCATAGGACCATTGGGATGTAGAACACTGTTGCTATGTAAAATATCTGATTTCAATCGTCAGAGTGGATCTTTGAAGGAGGCTGGGTGGTGGTACTTTGTATTTCTGTTCAATGTTGTCGCTTTCCGAAGTGGAGGAGACTTCCCCGCCGGAGTATGTGTCTGGATCATGAGTTATTAGCAATTATCCTTGAACCGGGAGGTGAAGGTAGGGTTCGTACAGAACAGAGTGCAAATAGAATGGCCCACATATAAGACCTGTTGTTGTCAGTGACGCATACATTGAGTTGTGAAGGTAGTCATACCCATGCGATATAACATGTTACTTCAAGGATTAGCAGAGATATCGACAACATGGAAGGAGACACACCATCTTCAATACCGACTTGGTGGCGCAACTGGAACCTGGAAAAAGCCCGCAGCGCGATTAAAGGCGAAATAATAGCGAGGGAGAGAATCTGCGTGACCAGACTGATAGTGCCCAGGTGGTTGCTCGCGTGCATTGAGTTGATCATAGTCGGGAAGCGCCAAGACCATCGTCCTATCGAATCGCCATGGAGCACAACAAGCCGACTAATAGATATTGGAGCACCTTGACTGGATTCGAGATAGTACTTTTGTCATGGAATAGATAATGGCCATCTTGATGACCAAGACAAGATCGCAATGAGACGCTTTCAGAGCCGCAAGGGGTGATGAGGTCATCACGTGTCCTCCAAGGGAAACTTCACCGCCTTCATCTAGTGAATCAAAAGCGAGATCTACTGGGCAGAAATATTACAAATTGTACGAGTCAGGTCTGTCTGTGCCTGGCCTCGCTAGGGAAGGGTCTGGTGGCTTGCGGCGCCGAAGCCATCCATTGAATATGTGAATCGGCACCAAACCTATGTTCTAGATCATGTCTTCAAAGTAATACAAGCATGCTTAGTAAGCTTCTCCTATGATTCATTAACTAATGCAACCAAGGCGCTGACAAAGCCCAAAACAAGATCCTCGAACCCAACTGCTTCTCCGCAAAGTCCAAAAACTCATCCCTAGTAAACTGCTCTCCCGTTTTCGGATTGATAGCCGCCAGATCAGGCTCCTGCACCGCAACAACATTTATCGGCACCTGATCCCGATACTGAGACATATATGGATAGGCATTATTCTCCATCGTCTGCTTGTAGGGAATATCATCAGGCCCACCAACGCCGACACCATTCGCTGCAAAGAACGCGAACGAATCCGACAGGTAGTTGTTCTCGTTGGCCCAGCCGCACGGCCAGAAGTTCACGTACTGCACGACGTAGGAATGGTTGAAAACGCTGGCAGCATAGCGTGCGTTGTCGAGGGTTCCCTCGAAGTATTTCTGGCATGTGTAGCCAGATGCGTTGTTGGATTGGACTTCGATTGCGGTTTCGGGGAGGTTGAAGCCGTAGACCTTGTCGTCGAAAGCATGAGCCATGGCCTTTAGGAGGCGCTGGAATCGCTCGCGCACGTAAGGATTCCATTGGGCGGTTGCCCAGCCACCCGGGACGAAGTTGTTATCGCAGTCATCTCCGTCGCACTGGGGCACGCTGCCGTTGTTGTAGATTGGCCTGTGCAGATACTTGGGTACTGGATTATTGGCATTGCTAAAGGTGCGGTCTTGAATTTGGACCCAAAGATGCTTGCCTCGGGATTGGGTGCGAGTGAGGTCGTTGGCGATAGCGGAGAAGTCGTATTGGTCTCGCTGAGGCTCAAGGGATTTCCAGGTATAAAGGCTTTGGACTCCTTGAATCTCGGGACGCTCCAGGAGAGTGAGAGCCTCATCGTCAATGTCGCTGGTGTAAAGCCATTGAGCGATTGAGGAGTTGGAGGTGGCTCGGACTGGAATGCTGTTGGACAGCAGACTTGCTAGCAGAGGAAGACCCACTCCTAGCTTCATCGTCGTAGTTTTGGAGAGTGGTTTCCAATCTTGACTTGAAGGATAAAATATTCAAATTGAGGTAAAGACAGTTTATTTATGGCGAAGAAACAAGAGCATTGTGACGGACCCTGAAAAACTCCCGATGTAACTTAGGCCCACACTACACTTTTGACTGTCAATCCACGGTTCCAGGTCCATCAACACCAATCTGATTGAGAAGATTCTGAAACATCCGAATCCCAATCCACCCGAGAGTCAGACACACCCCACATCGTTAAGACAGTCAATGGAGAACCGAACTATGAAGAGTTGTGCTAATTCTGTGCATAATAGCGGGAGTGGCGCGTTTCAATTCTTCCCATGTTCTCGTGCATAGTCCACCAAATACTAGAAAGACTCCAAATCATCCATCCGAACAACCCATAGAAGATCATTCCCAAATTCATCAACGACTCCCTCTATTGTTTCCGTAACCAACCCAAACTTCTTCTCCATTACCATCCTCATCGGTATATTCTCAGAATAACTCCCGATTCTAACTTCTGCAAGCCCTAGCTCACACAACCCATACTCAAAAACCATCTTCAAAGCCTCATACGCAAACCCCTTTCCTCTCGCAAACGGCTGAAGCACAACGCCCGCAGCACCAGCACGTGGTCCTTCGGGTTGAGTCTTATCACAAGGCCCTATCCACCCCAATCCCCCAATCCCGATCGGAGTATCGCCGTTCCAGATGAGAAAATTGAGGTGTGTAAGAGGGTGTGAGATAGTTGTCCAGCGGTGGGCGATGCTTTCAAGTTCTTGAGTGTTGGCGTCGGAGATAGATTTGTCGAATTTGGAGTTTTCTTTGTTCTCAAGGATATCCAGTAGGATTGAGGTTTCAATTATTGTAGGGACGCGGAGGGTTATGTCTTTTGAGGTGGATTGGAGTTTGAAAGAACGGTCGCCTGGGTGGCTGAATAGTTTGTATGAGGGGGTGGTTGGGACTTGCATGGTTTCAAATGTTAACAAGTGATTGGTATCTTGAACTTTGGTTCCATTCCAAGACTACTTGGAGCAACTGAATTATATGAAGGATAACTAGGCCCGGTGAGGTTGTTTTTAACGACGTCGAGGTGATAGATGGAAGAGGTTGGGAGTGACTCAACGTGACTCGACTCTAGCGCTGATCTATTCAACCAATCAGGATAGATTAATCATGAGATACCCCGGTAAATAGAGAAACATACTGGTACGTTCTCGGTCCCGATAGCGGAGCCATGATCATAGGCGTGGCAAAACCGACTTGGCTGCTCAACAATATCCGACAGGACAACCAGGATCCAGAAGATGGGACTGACTAAAAGAGCAATGAATGCTTTGTACCGCCCAGCTCATTTGATACATACTCACCAACAATGGAAAAGCAATCCATTGATGTTATAGAGAATAATTTTAGGGGCAAGAAGTGGATATTGGCCCAGTGAGACGAGGGCCTTGAATTGTGCGAGACGTTCTGAGTATGAATTCTTGGTTTAGAGATTAATTTGCATGGCTTGAGAGGTCAGTGATCTGTCCAAGCCCTTGGGGTCTACTTGGGAAGCGAAGAGTAGATGTGAAGTCATTTACATAAGGATTGTAAAAATATCTGGGGTATTTGAGGCTTTTAAAGTGATTCAAAGGAATTGAAGACGGGGGCTCTCCTGTATTATGATGGTCTGTGGCAAGAGTCGTCTTCAACCGTTGTTGAAGCTCTTTGTTGGAACGTGTAATATGGGACAATGGCTGGTTCATCATGCTTTGTTATATACTTATTTTGATTCAAGATAGTTATCGTCGAACATTCATTGAGGCGATAATGGTTATTTTTCAAGTTCCTCTCCTAGTCTGTGGCCCGATAACATTCCAAGGTCAGTTTTTGAACCTCCGAGTGACATCCTTGGAACAACACAGCCGCGTTAGAACGTCCACAGCCATGTGAAATATGAACTCCTCAATTTCAATTTCCTTTTTGAACCCCTTAAAACCCCTTGATATACCGATGCTCGCTCGTCTCCTCAAGCACCTCCAACCTCATGCCCACCTCAACAACCCCCTCACTGCGCGGCGCACTCAACATCCCAAAACACGGCTTGTACTTAATTCCCTCATCAACCCTTCGATAACTAACAAGCATATCCCACGGCTGTTTCTTATGCTTTACCGCCGAGTCCGGATCTACATTCGGCACCTGACACCTTGCACATCTCGCCACAACATCCAGATCCAGCGGTTTTCTATCCCCGCTAATTCGAACTGTCTTCCACGAATCCTCGCTCCAGGGCGTCTGGCCTTTGATGACGATATTAGGTCTAAACCGTTCAACGGTAATAGGGTCAACGCCTGTGCGACGGAGACGGTTGTTAAGTTCGGAGAGAGATGCCTCGGAGGCGATTAGAATGGGAAAGACGTCTGGAAACCCGGTTGTTTGGATCCGGCCCAAAAGGCTGGGGTCGCCGTTTCCTTTTAGAATGCGGGGAGTTGGGCCTTTGTAAACCAGTGCGACTGGACGGCCTAGGAATGCGGAGAAGGGGGCATTGATAGACTCGTTGTAGATGTATCCATCTGTATCATTGTCCCAGATCTTGACTGGGGCGATAGTCGTGTTGCTTTTCAACCAGTCCAGACTCGGATGGCACGGTATGCTTACGGTTATCACGCTTTCAGAATCGACATCTGGGATCGTGATGATCAGATCGAGGCCATTGTCGCTAAGAGCGGTGCCAATGCGCGTCATATCGGGGATCTGACGAATCGTCAAGAACTCATTTGTCTTGGCATCGACGAGCATCCAGCGACGGTCGAGATCGAGGCCATGTTCTTTGAGAATGGTTTTCTGGACCTCGAAGCCGCGGCATGATTTGATTGGGTACATGCGCAACGAGACTATCTCGCTGGATTGCCGGGACCGCCAGAAGCGTAGGCCTAAGCGTGGGAGGATTGTGGATTGGGCAGTGTGAGTCCATCCTTTTAGTTTGGGGAATATGATGATTGGGAGAAGGATGAAGAGTCCTAGTACTAAGATCGAGACGGGGGTTGTCTCGACCATTTTTGGATGTTGGGAGGAATAAGAATTGAGATTGATAGTTATATTATCGGACGTAAAGTTCTAGTTCGTTTTCGATTGATAAGCGTTTTGCCGTGGGTGGCCGCCTCGAAGAGTTGGAGAAGTTGGGGATGATGTCATATCTGGTATAGTTGGAGAGAGTCTTATTGCTACACCGGTACGTGATGCGAACTTCTGGCGAGACCTGTGAATAATACGATGTCGAAGTGGATTGTGTCAACATAAAACGTGTATTGGATATCAGAACAAGGGATTTGAGAGAAACACCAGGCGTGCATGAATATGCGGAGAGAATGACAAGAAAATGCCAACGGCACCAACGGATGCAAGAAACGCGAAAATATCAAACAACACGAAGCCCAAAAAAATACACTATAGCCAAATTACGCAGAATTATTCTCATCGATCCAACAGGTTACCAGAGTCTTAATCAAAGCCATTGCAATATTCCGTCCCAGATCAATATCAGCATCTTCCGACGCCGCAGGAACATGCAGGAACACCACATTCCGATCCTGCTTCTCCATCATAGCCAGCGACAAACTGGTATAAAAGATAAAGTCACATAAATAATGACCCGGGTCCTTGGAGACGCGCAGATCCGTCTCCGGCGGAGCATGCGACCTCCATGTCTCCAGGAAATGGTCATTCGGCGGATACGCGCCCTCCTTACCAGAATCAGGACCAGGGGTCAGGGTAGGTGGCAGACCTAACTGTTTCCAGCGCCTCTCGCCATCCTCGTACCCGGTACGGCCGTTGATATCGGTGATATTATAGTCATCTCGATGCGCCAGCGACTCAACAGAGTAATATGGTCTCGGTGAGGCAATACCAATATGGAGCACAATATCAGGTCTACCACCATGCTGCGCAGCGTAATCTCTCAAAATGGTTGGGAGCGTTTCGCGAACGGTCGCATAAGCGACAGGGATCGGAGTGCGGTGCACATGGAGGGAGACGCGGCGGTTCGCGCCCTTGGGGCAAGGGAAGGCGAAAGAAGATGGGAGGGAGGATGCGATCAAATAGGAGGCGTTGACGAGGTTGGTCTTGAAGGGCTACATACACGAGTTAGTTGGCTTCAACCTTGAGGTTGAGGTTCTCGGATCGGATTCGAGTTGGATCCGGACGATCACTGGGGTGGGGTCACATACGCCGAACCCTGTTATCAGCACTGAGATCTCGCTTGGTATGGGCTGGGGCTGGCCTGGGCTGTCCACTGGGGTTGGGTGGACTGAGGGTGCCGCGGGGCCGTAGTCTCCCATTTTGTCAGGTTAGGTTATAAGGTAGAAGTGTTTCAGGGTCGAGAGGTGAGTTGCCTCCGTGGGAGGTGACTGAATGCGGGGTCTTGGCGCTGCATGATCCATAGCCTAATTGTTCCTCTTCAGCTGTGATTGGTGGTTAGAAAGTATGGTATAGCTGCTATTGGGCCGGCTCTCGCTCGGATAATTATTCAGCTGCATTTGCCCCGGTGACAAATGATATAATGTATGGCCGAGATGGTCCTGGTGTGTAGTAAGGAATCCGGGGTACTTATACCGATATGGCCAAGTGACACCGGATGCGATCGAGGACACTTCCGTGCCAGTTCCATCTCGAGTCTAGCTGTTGTGATACTCAAATTTGACTAGCCCATTCCATTTATTCACGCTACAGAGAAATAGGAAGTCAGTGGATCCTAGGCGTCGGTCGGAGACGCAACTCTCGAGATGCCTATTTGGGCAATTCTCCAAAGATCGGCGCTCGTTTTCGCATTCGACGTAACCGAAGCGTAAAGCTTGGACTTTGTCCGTACAGATGTCAAAGCAGAATCGGAGGTTTCCCATCCGGGCTCTCAGACCTTTGTCACTGGATCCTACTAAGGCCCGGAGGGCCTAGCTTCCGATCGTCGTCTGTAGTTGTGCGCCAGGGATCCGCATCGGCTGGGCCACACCCGAGTAATCTACAAAAGGAGTGGCCTAACTGGCTCCTGTGTTATGCTTCTTTTAACTCCTTCCACATCTTTTTATTGCTTTGTATTTTGTTTTTGTTCAGCATGGCTGTTCTCACGGAGTTGCTCGACACTCCCTATCTGGTACAGGGTGTTTGCATCGCTCTGGTGCTCATCTTTGCGTCCAGCTTCTGGGATGATATTTCTGATGAAATCCCCTACGGACGTCTGCCGCTGGTGGGCAAGACTGGATGGGACCTAAGCAACCAGAAAGCCCGATCTCGTTTCACCAGTTCCGCACGAGCATTGATTGCCGAGGGGTTCGCCAAGGTACGGCAAATGATCCGATCTGAAGAGCATTTGCTGATAAATATCCATGGATGACAGGGCGTAAATGTTTTCCAGGTGATGGGCTCGACCAGACCCTTGATTGTTCTGCACCCGAAGTATATCGATGAGATCAAGAGCCACCCACACCTTAGCTTTGAGGGCGCCACGAGAAAGGTTAATTACATAGCCCGAATTCTCGGAACTGAACTGATTTCTATTAGAATTTTTTCGAAGATCGCATCCCTGGGTTCGAACCGTTTCACGCCGCGGGTGCTGGCAAGGTCCTTACTGACACAGTTCGGATCAAGTTGACCCAGGCGCTCGGTAGGACAATCTCGACTCCGGTGGTGCTCTAACAATTCTGATGTGTCTCAGGCTCTTTGACAATCCCACTCTCCAGGGAGACAGCTGCGACGGTGAAAGATGCCTTCCCTCCTTCGACAGGTATGCCGATAGAATCCTCATCAGAATTCCATACTGACTCGCTCCAGAATGGAAGACATACAACTTCTCCCATAAGGTGCCGTATATGGTAGCACGGATCTCAACGCTGATCTTCATGGGAGAGAAGGTCTGCCGTGACGAGGATTGGATCAATGTCTCGGTCAACTACACCATCGATGCCTTCATGGCAGCCCGCGAGCTGCGTCAGTGGCCATCCATCCTGCGTCCGCTGGTGCACTGGTTCATCCCGGCAACACAGAAGTTGCGCAAGCACCTAGCTGTCGCTCGGTCGATTGTCAACCGAGAGATCGAGAAGCGCGAGTTGATCCGTGCCAACAAGCTGCCGGATGACTCGCCTCGTACCCACGCCGATGCCCTCGACTGGATTGAAGAGTTGTCAGCGGCGTACAACCTACCCTATGACCGGTCTCGAGGCCAGGTGGGATTGTCCATGGCGGCCATCCATACCACCTCGAACTTATTAACAAACATCATGTATGACTTGACGGCACACCCGGAATATATCCAGCCACTGCGTGATGAGATCCGCACCGTTGCCGCCGAGGATGGAGTTTTCAAGAAGACCAGCCTGCTCAAGTTGAAGTTGATGGATAGCGTAATGAAGGAGTCGCAGCGAACCCACCCCGTGAGCATGAGTAAGTGCATTTATCCATTCCTGATAGTTATCCGAACGATCCGCTCACACGACCAGCCTCCATGAACCGACTTGCTACCGCAGAAATCCCCCTATCAGATGGCACCGTAATTCCCAAAGGCGCGACCATCGTGGTCTCAGCCCAAGTCAACGAAGACGAATCCATCTACCCCCACGCACACACCTACGATGGCTACCGCTTCTACAAAAAGCGGCAAGAACTCGGTAACGAGCACCGCTTCCAGCTGGTTACAACGACACGCGAGAGTTTCGGCTTCGGCCACGGCTTGCACGCGTGTCCGGGCCGATTCTTCGCTGCAAATGAGTCCAAGATCTTGCTCATTCACCTGTTGCTCAAGTACGAATGGAAGTTCAAGGAAGACCACGGGAGACCGAAGAACTTTGAGATTGGCACCGAATCCGTTACTGATCCGACGGTTGAGCTGTTGTTCCGTTCTCGTGAGCCGGAGGTTGACCTGGCTGTACTTGGAGAGTGAGGCGTCATCCGGGGTGATGATCGTCGGTACGTTCTGGGTCCCGGCCCCGCTTGGGCGTTTTTCCCCTTGTTTTCCGCGGTAACAGTATCGGTGCAGGTACATTATTTATTAGCAAATTTGTGGCTTCGGATCAAGGGCATATTTCCAAAATCTACTACATTGAATTGACAATATATGAATGAATTGATTCTCGTCTTTTTTGAAACCTTTCAGGTATTCCGAGGGGGGTTCGGTTCGTACATAAAGACTGTGATGGATACCCACGGCAGACACTGGGGCTTGTGTTTCAGATTCACACAAGCCTATAACTCGTGGTAATCAAACTTCAGGTCGTACTCTGTATTAGAGAGGACGAAGTCAAGCACCACGCACCAAGCCCAGATGTACAGAGTACAGAGTACAGAGGACCACGTTGACGGTAGCTCGTGCGTAAATACGGCGTACCGGCACACGCGTGACCGACGCGACGCGACGCGACGGGACGCGACAGTGGAGTCATTTTTCCAAAAGAAGTAGAATTGATTTCGAATCGCGGCGCTCACGAATAACGAGGCGGGGGGTCGAGCCGGCTCCAGCTTCACCGCACAATGGTCAAAATTAGATTCTGAGTCGGCTCCCATCCCTGCAGCGAAGAATAGAGCTACAAAACTACAGAGCTACAGAGCTTGATAGCTATAGATTATACTTCATGTACGGGGCGCTCCGTACATAAAGAAAGGAAAATCCTGATCCGCCACCTTAACCGCTGTATGCAAAGGTCATCACCGCCGCAGGAGTATCTCGGGAGGAGCAGCCCTTGCAGTTGACTCGGGACTTCACCTGGGGCGTGTACTGTAGGGGCACCAAACATTAACCGAGCCCACGATCGATGGGAGCTCCATCGTGATCAGCGCTCCAATGGGCTCTGGATCCCGTTGGATCCCCTCTGGGTCTCGCGGGATCTCTGGGTTCCCAGCCTCCCGCTACCGTGGCTACCTCCTACCGTGGGCGTTCTCGGCGGTGCTGTTCCCCATCTGTTATGCCCTCTGCAGCGTGCATCAAGTAAGGTCCAGTATGCGGCCACGCTCACTAGGAAGGACTCGAAGAAGATCTAAACAATAACAGAGCGTTTCCCGCAGACGTAGAAGAGGGACCGGTTTTTAGTTCGCGAGTAGCGCAAAGTCGCGGTGTCCACTTTTTACCTGGCAAAAGTGTACAACTGGAAAAAAAGTACAGTCGCAAGTCACAGGTACACCGCGGACGCCCGCACACACCCCTAAACTCCAGGTACCGGTGGCCCCAACGCCTCACTCCACGCCCAACCTCTCTTCTTCCCTTCCTCTTCACTTCTCTTCTCACTTTCCCTTCTCACCCACCCCCTCCCACTTCCACCCCTGCGAGCGTTCGCAGTCGTGTTTTCTTTTCTTTTGTGGTTTTTTCCCCGGTGATGACGACTTTCTCCATTCCCTCTTAGCTGGGGTGGAGCCGATGTGATCTGGTGATAATCCGATTATCTCTCAGTTCGCGCATTCCGCGCATCTGATCACACGCCAACTTCCGTTTCCTTCACCATCCGCTTTGCTCTCGTTCGATTTTCCTTCTTTCACTCACGACTCACGACCAATTCAACGACCCACGCGCTTTAACTTTTAAAGTTGCAGCCAAACCGACCAGACCACGTTCCTCCCGGGTCAGCCTCCCGCCGATATCTCTCACAATATCGAATTGACCAACCCTCCAACTTTGCGAGCGCCAGATCGCGAGCCCGTCACCATGGCTCAACGTCAGCTCTCGCGTACGCTCCCCAAGAACTTTACTTTCCCCTCTATCAGCGCCGACGGGCCCAAGACCCCCGAACGTCCCTCCGCCTCGATCGACGTTCCTCCCCCGCCGCGTCATTCCATCTCCAGCTGCCGCCTGCCTCGAGTTCGCGTTCGTTCCGGCACTGATGTCTGCGCACGGATGGATCTGGATATCTTTCGGTTCCAAGGTAACCAGGATGTCGCTCTGCCCTCCATCGAAGTGAACAATCAGAGCGTCGCGCCTGACGCGTCCTTTTCCGATGAACCCACCAGCGATGAACGCTTCCTTGCACCCCCGCGCCAGCGCATGGTCTTCAAGACACCTCCTGCACAGATTGCCGGCGCGGAACACGACGGCTGCGACACCGAAAGCCAGTGGCCGTCGTGGGATCAGACACCCGCCGCCTACAACATCTCCCGCCCCGACTCCGCCTGTTCAAACCACTCCGACTCATCTATCGAGTCAATCGAGACTTTTGCTTCGCGGCCTTCAGTAGGAGGAAGCTGTACGAGTGCTGAGAGCGACTTTGACTCCTATTTCCCTCTTGAGTTCCCCAAAGAGCCCGAGATGAGCTCTCCCACCCTGCCCAAGAAGCACAAGGTGATGCGCTCCCAAATGAAGGATAAGTCGTGGAGTCGCGAAATGGATAACCACTTGTGGAACACATATCAGATGTACCTGCAGGATCCTACCATGACTCCTTTCAAGATGACCCCGGGCAGTATCCCGCCGCTAGGCGTTACGTCTCGAGTCTCCCGCCGTGCCAAGAAGACCTGGGAGAAGAACCATCGCATTATCGGGTCTTACTCCACACAGAATACTGACCGGAGCGGTAGCTCTACTCCAAAAGCAGTTGATGGTGCCACCCAGACTGCTTGGCCCAAGTCCGATGCTAAGACGCGTCGACGACTCAAGCTGCTTTGTCGCCGCAAGTTCTGCATCATGCCTCATTACCAGCGCATGATGCAGTCTCGCAGCCCAGAGCCTGCTGCAGACATGCTCGGCGCGAACGCGGAATCGCATATCCGTGATTTCGCAGACAATAGCACTGCAGCTTACGGCACTCGCGACCTCGGTGTTTCCCTTATCTCCACGTATGACCCTACTCCGCTTGCACAGCTCGCTGAGACTCTTTTGCCCGAAGAGCCCAACACGGAATGGTTCAACAACCCGGTGCAAACTCCCTCTGCCAACCACATGCCTCCGCCCGTGAACCAGCACCTTAATGTCCACCCTGCTCACAACATCCCGCGCCTGGGATCGCCCTTTGTATACAATACCTGGGGACCTGGAGGCTCGGGCCGTCAAGTCCAAGATCTACCTCGCCCGGCCAGGACAATGCATGTGCCTGGTCGTCGTGCCCGCCGCAACACTCATTTGGTGGAGAGAACTCCCCGGGATTCCGATGACGTATTCTCCAGCGACATTTATGGGGATAAGGATCCTTCCGACACAGAAGTACAGAATCGGTTGGAGCATTATATGCGTGACAACAAGCTCCAAAGCGTGGGTCACGGCCGAGTCCGTGTACGCAACCGCGGTGCTACTACGAGTGGTGCCGTTGGTCCGCGGGATGTTGACCAGCTTTTCTCACCTCCTTCATCCCTCAACTCATCTCAGGCTGAAGAGACCACCCCCGTTGCTAAGCCGCCCAACCCATTGCTGAGCCTCCAGCAAGGCGAGAACATCAAACGACTGGGCTCACCTTTCAAACTGGATGGCGGATTCAAGCGTCGCGACGCCCCTCGCCGTTTCGTCCGACACGCACCTTCGCTATCAGACCCTTTCTTGACCGGTGGAATCCCGCCCTATCGTGGCACAGTGGCTAATCCATCTCCCATGGAGCAGGAGAAGCCCACTGGTCCATCACTGCAGGATCCCTTCGAGGAAGGACTTTCCGATGCCGAGCGTATCCGCCGGCAAATCCTTAACATGCCATTTGTGCGCCAATAGAGGCGCATTTCCGCTGTCAATTCGTTTTTGCGAGATTTCCCCTTTGCATAATGACCCCAACGACCGAGATGGGCGCTTTGTTTTCGTGCCAGCCCTTCTTGCAGCCTTTTATTTATGACAGCAACGGCCTTTGACGACTGTAATGATACGCTTGATGGCCCGGGTACCAGATCCAGCCTGGTACTGGGGCAACCCTGAAAATTTGCTTTTTCCACGACCTTCACCCTCCGAAGAGAAAATTGTGATGGGCCTTTCCTCCTGATTTTGTCGGTCTGCGCATATGTTGATCATTTTCAATTGCAACTTAACTCTTCCGCTGCTTTGATCACGGTCTCCAATGGACAGTCGACCTTATTGGGACTTACTCTCGTTATTGCCTTTATCCACCGCATCTTGTGATCATTGCAGCTTTGCCTTGATCACCAAGTGCCAGTTCACTCCCTTTCAATACTCGACAGAATTGTTTTCCTTTCTATCTCTGACCACGGGGCACCAGCCATAGCCTCAAGGCCAACAAAAGAACTCACCAAAAAAGAAAAACAACAAAAAACCACATACAAAACCACCAGTTTACAATTCTTCCGCCATCGCGCGATCCACTCCCTACATTTCCTTTTCACGTCTTCATCAACCACTCCACTCGTCTCACTTCACAATGACAAACGAGTGGAACGAAACCGCCACCGTTTTCTCTTCGGCCCCCGGAACCCCGAGACACTCCCATCTATGATATGAGACTCTCAATTCCATTCCCAAATTTGAAATATCACGCCCCTAAAAGAATGTGCAAGACGAATACATACGCAAACCCCACATAGACGAACCGCCACGAAACGACCGCCCATGACGTTGGCACACGACACATCATCCACATTCCTGAACGCAAGCGAGGTGTTTGGGTCCGCTTCTCCGTCGTTTTTATTGCATTCAAACCATCCGATTCCTTTCGCTCTGATTCTCACTCTGCTTGTAATCTGCATTACCCCCCCGCATATCCATCATTTTTGGTTAATTGAATGATTTGAGAATTTGATATGAGATGCCATTTTGTTTTTGATTCTCATGGATTTGTGGTTGGGATTGTTTTTGATTCTTACTGGCTCTGATTCTGATTCCTTCACATGTTTCTGATGGATCTTCTATTTTTCATACTCTTTACCTTTACATTTCTACTTGCGCTCTGGCTGTCTGTTGTTTTACCTGTTTTTATGTGGGTTTGACTTTGAAGGATTTAGTCGCGTTAAGCTTGGGTGTATGACTCGTTGAGATTGCCCAATTTATTATCTTCATTGGTTTCCTTGTTGGTTCTAGACTGTTGACTGTAGATTGTAGAACGAGGACCTACTTTCATGTTGAGTTGGTTTAAAGAGGAACCAGACGCTAGTAGAGGGCCCGCCTGGGCACAGATCTACCGAGCTTAGGGGGGAGAATGCCCACCCGTATGACTTACCAAGGAACACTAGACCTAGATTAGGTTCGCAAGGACACCTTGGCACTCGAGTCTGATGAAAATGATTGTTCATTAGTAAGACTAATTTGAAGATGAGAAGCAGCAAGAAAAGAAAAGAATGTGTATGCCTAGAATATCAACGACTAGAATTTAAGAAGAAACAAAAAACATTGAGGGGGTATAAGATCATAAACAGAAACAAAAGGCGAAAAGAAACAACCGAAAACAAGACCGATCAAGAACGCTCCATCTTCTTTTTCCTCTCAGAAAGCAACGCCTCAATCTTTCTCAGCTGCAGCGCAAGCCCCTTCTTCTCCGCATGGAGCACAAGCCAATCCTCCATAGCCTTGCGCACCTTTCGCATTGAATGCAACACCGGCAGCGCAAGTCCATTAAAGTTCTCACCTGCAGCTTCCATTTCCACAGAAACCCACTTTTCGGAGCCGGGATTGAGAAGTAAATCAAAGACATCAACCCACAGCTCGCGGTCCCAGTATCGTTTCAATGACTCGCGGATGCGGTATGCAGTTGACGTGCCGGAACTGGTACGGACGGCGGAGGATTCGATGTATTTTCCGAAGAGTAGGACATGGATCACGCCCGCAATTCCATATAAGTCGATTTGATGGGTCCAAGGACGCATTTCGCGGATTTCGTTGCACTCGTGAGTTCCTACTTCCCAGTCTGCGATAAATTGGACGGTAGGGGTAAATGCGTTCATATCGATTCCGCGGCCGAAGTCGATGAGAGCGAGGCCCTTGTTTCGCCAGCCGAGGACTCCGTTTGGTGAGTAGTAGATGCTGTCGCGGGAATCTTGGCTTGGTTCGTCGGTGCCGAGGTCTAGCAGCGAGAGGGCCTTTGTGGGTGGGTCTTCATCGTCGAGGCGGACAAGACAGTTGTCTGCTTTGATGTCGCCGTGGAGGATGCCGTTGGCGTGGAGGGCCTCGATGGTACGAAAGAGTTCGACGGAAAAGAACATGGCAAGGGATTCTTCGAGACCGCCTTCACTGTTGTGGGTTGAGGAGATGGGTTCGTTGCGGAGGATATTGACTAGGTCCAACAGGGTGCCTTGACCGCGATAGTCTTCAACTAGGAAGCTTTCGCGCTGGTGGACGTGGAGTTCGTGGGCGCGGACGATGCTATCCGTGGCGCGCGAATGCCCGGGGGATTTGCGAAGGCGCTCATGGGCGGTGCGGATCATATAGAACTCCCAAGCACTTGAAGGTCCGTTCTCGACCTTGACGGCTTCAAATGGGTACCGGGCTGTGTCGTAGAGGTTGGACTTCTTGACCAAGGGGTCTCTACCGCTGGAAGGCGTGTTTTCTTCTTCAGAATCAGAGTTATAGGACTCGAGACTGTCGACACTTTCAGCTAGATAGACCGGGGCATAGGCGCCTGCGCCGAGCTCACGACGGATGATGTAGCTTCGCTCGGCGCCCGGGAATTCGAGAATTGGCATGTCATATTCTTCGTCATCGCCGCTCTTGGATCGCCTGCTATGAGCTTTCACAAATTTCTGGATCATGGAAGAATAGTTGCTGGCTTGAACATGACCGTGATAGCCTGCATATGCCGCTAGCGGAGGTTCCAGGGAATTCAAAATCGTATTGCGAATGCCATTGTCTGTTGGGTTGCATTGTGCCTCCTTGATAATGACCTCTCGTCGACGCTGCTTAGGGGCGAGGGCCTTGAAAGCAGTGGGACTGAATGGAACATCGGCAGTGGAGTTCACGGTATGGTCTCCCTGGTATGGCGTAGCACCCCCCAATGGACTGGACAGTAGAAGATCACCCATTTGTGGTACACCAGAAGGTGTTCGAGGTCTTGATGGTGTTTTAGCATTGGAGAGAGCATTTCGAGCAGCAGTCATGGAGATAGAAGACTCAGTGCGCTCTACAATGGGGGTCATGAAGGGTAGGCGGTTCTGGGCCATGACCGCAGGATCTCTATACGTCCCACAGGGCGGAGCATAGTCTTCTGGCATCTGTGGCATGAATCCCCTTCTTTCAGGTGTTCCATGCAGTGAGTCTCCAGGTACACCTTCGCTAATAACAGATTGGGACGTTGCATCTGCGAATTCAGCGCCAGGGACATCTCGACTGACGCTGAACTCAGTCCAATCGTCTCCAACAACACTTCCCGGGTGAGTAGTATCACCATCACCGTATTCCGTATCATCTAGCGACTTGTGAAATGTTTGGGTCTCGTCGTCACCAAAGTCACTTGAAGTCGCAGAGATATGACCAGTAGTATCTGCAGTGCTAGCACAATCATCATCGTCGTAATCGCTGCCGAAACAACTATCGGCTGCATCTTCCTCTTCGGCTTTCAACGGTTGATTAAAAATGCTGTAGATTTCGTCTGTAGCGGCGCGCGTGTGCATGGTCATTGTCGGCTCTCTGGTGCTCTTCCGACGGACCTTTGAGTTTGTAGGAGAGTCAAACTTCATTTTGACTGAAACGTAGTTAGCATCGAGGTTCGAGAAAGGATGGTGGGTATCGAAGAAATACCAGTTTGAGTCTGCGAGTCCCCGTGAACCTTGAACTTCCTCGCTTTACCAGGTTTGCCTTCCAAAGCTCCATCCTGTGCCTGCGTCGGGGACTGCTCATCAATGGCCAACTTCTGGTCAAATTGTTCTGGCAAATTCTCATCAGGACTGGGTGCTTTGGGCTGTGTCGATTGCAAGTCACTAGCAGAGTTTCCGGAAATTTGCTTTAAAGGCTCTTTCTGAGTCCGCCAATTCTTGCTCATCCACCCTCGCTTGATAGCCCTCAACTCCTCGAAGCTGACCTCGTGTGCAGGGTTCTTGTAGTCGGGGTATACTGATTCCAGGTCGACAAACACGCGTTCTCGTCGGCCAGTTCGTGGGTTTACCGCTTCCCTTACATGGTGTTCCGGAATGTGCCTGGGGGCACATATTTCTTCTTGAGGAGGATTTGAATTTGACTGTATACACAGAATCGAAGCACATAGGTCCCAGCAATTAGTCCTGCGATCGTAAATATGAAGAAGGTCTAAAGGGGATGAGCAACGTAAATTGCAACTTACCTCGTCCCTAAAAATGGCCATCTTTTCTTTCGGCGCTGATTTCTTTCCTGCCTTCAATGTCTCTCCAACCCACGGCTTTGCCTCGACTTCGTTTTCTTTCCTTCGATCTCGCATGGATCCAATGCTCTCCCAGCCCTTTGTGGTACCGCTTGCAGCCGGTTGCTCGGCAGAGGATGCTTCGACATCGGAGAAGATGGCCATCTTTGCCTTTCCAGATTTCGTCTTCGTAGCACCCGCTTGAGGTGATGGTTGAGAGGCCTGTTGGTCTCCAGAGGGATCTGTCAGGGAAAAGGGGTCCATCTTCGCGGCTAGCGCTGGGCGAACAGCGGGTAGAGCTGGAGAGGATGGCCCCGCGTTCTGCGGCCGCTCCTCGTATCGATGTTGAAATTCGCTGTATTTTCGCAGCAATCGCTCAGCCGGCCGCGCCTCGCGATCCACGCCGAGCCTGAATACCTCGTCGGCCTGTGCCCAGCGTCCGGCACCTTCTAACCACGCAGCAAACTCTTCGTAAAACAAGGCCAACCCCTCACCTATGTGATGGCGTGCAAGGAATGCAAAGGTTTCGCGAGGCGCATCGGAGAATAGCCTAATGTAGTGAAGCCACAACTTGAGGTATCGTGGGTCATTTTTGTAGTGAGTTGATGACAGAAAAGACTTGGTTGCACGTTCCAGCAGCGGGAGGAGGCCGGACTCAGCAGTCGCTTGAGCAGAAGGGTACGCATTCAAAGTCCATTTCACGTAGCGGTCGTAAACGTCAAGCGGATCGTCGGATTCTCCTATAACTTGCAATTCATTTTCGTATTCTTGGCGGATGGCTCCGTTGAGTGTTCGTGTATCGTTAGGTGAGGGGGGTCGAGAGGCTGTCACTGTTGCTGCCACCAGAGAAGATGCGGGCGAGTTCTCTGGCCGAACGCCCACCGGGGAGCGATTGGACGTTTTCTTTTTGAGCTTCAATAATGTTGAAGTCGATGAGGTCCTCGGAGGCAGCCATTTTGCCTGAGTCGTCGATGCACGTCAAAGTTGTCGAGGGGCTAGCACTTTCTTATTTGGTTATCGATAAACATCACATGACTGTTGCCCCGGCGATCTCCACGTGACATGAAAAGAGATGCAAGGCTCTCCACGATGTCATCTTCATCAATGTAAAGATTAGAAGTCTACTAAATTCAAAAAATATTGCTCTGTTAATCTTGCACTTTGGAAGTTTTCTTGGTACGGACAAATCAAGCTTCTCAGCACGTTTGGGAGTCCTTGTCCACACCCAATCAAAATCGCAGACCCATCAGTTTCGGGACCGCAAGTATTGCATTGCTCTGCAAATTCCCCTCTGGCAGCAACCACAGAACTCAACTCGGTCTTTAATTATGATGACCAGCGCTACCGAGGACGAAATATCCGCCCAACCGCAAAAACTGGTTGCTACAGAGCCCAAGGCCAGCCACAAGCGGAATCTGAGCACAGGGACACCAGACGGCTCTCCAATTCGACGATCCAAACGACAAAGATCAAATGTCAACCTGAAGGAAGCTTCATCCTCAGAAGACTCAGAAAAAGAGCCCGACGAAGACTTCAAGCCCAAAAAGGAGACACCTGTCAAGTCCACGCCGAAGAGTGCTCGGGCCAAGAAGACCCAACCCACTTCCTTTAAGAAGGAGGCCGTTGAGGATAGAGAATCTGTGTCAACCATCAAGGAAGACGAGGACAAATCTGCTCTTAAGACAGAAGAGGACGTCCCCGTGAAGGCTGAAACCAAGGCGGCTGCCACGCAAAAGAAAGCCGCTCCTGCCAAGCGGGCTAGGAAGACCAAAGAAGAGAAAGAAGCCGAAGCCATGCCGCTGGCTCCGCGAACTCAGGGCTTAAAGATGTTTGTTGGCGCCCATGTGAGTGCCGCGAAGGGCGTTTTCAATTCCATCCACAACAGCGAGCATATCGGGTAAGTCTCTGCCTCCGAATATTGAAATGAGACTAATCAGATATCTAGGGGAAACGCGATTGCTCTATTTCTCAAGTCCCAGAGAAAATGGGACAACCCACCTCTACAAGATGACGTCCGAGATCAATTCCGTAAGCTATGCGCCGAAAAGAATTACGACGCATCCAAGTCTGTTCTCCACCTCACCTCCAGACGAAGACCCCTGCTAACCAAATGCCAGACATATTCTCCCTCACGGCTCCTACCTCGTCAATCTAGCCCAAAATGACCAATCCAAGTCCGATCAAGCCTACAACTCCTTCCTCGAAGACCTCCGCCGTTGCGAAGCCCTCGGGATAACCCTCTACAACTTCCAGTAAGCCCTCCCCTTCGTACCAAACTCAACTCCTAACACCTCCCAGCCCAGGAAGCACAAACCAAACTCCCCTTCCGGGAGCCCTGGCCCGGCTCGCCTCAACCCTCACAAAAGCTTTAACAGAGACCACAACTGTAATCCCAGTCCTCGAAACAATGTGCGGCCACGGCAACACAATCGGCGGCCAACTCTCCGAATTCCGCGATCTGTTTGCCCTAATCCCAGAAGAACACCACTCCCGCATCGGCATCTGCATAGATACATGTCACAGTTTCGCCGCGGGCTATGACCTTGTTACGCCCAAGGGTTTCAAAGCATTCATGACCGAATTCGACGAGCTTATCGGAATTAAATACCTCCGCGCTTTGCATCTGAACGACTCCAAGGCTCCACGGGGAAGTAAGCGTGATTTACACGCCAATATTGGGACTGGATTTCTTGGGTTGCGGGCGTTTCATAATGTGATGAATGAGCCGCGGTTCGAGGGGTTGCCGATGGTTTTGGAGACGCCCATCGATCGCGAAGCTGAGCCTGAGAGTGAGGGCGAGGGAAAGAAGAAGAAGGGACCTAAGCGGCCGGCGGGTGCTGCGCCGCCTGCTGTTCCGGATCCAGGTGTTTGGGCTAGGGAGATCAAGTTGCTTGAGTCACTTATTGGGATGGATCCTGAAGGGGAGGAGTTCAAGGCGCTTGAGACAAAGCTTGCGGAGGAGGGGCGGGAGATGCGGGAGAAGGGGATGGAACAGTATGAGCGGAAGATGGACGTGGAGAAGAAGAAGGGGGCTAAGGGGAAGGGGAAGCAGAAGAGTCTTGTTGATATGATGAAGGTTGATAAAGAGGACGAGGGGTGTTGTTGATATCGGCGTTATCGAGGGTTAAGTTGACTACTGTATCAGATAGGATAGTGATACTAAGTTACAAGATAAGTTGAAAGAGATTCGAATATTGAGATGAATGAGCTATGAAAGCCCCAGGAAAGAAATTGAATTGGTGGTATCAATCAAACCGCCTGCAATGAATACAAATGCCTCCATGCATATAAGAAAAGACAAAGACACATCTACCACAAACCCAACACAGTCGTTGCGCCATTAAACCAAAGGCAGCGTCACATCTGTGGTAATATGCCAATCCCGAGCTCAGTCGGGCGAGTCGCAGACTCTATCATTCCAAAAGAGGTCGAGTGGACGTATTGCCGTATAAATAACCATTATCGGATGGCTAGATGGTTATAGAGAGGGAAGTAGAAGAATATATGAGTTTAATGAGGGTTTGGCGTTTGATGGCGGACGGGTGACATGGAAGCGGTCGATTGGACACCCGGAGAATCTTCTCGTTGAGATGCATGAAGATGTGGGAACCCTCCTGCCTCTGCCATTGATGTGATTGTCGGCGGGGCCGACTTGATAGGAGACGGAGGTCCGTCGTCTTCCGGAATGGTGGTGGTGGAAATGCTGAGTCCGCGCATGGCGCCACTAGCCCGAACGCGGAATGATCGCCGTTGGCCACCCGCGGGAGAAACGTGCAAGTCGTCGTTGAAATGTTCGGTTGGTACAGAGCTGACCAGATCCGAATCCTGGCCGGCAACCCGGTTGTATTCACCGTACTCGCCGCCGCTGGGTTCATCGTCCTCGCTGTCAGATTCGGATGTTCCCTCACGACTCGAAGAGTCATCGGCTTCGCTACGCATGCGAGAGATCTTCATGTAGTTGTAGCAAGCAATGCTGCCAATGGTGACTACCAGGCCGGTTATGTTGACAGGCGTGAGTTTGTCGTGGAAAATAATACCTGCTGCGCTAATCGTCACAACTTCCTTGAAGATACCGCAGATACTCAAGGTGACGACGGAAGAGCGCTTCAGAAGTGCGAATTCGGAGGAAATCATGCAGAATGCAAGAACGCCAGGGAAAATAAGCAAGCCAGCACCAATACCCGTTCCGTGCTTTTCGGCAAGCTTCAAGAATCCTTGGTGAATATCGTTAGGGCCCTCAACGGCGAGGGCAATGAAAATCAAAGAAAAGAACATGACTGGTGTAAGGAGAAAGAGAGTCGAGAAAGGATTCGACGTAGCGGGATGCCGCAGTAAGAGGATCTGGGTCAGACCCCATCGGAAACCGGAGAAGAAGGCAGATGCGATGACCAGCGTGAATCCGAGTGCGTTGAAAGCAGTCTCTCCAGCAACCATCATCACCACACCGATCGTCATTGCGGCGATTATAATGATCAACTTGAAAGACGGCGTTTCCAGGTGGAATAGGAAAGCAAAGAGAAGAACGAAAGCGAGGGCAGAGGATTTACACATTGTGAGGAAGGTAAGAGAAATGAACTTGAGGGACATGTTGCCAAGTCCGACGTCGAGGGATGTGGCCGCGCCGCAAGGTACGAGGCGTGTGAGATAGAATAGTTTGGTGAGGACGGGCTCGTTGGTTTTGAGGCCTTCCACTGGCGAGCTCGAGGGAGACGACGGTGGGTGGCGAGGGCGTAATGACGGGAAGATCCATAGTATAAGAGCGGCGAAGGTGAACTGGACAAGCATGTGCAGGCTGGTTGTAAAGAGAGGGAAAGGGAAGACGATGTCGCTTTCGGAGAACATCCATTTATTGTACTGTAGAGAGGGGATCGGGTTAGTCCATTGTATTGTAGATGGAGGGAAAGGTCACTCACAATTGAAATGGACAAAGAGAAGAAATACCACATGAGGATCAACCCGCCGTTGACGGATAGCCTCTTGGCGACATTGCGATCGGCCAGGCCTAAGTGGAAGATTGATCGAGTCGACTTGACGTCTGCGATGCGGGCATCCAGCTTTCTGCGTTGCCGGCGCCGGCGCCGGCGTCGACGCTTCTGATTAGCTGTCAGGCCAGTCTCCTCATCATACTGGTCATCGTCTGAGCTCATTTCAATGTCCCGATTGTTGTCGACAACTGAAGTCGAAAGATCAGACGTGTCTGTGTCCTCGGCAGTCAAGGGCTCTTCGTCCCACTTCGGTGCTTCGCCTGGTCGCAGACTCTCATCCCTCCGGTCCGAGGGAGTCGCAGGAGAGGATCGCGCGGCGCCTGTGAGCACCGAGCTCCGCCGACGATGGTGACCGCCTGATACCCCCATTTTGGAATTTTTAGGATGGGGCTAGACACGGTCCAGAAAGGAGGGAAGGGGGAAGACGAGAAGTGCCTGCCCCATGAGGGTGCGACCGGGAGTCGTTTCACGGCGGTGCACCCTTGGGGGGATGTAGATCTTAGGTAGAAAGAAAAAGAGAGAGTGTGTGTGAGAGAGCTAGAAAGCGTCAAGAAAAGGAAAGGAGTAGCGGCCACGACGATGAAGAAACACGAGACATTTCTCCTTGCGAAGGCGGTGTTTTCCTCACTACGATCCTCCCAATCTCTGACTGGTCCGCCACGGGTCCACTTAGGGTCGATCCACAGTCCGGTCGATCCGGGGTCCAAGGGGGAACTTGCACGGAGTCTGGTTCGCAGTTCTCCTTTTCAACTGGTGGGTTACGATTTCCGGAAGGGGCTGTCGAGATAGGAAATCTGATGGGGATGGAGAATGGGAATGGGGATACCCGAGAAGGCTGTGGTCCATCTTGAAACCACTGCCCAAAGCCTCATGGCGAATTGCTTGAACTCGATTGGGACCTTTGACAAATGGCCCGAACCTGTTGTACTGTTCGTGATTCTCACCAGGGATAACAGCAGGGCGCTCCCTAGCCTAATTGAGCCCAACTAGGAGTCAGCATAATGATGATGTGCCCATCAATTTGTGCAGTGCACATCGTTCTCTGCTTCATCATTGGGGGAGCTATCGGGATACCATCTCCCCAAAGCATCGAAATGACCTCAGCCAGAGCCCATCCTCATCATTATGTCGTCCTTCCCCGTGCTTCTGGCGGATATCCTTATATGGTGGGGTTAGACGGTGGAAAGAGCGAGTTTCGGATGGGATTCTCTTCGCTTTCTCACACCTCGACCTGCAATTGAAGCTGCTCGTGGATCCGCCTACTATTATTTCCATTTGAATCAATCAACGAAAAAATTCACGCGGTGATCGTGGTTTCTGTCTTCATTATGGGAGATCCCGGATATATTGCCATTGAAGACTATGGACTGATCGGAGACATGCACACCTGTGCTTTGGTGAGCAAGGCTGGTAGCTTGGACTATATGTGCTGGCCAGTCTTCGACTCGCCCTCGGTCTTCTGTCGTCTACTAGACTCTCAGAAAGGCGGATTCTTCGCTGTTGCGCCCCAAGACTGCGTGGACGATCCTCACACCAAGCAACGATACTTGCCATATTCGAATCTCCTAGAAACCCGATGGACCAACCAAGATGGTGTCGTGACGATGCTGGACTACTTCCCCGTGAGTCCCAAGAAAGGCGGTCATGCAGGTCGCGTGCTATCGGGCTATTGTCCGTGCAACGAGCCCGGAGCGAACCGCTTCAAGTCAGGTCTGCAGCACTCAGGTTTGATCAGAAAGCTGGAATGTAGCCGTGGCACGATGGAGCTCAAGGTGGAAATGTTTCCAGCATTCAATTACGCGCGAGAACCGCACACGGCTCGCGCAAAACTGGAGAACGACATGTGCAAACACCGGCTTCAGACGGCTCATTTTGAGAGCGAGTCGGAACGCCTGCAGCTTGAAATCTTTGCGGATTCCAAAGAGCCTGATAAGCTTGGGTACCCCAAGACGAAGCTCAGCATGGAGGACCGGCCAAATTTAAAAGGTCGCGGACTGGTGGCCTTGATCACCTTGTCGGAGGGACAGACGGTGCACCTTGTGCTGCACAGTCCCGAGAAGGCGGTTCCCAGCTCGGCGATGATGGCTGCGTACCTAGCAAAGATGGAGGAAGAAACCTCTGACTATTGGACGGACTGGACCCGCAAATGCGCTTTTCGTGGTCACTACCGAGAGACAGTCGAGCGTAGTCTTCTGATCCTGAAGCTACTCACCTACAAGCCTACGGGTGCCATCGTTGCAGCGCCTACGTTTTCCCTCCCTGAGGAAGTGGGCGGCTCCCGTAACTGGGACTACCGATATTCCTGGGTGCGCGACACGGCATTCACGCTGTACGTCTTTCTAAAAATGGGGTACAGCCGCGAGGCGGAGGCCTACGTGAACTTTATCTTCGAACGGATCTTCCCGCACGCCCTCCAGGATGCCGACAGAGGAAGCAATCGGCCTTTCTTGCCACTCATGTTCACTATCCGCGGCGGTTGCGACATTCCCGAAGTGGAACTGGAACATCTGGATGGGTACAGAGGAAGTAAGCCCGTGCGCATTGGCAACGAAGCGGTGTTCCATACCCAGTTGGATATTTATGGCGAACTCCTGGACAGTATCTACCTGTACAACAAGCATGGCAATCCCATCACCTACGACCAGTGGTCTGCGATCCGGCGCATGGTCAACTTCTGCATTAGTGTGCGACACCAGAAAGACATGTCCATCTGGGAGTCCCGTGGCCAGATCCAGAACTTCGTTTACTCCAAGGTCATGTTGTGGGTAGCTCTGGATCGTGGTGTCCGCCTGGCAGAGAAACGTGCCAGTCTCCCTTGCCCCGACCGCTTCCAATGGATCACCATCCGCGACGAACTCTACGACGAGATCATGGAGAAAGGCTACAATGCGGAACGTGGCCATTTCTGCCAGAGCTACGAAAGTCGAGATGTGCTGGATGCATCGATCCTGATTGCGCCGCTGGTCTTTTTCGTTGCGCCGAATGACCCGCGGTTCATCAGCACTTTGAAGCAGATTCTCAAATCCCCCGAGAAAGAGGGTCTGTCAAGTGCCAAGATGGTCTTCCGATACGATCATGTGAAAGCTAATGATGGTATGCAATATGCGAGGTCCCATTTTGAATTATTGTTTTCATCTCCCCGGGTAATTACTTACACTGTGTTCCACAGGAATGGCTGGAGGCGAGGGTGCCTTTATCATGGTAACCTTTTGGCTAGTTGAAGCCATGGCTCGAGTGGGTATTCTCTCTGCGATCAAAACACACCTATCACTAACTAAGCCGCTCTGAATATATAGGCTGCCAAATACGATGTGCCGATCCCCCAGCTCGGGAAACTTGCCCTCTCTCACTTTGACAACATCTTGTCTTATTCCAACCACCTGGGAATGTTTTCTGAAGAAGTGGCCATATCCGGGGAGCAAATGGGCAATACTCCCCAGGCGTTTAGTCATTTGGCTTGTATCAGTGCTGCTATGAATCTGGAGAAGTTGGGCACAGAGTGATGGATTATAATGTGCTGGGCTAAGCCAAACCCGAAAGTTTCTTTGTGCAATTCCGCGATTTGAAAAGATATAATTAATAACAACTCGTGATTTTAGTCCCTTTTTGTTTTTCCTTCAGCAGATATACGCTAGCATCTACCGGGGGTGGTTGTTCCAGATACCGCAGATAATGCCTTGGTGGCTAGGAGGTTGCCTCATCAGAAAATAGAGGAAGACTAGCAAGTTTTGGTTAGCTAGCGGGAGATACTGTTTTAATAGCCAATCTTACTCCCTGCAGTATCGGGATAGGAAGTGGGGCTGATGAAGGGTGGGTCATTCTCCTCTATATATGGCCTACTTGGTTTCGTGATTTGGTATCGAGCCTATTCACACGGTTTGTTGTAGAACTAGGGTTCGTAAGCTACTTGGAAGTTGTTGATTTTGGACACACTTTTTGGACACCGATCGATCTATGACGAGCATCTGATTATGTAACTCGAATCGGGCGCAGATGATCCACGGGGCGTCGGGGCGATCCGCTCTCACTCCACTTAGTTTGTTGCTTCCCCAGTTCACTTCTCTTTCGAACAACAAAATTTCCCTTGCTTTCGGAACATTGACATGTCTGTCCTTGAAAGGTTGCTCCCCGATCCTGTGCTATAGCGTTAGAAACCTTCCCATCTCATGGCAGAGGCCGGCACGGACTGGGCTGATCGCCCACGCTCCGACCTCGCGTCATCATCAGATGAGGAGGGTTTCGTCTCCAGCCATAGCACTGCCTCAGTGGAACCGGACGCGATCGCTCAGCACCATCTATCGACCGCAATCGGCAATCTACATTTGCAGCAGGCAGCTTCAAGCCGCAGCTCTGATGAACATAACCCCACTCGGACATCGACGCCTGGCACCGCAGCCTCGATGGAGATCCCGTCGGACACGGAAGCAGGTAGAAAACCGATGCAGCTTCTGGAATTGCCGTTGGATGTTCTCAAAGACATTGTCAAGGAGGTGAGCAGCTTCCCGACGCGCTGGGCTCAGTGCGTGGTTGGGCGCTGCGTGTGATGATCGAAGCTAACATCTATGCTATGACAGATTACGCACACGAATGACCTCACTTCGCTTGCTTTGACGTGCTCTGCGCTCCATGCCCTCACAATCCCGCATATGTATTCACGCTTCGACATCGTCTGGCCGGAATCGCTGAATCCCACCGCCGAGGATTACTCCGGAGTGGATGCCTTATCATATGGATTATCAACGCTGGTGATGGGAGATGATGTCTTTGATCGGCCTGCGCCGCCCAGATACGATAAACCGGCGTGCGCATGTTCAAACTGTGGCTGTGACGACTATAGACATCAATCGTCGCAGACGCGTGGATCCGAATTTGGGTTTCGACCGCGACGAGGGAACTATTACGCGCAGTACACTCGCACATTCTCTATCGGAAATGGTCCATTGAGCTGGGTTCAGGAGTACTCCGTGAACAGAGAGGTGGGCAAGATGCTGGGTACACTTGTTGCATTGGCTGTTGCGCGGATGGTCAACCTCGAGGCATTTGTCTGGGACATGCCAACGGGCGTTGTTCGTGAAATATGGCTAGCGCTTGCTTCACTTGCCGACCGACCGGGCCATAGTTGTCGCCTAGAGCGCATCTGGGTGCGTTGGCACGATAACTCAGAGAATGTTCTGCGCATATCGAATGTAACACCCGAAAGCCGCCCACTACAAAGGTACAGGCATGTGGAACACCCCTCTCTGTCTGTATTGCCGCCGCTCAAGAGCGTGGCGGTTCTTGACATAGATGAGCCGGCCTATGTGGAAGAGCTGGGTCTTCTCATTGAACGATGCCGCCGTCGTCTGGTTGAGCTGCGCATTGGCATTTCCATGAAGGCACATTTGGCCCCCTGGGTAACTTGTAAAAAAGAGACTGATACTTTATGGGAGCCCTTGATGGGTTGGCCGAAGGCTGGGGGAATCCTCAGTGTTCTTTCAAAACGTGAATCCGAGACTCAGACAGACGAGAATGCCATAGCTTCCTCGGATGCTGGCCTAGCACCCTCAGAGTCTTCAGCATCAATTTCTCAAGATCGATCCAAAAATAAAACATCTACTCAAACGACGAGCGTATTAGCAGATCAATCTCAGCCCAATGGGGTGTCACATTCTGGAAGACGTTACTCTACACCACGTTTACCAGATTTCTTCGCTCGGCCAAGTGACGAGCAGTTGAACCTTGAAGTTCTAGAACTGGAGCGTGTCCCTCTCTCCATACCAACTCTCTTGCCAACACTGGACTGGACTCGTCTAATTACTCTTACGCTGATGCGATGTGAGGATCACGAGAATCTGTGGAGAGCACTTCGTCGGAAGTACGCACCGCCAGCACTCCCGCCAAAGCGACCGCAGAACACAAACCAGCGTCGATCAAGCTACGATGCACCAAGTGCTCCAGAGTATTCGCTGAAACTCAAACATCTGCGGACTGATACTGTCTCTTCATATCTCATGCTCTTTATCAAAGATACTCTGGCGCCAAATACCCTGGAGAGCGTGTATTTGAACGAAGGAGCGGGCTATGAATCATCCGTTCATATTGATGCCATCTACAGACACATTCTTCGAAAACACCGTCTTAGCCTGCGAAAGGTTTCAATAGATGCTTCCGAACGGTTCGGGATATCGGATAATCGACATGGGAATGTTGACGCAATGAGTCATCGCTGGCACAAATGGATGTTCAATCACGAAATGATCTCATTCGTGACAAGCGAGCGAATGCCGCAGCTCAGAGAGCTAGGAATGGCAATGCATTACCGGGACTGGGTAAGCTAACAAAGTCCCCCATCATACCCCATTCCAAAACTAATATCTCCAGCACTTTTTCCTCCAACGACTCCCCCACATGCCCCAGCTCCGCGCCCTATACCTTCTGAACATAAGCAACAGTCTCCACCGCGACCTAAAAGAACTCGCTCTCCAAGTCCTTGACATAGTCAGCATCCGCCCCGAGCTCAAAATCACATACATCGGACTCGAGACAAAATGCTATCAAATTCTTGAAGCTACGTCCACTGGCGACTTCGAAAATCCCCAAGCAAACGATACCTCCACAGGGGATGACGGCTTCCATTTCGACCCCGCTGCCCTAACCGACGACGATGACGATGAACCAGGGCAACAAGACCCTGAACTCATGTCCAGCGATCCCTCGGAAGACGACTATGATGCAGACCTCGATGAAAGCATATTCTGCGTGAGGTTCACGTTACAGGAGATTCTATTTTATGATGATAAGATATCCATCTTCAAGGCACGGCATGGTGTTATTTGATTTGATTTTTTTTGCTGCTTGAGCACATTTAAGGCATTGCAATCTGTGGAGTTGTGGCTTTTGAGTTCGCTTTATGATACCATGTGGACATTAGTTAGGGATGGGTCTTTCATGGCGATGGCCGCAATTTAGATATTGGACTAACTTCCAGACGATCTCTTCTAAACCCTATACCTCATCGTTCTCTCTAGATTTCACATGATATTACCCTTAGGCAAGCAAAGCCCATAACAGAATACTTCATAACTGGTACATACGTTCTCACGTGAGGTGATCTACGCGATTCAAAGATACGAATGAATCCTTCTTGATCGACATGCTGATCTGAGCTGGGTCTCCTTGCTGGTGGCATTATGGACCGACCCGCTTCTAGGCTTCACAACATGCTGCGATCTATCACAATTTGCAGTGCCGAACACGCTGCAATCGCTAGGGAATTCTACAATCTAGCAGACCACGATTTATCTTCATTCGACGTGGAGAGCATTTGTACGACACACCCGGCACTTTTTGGCCATGTTTCATTTGGTTTTGGAAACTTTGCTTAATATGCCCTCGTCCTAACAATAAGAAGTATATTGTCTGCTCTGGAAGTTTTTCCCGCCGCGGTGCACTGAGGGAGCACCCTTCAACGTTGGAATTTCGGAGAAAATTTTCATAAACAAGACCGCTATCGACATATAGCATGTGCAAGCATTGCGTCCCATATTATCTTCAAAACTCTCGTGATCAATTTTGAGAACTGCATTCAACACCAGAATGAAAACTTACGTATAAGCCAGAACTTGCGGTGAATGGCGCCTCTATTTATCATACAGTCATTGGCTCGAGACCACTTCTCCTCTCGACCCCCGAAGGCCATGGAACCGCTATATCCTACGAATCCTCGCGTCCAAAGTGTCCTCCCATCCCTGTGTAGTCAGTTTCGATTGCCAGGGCTTCTTCCGTAGTTCCACCTCAGAACTTGGAGATGGGACAACTGAAAATAGCATCCTACAAGAAAATGCCAACGATGCTGCCGAGCTTTTAGAACACTTTTCATCCAATGAGCCTGCGCTTGTATTTACCTGCTCTGGCAGTTGCACCCCTGCCACCCAGCTTTCTTCTCCTCTTCCGCCCTAGTAAGAGCAGTCATCATGTACGAGCCTGTGTTTGTATTCTTGATGTCTGTTTCGAGCCAACTCCAAACCGAAGCAATCTTTGCAGAGATTAAGAAAAATAAAAACGCCCTGGCATTGGCCCAGCGAATTGATGAATCATGCCCCTCCTACATGGAGGAATTGACTGGAAAACGTTCAAATCCACGGAGACCTATCAGAAGCCATCAGGTCTCCCGCCAGACAATATGAAACCCTATTTAGAGAAGGAATTGCTTGAATTTGTGAACTACAAGCTTGACGTCACAAAACTTGACGAGTATTGAAACAGAATATTCCTTGTCAGAGGCTCGGATATATCACTCAAGCTTGCCCGAGTTCCAGTCGCTAGGCCGTCAGATATGCTCCAGATTCCGGTGGAAAATCATACACGGCATTCAGGGTATGTGACCAACGAAGAAGAATTCTCAGAGTGCCTTATCCGAGAACTGCACTATGAGAGCTCTAAGCTCTGATTTCCCCTCAATTGAAATGTGGGAAAGGTGGGTGGGCAGTGAATTATAAAGAGATAATACTAGTAGGTAATATTACCTTGCTTTCTATAATAGGCTTAGCCTTCTCATAGGGGACTTTTATCTGCTAAACTAGTCTAATTATACTAACGTTAGATCTGTTAAAGCGTTAAAGATGACAATGATACATTCGTATCCTAATAACGATAAATTCCAGTCGTATATCCTGGAAATGTAGATTAAGATTCGTAATATCCGCCGTGGAGGAAGATGATACCACGAAGGCTTTGTGGCGCTGATACTTCCTCTTCGGGCTGTGGGTTATCAGAAAAAAGAATGAGTAACTTCTGCTTGGTATTCGTAATGTCCATACTCCAGACATAAAGGAAGGATACGATAGACCAAATGAATCATCTAACAAGATCGACTTAAACAAAGGACTCGGCTGGGGTGAGTGATTGAATTTTCTAAATCGACTTAAATATCTCTCGCATGTTCAAAGACAGAAAATGCTTTCAATGATATGCTCCAGATTGAAAGGAATAGAAATGAATAGGTGAAGGAAATTTAATAAATCTGGTGGGGTAAGAGGTGTGTGATCATTGGACGATGAAGACGGGTAAGCCGGTGAATTGCAAGGTCAGCTGAAAAGATTGGTATATGGGCTGAGAGTGTAAGAAATTATTTTCCTGTTGAGGAGGCTATGCAGGGCGCAGCCTGAAAGTGTAAAATATAAGGTGACGGTAGCCCTGCTGGCGCATAGCCTGGGCTAGTCAGCCCGCCATAAGCTCCGTTCAGACTTTATATTTAGTAACGTGCTGCTGGGGGCCTTATTCCTAAGAAACCCTGCGACCTAAATACCCATCAACTATTCAGAGGCGCAACGCTCTACCCTATCTCCAGGATCTCATTGTAACACATCAAGAGGAATCTAGTCATTTAAAATGGGTCGACCGTCCGATTCCGATATTCCTCTCCGCTCCATTGACGATAGCGACCGACCTCCGCTCTACGACGATGTGACCGACGTCCCGTCCTCCACGCCAGTCGAAACTTCGATCCCTGGCGGCCGTGAGGGGACTACATTCAACAACATCCATGGAAAAGGCGGCACTTTCACGCTATCACCGTCGCTCTCTAAATGCCCCAGCGCCCTCTATCGCCTCATCTCCTCACAGGCCGAAATGCCACCGCGTCAATATATTCACATCAAAGGGTGCAAGAGCAAGGGAGAAGAGCCATGGGAGTTCAACTTCACGCTCGACTTGACGCCGACGCTCCTGCAACTTGGCGAAGGTAGAAAAGAGTGGCATGAACTGCTGCTCCACCACGTTGGGCATGACGGAGCACCACATTTCGATAGGAGCGTTATGTGGGCTCCTGGGTGGGAAGAGTCTTCACGCCGTCGAAATTCCCACGAAGCAGCGGATTTGGAGGAAGGTACTGGGGAGCCAGAGGATCATACTCTCCTAGGTGCGGATGCCGATCGCTCAAACAAAAGCACCCCTGGACTGATGGACTGGTGTGAGCGGTTTTGTCGTGATCCTGCCCGGGTCAAGTCGTTTACTTTGACACGAGAGTTGATCGGATTCGACATTGAACCTATGCGTACCGAGCTGACAGCGTACCTCCGCGCCCTGAACTATGGCGGATACATTGAAATCACAACCTCCATTCCAAACAGCTTTGTTACGATCTACACTCCTCACTGGATAAATTATCTGCGAACCAGCACCTTCGTCTTCTGGGTCCTCGCTCTGACACAGCTATGGATTATCACGGCGTTTGTGTTAGGCTGCCTCGATCAACCCTACCATGTCGTGAGTTCAGTCTGGAGGTCTTCCCGTGAACTCGGAGATCCCAATGTGTTCTCAAGGAAGGTCTATGCGCATGGCCGTGACGAGACAAAATTGGCAGACTTCTGGGCACCCACGGTAGCACAAGCATTCTTGGATCGACGGAATGACGGGTTTATGCTTAGAGAGGAAAGTCTGCAACATCTTCACCAGCGCGCACAAGAACGTAGGGATCACATACAGTCATTTTTACCCCAGCTGAATGTACTAGGGGGCCTCCTGAGAGCTGAGGGTGTGCAGGCCGGTAGTGGCGAGTCCATAGGATAATCTCTAAGTGGGGCGGGGGACTCAAATCCCAGGACCTCATAAGGCTTGCATTTGTAAACTTGGGGTGGTTTATTTATTGATGCTAACAGGAAGATTCAATTAAAGTGAAACTAGAATAAGAAACTCAATTCTCGAGACCTGATATCCTTAACTTACCACTCGAGGAAAGCTTGCACACCTTTTTCTAAGTCTTCTTATACCGTACCTAGTTCCCTCTAAGAAGAAGACCACAATAAGATGAAAATAGGTAAGTAAGATAGCAGATATGCTAGCTTTACTCCCATCTTGGTACATGTTTCTTCGATGCGATTAGATCGATAGAAAGATCCGTTATCTATAACTAGAGCGAAATTTGGCTTTGACCCTCTTCTACAATACCGAAGAAGCTAATCAAGTAGTTTCTCGAAGACTACAGTATCCGCAGAGCCCTAACTTATACGAGAGAGCATAATTCTATCTAAACAATATACAGGCAGTATCTGATACAGTATGTCTCACGACTACTTTCACTACATACACTCTTCGTTTGTTTCTCGAACCCTGATGCTAAGGTTCACTAGTTCATGCATTAGGGGTTATTACGTGACCCATGTATCTCCAGAGATATACCTTGTAGTTAACATTGACATGGCCCATGGCCTCTTGGCGGCCCATGATGAAGAGACATAATTAATGCGATTTTATACTAAAATACGTGTATTCGGGACGTCTTGGTACGTATTATTTATTATACCCTTTATTAAGCTACAAAAGCCTTCTAAAGAAAAGTGGTAGTGTTGCCGTGCATTTCAGATATACAGCGGGAGACGACGGTATTGGTGAGACCAGGGACCAAACTCAAATTGCCAAATCCCCGAACCAATTTGTCTTGAATCTACAAACTAGATGTTGAAATGGGGAGTGCTCGATGGCTTGTCTGACCACGCAGGCCGTGCAACACACACACGCACCCTGTCGGTCTAGGGAGGAGAGTATAGGGGAGAAGAGCACGTAAGGGGGTTTTAGAAGAGGAGATATGTCTGTCTTGCTTATTCTGCGCATAGAAAGTCTTATATATCACAAAAGCCTTAGTCATCCGATAGACCGCTCCTTCATGCAGTCAGCAGTTCCCCCACTACAATCTTTAATACAGCAATGCCACTGGCCCAGACCCCTCCGTGCCACAAGTACTGAGATCGAGCCCAAGCTTTCATTAGCGTCATAACAGAGCTAAGCAGGACCATCCCATCTGGATACATCGGATCGGGCGCAAACAGGGAAGAAAAAAAAAGAAAAAGAAAAAGGCAGGAGCTCCGAACCAGAGGCGCAAGGACCCGAAATCCCCAGATTAGAAGATTATGCATATCCCGAAGCCGTGATGAGTGCGCTGCGATGCAACCCTGGGGAGGGGGAAGAGAGAGGACCTGGAAATAGAGACCGTCTAACATTGTTCCCCCACCGTTATGGCCAGAGTGTTGAGGTGATGAGATTTACGTGTAATGCATGTAACCGGGTGACTCTGTGAGTAGACGCCTGAACGTCTACCTGTCAGTTTGTGCCGAGCTCTTCTTCTTTTCAATTTTTCCTTGGATTTGGGAAGCTGAGCAGTCCCAATTTCACCGCCAATTGTTGTTCTACTATTCGTGTTCGTTTTATTGAATAGCAGCAAAATGGGGGCTCCCTCACGTCTATTAGCCCTCTTGCTGTATACTCTTCATTTCTTACCCCTCGTCCTCGCAACGGGCATCCAATATTGTCGCGATGAGCTACCGCTCTGCTTCGGCGTCGCCAGTACCAAGAACGAGACAGCTGGAGGCCATGACATCCATCTCTCTCTGGTCGCCACCCCATCCAAAAATGGCGGTTGGGTTGCTGTTGGCATTGGAAAAAAGATGGCGGGTTCGCTGATATTCGTGATGTATTCGGACCAAGATCGAACGTCACCCGTAACGAGCATCCGCACGGTCGAAAGCCACACCAACCCGACGGTATTAACAGATCATGCGACGTATGTGGAAGTGCTCAATAGCTCTATCTCCGCCACGAGCTACCACGCACATTTTGTATGTTACTCCTGTGAGCTGTGGTGGCAGACACCCATCGTAACGAAGGGCAAAACGCCCTTTATCTATTCCGCAAACCGAGACCAAACCTTTGACCCCCCAGAGACCGACTCAGTTTTAATGATGCACGATTATTACGGCGTTGTGGAAGGTGACATGGATGAAGCGCTTCTCTCCGACGCAGACGAGTACACCCCAGCCATCAGGCCCGGAGAAACTACGGGGTTTGTCATGTTAAACGAAAATGGACACGCGAATCTTAACCCCAAGGCTGGGTCTCTCCTTTCATCATCCTGGCTGTCACCGGCAGCAGTCCATGGGGTTGTCATGAGTGTTGCCTTCATGGGCCTTTTTATGCTGGGTGGGATCCTCATCCAATTGCCTCTAGCCCGCGCGTTCAAATACCACTGGGCCATTCAAATCGGTGCCTTACTGCTTGCCCTCGGCAGTGCCACTTACATGACAATCAGATCGACACACTTTGACCTGCATAAGATTCTCGGTCTCACTGTAGTCAGCGCTTTAGCAATTCAGGCGGTGGTGGGCTACAAGCATCATACGGTTTTCATCCAGATTCACCAGCAGTCTGTTTTTACCTCCATACACAGGTGGCTCGGTCGCGGTCTCTTGCTTCTAGGAACCGTGAATGTTGCATTGGGTCTCTACCATAGAGGACGCCCTACAGGAGCGATAGTCGCTTGGTTCGTCATCTGGCTTACTGAGGTTGCCGGGTATGTATGGATCCTACGACGAAAGAACCGACACCAGAGGCAACAAAGGGGGCACATGGTGCCAAAGAGCGAACATGATACTGAGCTATTTGGTCTTGCTGGGGATAACTCGGATGACTCTGAAGACTCTGATTTTGAGGAAGAGGTGTGATTATGAAAGCCCAGGGGTTCTTTACAAAGACTAGGGCAAATCTAGAGTATAAGATTAATGATTTCCGTACAACTACGATATTGGTATCTACCAAACACGGAGCAATACGTAGTTGGGTAGAATGAAATAAATTCAATATCTATCGTTTCATCATTTGCATCCCTACTGTAAGTGTACCGACTTGTCTGGCATGCTGGCACTCCAAACTCCAAGCCCACTCGCAAAGGAAGCGCCTCCAACAAAGAAGGGTAATCCCAACCCTGCACCCCCGATACTCAACCCAGACTTGAAAGTCGCTGCAACTAGGGGAGGAGCCGCCAATGTGCCCGCAATGCTCACCACAGCGAGAGCAGAGGAAATTCTTGTCAGACGGTATTTGAAAACCGATCCGAGTGGTCGAGATGCTCAATGCAAGTTCTTTTTGAGACCGTTTGACTCAAGCTTAAGCTTGTAGACCGACAATATCGATACACGAATGCAAGATGTCGTTCGGTTGTAGGTTACGGTCCCCCAGAGGACCTCGCCTTTTCCGTACCCTTAACTCCGTCCTCTCCCTGGCTCGCTCCCTGCCCCGCTCCCTGCCCGCTCGTTCCTTAGCCCGAGTGGATTAGGATCACCCTTGGCGTGGAGACCCGTTGCGGCCGCGACCTCCGATATCTAATATATGACACGGGCCGACCTCGTTGTTGCAGTAGATTCTCTATTGTCGAGTTTAAATCGGAGAGTAAGTGGTGTGTAGTCTGCCTCTGGGCGAAGGCACTTTGGACACGGGTGGGAGAAGGCCCCTGTGTCTATACAGGAGAGGAAGTTGGGTCCACACTTAACCGCTAGCAACCCTCGTACAATCCATGGATGTTACTTGTGCATGTGGGTATCATTTGTATGTTTTCTAGTGGATAGATGTCATGGCATTAATAGGCTTATGATCATGGCTGCTACGCCTTTGGGATTCTGTGAGCAACTGTTTAGTCTCACCGCCCCTGCTTTCTGGCATGCTTTCTAGATAGATTGTAGCTTCTTCTCTTTTCCCTTCTTTATAGCATCGATTCTATCGCTTTATTCGCTCGTTTTTTCCTTTTCCTCGAATTTTTCATGAGCCTTTGGTGGCATGGTAGGTGGTTGAACAGTGTTGCTTTTGGGACTCGACCAAAACACGTGAGGTTATCGGCTCAATTGTGGAGTGGATTACGTTACATTAGGAGGAGCATTGTGTCAGCATACATGGCGTGATTGTGATTTTGGTGGAACAACCTGTACCCCTGCAATCAACTGTTCTGATTCCTGCTCCTCATAAATTCACAAAGTAAATACTCAGGAACAAAATGGAATCTATTCTATCCGCACATGAAATCGGTGAAGGACTTCCCGTTTTGATCATTCATGGATGGCAGATGGAGGGAAGGGTCGAGGAGCTGGACTTTGAGCCGATTTTCAGCAAAACACCGGGATTTCGCCGAATCTACGTGGATCTTCCGGGCATGGGCACAACGCCTGCGAGTAATGTCAAGGATCTGGACGATATATACCTTCGCCTAGTGCAATTCATTGATTCACGACTTGAGAGGTCAAGGTTCTTACTTGTCGGCTCATCATGTGGCGGCTACCTTGCACGTGCGATAGCTCAAAAATATACTGAACAAGTCGATGGTTTACTACTACGCGTACCGCTTATTGAGCCAAAGGACAGCATGCGCGATCTCGACGCTTTCAAACCTTTGGTTGCAAACGAGCAACTCATATCGAGCATATCAACCGAAGACAAGACACTGCTTGGAAACGTTCTCGTTCAAACTCCTGCTTACGTTGAAGCTTTAAAGGCGAAATACGAAGGAATTTACCTTCCAGCGGAGAAAGCAGCAGACAACAAAGTGTTAGATCCGATCCGAGCAGATCCACGTCGATATCAGTTATCATTCTCGTTGGACAGTGAAAACGTCAAGTTCTTTGCACCCACACTTGTTATATGTGGTCGGCAAGATGAGAGTGTGGGCTATCGAGACAGCCTTCGCTTGCTGGAGCTCTATCCACGATCAACCTATGTTGTTCTAGATCGTGGTACACACGGCCTTCCTATCGATGAGACTAGTGTTTTTGAAGCTCTTGTTCGTGATTGGATAAAACGGGTTAATGAATGGCGAGGCCGCATGGACAAATAAGAGCTATCCATATCAATAAACTCTGTACCATTTCTAGTATATAGAATGAAAGCGGGGGTGGGAAGAATGGTACTTATTACGTATAGGAGTTAGAATATCCTGGTGGAACGACTGACCTTGCGGATGAAAGACCAAAGAAAATGGAGGGCATGATCTCGCTCTATGTAATAGCATTCTGCAAAAGGAGTTCAGCCATTAGAGAGTGGCGCCAGTCGAGTGCAGTGAAGTGATAAATTTAAACATGAATTGGTATGCAATGGAGCCTTTGAAACCAATACGAAGAGTTCCAATTTTCATTGTTTTCCACTATTTATGGGTTTCGCTGTGGAATTGAAAAATGTCCCGGACTGATATTTTCTCAATGCTGTCGTAGTCAGTACTAGCTAGATTTATAATTAAAGTCTCTCTTCCAGATATACGGCCCTGGAGTTAGCTAAATAAAATTTCTTCTACACATTTCTAGAACTTCACATCGATAGAAAGTATTCGCATCAAATTTGTTTAGATTTTTCATTCAATCTTACTACCGTATTATCCATATCTCAGTTCCATTAAGCGTCATTTGTTGACAATAGTCAACTGGAAAAATGTAAAGACGAGGCGCCGGCATGCATTGCAAACGGCAATGTACCGATCTTTACACATAGCCTTAGTAGGCAACAGCGAGGGCCAACATCGCAACCAGGGAAGCACCCCAGTTGGAGAAGTCGACCTTAGTCGCGGAGCTCGACGGGGCGGTAGTGGCTGCCGCTGAGGATGAAGCAGTCGACGAGGTCTCACTGACCGAGGCAGTGGTAGTGCTAGTTGCAAAGCTTGATGTAGTCACCGGAGTGCTCTTGAGAGGTGTCGAAGTCGCGACCGGTGTGCTGGAAACGGGAACAGGAGTACCGGAAGGAACGGGCATGGAGGTGACAGGGACCGGGGTCGAAGAGCCAATAGCACCGACTCCAGATGGAATAGCAGAGCTAGAGACAGGAGGGATACTGGCAGGGATCACGAAAGGAGTGGACGAAGACGCGACAGCCGACGACGAGACAGCAGCGTAGCACGAATCGCTGGTCAACTCGACACTCACACACTGGGTGACGGAGGTGCTGTTGGTGGTGTAGATGTTGTCTCCATTGTCTTGGCCAGTTGCGCAAGCCATGAAGCTCGAGCTACCATCGAAGCTGAGAGCGCCCGAAGACGAAAGAGTGAAGCCAGAAGTGCCAGTGGCACCCTCGTCACACTGGAATTGGGTGGTCTCGGCTGTATTACCTGTTAGCGAAGGATGCCACATATATTTATACGAACGATGATACTCACTAGTAACCACGCAGCCACGGCCATTGCTGTCTGTGATGATAGCATCCTCAAGACAGAAGGTAGCAGCGGACAAAGTAGAATCGCCGACGCGGACCTGGCCATCGCTTAGCTGGCCAAGAGTACCAGAAGCACCGCCAGAGGCAGTGATCTGGAAGCAGCAGCTGTCACTGCGACCAACGAGGGCGTTAGTGCCAGCAACGAAAGCAGCAATACCAAAGAAGTTCTTCATGATTGCGAGCGAATGATGGAAACAAAAAGCCTAGTAAGCGAATGTAGGCAGCACACTTGCAAGAAAGATTGTCTGAGCAAAGGGCAAAAGATGCGAGTTTGGATGTTCAAATAGAAGAGGAACTCAAAGCTTTTTAGTTCTGAAACCGGGAAATGATCGACCTAGCGTACGTATTGTTCGTGATAACAGGGCAATTGTGACCTAGAATACTAGGTCGCTTTTGGCGTCGAATTCTATCTCATTGATTGGCCCAAACGCAGACTCTGACAGCCCACATGGCCGCTTTGATCAAGGAACTTTGGGTATAGCAGTTTGCAGGGAACTCCGCGACGCAATCGAGGACGCGCGTTCACGACTAGATCCTTCTACTCAGACAAGGCCACCACAAAGAACGTGTGCGTGAGCTTAAATTTTCGGAGGCTCCGATGAAAATAAAACCGAAATAAATTTCTAGTTTTACGTCGCTCCTACAAAACTCTTCAAGTTGGAGCCCAAGGTCACTGCAAAATAGAGGGGCTGGGTGCCTGCCAAGCATGACTTCCCGTCATCTTACAGTACATATCATCTGGGCTTGGAGCTAAGGTGGCTAAAAGTGCCGCTACCCACGCCTTACACGTACCTTCGACGCCGCTGCCAAGTTCATACGTGGCGTCAGTGGTACCATGTGGGGTTCCGCAAGTCTTTTGTTCTCGCTTTTGGGTCTGAGCACATCCGGAGCCAGGAACGTGCAATTGAGCTATCTTTTGCATGGCAAGGTTTCCCGCAAGACCAGGATCATTTCCACGTTGGGATTTTTAAGCGATTTCACAGACCTAGGCGATGACGTCAAACTGGAGAATGGGCGCAAAGATAGGAAAAGAAATTTAGTACATAGTATATCCACAATTCACTTGACGATGGTGGGGCCGCTATGTACATTCACCAATCTCTTAACGAAAGAAAGTTCACTACTTTCAGCGTTCCACACACCTTACTGATGGTGGAACTCGACAACAACAGCCTCACTAGAAGGCAGTTCGACAGCAAGACGTCCATGGCTAACACGCAGGATATCACAACGATCCGAGCCAGAACGAGCAAGTCGGCCATCGGTGTAGTTCCAGCTCAAACCACCCCAGGAAATACCAGTATCCGCACTAGCGCCGGGCCCAGTAAGCCTTTTAGCCTCAGCCGTGTTCACATATCCCGGCACATCAAGAGAGATTTGTTGAGAAGGACGAGGATACACCGTGGTAGAATTCCATTCGTCGAGATTGACAACGACGTACTTGGCCAATATATCTGACTCGTAAATTGCATATGCTGAAAGGTTGTCTCGTCCCAAATCGAGAGACTTTACTTGGACTGTTCGGTGGTGACCGATCACGTCTGCGACCACAAGCTGGCCGTATAGCGGCGGCTTGACCTTCGGATCTTGGCCATTGTATTGAACTGGGACCCATGCGGTGTAGCCGAAGGTAGTTCCTTGGATTAGGTTGAAACGGGTGATGTTCTGCGCGAACGGATTGTAGGTTAGCTTACGCTCAAAATATATCACGGCTAGGTCGTACCAAGCTCATTCCGAAAAGTAGGTAATCAACAAGCCAGAGGGAGCTACCGAAGACACCTTCCACTCCAGCCATGTTGAGGTTCACGTAGTCACTGTTCGTCTCTCCGAGAAGGAATGGGATTTGCGGGTCATAAGCTTGCAGAGCTTCCATGGCTGGAATATATTGAGTCAAGTTTGCAGCGATGGCAGTGTGGTTCATGAATGATCCTAACAGCAGTTAGTTGAGTGATGCTTCTGTCAGAGAAGGACTATCTGACTTCCAAGTCGCACCCAGTCTGCATTTCCCGCGGCATATTGATGCTGTGACACGAGCTTGACATGCCCGGTAGAGTCGATCCCATACTCATCAAAAGCCTTTGACCTGATGTATATTAGCTTCCAAGAATCGACACATCGTAAGACCAAGAAGCAACTCACACGCTCCATCCATCAACAAAAGTCAAAGCCTGGAATATCTTCCACCAATCCAATCCATACTTATTCCCCTTCATTACACGCTGCGAAATAGCATCTGCGAAGTACCTCCATTCACGCACATAGTCTGCCTCAGTAAAATTCAGCGGCCGAACGGAGCCAGGGTAAAGGTCAGGCTCGTTTCCAATCTCAAAGGCGACAAGGTTGCCTTTTATATGTTTCAAAGCTGCCTCTGCTTCTGCAAGGGCATTATCCAGGGCGTTGCTCTTGTTGTTGGCTAGGTTGACGCCGAAGGTCCAGGGAGTGGGAAAAGTCTCGAAACCTTCAAACCAGGTGGGTCCAAGATAGACCTCGAGAGGAATTCCATTGTCAAGTTCCTCGGAGAGTATTATTGATTGGGTCTGGGAGGCATTGTAGATGGCACGATCTCTATATTCTATTTAGTTTGGTGAAGATTGGAAGTGGGGGCGAGAGTACCCTGATGTACCGCCAACGCGGATGTGTGGCCAGGCTCCTGTCTTTTCATGAAGAAGCCTGACAACATCCTGAGAGAAGCGATTTGGATGACTCTTATTTCCTTGATTCTGTTAATATCGGAGATTCGCCTTCTCTCTTGGTACACTTACCAGCAAAATCCGCGAAAAAGTGAACTGGAAATGAGAACGATGCAAAAGCATGCTCTACAGGCTTTGAAGCTCCAACGGGCAAGTGTGCGGAGGCCTGGAGCTTGACAACTTCCGTTGTAGCCACCACTGGGCTACATATGAGACAAATTTTCCAGAAAGAGAGACGCATATTGTGAATAGAAAGAGGTTATCCGAAAATCTATTTCAGAACAAAGCCACGCACTACCCCAGACTTTCTCCGCTTTTATAGGGGTTTGAATATTACCTAGATCACGAATATATCGCATTACATGCATCGATGGTGTAATTCCTTTAGGTTCTCGCGAATTACTAGACTGTATTAGGCTCTCGCCCGGGACTCGGCCCGGTTGTCGCCTGTTTCTGCACCATAAGTGTGGGTAACAGGTAAAAAGCAGAAGATAGGCTCTTTCTCCGTGACTGATGCGTCTTCTATCACTTGGATCCTTAATAAAGAAATATAGGGTTCTTCATTAAGTGACTTTCATCGCTTTCTAACGGTTCAGCGAAAGAGGGGTATTGAGGGAGCGCGGCAGAGAATTCCCACGCCGATCAACATCACCAAAGACAGAAACATACGATGATGAGGACGATTTGGACTTCGCTACTATCACCAGCTAATAATAAACAGCGCCAAGAAGGAGAATTGATGAGTTCAAAGGTTTCAATAGCACTCAATTTACCACAACGCGGCACAAGCCACCCGTCATGAACTGAGCTACATATGTTAACAGACAGGGAGCGCGCACACGAGTACGTGATGATCTTTTCAAAACCTATTTTTATCTACATGATATTTTGGGCTCAACAGTCAACATATTTTCTACTTGCCGCCATACTAAGCTGAATACAGAGGGATTAGTTTGTTCTTCGGGCGAATTTTACATAATTCACAAAATACAGTTCTTTGCAATGCTCATCTACAACAAGCGAGAATGCTCTACAGACTTCAGCCATTATATGTATTTTAAATCTGGAGAGTTTACTTTCCTATCCCAATACTCTTTGTGTTCACGGCGAAGGGCAAGCAGCAAATCAAGGACACCAAACCGGAAAGCTAAAGCATGCTAGTTTCCGTCCCCTGCCCCTGTTTTAAGCTTGATTTTCGTAACTACGCTTGGGCGGCTCAAGGAAGTAACCATAATTTGTAATACCCCAGGCTATCAAAGTACAGAGACAAAAAGCGCTCGCTATGCTCACGAATTCCTAAGATAGAATTATCATACATTGTATTCCAAATGTTCATTCAAAAGCTCCACTTCAATCGCACGTCTACGAGCTCGATCCTGCTCACTCGAGTTATCCTTGAAAACGTGATCCATCTGCTCGAGAGTGCGGCCTTTGGTCTCCGGAACGAAGAGGTAAGTCCAGATACCAGAGAGTACACAAAAGACGGCGAAGAACACGTAAGCACCGTAACCTGTGTCTTCGATTAAGGGTGGGGTGATGAGGCCAATGATGAAGTTATTGAGCCAGTTCGAGCAGGTAGATAGGGCGACACCCTTGGCGCGCAGGGAGGAGGGGAAGATTTCTGGGATTGTTAGTGACATCATTGAGTGGATTCCATGGGAAGAAACATACCAGCTGGGAGGGCCCATGGGACTGGTCCCCATGAAGCACCGAAGGCGACCATGTAGAATAAGAGGAAGGCTGCGCTGACCCAGCCCATAGTTTGATGGGCTTCCCAGTCGTAGCTGTACTTTGCGACGAGGACAGCGATGATGATGTGTGAGATGGCCATGCCGACGGATCCTCCGAGCAAGAGTTTCCGACGGCCTAGTGTATCCATTGTCCAGATGGAGGTTGTTACGCCGACTAACTGTAGACAATTGAGAACACCGGACATGATAAGCTGCATGTTATTGTCGAAGCCCATGGTACCGAACAGAGTAGGAGAGTAGTAGATCAAGGCGTTGATTCCAACGAACTGCTGGAAGAAAGTGATCATGATACCAATGTGAGTTCTGCGCCAGCAGCCCTTACGGAAACAATCAGCCCAAGAAGCCATCTCCAGGAGGAAGGCATTCTTGGCTCCACCGCCCTGTAGGTTCGGATGCTTCTCAACATTCATCTGCTGGTGGAAGCGAACCTCCGCTTGGATATCCATGTACTCTTGGCGTACCCGTCTGTCGGAGGTTGGGAGGTTTCGGAGCTTGGCGAGACTCTGTAAAGCTTCCTCGTCGCGACCCTTCGAGGCGAGCCAGCGCGGGGAGAAGGGGAGAACGATGACACCGGCTACGAGGATGAAGCCGGGAATCATTTGCAAGAGAAAGGGGAGCCGCCAGGACCATTCGCCGGCCATGTATCTGGTGCCGAACGTGATCCAGTAGGCAATCACGATGCCTAGTACGATGCACCACTCTTCAAGAACGAGGAGGGTACCGCGACATTCCGGAGGACCTAATCGAAATAGATATAAGTAGATGACCCTTTAAAAGGGGAAACAAATCACATACTGATTTCGGAGATATACAACGGTGCAACCATGGACAACATGCCAATGCCAAAGCCGCCAACAAAGCGAGCAAAGGTCAACATGCCGTATTCCACTGCGGCGGTCTGAAGCACGGAGCCAACGGTGAAGATACCAACAGCCACCAAAATGGAATAGCGACGGGAGATCATGTCTGCAATCCAACCCTGATTGAGGGCACCGATCAATGCACCCAGTTCAATCATTGCCGTCAGCAGACCCTTCCAAAACCCAGACCCAGCACCTCCGACCCGCGGAAACTCGTCCAGGAATTGATCCATGACCAAAATAACAGACACGACACCTTGATCATAACCAAAGATCAAGCCACCGAGCGTAGAACAGGCCGCGCACATGAGGACAAACGGGTTGGACATCAACCCCTTGAGACCCGGCGGGCCATAGGGCTCACGGTCCGCCGTGATATCCTCAGCATGATGAGAAAAGCCTTCCACAGAGCGGCCATCGGGCGAAAGCTCCTTGGCTACAGCTGCTTTATCAGTCATTTCCACAATGAAGATGGATTAAAAAAATGTTGGTATAACCCGACAACCGAAGGAACAGGAGCTTGGTCGGCGATATTTATACGTATATCCAGTTTGGAACCCCGACTTCCCCTCCCTTCATCTAATGCCCCGTATATGGCCTAATATGTCAAAAGAGGCATCATGATTGGACACTAGGGCAAAGACCGACTCGGGGAAGCGGGTCTCCCCCAGACAGAAATGACGGCAATACACGGTTTATGGGACCCGATGGGTGTAACTACATCAGGGAACATATGGAGGAGATCAACCGCTAAGCCTGGGACGTGGGGAAAACAAGGGGGTTTGGGTAATCGCATGCAGTAGATTGGACTGTCAGAGGCGGCTATTGGTACATTTCACCTCATTTGATCCCTCTTCCACGGTCCAGCGTGGGGCTTGATGCTTTGGGAATCTGGGGAGATCCTAGTTATGATGGGAATATCGGTGAACGAGGACCTAGCATTTCACTGCCCCGTCGATCATGTTGCAAGGTTAAAAGCTTCCAAGTACTCAGCCTAGCAAGTATTCAAGTCCTACCAAGACATACGAACGTATTCTACACCGGTTGAGAGCACCACCAATCCGGAGGTGAGTTGCGCAATAATGGGCCCTCGGCGTCCCTCCGAAAGTTACGCCCCCAATCCTTGTCGGGCAGAATCGCCGTTTTTCGCAAAAGCCAAAGTCTAACAGGCCAAAGGATATTCGAATATCCGGTCATTCGGGCCGGTTGTCGTCGGAGTATCCTAGGCGGAACCACCGATGATGGCATCCCGCGACTAGAGAGGGTGATATGCCCATCTGACTTGTGCAGACTATGTAGACTACGCAGACTAGACTATAGAAAGACTTATTGTCCCCACGGGGAAACGGGAGTTTAACTGCTTCCACTCAGGATTCTCCACGACTCTTTTTCCAAGCTCCGCTCGGGTGGAGTATTTCAGGCCTCGGAACCCGTTCACCGAGACGCGCCCGATCTTTCGCTCAGTCCCCGTATACGGATACCTGTTTCCGGACGACGTCACACTCCCCCCCTCCCCTGCCTTCACATCGACAACCATGGCTTCCTTCGTGGAAGAGCTATGGTCCAGCGTCTTCACACCGGGCCCCACCCCGACTCTGTTGATCGCGACCAACGTCAGCTTCGCAGCCCTGCAACTCATCCTCTTCGCCCTCCTCCTCGCAACACACAGCCTACACTTCGTCGCGCTGTCCATCATCTCCGCGGGACTGTGGTACTCGATCAACTGGTTTGCGGCAGAAGTGCGCGCGGCCCAACTCGCCCAAGAGGCAGAGAAGAAGGACCCCGCGCTCGACAGGAACAAGGATTCCGTGGAGGGTGACAGCGACACAGAGACCGAAACCTTCAACAAGCCTTCCGCCATCGCCACCGGTAGCGCGTCCTTGTCCTCGTCAGGACTCCAGCCCATCGAACGGGATCCCAAGAAGCGGCCCAGCTCCGGCGGCGATAGCTCTGGCTACGGAAGCACCGACAGCGAGTGGGAGAAGGTTGAGGATAACAAGGCGTGATCTACATGAAGACTACCGCTGTTGGATGCAAGCCCTTTTTTAAAGCTCCTTCGCTGTACGATCACGACCTCCCGTGTCACAGATGGCGCCTCTGGTCGCACTCGATATTTTCTCGGCGTCTTGTTTGGTTCTTCATCGACTTTAGTCCACTCCTTTTTCAATACCCTCTTGTTGATCTATCTACTAGATTAGATAGCACGATATGAACCTTAATACCCAAGATGTTGAATGAAGTTTGTTGATATTGTCCCTTCGCTTTGTACTGGTGTCGACAGAAGTTGATGTGGGGCTGGGCACTAGTGCGGCCTGAGACGAGAAAATCTCACCACTATCATATGCCTATCTTATAGGTAGGAGAATGGGAGTCTACAGTGCGAAGCAAAAACAATGAAAGACAAAAACATACAACAGCCATGTTATGGCGATACTCACCTAGTGCCCATCATTCGGTGCTGGGCGACTCGCCGATCTCGCCTGGACATATCCCTGGTTGGCTCACCAGTCTGCTTTAGGAGTCGGCGCTACTGATTACCCATGTCATGATTATATGGTCTCCTCCCTCCTAACTGTTCACCGACTTCTCCCTTCTCTAAAATTAAAATCACGAAGTCGTAGGAAAAGTATGGATACCAGCACCGAAGAGACCAAAGACGTGCAAACCTTCACACTACGTAAGATTGGGCAAGGTTTTTGCGGTACAGTCTGGGCTGCATCGACAGGGCCCGCATTCAAAAGGGAAGATGGCCGGCCTGCCCGATCTTTGAGAAACGACTTTGAAATGCACCAGCGAGTGCTCCAAAGCTTTCAAGAATCAACTCAGTCACGCCTTCAGATCCAAATACCAGCCTGCTATGATTATATCAAGTCAACCGACAATATATGGTGATCGGTGAACCTGCGAAAGTTCCCACCAGGCTATATGCTGTGCAATATCATACTCTCTCAACGCATCCTGCCCTTGCCCGAATCGAAACTACAAGACGACTCTTCGTTAGCAACTACTGCCCACCAAAGATAACATGACAAATCCTCAACAGCGAGCCCGACATAGACTGCTTAATCAGGCCATGTCTAGGCGGAACACGAACACAAAATTCTCATACTACGTCGAAATTCACGCTCCATCTGGATCAAATGGAGTCACCACGAGCGAAATAAATCAGTACGCAAGAGTAATGGCCGAAACTCTCGCAATGATACACTGGATCGGCGAAATTGATGTGACATCGAGTTTATTCTTGCGCCGCCGAGCGAAAAAGGTTTCAAAGTGAAGTCCATATTTTTGGAGAACATTCAATGTGGGATCCTGACTTAGGCCAAGGACGCAGAATTGTGACGGCCCTCATGATTCGAAAATTAGATGCTGGTGTTTTCCCTAATCCCAGAATAGTGACTCCCTGTCCCCAAATAATATCAAAGAATATTCTGTCGGCTTCATAGAGCCGACCATGGTATTTCCATACCGTCAGACAAGGAGATTTCCGCTGGGAAGATGTCGGAACCAAGATGTATGGCCAATCAGACGTATTAAACAACTCTGCTATTTCTATCCCTCTGCAGGTAGGGGTAGGGTGGTTAGTGCCACGGGTATGGCTAAAAAATGCATTTTGGACCAATTTCCCTTTTGGGAATTTCGGTCTACGCTAGTCCGCATTCAAAATTTCGGACCATGACACCACCGCCTGGACCCAAATCTTGAAACACCCACAACAATTTGAATAAATTAGATAAAAGTAAACCGACTTCACATATGTATCATCAAGCCTTAGAGGATATAGGGAAAGTTAAAAGTTAAAAAGCCTCGTATAACCTCCTCCAACGTGATAAGCAATATCCGCACTCCAGCTTTAATCCACCAGAATAGGTCTCCCTTAGCCACTAGCGGCTTAAGGCGTGTTGGAGGAGGGATTCACTGACGGACCGATTGCTGTTAGAGATACTCCGGGAGGGTGTCAGGATGTCTTGAATAGCATTCGATAAGCCAACACATACCTCGAATCCGCCTCGTGTTTAAATAGCGCTCCACAGAAGTCTACCCCGTACTCCTTACAAGAGAGCTATCCGGATACGTTTAAGAACAGAGGTGAATATCCTACCTTTGCTTAACTATAACGGTTTTTTCTACTCGGGTCTCTTTCCCCTTTTCATATCTAATGGGCCTAGCTATGGTGAGCTAGGAAATGAACTATCTATAAAGGCGTGACTCTAATCTCCTTTGTGTTGCTGCCTAAATTATTCCGTTTGTGCCGGCGTATTGTAGAGAATATTCTATGCTAGCAGACTCTAGAGTTCAATTGGTGATGATCGGCGTATTTCAGCCACTTCTATTATTAACGAGTAGGTTAAGAACTAATCAACGGTAATTGATTCACATCTGTACTCATAGTTATTAGTCCTTGCTGAGTCAAATATTGAGAAAAGGCGTAGTATCGAGCTGTATACCGTACTGGCTATAGTACAGGGGGCCTGAGCCTAAAAAGCAATATGCGGGGATTTACTAAGAAATAAAGATGAAATCAATTAACCAATCGAGAGCTAGGTAACACTGAAGGATCATACAGAGGATGGAAAAAGTCAACTGACAGTACTATTTGTTACATAGCTCAGGAATGTAGAGGATCAATCAAAATGGTAGCATTCAATGAGGCAACTAAGCATAAGGAAGGAAGACGGATCAAGGATGCGGGAATGGAGATCTAAATACACCAAGGTAATCAGGTGACATAAGTTCAACGGTAGAAATACCATTCAGGCAATAATTTAGGCGGGAATAAGTGAACCCAGCAGAATTAGGATTATTGAGTATGTGCCGGCCTGACCTCAATTCCCTCCCGCAGAGTGGGATACTCGGCGATGGGATGGAATATTAGTAGGGCGGGGTGTATCTACCCTGAGTTTCGCGTATACTGCGCCATACCAAATGCAGTAAGAGAAGTGTGTAAATAACAATCCGGGGGTGCGTTTTTATCAGTCCTCGGCGACATAATTGTGGAGCTCATAGAGCAACGTAATGAGGCATTGCTGTCAGAAATTACACTATATACAGTCAATGGATACGTTTCGATGCGATCATGCGTTCTAGTCGCAATTCCGTGATAGATAATTTAGGTAACCATACAGGTGGATTTCATAGAGGTAACCTTGATGAGACACCATCGTCAGCAACTAGACTGAATACGGTATACGTTTCGATGCAATCCGCAGGATCCAGCCGGTTTGTAGCAGTTACCTCTTCCAACCTAAGTTCGTCCAGGGACATATAAAACCGCTTACAGAACTCAGTGCTCATCTGTTTCGACTTCTACACTTCACAGTCTTTCACATTTCCTGCCACCCGCATTTCCACGAAGATGCGTTTCACTAGCCTTCTTTTCATGGCTTCGGCCATTATTACCACCGCTGCCGGCAAGGGAATCAATTGCCAGGGTAGTGGAGAGTGCCCTTTCTGCCATGCCCAGACCAATCTGAAAGAGCTACAAAAAGTTTGCGAGAGCGTCCCGGACAACACGCAATACTACAACGGCCAACAAATCTGTTGCGTCCAGTGCGACGAAGACAACACTGAGCAGTACTCCGTCTGCGCATTTGTGCAGAACACAAAAGATGGCGCTCCAGGTCACTCGGTCAAGGCCGCCATTCAGCAGCTGGTTGATCACAACTGCGGTCTTTGCGGCAGTGCCCCATTCTATAACAACGACGTTAGCGAGGGTGAGCTTACTGTGAATATCGTCGACTACACCAGCTGTCATACGGTCATCTGTTAAGAAAAATCGCGTGAACACGTGCGACACTTTGTAAGTCCTGACTATTTCCAATGCGTTGAGATCCTGAGAATCATGTTAATTGTATTGATAGTACGAAAAAAGAGCAATATGACGGCCGTGGATGAATTGTCTTGTGGAGAGGGATTGCAAATGCTGGCACCGCATGCAAGGTCTAGTTACTGTTAGCACTGCTATGTAGTCTAAGCATTATCTTCTTCGTTTTGCTCAACACTCCCCTAGACCTTGCCAAGTCTCGATAGTCACTTTAAGCTATCTCATATCTCGTTAATACTAGCAATCGACACCACCGCGAGCCCACGGGGCTCATCCTGTCTATAGAAAACTCACCCTGTGTTACGAGCCAAGCAAAATCGAGAAATCTTTTATTCGGCGCATTTAGCGAAGGAATCAAGTCGTCGGGAGAAAGAAAAGTAGAGGGAGCGCGAGAATGGGAAATGGCCTTTTTGTAGGCCTCCGTGGCCTAAGGCACCTGAGGACTTCTCGACTTCCCGATTAGGCAGTCCTGAATCTGAGCAAACATCTCCACAAATTCGCCGGTTATTTCATTGCCAGCCATCTTCATCAACAGAGGAAACCTGTTTGAAATTCCTGGTCACCAGTCGTCCCTACGATCATATACAGAATCACTTTCGAGCAATCACCGATTCTTTCCCACATATGCATATCAAGGGAAGGAGCAGAATGACCAAATCCATGAGGAGATTGATCTGGTGGTGAGGATTTGGGTGAGAGAACTAGCTGAGACAGTGCCACTGTCACCAGAGCTTCATCATCGAATCGAACAGCAGCTGCTTCAAATGGAACACCGTACATAACTTTGGCTACACCTAGCCATTGATGATACCCGGACTACCTTCAAAGACAGCCTCCGGCCTACAGAAGATTGGATCACTCTCATTCCGCCTTCTGTGAATGCAGCATATGAGAAGATAATGACCGCCATTGGTTGCTATGAAGGGTATGTTGTGTGCCGAAGCAATTCGAACCTTTTTGGTGCAGCTCATGTAAGTACATTCCCTAATCCCATTCAAGTCTTGAACCTACAATATTCTGAAGATCATGTACTGTTTTGGGCTTGATGGCACCAGTCCATTTAGGAGGATCCCATTCAGACCATCGCGGCGAAACAACAGAAGAGAAGTTGGCGTCAGTGGGCTCGGCAATCAAGCTGCCTGGGGACAAATAAGGCTCAAACAAGGCCTCAATATTAACGCCGGACGCGAAAATCCCTGCAAAATTGGCCAGAATGGCCAAAGCAAACGATCTGGACAGTCTGCGAACCATGTTTGGGCGGACAAGAGATAGCAATACGTGTACCTAGAGAATGGATGCGAATACTAGAAGAAACAAAGTCACAGATAATCAGCTCAGCCAGCAAATGATGGCTTTCTAATAAGTCGATGCTTCGTGATGGTGTGATACAACTGCCTCCCCCATCACTAGTACACCTAGGCAACATATCCGTTCCGCCATGTTAGCTAGAGTCTTGGCCTTTTTCTGCAGGATTGCTGCAAAATCGGAGTGTTTGAAGTCCGGAGGCGTTCAATAAAGGTCTCTGCCCTGCATCTTACATACGAATGTCTGGTGGCTTCCTGTTCCTGTGCTTACTATGACCCCCAACGCTGAAGTCCGATTGGATAGCGGAGTTCACCCCTACCTAGGTCCGCCAACATGATTGCGGGAATTAGAAATCGTTGCAATTCTTGGAGCGTAGAATCAGCACGGCACGCTTTACTGCATTACCAAAGCCTAAATGATACATAGGTAGACGCTAGAGTGGCAGCACATGCCTTTTTAAGAGAAATGCTGCGACCCCTCATCTGGGTCCTGTATTACGAGTTTGGACGAAGATTATTTTCTTAGTACTTTCAAATGCCTTCTCAGATGTTTTCAAATTCAAAATTCTTGCTTTGACAGATTCAAATGTTTGTAGAAATTTTTCTAGATAGATCCTTTTGTGCCCCCACGGCGTATGAACCGAATAGTCTGGTCCTGAAGTATTGGAATCAACTTTTGTCATTTCTTTCCTAGTAATCATTATGCATGTTCGCAGTAGAGCGCACTAGTCGAATCATTGCTTAGGCAGCAGGCACAATAGTGCCACGGGTGATTCTGATAATATCTCGATGACCGAGGTGGTGGTTTGGCGCTTAATGATATAATGAAATCCAGACTGCTATAGCCCACAGAAAATAATGAATAGAAAATTGAGAGCACATACAAAATATAGGCGAGACAATTTTACGGTGTTTCAAAAGAGCTCAGTGGTATTTTGAGCGATTTAAGAAAAAGTTTACCATTTCAAATGCAACTGTAACCAAAAGCTAGACGTATGAGAGCGCCAGCAAATTGTTGTTTGTGGTAAATAAAAACAGTAAATAAACACACGACAACGGAAAAGAAAGAAACAGAGTCACTCTTCAAGACTTCAGTTCAGATAATCCATCTTCTTCCAAGCAGCCACGTAGAGACGGGCCACCTCAGGACTCACAGGGCCCGCACTAGCCATAGTTTCGGAGTGCTCTTGCGTCTTACTCGTATCTAGAACTAGACCGCCACACGAGATGCGCTCAAAATGGTCATCAAGGAAGTCGACTAGGCGAGCAGCTGGGTTCTCTGTCTCGAGAGGCATAGGAGACCGGCGGACCCTCGAGATCCAGCCCTTGAAGGGAATAATGGCTTGGGGTGGTATACCTAGCGCATCAGCCAGCACGGGTGACATACTTTTCCATTGCTGGCCAATGGGGTTGTCGATGTGATAAACAGGATAAGCGTCAGGTGCTTTGTCGCGCAACCCAATCTTCAACAGGTCGGCCATGATGTCGGCACAATAATCCACAGGAATCCACTGCAGCACACCATCCAGGTCGGGCCACGCACGCAGCGACTGGGCTGACTTGACTAAGAAAGCGAAGTGCTCGACGGGGTTCCGGAAGCCACTAGTGGATGATCCTGAAATTTGACCGGGGCAAAAAGAACGCGGGTACTTATGCAGTGTTTCATCGAGCATGCGCTCACACATCCACTTGGCTTCGCCGTAACCGCTGAGAAGAGTGGCAAATAGTGGCACGCGGTGCTCAAGGACTCGCGACTCGCCAGCGAAGCCTACGACTCCAATAGACGAGACGAATTGAAAGCCCACGCGGCTCGGAGGGTCAACATCTCGGGACGCTATCTCACGAGCTAAGTCCAGCAGGTTGCGCATAGCCTGGAGCTGCGGCTCAAACGCACTGATAGGCCGTGTGCCACTCATGGGCCAAGCATTATGCACAATATTAGTGGCGTGCTCGACAAGCCACGAGTAATCGAGCGGCGAAAGACCCAGTTGCGCTTTCGAGGTATCAGTCTCAAAGATGCGGAGTTTGGCACGGGTACTAGGAAGAAGTTTAATGCCACGGTTGGCAAATGCTTCTTGTTGCCTTTTTTCGGCGAGCACGCTGCTGCTGCGGCGGTTAAGGCACACCACCCGCGCGACCTTGGGATCCTCGGCCAGCTTCTGGGCGAGATGTGAGCCCAAGCTTCCCGTGGCTCCCGTCACCAGGACGACGGCGTCAAGGTTCATCTTGCGTGGAAGAGCCTTGTCACTTTGTTTCAGCTGAACATTCCCTTTTTGGCGCCAAGGAAATGCAGCTTGGACGTAGCCCAGCCATTGGAGTATGTGGATACGAGCCTCTCTGCCCCCGCCGTGCGTGTCTCAATATTTGCCGGATTGAGCTCCGGGATGGGCTCTGGGAGGGCAGCTGGCTTTGGTAGTCGCGGACCCTGAGCCCCCGACTTTAGCGCTATAATGACCTTTTGGAACGCATTCTCAGGTAAGCTGCCGTCGGTCCAATCAACATGTCCGAACCCTGCGGTGTGCAATTCGCGCTCCCAGTGTTCTGCAGGTACAACAGCGTGGCTTCGCCCGTCATCAAATAGTGGATGATAGGTTACTACGTGGATACCTACTCAACCATAGCGCCATAGATATGGACCCCTGTGAACACAGCTAGAAATAGTCCTGGGGTTCCGAGCAGCCCTAAGTTCCAATACACCAGCATACGAGGAACCCCGGTCGCTAGTTTAACAACTGTCTCGCACTCCCCCAACCCGACGCCAACCTCGTACCAGAAGAGCATAGTATCCGACTGCACTAACTTTTATATGGCTCGAGGTAAGAAATTCCCTTAGTTCTCATACCAGGATTGACATGAAAACTTACGAATACTCTTCAGAAAATAACTCATATGTCGATTTTGCCAAAAACTTCGATATCGCAGTCCAAAAGTTCTATTCTTGGAGCCCCTCTCTGAACGGAGATTGCTCGGGCCTGTCAGTTCCCCTTAACTCGTTCTAGCTAGCTTATTTCAACGCACTTACTAACACCAAGACTAGACAAGCCAGAGTATATTACTATGTGCAGCGCGGGACTGCTAATAGCACTACATCTACTACTAAGGGCACTGCGGTGGAACCTCCGGGTCCTACTCAGACGGGAACACCAGATACCTGCAATAAGTGGATAACGCCAAAGGATTGAAAAGTATTGTCAAGACATGGCGAACGAAGCAGGGATTTCCTTGGATTGCCTTTATGAAATGAACCCCGCCCTCAACACGAAGAAGGGTGAACGCCAAAGGCTCATAGCTGGAGAAGCATACTGTATTGGAACGAGCTCCAACATATGTAACTAGTTATCTGTGTTTTTCAGATGATATTTCGCCTCGCTGTACTAGAGTAAGAATTCAGAAACTTTCGGTTAGTGAGGGTGGGTGGAGAAGAGGGAGCGTACCAGCAGCATTTTAATAGACGAAAGTATCATAATTCTATCAATTTGTTCTTTTTTTTGGCTTCACATAAATGCAATCAATCGGAGGCTCCCAGCCTCGCGTTTCTTGGTCGAACAGCGGTTGCAACTTCCCAAGTTGAGTCCTGTGAAAATATTTCCTCGTCTTCCATTGAAACAAACGAGCCATTATGAGGTTCCTTCTGCGCCGCCTTCCATAAATCCTCCATAGAGATCTTATCGGCATGCCAACGCCGGGCGACGTGAAAATTGTTTATAAGCTGCTGAAGACGAACGCGTAGGTAGCCTTGGTACCTATTAGAGCTTTGGGTCTCGGTGTTTACCACGTAGTCTGGGTCGATAGCCCAGATCCAATTTCATCTGCCAACTGATTTTCTAGAACAGAGGCTGCAGCATTGCCATCTAGATATAGAAAAACGTTCCGTAGAGTTCCTTCTGTGAGCCCCTCCGATATAGAGTCAATAGTCCCCCACGATAACTCTTTCAGAAGATCCGCTATACGCTTCTTTGGAGGGTACGATCGGAGATAGTTAAACTGCTTCCGTAATTCACTTATGATCGTAGGAAAGCTTTCGTCTTCGGTAGGCGTTTCGGAAGGCCAATCGAAAGGCTTAATAGAGTATCTCGATTGGATCGTAACACCGGAGGCTATTGCACTAAAAGCCATGTGTATTGAATGTGACGACTTTCGATGATAAGATTCCCAACGATCGGGATTCTCTGCCTTCCATTGAGGGTTCTCAAACATCGCATAACCCCATGGCCTTTTATCCTGATCTTCTTGCCATAGCTGACGTAGCTAGGGCTGCCCTTGTTGTAACATTATATCGAAGTCCCTTTGTTTCCAATCTTTCTCCATTCCATCAACTCGTCTGGTCTCTTCATCGAACGCATTTGCGATTGCGTTAGCTTCATACTGCTCGTAGAGATGACTCTGGAAATTTTGTAGGCGCTCCAAGGTTTCCGTGCGATACTCATAGGAGATGCCTGCTAACGTACCCAAAGCATCCTCAAACGCCTCTTTTTCGTCAAAGGTAAGTTTTCCCCAATAGCGGCTCTTCAACAAATCAATCTCAGAGAAAGTTAGATCCCTAGGTGACTCGGCTGCCTTCTTCAAGAAATCCTGCTTATTCGAGGTTGTTGGCGCGGTGATAGCAATGTTTGCGACTTGAGTTGCAAGGTCAGGAAGGTCGAGAAGCCGAGTGCGATCCTCTGCACTAAGAGCCGAGGGGTTATTTTCAAATTCTTGAAAGGTCGCGGGCAAACCATCAGAATCATCCAAGGTCCGTCGAAGAGGGACAAAAGCAAGCAATAAATTTTCCATGATCCTTGTAGCGGATACGGAGAACTTTGGGTCTCAGGATAGCGGATGTAAATCAGTACTTATCCACTTGGTGGGGGCACGTTCAGACTATAGGTTTTGCTGGTGAGTGACACCACACTAAGGGTGACCTTGAAGGACTAGTGGAGTGAATAATCCGAACTAGAAGCAACAAATGAACGTCAAGTACAACCCGGACGAGATTTTCGCGAGTAAGGATGGGTGTTAATGTGAAGAACGTGGACCCGTGCGCGAATTCGATGGTCGTTTTAAAGCACCCATCTACTGACTACGGTGAAAGTCGCGTGATCCGTTCCTGCTATGCCTGTGGTTCCAGTGACAAAATGTCGGAATGTTTTGTATGCAACCAATCAACGATATCAAAAGCTCTGTTTTTGTATTACCCCTGATTCTGCCAATTTATAGGGGGATTCTAGATTACATAAGTAATAAACATGAAGGATAATTGTATCTCCGATCCACCGCGGTATTCGTATTGACACACCCCCTCAGCGGTCTCAGGCGCCCTGAGATTGCTGGAATGCATCCAATTCGCACGAAACCGTGGTCTTTGCAAAACAGCCTCTGATTTCCTCTTCAGGACTAGTCAATCAGGTGACTTATATCCACTATGTTCAGCAATCTGACGAAATTGTCATGTTTTTGTCGCGGTAGCGCCTTAGTGACTCCATTGGCCACTATACTTACGGTAGGTGTCCATTTAATAGCAATTTGACCTGCCCTGACCTCTTGGCGTAGCCAGTAATAGTGTACATCCACATGTTGAAGCTTAGTGTCGAAAACTACGTCGTCTCCTTAAAGCAGACTAATTACTCGCTTATTGTCACACTGAATGGTGATGATATAGGAGGGTATGAAGCCTATATGCCTAAGTAGTCTTCTCCACTATTAGAGGTGCTTGCCTATATTAGATAAACCTAATAGTTTAGCTTCAGTGGTGGAAGTGGTCACTATGCGTTACTTAGTAGCCTTCCAATCCACGGGGCCACTATATACCTAAAATATATATCCTGCTGAACTCTTCCGGTCTTTATGATTACTGTACCATATATCACTTATAAGCCATATAGATTCACGTCCGCTATTCTAGTAATACTCGATAGCGAGGTATCGCGTGGTGTAGAGGTATGATAGCGCTCTGTCTGCGGTATAATAATATTAAGGGCCTGGGTTTGTAAGTGTCGGCCGCGTAGGGAGGCGGATACCACGAAGCTTTTCGTGGCGCGGGGGACGCTTTTGCAGATGCTTCCCCACCACGGATCGTTGACTACCCGACCAAGGAAGGCTTGATCGGATAAAGATAGAAAGAATAAGATAGAGTGCAAAGGGCTTATGCACTCTAAATGAGCACAATCCACAAACCACAAACAAAGGACTAAGAAGAAGGTCTTTCTAAGCAGATAGAAAGGATAGTAAAATATCTGAAGAGAGTGAAAGGTCTGTCATTTTTATTTAGTGTCTCGCGCATATTTATAGACAGAAAGTGGTCAAAGTCACATGCTTTATATCAGATAAACAGAATAGAATCAGGGAAGGAAATGTGATAGAACTGATGGTATGATGAGAGATATGTCAATGTCATCGATCTGGTGGGGTAGAGAGAGGTAAGTGGTTTGGAGGGCTAAATTATGTTTGCATCTCTTTCTTTCTTCTTTTTCTTCTTCTTCTTCTTCTTTTTCTTCTTATGTTGAATAAGAGGATAGGTTCACCTTATGTAGCATTGGTCCATATTCCAACACAACCTAACCCGGACCCAATACTGGGTTGTGCGGAAGCCTACGTAAAAGTACCCCTTAGCTAGGAGCCTCCGCTATTAGCGCCTTTAGCTAGGTATACGACTATTGACCTATATAGCTTCGCGGCTTCCTTACTGCTAAGTTACGTTATTTTAGCGATAGTAATCTCGTTCTCCTCACTAAAGGCTGCTACCGCTCCTAATAGGATACTATAGTTATCATCTAGTACTATAGCCTCTTAACGCTATCGACCTTAATCGGCTAGAGCTCGTCTCGATGTACCTAGGCCCCCGCACCGATCTTTGTTTCCACCACCTTCTTAACTAGCTAGTGCTCGGCTTCGTCGTGACACGCGATTCTGATCCGGTCGGTATTTCTTAGACCCACAGTGACAGCGCGACAACGCCAGTGAGGTTAATCATCCATCGTCCGGATCTCTGTCTCGGTTATAGCCCTAATTAAGCCCGCGGATATCTTCTCACTTTTGCTTTCGGTCATCTTCGAGGTGTCTATCGTGCAGTATAGCGTATCGGTGAAGGTGGTCGGTGTCGTGTTCGACGTTAAAAGAGTCTATATATTGCTCGGGTGACTAAGTGGAGGAGTACGGGCGATATCTGCGTAGGACAGGGAGCCTATAAGGGCGGGAGTGCTAATTACGTCATTTAGGGTTTGAATTTCGCGTAGGATGTCATCGATGCCAGTCTAAGAGCATACCTCGGGTTGCGGTACCAATAGTCTATCTGTCAGGATCTGCAGCTCGTGTCGCACTTCTGCGAGAGCGGCACTGGATTCTTCCTTAGCCTTCCGCAGCTCTTCTTTGTGCAATTCATATCGCAGTTTGATTTCTTTCCTGAGTTTGACGAGCTCTTGTATAAGTTCAGAGGCGTTCGGGTCCTCACTCTCTGTCGAGGAGTCCGACGTTACCGTTTCCCGTTGGGTTACTAGCTTGCCCAGGGTCTTCTTCTTCTGCTGCTGCTGCGAACGCGCATTTATCTGCTGGATGTCGATTTCTTGCTCTTGGCCATAGTTGTAAGGCGGTCTGGTGGTGCGTCTCGGTCTCAATACTCGTGGCGGTGACTTTTCGTGTTCGTCGCGGTCAGGCGGTTCAGGGGTTCGCGTCTCGGCCCGTCCCGCCATTCTGGTTTTCTCGCATTTGTCCAATTTCAGTACAGGGAGGATCGAAATCCTGTCAAGTGGTCTCAATTCAATCTAAGTCGGATTGAGGTCTTTTGACAGCTCATACAGGATCAGTACTTTGTAGTCTCAATTTAGTTACAGCACTTCCGGAAATCGGTGTCTCCATCTAAACTCTTTCATTCTTTCTTTCCTTTGGCGCCAAGTCCCACTGCACTATATTTAGAGCAGCTACCGGATATTAATATTCCCGTGTTATTGGTTTACAGTATTTTATTACATGCCATCATGTTTCCTTACTGTATAGGTAACGCCAAATAGCTGGAGCTCTGTAGTGGGGGTTTCGTCTCAGTAATATCAGATGACGCTGGCAGCCCTTAGGCCTCCGTATGACATACAAACACTTGATAACAATAGTTTCCAATGGACGCTCTTTTTCGATTCACGGTATCGTTATTTTACCCTTCAGTTTTCTAGCCTCTCTACGTATGGTTACGATTGCAGTTAAATGTACTAACTTCCGTCTGAGTACAATATCAACTATATTATTGACTTATATGGTCTCCTTCCACGCAAAATATTGGTAGGTGAGGTACACTGTGAGTAATGCCGTCACGAATGCTCCCAGGCTGAAGGCAGACGAGTTATCTAGAGTGATCCTTGCGTAAAGAATCACGCTGATACTGATTACGATAAGTACAACAAGTATTGAAAGTAAAAGGTTCCCCCAACTCAGACTTTCGTTCACACGGATGCCCCATCCAATGACACGCTGTCCGTTATCTCCAGGTGACCGGGTCAATGGCTCTCGAAGTTTCTTGGGGAACATAGTTATCCAGAACCTATCTGTATGAGGTCCGGGTTTTAGGAGGTGTGACAATGGAATATCGACTAATTCCACGTCTTCCATTGGCACTGGTTCATAAAGATATCTTCTTGCTCTAACCTCGGCTTCAGGGGGAAATTCCTTTGTCTTGAACCATCTGGGACAAGATTTAAGTCCAATAGGAATTAGTGAGAACTGTTAGGCAAAGTGAGTTTAATTGTCCTTGAAAGCGGAAAAGGTGGAATGAATCTCCTATACGTACTCGAACAAAGTCCCCTGATGCGATTTTAAAAAGGCGCATTTCAGGAATTTTGGATCGAAGCAAGGAAAAAAATATGAGGATCCTCGATGATGGTGACAGCCTTGGCAACCTCGTTGAAACTCTGTGAAAGAAGGTGCGAATCGGTGATGCAAATATCATTGAAACTCGAAACTCCTCTTCTCTCTTGACGATCTGATATTGTTGATACATTTGCTGAAAGAGGTATTGGTTATTGGTTAGAGGACCCACTTCAATATGAGTTAAGGCAGTCGAGTTTTTCGTGTTGATACAAATCAGAATGAATTGAGGATCCTGGTCCCGGGGTGTCATACTATTGGTTTGAGTAACTTCAGGCGTTGTTAATTGCGATGATCTTTCATTTGGGACTTTGAATGGCGTCGTATTTTCGCTGGTCAGTGTTGTACTTAACGCTGGATCCAAATGTGCCGGAGGTGGGTATACTGGGTGAACTAAGCTCTGTGAGCTCTGTGAGTGAGTCCTAGTTGCCACGACGCCATTAAATAGTCTTTGCCGAAATCTCTCAATCCCACCAGTCGAGAGTTCCCTTACATCAAGGTAAGAAAATTCTCCACAACCCTAGAGCAACGTTCAGCGACTGGCGAAACTGGTAATGACAGGAAAACCCACGCATGTATACAAAATCCGCTGGTAACCCGCTGCCGGCGGGGCGTAACTATTCATCAACCAAAGCCACCAGGATGACAGCCTCGTCATCTGGGTCGCCCCTATACGAGTAGCCAGGATCTCTTCCGAGGGAGTGTCAGCGTATTTCAGCCGCTGTGAAGAATCACCAGAAGATCCATCAAGAAGTGCAGATTCGGAAACATCGTCAAGTTGACGACCTATAAAACGCATTAAAAAATGTGCCAGCCACGGCTATGGATATCATACTTTTTGCAGAACTTGAATCTGAGAGCTGCTCACTCGGTCTTTCGTGACCATCTCTCCGTTTACCTTCTAACCACAGTCGGAATTCTTGGCGTAAATCAAAAAAGGCTTTCGTTGACATCATGAACCCCTTCACCTCCTCAAGTGTGGCCAGTGAATTTGGCTCATAACTTTCCGAATCAGCTGAGTCGCTTTCCGCAGATGACTCGTCAGTGTCAGCGGACCAATCCATATGACCACCTGAGTGTGACTCTATCCACTCGTTGACTCGAGCCGACTTCAATCGAGTCGATGCCGAATCCTTCTCAAAAAAAGGCTCACTCCTATTATCCATGAGCTTTTTTCTGATTTCAACTGCAGTCCACCGCGCAGACGACCGAACAAAACGCGCCGCTTCCCGCTGACGTTGATTAGATGCTTCCTCATTTAAACGCCACCCATACCGCTTAAGCATACGTGCAAAGTTTCTTTGAAATTTTTCAGGACCGACCTTTGAGATAGCCGCTGAACACAGTACCATCAACTGATCATCACTTAGAAGTAAACCAACCAACTCCGAAATAGCGATTGATATGATTTCGGGCTGGGATGATTCCCAAGACGAAGCGGTTTCCATTGAAAAAATACTTTCAATATCAGTGTGTTCACTGGGTGCGCTCTTGGTATCATAAACGTCTTCAAAGCGGGTCGGGACCTTGCTTAACCAGCGACGAATATTATCAATGGGTTCCCCTCTGGAAATATTGTTCTTGATTTCATGCATAGCGAAACGGGCCCATAGGAACGAACCATTGGCTTGATGGATACATTGTTCCGCCAGCAGCTCTCTCGTCTCTTCATTAGGATAGTCTTCAACGACTGTGTTGATAAGAATGTCCTTAATGTATGTGGCAATGTCTTCATGATTATGCTGTTCAACATATATTTCCATGTCCCGAGCGGTTTCCATTAAAGGATAATGTCGACATGAGATACAGATTTGAACGGCTGCATTGGTTTTTTCTGAGCGATCAATAAGCTGATGGAAATATGCTGCAAGCTGCTGAGCGGACTCAGTTCCAGTCTCATCTAGAGCATCGATAAACATAGTCACGTGTTGCCTACTGGCTGATGCCAGGATAGCGCCTGCCAGTAGCTCTTCGAGCACCACTTGTGGCCATTCCCATTTACGTTCACCACCCCCAAAGAGTCTGCATTGCTGCTCATAGGCCTCGCGCACCTGAGGACGCACGGTCAAGTCGCGCTCAAAAATTTGGACCAGCAATGATCTAAGCATCCCTAGCATTGTATGTTGCATCTCTAGGCCTCCCAGGGAAAAGAAACATTCGAGTCGAATGCCCGGGCTCTCGCCCTGTAATCTCTTGAGTTTGTCGTACAGGAATACCATCAAGGTCGATTTGCCCACACCCGGCTTGCCCTTAATCCATAGTAGACCACGGGACTGACTCCTCCATGACTGGAACTTTTCCAACTCCAGAATCCACTGGCAGGTATTTGTATGGTATCGCTCGATCGTGTGTCTCCGGTGTAGCATTTGCGGAAATGACAGTGACCTAAGAACATCTACCGCTATGATTAGTGATAGACTCTTTGTCTGATAAGGGGGGATGCGAACCGTTGTCTACCCTTTGCTGTGGGGTTTCCTGTTCGTCTGGAAAAGATAAGGGTCAATCATTTGGCCCGGGTTTAGCACGGGCTTTATGGCACGTACCAGATGAGGTATATATTGAACTATGATTGATCCCCAACTGAATCCCTGAGCTTTCGTTATCAAATGATCCTGAAGCCATACTGTAGTGGATAGGTCATGGATACAATCACCCACTGTTATTGAGAGTCTCCGCCCTCAAAAAGCGTGAGATTCTCCGCCCCAAAATCATGTGACCATTTAACCTGAATCGCGGCTTTTAATTACTGAAAAGGGGATGGCTCGATGGCTGTCTGACAATACAGACTGGGCAACAGCAACCAACGAACAACACACACAAAACCTGCACGTAGTAGAGGTCGTCCTAGGGGAGGTCGCGAATGTCCTTGGTGAGGCCGTGAGGTCGTACGTGCAATCCTGGACGCAGCAATCCTAAATGAGGCCGTACGGTTTTTCCCGGCTGAGCCCGTATGGAATGTACTTAATATAGCATGTTGAATGAAAGAATGTAGTGAAAACTGGAATGAATTGGGTAGATGCCTCCTCTTCCCTCTATCCTCATGTAGAAGCTGCTGCTTACACCTAAGGTATTCGTGACACCTCAGGCCGCAACTGTATTCATTATGTCATGCGTTCCACCACTACAGCATATAATATAGCTCAGGAAACATCTTCAATAACTTATACTTTAGTAGAGCCCATAGATTTTCTATAGGGTTTAAGTCTGGCGAATAGGCTGGCCAATCCATAATAAAGTACTCTTTATCTGGTAGCCAGTCAAGTACTCGACGCGCAGTATACGTCCGAGAGCCATCGTGCATAAAATCGCCTCAGATCGATTATATATTAAGGTCGGAAGCCATTGCTGATATGTTTCAAGGATGCGTATACTATTAACGCCACCTCGCGGCGACTCTGGATGGCCAAATAGAGGAATAAGAGCGATTCGCCGTAGATCACCTGAAAACGACGCCCAAAACATCTGTCGAAGCTGTTTACCAAGCGGTATAGGCTTCACTTCGCCCTCGCGAGCTTGATCTTTTGGCCGTGTGAATGTCCACTCAGCGTTTTCGCCTGAGCCTCACTCAATTGACGTTTCGTCAGCCCAATAGACCCTTGATTAATCTTATGATGTGAAATCACGATATCTCTGCGCCTATGCGAGACGTAAGCGTGCGTCGTTTTCAGTTAATTGAGGTCGTTTAATCTTACGCCATTTGCGTATACCGAATTCCCTTAAAAGCTTTCGGAGTGTTTCTCGACCGATTTTGTGATTCACAAGATCAAGTAAACTATCATATTTAATACTAGGTTTCTCTTGAATGGCGTCGTATATTAGGTCTCGATCGAATTCGCTTAGGATTTGCGGCCGACCGACACGTTTGCGTGAAGTATTCTCTTGGCCACGAATAACCTCCTTTCGGCACGTATCGACGATCGTAGAACGCGGGATAGAGGGATATTCATCTCGAATGCGACTATATGACCATTTTGCTGACGTTCGAAGGCTGCAGATACGCGAGAGCGTTGATGGTGCGAGTTCTTTACCTGTGCCCATAGTATGTGAGATACATATTGTAGGGTAGGGGGATAGAGAATATCCTATTGTTTCCCCCCATTGATCTACGTTCTGTTTATTTTGAAATTCATGTTGTTTGTTTATATCGATGTTGGCTAGGCAGTGATGGTAAATTTAGTAGGCGGTGGAGGGGTGTACGGAAACTTCTTGGGAGGGACTGTATCCAGCTCTACAGGTACAAAACATGAGCCAGCATATCATAATAATCCGGTATTTTACGGTACAAGACCTAAACCGGCTATTATTAGATTGTTGCCAGAATGGGTTAGCGTGCTTTGGCAGCAAGGGAATAGAGTGTGTAGAAGGTGGCACCGATTCCGGAAGTACTGTACAGAGGCGCTGATTCTCTTTGATTGAATCTCAAGCTGTATCTTGCATTACGCGATGCCTAATTAGACTAGTTTACCCCCATTCGGATCCTTGGCAGTATATTAATTCAATCGCATGAAAATAACTTTTGTATCGCTGTTGTAAGGGCCGTGTCATCGAAATTTAGTCACCTGATTCCTGGCTTGAGCTGGGAAGCTGAGCCCCTTGACACACCATACCTAACACGACCCATTTGTCCTCATCGCCATGGCGAATAACATATCACTTGGACCCTCAAACGATGGGGTTCAAGTGGGAATAAATCACGGTCATATTAGTGTGCACGGTAATCCTATAGAAGGCAGGCCTTCTAAACTCCGTCGTGGTCGACCTTCATTTCACTGACGGCTGGATATTACTCAGAAGCAGCGACTACGCAAACTCATATCCGCACCCAGGGAGGAGCCATCTTTGACGGGACTTTCTCCGCAAATCGCGATATCTACATCAGTATGGATTATGTCTAATTCACTTGCATAACAAGAGAATATGTCCAGAGTTCTGAGAACCCAGGTCCACAGATCACTTTACGGAAGCCCCTCGCCTGGCTCGCGACCTTTACCAATCTAAGATACTTTTGCCTGTCCAACATGAGCTTGCGCTGCTTATTCTTGCTCTTGAGGCGGCGACGGACCAAAACTCTGCATTTACAACAAATGGCACAGAATTTTGCACGATTCGCGATGCGCTAGAGGAATGTTACAACGTACTCGAAGGCCTCACGGTATTACAAAAGCGCTTCGATGATATCGGTCCGGAAATGAAGTCTGCTTTGAGGAAAATGGATCTGGATGAGAAGGAGTTGATGGAAGTGGGAATGAGACTAGGGGCGTGGACCTGTAAATTGAAGCGTCTGGATACTAGGATAGATCAGTGAGTACTTCGCCAATCACAAAATAGAGCAAACTTTCTAATTCGGATCTAGATCCTTCCAGAAAGATTTTGGAGGTGCATTGGAGAGATTCATCGAGCAACTCCGGACAGGCGAGCGTGACAGAACTACGGTTTTGCAAGCTCTAGGCGACCCGCTTTCGGCTAACGAGAGAATCGAGTGGAGCAAGCTACGGAACGAATTTGAATCTATTGGTTTGACAGCCAGAATATTTGACCTAAATCGCGATTTCATCGTGTTCAATCTTCAAAGGCGTCTCCAGGGCTTCCACAAAATGGAACCCTCTTGCGCTGACGTCATGACGCAATCGCAGTGCGAGAGATGCACTCTTAAACATTGGCTGGATGAGAGGGTGGACCTTCCTAGTCACATTTCAGTAAAACGGACCGTGCTTAATGGCACCAAGGCCCATCCCAGTTCTCCAGGTAGTTCATCGTCCCGACTATCAGCCAAAGACACAGGCCGGGTCAGACTGCGGGAAACTTCAGGTCTGCACGAAGAATCGAATCAGATTATCTCTACAGCTCAAATTTTGGCTTTGAGTGGTAAGCACTCGCAAGCAGAGATGTTACTCCTTGGGGCCATCGAGAATTCGACGAAAATACATGGTCCAAATGACGTTGAGACGTTGTACCCAATGTTTTGCCTTGGGAAAGTTCTTTCCTTTCAAAAACGATACTCCGAGGCCGAAAAACTATTCTATGAAGTAGTCAAACAGATGGATTTTGCCGGTGCGCATCAGAATACCAACACACTCCACTCTGTTCAGTGTCTTGGCGAAGCTCTCTACCACCAGGGTCGATTTCGTGCGGCCCAAAGTTACTTCAAGCGAACTACAAAAGAGAGACATATTATCTTTGGACCTGAACATGCCGATACGCTTTTCTCAACTCATTGGCTTGGCGAGGTTCTCCTGTGCCGAGGGCTTTATTCAAAAGCCGCGGCAGTATTTCATCACGCTCTGACAGGAAGGCAGACCACTGTTGGTTGTGAACACATCGATACAATCTTATCAGAACATCGGTTCCTCTACTGTCAAGGTCAACATCACTTCGAGACCACGAATTTTGAAGAAGCTAGAGTTTCCTTCCAAGAAGCGAAAGATAAAGCTAAGAGCAAGTTTGGACCTAACAATACTGACACTCATGTCAGTTCATTGGATTGGGAGGTCTTTCTATGAGTTAGGAAAGTACCACGATGCAAGAGAATTGTTCAAGCATGCGAAGCAAGGGAGAGAAAGAGTCTTTGGACCGAAACACAAAGACATAATCGAGTCTTGGGATTGGTGGCACCGCAGCTGGGATCAGGTCAAGCTCAAAGTTTGGATCGGATAATTGTATGTTAACACTTTATGTCAAGGATTATTTAACATTCATCTTTGCCCTTCCGAGTGCAAATACTCTCCGGTAAAGTCACTACAACCCCAAATAAGCCCTTATCGCGCTGTATTTACCTTTTAGATAAGCCCTTTCGTCTCTTCTTTTTATAGTTTTTAGCGCGTAGATTAACCACTTCTTACTCCAGTAGAAGGATACGCTTTATGACCTTTTCGCAAGCCTTATAAGCCTGGTTAAATACCTCTTTCGTAGGCGTGGGTGGGCTATCAGACCGGTACTTAATAAGGCGCTTTGCTAATACTTTATGTTTCGAAAGCTATTTGATATTGCTTAGTGTTTTAGGGCAACAGATACTTGATCGGCTTAATGGTTGGTTTGGTGGTGTAGGCGGACGAAGCTGAATATTGAGCCTATCAATAACTTCTGCCGCATTTAAGGGAATTAAACCGGTCGCTTTGAATGCATTTTGAATGCTTCTAGCCTGAAATACGTCTTCGTGTGCGCGTGGTTAGACTGTGAGGAAATCAAGCTTATTAATATAGTTTATACCTATACGCGTCTATTGGTGTCAGGACCACTGACTGACGATACCAATGTCGGAATGTTTAATATGCAACCAATCAACGATATCAAAAGCTCTGTCTTTGTATTACCCCTGATTCTGCCAATTTATAACGTGGTCGGTAAGCGAGCTGCGCATGTAAGCGAGCTGCGCACCCGCCCATCTATTCTTTATACTTCGACACTTTTATCAACCACAACGCCTTTAAATTGATTAATCTCTAGCTTTACAAGCATTCCTTTTATATCCGATCTGTCCGCAATTGGTGCATTGGGGTGGACGCCGCGTCTTCGGTGCTGGTGTGTCCTGCGGTAGTAGGCTTGGTGGAGCTAGAATTGCCTGAGAGGGCTCCTTATGAGCTTCCTCGAGCTCTAATGCTTCTCGTACGGATAGACCGTTATCGTGTGCTATCTATCTAGTCTTATGAGCACGCTTTTACTTTTATGTAGCGTTTACGGCACGTAGCTACTTATTTTCTTGCTCGAGAAGGATACCGTTTTACATTATAATCTGATAGCCTTTGATAAGCTGGTTTAACGCGATTTACGAAGGTGATAGCGGACTTTTTGAGCGTTATTTTAAGAAAGCTTTGATTAAGGATACTTACTTTAAAAGCTCGTTAATATTTATAGGCGTATATAGGTAAAAAGCGCTTAATTAACTACCGCGGCTTACGGGAGGTGTCGGCGTCCGAAGTTAAATATTTAGCTTTAATAGCACTTATTGAGGATCAATTGGTACTAATCCTACTACTCGGAAGCTATTTTGTATTATATTTATTTTATATATATTAACGCGAGCTTATAGGTATATAAAAAGGAAATTAAGTTTATCGATATAGTTGTTGGAATTTGGACCAATGCTACATTAGGTGAAGGTATCCTCTTATTCAACATAAGAAGAAGAAGAAGAAAAGAAAGAGATGCGAACATGATTTACCCCTCCAAACCGCTTACCCCTCTTTACCCCACCAGATCGATGACATATCCCTCATCACGCCATCAGTTCTATCACATTTCCTTCCCTGATTCTATTCTGTTTATCTGATATAAAGCATGTGACTTTGACCACTTTCTGTCTATAAATACGCGCGAGACACGAAGTAAAAAGAACAGACCTTTCACTCTCTTCAAAATATTCTACTATCCCTTTCTATCTGCTTAGTCCTTTGTTTGAGGATTGTGGATTGTGCTCATTTAGAGTGCATAAGCCCTTTGCACTCTATCTTATTCTTTTCTATCTTTATCCGATCAAGCCTTCCTTGGTCGGATAGTCAACGGTCCGTGGTGGGGAAGCATCAGCAAAAGCGTACCCCGGGCCACGAAAAGCTTCGTGATATCCGCCTCCCTTCATGGCCGACATGTATTGCTAAGCAAGTGTACGAAAGGATAAAAATATGCCTTAAGGACGGTGCCATGCGGTATAAAAAGTGGGGTAACGTGACCGTTCGTATCCCCCTACAAGGCCGTGTTATCACAACAGTAATATTCGAAATCAAATTTACAGTCATGCTCGAGATCAGCTTTACCTTTAACCTCTCTTTCTTCATCTCGCAAAGCCCCACCTAAGACACACTAGGCCATATTAGGATATAGTCCCGCTGGCTTTGAATTGGCTATGTACCTGCAGTCAACCATCGTAAATTAGTCATTTCAAACTACTGTATGACTCCACGGATCCTCTAGGGGTGGAAAAGGATCTGGCGATCTGGCCTAACTCGCCCTCCCACTCTTTCTTCCTTTCTCTCCTTACATACATGTTGAATAACGAAGGCGTTGGTACTACTACAGAGGCCAAATCCCTACAGGATGACGTCGAAGTGCATGTAGAATTCGTAGAGGTGGTGGAGGGAGTCGGAGAGGGAGGGGATCGTGTAGATAATTGTCTCGGAGACGCCATAGGGGAGGGCAGGGGGCGCGAGGTCTCGTTGCATGTTGCGAAGGGGTAGAATCCACGTTCCCATTCACCGCGCTACGTGTTAATTATCTCTACCATTTTAGTAGTAGCAGATTTTTTCAACCCTGTAAAGCTTGCTTTAAAAACATGCTACTATGCGGGGTACTCTGGACTAAGCCCCAAGCGAAAATTCTCTACTGCCACCGGGACATGGAAGCCTATTCCCCTCCCAATTTTGGAGCGAAACGTCTAGGGTTGAGAAATTGGAGCATTCAAGTAAAATATGATATCTATTGTATTCGACAAAATGATATATGAGCTAGTCTATAACGACTGTTCGGTAAATCACGGGAGTTCCAGAAAATTTGCTGCATACTAGACGAACTATGAAAAGACTCATACCTAAATAGTCTGGCAACGTGTTTTCTTCATCCCTCTTTATTAGTCCTAATGGTTACGTAGACTAATAAAAGTCTGCATCATCAAGAGCTATTTTCTTCTATGATGCGATATCTAGGGACCTATCTAATATCGATATTAGGCTTATCTCGTATTCTTTAAGCCACATGTTCCGTGCCCCGAGAGGTTAGCCTATATACTTATTTAATTTTTGTTATCGTAAGAGGGGGTTGTAATGTGACTCGTCGTTAGTGCTAATGATTAGAAAATATACGGAGATACTGATATAGTGAGGCTGATAGCAATCCGTAATCCGAGATGTACCAAGACTAGTCGGTTCCTCATCCATAAAGAACTTCCTATGAGTAGTCCCGACAGAACACGATGCAACTACAGTTCTCCCCATGCTGTTGTGAGAAAAGATTAGTCATACTCGGTTATGTCTGAATGAGAGGAAGGCAGATGAAAAGGAGGAAGGAAAGTGGAGGATACGGACCCGCCAGTATGCAAAAAGTGGTAATTTATAATACTGTAGCAATTGAGAGAATCGAAAGATTAAGACCATGTTTTGGCTCCTCGTGCCATTGATAGCTGGAACAATAGATGGAATAATATTCCTTAGCAATGGCTGTCAGCGTAATGCGAGGGTTGAAGACACTACCTAGATTGTCTAGGAAACAGTCGAACCCAACGATTTCATGTAAACCACCCGCCTGTTTCCCATTCTCTGGTCGCGGTAGGGCCTTCGCGAGCCTCTGGGTCATCTATACCGGCCAAGATTGTGTTCAGTCTTGTAAAGTCAATCGGTTTCATGACCCAGCCATCAAAACCAGTGTCAATGTACGCCCTCTCGTCCCTCTCAACAAGAGATGCTGATACTGCAAAAATGGGAACCCGATTGGATCGATTGTTTCTACTTGCGACAGGTGACTTTGAGATGTTGGATTCGGCCTCACGAATCGTTCTTGTAGCTGTCAATCCGTCGACAATGGGCATCTGTGAGACTCTGTTAGTCAAGACCAAGAGATTATGTTTTGACATCTGGCTTTGACGAACCTGAATGTCCATCAGGATCACATCGACAGGTTTGCTCTCCGACAAGAAAGCATCCAAGCATGCTTCTCCATTGTTGGTCAGTTGGACTGCGTGGCCGATTTTAGTCAATCGCTTTAGCAGAATCTTGCTATTAATCGGATTATCTTCTGCAACGAGAACGTTCAAACTCTTGTTGTTGGGAAACGAAGCTGATTCATCTGTTTTGGAAGTTGTTGGACTCTCTTGAAAGACTTCCTGGGCTAATTGTTGCTGAGGAGATGATTGAAAATCAAGTAATTGCTTGGATTCGTCATAGGATTCGTCATAGGATCGTAAGGGCAGGTGTAAGGGCATGTGTTGCTTGTGATGTACACCACCCTCGGTATCGGTGATGGTGTTTTGAGGTAGTGAAGGCTTGTGCTGATTGGGTTGATTAATCCCATGTCCAGAATCATCACTAGTGGGGTTGACAAGAGAGCCCTCTTGTGTGGGTTCGTTTTGATTTTTGTCATCATCAACCACTAAAGTGAATTTCCCTTCCAGAAGTGATGGTGATTTTGGCATATCGAGATAATCGGTTCCTGTCGGGTTTTGCGAAGGAGAGGATGACTCTCCTGGAAGTCGAAATTTGAGAATAATTTTGAACCGACTGCCTTTGCCCTCTTCAGATTTCACAATGAGCTGTCCATGCATTGTGTGCACAATACGAGCGGTCAATGCAAGACCGATACCTAGGACACGTTGCCTCTCACCACTTGAATTCATTGTGCCATTCAGCCCGTCTCCAACCCAATGCTCATCTGCATAAACCTCTTCCAGCTCCTGAAAAAGCTGCTCGAGCCTAGGTTTTGACAACCCTGAACCAGTGTCGGCAACAGAAAATTCAAGCAAGGCGTGATCGTCTTGAATACTAGAAACCGAGGTCTCAACGCTCACGCGACCCTTTGCTGTATGTTCGATGGCATTCGAAATGAGATTAACAAAGATTTGACGCAAGCGACGCTGATCTCCTAATACTGCATCTGGAAGTCCGGAGCGTATTTTGAACGTGTAGGAAATACCCTTTCGCTTGGCTTCCCCAGCCAGCATGTCAAAAGCCTCATGCAGCGTGGGTGCTAACTCGAACGCCTCAATTTTGATAAGCTGTTGTCCGCTTTCAGTGGCAAGGTCAAGAAGGTCATTGACAATGTAGATGAGAGATTTGGAAGCTGAATAGGATCGGATCAAGTTCTTGCGGGTCTCCTCATCTAAGGTGTTTTCCATGGCAATCTCCAGATAGTTGATGACTGCATTCAGTGGGGTGCGAACCTCATGAGCTGAATTGGTTAGCAATAGACGTGTAAGCTGAGAGTTCTGTTTAAGAACTTCTTTCTGCCGCCAAACTTGAATGAACTTCCCGTATACGGACCCAAGGACACCGGCCGTCGAGATATCAAATTCCGACCACTGCTTCGACTCGCTCAGGGTTGTCTCGCGCCATTCTTTGAAACTTTGGCGTGGTGTTAAAGGTCCGATGCCACCGTCTGCAGGCTTGTATGGATTTCCAGCCCAGGTTATCGTAGTGAGTTGACCAACGCGGAAGAAAACGATGAAGTCGGCCCCGTTAGGCGCCATCGGAACACACAACAAGCCCGATATTCGTTTTAATCCCGGAGGAAAAACAAAGTCGGGAAGATCTTTTCCTATATCATGCGACGCAAGTACTAATGTCACCTTTCGTAGCCGAATGTACTGCAAAAGAGCAAGAGCTTCTTGTGAATTTGAATCGCCGCCGAACAGCTTGGCTTCATGTCCAATAGAGAGTATACCAAAATCGGCTTGGAAAAGCCGTAACAAGTCATCTGAGGATCCGACGATATACTTGGATGGATCTGCTTCTTTTGGGATAGCATTCGCCATAACTCGCGCCTGAAGATCGAAGGTATGGTTGATGCGTTCAATATTTCGAGCCACAGTGTCGCCAACCAGACGGCACAGTTTACGTATCGGGAAAGACACGCGCATGCCATCATCACCGTATGAATGACAAGAGATCAGGCCCCAAAGGTCATCGTAAGCATTAATACTAATCGACATCGATGAACGCACTTTCATGTTCGCAAGGTATTGGGAGTGGATTGGTGACATCGCTCGAAGGTAGGCATGGCTCATGTCAAGAGGCGTTTCAAGATCCTCCGAGGTCCGGCAGACCATTCGGGAAGTAACATGGTCTCGATTGTATAATAATCGGACCTTGTTGGCTTTGTAGAGCTCTCGAGCCTGAGCCGGGATATCTGAAGCGGGGAAATGAAGCCCTTGATATAAGTCCACGGTAACATTAGGGTCCATCAATTCAGCTACCACACGGCCATTCGCTTTCTGATCGAATTGGTAAACCATGACTCGGTGGAATCCAACCAACTCCTTGACTAGTCCCGCCGCGACTTTGAGTAATGTTTCTTGCTCCGCTACTTGCGAAAGTTGGGCTTGAATCTGAGATAGTGTACCAAAAACTTGCATTGCAGCGGCCTCTCCCTTCCTCCGTCGCGCATCACGTATAGAACGCACTGAATGACTTGCACTGACCGTGCTATTGATATATTGTTCTTCCGTTGGGGCCGGGTTGGTTTGTAAAGTATTCGTGGGAGTTTCCGGGAGTTTTTGATCCTCAACATTTAACGGATTGAGCTGGTCGTCCTCCAGTTCAAACTCAGAAATGATGATATCCTTATTTTCTTGACTAACATGGGTCGCACACCAAACCCGAGTAAGATCGCCGGATGGGCCTTGTAATGCCAACAGAAAAACCTCAGGGCCATCAATGACTGTGTCATATGAATCGTCTCGAACGTAGTCAAGATGTTCCAAAAAGATGGCTTGTTGATCTGCTCTCAAGAGATCAGTGAAGCTTTCCATTTCAAACAGACTTTGAGGTGAAAACCCAATAATTTGTTCCGAGTTTTCGCTCACGGCACGAACAACAAATTGGTTAGGAGACTCCTCTCTTAGAGCAATCATCACCCCGAAGCTTTGGATTGCACCTGGTGTCCGGATCGGCTCATCCTCGCATCGTTTGAGAGAATTTTCGCTGTCCCCGATTATTACAGTGTGCCCGTGCTCCGAAAATGCGTGTTCGAACCGGGAGGTCATGTAGGTTTGATTCTCTTTGCAAACATCTTGAGGCGCTACCTCTCTAGAGACATTCTCTGGAGAGCCAAATGGATCTCTAGTGTCTTCGAGATCTCCCGTAGCGGGTGTGTTTAGCTTGTCCTCCTTACCTCTTTGGTAATCTGGCAACCACATACATTCTTCTTGAAAAAATCCAATGAATCTCGATTAAATCAATAAACATAAAAAAGCTGAAAGGCTCTGAATATAGGCCTATCTACTGCACCTATATCTTGGCTGGCGCGGGTGGTAGGGGTCACTACTATAGGTTAGTGATTTCTTAGAAAAGAAAATCAAAGAGAGAAACACCACTTGCAATGCCCAGTTCAAAGCTATATTGTCGTATTTCTCATACGTAGCGGGTGTAAGATTCCGGTGGCAGAAGATATTCTCTTCTTATTCCCGCTCCTCTTAGTACTCACGAGTGAACCCACGTGATGCGGCACGTGTAATACGCTCCTTAAGGGCTTTCTGGATTACTTATTCAGTAAGCATTATTTTTGTAGACCTGAACAAAGCGAAGAAAGCGCCTTAGGACCGGTATTTATCTTTTTCTGTGGTGCAGAGTGGGTTAGCCTCTCACTCCAGTCTCCAGACTTCTCACCCATACCCACATCATCCACACTCACTCTAAGACGGCTTGCATCGCTGTTTTAGAAGCAAAGGGCTCTTTGAGAATTGGCCATGCAGAATTAGTGGCTTAAGTACGGCTGAGCGGACGGGAAGCCCTGTTCTCCACACCCCATGGTCGTATGTACCAGCCAACCCATTGAACGGAGATATATTCAGTAGAACGGCTCTAAACAATGTGAAGATCGCTTTAGCGTCGCGCGATCAGGGGTGGAGCAGGGTGAGTGCGCAATAGACAGGGTGCGAAACCGGGTGAGAGCGGGTGATTCTCACCTAATGTGCTTTGTTAACCTTCAAACATAATCGAATATGGGTATTTTCCGAGGGGGAAGCTCGTGTTAACCGGTTCAGTGACTGGATTTCCACCACGAGAATTACTGGAACCTTTCTTGCCCTGGCTGCGAATAGGGGCACAACACATCTCGCAGGAACTCATTCACTCTTGATGGGTAGCAGTGTGTGGATAGATTGGTTAGGTTTGAGCGACTTGATTGAAAGAGACCGAGGGGGTATGAAAGCAGGCACATCGGCTCCAGCACTTCTCGCTTCTGAGAATAAGAAAGAAGGAAATGATGAATAAAAGCAGGAATGTCTTAGCCAAGGAATAAAGCAGAGCAGCTTAAAACAAGGAAGAACCGAGTAGACCTCGCTACGACCCTAAATCATGACCCGCCAAGACAATTTGTTACTATAAATCATCCTGGTTAGGAAAGATTTTCATTATAGCGCATGAATTTATGAAGTCAGCAACGCTATCAGGGTCATGCCGAGGTATCCGACAGAGAAAACCGAATTTCCTCAACAGGATCTAAGCGCAAGTCTAAATCCTAGGTGGATGAATAAAGCCTGCCATATCATAATGGACAAGTCGAATGTGCGCATTGTTTTAATCCGTGTGACCAAGCCCAAAAGTCTTCTTATATCCTGGGCGGTGCACTTGAGCGTGTCCGGCTCGAGTTGCGTCGTTTTAATGGGCTGTCTAAGGCTACTTTCGATTCCGATGCTACCTGTATATATACATCCTCCCCACTTGCACATCAGAGTTTCGGGCCGGCTCGAAATAGAGAGATGGCAACTGCTTCGTGGGCACTCTAATTCTCATGATGGGACTTATACTTTCTTTAGGGATATGATGACCAGAAGTTCATTCCATCTATTTCCAAGGACAAGGTTGCTCGATTAGCATGCTCCGATGGTTCTCGCGCAACTTCCCACCGGGGGCACATTCAAGGGCCAATGTTCCACTTACCGCCATTCGTCCTAGGGTCTCCGGGAAAGCTTACTCAGAGCTCACACTATCTGAGACTGAAGGAGGAATTCTTTCACGAGGATACATCGCTGGTTTCAGACATCATGAACGAGTTATCTATACTTCCCGCAAAACACATGACTCATGAGAGTTACCACGAGAGAAGACATCGAAACTCTGGATATTCTCCAAGCATCGGAAATTGAAGTATTCTGGTATATAACCCCACGAACACTGCCATCTTCCACTAATAAAACAGTACGATTGAAAACTGGAGATCACGCAAGAGAACTTCGACAGATCGACGTATATTTACGGAAAACCCGTCGATTACGTCTCTAATTTATCGCAGTATGAAATAATTCTAAAAAATTATTGACAGCTTTACAACAGAAGAACAACAGAAGATGTCTCAAGCTACAAGGATGCTCAAAGGATTTGGGTGAATGATAAAGCCCCACATGTCGAGACAGTCCTTGAATTTGTTGAACCTGTTGAACCTTATCGAGACCCGCTGGGTGTGAGGTCTGATTTCGAAGGGATCGTTGGCATTTCTGATGCGGACGAATCAAAGGTTCTGAATGAATTGGCAAAAAGTTTTGATAATTTAGTTTGCAAACTTCTATGGGTAAATAGCTATGGAGCTAGCAAACGCCCTTTTGAGAAAGAAATATTTGAGGTCCTGGACTTTTCCAGCCTCCGGAGTAAGCTATATCCTTATGTGTGAAGGGCAGCTCTATCAACGCTTCACAGGCCTGGTTCATTGCTCGAGCATTATTTTTCCGAGTATCAACCTTTCCAGTGTGAGTTTTCAAAAGCGATATTCGTCTAGTACTAGAAGGAGCTTGTCAGGGCTGAAAGAATGCAGTAAAACGACATACGCCAGGAGACTGGTTTCGAGAACATCGTTTTTGTTAGTCGCTTGAGGGCAGAGAGCCAGCAGGACAGGGGTCTCCACTTGATCGATACGTCCGAACAACAGATATTCAAGAAGCATCGATTCCATGCATATTACGTATGGGTAGTACTCCGCAAAATTCTCGGCCATGGGATCGGGAGATTTCTTTCAGAGACCAGTGCAGGAGATCACAATTCAACCCATAAAATCCACCAGGAACCCTGTCACACGCGAGCCAAATCAAACTTGGTATCGACTTGACCAAACGTGGACTAGCGTGTTCGGGGATCTTTCAACGATTGTCGACGAATGCAGAGCCGAATTTGTTGGTGCATACTTGATTGATGATCCAAGGGGGTTGGCTTTATTCGGCCACACTGACCGTGCGCTTCTTACCCCGGATAATTGCATGATGTTCTGCTTTTGATTGCCCTTCAAGCCTAGCTAATCATTACGAGTGGTCTTCAATTTATACCTACAATTGGAGACTGATGGCCTTCAGGGGTTGCAAAATTTAGGACACCTCTACGAAGGTTGGTGTGTCGATCAAAATGTCTGAGATGTGAACTCACAAAAAGGAAGGTATGGGTTCAACCCCACAGCCGCCTAAGCAAAATACACTATTTTACCATTCCATGGCTTACACACGGCTCAAGCACACTACGCCATACTGAGACATCTTTTGAAAGATGCGAATGGTCTCGACACAATTCTTTGCGACTCGCAGCAAGGCAAACTGACAGTGAAGGTTAATCGCGTTCGTATCATCCGACATGGAACGCCTTCCCTCGGTCGCATGCTACTAAGATTACACACCTATCGCTGCACTGCAGACGTTATAAATTACCGCAAGTTCTATGGAGACCTTTCTTGCGTGGATGACGAAGTTTTGAAGTGGAGAGATATCATAATTGCCAACCAAGATCCACTATTGGTCTTCTCGCAAGCGAATACATACCTTGACGGGGACTTGTCATAATCCGAGAATGAGAAGCATCGACTAGAGCTGTAATCCTGAGTCAGCCTGAGCGGGATATTGATTGAATTACAGCTACTTATTAAATTGGAAAGGCTTGCAGAAGGGTTATTTCCACAGAAAAGAAAGTGCCAAGACTGGCCCTCGTATCAGCGAAGCTAAACAGGAGGATAAAGATATGATAGTGTAAACAGCAAGTACTTCCTGAGTAAATGTGATCTCCGAAATGGAACGTATCATGCCCCTCCTCTAAGATAGGTCGTAATTCCTCATGATGTTTCTCATGGCTTAGGGCGTCTGGATAATGGGACGTTCTCCTTCAAAGTAGATGAAGGAGCTTCTTGTCGCTGCTCTTGGCCGATATGTTTGCGGCAGTTCGGGCTTGTCACATCTGAGATAAAGGTGACACCAGGATACCCAACAAGATTCGTGAACAGCGCATATGCGCTCTGGAATATGAGGAGAGTCGAGGTTGTGGTGTAGATCCCGTCGAGTTCCATAGCGAACCCAGGCGGGAGGGTCTCAATCCAAGTGAGAAATCTGTCGAGCTGTTCCCGGGTCATGTTTTCGGCAATGCGAACCGAAAAGACTGCATGTAGCGAAGGGGCAATCGTGTTCGGGTTAATCCGTGTGACGCCATTGAAAGGGAAGCAGACAGATACCCCTAACTTGACATGATGTGTTGGCTTGACAACCGAGCTATTCCCTCGAATAGTCGCCATTACGTCCGAAAGTATCATAAAGTGGTGACCGTCTCGCTTGCGCCGAGCAATCTCGCCCCGCAACTTTCCAGTTAAGGTATTGCGTGGTGGTGTAAGGGCCTCTGGAGTGTAATCATCGCTCGCAGAAAGAATTTCGACAACGCGAGTCGTGGAATTTAATGTTCGCGTTGCCACATGCGAGTAACAGCAGTCCAGGACGAAGACAGCGTCTGTATCTGCGATGTCGAAGTCCTGGACATCTCCTGCCACCACAGTATCGATGAATCTTTGGAGGTTTATGCTTCGGCGGGATAGGCCTTCGACAGCAAAGAGCTGTTCCTCTTTAACCTCTCCGTTCCCGGCATAGTGAATAAGAACGATGGATTTGCCGGGTGCATTTGCTGCGAGTCGGAAAACGGACCGAATTTTGTCATTAAGTGTCCAGCCCGGGGTCTGATCCTGTTCGGCCAAGATCTCAACTTCAGCTTGGTCGAGATTTAGTGTGCTCAGGATCGCCTGAAAATGGTCGGTGTCTGCCGGGGCATTCGTCCTGTCTCGCTCCCATCGAACACTCAGCGCGAAAGAGTTGTTGTAAATTCGGCTGCGATTGGTCACAGCGCGAGTTATTGCTTTCATGGTTTGGTCTGCGCTGATGGATTCCATGGTGGATTCAAGGAGTTA